AACGCTACTAGCTCGCTCTTCAACGCTACTAGCTCGCTCTTCAATGCTACTAGCTCGCTCTTCAACGCTACTAAACACGCATATCGCCCACGCGCACTCACCGAACGACCCGTTCAGCTCGAGCGAGCTTTGACATGACGCTCTCCCACCTATCTGACCGCTCCTTCTTCACCGCTCGAGTCTTGACACCCTCTCTTTCTGCCACGCCAACACACATGCTTGTCTGATGTGCAGACGCCACACCATCTAGAGCAAAAGCGCGCGCAAGAGCACTGGCGAGCGTGGTGCGCACTGCCCTGACTCGAAGGTGACTGATCAGAGTCCGTACCAGAAAGCGCGTCTCCTCTCCGCGACAAGCTACCAGCAATTTGGTCACGATTTGCTTCTTTGAAGCTTGCGAGCCAGAGCCGGACATTGCTGCGATGGCATACAGTGATTCGAACTGCCGAGTCAAAGGATCAGTAAGTAACCTTATCTACTTGACATGCGCCGCACGCGGCACGCGGCACGCCGCACTGACCACTTTGGTGATGATGAGAGGACCGGGCTGTACGAGAGCTCGTACGCCCTTGCGCGCTTCGAACGCCACGTCGCCTGGATCGCCCCACTTGTCCCATAGCTGTTTGAGCAAACGTGGTGAGGCTCCCGTCGTCTCCTTTATAGCTTGGTTGATGATGCTACCTCCAACCCCCAGCTCTATGGATTCGTGTGGCTGCGCGATGTGATCCCGGAAACGAGCGCGGTCAGCTAGTTGCTCACTCGCGCGGTCAGGTTGAGGTCCCCACTCGCGCGACATCTCACCGGCGCGATATGATTGCTGAACAGCAGTGTTGCAGGTCCGACCGCTGCAGGGTCGTGTCGGATGAGCAGCCTGATGGTGTTGGTGCAGATTGCGAGGATCAGAATGCGGGACTGCGTGGCGCTGAGCAGCTCGCATGCTCTGGCAAAGAGCGCAAACGGTGCTCGAGGAAGACCGGCCTGCAAAGTGCTGCTGCGCCCCGCTTTGGCCTCTGTGACGGGCCAAGAGCTCACATCCACGTCTGCCGAAAAGGAAAGAGGATCCTCTTCGAGGGGTAGAGAATGAATGTGCTCCAGCATGCGCTCAATGTCGAATCTGGCAGAAGCCGGGGTCGACAAGTTTGCCGGCTCCGCGTCGCGTGACGAAGATGATGGCTCGTCGCCAAAACATAGCGTCTTTTCGTTAGACGACGCACCGGCAGCATCATCCGACGCTCTCATGGCAGCCGTGGGCGCCCCCTCTGTGTGCACCCTTTGCGAGCTTGCGCTGTCGACCGCATCCCACTCCGCCTGCAAACGGCGCGCCATCGCCTCATCGCTCTCCTCCGCAGCATCGCTTGCAGATATATGCGCATGGATCTGGGTGCTCGAGCCTTGGCTTGCCGTTTCCGCTTGATCAGTGCTCCTGGCGAGAAATGCCGCCAGCTTTGGCTGACCTTTGCTAGGCGATGAGGGAGAAGCTGTAGGGCCAGCCTTCAGCTTCTTGGAAGGCGTAGATGGAGCGCTAGGTGTGCGTTTGGGAGCCATTGCGCGCTAGCCTTCTCGATGAGCGCGACGAATGCGAATGCGATGCAGGTGCACCACCTCCCCCCTCGTAGTTGTGAGTGTAGGTATCTGCGAGGAAAGGTGTTGCGCGTCGAGACGGGTTGCGAGTCGTGAGTGGTTGGCTCATCCCGCACGCCCGCGCTCGTGCACGATGTGGAGGTTGCGCGCGCGGCCGCGACTCGCGACTCGCGACGCGCGTGCACACCTTTCGATGCCACTCTCGGTTTCCCTCACTCTCACACACACTGTCACTCTCAGCCAAAACCTTCACAGGTCGCCTCAGATTGGGTGGTCTCCCGCCCCCTCCCCCCTCCCCCCCCCCCCCCCAAGCCGACACAATCGCTGCGAACCGCGAATGTCCACCTCAACGAAGCACGCCTTTTCGAATGCGAGCTGGCTAGAGCCGGCAAAGCACTTGGCAACATCTCAAGCACCGGCAAAGGATGCTGGTATCGCATACTATGCCGAAGTTCCCTCCACTTCGGAGCACTACAAGATGCGCTTCGAAGCAGGTCTCACACCACCACCCACGGCCGAGATTGCGGAGATCGGGCTAAAGTCGAGCGTATACTGCGTCGTTGCTAGGGATACGAGCACAGCGAGCAAAGAAGCCATCGGAATGGCCCGCGTCGTAGGAGACATTACCATGAGCCTGTTGATCGTCGACGTGTGCGTCTTGCCAACGCACCAACACAGAGGCATAGGTCATCGCATCTTTCGACACCTGCTCGCCTGGGTCGATGCCAACTCGCCATGCGCTTTTCTCTCTCTCAGCGCGGATCCTCCTGGAATGAAGCTCTACGAGAAGAATGGTTTCAACGTCACGCCCAACGAGACCGGCATGCAGAGGCTGGGGCAGGATATAGAGAATAGGCGCCGCTTTGCGAGGGAGCAGAGGGCAAACGCAAACGCAAACGCAAAGAGCTCTGCTGAACAGCAGTCAAGCTCGACAGCGTAGTCACCCTGCGTCGCGAACGAGCGCGGTGCGCGACAATGGCATGGTGCAGCTTGCGCGCCTTCACCCGATCGTCACTCATGACTCTGAAAGCTCACGAGCTCACGACATGCTGCTGCCTCTCAATCGTGATGCAGAAAGATGCGATACAGGAGCTTTGCATTCTGAAGCTCAGTCGAGGGGCCATCAGTCTTGAGAGCGTGCCTGCTTCCGTTGACAGTCGGAATCTCTTCTGTCTTTGCCCGTACCTCCTCTTTCCCCCTGTCAGAGGCGCCTCTTCACCTCTAGCTCCTTTATCACCTCGCGCACCTCCTGTCCGACGCTCGGCGCATTGAACCTCGCGTCCCAGCAACATGCAGCTTTCCGTTGTAGCTTTCGCTTTGTTGGCCAAGGGCAAGTACGCTTCTCGAAAAAGGTACAAATGCACGCTTGGGCAAGTTGTCGGCGCCCGTCCTTTCTCGCACGCACTCCCGCTGCAGGATAGATATTTGGTGGTGCTGATCTGTTGATCAACACCAAATTGGGTAAGGTCCTCACACAGATTTACGTGATTCTGAATGTAGACGCTCGGGCCGTCCCTTCAAAATGATGCAGAGAGAGCTCCAGCGTCACGCCCAATTCTCTGCGCACACAAATCTCGACACTTGAGGATAGTAAAGGGCCCTTCGCCCCATCATCTATTCCTGGCTCTTCTGTTTCTTCGCAGGCTTCGACGCGCCCTTGGTCTGCGCCGATGGCTGTCCTTTTTGTGCACTCTTGGCTTTTTTGCTCCCCTCCTTGGGCGGAGGCACAAACACCCTTTCCTCTGGCGGCACAATGCGTCCCTCCTGCCACTCCTCACTCAACCATTTGGAGCATTTTTCCTGCTCTTTTGCCAACCATGATGGGTAGGATGGATCCGATGCGGCTGGCGGAGCGTCTCTGAGAAATTGCCACGCGAGTATGGCACATTGAATACGACCAGTGAGGATTGCTGGAGCCACACCTATTGCTTCTTTGATCTGAACTCCCTGGAGACGATACAGGCGTGGATTCGAGGGGACCGTCAGCGCGTTCATGTGAAACAACGTCACGAGACAATAGCTACACACTCACGTCGAGGCGTGGACGCTCCTCTGCGCGTGGAAGTAGTTGCCATTCGTCGACAACGAGATGCCAGAAATAGATGTACTCTCGTGGAGCGCAAAATAAGGCGTTTAGCGCGGCTTCGGAGTCAAAGATCGACGGCGCTGAAGTTTCAGAATTCTTCAAGCCGACCGCAACGTCACTCGGGCCAGATAGCGCAGAATACAAGCGCTGTGCAACATCAAAGACCATGGTGATCAAAAGCGAAGATGGCAAATTGACTCCTATGCGGGAGTCCGTGATCGCTGGCTGGCGATTCAGCAGAAGACCTTGAAGCTCGCAAGGAAGGTCAGCACTTTGCCTGATTTTGAAGGCACCTGCAGTCAGCACGCTCACCTGCTATGGCTTTCCAGTGCAGCTGCGCTACTCCTCGTGGTGAGAAGTGAGGTATCCATCGGACGAAGGAATCTTGATGATCCACAACTAGCTTGTTCAGCTCTGGTTGTTCCAGGATATCCGCAGCTCGGTACAAGGCAGCTAGTGGCTCGCGCGTCGAAGTCTTGCCTAGCTGCGCTCGATAGCAGGCAGCGAGGATACCGCAATGTCAGGTGCAGCTCAACAGCGATGCTTCTTCCCACAGCGAACGCTCACCTTGAGCCCGTTGTGTATCACATGCTCTCCAGCCCAACACCACTTTTCTAACCGTTCATGCGCGGCGACGTGTCGGAGAGGGAGAAGTGCAGCAGCTAGGAACAGCCGCCTTCGCTGCTCCTTGTCTTTCAAAGGAGCAAGAAGCCCTGTTTCTCGAACATGAAGATATGCGCCAAAGAAGTAGTCAAGCCCCGCCGAGTTTAGGACTGTCCTTCGGTCCTCGAAATGAAGAGTGGGCGGAGCGTCTGGCAAGACAAGTCGGTAGAAGCCATCGAGTATGTAGGAGGCTAGTAATGCTGTCTGAGCAGGCTGTACGGTCGCCTCGCCGCCAAGCGCGTCTGCATTGACCGTGGTAGAGCCCGGTGGAAGCTGCTTTAAGGGTTCGGACAACGGCCACAGGAAGACGAGTGGGTACAGACCAAGGGCGTGCAACAGGTGGATCGCGCGGTGAGGATCGGCGCCTGCACAAGAAAGTCAAAATACCTGCACATTTAGTGGAATGGCATGACGCAAGCGTCGTCCGTCGCTCACCTGCTAGCATCTTGTCAACCTCTATTCCCACTCTTTCCCTGCTAACCTTGTCCCTCAAAGCCGCTCTAACACCCTCCCCTTGCTCACTCTCCAGGCAATCCCAGATACCGTCATCCAATCGATATCCCAATCTGGCTGCAAACCTCACGCAGCGCAAAATGCGCAATGGGTCGTCCGTGAAGGTCTGAAGAGCTTCTAGCGGCGTGCGAATGATTCCCTCTTGCAAGTCATTTATGCCCATGCCTGTCAAGTCTTCCACCTCCCTGGTGTGGACATTGTAGAAGAGGGAATTGATCGTGGTATCTCGGCGAGTAGCGTCTTCGAGGGGCGTTCCGAAGGTCTACGAAGCGCGTGAAGGGCACGAGCAAATCGAAGCGTAAGCTCCGCGAGGCGGATGACCATCGTTTCAAGTCAAGTCACGTCAGAACTCACCATTGTTGGTATGCGAGTCTCGCCATCATACACTTCCTTTCTGAGGTTCACAAAGTCCAAACTAAGACCGGCGAGCACAGCAGTAGCCGTCTCCAGATTCTTGCTCTGCTCAGGATTCGCCTCTATGCGAGTGATAGACCCAAGCCAAGGCTGTTTCGATGAACCCCCAGCATCAGCATTGAAGACAGGATGTTGCGCTAGCTGCGAAGAGGCGAAGTCGGCTGATCGAAGGTACTGCGATAGCAGCAGGGCATAGGTGTGACCAGTCAAGCTGGACAGCGAGACGTCCAGATCCGAGGAAGGCTGTGATATGAGCTGAAAAGCCCAGGGCATTCACGAATCATTTCAGCTCATTCTCGCATCCAGGCGATCGCACGATGCGGGCTCATCGCAATTGCATGGCTCACCTTATCTCTGACCCAACCTCCAGCTATTCTCGCCTCGCACCTCCATCCCTCGTAGTACTCGATGTGCACAGGCTCGACCCCAGCCGCAGGCTCTATCTGCGGTTGAGTCTGCTCGATCCATCGACACGTGTCGGCCAAGAGCGCGACTATAGCGTCCTCCTGCGATGAAAGGCCAAGAGCGAGTGAAGAGGATCGCTCCAGCCTTGGCATCGTTACCGCGGTTCGAAGCACGCAGGCGGCAAAGGGGCTCCTTTGCTTCTCCCGAAGATTCCTGACAGAATTTTGGGAAGGAAGACGGAGCGCGACGTTGGCGCGCGCAGGCCGGATAAAGGCTCTGAACTTTGAGGAGGGCAGCGCCTCTTGTGTATTTGCACCTCCAGTCTTGAGCCTCGGTCGCAGGAGAGCCTGTGCGAAGCGCATGAACCCCGTTCTTCACCGTCCGTGCAGCTTTGACGAGGAGTGTGATTTGGTCGCCGAGATGTCCAGGAGCTGCGCGCTATATTCGAGTCGCGCAAAGGTGAGCAATGAGATGTGATGGTCAAGATGGGCAAGTCCATGGACCGAGTCAAGAGTCACGCATCTCTGAACCGTCACCCAGATCTAGGGCCTTCTGACTGGTGTGGCTCTTCGTCTCCCGCATACCGCTCATCAGACTAGCAGCACCCATCGCGTCAAGGCCCAAGTGCTCAAAAATCGCCAGTGCGGCGCAACACGTGACTCGCTGACGGCTCAGACCAACTTGGCTCGTGCACCACGTTGCGACGCGCTTGATCAGTATTCGGACACAGCGTCATTTTCCCACCACCATCATCCATCGACAGTCTAGCTTGTGGGCTTACCGGTACAGCCATGGGAAACAAGTGTATTCGCGATTCACACCGTGCCGTGGCACTCATTCGCGATGTAAAGCCATGAATGCGATCGGACAATGTGAATGGCATACATGCTATGTAGCGCGGAATAGAAAGCGTACGATGCCTGCGCCTCCGTTCGCAGGGATCTAGACAAGCGCAGCACCAACAAGCACGACTCCGACAGCGATCACCGACGCCGAGCTCTTGATCGTTGCTCCTCCGTTCCCGCTCCTGCCTGAAGGAGTAGGCGAGGCACTTGAGCTGGAGCTGGAGCTGGAGCTGGAGCTGGGGCTGGGGCTGGAGCTGGAGCGAGTCGATGTACCGCTGGATTGCGAGTTGTCATCTTCGCTGCCAAATACTTGGGTGAATCCTCCTTCAACGTTGGTGAAAGAGCCGCCAGATGCCACGCAATTCGTCTCTCCGTTGATCACATTGCTGAAAAGTGCACGGAGCGGGAGAGAGACAGAGATGAGGAAGGACATCAGGGTGAAAAGGCACGTGCGTCGCAGGTGGCAGGTGCAGGCGCACTCACTTTCTGTAGCCATCGGGACAGCAAAGGAGGACATTGCCGTTGCCGCTGCATCCATTGCCATTGATGCCCTGAGAAGGGTCATAAGTGGAGGTGATGGGCGCCACTGTAGAGGCAGACGGAGCTGTCCAAGCCAGCGGGAATTTGATGGATGCACACATTCACGGTCAGCTAACAGCGCACACGATGCTGAGTAATCGCTGGAAAGTAGTGCGACTCACCATCTTGTCGCACAGCAAGAGCAGTGGGGCGTGGGTTGGGCGCTGCACTGACTGAGCAGATCAGAGCTGTGAGAGCGACGCAGGCAGCAGTGACCTTCATTGTGAATGTGCGGAGATGATTCGAGATGGCTTGGGTCCAAAGTTGAAGCTATGCTTGAATGGGCTGGTGAAGGTTTGAATAGGCGCAAGCAGGAGAAGAGGCTTGAAGGCAAGGTTGAAGGCGCGGAAAGAAAAGGGCAGCTATATATACCTCGCAATTTTTCCTTGCTTCAATGGATCCCCAGGCCAACCACTCGGGGACGAGTCATGTGCGCTGTCACCCCACGTCATCCAGACGCTACCCAGAATGAGGACCATGTGGTCGCCTCGGTCTTTTCTTGTGGAGACTGAGTAGGAGCGTGTCATACCGCGTGCGGTAGTCGTGAATCGACGCCAAGCTAGGTCCCCAAACGGACGCCCAAATGTCGACGGACCACGAGGTCGCCAGGCTGTGCGCAGAATGTGGGACGCTGTGTGTGTGCAGGTTCTTGTCTAGCTGACGGTCGCAGCGCTGCCTGCCTGCCCGCCTGCCTTTTTCAAACTGTCCAAAAGAAAAATTCACGATTGTGATCATGAACGCTTCATGCATCTCCACAACGAGCCCAGCAGCATGCACTTTGTATTTTTGTCGGGCTCGCCAACATGCATGAACAGCGACGTGCCGGAGTAGCGCCAGCCTCACTCAATTAAGGTGCTTTGTGTGACACCTGATCAGACACTCGTGACTCGTGACTACACTGGTGACTGCAAAACGTGAGTGATCTCGCCGTGAGCCCCGAGGTGAGAAGCAGGCGTGCTACAGCGCGAAGTGTGTATGGGGCGGGGCCGGGGGGGACAAGAGGAGCATGCAAGACCAGCTGCCGGAGATCACAGGGTAAGCGAGCGCACCAGCGGACTGGTTCAGTGATCGCGCATGTCTCCACGGCAGCATGCAGCAGCATCAAGCCTGCAGAATGCAACTCACTCACGAATGGCGCACTGACGCAGCAGCTTATGTAGGTAGACTTCGGATCGCCCGAGGTTTCAAACCGCCCTCGGACGGCAAGTTTGATCACATGGTCGAGACGCCGACGTGCATATGATACGCGCGCGCATCAGAGCGCAGACATTCGCGATTGACAGATGTGATGCACGTATAATACGCACTTTTTTATCCGCTCGTGCCCAACTCCCAACGCAGGCAAGTGGATGGCACTGAATTCGACGGGTGAGGAGGGGCAATCACGCATTCAAACTGTGATTCGCCATCATGTAAGGAGGCGGTTCGATTCTGAAAGCGCTGCTGGCACAAGAGACCTCTTTCTCTTGACCGCCATGCGTGAGCGTCAATACAGAAAACCACGTGAACTTCGCGTAAGTGGTCGGAACGGATACATTCACATTCGGTACATTCGCTGAGCCAGGAGCTGGCCAGAGGTGGGAAGTCAGAGAGCACAAAGCACAGTCACTGAAAGTGTGACGTTTTGGCGATACGCGAGGTTTTGCCCCCAATAGCAGCGAAGCGCAAGGCTGCCTAAGTGTAGAGGTCGAGCAGAGCCTTGCTGGTAGTGATGTCTGTCTTTTCAAAGTTGTCTCCGTCCATGAAATCGTAGGCAAATTCAACAAGCGAGCCCTTGTAGCCCGCCAATCTCTGTCTGACTTCTTGAGCGCTTCGCTTGCCAGGTTCGGCAATGTGACCAGTGCGTGCTCCTCGGGCGACAAAGAAGCTGTCGTAGTCTTTCCAATTGCGAACTCGGTTGGAAGGCACGACCTGGAAGAGCTCGTCGACAATAGCGGTATTCGTGCGCGCTTGTCTGCGCCAGATCTCCTCCAGCTCGGGAGAGAGAGGGTCTTCGACGAGCTGCTCCCACTCTTCCTCCTGAGCCTTGCGCTCGGGATCTGGGAAGGGATGCGGAGCAGGACGCTGCGCTGGAGTGGGCTGGTCTTTTGCAGTCTCTGGCGTGCACTCTTGTGGTGCGACCAAGCCAAGATGCTGGCGATAGAGATGTCTGCGGAAGCTAGCAGCGAATCGGCTTGCCATGTACTGTTACACGATATGGTCTGGTCAGCTCAGATATGTCTGCAGTGCGCAGCTGAAGCTTGCTGTGCCTACCTTCTTGCCATCCATCTTGCTCTCGAACATGTCATGGTCCTCGATGACGATTGCAGCTGTGAGAAGCAACACACAATAGTGGTAATGTCAGCGAAGGGCGCTGTGCGGCTGGCAGATCAGACTCACTTTCAGAGTCTCGATCACCTGCCTGACTGCGGTCGTTCAGATTGGCCGAGCCAATCAAAACGGTGCGGTCATCAAAGATAGCCAATTTGGAGTGTACGTACTGCATCAGTGGGGATCGGAAGAAAAAAGAACGTCAACACCCTTTCGCCCGGAATCGCCACGTATATATGCTCTCACAGTCTCTTCAGTAACCCAAGCATTGACTTCCTCCTCTTCCGACCCCTGCCATTGTGACTGCGTGATGTCAGGTTGGCCGTGCAAAAACGCGCTCGCAATGGAGTCCTGCAAGCCCCTCGCTCTTTCGGGCGTTCCATTCGCAAATTTCCGGAGGATTTCCAAGGCTTCTTGGCTCGTTGCAGGCATCTCCACTTCCTCGACGGTCGAAAGCTTCTTCTTGCCATCCTTGTCGAGTGGCGCATCAGGCTCGCTGCTCGGCACCTTGATGGCGATTTTCTTTCTGCCGTCCTGGTATGCCGCATCACCGATATATACCCTGGCGAGCGCGACTTGCGCCTGATGGTAAGTGATGCCGCTCGCCTGTTCCGTCTCGCGCACAATGCCGCTCGGGATGCGGTCGATGCCGCGCAGATTCCAAAAGCTGATGTACTCGTGCGGATCGTAGCCTGCAGCTTTGATCACCTCCATGATGGACTTGCCTCCACGATTGATGGATTCGTACTGCTTCTGCATGATGGTGCGGTTTCCCGCCGCTTCCTGAAGCTCGCCTGCGAAGCAAGGGATGCATGGAATGACGATGACCACCTTGAAGCGCCTGCCGTCCTTCGCTGCCGAGATGATTCGGTTCGCAATGGCTGCCCCAACGCAATTGACCACCTGTCCAGGCTGGGTGGCTGTGATGAAAAATTGGTTCTCAATGTAGATAGAGTGCGACGCGGTCTGGATCAGCTCGATCAAAGCGTTCTGGATCGAATGCTCGGTCAAGATGCCGCTCGACCAGTCCGCAGCGCTGCGTACAACTTGCACGTCCATGGTAGCATTGGCGCCCACAGAGCCACCATCCGAAAGTTGAAGCTTTCTGCGCTCGGGGTGCCATGGATGCATGAACCTCTCTCCATATTCGTGAAAGCGCTCCATGTGAGGGTGACGAGCGATTTCCTGATGCTCTTCAAGCACATCCGATGCGGGAACAGCGCCGTGCGGGAAAGCGATGAGGCTGTACCCCTTGCCATACTTGAGCTCCTTGACGAAGTTCCACCTCTCGATGAAGTTGTAAGCGACGTCGAGCACCGAAGGACCGGTGAAGGTGACGTGCACATCATGCCATGGCATGCGCCCCAAGCTCAGGCTGCTCTGCTGGTTGTTCATAAAGTCGTCGACTTTGGCAAAGTCCATGACTCGAGCGTTGTTGAAATCCTGGCCAACAAACAGCGTGCGCTCCAGCATGGCGAAGGGGTGACAGTCGGAGAGGGGGTGCGATTGCGTATCCCATCGTCCAAAGCAGATGTCAAGTCCACCGACGCAAGCGTACTCAGCGTCGACGACGACCACCTTGTCGTGGTGCGAGTAGAAGAGAGTGATCTCCCCGTGCGGCATGTGGTCGGGGTGACGGAAGACGCGAATGTTCGGGTGCAGGTCCTCGAGCGCGTGCTTGGTGTGTGCAGAGCTCATCGTCATCGTCTCCGTCACTTCTTTGTAGACTGTTACGCAAGGGCAGACAATCAGCTGGACGTATGCTTCGCACTTCTACGCAGCGCTCTCCAAATTTCTTGCGCTACTCACCAATAATTCGAACCTGAACTCCTTGTTCCGCCTTGCGCTTGAGCAGTCTGTCCAGCCTCCACTCCTCGTACAGGTGAGGAGGACGCCTGAGATAAAGTTCCGGGGTGAGCCACCAATCGAGGATAAAGATCGTCTCTTTGGCATTGTCAAGCAGTTCAGACAATGCCCAAAAGTAATCGTGACCATCCGAATACCACTTTGCGCGGTTGCCAGATCTCACACCGGCAAACGAGTTGAACCTGTGAGAATCGCGAATGGATTGCAGAATCTTGTCCTTTTCCTTTTCGTGCGCTTCGTCGTGTCGGTGATTCGGGTTCATCATCGCCGCGAAACCGCTGCCCAGCTTCGACACGCTGTCCACAAACGTCTCTGGATCCAGATTCTTCTTGAGTGTGTCGCGCACACCCATCTTGAAGTACTAGAGGGGTTGGAGAAGGCACTGGAGGAACTGGGATGGCTTCGGCTTCAGAGATTGCGATACAGAGAGGAGAGCGAACGTCGACCAGCGATGCTGCGATGCTGCTGTTTGACTGAGGGACGGTGGTGCGATTGGCACGATAGCGAGCACCACAAAGTGAATCTCGACCTGATTTGTCGACTTGCACCCGAGTGGCGATCGAGAAGAGCAATAAATCGTGAACGTAGAGCCTATGGCGGTCGCTTAAAGAGATTGCGCTTCCGGGCGAGGCTGTGGAATGTCAGAGGTGCGGCGATCGGGATGAGTGGGACATCAGCCAGCATAAACTCATGGCGGCGCGATCCCCGCGCGCGTGATGATAACATCCAATTCGCCGGCGGTATGTATGCGCGCGCGCACGGCCTCCCTTTGCAGGCGCACCACGCCTGCGCGAAGGTCCGCTCGATCGCTCTGCCGCATCGTGTGGGCCGCTGCATGCAGGAACGCAGCTCAGTCCGATCCATCGGCGAACGAGGCAAACCAGCCGCGCTGACCACTTTCATCAAGTCCCCCGTCAGAGCAGAGCACAGCAGCTGCGATCGAAGTCGCACCAGTCCAGCACCACAAGTCGCCGAGCAAAGGGTGACGATATCCATATGGGAAAATGTACAAAGCGCAAAGTGCGTTACAGCCGTCAAGTGGTCGTCATAACGAGGAGAAGGGCATGTAACAGTGCAGGTCAGGCCTCCTCGAGCTCAAGCCTCGGTCTGTCGACGAGCCTGCTCTCTCTCCGCATCGGCGCCGATACCCTCCTTCTCCTCCTGAGGGGACTCGGTGTCTTTGACATCCTCAATCTTTTCGGGTGCCGAGGTAGACTCCATGCCCATGAAGCTGAGATCGTACCCATTAGCAACGAGGTAGGCTTCAAAGTCCCTGTCGAGCTTCTTCATGCCATCGTGGGTGACCTGAGGAATAAACACAAAGACGATGGCAGCGCTGACCAACGCCAAGCCTGCACCAATGTAGAATGGGCCAGAGAAGCGAATGGTGGCCATCTCGTCGGGTGACAAGTCGGCTTGAATCTGGTCGTAGACGTACGTGGCCACGAAGGCGCCCACCTTTCCAATGGCTGCTGCAATACCGTAGAATGTTCCTCGAACAGCAGTCGGCGCTACGGCCTTGGACGCCAAGAGACCCAGGTTGTTTCCGGGGCCCATCTCTGAGCAAGGGGCGGGGAAAACAGTTTGCAAATCAGGGGACGCACTTTGCTGCATGCATGCGTGCGCTAGCCTCGCTCACCTCCAGCTGCGACGAAGAAACCATACAGCACGATGATGCCAGCGATGCTCTCGTTTCGAAGAGCGCCGAAACCTCCAGCGAGCCCAAAACCAAAGGCGGCCTGGATGAAGAGTCCCAGGATCATGGTATTCTTGGGTCCAAGTCTGTCAGAGAGGAGCGCGCCGATGATGGTGCCGGGGATGTAGAATGCGTTGATGAGCACACCGTACCAAAGACTGATCTGCAAGTCGTTGTCAGGTACGAGCTGCGAGACGAAGAAGCTCGAGTACAGACCAGCGCTGTGAGAGATGCGAACCTAGTCAGCGCGTTGTGCGTAGTGCGACGCAACGTGGAAGCGGCCCGAAGCTGACTCACGGATAGGACACCCAGTCGTAGATGAACCAAGAAAGCGAGACAGCCGATAATCTGACCCAGTACTTCTTGATGATGAGCCACCAGAGCTTTGCGGTCGGCTTCTTGATGGCGCCCTTTTTGAATTGCTCGGGCTCGTGCATTCTGGTGCGGAAGAAGAAGATGATCATGGGTGGCAAAGCGCCAAGACCGAGCGTGAGTCGCCAGACCCACTCCAAATGCCTTTCGCTGAAGATTTCGAGTAGGATAGCAGCTACCAAGCTGGCTGCCACGAAGCCAAAGTCGATGGCAGTGTTGGTGGCAAGGATGAAGAGAGACTGGGTGTGCTTTGGGTTGACTCCGGGTGCCTCGGTATTCTCGCTAGCAGCCACGGAGCCGCAAGGGTACTCTGCACCCAATGCGATACCTTGAAGGAATCGGTAAGCTTGCAGAGCTGCAAAAAGACCAGGGATGCTTCCACCAGCTCCCCAAGCCCCGGCGATGATGATGGACCAAAGCGTGAGCCAGATGCAGCAGAATAGCATTCCAGGCTTGCGTCCAATCCGATCCGTAAGCACACCAAAGATCAGCATGCCTGCGACTGTTCCTGCGAAGGCCAGACTGCTGAACAAGGAAAGGTCGTGCGATAGATTGGGATTACGGTCCTCGTAGAGCACACCAAGTATGGTCTTCACTGGACCACTAGCGGCGTTGATGTAGCCATCGGAGAAGAGCGCAGTGCCACACGCGAAGATCACTAAAATGAGAGCGTCGCAGGCGGAGCGTAATAGTAATTTTGTCAGAGCAAGTCACAGGTCGCCTAGGGCCGAGCATCCAGCTTCGAGACTGAGGGTGGCACTCTAGCATGGAGGTGCAGTCACGCTCAGAGCACCTTGACACTTACGAGCGACAGGACCCAGCTCCTTTCCAATCTTGATGGTGCTCTTCTTGCCTGAGCCTACCTCGTTGACCTCGACCGAAGGCTGTGCCTTCTTATCATCGTACGTGGCGGCATCATGGAGGACTTCGCCCTGTTGTGCAGACATGGCGCCCAAGATTCTGTATGATTGCGAGTTGAAGTCGTTGTGAGCGATGCTTGTGGTGGTGGGTGTGAGGAGATGTAGTAAAGAGCGTGCGATGCTTCGGGGCGAAAATTTACTGAAGCAAGTATGCTACTATCAGCGCTCGCTGTCGAAAGGTTCGAGGACGGAGAGAAGGAAAGGCAAGCTTTGCGCCAGACCATGCGGTCACACACGTTCCTGACCACCTGCAATGAATCTCTGTGCCCCTGGCGTTCCTCGCAGCTCTGACTGTGGACTTGCCCGCGAACACGGAGAGCTCTAAATCGGCGCAAGCTGCCGGTAAGACGCTAGTCGAAAGAGGTTGGGCAAGTGGATCAGCGCTTATCGTGATGCAGAAGAGAGAGACGCACGAGCGCTGCTTGCGACACTCACACTACGTTCGCGAACAAGCGTGCCGCTCGGCAGCGAAGCAACTCCAGCAGAAGCTTGCCGTGAGCGCACGTTCGCGCTCTCGACGGACCAGCAGACGGGAGGGGGGTCAAGCCGTCACAACATGTGGGAGGAGTGCAACGCAAGCTGCGAAGCATGCATGCATGCAGTCGGTGATTTTTAGCGTGATATCCTTGCACTCGTGAGTCGTGACTGCTTGCTATGTACACTCGACCAGACTTGCTGCTTTGGCTCTCGCGTGACTCGGCGCTACAGCGAAGTTTCCGCTTTGACGTGAGGAAGATGTTGGCTCGAGGAGCCTGCACGGGTCCTTCGAGACGCCACTCAGATTGACCCACAGCCGTGAGCACCTGCACCAAATCTGAATCTGCTGGATGCGACTGCTCGAGGTTGTTGCGGATGGAGCATATGCTGACCGGCGGAGCGAGCCTGTGCATGCCACTCGCTCACTCCTGCACTGCATGCAGCGTGGCGGCGGTCCGTTGGATTGCCGACTCTCCCGCTGGTACGAGGTCAGGTGGGAGCACGTCCGGTGGCGCATTACCCTGAGAGTCGAGCATCGCAGCAGTGTCAAGTGTAGCCCTTCTCTACCTTCGCGTAAGCAGAGTCCTGAAGTAGCGACCTGCATGGGCGCTTGGAGCTTGCGTGGCACGCCCAGCATGCAGTCACGAGTCGCAGTCGCGATGGTCTAAGCGCGACCTGCATGTAAGCCTGGCGCTGCGCCGATGCTGGGGCTCAACTCCGCAAGGTGGGCCACGTGGGCTGATTGGCTGCTCACTCTCCGCAAGCTCCGAAGGCTACCGTTCTATGGCCGCTTGATGCTTTGCTACGTATAGAAAGCGACTATTCAGGATTCTCGGCCACTTTTCACTGGCTAGCAGACGTTGCTCCATGAGCTGTCAAGTCGCTTTGCTGCCTTTTGACTTGCTATAGGCTCTCGTTGTGGGTTTGTCCACGACGTACATAGCGGGCGCCCACCATGGTGGGCTGCTGCGCGAATGCGCGCTTCGGTAAGCGTGTGCGTGGGATGCTCTCGTGAGCGGGCGCACACCAATCGCGAGTAGTCGCTCGTGAGCCAGAATGAGGGATGTCGAAGGGGTCGATGTGGCCCTCGAGCAAGCGTGTACCTCTGAGCAGTCAAACACAGAGCAGCTGATGAGGAAGGGCGCATTCGTCGTGACAGCCAAAGAGGCTTGAAGTGAAGGTTCAAGAGGTGGGTGGGAATCAAGCCGTGCATCAGGCTGTCCCATAGCTCACTTGTTTGAGATGGGATGAGCCAATCAACGTGTGAACCTCGATGCCAGGCACGCAACGCTTGTATGACAGTCGAGCTTGATGTGCGTTGAGCCAGAGCAGAGCGTGAGGCTCGTTGGGCCAAGATCTGGATCACTCTCCGGCTACGCTTCGAATAACAGGCACACAAAAGCAACAGTCAAGTGATTTACGATTGCTTCTTCTCCCCGCCTCTGATGGCCATGCCGCGGCTTTACTCGTGACTCTAGCTCCTACTCCGGCCGCGCGTTGATGATCCGCACTCATGACTGCTGCGTAGCCTAATCAAAGCTGTGCGCATTCGTGATGGAGTGCAAGCAGCTTGCCTCGGGTTGTCTCGTGGGCTATCGCTATCAGCTTGCAGCCACAGATCACGGATGGCGAGCGCGAGGTACGATGTGCTGGTACCTTGTACAGCCGCCAGCAGTCCCCATGCAGCACAATCAGTCACGATCGTCGTGAGTAGAAAGTTAGAGGAGAGGGTCAGCAGACACGCACGAGTCACGCTTTCCACCTGCCGCGCAAGAAACGCTGCTGGAAGCTTGAGGGGCGGATGCATGCAAGTGGAGGCATGCATCCGCGCATCATGGGCACTCACGAGTCACGACTGTGCTGCACGGCCGGGTGTCGTGCGCCACCCTTCTTCCTCCGCGATGCGCGCGCCATCTCTGCATGCCATCATCGCTTTTGACAAGTCAGATCTGAACATCATAACTCCCTTTGCGCTCTTCCTCATCCTGCTCCCACCTCCAACCTCGACACCCAACTTGAAAGCTTCGTACGTGTCTCCATCCACGCATCCTCTTACAGCGCACGATGTCTTCCACCGCAGGCAAGCCCATACATTGCAAAGCCGCTGTGGCTTGGGCAGCTGCCAAACCGCTCAGCATCGAAGATGTCGAAGTGGCACCTCCCAAAAAGGGAGAGGTGCGCGTTAAGGTGACCTACACTGGTCTCTGTCACACCGTGAGCGTGTTGAAGTTCTGAGCGTCAGTCGAGAGAGCTGGACTGACCAGCTCGAGACGGCTGCTTCGACCGCACAGGACGCGTACTCACTTTCTGGCAGCGACCCAGAGGGTGCTTTCCCAGTAATTCTCGGGCACGAGGGTGCTGGGTTTGTCGAGAGCGTCGGTGAAGGCGTGACGGAGTTCAAGGAAGGAGATTCGGTAAGCGTGCTGGCTGCTTCGCTTGCTGACGCGTTTGCTCGGTCTGACAAACAAGATGCTGTGCCGGTTTGTCATCAGGTCATCCTCCTTTACACAGCCGAGTGCAAGCAGTGCAAGTTCTGCAAGAGCGGCAAGACGAACTTGTGCCAAGCTGTCAGAGCCACGCAAGGTCAAGGAGTGATGCCGGACAAGACGGTGCGCTTCAAGGTCAAGGGCCAAGAAATCAAGCACTTTATGGGCACAAGCAGCTTCAGTCAATACACGGTAGTGTCGGAGCATTCTTTGGTGTCCGTCGACAAGAAGGCGAACCAGCAAAAGACGTGCCTGCTTGGTTGCGGCGTGACCACCGGATTTGGTGCTGTGACCAACACTGCCAAGGTGGAAGAGGGAGCCACCGTGGCCGTCTTTGGTATCGGATGCGTGGGCTTGGCTGTCATTGAGGGTGCCAAGGCCCGGAAAGCGTCCAAGATCATCGCTGTGGATATCAACGACGGCAAAGAGTCTTGGGCGAAAAAGTTTGGAGCGACCGACTTTGTCAACTCCAACAAATTGGGAGATCAGAGTGTAGTAGAGAAGCTGGTGGAGCTGACAGACGGCGGATTGGACTACACCTTTGACTGCACTGGCAACGTCAAGGTCATGCGCGCTGCGCTCGAAGCTTGCCACAAGGGTTGGGGCGTCAGTACCGTCATTGGTGTGGCAGCAGTGAGTACGCCGGTCTCAATGGCGAGGTCGAGAGCACTCGAGCTACATTTGTTGATCCGCGCTTTGGACTGCAACTCCTTCAGGCGGGCCAAGAGATCTCTACGAGGCCCTTCCAGCTTGTCACTGGTCGCAAGTGGCAAGGGTCGGCATTTGGTGGCGTCAAGGGCAAGACTGAGCTTCCAGCAATGGTCGACGCAGTGAGTGATGGCAAAGCCGCCGATTGTTCCCCCTCTGGCACGTGGCCTCACCTTGGCTCCATCGAGCATCCGCAGTACACTGATGGCAAGTCGCCCATCAAGCTGGACGACTATGTCACTCACGAGACTACTCTGTCCGAGCTACAAAAGGGCTTTGACTACATGAAGGCCGGAGACTGCATTCGATGTGAGTTGATAGAGGCTTGCCCAAACTGTTGCGGAGCTGCTCGTGGTTTTGCGCCCCTTAACGTTTCCCTCTGCTTGCGCCACAGGCGTCGCCGACATGTCCAAGTGAGCGTGCAGCAAAGGTATGAGCTGACACGCCCTGCTGCGGGCCCCACGCTCCATTGTCCCGTAAGGCGACGGGAGCGCGACTTGCGATCACAATGCGTGGCGCACAACGCACACACGAGAAGCGGCAAGTCGAATGCAATGCGATGGTATGATACAAATGTATGCTGCATAGGAGGGGTGGCAGGAGCGGAAATGTTGAAAGCAGTAGAGCAAAGTTCGAAATGATGGTCAGGTGAAACCTCGTCATCTCTTTCCAGGTCCGTTCCTCAACCTATCCATCAGCTCCTGAAACTCCCTCTCCTTCGTCTGAGCGTCCTCTAATCTCTTGTCCTCTTCCATCGCTTGCTTCTCTAGTCTGTCTGCCCAGACCTTGTCTCTGGGAACGCGATGTACGGTGTTGTTCCTGGCGCCTTCGGATGACTCTGCTGAGGAGGATGATGCATGGGCTCGGGCATCGCTCGGTTTCCCTGAAGACGAAAACGGGGATGGCTCGTCGTGTGGCTCGCCTGGATCCTCTGCGTGTGACGCGCATGCGTGGGAAAGAGGGGAGCAACAAAGCGCATGTGAGAACAGCCTTGCTGCTTCCACAAGGCTAGCATTGCGAGAGTATGTGAAAGCATCATCGAAATTCGCGTCGCGCGATCGTCCCAAGATTCTTGTTGTGCCCAAGATTTTCGTAGTCTTTACCTTTCTTTCACTTGTGACTTCTAGTGACACGCAGCACCCACTCACCAAATTTGCCCATCATCCCCGGCCCATTGTGTCTGCCCACATGCGGGTCTCTCCAAGGTGGAACTTCTCTACCCTGCAGTCTATGGGGCAAATGATCCGCTTCATGAAGCACTCTGTGAACAAAGGACTGGAATGCTGGTGAAGCGGCCAGCTATCATCACGACGAGGTGGGATAGAGTGTCAGAATCGCTGCTCGGACAGCTACGAGGCGCTCAGAGCATGCACAGACTCACCCGACGTGTGATTTGCTCGGCTGCGAGACCCGTCAGCAGACGGACGAGCGCAGGCGGAATAGGCGCCATGGTGGTGATGCGATCCTGACAGAATTCCTCCAGCGTCTTTCGGCGAGAAGGTGGAATTCTGTCTGAATCTGTTGGCGATTGAATAACAGCAACGCAGAAATCCAGTGTCTAGAGCTGCGAGAACAGTGGGGTGGCGAATGAGACCTGCGCCGGTAGCGGTGATCCTCCAACAGGAGTAGTTGCGGTGGAGGATTTTGGAGCTGACGAGTGTGCTTATGCACGGGCGACGATCGTTCTCCTTGGGCTCAGACACTAATGCGTGTGTGTGTGCGAATACGTGAATGCTGGATGAGCGTCAAGATGACAGAGGCATAGTGTAAATCACGAATGAACATGGCAAAGGAAGGCGTGGACGTCGGCATGCGCACGCATAATATGCAGCACGCCCACCGCGCTGAGTGGAGAGCAGCGTGGACGGAAACCTCGGCCGACCTAATCCGCGGATGGAATGGCGCGCCTCTCGACTGCTGCTTGCTACACACAATCTCGAGGAGAAGAGTTTCAGTAGTGGGTGGGGTGGGGGTTGGTGAGGGTGAGTATCGAACGATCGAGTCTGAGGTTGAGCATGCCACGTGAAAGTCCATGAGCCATCGCGCCTTTCTCAATGGACAGCCACGAGTATTCGTGCCGGCTGTCGACTGGTTAGCTGTTCAACGGTCATAAGTCTTTTTTTTAACCGCAGTACTGAACGATTGTCGATTGCAGACTCGGCCTCGTGCAGCGGCGTTAGGAAAGATGTCTCAAGACTCACGACTCTAGACTCTCGACTACTGCATTTTGATTTGGACATGTGTAGCGCCGACATCTACTGCTGTGGTCAGCAACACCGCAACACGCACGTAGCTTGCCGGTCCGGCGGTCAGTGCAGAGCTCTACGAAGCCGAGACTTGCACGTTACCATGTGATCATCATGCTGGCGGTGCTGACTTCTCTTACACGTACAGCATCATCACCGCGAGATCTCAATCACCAGCAGTCGTGAGTCGTGAGTCATAAATCGTGAATCGTGAATCACGAATGTGATTCTGCCACGCGCTGCGCGCGCGTGTCGCGTCGCTTTGCTGCTACAGCGTTGAACGCGCGGTATCCGCCTGCTGCACATACAGTACGCACGCGTACGCACACGCTGATGTACTCACGACTGCTGCCGTGTGTATAAGCCATAATAAGCCTTTGCTCTTTCCCCCCCTTTTTTTTCGGCGGCCAGCGCGGCAGCAATTCGTGCGCGACGTGAGCACCACAGCAGCACATGAGCGGCGCGGCGCGTAGGTGCTGCAGGGTTGCTGCTGCTGTGGAGATATTCAATTGCTTGCATGGATCGCGTGGAAGTGATGTCGGGCAGATAAAGTGCCAGTCCTTGAGACGCTGCCAGTCTGCGTCGATGCGGCGCGTCTATATAATAAGACCACCGGGGTTGCGCACCGACGCGTCCCTCTCCCCCGACCGCTTCCTCCACAAACCTGCGCCTGTCCGCCTGCGTGCCGCCTGCCTGCCCCTCTGCCCTGCGCCCTTTCCCCTCGATATACCGGTCACCGCGACTGAGCAGCAGTACAGCCCCCCACCAAAAACTTGAGACTAGCGCGCGCGCGCCACTGACGCGGCACGCCTCGCCATATATAACTACGCGTACATAGTCTCGGCCGAGAAGTCGAACACAGTCGCGATCTTCTCGACTTGCTTCATCGCAACGGGGCTCCACCTAGGGCTCTACCACTCGATCTCTTTCTCCTTCGGCCCGCCTTCGCCCCAGTCCTAGCTACGAATCTTCACGAGATAAGACGACATTGTACATACTTCTCTCATCGACCCTCTCTTGGTCGGCTCTACGGGCAGCCAGCCTAAGGCATCTCACCTCACCCTTCCAAAGCCTGGTGGCCTGTTCAACCCACTGCACTCGCTGGCGCACAGCTTGTGCTTCAAAGTCGACTGTCGTCTGGACGACGGCCTTTCAGAGTCTTTATCGCTCCTCGGGTACTCGATGAGCATCGCGACTGTCTAGAACACGACCCTTGCACCTGGCTTGACCCGTTCCGTCGCGTCAGCGTGCCCAGGGGATCCCGAGGGCCAGGACAGGCAAACCGTGCAATTGGTGCCAAGTCGGCCTTCAAGTATCGAAGCAGTGCGAGTAGGTCTGACTTCAGCTTCCGATCGACATGGCGTCCGGAGCTGGCACTCCGCCGTCCGCGGCGGCATACAGCCCGACTATGATGGGAAACGGTAACGGAAATGGCAATTCGAATGCAGCGTCCAACAAGAGGATCAAGACAGAGTCTGGCTTCGTCCCCTCTCACATGGGTGGACTTCCGCAGCAGCACTTCGGCTCTCAACCTGGTCACTTCGGTTATCATCATTCTGATCACTCCCGTCCCCTTCACACGAGCCTGCCAGGATCATCCATGGGCTTCCAGCCGCAACCCGACTATCACGCGTCTCTACCTAATGGGAGTAGTCACAACGCAAATGGCGGCTTCAACCACATGGGCAGTGTAGACGCCAACTTTTACGGTGGATCCAGCATGTCGAGCGGCAGCATGGCAGCAAGCAGCATGGACGCGAGTGCCTTCCTCTCTCAACCAGTCTCCTTCGGCGCTTTCACAGGCGGAAGTAACAGCAATACTGGCAGCGCCTCTAGCGGAGGCGACTGGGCTGACTTGGGCTTCCTTCCCGGACTGAATGGCCCCTCTTCGCAGGAAGCAAACGCCGGACGAAGTGCAGTGGGCGGAGCCCCCTTGTCCTCAAATTGGCCCGAAGCCGCCTCTTCACCACCCAACCTTGGCAGCGCTCCCAACGAGATATGGGGAGGCCCGAGTCCCTCGCCTGGTCCCTCAGCTCCTACGCCTTCGGGCTCGTCTTTGCTTCCTCACGTGCCGATGGGTCCACCACTCGCACCATCTCAACAGCAGCAAGTCCAACTCCAACAGCATCAGCAGCATCAGCACCCGTACCTGCAGCAGCAACAGCAGCAGTCGCAAGGGTCCCAATCCGAAACTCAAGCTGACAACGGCATCATGCCTCCGCATGGGCCTCCTCGTGATCTGCACGTCGAACCCATCCCTGGTGCGCCCCCGGGCAAGCAACGAAAGAAAGCCCAGCCAAAGCCTAGAAAGAAGAAAAACAAGGCGGAAAATGCTGCGTCTGGTGAGGCAGACACTGATAACGGGGAGGCTGCTGATACGTCTCTGAATTCTCAAGGTGAGCTCTTTCGAACGGCACCTTTGAGAATACTTCCGGTTGAGCACTCCTTGGCGTCGACCGAGCGACTTAAACACACTGGTGATGCATCCTGCGTTGGGCTGACCATGCAACGCTGTCTACCCTGTGCTTGCTGCAAACAGCCGCGACTCAGGGTCCAAAAGCTCCGAAAAAGAAGCGAAAACCGAAACAACAACAGCAACAGGAACAGGAACAACAGCAGCAGCAGCAGCAAGGAGGAGGAGACGCAATGTGCGTAGTTGTTACTGCTCTTCGTACAAGTCCATCTCTTACTTTGCACTCCTCTCCTTACCGTCCAATGTAGTGTCCCTGCTCCAGCTGAAAGCACTGCAACGGAGGCGATTGAAGCGCCGCAGTCATCTGGGGCGCTGCCCAAAACGCCTTTGGATGGGCAAATTCCGCAGCCCCCAGATGCACAACCTGGTCAGGTCGCTGCTACAATTCCGCCAGCACCATCACACAGACTGCCACTCAGCCGTGGTCAGGCAGTCACCTCAGCACCCACGCAAACTCAGACAGCTCAAGGCGTTGACGCGCTACAAGATGTCATTGGCTCCTCGGGCGTGGATCTTGGGGTGCGTAATGGTCATGCTGTCGCCTCCTTCGATTTGCTGTACTTATATGCTTCAAAACGATTCACTCCCCTCCTCAGGCCGAAGAGCACGCAATGGGATTGCAAGGCGCTCAGGCTTCCGGAGAGGTCCGAGCAGCGGTGTATGCCAATTCGAGTAGTTTCTTAGACCCATTCACTCTATCTGCTCGCGTCTTGCAGATTGGTGAGCAGACTTCTCGGATCATTCGGCGGTTCCGTCCTCCAGACAGCTAACCCTTACGCCTGGCAAAACTTTGCGCAGCTAAAAAGAACGACCTCCAAGTTGAGGGCGCTGTGCTACAGTACCTCTCGCTCGCCACGAAATCTAGAGTCCGAAGTCTTGTCGAGTCCATGATCACCGCTTCTCGTCACCGCACATGGTCCTCGCATGAGCGAGAGCCATCCTTCTGGGAACGCAAGAAGTCCCTGGAAGATGGAGCGACGCCAATGTATCATCAACGTATCCGCACCGATCCTCAAAAACAACTTCGAGCTCTGGAAAGGGTCGAACGCACCAATGAGCAAGCCGCGAGGAGAATCAGATTTGAACGTGATGAGAAGGAAGCTGCTGGGACCTTGGACGACGATGTCGAGATGGCCGATGGCGGCATCTCACGAGAGGCAACCAAGAAGCGTCCTCTCGGAGCTGCAGCTCAAGCGAAGAACATGTCTGAAGATGTCAGGCGTCGGCTAGCCAACAATACTGCCGCAAGGGCTTTGGGACCGGCTGCCAACACGCCCAAGTGGATGCAAATGTCTGCTGCAGTGAACGCGTCGGCCGCGGCCAGTCCGCTTGCGAACCGGACCGGAAGTGTCAGCGCGGAAGACAAAGGCTCCAGCGCAGATGTCTCTGGCACGTCGACGCCGGGAGGATTGGGGGCGCTGCCGCGTCCACGCTTCGCTCCACAACCCAGCGGAATACTCTCTCAAGGCTCTGTGAAGGGCTCTGGACTGAGTGGAGGGCTCAAGAAAGAGTGGAGCGGTCTTGCGCCCCATGCGCACACGGGCCGCGTCAGTGTGACGGGCGCTGTAGACGGAAACATCAAATCCTCAGGCTGGGCTGATCTAGCTGAGCGTCAGAGAGCCAAGGAGGCGGAAGAGAAGGCTAGGGCTCGGCAAGTCACCATGCAGGATGCTCTGCACGCCCTAGAGATGGAAGCGCCTGCTTCGTTGGGAAGAGGAAGCGGCAGGCGAGCATTGTATAGAGCGAGAGCTGTTGGTTACGCAACAGAACACTCAAGAACCGACACTTGAGCGCCGTAGAGCAGTTATCGCTTTATCTGAGCGGCCGCTCCTCCCGGCGAACGTTATGCGCATCGCCTTCTTCCCACGACAACCTCATCAGTGATACCCGTGACACTAGCACACCACCTGCATTCGGACACTAGCTCCTGGTCATGGTCGACTTATTCTCCATAGCTCAATACAGATGACAGGAGCCTCTCGCCATCCAAAGCTGCCTCAACCCCTTGTACCGCGTCGTCGCTGTAGAGTACCCTTCATCAAACCGCAGATGTTACATCGCACAATGCCATTAATCAGCCAGCTCCCGGCGCACGTGGAGCGGATTGTCCTTGGAGTCGTGTTGCCACGGAGGTAGGCCGAAATAGCTCTGCGCTCCGCTAGCACACACGAGCCTTGGTGTGGATGTAAGTGGCAATTTCCATGGAGACCTACGTGCAGTTGCGCATAAGGGCTCAGGTGCCGGTCAAGGGGCCGTAGTTGGACCCATAGAAGGAGGAGGTGTTGCTGAAGGAGGGCGCATGCGAAGCTGGCAGCCCTTCCGGCTGACCCTCGTTGAGGAAGCGCAGGAAATAATCCGCCCACGCTATGTCGTCTGCCTCTCCTCGACCACCAAACGCTCCGCTCTCGATCGGACTCCAAGAATTCGGGAATTGTCCACCTTGCCAATTGGCGGTGAACTCGCCCTCTGCCCAAGGTGGCCAATCTTGCTGCACGCCGGTGCCCGTTTGCGCGCTTTCTGGTAGCAAGCCATGGTTCGTCGCTTGACCAAAGACTTCTGGTGCATGAGGTGGACGGTTTAAAGCCGGATTTGAGTTGGTTAATCGCGCAATTGTTGCACGAGAGCTGGACGAGCTTGACGCGGTCGCCTTCCACTGATTCCACGCTGCCATAGATATCGTACCAGGACTACCTCGACGCTGTATCAGAGCCGGGTGGCCCGATTTGTCCGCGTCCCCCAAAGATCCAGAATCGAATTTGGAACCTTGGCGCTTGATCATGTACTTTTTGATGCTGTCCTGGCGTTCGTTGGCAAGATGGGGCAGCAGACGCTCCGCAATGCCGCACAAGATCCGATATGCGCGTCGAAGAAGCCCGGAGGTGCATCGCCAATCGAGCGAGTCGAAGATCCACAAGCAGTGCTCGATGAGTTCCGCGTCGCGAAGCAATTCCTCGCCAGGCTGTTGGTGCCACACTGTTATCATGAAGGTGGTAGAGCTGATCCAGACGGTGTGGCCTGGTGCAGAAATAACAGAAGCAGCGCCAAGTCAGCAGACCACTACGTGAAGACTACACCGTGCAAAGAAGTTTGTCTCACATGGAAAATTGCACTCTCGCGCTCCTGCGTCCTGCAGCCCCTTCCAAATCAGCACGGCTGAGTGAGCGCTCTTGCGGGCTGCATCAGTGCATTGGGGCATCAGCATTTTTCGCAGGTAGCCCGTATCATCTTTCCGCCTCAAGAATGGCTTCATGATGTACCTGTCATTCAAGTGGCAAGAAGACGAACGAGGACGGTAGGTCAGCTGCTGATCAGAAGGATGGCAGCCCATACGTCGAGAGCATACGTACATGCGAACTTCGGTCGAGGCACAATCCAGCACCGCTTGTCCTGGCGGGTAGGTCGTCTTCGGTGCGCTCTTGGCCCAGTCGTCCACACGCGCGAGTAGCGACACCATGTCGGTATACTGCAGCTTGCGCACGCTGCTTTGCAAAATTTTGACTGCGTCGATGGCAGGGTAGCTGAGCTTGATGTAGTGCAACCACATTTGCAGCGCCGAAAGATCACCTTGCGACCCCAAGCCAGGTGTCGAAATGGACGCAGTGAGATCCTCATCCGAGAGGCATCTGGGCAAGTTGACGTTGCAATCACTCAGTCGGATGCCAAGCGGCCGCCCCATATTTACTGCAAAGATGCAATCCAAGGTGACCAGGTTCCAAAACGTGCGGCGCAACAGCTCCTGCTCCAGCAGACTGAGTCCTACCAAGGTGCGTTCTTGATGAGCTCCGATATCGAATATCCCTCGGATTGCGACTCCGAGTAACGTCCAGCTCACTCCAGGACCCATGTTGGCGCTCGCAAAGAAGCAAGATAAGCTCAGCACCTGTATATTGATGAGACTAGCTGAGTGCACCTGATGGTACAGCCGGCTAGCCGCAGCAAAGTCATCCCCCGCTGTCTGAGGGCACGATCGATCCGACCAGCATCTCGGGTCATTGGAGTATCGAGCAGCAATGGCAAGGACCGTGAAGACGAGACCACGAAAGGCGACGTCCACCTCGGCTCTTCCTGCGGCAATGTCTTGTTCCATGGAAGGCCTATGAAGTATGGGTATCATTGGATGTAAAAGGCCGAAATAGACATCGAACAGACTTCGCAACACTTCTTGTCCCGGCAGGCGATACCGATTCTTCCAACTTGGCGTTGCAAAGTCCAAATCATCTCTTCCAACGCCGCAGAGGTTACGACGTCTAAGATTCATGACCCACTCCAGGCTGTTGGTCGGATAGTGCACATGGCCGCGAGAAACCTCCTCCGCACGCTGCGTGGATGTCCAGGCAGTGCTAGCGTGCAGCTTTTCAGACTCTGTAGGCTGCGCAGACTTGCTGTCCCTGGCCTTTGCGGCATTTTCGGTACCGGGAGCTGCATCACTGCCTGTTCTTGCTTGGCGAAGCGGACTCGGTGGTCGGCTGTCTAGGCCCGCTAGCATCGCGCGATTGGTGTTAGCACCGAAGAACTGCAGATCATGGTAGGCGTGATCAGCACGACGTAGACCTCGGAGAAATTTGAGCAGCTCCAGGCTGCAAATTGACGTCCAACGCCGCGATGCACCCGCACTTACTCTTGGTCGCCCTTCCTCGTGATCATGGAGCATGACGCTTCTGGTGGTCACATCCTCCCGCACGCTGGACGAGGAAGCATTCACCCCGGTGCTATCCACGGAGACGCGACGCGACTGATTCGTCATCGTCGTCATGGCGGGAGGGCCCGCTCCCAGCTGACCACGATCGTACTGCTCTGCCAGATCAGGTGCTACGGATCGAAGCGCCGAGAGCAAAGTCGACACCTTGGATTCCAAGATCTCGTATTTGCCCCTCGACCTGGTCGGTGAGACGTCGAATGTACATTCGTAGCCCATGCCTTCACAATTGTTGCAGATGTTGCGAGAGTTCGGCAGCCCTTTGCATCTGATCTTCTTGTGCCTGCACCTATCGCAGGCCACCACCACACGCCGTCGTTTCCACCCAGGCTTCCGATCTTCTACGAGCTCATCTCCGGATACTTCACTTGCACTCCCATCTCCTTTGCTGGGCCCCACCTGCCCAGCATTCTCGGTCTTAGCTTTGCTCTTGCCCTTGACCACTTTGCTCCTGCTGCTGCCGTCCGCCTTTTTTGCGGAACCTTTGCCTTTCTTTGCTGCAGTAACCTTCTCTGGTTGGTCTACGCTAGTGTGGGTCCGTACAGTTCCAGGAGAATTAGAGGCGCTCGCTTGACCTAAAGGCTCCGCCACAGATGCATTGAGGGCCTCGTCAAAGGCAGGGTGATCGGGATTGGTGAGCGGGTAGGGAGCAGGATGGGGAGTTCCTGTTGAAATTGCGTGTAAGCGCATCGCAGCTTGCTGTGCATAGGAGCCGGACCAGGCTGTAGGCGACGCTATGCTGCTACTGCTGCTTGCCACAGGAGAGTGACTTGGACCTTGCGGGGCAGTGTTTGTTCGACTATGGGGTAACACGTCTGGGGTAGCTCTGTCGGTCCTTGTTGAGGTGGAAGCGACGTTCATTCCTACTGGCATCCTCTGAAACGTGTGCGGTCTCAACGGCTGAGGTGAAAGTTGCGGCGGGTGAGAAGGAGGGCAATTGGGGGGCGCTAGGCGCTCCTCATGGCTCGCGTTAGTTGATGCCTGATGTGATGATAATGGCGCCTCTCTCATGGGTGGCTGACTTGCGAAAAAGCCAAACGCGGCGGCGGTCGTGGAAGCCGAGCGCTCCGGCGGTGACGATCCGGTCATCCTTCGACGGCGAGTCTTGAGCGCGGTCACCAGGAGCGCATGCCACGCTCCCTACGTTGCAGCGTGATTAAGCAGGGGAGACGAGAGAGTCGAGGCTTCGCGCGGTTGCGCCAAAGAAGAAGATCTTGCGCGGTGTCGTCGTGCTATGCAGCTGGTGTCGTTGTCGTGGTGAGCGACATGAAGCAGCACGCAGCATGACTGACCACTTCGGCGCATCTGGCGTCATGACCACGCCTGAACAAATTGCGGGGAACGATGTGCGATGCAGCAGGCCTGCATCCATCCATGCAGCTACAATCAGCTATAGTTAGAGCCAGCCGTAGCTGGAGAGCATCCGGCAATTTCTGGCATTGATGCTCCGAAGCCGAGTCTGCAGAATTCTCAGCATCATGCATTCATAGCGCGACAGCCAAGTCACGAGTCACACTGTCACAGCATAGGGACCGAACGGTGAGCGCGCAGACGATCGAGTTACTCCGCAGCCCCGTCAGAGCAGTGGCCGAGGTGCCGCCGCCTCACCGCCCAGCATGTACTTCCCGCCGTGGCAAGCATCACCGGCTCCAATCACAATCTCTTCCGCTTCCGTACCGTACCTATATTGGCGGACACTGGCATACATCGAGGGTCAGTCACTTGGATTGGACATCTTGAATACCAAACAGAGGGTCAAACCATCACCGCTAAGCCAATCGGACCCTCAAATCCGCGGCGTTGATTTAGATTATTGAGTTGGAGCTGAGGTATAGATCGTGGCTGCACACACCGCGGACCGGTACATAGCGCGGCTAGCGCACCTTGGCACCCGCGCGCTGATCTTCCTTTGCAGGTGCAGCGCGCCCGCAGATGAACGTGTCGATCGATGTCTCGCCGCGGCGCGCAGCTCAAAGTACCTACTAAACTTGAACGAAATCACTCGATCTGTGCTGATGCTGTAGAGCAGCTGAAGCGAGCATGCAACGCTTCGGCGCGCGCACCGACGACATCCACAACTTAAAATCGCAAATTATCTGTTGTCGTTTTGATTGCGCAATCTAAGCTCGCCCATCGCGGATCGTTTGAGCGTCCCGGCGCCGATTGTGGTCCCGCACGTCGCGCAGCACTATACCTGCTTGCTCATCACCTTGACTAAGGCTAGATGTGATCGTCCACAAAGATGTTGGTGCGTATGTCAGCGTCGACTGATGAGAGTGTAGACGTGAGTCACGATCGAGTTGTGAGTACACAGATCGAAAGGGCTGAGCAAGGAAGCGCTGCATGTCATCACCGCTCTGACTCTCGTTCATGACTCACGACTCATCAGACCGCAAACCAATCGCGAACGTGGACTTCCGTGGCTGGGATGTTTTCGTCTTTCGCCGGCGCAGCCAGGGCTTTGATCCGGGATGATCAATCAGTCCACTTTGACTCAGACTATTGAAGCCGAGATTGTTATGATCCAAATTCAATTGTGCTGTCTTCGTGCTCCTACTTTGACTTTAGATCGAGTGATGTCTCGATGGCTCACGCGGCTCTTGACTCAACATTCACGATTCAAAATTGTCACAGACTCACTCACGACTCATCACGCAACTTACTCAAAGGAAACAGCAATCGTAAATCACGAGTCTTGAACGTAATCTTGAATGAAATCCGCGGAAAGATCGTTGTGCACGTGTCGCTACGCCAAAAAGGCAGATGCGCGCGTTGCTTCGAAGATTTAGCGCTGCGCAGACCGACCGAGCGCTCGTTTTGTTCATATATCATCAGTCGTGATCGAGTCATGAGTCAGAGCCATCCAATCCGAACTCTATTTCCAAATCTTGGTTGCGATGTGCCTACGTCAACATACAACAATCACGAATATGATTTATAGAGCTATAGGCGAGAGAGTCAACCTGCATCAAGAATGAGCAATCCTTCAGGTCAACCTCAGCCTTGTATCCCATGATTCACGATTCTTGATCCATGACTTATGATGTTCAAGATTGAATACTATTCACGATTAAACATGCAAGGTTGTTATTTTTGATTGAGGGGTCACGACGTACGTTTCTCAAAATAATGAGTCCTTGTATTGAACCGAAGTCACGATTTTGAACCTTGGATCAAAAGTCCGCTGCATTGAGGCACGCGCCCCCGCATGCATCGGGAGATCGCGCGGCACAATTAACAAGGCGGGCCCGCCTTTCACGTCAAGATGCAAAATCGCCCCACATTCACATTCAATCATTCACGATTCAAATTTCACAGTTGTTGACTTATCTCCATCTCTCTGACATCGCGCACCGATTAAGTGTGACGTCCACGTGCACCGGTCAGGTTCCAGAGATTGCCACGCTGGTCAATATAGACCGCCAGATCGCATTTTGGACTCGACATCCCAACAGCCTTACCATTTCCGAAGCGCTGAAGAAGTCGGTCTTCAGCCCACCTTGCCCTGCCCACATCTTGGCAAGAGTCAAATTACGAGTAGACGGCCAGCAACCCAAAGAAGCGTGTGATCAGTCGCAGCAGTGCTTGCGGCAGGTCATACTTTCACAAAGGCATGCGTTGAAGTCAGCCGCCTCACCACCTTTCCAGTCTTCCCTTCAAGCACCTTTCACTCGCGGATCGTTCTGCAGCAAGTCTGCTAATACGAAGTGCTTCTCGCAACTTCGATACACCCACACTGCTGCGCTGGCTTACAGTAAATTTGTGCCGAGCGGAAGATCAAATAGCTGCGACAATGGCTTCTGGAAATCCGGACTCAGCACCGCTTTTGCTGTACTCGCCGCCGACGCACACCAGATCTCCTGGCCCGGATCCTACCTCGGTTGATGAAGGCAGGCGCCCTAGCGCTTCGAGCGCATCATCCTCAAATGAGCCACTGCCGGGAGGCTTGGTAAGTGCTCGCTCCACAGAGGCGCAAGAACGGGCATCAGGCCGTCACAACGCGGCTTCTCCCAGGGCTTCCGGTTCAGGATCTTCTCTCGCGACCACACAAGAGGAAACGCCTGCAAAGCCCAAATCGCTTGCGCAGCAGAGACGCATGCAGGTGAGTATGGTGGCTTGTCGAGCAGCTCGAGCTTGCTTGCTGGGTGGGAGGCAAGCGCCGAGGGTCTGACAAAGTGCCGTGCCGCTGTTGAACGCTAGGGGGTCTCGTGCGATGCTTGCAAATTCAGAAAGGTGAGAAGCCGCGATGACTCGATCGTAACTCTTCCCTCTTGCTGACACCAGTTTGGGCTGCCTGTAGGTCAAATGTGACAGGCGTGCAAAGGTGGATAAGAAGATTGCTGAGCTCCATGCGACTGGGGAGCCTCTGAGCAGCCTCCAAGACGCAGACATCAGCTGCAGTGTATGCAGCTCGCACGGCCTGAAGTGCACCTTCACCCAGGCAGAGCCCAAGAAGCGACGTGGCAGGCGTATTGTGGAGATACAAGCACATCAGAGACGCGAGAGCTATCTCCCTTCGCTTGCGGACGCCGAAGAGGAGGGTGGAGGACCAAGCATCGATGTGACCACAGCGGCTGCTGCTGCAGAGGAGGCTCGACGCAGACATCAAAGCTCATATCCTGGTGTATTTCCGCGAGCTGTCACTACGGCGTCAACTCCTCTTGGACTCTTTTCCATTCCAGGGCTCACACGGCCCTTGCTAGACACCTGTATCATGGCTTTCTTCAAATTTACCACGCCGACAGTCGCGCTATTGCATGCCGATGTTTTCGCGGCAAGATACACCAAATTCTTCGAGCTCTTCAACCCGGGCGGTCCAGCGAAGGTGCATACGAGCCAGATGGATCCCGCCCTCGCCAAGCTTCCACCTTTGACTGAGCTGCTCATCCTCGCCGTTGGCTGTGCTGGGTCGGGACTGCTACAAGCTCCCGTCACTCGCGATAATCCTAGGGCAAAGTTCAAGCTTCAGCAACGCCTGTCCCAGCGGTGCTCGGAGATCTTGCGCCACGTAAGCTGGACTCAACGCCTGCGCGAAGAAGGCGCTGATCTCGTGGAAGCTGTGAGTCAGAGATTCAGGAGACGTTCTGCCTGAATTTGCTGACCCCTCCGCATTCACTACAGGTCTACGTCTTGGTGGACCCGACCTTCCCGCTGGTCGACGATCAGTATGAAGAGGATCGTGGACCGGCTTCGAGTCTCCTCGGGGTCTCGCCAGATCCACTACGCGTACAGCCAACCTCCCACGAGGCTTTAGTGCGTCTAACATTTTCGTTGTCAATTCACAGAAGGCCGAAGGCGGAACCTGGCGCTCCTCCCGATGGACTCAGGTGGCGGACTGGAACAGGAGAATTGATAGATGACAGAGAGATGTTCCGTAAGGCTTTCCTTCGAGGCTCCGTATGGATGGCAGATGCGCTGACAGCGAGACCCATCCGGACAGGTCGGGTTCGCATTTGGTGGAACGTTTACATGGTGCGTGTCAAGAGCGGCGCAGTCGGGATGAGTGCCCCAAAAGCCGAAAGGATTCTAATGCCAATCCTTGTGACATTAGCAAGACGCGTTTCGATCGTTCGGAGCCCGACGCACGCCCTTGATAGACGCGGATGCATACGATCAGGACTTGCCTCGCTGGGCTCCGCGCAGAGACGGAGACTTCAGTACCTCATTCGGAATGGATCCTCGCGAACAGCCACAGAGAAACGTCTTCTCACCCCAAGCTCCAGCTCCAGTACCTGGTGCCGGGTCGGCAGGGGATCCGAATCCAGCCTCCGCAGGGCCTCAACCACCGAGATTCTCCCGCTTCGACGCCCTTTGGCTGGAATCCGTTCTCCGACTTTGCTTCATCACCAGAACCGTTGGCTCCCGTAGCGTGTCTCCGCGAGCTCAAGGTCGTGGTGTGCTGTCGAGTGACATGGAGCACGCAATTGTCTCTCTCAGTGCCTGGCAAGCCCAACTGCCTACGGAACTGCACTGGGAAACGCAGGCTGGCGAAGGCTGGGAGGAGGGTCAACCACCCCCTAGCTTAAGCAGCATCGAATTTCGTAATAGCCTCAAAGGTGTGCCCGAGGACCACGAGCTAGCATGTAGCCAAGAGTGTTTGCTCATCCGCATGCTTCCCATCTTTGCGCAGCGGCTTTTCTGGAAGTGCTGGCGCACGGTCAGGTGCTTGGATGCTGGGCTGCCGTCAAAGATTACGGGCTTCGAACGGAAGCAGATGTCCTAGACGCAGCAGGCATGCTCGCTGCTCGCTTGAATATCGGTGATAATGTATCGCCTCTGCCGTGCGAAGACACAGCGAGCGCGGATCCCCAAGTGCGCAGGTCTGCAAGCGTGAGAGTCGGCATTGCTCAACCGAACGTGGCTGCGACCGTACCGATGTCAAGCCTGGTCGAACAGGGACCTGCACCACCCGAAGTGGAGGGTCGCGTTCGCTCCAGACTGGAGGGGCTGGCTACCGCCAGTTTTCTCAGAATGAGCAAAGTCGCAAGTCAGGCAGCCGCTGTAGGAATTCTTCGTGCCAGTCGTACAGTGCTTCGAGATGGTGAGTGAGCGCTTGAGCAAGCCGGACGCGGGCGCTTCGGTCAGACTGACCGCCGGGTTTGGTCACCGTCCTCCACAGTCACTTGTTCGTACGCCATGTGGGGTTGTGGGCTGGCGGCCGACATCATGAAAGGAACAGAAGCACCAAGGATAGGCCCCGCCGTCCTGTTGGAGGAGGTGATACTTGCGACGGCAAAGTTGGTCGATGCTGTGTCCCGCGTGGATAGCGTTCAAGATACACCAGCCATGACGAGAGGCCTCGAGAACATGCTCAGCAAGTTCGCTGGTGGTCTGGACGCATTGAGACGCGTTCGAGGTGAGCCTATCAACGCTGCCTCTGTGCAAGGCCAAACCTCAGAGAATGGCAATACTGTGCCTGGCGCGGGCACGCACTCGCCTGTCCATCACCACCCCAACACTTCTCCTGCAGCCATCAACATGACTGCCGGCATAACGCCCACGCCGAATTGGTTCGCCCCACACCCTTATGTTACCACTCACGATGCGTATCAGCAGGCAAAGTCAATGCGCACGGACGAAATTGCGACGCTTTCACGGCACGCTGATGCAGCACTGTCCGGCGACAATGTCGATTCTGCGATGGATAGTGCGGACAGCAACTGGCTCGAGCAATTTGTCGCTGGCTGGGGAGGTCCAACCTCCCACGATGGCCCCTCCAACGAACCTCATCACGCAGGACCCGGCCTCGGGTTTAGCATGCCGCCACCAGGCGCTGCCCCGCACCTTCACGGAGATCACTCTGCCACGGAATCGACGGCTCAATTCTGGCCGACAGGTCCAGCGACGGATCACCAAGGCTATCATCATTTCGTAAGCAACCCGACCACCGCTCAAGATTGGGCTGGACAGGTCTGGCACGGATCGACCGCGTCTTTTGATCCTTCTCCAGCTCCACTGGGCTCACTGGAGTGGCTCTGGGGTGCAGGTCCTCAACCGCCTCCACAGCGCTGAACAGCTTGTACAACGCAAGTAAGCTTCGCGCAGAAATACCAGCAAGCTGCGCACAGCAGCCTCGTTCAAAGTGTACATAATCCCACAATCTGCGATGTATCAGTACTCTGAGCCTGAGCGAAAAGCGCGCCTAGATCGCGCCCCCCCCCACCCTCCCAGTTGTTGCGAGAATGCAAATAGGTGAGTGTTCAACATGTAAGCAATCGAAACGTCTGGGGAATGACGCCATTGCAGCCTAGTGATTCGCCTGATGATGATGAAGGATGGCGAGTGAAGTGCGTAGAAATGAGAGATTCAGGCTTCACGCAACGTCGCCATTTACGCTCCTGTCAATGACATTGCGGAAGGGGATGCATCATTCCATTTACTTGAGCTGCGCAAGGATCGCATCAGCCAGTGCGCCGGCCGAGGCTGGATTTTGACCCGTCAACAAGTTGCCATCCTGCATGCATCACGGCGGACGGACAAAATCAAAGCGGAATTAGCTCATGGGCGTCTGCTGGGCTTACGTGCACGGAACATGTACGCACCACGACGACCTTCTCGCCCCAGGGCTTGTCCGCCTTTTCGAAAGTAGCACCGCGCTCGCCGAGACGAGTCTCGACGCTACGAGGTGAAGGCAACAAAAAATCGGATGAGATGGAGGGCGCGCATGCAACGCGAGCCATCGACGGCAGGACTTACAGCCATGGAATTGCGTCGGTGAGCTTGGCTTGCTCCTCCTCCTCGTTAGTGAAGCTCGTCAGGCGCTTGCCCTTGACCAAGTAGGCGCCAGATTTTAGCTTGACGTCTGCGAAAACGGCAGGGGCGTGGCAAACCTGAAGAGAAGAGAGGCGCACAAGTCTGATCAGCTAGATCAGACAGGTATCCTTGACCTGCTGAAGACTGACCGCAGAGGTTGGACGACCAGACTCGTAGAAAGCCTGGATGAGGCGCTGACTATCGGCGTCGATGGGCAAGTCGAACTGAGATGGGGAGTGTGGGATGAGCAAGTGTCATGGGTGAGAAAGGAAAGGGAGGAAGCGCCACTCACAACAGGACCATGGCCGCCAGGATAGAAGAGAGCCTTGTACTCCGATCCATCGCCAATCTCGCTCAGCTTTCTTGTGTTCTTGACCCACTGTTGAGCTTCGGTATCGTTGAGGAACTTGACGCTCTCGTCATCATTCTTGAACGCTTCCACGGATGCTTGATCGAGCGGAGCCTCTCCACCCTTGGGCGAAGCTGCCACCAGATCGTAGCCTGCTGCTTTGAGCTTCCAGTAAGGGTGCGCGATCTGAGGTTGGAGGAACGCGAGTCAAATGACGTCTTGCACAAACGCACAGCAGCATCATATTTCTAAACGTACCTCTGGAAGATAGTAACCAGTGGGGTGGTCATTGCCGATCAGCTTGGTGTGGCTTGTGAAGACCACGAGAATCTTTCCGGCAGACATGTTGGCGGAATTTGAGGTGTTCAAAGGAGGGCAATGAATGCGATATCAGGTACCTCGTTGGGATGGTGATTGTTGTGGTGATCGCAACCACACAGTCGGAGTGTGGCCGCAAAAGGGGCTGCCTTGACATCTCACCCCAAGCTCCCTAAACCCTTCAGGACGTCCAACCTTTGCTGGAACCTGTGCGGTACTCGACCATGCATGGAATTGACCAACCGGTCCAAGCGAGGAAAATGCTCCGTGCGCGTCTTTGCGCCATTGACACTGCCGAGCACGAAGATGTGGAGGCAAGTAGGACATCAACGAACGACTCGAGAAGATTCGCGACGCAAGACACCACGTGACCTTGGTCTCGGGTATCGGGGACCCATTTTTGATTCATGCAAGGCCGTGTAGGGAGATGTATGCACCCCAACTCTGAATCGTCGAGCATCTTGCGTGACAGCGCGCCGTGGGCCTCGTATCGTGAATGCATGCATGCTGGGCACGCATGGCTCGCTGGAAGAAATCAAGCAAATCGTGAATGGTGAATCGAGGTGGCAACAATGCGCGCGTGAGAGCGCACAAGGCCAAGAATCTGGCTTCCTGTCCCTCATCTGTACGCTGTAGCGCGCCTCCTGCACGACGATGACGGCGCAACCCGCCTGCTCGGCCGCGCAGACCAAGTCGAGACCTTCGACATCATTCACATCATCTCATCTCGACTCTGACTGGTGTTCGACAGCCTCGCTCAACGTCAGTCACGCGTAAAGCTTGAAGGCACAAGGAAGCGGATTGACGAGGTGCATGATGCAGAGCAGAGCTTTCACGCTAAGGTCGCTGGGGGGGTCGGTCATGAGCCGGCTGTGCACGTCTCCGCATGCGCCTCGCCACCGAATACTTGATTCTGGCGAAGCTGTGGACCAGCAGCAGCAGCAACATGCAGCCGCTTCTCCGACTTTTGAACTTCGTTCATGATTGACGATTCGAACTTCCGCGAGAGAAAGCATTTCGGACCGGCACCGCAGTGCGTGTGTGCTTCGCCCAGCAATCGCGTATGTCTGCTGGTGCTGTAGTCCACATGCGAGACGAGGTGCAACTCTTTAGCGCCCGCAGAGGAACAGCATCATCGGTGACCTAGCTGTGACTTGTTGGTGTACTTACAAACGTATCGCGCATGCGACTGCTCAAATTTTGTACCGCCTCGCGCGGAGGTGTCCTTAAATTGAGGAAGACGCTTCGTAGGTTGACCCGCCGTCGAGTATGTATGAGTAAGCGCTTGAGTTGAGGGAACCGTGAAGGTGCGTGAGTGACCATCTTCGACTGTTTGGCTCTTTTGACTGCATGCATGGCTTATTGTCGATTAAACATCTGGGCGGCGAACGTCAGAACCGCGGCTATTGACTCTCACCTCGCACAGTGATTTGCTTCATCAGATCCAGATTTCTCCATATCGCACGCTTTCAGCTATTCCGGCGACCTGTAATGGCTGACTGATCATTAGCCGCCTTCTTGGCACGAGAAACTTTAAACGTCGTGATGCATGCATGAGTTGCATGCTCCCCGCCCATGGCTTCCCCATCATCATGTGTGCTTTTCGTCTTTCTGAGCGCGCGTGCGCACATGCATGATGCACGCGCGCTTCTGATGATGGGCCGGATGTTCTGCAGTCTGCGCCTAAAATCATGGGTCGCCGCGCGGCTTTGCGGACCTGTCTTTCGGATCGAGGCTTCAGGACAGTCTGAGTCAAAGTCGGGTGGGCGGTATATGTTACATGCTGGTTGCGCGCGCCGCGGTGGTGAGGTGCTGTATGAGACAAATTCAAATTGTCGTGGCAACCCCATGCATGCATACAGTCGCCAGTCAGAGTAGACGATCCAACTGCCGACGACTGATGCGCAGGCTGCTCTGCTGCACGCACATGCTGGCCAGCTGCCCCGGCCTGAAAACGCCTTTCGTTGGCTCGCTCATCATCAGTGTGCCCGTGCCATCCGTCTCGACTCACGCTGAAATTCGCCCTCATTCTTCTCAGCAACGCGCCTGTGCGCTGGCCAGTTGTGCAACGCCCGGTATATAAAACACATCCGACTTTTCGTGTTCATCCTCAATTATACTTCATTCGAGTTGTCTGCCATCACACCACTCGCGCCCTCCCGGTTCACCTTCCACTCTGTTCTCTGTTCAGCTAGAGTCGCACCCTGCTCACAATGTCAACCGCGACAGCTTCCAATCTGACTGCCCCCACTCAGAGGCACGGCAAGGGCAGTGCCGCCAAAGGAAGCGTCGCTATCGCCGCTCAGGCCAGAAAGGACGCTAGACAGTCTCATCGTCAAGCTCTCTCGTACAAGCAAGATGAGCTGAAGCAGTTCAAGGTGCCCAACCTCACGATCAAGGACCTCTTGTCTGCCATACCGGCACACTGCTTCGAGCGCAGTGCTTGGAAGTCCAGCATGTACGTGCTCGCCGATTTCATACTTGTTGGCCTACTCGCGACTGCGGTCACCCTCGTAAAGCCTGCGGTGGCACAGCTTGATCTGGCTTCTTCTCCTCTCACTCCCTACGTTTCCGCTGAAAAGCAAGCCAGCGCTCTTACGTGGGCAGGATGGAGCGCCTACTGGGTGCTGCAGGGCATGGTGTTCACCGGTATCTGGGTCATCGCTCACGAGTGCGGTCATCAGAGCTACTCTGCCAGCAAGACGATCAACAACACTGTTGGCTGGTTCCTACACAGCGCTTTGTTGGTCCCATACCACTCTTGGCGCATCTCACACGCCCGGCACCACGCCGCCACTGGTCACTTGACTCGTGACGAGGTGTTCGTTCCCCGCACTCGTGCTCAGAAGGGTCTTCTGCCTCTGAAAGCCGCCGCTGCACAGGACGCCGAGGACGAAACCCTTGTGGCGAAGCAACTCGATGGTCTCGCTGCTACGGAGGACACGTCCAAGGATCTCTCAGCAAAGCAGAACAAGCCCGAGTCTGAAGAGACATGGGGCGAGTGGTTGGTCGAGACGCTTGAGGATGCGCCTCTGTACAACTTCATCTTTATCGTTGTTCAACAGCTGCTTGGATGGCCTCTGTATCTCTTGCAAAACGCTTCTGGCCAGCTGCACTATCCCAAGTCAGGCACCAACCATTTCAACCCCGACGCCATCATCTTTGACGCTCGTCATCGCTCTCAGATTTTGATCTCTGACTTGGGCATTGCTCTGACTCTCTCTGCACTCGGCACCTGGACATACTTCCGAGGTTTCGGGGAGGTCTTTGCATACTATGGCATCCCCTACCTTTTCACTAACCACTGGTTGGTGATGATCACTTTCTTGCAACACACCGACCCTGTGGTTCCCCACTACTCATCCGAAGCCTGGACCTTCCCTCGCGGAGCTCTCTGCACGGTGGACCGAAAGTGGCTCGGACCTGTCGGACCTTACCTCTTCCACGGAATCGCCGAGACTCATGTGCTTCACCACGTCTCCTCCAAGATTCCTCACTATCACGCCTGGGAGGCCACAGAGGCTCTCAAGGCACGTCTAGGAGAGCACTACCAGTCTTCGGACGAGAACGTCTTCATCAGCTTGTGGAAGTCCATCAGCCAGTGCAAATATGTGGAGGAGACCGATGCGGTCGCTTTCTACAGGAACGCGAACGGTGTACCTCAAGCTTGCGTTGCCAAGGAGCACGCTGACAATTCCGACTCAGGCATGGCTCTGTCCGAGTGATGCCAGCGCGACTTTGCGAATGGTTTGATCGTCGAGCGTCGATCGCTGACGGCTTAGTCAACTCTTTGGCACCACGAATTGTGGCCTCTTCAAAACTTTTATATCACGTACCATAAAGCGTCATCGTAACCATCCAAATCCACGCGCTCTTCTCTCCGTACTCTCCGTTCCGGATGTTTTTCCGCCGCAGAAACATCGTTCGGACACTGTCGATGCAACGTCGTCTCCACTCGAGATCTTAGTTACATTCTGTGCATACCATAGAGAGAACTTTACAAGGCTTTTCCCAGTCGTAGTAGACGTCCGCAATGCCACTTGGTCCATTCTCATCCTGCGCTTTTGGTGTGAAGCGTCCGTCGCATGAGGATATTCATCTTGGTCGCCCGAATGGTCATCCGCACACCCCCTTGTGCACTGCAGTATGTTCACGACTGACATCCTTCAATTGGCCTCCTGGGCACTTGCTGCAATCTCAGCTGCTATTTGTGAAGCGCGCAAAAAGTCTCAAGCGTCGGATGCATGGTGAGCATACGGTCGCAGCATGACGTCGTGCGCGCATCTGGGGAAGAGATCAGAAATCGTAGTAGACATGAATTCGTGGTTCCTGTGGGCCTTGGTCGCGCAGTTCGGCTGCTGATTGGGGCCCCCCACCTGCTCGCGAAGGCGCTCGCTCGCGGCCTTGCTTGGGTTGTTGAGTCGAGTGAGGTCGTGTTGAGTTGTGCGTGTCGATGCAACTCAAAGAGAATGATGACCTCGTTTCGTGCCTGAGCGGGGCAAAAGGGTTCTGGAGGCCAAGCTGTGCACGGTGCCAGCACGGGCGTGCTGTAGCTAGCCGCCGCTTCTGGCTACAGCGATCTCCCAGCTAGGCAGCTAAATCTTGCTCGTCATGCTTGTGAGCTGCTATAGCTGCGGTGCTGTGCGGCCCCGTGCGGCCCCGTGCGGCGATTGCATATGCACTCAACTGAGATAGAAGCGTGATACTGACTCGTGACTCTGCTGACTGTGATCGCGCCGATCCACCGGGGCTGCATCACGCGCTAGCTGTGGTGAGTTTGTTGCGTGCTGCTGCTGACTTGATGCGTCAGGCGGCAGCTACACACATCAGTCACATCAAGTCACGAGTCCTGCTGATGTTACGTACCTACCGTACATGCAGCAGTCACAGTCAAGAGTCGTAGAGCTATACGCAAGCGTGATCTGCGCAGGGGCAAGCGCGTGGTTGGAAAGCGCATACAAGCAGCTGCGAGCATCGCTTCGACATCGCAGCGCACCCGGATAACCATCACACCTCATCGAGCGCGAGCACCTGACGCACAACTCAGACTTGACTTGAATCTCGTGACCCGAACTGCAATCGCTAGACCGCAACTCAAAACTGCGATACACCTTGGAATCAGAATCCGAATACGTCAGTCTGGTGTCGTCACCATCTTGCATCAAAATCACAACGATTCTAGGCGGGCTCGCCTCGCATCGCATGCACGCACACGCGCACACCGCCCTCGGCATCTGATCCCCGATTGCATCACGCGCGCCTCAAAGTGGCTGCGATCCCGCGCTGCTGTTGATCCACTATTATCACCATTCTCTTTGGCCATCCACCTGATCGATTCGTCCACTCTTCATCTTTCTCGTCCATCCTCCTTCACGTCGGCTTTTGACTGCGTCGGCATAAGTCAGCACGAAACATCATCCGCCGGTACAACCATTGTAAAGGGCGCGACGCTACCCCAAGACCTCACCCTTTTCCGCAGCATTGGTCGATGATGCCGCGCTCACCAGGTCACAACTCGTCCACCTCCTTTAGCGGTAGCCCTAGCGCTGCTTCTGGAGAGGACGCACCACGTCCGTCGCTCTCCTCATCCGGTTCAAGCTTCCTCAGGCATTTCAGGCCCAGAACTTCAGATGGACGACGTAACGGCAGCGGCTTCTCAGGTTTTGGTCCGTTCGGCAACCACTCGACTGCCGCAGTCACCTCAACTCAACCACACTCTCCAGGTGCAGAGACTGAAGAAATGGCGGACTTGACTCGAGTCTCCTCTACAGGTCTTCGAGCCAACATGGCTTTCTTGCCCCGGTCTGCCAGCAGCAATAGCAGCACCAACAACGCCAGCTTCAATTTTCCTACTGGCGGCAACGCAAGTGGCAGAGCTACACCCGATGCGACTCCTAATCGCCGTCCTGGCATGGGACAAAGAGCTCCCTCACGCGGCAGTGCATTTGGTGAGGAAAGCCGGCTGCGTGAGGGGTCGCCCAGCATGGTTCGCTCAGGAAGCTCAGGCGGAGGCCCGTTTGGCAGAATGGTGCGCAGGATCAGCTTGGGCACGGGCCGATCAGAGGCAGCCGACCTTGCAGCAGCCAGAGCGCCTCCCGCTAGAACAAATCAGGAAGCTCCGAACGGTTCTCGCAACGTCACGCCGCTCCCCAGCGCGACTCCTGTGAGCGCAGTCAGCAGCCCCGCTCGTCCAAGCGACGAGCGCTCTGGTCCCACAGCCTCGACAAGTGCAGCTCTTGCACTCAATGAAGCCCCTAGTGCGGCCGCTTCCAGCTCTCCTGCTGATGGACAGGCTCGACAAACGCACAGGATACGGCTCGTGCCTCATCTCGAAGCCACACGCTCCCTGCATTTTGAGCCGATTGAGCGCGATCTAGTCGAGGGCAGCAACACTGTCAAGATTGGCCGTTTCACGGACCGAAATGCCAGTCAAGTGGCCAACGCAGGGACGCAAGCCGCCGCCGCAGCAGCGACTTCTGCATCCGCACCAGCAGCAGCCACGACAGGCAATGCGAGTGATGCTCTCGGTACTGGCGGCGTTGCAAGCAACGGCACGCGATTAGCTGGTGCAGCGTCAGGTGCTCCTGGTGCTAGAGGCGGAGCGATTCCAAGCTCTGCCGGTGGCGGCGGTCGCGTCGATTCTGCACGCATTGCCTTCAAGAGCAAGGTGGTTAGCCGAGGTCATGCTGAAGTCTGGTGCGAATCAGGTGGCAACGTGAGTGAAGCGAGCTTGTGCTTTGCCGCTGCTGTTCGTGATTGCCAAAGCGTTCGTGCTGACGCACAGGCTTCCATGTTTGATAGTTCTTCATCCGAGACACCAAGTCGTCCTCAGGTACTTTCCTCAATCACATCCGGCTATCAGCACCCAACGCCGAGAGCAGACCCTTTCCCATCAAGGATGGCGACGTGGTACAGCTGGGCGTGGATTACCAAGGTGGCACGGAAGAGATTTATCGCTGCGTCAAAATGCGTGTTGAGCTCAATCGCGGATGGCAGAGAGCCGCGAACGAATTCAAGTGAGTACGGTAGCCCTCACAAAAAGAATAGACGAAATAATCTGACTGCGGTCCTACGCCCTTGTCGCCTGGCAGCATGAGTGCCCTTCGTCAGCTTCGCGCATTGCAAGGGACGCCGATGGAAAGTGCAAAGGCAAAGCCGCCAGCAATTGCGACGACAGGCCCTCAGCCTCCCACCAATCGTCAGTCGATGAGTGTGACGGATTGCTGCATCTGTGAGTTGCGACTAGACACGGAGACTTCACTTGCGCGTGGTCGTCTTGCTCACCGCTGTCCACCCGACGTCGTCTCGTGCACCAGGCCTATTCTCGGTCACTGTATGCCAGTCCCTCTTCATTGCACCCTGCTCGCACGTCTTTCATTACAAATGCATCAGGCCCCTGTTGCTCCAGCATCACCCCGGATTCTCTTGCCCCTTGTGTAGGACCTTTGCGGACTTAGAAGCCGACGTGGAGCAAGACGACGCATGGCAAGAAGCGCTGATCAAGGAAGCGGAGAAATTGGCTTCTGCTGCAGACCCTGAAGTCTCTGCCAGCACGCCGATGGCCGAGATAGAGCCTTCGCCTTTGGCAGTGGCAGACAGCACCGGCTCTCCGCTCGCGCACCACTCGCATCAACCGTCCGACTCCCTGACGGTAGCAGGCTCTCACATCAGGCGCCCTGCACCTGCTGAAGCGTCTCGGACGAATGGCTGGGCAAGGCCCGGCACTGCGGTCGCGAATGATCCAGCGCCAACTCACAGTCTTGACGCAGCGGCTACCGGTGGCTTGAGTCAGTCACGCAGTGCGGCCACCCCGCCTCTCGAATCACCCGGCATTGCGGGGATGGAGGACGAGCAGGAGGAGCTCATGGATGAGGCCGCCGACTACGCGGACCTCATCGACGAAGGAGATTTGGCTGGCCTTACGACTGTAGCAGGCGTGTCCGAATCTCGCAGAGGCAGCAACCCGATAGACATGCCTGCAGGGCAGCAAAGACATTCATTTGCCCCACCCATACCCTCGCCAAGCGCCGATCTAGAAAATGCGCGAACGCCCCAAAACAATACGTTCTTGTCCACCCTGGCCGAGGCTCCAGCGCCCGCCCGTAGCGCGATCCGAGGTGCTGCATCAAGCGAAATGTCTCGACCAAACATGCCCAGTCTGAGCGCTGCGCTTCGTGCGGACGAAGTTCCCCTTGCCTCGAATGAGGCGGAACGCTTTATTCACGCATCTGGGGATCTTCGACGGCCAAGCGCAGTGTCCGTGCAGAGTGACTTCGAAGTATTTGCTACGCCTCAGGACGGAAATTCGCCTAGCGCAGCGCACGCCCAAGCTCGCGGTATCCCCTCCAATCAGGAAGACACCGCTCAGCTCTTTGGTGCGTCTACACCTTTCGCGTACGCTTCTGAGCTCGACGATGGCGATCTGACTGGACCGAGCTCTCTTGACGGACCATCCTCCCAAACGCATGGGCGGCCCAGCTCAACAAAAGGCAAGCGGCCGCTGAACCTGTCCGTAGCTGAAGAGGAGGATGAGTTGGTCGAGCTGGGCTCCGATATTCGGGGATCGCACGACCGCAGGTCTCCGTACAAATTTGTCGAGATGGACAAGAATGTTTCTAGATCCAGCTCAAACACGAGCCGCAGCGCTCTGGGGCATTCCAAGGGACACGAACGCAACAGTCTTGGCGGCTCTGCTGGGGGCTCCAGCATAGCCACCGGAAACAGCGCCTTGGATCGAAGAGACAGCGGCAGTCATGAAAGCGCAGGCTCCAACCCCAGTAATCAGGGCAAGATCAGCCGGCTGCTGAAGAGGGCTCAGAACGCGGTGCAAAGCTGATTCCAACGAGCTGGTGAATTGGCGCATCATCGAATGTTCTCGATTGTTGCGTTGTGCTTGCACGCGCAGTCAGACAAGGCATCTGCAAAATTTTAGCGCGTCGACCCAAGATCACGGACGCGCTGCCGCAAAATTCTTCGCTTCCACAACGAAGCCAATGAAAGAGCAATCATCATCCACGTCTCGTTGTCATCAGACAAGCTTGACAGAGCCGAAACTTCTTTTCTCAAGCTCGTTACTTTCCTTTTCATGTCGAGATAGAGATTACCCTTCGACAATCGCACGTTTGCACAATCCGCTTTGAGTCAACGCAGACACGAGATCTAGTAACGCAGTTCAGTTTGCTTGCGCTACCCACATTTCACGATCGTAGCTTCGCAGGGATGGCTCGCGCCTGTCCATCTTTGCCACGAACAAACCTCTCCATATATTTGACGCTCCTAGCCCGCGACCGCCGCTCGCTTTTCGAAACGAGCGGTCAGTAGCACCATGGTAGTCTGAGCGATGAAGGAGAGAGGAATATTCAGCTCCTCTTCTCTCACTCTACTCCTTCATTGGGTGAGCGGGAGAAAGGGACGGTCCGGCTAGGGATGAGGCAAGCTGCTTGTTCTCCGTGCGGTTCGACCCATTGAAGACGGGAGAAATCCTTTCAGACGAGTGGTGGTGTATTTGCTGTTAGGCGAACTCAGCCATCCGCCGCTGGAGCAGCAAAGGTGTGCGAGTCCTCGTACATTCGCAAGTGTGATCAAATGCAAGAGTTCAGAGTATGCATAGCGGGTCCAGTGTGACATTCTCCCAATCAGTCGCAATGAGATGGCTTAAAGCTTGGACTGAGGCCGCAAAGGCGACAGCTTCTTGCCCAATTCACGAAGCTCTCTTCGAAGAATCTTTCCGCTGGCGGTGGCGGGTATGGTATCCACACTACATGAAGCAGGACGCAGGGGCAGGTGCACGCTCACGATCGGTGAGCCGCGGAAGGAACATCACGCAACCTCACTCAGACTCACATCTCCACTCTGCCAAGGTGCTTGTAACTGTGATGATCAGGAACAGGTGCGATAGGAAGTAAGCAGCGGCAAGCTCGTTTTCCTCCTCACCTCGGACACTCACCGGACTTTGTGATCCGCTACATGCTTGATGACGCTCTCCTTGATAGCTTCAAGTGCCTTGAGCCTGGACTGCTCGCCTTTCTTCGCAGCGCCCTGGCAGCGCTGCGCCGCGTCCGCAGACAAGGCTATGAAGGCGCAAGGACTCTCGCCTGCAGACTCGTCTGGTAGACCAATGACGCCGCAGTCGCGCACATCGGCATGATTCAAGATCCATCCTTCCAGCTCGGCCGGCGCTACTTGGAATCCCTTGACTTTGATCAATTCCTAATGGCGTAAAAGTGGCGAGCGACGACGCACGTTTAGACGTCATTTGCCAGAGCAGGCAGGCTTTCGCAAACTCACCTTGATGCGATCAGTGATAAAGACGTTTTGCTGCTCATCGAAATACACCTCGTCCCCTGTTCGCACCCAATTACCTTCGAGGAACATTTCTTTTGTAGCTTGGGCATTATTGAAGTATCTGCGGGAAGAGGCCTCGCCAGTGATGAGGCGTGGGAAAGGTGGTATGGACGCGCGCTTCGCCGCCGCCGCTCACCCTAGGGTGTTCTGAGGGGCCCGAATCCACAGTTCCCCTCGCTCATTGATTGCACACTCTTTTCCTTCGGGCGTCACGACCTTGGCTTCTGTGTCCGAGATCAGGCGTCCTGCAGATCCCAGGACTGGCTTGGTGTCAAGCGGGTGCATGAGCTGAGTTTGGAGGAGACAGTTCGGCTAGTGAGCGCCGAACGTCGAGAGCGCAGATACGATTGGAGCTCACTGTCACGGTGCACGTTTCCGTCATACCGTACCCTTGTCCCCAGTCCAGACCAGGCAAAATGGCGTCGAGCTGCCGACTGAGATCGTCGGATAGTGGAGCTGCTCCGATCATGATAAAGTGAACGATCTGCGATCGCAAGCATGTTGTATGCAGTCAGGTCGGTGGAGTCGAATCCCACAAATAGTCGTTGAAATCTACTCGCCTTGGCTACCTGTTCGTGATACTGTCTTGCTGCAGGGTCCTTGCAGAGCAACACCACTTGGGGAGGCACCAGCCACCTATAAAGGCAGCATTGAGCAGCGATGCTTAGATTAAAATCCAGCAGAGTCGTCCTTGCACCGAGCAGACGAGCTCACCAAGTGGATATATTGTATCGAATGCAGCTCCTCAGCATCGGCTCGATGCCCTTGAATTTTGGCACGCAAACGTTCGGAATGCCATAGTAGAAAGTAAAGTGCAGCACCACCACCAAACCGTACTGTGCAAGAAGAGAGCGATTGGTGTGTGTCAGGCACCTTTCCACGTGAACGGATGCGACCTCTTGCAAGCTCACAATATGATAAAATGGGAGCACGCCCAAGCTCACGTCTTGATACGGTCTGAACCTGCCTCTGGACAGCTCGGGCTTGATCGACACGCCATTCGACACGCCCGTCTGCAGCACATTGGCGATGGGCGAAGAATGGGCAATAGCCACACCTTTTGGCAAGCCTGTGGTGCCAGAAGAGAAGCTGAGGAAAGCAAGCTTCTTTCTCGCTTGCCCTGGACTTAGCTTGGGCGCTCTAGCATTCTTGAGCGCAGTTTCGCCCTTTGCCTTCACTTCTTCGCGGCCTTTGGCGATCAGACCTTCGATCTGACATCAACGCAAGATTTGCAAATCAAGTCAGCTGGGCAGCGCAAGCATCAAAGAAGGGAGCCATGACTCCTCACAGTCCACGCTCCCTCCACTCTTCCACCATCTTCTGTGCTCATGTTGGCCACGATGGCGGGATCGCATATCAGGACGACGTGGTGCTTGGGAATGCCAGCCCTCTGGGCTGCAGCAAAGCCAGCCTGCCTATTTTCATATCCCACAAACAGCGCTTTGCATTTCGCAGCGTCGATCTGATAAGCCAGCTCGTCTGGTTGGAAAGCCGGATTAGCGGCGCTGACGACTGCGCCGATGCGATGACTTGCCCAGAGTGCGATGGGGTAGTGCACACTGTTTGGACTAAAGATGCCTACGCTGCTTCCGTCCTGGATGCCGAGATGTTGCTGCAGGCCTACAGACAGCAGATCCACCTTGTCCTTGACCTGCTCGAACGTCAAGCCTGCACCCGTATCGTCGTCAATGAGCAGCGCTGCGCTCCGACCTCTTGGATCTGGCCTGTCCTCGGGAAAATGCTCAAACATGAATCCTGTCGAAAGAGAGAGTGTGTGTGCGTGCGGTAGCACAGCCACGGTCATCAGCGCGCGCGGTGATCGGACAAGATGGTTGCGGTACGCGTGCCGCTATTCGCCGACTCACCATAGAGATCAATGTCGTCGGGATAACGACCAACGGAGGGAGCGGAGCTCTTGAAGATGGTCATTTTGCACTACGCTTTGCTCTCCCGCTTCTGGTCAGCCTCTGAGGCTAGCTGCGGAGAAGAGGTTGATGGTGCACAATCTCCATGTTCTGGTTCAATTCACGTGGACATTGCAAGTGTGAGAGCGTGGCTTCAATCTGGGTCTGAGCTCAGCCTTTCAGGATGGGAATGATGGCCGACAGCAGGATTGGTGAGCGGATGTTTGCGGTGAGGGGATGAGGATTGGGTGAGGTAAGAACATGCAATCCATTCTGCTTTGCAGCGGTGAGGTTGCAAACGCCGAGAGGAATGTCGATCACAATGGCAATCCATCCCAGCCGTGACCGATGCGATGCGCTCTGCTCTTGACTCGCATTCGAGTGACCGGAGTCTTGCATCGGCGTAGAAACATGCGCGGTGCCATGTAGTGAGTGTGACCTCTGCTGCAGCCAGCAGCCGCGCCTAGCTGCTGTGCCTGGTGGTGTGGAGTGTGTGGGGTACATATAGGGCCCACATAGAGGGAGTCGGTGCAGGCCGGTGCATGCTCCACCCTTGGCTGGTGCAGCGCAGGACAAACCGTATGCATGCAGGGTGGTGGTGCCGAAAGCCGAAACGTCACGGACGGCTTCCGCACGGCGGGATGCTGCTGCAGCAGCACATGCTGGCTGGCTGATGAAGCCGCCTGCCTGCCTATCGCTCGTCTCGATCAGCAGGGAGGGAGACATCCAACCATTCCAGAAAGGCCTAGCTTTCGCTCTGCTGGTAGTGGGGGCATCGACTCGTCCATCATGCATGGCTGGCCCACTCCATATCATTCCCTCACAGCAGGCATACAGATGGGGCCGTCAATTTTGACGGCGGTACTTTGTCTGTGGCGCTCACGAATCGAGGATCGCGAATCACAACGAATGTAGAGCGCGAGGGCATGGTGAGCAGCAGCATGATGGAGAAGCGGCCGCCAGTTGAGATCCTCACCATCCTATTTCCAAACCCATCGGAGAGCACTTTGTGGACCTTCTGGACAGATTCATAACGCCCGCCTCACGACTCTCTTGATCGACTGAATCCCGCACTGATCAGGCGTGGGTTGAGTGGATTCGTGATCGGTCATCTGGGCGGAGTGGAAAGCCGGACAGTCAAGAATGAGCTGGACTATTTCACGATTCAAATTATCTGGCGCCGAGAGCAGACTCGTGACACAAGACTTAAGCTTAAGACTTCTTTGACTCATCAGCCTCAAAACTCAAAACTACAATCAATTTTGAATTGAATCAACTGATGAATCAAATAACAATCAATAAATGTGAATCCAGAATCACGAATCAAGACGCGGTGGCATGAGGAAATGGCACGCATGCATCGAGTGATTCTGATTCGCGAAGCAAATTAAAAAGATTCGCGGGGCGAAACGCCGCTTTGCCCTTAACGCGGTTGCTCTCGATCAAACGTGCCGCGCGCGCATTTTCGCGATTCGCGGGCAGCAGAGTAACATTCACGTGATTGAAGCAATAATAAGCATGCGATCTTTGAATCAACAGAAGAGCAACGCGAACGCAACTAATATCGAATGATTTGTGAATCTTGAATCGAAAGGCGGGGGATATGTGGTGTGAGGGTGGACTTGACTCGTGACTCTTGACTGCGCATGCGAGTCGGGTGATGTCTGCTCTGCATGTCCACTTCAGCGAGATGGTCCCATCTCTCCATCGTCCTCAGCTCACATCATCTCGACGCACCTCCATGTCCTCCTCCAACTCGCTGGGTCGGCCTATTGTTGCTTCTGTCTTTACGTCCCCGGCCATCCATCACCTGCGACTCTGACTTCGCCGCGCAGTACATTATTCACGCTCCTTGCATCTCTAAGCGAGCACCAATCGCTGGCCAGATCTTCTCCCTTTCGTAGGAAGGCGTTTTGCGCCTTCGGCGACACTAAAATTGTTCCAGCAACTCCATCCATTCAATTGTGGTTGGGGTCCACTCTGCAGACTGCGCCATCCACACTCATATCCTGAGCTGCGACAATGTCTCGCACACGAGCATCTCCGACTCCTTCCAGCAAGCCCAACGGCATCAAGACCGCACCCACCAAGCCCAAAGCCAGCTCGAAATTGTCCCAGAGCACTCCATCTATCTGGCCACGTCGTCTCGCTCTGATCAGCACCGCAGTGATCCTAATCTACTACGCCGTAAGCTGGCTGGAAAGCATCAAATCCAACCATTACATCTTCGATCCGAAGGCTCTTCACGCCATCACAAGGGAGGTGACCGGCGCGGGACACAACTCCACGAAGGATGTGTTCGATGAGATCTTGAGGAGGCTGCATGCGGATGACAAGTTGGCTCCCTATCTGAATTCTAGGAGCATCGATGTGCCTTCAGAGTGGATTTTCAACAATGCAGGAGGTGAATGGCACACTGCCAGTAGCTCTCTTTCTCATTGCTCATAATTGGCCCAAACCCATCCCGTGATGCAGGAGCGATGGGAAGCATGTACATCATCCACGCATCCATCACCGAGTATCTCATCTTCTTTGGCACGCCTATCGGCACAGAGGGTCATACAGGCAGGCATACGGCCGACGACTACTTCCACATCCTGACTGGCGAGCAGCGAGCATTCTTTGCTCACGGTGTGGAGGCCGAGGTGAGTGCAGCGGTTACTAGGAATGCGGAGCCAGCATTGCCCAAAGCACGGACTGCTTTGCAGTCGGCTGCTTGAGAAGTTGGGTGAGCTGCTAGCATACCAGTAATCTCATGCAACGCTTTTCAGATCTACCGCCCAGGATCGCAGCATCATCTGAGGCGAGGGGAGGTGAAGCAGTACATGATGCCCGAGACCGGATGCTGGGCTTTGGAACTCGCGCAAGGTCAGTCTGTCCAGCGCAGCTAGCTGAGTGAATGCGCGGCGCTCCACACTGAACACCTCCTTCTCTATCCGCTTTCGCACTTCCCCTTTCTCAGGTTGGATTCCTCCCATGATGCCCTTCGGATTGGCCGACGTGCTCTTTTCCACACTAGACTTTCCGACCTTTGGCTGGACGGCCTGGGTGACCGCAAGGGAGATGCTTGGCAATCTGCTCATCGGTGAGCCTCATCCCGTCTGCATTGTTGGAAGAGGGAGCTCTCCAAATTTGCAAGCTACTGATGCGATCTTCGTTCGTGTCACATCGCAGGCAAGTTCTAAGCTCGCAGATGCCTGCTCCTCCCAACAGCAACCCATAGACCTCCGATCTGAGAGATCTCGTTTGTCGCTCACAGTCAAGGGCAATGCTTGGAGTCCTTAGAGGTCTGATGGTGGGAAAGGGGATGGGCGTAACGGAGCAGTGAGCAAGGGCGATGCGGACGAGATGCGGGCGAGGCGAGACGTGTAGCATTCGCCTGAGCAGCGATAAGCATCACATGCAGGCCAAAAATTGTTAAGAGCACATGTATCTGGTCGCAGCAAGCAGCACGGGAGGAGGACATGATAATGGAAACGCAGAAAAATTTCCCCTAGACGGAAGGCGGTCGGGACCTCCTCAAGGAGTGAGATGTAGGCGAATTTCTTGCAAGTGTGCTGAGCATCTGACTGAGCGCGACTGGCGTGCCAGGGCAAAGAGAGATGCAAGAAGCTCTCAAGCCTTCGAGACAGACTCTCCTTGCAATTTGATGAGCAAGTCGACGACACGATCAACCAGCGGCTTCGTAAAGCCGATTGCGGAGGTTTCGGCAGCCATACCTTGCGCGTGCCAGACCTGTGCAGACGGGTTAGCCGCAGCGCAATGCGAGGAAGCAAGCCTGGCTTCAGTGAAACAGTGAGCGATGGCACTGCAATGGAGCCCCCCCCCCCCCGCTCACCTTTACCAGCGGCATTCCGGTGAGCGTAATGAAAGTCAGGGTCCAGATGTTTCCCCAGACGCCTTGGACCTTGATACCGGTGAGAGAGGTGAAGAGGTCTTCCAAGAGCACGCCGATGCCCGACATGGTGAAGAACCAGGTGCTGGTGTAGTTCCTTGCTCCCCAGCCTTGCCGAGAATGAAATAGAGCCTTTTCCGGGTCGGAAAGGGCAGCTGGAGCTCGGATGGCCATACCTTCTTGAGCTACTTCGTGGATCAAGCCCGAAAGCACAAAGACGGCCAGGACTGAAGCGGCTCGTCGCGGCTTGGATGGTACTCGTAACAGCTTCAGGAGGGCGTTGGTAGGTCGATATGCAAGGTTGAGGAAAATGTACCTGAAGAAGGAGTGCCACCGCTTGCTCCACAGCTCGCTCAACGAAGTCGACTTCCACGGAGCATCCAGAGGCCTGGGAGCCCATGTCGCTTGGGTGCTGGGAAAGATGGCCACGAAGATCAAGGCCAATAGAGTGTGATAGGTTTGGAGGCTGTCACGAGGTGGTGCAGACCAGCAGAGTTCAAGTCCAATTAGCCAAAGTAAGATGTCGCCCTTCGAGAAGTCAGCACTCACATGCACCCGACTAGAACGCCTATGCAGAATGTGACTGATCGTAGGAGGGATAGGCAGACAGGCAGCGTGAAAAAGCCGCATGAGTCACATCGTGCGTCCGACGGTCACATCACTCACCCACAATCAGGTGATAGTCGCCGAGGACACCGCTGCTGCGCTCCTCTAATGTCATCAGCTCGTTCTTAGGTGTCACGGCGGGGTGCTGGATGAAGGTGGTAAGAAGGTCAAAGAGGATGAGCCCAGTGGCTGAAATGTTGAAGCTGTCCCAAAGGAACTCTTGATGAGGCTTTGTGGGCGGTTTTGGTATGCCCCAGTCCCAACAGGCACCTCGTTGCGTAATCACCAACTCGACAGCGAGCGGTAGCTGTCAACGCCCGCAGAGTGGACAGCGGAATCCAAAAGTGACGGTAAGCTGGGCTCATATCGAGCGGTTGGCGGACACGGCGGGCGCCGTGCAAGCATGATTGCATTCACTCACACGACGATTATTGCCGGTCCATTGGGGGGCCTTCTTTGGAAAGGCCCAGACTATTGCTCTGCAACTGGTGTAGACGGCAGCTACGGACGTCATAAAGTTGTACTGATTGAACTTGGAAGGATTGATCTTTCCCGCAAAGGCGCAGCGCAGAGCGGTCAGCACGATGATTGGCATCAGAATAAGTCTTAGAGATCGGCTTTCGGGGTAGCGAAGGAAGAGATGGGCGTGCAGAACGAGCAGCAGGTTGGGCAGAGTTGTTTGAAAAAGCAAAGACCACATAGAGTGCTCGTAACGATCCTCTCGCGAGGGCACGAGCCAGCCCGAGAAGGTTGCGAGGTGATCGAAGGTCACCCTCTGCCAGCTCAGCCTTGCAAGGTCTTCGGAGACCATCTTGCTTGGAGAAGATGTGACACTTGACGCGATGTGAGAAGGTAGGCTAGTGGTCGTCGCGAAGAGGTTGCCTAGGAGAGCGATGCAATCGAAGCAGAAGTCGTGTCCTCGTAAAAAAATCACGAATGTGGTGCAGCGACCTTCGCGTAATATACGGGCGACGGCAGGCCCGTCGGGACGCCCAACAGTGGTCAACGCCCCGCCCCTTTCGGCAATAGCCGTCGCACGATGGATGATGGCGAATGGGGAGTCTTGCGGGAAAACGCTTCCCGTTTCTGATACAATCTCCAAAGCTTGGTCGCCGCAGCCCAGCACTGGCTCATGCAGACGAAGCTCAAGGATGTGCGTTTATGGCATCCTCTGACGAACACGATGACCGAGTGTCGCAGAATGTCGCAATCGGGCCAAAGGTTCCGAACACGTGTGAGCACTTTTCAGGGGCGGCCAGCATCGACGTTTCGTTTGCAGCCTGTATGATCCACCAGACACAAATGGGTCAAGTGAAACACGATCGCACTCCTTGTGAACCCGTTTTCACGTGTGACCGCCTGCCAGGAAAGATGGGACCACGCCTGTTGTCCGCAGAGGTGCTTGAAGAGACGTGCGTGATCCTAAGCGACGTAAGGGTGTGTAGCGTGACTCAGGCACTGACCGCGATCGAGTCTCACGCTTGCAGTGCGAGGGCTGTCACGATGGTGGATGACGTGGTCTTTGGCAGCCACGAATGGAGCTGTGCGTCGCAGCCACTCGGGACCTATAGCGATTCGGCAAGGATGGAAGCCAGGTGAAAGGAGGGAGGTCTCTCACAGACCTTAGCCGTGCCACCAAGTGTAAGAGGTGTGGAGATGCCCGACGCCGAGGTGACTTTGCTAAAGTCAAAAGCTGTGAATCGAGGCAAACGCGTCCATGCTGATCGTGCGGAAAGGGGGCTCGGTTAGAATTGCGTTGGGACCCGCGTCAAATGGACTTTTGCTTTCGATCGCTCTAGGCCAGGCGGGTCTAGAGGAAGCATGCCGTGAGCGTCGTGATGCGGCCCTGCTGAATATTGTCCCGCTTCAGCATCCAGTCAACACCATTCGCAACATTTGCGCAGAATCCACCTCTTGCGATTTGTCGACCGAGCACGTCTGCGCAAAATGCGGAATAAGCAATAAATGCCGTACAGGGCGTCCGGTAGATGGACAAGTGCAAATGACCGGAGATTGTTTGGGCGCGCCAGCGCCAGCGCTTGTATGTAATTGTAGCACTTTGACTGTAAAAGTCGATCAGGACACCTGAGCAACCTGAACGGGTGATGATGAGGGCGCAATCCTAAAAAGCCGAGGCGACACATGCCCGCGCCAGGAAACAGTTGATTTACTCGTGACTTTCACGAGAGCCCCCGATTCAAATTCATCAGATCTTGAAGTGGAGCTGGCGGCAAGTGGACACGTGATCGGAAATCTCACACTCATCATCAAAATTCGGTTCCCTACCCGACAAAGGCCGAGCACGGACCTTGATTGCGTTTGCAAGCCACACAGCTGACACCAGCAACAGCCATGCAGCAAATGTGCCTCGATCGCTCAGATCCATTCGCGCACAAATCGAGAATCTGTGGCTGAATCGAATTTCGGTGGTCAAATGAGCCTAATCAAAGATCATTTAGTGTGCCCTCTCGGTGCTTTTGCCGAACATATATATAGCCTCCGCGCCCAAGCCGAGCATCGACAGATGTCATGATCGAAGCCTTTTTTTTATCACTTTTCCGCCCCTGCCGCCACCGCGTCGCAAGCGACCCCAGGAGAGATGAAACGGGCGACCCCTCATTGACAGGCCTTGGGTTCATCTGACACGCTGGCTTGTGCCGAAGGCCTTCTTCCGGGTCGAGTTAGCCCATGACAGCGTCTCGTAAGCATCGTGTACTTGCCCCTTGAAAAGGGGTGCACGAACTCTTGTAGCGGTGCCACGACTACATCTACCTGTGCGCTTTTGGTCAGGAGGGGATTGGGTGAAGGTGTGCCAAGGCATCGGATGTCGCTGCCTGTGGATGTCGCTAACTGATGGCCCCCCCCGCATGATCTGCTCGAGCGACCTCGTGCCATCTTCCCGCATCTTGGGCCGCATGGCGAATGCCGAGGTGGCCGAGTCAGTGTGCGTGGGTGCGATGATACAACGACCCTCGCGCAACACCTTCATCTTCGTGTACGAAACGGTCGACAGTGTAGAAGAGCGCAAACCCTTCAATGCCAGATAGCCAAGTGACCGAATGTCTGGCCCGGTACATGAGAATCCCAGTCAGTCTGCGCAACGGTGGACTGACTAGCAACGGAGGCATGTCCGTGGTGTGATGCTGCAATGACCCGGCGGTCGAAAATGGGAAGACACTAAGCGGAGCTTGAAAACGACAGTCTCGTGTGTTTTCCGCCCGATGCCGCGGGAAAAAAAAAAAAAAGTTTGCGCGTCTCGGCTTCTTGCGCGAGGCATGACACGAAGCTCTTACCTCGCATCCCAGCAGCAGCAGCCGATGATAGTCAAAATTTTCCACCGAGCTGCTGCCCGCCCTCGTGTTATGACTCGAGTCCACACAACCCCTCCTCCACCCTGCTGGTGCTCGGAAGGCTCAACCCATGGACCGACCAGCAGGACAGCAGGCCGGATGAGATTATCTCGGCAAAGTCGGCGTCGAGCTTGACGCTGGCATATCGACTCTTGCTGTAGGTGCACTGGTCGCTAGCGCTAGCAAAGGCAATGCGAATACCAGTAATGCAGCATCGCTTTGGGGGGGTCGGTCACAGAAGAGCTTTTGCATCATCAGTAGACGGAACTGCGTTTGGAACTTTTCTGACCTGCAGGTGCATTTGCACTCGAGACTGATAAGCGAATTCAAGGTCGCGTGGGTGGGTGGTCAATCAGTCTCAACCCTTTGGCTTGTGGGCAAGGCGATGTTGTGCTTTGCGAGTGCCTGACCACAAAAAGCAGCAAAGGGTGGCGAAGACTCATCTCATATAGATACAGAGCAGCGACTCTTGACTCGAGATCTTCGCACCAAAGTCCCTTCAAACGTCCCTCCTCTTCATCCTTGTACGCTTGCTGACGAGAAGTCGCCCACAATGTCGCTCCGCGACGAGATTGAATTCACGACCCTGGCCAAGAAACCGAGCAGACAAGCTGCGCACCAGTCGGGGGAGAAGCAAGCAGCAGCTAGCAGCTCGCGGTCACAGAGTCCCAGTAGCGCGGATGGCATCGAATGTGACGCAAAGAATGAGAAATTCTTGGCAGTCATGGAGACCGGTCCCACGGCGGTAGACGCGTCGGTGCAGGAGGCCAACTTGAAGTCCATGGGAATCATTGAAGATGAAGAGGATGGCCACGTCACTCGAGGTCTCAAGCAACGACACATGGCGATGATCGCGCTGGGTGGCACCATTGGAACGGGTCTCTTTGTCGGGCTGGGAACGAGCTTGGCGAGCGCCGGACCATTGTCGACCCTGCTCGCTTACAGCTTCATGGGCTTTCTCGTTTGGGGTCTGATGATTGCTTTGGGCGAGATGGCTACCCTCTTCCCGACATCTTTCATCATCCACGCTGGAAGGTTCGTCTCTCCTGGATTCGGAGCAAGCTTGGCGTGGATGTACTGGTTTTCGTGGGGCATCTGCATCCCTACCGAAATCAGCGCGACTGCATTGATCATCGGTGAGTTGGCGCGGACTGCCTGTCCATCAGTGGAATCAACATGTTGAGCTCTCGTGCTCGGATCTTTACTCCTCTTGTGGCTTCGAACCATCAGGCTTCTGGGATGTGGAACAAAAGATCAGCCCTGCTGTCTGGATTTCTATTCTTCTGGTTCTAGTCACATTTGTCAATTTTGCTGGGGTGCGGTGGTTCGGAGAAGTCGAATTCTGGATGTCGACGCTCAAGGTTGTGACGGTCGTCGGCCTGATCATTCTGATGTTGGTGCTCGACCTGGGAGGTGGGCCCACCGGCGAATTCATCGGCGGGAGGTACTGGCGCGACCCAGGTCCAATGGCGCAATTTCTTTGGACTCGAGGCGCTGATGGAGCACCTGAAGGCGGAATCTCTGGATCGTGGGGCAGATTCTTGGCATTCTGGAGTGTGCTCGTATCTGCAAGCTTTGCTTTTGCTGGCACCGAAATTGTCGGCATTTGCGTAGGAGAGGTCGAAGCGCCCCGGAAGAATGTGCCAAAAGCTATCAAGAGGGTCGCGTATCGAATTGGACTCTTCTACGTTCTCGCCGTCCTCTTCGTGGGCCTTTGCGTGCCTTACACCGACGACAGGCTTCTCACAGACTCCAGCACCGCTTCAGCCTCCCCTTACGTCATTGCCATCGAATCTGCGCGCATCAAATTTCTACCGAACCTCATCAATGCGGTGCTCGTCGTCGTCACATGGAGCGCGGCTCAAGCAGATCTTTACGCCGCTAGCAGAGCTCTCTATGCTCTCGCGCTGGAAGGCAGGGCCCCGAGAATCTTCCGCAAATGCACTAAAGCCGGCCTTCCCTTCTGGTCGCTCGTCGCCACGTCTTTATGGGGACCGCTTGCTTGTGAGTCTGGCGTCGTTGGATGCTGCTGATGTGCTTGGATGAGCTCGCTCTGACCTGGAATCTTCCTCGACTCAGACCTGGGCATTGGATCGATCGGTGCCGAGAAAGCTTTCGGTTACCTATACGACCTCAGCGCTGTTTCAATCCTTGTCTGCTGGTGGGCGATCTTGATCACCTACTGTCGTTTTCACCGTGGACTTGGCTTGCAAGGTCTTGCAAGGTCGGATCTGCGTTAGTTGCAAGTCGGCGGTATTCGGTTTTGGCGAACAGGGCTGACCTCTACCTTACTGGCCATTCTAGCGTACATCGCACCGTTGCAGCCATACCTGAGCTGGTTTGTGGTCCTGATCTTCAGCATCATTATCCTATTGGCCGGCTTTCAGGTCTTCATGAGGGGACTATGGGCGGCTGACACGTTCGTGACCACATATCTACGTGAGTACGCCTGGGTAACTAGCCGTCAGGTTCGGTGTCGCAGACAAAGGAGCTCATTCTGTCTCTTGTTCTGGAAAACGCATGCCAGCGGTCATTGTGTTTCCGATCGTCTGGGTTGGATACGACCTTTGGCAAGGTACCAGGGTGGTGTCATATCGAGAAATGGACCTGCAGTCTGGCAGAAGGGAAATCGACGAGTTAGAAGAATTTGCGGCTCTCAACTACAAACCGGACAGTGTGGTGCGTGCGATCGGGCCCCTTCGGACGCTGTGCGTATGCTACACAAGTCTTCTGACCCATCATTGCCTCCTTGTCTCCAGAGCGAACGCATTCTGAATTGGTAAGTCGAAGCTTTGGGGGTCTCCGGTGTTGCCGTGACTGATCACGATGCTCGTACACACCCAGGCTATTTTGAAGCGCATTTCGATACTGTACTGCTTGGTCTTTCGATTCTTGGATGCGGTATATTGCTACATGTATTATGATCGCAATGACATGGGAGGACTTTCGTGTATGAGCTCGGAGTCATTTGTGGCTAGTTGCGACGTGAGATTCGCACCGATGGGAACACGGAAACGTGGCAGTGGTCGTGAAACCGGCTTGTCATGGATAGGGAAGAGAGATACAAGTCCACGTGGTCGCTCAAGCCCTGCGGATTCGGAACGTTGGGAAGGCTCAAGAGAACATGAGGATGCCGCCGAGCGGCCCGCTCTCCTGGAAAATGGACGAAGTCCGTGTCCAGAGGTCCTCCGCCATCTGGATCGGCACCGTGCTTTCAGTGCCAGTGGTATCTGGTGCTGCGGCAAGAAGGCGCTCGCCGTAGTCCTGGCACGTCCAGTAGAGATGTTGCAGGCCGAGAACATCGGCTGACGCGGCACTTGTGACCTCACTGAGCACACTGCGCGCCTGTCTAGTAATAATCTGTACTTGCTTTGCTAAACTTTGCTTTTGCACCAGTGTGCTCCCGGCTGCATCCTCTCTGATCCTAGCACTTAACACAGCAACAGCTGTCAAAGCTAGATGAGCCGTCGAAAGCGCCGTGCTAGCGAGCAGTGGACCCGCGAGCGTTGCCAGCGTACGAAATCCCGTCGACGAATTCGAGAGGTCACACAAAGAATCCACCATTTCTGCGAGGTCGCGAAGGTCGAGGCTCTTTGCGGCAAGGTTCTCGACCCGAAGGCACAGGATTCGAGCTCTCTTGAGATTTTGCAAGACAATGTGAAGACCTCTGCGACCAGGCAGCATGGCGTCAATGGAGCTGACCACCACGATCTTGTGCCATACACACTCACCTGCGCATATGGCGAACCTGGTCTGCTTGATTGGAGCTCGAGATGTCCATCTTGGAGTCACTGTCCGTAATTGCGGCGAGCTCGTCGTCTTGAACAGCAAGACGAGGCAGGAAAAACCCAAGCATTTCGAGCAAGATCGCACGATCGAGCGCGCTAGCGGCAGGCGCGTGGCTCAAATTGCGGACAAGATCAACGACCTTGCTGACCCTAGAGCTTTTCTGGTCCAAAGCATTCCCTCCTAGCGAGGTGATTTGTCGACTCGCAAAGCTTTCCGAAGCCTCGCGACCACCAGCGAAGAGGGATCTGTGAATTTCATCGAGGAGTAGAATTGCCGTTTGTCTGGCACTCCAGCCTGCGCGATCATCATCAGGAGCTTCTGCTGCACAGATAGCGGCCTCAGCTGCTGCCAGATGTTGGCGACTTTCAACGCCTTGGCGAAGGCGATGTATGACCATGAAGAGATGAAGGTCACTGTCAAAGACTCTTTCAGCTCGCTTCTCCTCTGTCCGACGCCGCAAAAGCTCCACCGTCTGTTGCACAGTCGAAGCTGATTGATGCAGCAAAGCGACTGGCGGTACCGTCACCCGGCCTGTGCGGATCAGCGTTGCTTCGAGCGCCGTGAGAGATTGATGCATCTCGAGGCGTGACCGATGGCGCCAAGCATAGTCTCGATGCTGCAAAGGCGGCAAAGCAAGATCGCTCCGTCGGGCTTGTAGACTAGTCAAATGCTCTACAGTGATGTGAAGTCGAGTAACATCCGCAGCTTGAGCCAGGCGCGACGGGGTCAGAAATGGCAGTGCGCGGTAGATTTCGGACTTGAAGAACCCTTGAAAGGCAGCGTCGGCGTGATCGAGACGAGCGGGTAAAGTGTCGAGACCTGGAGGCTTTGCTGCTTCATTCCCGGCGCGTTGCGTGGCGATGTGGTGGAACCACGGCCTGCCGTGAAAATCGTTGACGGACGCCATGGACCCTTCAAAATCACGGGATCGCTCATTGCTCTCCGCCTCGGAACAGAGGTCACTACCTGGCGAGTGGAGATTCTCGTCTCCGATTGTATCGGTTTGCGTTAGTGAGTTTGAGATTGTAGCGAAAGGCTGGCTCCCCAGCGCTCCCAAATTGGATGATGGCCGTCGACCACTGCGAGTGTCGGATCCCATGTCGTCTTCGCCAGGCTCGACCACGTCATGAGCTGGGGTCTGCATCGCATCTCCATCGCTTCCGCTCTCCTCACTTGACGGCGCACCCCTAACGGGTCTCTGTGATTCGAGAGCAGCTAGACGACCTTCTAGCTCCTTAACATACTCCTTGACTGAAGTTCGCTTCGGTGCCCGCTTGAGATAGGTGCAAGGGATCCGGGCGCGAACGCAGTTAGAACATGGTCGAAGAATGAACATGTCGTTCTTGCTCTCCGCCCGATTGGTAGCCATCGACTCGGGGTGCCCTTCTTCGCCTGGAAAGACTCCGACGACATCGCACTTGGTCTTGCGACGGCGGCAAGGGTCACAGGCCCTCGAAATACGGAGACGTTTCCCCGATTTTTGCATTGATGACTCGCCAGAAGTCGGTCGTTCCGCTGTGGAGAGGTCTGCACCGTGATTGAACGTCCTTGGTCCGTCATTTGCCGCAATGTTCGCGGACATATGCCAAGTGTCAGCGTCACGGAGCGGCACCTGTCCGCTGTAGCCCACTTGGAGCGGATGAGGTTGGTGAAGTGCATGTCCGAGTAGCCCTTTGCGATGAACAGTCATTTGTCGCCTCGACGGCGACAGAGACCGCAATCTCTTGGAAGATGAAAACGACTCTTGATTAAGAGGTAGCAAGTGGCTTTCCAAGTCTCGAGGGGCAAGTGGCGCTGCAAAGGAATGGTGGTGTGTGTAGCCTAGCTCACGGGGCGGTGTCAAAGGGTGATGCGGTGCCACACCGACGCCTGGCAAAGCATTTCTATAGGGATTCGAGCTTGAAGACGCACTCGTGATGTGTGCATTGTTGTTTGGGGGAGTTGCATCTTCGGTCCTGACATTCTGCGCCCCAGACTGGTCGACGTGTAGCAAGGAGGCTGGCAGACCACTCGGTTCTTGACGTCTACTAAATGAGTGAGACCTCCAGCGCGACGAGTGCACATTGTGCGAATCTCTCCCTTCGGATCTCTCGGCGAAAGATGTGCGATGCCATGGCGTCGAACGTGTAGCTTGTGTTGGGCTATCGAAAGACATCTGGGAGTCTTCTGGGATGCGACGACGTCCTGCATGGAGGCTTCCCCGTGCTGCAACATCTGCGTTATCTGGCAAAGCTGGGAAGCGTGTGGCCTCAAATTGATGCGAGGAGGGCGGGTGAGACTGAGGCTGGCTGTATCGAGCTGCTGAGTGGGGTGCAGGGGCTTGAAGGACCAACCTGTCATCGCGATCGGGATGCCATGGGGAACCAGAAGGGCGCAGCTGGTGCCTGGCCGCTTGGCTCGACGCTAGAGGCAGTAAGGGTGGTAGTGTGATGGGCCGGGCGGGCCTCTGCTGATTGTCGTCATGGATTCCAGGCGAGGAACTGCCGGGGGGTTGGCGACTCATCGAGAATCAGCTGGGCAAGAGGAGGATTTGACAACCGGTCTTCTTCTATGCAGGCTCCGTGGTGCTACTGCAATGCGACAGCGCCAGGCTTGCCGGAGTGGCGAGGCGAGTGTTGCGATGCCCGTCCAGTCGACAATCAATAGTCATGAGTCGAGGAAAGGAAAGTGGCAGCTTGTGGAAGTACAGGCGGCTATGAGAAGACTGCGCAACCATTAATGACGTGAGCAGAACGCAGCGAATCCTAAAGTAGTTGGACCTTCACTCAGACTACCCCTGTAGTCACAAGGGCGCGAGGGGCAGCAGAGGGAAATGATCGTAGTGTAAGTGTCTCTGATTCCTACCGTATCCTTGTGGTTGGCGAAGTGCTGTGTAGTCAATCGTCTTAGTTCCGCGGCAATCGTCGTGGCTTCGATGCCACTTCAGTACCTCACGCGTTTTCAGCGGACGGACTTGAGAAAGTTCGGAGTCTGCAGCGCCGACCGATAACTCATACCTGTCACTCGTCCACCTAGCGAGCTCTGGGCGATTGAGCAGAATGAGTCGTGGGAAGGCGTCGTCAAGCAGGCTTGACTCGACGAGCCGACGCACTCAGGCAGCTGAAGCTCGCTAAAGGCAGTCTGAGCAATCTGGTACGTTACTCTTCTGACGTGCTTTCTGACCTTTGAATAGCTTGCTGGGGGTCAACCTCTCATGACAGCTTACATCCGACCAAGACGGCGCAGTGCCCGTCAGAATGCGACACACCCTCTGCCGTCTTCCTGAAACCACTATGACTACTGCTGCAGGACTGCCTTCAAGAGCTTTCGTCCACCACGGCGTATTCGAAGCCAGCAGCTCCTGGAGCAATTATCCGACGTGGTCTCGAGCTAAACTTGCAGCCACGACGGCAATCAGGGCGCGTTGAAAGTTGGAGCCGATGTTGTGTGCCGTCAGCACGGCGCAACGGCTCGTCGCAAGCCGAGGCACCAGACCACGCAGATCTGAAGATTTTCGAGTCTCGTGACTGCTAGGCCTGGGCTGTAGGCACGAGACTGTATCAGCATACGGTATCACAATGTAGTAGTAGTAGTAGTAATCAACGTTTGTGAATGCTGCGCGAATCGGGAAGCGTCGGTCCTAATACTGTAACAGGTCAATTAAGGCTCCGCTATGTAAGGGTGTTCGGTGCTTCGTGCTGTGCTTTGCCCCCAAGGTGTGCATAGAAGGTGCTACTGCTACACTATGGTAAGCGCCCAGAACTTCCTCCGAATCATGCTGGCACCTGCCTCGCTGAGTGACCTGCCGAGAGGCGGTGCCATCCAGCTCTATGACGAAAGGTGAGCTGGTGGGGCTGCAGTCACTCGCTCTAACTACTGGGTGCTGTTGATACGGACTCCCGGCTGCGCGGTACTGCACGGTACATGCAACTGCCACTACTAGCGCATGTGTACGTAACACCGTCAATTGCGGCTTCTCTTGGCGCGCCCCGGCCGCCACGTTTTCATCAACACAGCGCAAACGCTCCCGCGGAATCTGCCTTCGAAGTCAGATTGTGATTGTACTTTGACTGTGCTGCCTTCACCCACCGATTGGAGGGACTGAGAAATTCGCTTGGCGGTGACGATGAGTCGCAAGGAGCTGGGTCAAGTCGAGAGCTCATAGCATGCTTTCTCGCAGTGCGAATGGCCGACGCTGTTGGGCATCGGAAATGACGCTCAAGACTCACACTCCGCACTGCTTTGTTGCTGCGCGCGAGCAGGAAGGTTCGCATTTACGATGATGCTCAAGACACGCGCGGGCACAGAAGCTTGCTCCACCGCTTTGTCTGTCATCTTACGCTTTCGGCATAGTAGAATAGAGTGAGTGTGAGTACACAGAATGCATAAATTGGTCGACAGGAGGCATCGCAGTCTTTTCGCTTGCGGCTGGCTCGATCATATGTCGGTCTTGCGGTGGGAGACCCCTTGTAACACTCACTCACTTCAGTGAGCCTGAGTGCTGACATGCGCCGAAGAAAAGCCAGATGATTGAGCGGCGAATTGAGCGCATGCCGGATCTTCCTATGCACGACACATCGGGTAGTCTCCTCGCAAAGTCTGCTGCGGAAGTGGTGGCAGACATTCCCGATGGAGCTTGACATGCGCGCTACTGCAAGTGGCCTGCGTCGGAGTTTCGCTCGTCCGGATTCAAAGCCGATGTGACGCATGTTGGCAGCTGCTTCGGAATCACGCATCAGGACAGCAAGCAGGTCGTGAGCGTAACCTTTGCTACGACACCCCAGCCCGTCACGCTACCCGCGAAGCGATCACTGTACACACAAATCCGGAGCGACGTGAAATGAGTTTGTGTCCAATAGACCTGCGCTGTGACTGCAGACCGCGGATGCACATTCATATTTGGGCTGCAAACAGCGTTTGCACTTGCAATCAGCGTTTGCATGTTGCAAGGAATTCTAAACTCATCACGGACGCTTGGAGCAGCTTGCGACCAAGCTCTCGGGTGGTCTCCCAAGCACAAGGCGAAACCTTGCTTGCCCCAGCATAGAAACGCAACATCGGCGACTGTTGTTTCTAGATTGACAGTCACCGTACCGTCACCAGTCCGAGTGCATGCAACGGTGATTGATGAGCATCCGAGCGTCTGCTCCGTCACACTCTGACGCCTCTCTACATGTGTACTCTTGACTGCAGCCGTTGAGAACCTTGAATACTTTAGCGGAACATAGATGTAGTCGCGACACTAGGCGGACATTGAGTCGCGAGTGCAGAGGGACGGCCCTCGCACGAACCTGTCACGCTCGGTTGTTTGTTGAGCGGTGTTCGGCTGTCAGCAAGCCGGCTGCACCAAGCTTATCGACAGTCCACCACTCACTGACTGACGACTGACTGCCATGACTCACGACTGCTCGTGATTGTACCGCGCTTTGCCCGCAGCGCGAATAACGGAATTACGAGCAGCACAGTCTGTATCCTGCGACTTTGTCAGTCAGAGTTTCGATCGAGTGTCTGCATCGGGCGAAGCTCTGAGAGGCGTCGGACGTACCGCCGCACCTGCTCCTGACTTTGCCCGCAAACGCCTTGTATCGAGACCTTGCATATGCAAGCGAGCAATTAGCGTGTGTGCTATTCTTGGCCTCTGTGCCGTGCATGAGACACGATGACGAGATTGCCGCATAACAGCACGGCAGATGATCGAGCTGGCAGACAGGTACTGTGGTGACTTATAAACATCGAGACTGGTTCGACACGCGCGCTCTCAAGCTCCGTTTCACACACACACACACCACAGCAACCTCCGGTTCCCGACGCAGGAACGGGCGGGCCGCAGTAGCCCGGGTATTGCGGTATGTGAATTCCAGGTTTGTTCAGAGTACGTAAGCGGGCAAGTCGCCATGCAAGACCCGGTCGCGGTGCGAGTGTCTCTTGTTGGAGAGCGGTTCCTGGCAAGGTAATCAGCTTGCGATCACGAAATTTGAAGGGAAAACAGGGGAAGGAATCAAGGTGACTTGAGGTGGGTCAAAGCGACTTCGAGTTTTTTGCTATCTTCGCGCCATAGCTGAATCGTTTTCCTAGCTCCAATAGTAGTAGTACTCACGAGCAATTTTGGCTCATTATGACTCGTGCCTACCAAGTGGCCCAGAGTCACGGGTGCCGATGTAGAGGTGCCTGATACAGATAGGCAGCGCCACACCAAACCCCCCCCCAACGCACATCATCGTTTGAACAAGCCGGATACCGGGTGGCCTCACCATTTGCTTATCGTTTGCGCCCGTACGTGCATCGGGGGTTGGTGACCAGCGCTTACAGCGCCGACGGTGTAAGGTTGACAAGGCTCGCATCTACAGTAGTCAAGGGTGGATTGTGCGTAGTGCGTAAGTGAGGCGGACGCCATTCTGCGAAAGGAGACTGGGACCGCTGAAAAGTTCACACCGAGCGGACGACTGCTTCAGAATGCCTTCGGTCTCGAGGCTGGGTCAAGCCTTGCTTGGGCAAACATTCCCGGGGCTAGAGACGACAGCAATCGCCAGCTTACAGAGAAAGTGGGGCGGCCAGCTTCCGAACTGATCTTCAGCACCCACCGCCTCCACCCGCTCCCCCTCCAGCTGCTGCACCGCCAGCGGCAGATCTTCGTCGAGCTCGATCTCGCTCCATGAACATCCGACTCTGTATCATTGGCAGCAAGGGACCAGTAATGTCAGGCAAAGATTGAGGATTGTTAGAGAACGCCGGTTTGATATGGTTGGGTTGGGAAAGACTCTCACCAGGCAGCACATCATCGCTGCAAACAGCAAAGCGTCTGCACCGAGTGGCACCGTAAAGGAGACACTTCGATCCACTTTCTTGTCGTAGGACACGTAGTCAATCAGTACCCCATTCATGGTCAACGAACCTCCACGTTGTCTTCCGGACTATCGACGCCGTCGCCCAAAGTGTCAAAGCACGCGTGAGCCTCGCATGGCTACGGATCCGCGAAGAAACCTCGCTCACCCGTTTGCAGTCTATGATGAATTGTACCTGGCCATCGTCCGAAGCTCGGTTCGACACCATCACCTGCAGAACCTTTCGCGAAGAATCGATGGGCTTTGCGACCAAGACTGGGTTGGTTTCTTGACTCTCTCCGGCCAGATAAGCGGCCATTTTGGTCGAGGCGAAAGCTCGGTGTTCAACATCAAGGCTCAGAAGGGGTTTCCCATCGTGCGAAGTGATCACTAGGAAGGAGACGGCGCTCATTTTGAGCAAGCTGAGTCGGCATCCTGGACTAGTAAGCCAGCCTCCACTTACTTTGACGACCTCCATGCTTTGCCGACACGCGAAAGATCACCTCGCCAGTGAGGCGGTCCTACGGAAGCAAAATAAGACTCTTGCTGAGCCGACCTGAGCGCGCAAACTTCAATGCGCAAAGGTAACGCACGGTGACTGTGGCTGCGTGGCCAGCATTCTTGAATGGATTTTTGCTTCGAAGAGCGTCCAAGCTGAGCACAAGAGGCTGTCCATGTCTTGTGAAAGCCTCATTGATGTGCACGGGCCCCTTTGTAGGTCGAGGCCGCGGTAGCTGCCGACTATGCGTAGATCCCATCGTCGATGGGTCTTGCTCACCGAACGTGTGAAAAGGGGTCCTCGATGATGATGGGCAGAGGTCTCAAGCTTTGCGGATCCAGGACCTTTCCCTGTAGCTCTTACATCACGAATGGAGATCAAGCGACTGCTGACTGACTCACGTGCGCAATCAACAGCGTGCGAAGAACCATCCATTCTCGACTCATGACTGTTTGTGAGATGCATGCCAACAACGCCTAGCTTCCCCTCATCCAAGCTCGTTCGTTGATCACTGGCTTCTCACGCGCGGCGATGCAGCTGCGAGAATCCGGCGCGCATGATGCGGTGGCTGTGCTGCGTGTCGAGCGCGCGCATCAGCGATTGAGCGCTTTCGCGCAGCTTATTTGATTCAAGATTCAAAATTGATGCATACAAGATAGCCGCACGCTTCGCGCTGCCGTCTCGTGACTTGAGAATCACGGTCACCATGCAGTCACAAGTGATGAGTGAATGCCTTGAGCGCGAAGTCAATCTTGAATCTGAATGGTGAATCAAATCTGAATGTGAACAAGTTGATGTGCGTCAAGAGTCCAGCAGAGCAGAAACACTCGAGGTGACGAGCCGTGTGGAGTGAATAATAGATATACATATATACAGTCCACCTACATATACCCCACTTTGACTCTTGACTTGTCTGCGCTTGCGGGCACCGGCAACGATCGACGCGCAAAGTGGAGCTCGTGAGTAATTAGTTGCAGCAGGTTAAGAAGTCGTGCACGAAACCTCTCCCAGCAGCTTGGCCCCCGATAGGAGAGCGTTTGCGGCGTGCCTTGAGTATCGGGTGAACCAGGCAACTTCGGAAGCCCTCAGGTCGGGGGGCAAAGGAAGAGAATCATACCCCCCCCCCCCCAAAATCTGGAATTGAACGACGACAAGCACGACAAACCGCGCTGGCAAGGATTCGAAGATTCGACCACCTCGATCGAGGTAAGCTTCAGCACACAGTTCAGAGACATGTGGTCTGGAGCTGCCATGCCAAGTCTCGTAGCTGCGAAGAGCTGCGCCAGCGAGGTGGCATCTCGATTCGTCACGCAACGGCGGGTGTGCGTGCGTCGCAATAGCAAGAGTTTCGGTCGGCGAAGGCTCGTGGATTTGGAGTCACTGAGCCCGATCAGAAATCACACCTCGGCAGCATCTAGCCATGCGTCTGCAAGCGGCCTAGCGGGCTTGCCACACTTTACGCTGTACACAGGCACAGGCTGCAGCTTGTGCGATGTTGTCAAGGACCAATTGCAACGTCTCTCGATTCAGGTGAGAGATCTACTCTGCAGAGGCCAAAGGCAAGCTAGCTTCGTGTTGATGCTTATCGCCGTGCTTCAAATTACAATCACGATCCAGCATCCACACGTACTGACGCTGTACAATATTCGCGATGATGAAAACGTCAATGTCAAGTACTGGAGGAGACTGTACCAATACGGTGAGCAAGCGGAAAAGTCGCACATAGAGCACTTGAATTGGTCCGCAGATGTGGATCCGATTCTGATGTCTGCGTCTTGCCCCGCTCCGCAGACATTCCTGTTCTGCACCTTGAGGGCCAAGGTGAGGACTCAGGCTTTCCGAAAACGGCGCTCACATTCAATTGCTTCCTCTGACAGCAGTACTACCCCGTTTGCTTCTGACTGCTGCTGACAGAGGTAGCGCGGCATTCCGTATCCGATGAGAAGTTGTTGCAGATTCTCACAGACGCAAACGCAGCGCATTACTCCGAGACACAGGAGGCTTTTAGACAAGAGCGGCTCCGTCACAGTCCTGATCATTCTTTCTGAGCGTCGCTGTTCGCGAGACCACTCCGGCCTTTCGGCAGAGACTGGCACTTGGCTTCTGATGCGAGTATCGAAGCGCTTCAAGAACATCATGGGCAGGACTGTGCGCCATTGCATGCGCTTTGTTTGCGGTGACTGCGTTGCAATTAAACAATTCAAGCGTACCAACACCAATCACCAAGATTCCGAACATCATGTGCGCCTCAATCCGTCGGACTTGTCCCCGGCTACCTCGGATCCGGGAGGTGCTTCTTTGACTTTGCGCGCTACCCAAAACTCTGGGGTGTACTCGTATGACAACATGCCACTGGCGTTGCCCGTGTAAGGTTGACTCTCCAGGGTCCGATGCTCCTGTAGCGCATCATCGGAGCGCAAGATTGGTGAACTTCGGTACGAGAGTGGCAGGTATCACCGCCGAATCGCACTCACCTCTATTTCAAAGCCCATAAGCTGGATGAGGTCCATCATCTCCTCAAGGGTCAACTCGATGCTAAGGTCTCCATTATTTTCAAAGTGCCAAAGTAGCGGCCCGACGTTGCACCAGAATCCTCCGACAGGGAGCAGATGGTTGATGACTTCAAGATACTTGACAATATTCCGCGCGGTATCAACAAAGTAGACGGTCGCAACTGCATCCCAGCCACCGATTTCCTGCTCTTTGGAATACACGTCAACGAACTCGCCTGCAACCATACTGAAGTCCACATGAGGCGGTAGATCAGTTGGGTTGACATCCGGAATTCTGATCCCTTGAAGCATGTCCGAGGCCTTTCTCCAGTTAGATGATGAGTGCACGTACGGGTAGACAGTATGAGCGTGCCTGCCGCTCGACTTGTTCAGTATCCAATGCGACGCCAGGAGCATGAAGAACGAGTACTCGTTTCCCTGAGAGCTGTAGCCCTGCCAGGCAATTTCGAACGCCAAGCGTCCCAAGCCTGCCCCTGGCACCAGCACCCTGACCTGATTACGCGACGTACTGGGCACTTCTCCGAAGCGCGCGTCGAGAGCGTCTAGGATGGGTCCATAGGCCGCTTCACGCTCTTGCGCGCCTTCGTCGCTCCAATCCCTGACAAGCTGCTTGATGGTGCTGCGGATCTTGTCAATCTCATGCTCGGACGTCCGAGTGGAAGCTCCTCTGCTGCTAGGGCGCTGTCGAGACTTTTCCGCGCCCTCTCTGGAGAAAGGGGCCGCGGAAGGATCATCCCTGAGAGACCCTGAGGATCCGGACGAGCCTTCCCCACTTCCTACATTGCTGCGCCCAGATGCACTGTCAGTGCTCGTGCTCAAATTGGTGTGCCTGGGAGCATCGAGAGGGGTGCGTCGTCTTTGGCGTTTCAACGCTTGTTCTTCTGTAGGCCGAAGATTGCCACTAGAAGATCTTTCACTCTGTGGCGCACTCCTCACAATGTCGCGAGGCACGGCAGCCCCGGGCGCATGGGCAGTTTGAACTTTGAGCGCAGCATCGCCTTGCGGCTCAACATGACCGTGCGCCAACTTTTCTGCGGAAGCGGCTGAAATTTTCTCGCTAGCTGCGCTCGCATCAGTCTCTGCGCCATCAGCACGAGCGTCGTCCAAAAATCCACGCGAGTCTTCCACGATCAAGCTCAGCACGTCCGCGTTTCTTCGTATCCTATCGTCGATCTCATCCAGACGAGATTTGAATCCGCGGCCGCCGGGAGGCAGGGTGTGGCGCTCGCGGCCGGCTGACTCTTGTCCCCTGCCTCCTCTGACGGCGCTGTTAGCATCTGGAACCGAAGAATCATGACCCTCCTCGTTCTCCATCTCAACGAGGGGTCCAGGAAGCTCTGGGCCGACCTGAGAAAGAAGCAAGCGGTGCGAACGCGCCAAAGAGTAGAAAGACTTTCGCCTTGCGTTGTTCGCTGCCAGCTGCCACACGACAGCGAGAGCGTGGAGCGCCATTAGCTCGTCACTCGTATGCTAGATATGCATAGGCACCTGTGCTCACAGAGTGGGGCAGGTACGCGTTGAAGGCGCGGAGCACGTTCTGGAAATGAGCCCGCTCCTTCTCCTCCTCGTGACCACTGCTGCTTCCTAGACTGTTCCGTTCATGCTCCAGCGCATGCTCAGACTCGTGCGAGCGCGAAGGCCCAGCAACGGGGTGCTGATCCGCCTGTGCTAGGGTCATGATTCCCAGACCAGACGCTCCGCGGGGGGGAAGGCGCGTGGCGCGAGATGTCAGTTCTTCAGGCTCTGCACTGAAAGAACGCCGCGCGCTGTCGGAGGTGGCAGACCAAGATGCAAGCCGAGAAAGGGGGAGCGGCAAGGGCAAGGGTGAGACTTCAGTGGGAGGAGAAATCGCAGCGTCAGATAGCCGGGCAGATGTCGATGATGCGGCAGTGTCAGTCGAAGAAGTCGACGTGTTCGAGATACGCCGGACGTCCAGCCGATCGAAATTTGCCGGGATGGCGGCGACAGCACCAGATGGAGCTAGCGGCAGATGGTTGGGGGTCCCCAAGTCATCCAAAGGGAAAGGATACCATGGTCGGTAGGCAGCAAGGCGAGAACGCAGCGATGCCGGATCCAACGGAGGTCCGATCGCCGCGAGCGCCATTTCGCGTACGGATCGGAAGGCAGGTTTAGTAGGCGCATGGTCGGGTCCGGTAGATCCACGAGGGTATAGAGGAGTGGGCGGAGGAGTCCCATGTGGATTTGAGGGCGTTGGCGTTGTCGAGCGAGCCGGGTGACGAGCAGTGCCCAGAGGGCGGATTGGTCGCGATACGCGTTCGTCGTCATCGTTCAACGTCCGATCAGTTGGCAATCGCCCATCCGGCGTCGGAGGAGACATGGCGGATGAGAGGCACGATTCCGATCACGGTAGTATCCAGGACATGTCGCCAGGTCGAGAAGAGCGTTTCCGCCCGCGAGCACGAGTGAACAGGAGCGCGCGCTCGTCAGCAACACTACGCTTGCGAACGCACAGCTGGACAGCTTCTCGAGGCGAGGTATCGAGAAGGAAGCAGCGGGGTTTGGGCAGTGACAGCGAACTCAACGTGCGAGCGACGCGTGAGAAAGAGAAGGGAGCGAGGGTCGATGTACAGGTAAACCCACCTCTGCATCCGCCGAGGGAAGAATGGAGGTCGGAAGGCAGAAGGATGAAATCGCCGATGGAACGCTTACAGCAGAAGATGAGGGAGCAGCTAGTGTGGCACGTAACTAGCTCCGTCTCTGCTATACGTACGGTTCAGGGCAAGGAAATGCGGTGGAGATGGCGGAAGCGAGTCACGAATCGAGCATCGCCGATGGATCCGTGCCAGATTTCTTGATTGGACTTGCAAGATTGGCACGCAGCCTTGAGATTCGCCGTGCATGCAAGCCACAGAGCAACATGCTCCTTCCTCTCTCTGACTGCATGGTGACTGTTGCATGGCATCACCGGACGCTCAAAGCAGCAGCGGCGAGTTTCTGGGCCTTGCTTTTGTTTGCATGCCGGTCTAGCCCTGCTATCAAGTATCCCGCCTTGTCGGACCTGAAACGCTTGTCCCCTTCATCTTGAACGGCGTAACTATGCAGGGCCGAAGACCACGCAAAGGCACCCCTTCGAGGCAAGCGACACAGCACTCACGAACGACTGTGCAGAAAGCTTTGAAACGGTACTCGGTACGCTAAAATCACTCACATGAGATTCGCTTCTCTGCCTCTGCACCTTTTTCGGGTGAACCTGCTCGAGCTGGTCGCCGACCATGCACTGCAGCAGCCTGCTGTAGCTCTATAGAACCAGACGTGGCTGCACCTTGTGGATGCACCTGAGTCAACGCCGATCATGCAGCAGCAGCATGGACCAAGTGTCTCCGGAGTCTGCGCCGTCACAGCTTCAGGTTGCTCCTGATGACCTTCCGCTTTCACTGAAGCAAGTCGGCTCCAAGTCGGCGTGCAGGCGGGCGAAGCGCTACGAGGCAGAAAAGGAAGCGCGGTTCCGGGCGGAAGGCCGTGTAGTGTGCGCTTCTTGGTCGCATGTACGGCCAGGCAGCTCTAAACCACTTCTTGTTCGAAGCCTCGCTTGATGAGCGGGCGAGGGAGCTAGACGTCGAGAGTGCTGCAGTGCGCGTGGACTGCTCGAGGGAGAGATAAGCGTGAATGTGCTTCCATTCGCAGATTGCTGATAAGGATTTCGATGACCAGCCGTTCGCCGCGGACTTAAATTTGATTCACACGCGCCGACAGGTGCACGGACCTCATCGAGTCAAAGGTCTGCACGTGATCTAGTAGCCCCATATCACGTGAACGTCCAGATAGCATACCCGCACCCAAGCACGAATTTGAATCACAACAAGTCGTGAGTAAATCATCAACTCCTGGCTCACCAAGACTTGAGTTTGACTCAAAACTGCTCACTTTTCGAGCTCGTCTTGCGAATTCTTCTTGTTGCACTTCGGGCTGGTGAGCCCGTGCGGCCATGGCAAGGATTCATTCGCATTGCTAATGAGCTCATGGCGAGACCCATCAGGGCGCTCACGGAAGCGAGGGGATATTCTGCCTCTAAGCATATCCTGGCTTGACGGCGTCGTCGGGAAAGGGCTCATTGAACCCCTGCTCTCATCCCGCACATGAAGCTGCCATTTGTGTTGCCAAGCATGCATCCACGCCCCGCGGTGAACACCAATGCGTGGACGACAGCCAGGAACGCGCCTAGGCTCGAGAAAGCCGCTGTTTCCACGCAGTCACCGTGAGCATTTGTGATTCAGTTTGGAGCATGCAGCTCGAGCCAGCATGCACATTCAACGATCAAAGACAGGCTTCAATTGGGCTTCCTCAGTCACGCTCGGCTTGCGATCTTTGGTTGCTGTCATTCACGTAGCAGGTGGCAAAGAGCTCTCACGATATCTAGCTCTGCGATGAATGCTGCCATCACTCGTGACTGCATGCATGCTGTGGGGAGCGCGAGGCGGATCGGCATGCAGTGAACGCGAAGGGGGGTATAGCAAGGGGAGCCAAATTGAGACCATTGTCCTCCCTCTCTCACCATCCGACAAATCCATCCGCCAATCACAGCAGACTGTCACCTGCCATCCTCTATACGACAGCACGTCGAGGAGCTTTGAGACTGCCAAGACTCGCCACAACCTCCTGTCTGACGCGGCTCTGTCGGCTTTCGTGCGACGAGTAGCTATACGTAGACCGCATCAGCTCTCACTCAGACTGTCTGCGCCGAGACCTATTCGACTCGGACGACACATATGGTGTCTCAGGAGCTCTGACTATGCTGCGTCCTCGCACGCTGCAACCACATCATCCATGGACGCGTCTGATGGAATTGAATGCGGTGCTGTGGCTGAAACAGCTTGGCTTCAGTCGTCATGGGCCGCGCGTGATGAGCGATTCAAGGCTGTAACTTCACGTTTTCACGACTCACACTCACTCAAGACTGTTGACTGTACGGTACATCCAGCATCAGCAGGGCGCCGATCGCGAGCGTGTAGTCACAGTCTGATGAGTGTGAGTGTCGTTGGAGAGCGCGGTCCAAGCCTCCACATGATCACGACCGCCCGCTCGAACTCTTGCAGCGAGGCGCAATCAAGAATAAGCTCTTCACCGGCCGGTCCCAGCATGCAGAAGAGATGCCGCGCACACGCTTCTTCTCCACTCACGACTCTACAGCAGCTGCATACGCTGCAGCTGGGTGGGACCCCGCATCGGCGGGTTGGGCTGCCTGGTTCGAAGGACCCTCAGCACGGACTCGCATATCCGCAGACTCGTGAGAGTAGTGTTCAGGGTGCTGCGTTCAGATTGCTTCTCAGCCTCAATCGTCAGATGCATCTCAACTGAACCACAATCATTCTCTCACTGTCGGAAGATGAGCCAACTGCTGTCTGTGCCACCTCGCGCTCTCGCCTCAACTGCTCGCCTACATAAACGTCACCTCACCGCCTCTCGGATCGATACCTATCTGGCCCCGGCACCTTCCAGCTCTGTGCGACTTCCTCTCCTCGACAATACAACATTCTGCACTCGCGCTCGCACCTTTTCATCATCCAATTGCACCAAGATGCCTTCAATGCCAAAAGGTATCCTCAAGACCGGTCAGACGGAGAAGATTGACCTGAAGAATGAAGCCCTCTTCAACACCAAGGGCTACATCGATGGTTCGTGGGTATCTGCCAAGTCGGGAAAGACTTTTGAAGTCTTCAACAAGGCCACGCACGCCAAGTTGGCCGATGTGCCTGACATGGGCAAAGAGGACACTGCAGCTGCCATCCAAGCCGCAGCTGCAGCTTTTCCCGATTGGAGCTCCAAGACGGCCAAGGAGCGCTCGCAGCTGCTGACCAAGCTCTTCTTGGCGCTAGAGGAGAACGCTTTGGACTTGGCTCACATCATCGTGGCTGAGAACGGCAAGTCCCTCACGGAAGCCAAAGGGGAGATCGGCTACTCCAACAGCTTCATCGACTGGTTCGCCGGAGAGGCTCAGCGCGCTTATGGTCACACTGTCGCCCCTACGTTACCCGGTGTCCGCCAGAACATCATCCTGCGCAAGCCTGTAGGCGTCGTTGGCCTGATCACGCCTTGGAATTTTCCCGCCGCAATGGTGAGTCTGGATGCTGTTGATTAGTCGTTATTAGCTGGTCCATTTACCACGACATGCCTTGCCTGCGCTCTGCGTCATCTGCAGGTCACTCGCAAACTTGGTCCCGCGCTTGCAGCAGGCTGTACCATGGTCATCAAAGCACCAGCCGAGACGCCCTTCTCTTCGCTAGCTTTTGGCCACCTGTGCGAGAAGGTCGGCATTCCCAAGGGTGTGGTCAACATTGTGACTTGCGCCAAGGGAGAGACGGAGGCTGCGGTCGGCAAGGAGCTTTGCGAGAACGACATCGTCCGCAAGCTCAGCTTCACCGGGTCCACCCGCGTCGGCAAGCTGCTCATGAAACAAAGCGCCGACTCTCTCAAGAAGCTGAGCATGGAACTGTGAGTGCTCGGCTTTCGCGACCATTCAAGGATGTTGCTGATCGACGAGAATTCTCTCCAAGCGGTGGCAATGCTCCTTTCATCGTCTTTGATGACGCAGATCTAGACAAGGCTGTCGTACGTACATAACGTCTTTTGACGGACCCGACGCGAGAGATTTTGACGTGGACCGCCCTCCTTCCTCTTTGAAACAGGCTGGGGCAATGGCTTGCAAGTTTCGTGGCTCTGGACAGACCTGCATCTGCGCTAATCGCATCTGTGAGTCGGGTGTTCAACCTTTGGCGTGCTCGGCGGCCTGTGAACTCACTTCGCTCTCTTCCTGAACACGACGATTGCAGATGTTCACGAGTCTGTATACTCCGAGTTTGCCAAGCGATTCGCTGCCAAGGTTGATGAGCTCAAGTTTGGCTACGGCATGGACGAGGGCGTGACGCACGGTCCCCTTGTGAATCAAGCTGGGGTGGACAAGGTGCAGCAGCACGTCGACAAGAGCGTTGGCGCTGGTGCCAAAGTGCTGGTCGGCGGCAAAAAGGGAGAGGGATTCTTCTTCGAAGCTACTGTGCTGACCGACATGCCCGAAAACTGCGTGAGCCTGGCTCTGCCGAGTCCTCACAAGAAGCGTCCGGAATACTGACGCTACCTTGCTCTTGCTCATTCAGCCTATGGATACCGAGGAGACCTTTGGACCACTCGCCGCTTTGTACAAATTCACTAGCGAAGAAGATGTCATCAGGAAGTGCAACAACGTTCCCGTTGGTCTGGCAGGCTACTTCTACAGCCAAGACGTTTCTCGCTGCTGGCGTGTCGCGGACGCTCTTCAGACCGGGATGGTAGGCATCAATTGCCCTCTCATCTCTCAAGCCGTCGTGCCTTTTGGAGGCATCAAGCACAGTGGCTTTGGTGTTGAAGGAGGAAAGGTGAGTAGGATGGCAGCATTCACGCCTGCTTGGCGTCAGCGGCTGCTAGGCTCACATATCCTTCTCGTGTAACACAGGATGGTATCAACGAGTACTTGGTCAACAAGCTCACCGTCTGGGGCGCCTAGACCTTTGCAACTCGCGCCTTTCACACAGTCAAAAGTTCGCCCGTCTGCATCCACACTGCTGCTGTGTGATCTCGACTTCATCTGACAAAAGCCTAGAAACGGCTCACACCTGCTCCGAATGCCATCACGATGACGTGCTCCAGCCTAGAAAGCCGAGGCCGAGAGAAGCATTCATGATTTGATCAGGATCATCATTGATTCATGAAGTGGCAAGGACAGGTAAAGCGAGATTTGCAAAAGAGGCAGATTTGAGGGATTCAGGATGCGAATGCTTAAACGAGCTTGGCTTCGGTAGCAGCAAGTTTCAAGACAGCAAAGGCATCGTCCACATCGCGCTCTTGCGTCCTAGGACAACCCAAAGCGATACGGATGCAGAATCCAGCCCCAGGAATGGAGGTTTGGGTGAGCAAAAGCTCATCATTGCGCTTTTCCAGAGCTGCCCAGAGAGCGCGGGTGCGCGAATCGGGATCAGCGTCGGTAGAGGCGGGTTTGAGACGAATGACGAGGAGGGCAAAGTTGAATTCGACTAGCTGCCAGGGGTCGCCTTCGTCTTCGATGAGCCTCTTGAAACGTTCCGCTAGCAAGATGCTGAGGACGAGAAGTTTGCACAAGGGCGCCAATGTCAGTGTGCCACCATTGGATCTCCATGAAGGATGACTTACTCGTCGCGCAAATGCTGACGCAAGCCTTCGATGCCATGACTTCGAAGCACGAACCATACCTTCAAAGAGCGGAAACGTCTGCCAAGCGAAATTTGATAGTTCCTTAGATCAAGCACAGAAGGATCTGCGTCGCGGTAGAGTGACGTGCAGAGTAAATGTCCGAAGAAAGAAGCACTCTACGCGATTCTGTTTTCCTTGGCTCACCATTGGCAGCTGCGGTCGTCTTGAGGTACTCGGGCGTGACCGTGAGCGAGGCGGCGAGCTGGGCCCTGTCCTTGACCCAGAGTGGAGAGCAATCAAAATTGACAAGACCCCATTTGTGCATGTTGAGAGATATGCTGTCAAACTTAGCATTGAGGGCGCTCAATTCTTTCTGATATTTCGTTCGGATCTCTGGCAGGCAGAGGGCAGGACCTGCGTATGCGGCATCTACGTGCAGCCAGATTGGGGGCAGCGACTCGGAACGCGCGCAGTCGGTGCTGTTACCGTTCGCGCCATTCGTTGAGCCATCGAGGTGGTCATGTACGGCCACATCCGCATCAACAACTTTGGTGGGCATTATTGCCGCCGAGGCAATCTCGTCTAGCGCGTCGACAGCACTCGTAGACGTGGTTCCGAGTGTAGCGCAAACCATGAATGGTACCAATCCGGCGCTCACATCTTCCTTGATTGCGGCTGCCAGAGTGTCGCCCCTCAAGGCTAGACGATTTTGAAGTGTGACGGGTAGTGCCCGGAAACGTAGACCCAGAATCTGCGCGGCTTTGCTGCCCACGCTGTGCGTCTAGAGCAGATATCAATCAATACATCTCAGCTTCCTGGTGGAAGTTTGTCGGCTCAGCTCTTCATGAGTATGACTCACCTCTGTAGAGCCGTACATCACGAGCTTGCCCGTAGCCTCCGCCGCCCACTCTCGTGAGGGCTCGATTTGACCCGAGGCGGCGGTCAAATGCCGAAGAGCGCGATCTCGCGCAGCGATCGCCACCGTCAACGTAGCTTCAGCGCGGAATGCATGGGGCATACTGTTAGCTGCGAACGAGCTACACATGTAATCGGATGCGCGCTTACCTTCGGAGGCGGAGCCAAAGATCAATCCGCCCTTAGCACGGCGTGACGTTGAGTTGCAATCAGCCAGTCGTGGGAGATGCTGTGGAATCGGCGGCTGCGAACATGCGAAAACTCACGCCCTTGCTTTGAGGCCCGCCTCTTTGCTTGAAAGCAGGATCGAGGTGGAAAGCCTCAGCCATCCAATCCATCATTTTCAGCTCCAGCTCCGTTACACTTGGGCTGCAAATCCAGTTGAAGCCCGGGTTCGTCAGAGCTGCGGCCCACATGTCGCCCAGAATACCCTCGAAGGATACATTAGCCGGATAGTAAGCCATGAACTTTGGATGCTGCCATTGCGTCATGCCAGGCATGACCAGCGAGTGAAAGTCTTCGTTGATGCGTGACCAATCTTGTCCAGAAGATGGGGCCGCGTCTGACATGGTGACGGTAGTTCGAAGTCCGACGAAAGGCGTGAGCACAAACGCTTCCAATGGCACGGTGAAATGCGACGCACCTGGCAGAGCATCGGTGAGAAAACCGGGCTTGACTTGAGCGGTGACGGGTTTGTCTCTCATGGAAAGATAATGATCGCAAATCTCGTCTACTGCAGCATGCGCAGCTCGTCTGAAGCTAAGGCCACGTTTCGTCTCAGTCGCGAGTCAGGCTACTTTCCTTCTGCAGTGCATGGCGACAGACTGACACACTCACGTTTCTACGTCCATGATGCCCGTGGATGCGAATGGCAAGGTTGCTCGTTTGTCTGAAAAGGCGAAAGGGTGTGCTAATCGTTCAGATATTGTCAACTGATGAGGGAAAAAAGGTGCAAAGAGATGGACAGGGCCACGTACGGTCGCTCAAATAGGCGAGCGCAGCTCCCACCGGGAGAGGCGTGAGAGGAGGAGGGCCTGCCCAGGTTCACCCTGAGGCAGCGGAGCCCCCTTCGACATCAGCCGGAGCGACCTCAACGGCGTCTTTGACCGTACAAGAGGTGCGGAGGAGGGCAATCCTTCCATTCCGTGTGAGCACCAAGCAAGCCACACTTTGACTCACGTCAAATTCGCAAGTATGCGTTTCAGAGCGTTCTGTGCTAGATCGTCCCACAATTATGCGTAAGTGAGGAGCCTGTATGTATCCGCGGAGAAAGGATGCGAGACCTGATCTACAGTCTCCGTATTCCGCTGACGGAATGCGATTTGAGGGCGAGTCTAATGATAGGTCCTTGCTGTCTCGAGAAGCGGCAATGATGACGTTTTGCGGGGAGATTGAATGAAGGCGCGTGCGCAATGTCCATTTAAAGTGAATGCAAGGGACCTCTTTCGTGTTTGTATCAGCGCAGTGTGTGAACCATCAGCTGCCCGCCACTCGCCGACAAGCCAGCGGGAGTATACCGAGACGATCTTGACTGTGACGTATCAGATGCGCTGCTTCTTTGTTTATCCTTTGATCCCCGATGCAAGACGCAAGACGCAGGATGCGAGGCTCAGCTGACTCTTGATGAACGCCGTGCCTGACGCTGACGCACGATGAAGCCGATCCGAAGGCTTGGATTCTTGATTCTGACCGCGTTCGTCCATGCAGCGTTCGACTTTTGCCTTTCCCCGACAGACCTCGAATGGCTCTGCCGTGATCCTCTCGTCGCTGTGATCGTCGCGCCCCCAGACATACAGACGTGTTGCAATTTGAATGGTGATTGAAGGCGAGTTGACTGATTCTTCTTGATTACGCTACGGCCGCACGGCGTGGTTGTACGGTACCGCACCGCACGACGCGGTCCGCGCGGCATTTCGGCGGTTCAGCATGAACGCCCGGTGGCCATGCAATCTCACGTGATCGTCGTGATTTCTTGATTCGCACATCGTATACCGCTTCAGCCACCCTCTTGACTCGTGAGTCCTCACAGTCACTCCTCACTACGCAGACTGATCCAAGAAGGAGGTCAGTCAGCTCGTCCCCAACTTTTCAGGGCATCGACATCCATCTTGGCTCGACCCGCATGCGCAAAGGAGTCTCTAGCGAGATCCGCGTCCACAAGCACGACTCCTCATTCGACCATTCAGCCGCTCTCACAACAGCACTCTCTCCACACCAAAGTGCCTCATTACCGCCATGTCCACATCCACAAAAGCCTCAAACGTCAGCAAGAGTATCCTGAACTCACTCAGGCACGAGCTCAAGCACTCGGTGAGTCAGTGCTGCTTACCTTTGTCATGGCCAGCAACGTGTATGCAGGCAAGTGCGGTCTTTTCATCACGGAGCTCGTCGGGATGACGGAGGCATTGGCGTGCCGCAGAATTCTTGGGAAAACGCTGCGCAGTGGAGGCATCTCAGGCCCGGCAAGTATGCCCATGAAGCGTGATCTGTGCTCACAAATCGACGCTGTCCCCTTTCATCTCGCATCTTCCGTTTCCGCTGACACGCGTCTCTACTTCCGCTGCAATTTCATTACCCTTCCACACACGGCACTCAGCGACGCAATGTGGCCAACGTTTCTTCCGGCGAGACGGTCTCTCCTCTCTCGCTGTATGTAAATCAAGTGGCTCGAGGTATTGAGTCGGAGGACTCGGCAAGTGCGGAGAGCAGACGGAGACTCAGGCAGCTGCGAGAGCTCGAGCTGACACTGAGGAGTAGCAGGGTGCACGCTGTGAGTATCGGAGTGGGTGTTGTGCGTCTGCAGTCAGACCATACCGCTGCCATCACGCGCCCGGCTTGCCAAATGGCGAGAGCTCGAGAATCAAACATGAATCATCTTTAACCACGCTTTGCCTCGCCCTCTCTTGCCTCTCGCTTTCCGCAGGAACTGCTTCAGCGGTACAATCCTACGCACGGCATGTCGGAAGCTGAGCGAATCCGAACGAGCGCGCGCGTAGTCGGCTGGGAAGTTCCGCTGGAGTATGTAGACGAAGACGGATCACTAGCCAAGGCGGTAGAAGGCTTGGACAGCGCGGACGAGGTGCAGGTGCAAGAGAGCAGGAGGAAGGTGGAAGAGCTCAAAGCCAAGCACGAAGCCAAGGGCTACACGGGACCCTTGCCCTTCCCGCCCGAATCGGGATAGGCCCGCCCTCGTCACGAATGCGATTCCATTAACTCTAAAGCGTACCTTCGTGAACGACTTTGGGGCCAGTTGCAGCACACGCGTATCTGCTCATTGAAGTCGCTCCCTTTTCTGCCCGTAGTGTTGCGTCTTGAAAGCGCGCGCACATCCCTCTTCGCGATCCATGGGAGAGCATGCAGCGTGATCATGTCTGATGCATACAATTACATTCAACGAGCAGCGCACCGGTGACGATCAGAGAGCATCACAGCAGTAATGTCGAAATTTGAACAGGGCGCGGCAAGGAGGTCTCAGTCGTAATCCTCATCCTCTTCCAAGCTCCTCTTGAGTCCCCTCTGTTCCGCCGTCTGCGCCGCAAGTCCCAGAGCTGGATCCGCTTGCTGCGCTGCGCTAGTCGAAGACTCCGCATTGCTGCTCGCCTGAGTGCGATCCTCACCAAGTCCAGCTTCGTCTCGCGTGTGCTCGTTCGCGCTCCGGACGTCACTCTCATCTGCAACCTCATCCGCGTCAACATCTTCCTCTTCGTTTCGATCTTCCCTTGCATCCTCGTCCCTCGTCCCTACCATAGTCGCCTCGTCCTCGTCTTCTCCCTCCTCTTCTTCTTCCTCTTCCTCTTGCATCGGATCATAGCCAGGAGGTGGCTGATTGGGGATGATGGAGAAGTCTATATTCGTCAAGGTGTGCTGAGGAGGCGGGAGACGGATTCCATAGGTGTCTGAGATCGGAGGCAAGGGTGTGGCATTGAGGCTGGATGCGAGAGAGAGGAGCATCTGCGTCGAGACAGGTGGATAGCGAAGAGATCAGCCGAGATGTACGCTTCGTGCAATTTGGCGAAAGGATTCCACCACAGCCAGGCAGCCAGGCAGCCTGCTGAGTGTGTGCAAGTCGCTTACCTCCTTCTCTGTTGCTGCGCCCCTTCCTCGACCCGAATTGGCCAATTTGGCAGAGACGGCGAGCATAATGTCCTCCAGACCCACTGCAGGGCTGCTAGCGGAAGCGTTCACACCGCCTGACCGAGTCGAAAAGTGAGCGTGCTCAGAGTAGATTTGAGCATCTCGCAAAATGTTCGCTGCGTAACCTGCATTCAAAGAGCAGCAGGAGTCACAGGAACGAAGTCGTTGAAGTCAGTTCCAAGACGCTGCAGACGCAGGGCGGGCGGCCATCGAAATGCATTCATGGCCTGTCGAGCGTGCTGCCCGCAACGAAGTGAAGGGATGGGAAGCATGGGAACTCACGATGCGAGAATTCAAGCAGCATGCTTAGCACTGCAGGCTCGGCATCTTCGATGCCCATGGAAGCCAGCAATAAAGCCATGATCCTTGCATCCCTGGGTATGTGTCTCTCTGAGTCCGCCGCACTAGCTGTCCTTTGCAGCCCAGCCGCACCTCCAGTCGCCGCACTGGGTCCGTTGGACACGGAAGTCGATCCACCTGAATGAGCCCCTCCTCGACCGTTCATCATGTTTGAGTCATTTGACATCGTTCGTGGCCCGTCAATCCGTTGCGAGTCTAGCACGACTGAGCTTGTCGGTCTGAATTCGCGTTGCTCATTGATGGACGATAGAAGGGTGGAGGGAGCAGTGATGGGTGAGTGTCGTTGCGCGAGGAGGTGTTCATCCTTGATGAGGGTACACATGCGGGCGCGCTGCATGTTGCTATAGGCCTGTATCAGCCAACTCACGTGCGCGCCTCTATACTCGAGACTCCGATGGCATGGCGCGCATAGCTGACCTTCACACGACACGATCATCATGTGACTCGGCAAGCACCCATACCTCTTCCACCTCTCTCGCATCAAATTCGTTCTGCCTAATCCACACTCCACATACTGCCATTCAACAGAGCGGCTCACCGCGAGCTGATCCGCAAAAGCGACGAGACGCCCACTCCCAACGCGAGTCTGAGCTCAACGTCTCCAGTGCGGGGGTCCAGAATGGTTTGCGCAAAGTGCGAGAAGAAGTTGGCGGGCAAGAGCGGGGGAGCGCCACCAGATCCATTCGTGAGTAGAGTAGATTACAGGTGCACACTCTTGCCGCCGAGCCACGTCGCGTCTATCCGCTCAGCCGTTGAGTTTGTCGAATCACGCGCTCCTGCAGAGAAACAGGAATGCCCAAGGCACGCTGGTATCGTCGGGCGTAGGTGGCCGCAAGACAAACGCTATTGGAGGTCCATCTCGAGCCAACGCTGGCACCCTATCAGCATCCTCACCATCGTCCAGTGGGGTGGGAAAAGCGCCCTCGTCAAACAAGCTCATCAGCTCCAAAGGAAGGTATGCGCCTACGTCTACAAAATGCAAGACTTGCGGCACGAATGCTAGTCAGGGCTTCATGTATTGTCAAGGTGAGCATGCGTGGTATGCGATGCAAGGCCATCTGGGGGCATTCTGAACAGAGATGGCAGATATGGGTAAAGGGCAGGCGCAAGAGGCAAGAGGCAGGAAGCGATGTGGGGACCTGCCACCGCTAGACACCCACCGTCTGGCCAGGTGCGCTGCTCCGACTCCTCGCCGTTACCAGCTCATCGCCCTGCTGATGCCTGCTCACACCTTCAGCTCGCGCGCTGATCAAATGTCACATTTCGCCCTCATCGCCCAGGCTGCAGCTACAAGAGGGGGGTATGCGCAATGTGCGGAAAGATGATCATGGACACTTCGAAGCACAAAATGTCTTCCGTCTAAACGTCAGTCGAGTAGCGCTCATCATTTTCGCCCGAGCTGCAATGACGTGAAAATTCAAGTCAAGAATGTCGGCAAAGTGAGGATATCTCCGCGCGTCCTCTGTCTAACAAGAAGGGGCAAGGACCGTAGCTCATTTCCAGGCCTTTGGCAGTATCGAGCTGGATTCTGCATTACAACTCCACTTTGTGGAGCAGCAAGCATGCACTGGCGTAATGGCTAGCTCCTCCCGCATTATAGCAGGCCGCTGTCCGGACGCTTTTTTCCCCTTGGGAAAGGAGCGACTGAGCTACTGCATGGACGACGGCTCGGTGCGTGGCCACCGAACGCTTGGATTTTGCAATCAACATTGCCGTCCAGCAAGGACACCAGGCCAAGTCCCACCTCCCAAGTTCAACTCCCGTCGAGCGCTGATCACGCTCAGCGGCGTCTCTTCAACTTCCGTCGTGCTGCCGCACACGACTTCCTCGGGCTGCACGGGCCAGACCCAACTCGAGTTGCGGCCAGCTTAAGCCTCGATTTGCAGCTTTAGTCTTGCCCCGCATCTGAAAGCAAGCCTCTTACAGCAATGCACTCTGTAAAGGCAAGGAATTTCCGAGTCTTTTTGAGGAGGCGATTGTTGCAGAGTAAAGCCTGGATCACGTGGCAGACGTAAAGCTGCCTCCTTTTCGTTGCTCCTTCTCGTTGCCAAGAGTCCGCGTTGTGTCAGTTTTCGATGACTTGACGGGATATGTGGGTATATCGTCGACCCGTCCGCATCCTTGACACGTGGCCTCCACATCCTCTATTTCCCTCGGCGTATTTGCGCTCAGTATCACGTTGCCCTCTTCGAGCACAGCAATATCATCTTCTATCCTGATGCCCATTCCTTGGAAATGTTTTGGGAATCGACTGTCGAAGGGCACGTAGACTGCAGGCTCGATGGTCAAGACGTGACCTTGCCTGAGATGAGTGGAACGATCAATGCTTGGCGTATCGTGCAGATCGATGCCTATCCAGTGGGACAGACTATGGGGATAAAGCAAATCCATCACGCCGCCCTTGTTCGTGTCGAAGCCCAGCCTCTTGAGCTCTTGAGAGAGGAGCTCGACTGATCTGCGATGTAGCTGGGCTTGGGAGTAGGCCGACGACGGGGTGGCGAGCGCTGTACACTGCTTCAGAACACCAAGCACAGCCGAGTACAGATCCTTTTGCGCGCTTGTAAAGCTTCCATCCACCGGCCAAGCTCGCGTGATATCGCTGACATAACCGTCCATTTCGCCCCCGGCATCCATGCAGACCAGCTCTCCGGGCTGCAAGACCCCGTCGTTGGCGACGTAGTGGATTGTCAGGGCATTCTTCCCACACGCAACCACAGGGACGTAGGCTGGTCTTTGTGCCCCTCTGAGCGCTGTCTCTCTCTCGAAGACGGCCTGGATTTGCCCCTCTGTCCTACCTGCAGATGTTGCTCTCATGGCGTGTATCATGGCTGCAGAGCTGGCATCCCCAGCCCTCTTCATAATTCTTAGCTCTGCAGGTGACTTGATCACCCTCAATTGGTCCAGCATCGGCGCCAGGGGTCGGACTTTTCTGCCCTCCTGAAGCACTTTGACGACATTTTCAAAGTCGGACTTCTTGGCAAAGGCGTCGAATGGGGAGGCCGAAGTGGGGGAGAGAAAGTCGAAAATGTTTCCAGATGCTCCTCCACCAATTAGCGAGGAGCGCCGTGATGGTGTGCGCGGGAACGTCGGTCCTGAAGGCCAGTCCATGTAGAGGTGATCGACTTCGGGCACTGTGGACTTGAGATGGGCGAGCAGCGACGCTGGCTCCATCGCAAAGGCCTCGTCCGCGCCGAAAATGTCAACCGCTCCGTCTATGCCCGTTCTCGCACCATTCCACAGCTCATTGAGCTCATCCCTGGGCGGGACAAACATGGTCATCTTGTAACCCTTTGGGCTGCTGGCCCGAGGATGCAAAATCAGCGCGCAGTCCGGTTCTTGAAAGCCGGTCAGGTACCACAGGCTGGAATCTTGGCGAAAACGATAGAAGATGTTGCCGCTCATGCACTTTACACGCCCGCCCATCACCAGCACGGCACTGTTCTCTGGCAGCTTTTCGCACAGCCTCTTTCGCCTTTCATGGTACTCTTGAGCGGTGATACCAGGTGTGAGCTCGTCATCTGCAACTTGAAAGCCCGAGGCCGCCCCATCGGCAGAAGCGTGCAGAGCATCGGGAGGAGCAGGCCAGTCCGCGCGACGTGGAAAGAGATGAGGGTGCGTGTGGGGCAGTGCTTGCCCGTAAGCCCGCTGTCTACGGGGATTTGGCGCAGGATTGAGACTGCTCGAAGGGCGGCCGAAGCTGGTGGGTGTGGACGCATACAGTGGTCCAGAGGTGGATGTGCTCTGCTCATCGGAAGCATGCTTAGCTGAGGATGAATACGGTCGAGGGAGTCCTGCCGAGCGCCGCAAAGTGTCACAGCATGGCGCAATGGGAGCTTGCGTCGACGTCCACGCTCCGCTGGTCGTGCCGAGTCTGGAGGAGCTGGTGCATCGCCGGTTTAGGGACCTGACCAGCGCAGGTGCGCTGCAGCATGCACTCATCTTCCCAATGACAGCGCTTTTGCCGCTTCATTCGAATCGACGTGGGTGAGCCTGGCAGCGAGACCGCTGGTGCCAAGTTGACCTTGGAGGGAAGGCGAGGCTCTACGTGGTGGTGAGGTGGCGAGGTGATGAAGCGCCATCAGCCGCATCGAACTGATGATGCTTCTGAGCGTGGAGCGGGAGCGCCGAGGAGGATGGAGCATCCATCTTCAGCTTATCCGATTTCGACCATCGCTTCACGTGATTGCTCGCGCGTTGGAGGCTGGCGGGGCTGTGCTAAAACTTCCAAGCGCAGCAGCAGCAGCAGCACATAATGTGCACTTCTACTCACACTCACCCGCCGCGATTTTTGACCTTCACACTAATGACTATAGCTTGGCCTGTTGAGTGAGCCCAGGCAAGATTTTCTTTCCCATTGCGGACTGGTATACACGAGTGTCAATGGCCGGCGAATGTCGCAAGAGGTCAGAAAGTTCGCAGGGCTGTCACTCGTACCCACATCCACCATCACCTCGTTCGCAAGGTGCAGCACAGCACAGCACAGCACAGCACAGCACAGCACCTGATCTGCTCCTTCTTGGCCACTGCCATGTCTTTCAACAATACGATGATGCATCGACAGTCGACCGCCAATGCGGCCTCGCTCGCGAAACAACAAGGTGTCTGTAGCACCGAAGACAATCAAAGCAGCTCCGCAGAGCCATCCAGCCTCGCCGCTGATACTTACCCGCTCTGCCTGTCCGAGTACACACGCTATGGCAGACAACTCATCCTGCCATCGTGGGGCATGCCGTCACAGCTGGCACTCAAACGCAGCAGGGTGCTGGTGGTGGGAGCGGGTGGATTGGGCTGTCCGGCGATCCAATACCTCGCTGCGGCTGGAGTCGGGCACATTACTGTGGTGGATCACGATGTGGTGGAGAGGAGCAACTTGGCGAGACAGATCCTGCACGATGAAGCGACTGTCGGACTGAGCAAGGTGGAGAGCGCCGAGAGAGCGGTGCAGAGGTGAAGGCGCGGTGCGATGCTGCGATACGGCTTGCTTGCTGCTCACAATCCCTCGTGCTGCCCACAGGATCAATCCTCACGTGCGAGTAGATTCGATCGCATCTGCATTCGACAAGACGAACGCCATGCCTCTCGTTTCCTCGCACGACCTCACTTTGGACTGCACAGATAATGTTTTGACTCGCTATCTCATCTCCGATACTGCTGTGCTCTGCAGCAAGCAGGTGGTCAGCGGTGCAGCACAAGGAGTAGAGGGGCAGCTCATGGTGCTCAACAAGAATCCTCACAACTCGGACGCGGCTCCGAAAGACGGATCATCTGCAGCAGGACCAAGCAGAGGGCCATGCTACAGGTGCATGTTCCCCAAAGCGCCCAGACCCGACGATGTGGTGGATTGCTCCGACGGGGGCGTCTTTGGTGGGATCACCGGTCTGGTGGGCACTCTGCAGGCCGTCGAAAGCATCAAGCTGCTCTCGGACATGGGCGCATGTGAGCGGCTCGTGAACTGGCTTGGTTGTCCATACCTGACATGCGACCCCTTTGCATCTTATCGAAACCAGCGACCCCTCCAGCTTTGCTCCTCTGCTCTGCTTTTTCCTATCCGCCTTTTAGATCGATCAAGCTGAGACCTGCCAGACCAGATTGTCGCTCGTGTGGAAATCCTGAAAATGTGGAAAGTCGCATCTCAGATCTAGCACAGGAGGATTATGCGGCGTTTTGTGGCCTCAATGACGTGCGCGGTCAAGGGGGGAGCCGAGGCGGTCGAGATCGGATATCTGTCCAGGTGGGCTGCCCAGAGCATGGTTGTATCGGACGAATAGAGCAGCTGAATATGCAGGAGCATTCGCATTCGCAGGATCTCGCTGGCATTCTGCAAAACGGAGCAGAGACTACCCAAGCCAATCCTCGGTCACTTTTGATCGACGTTCGACCAAAGGTGGAGTACGGCATCGTCAGCTTGCCCAATACCTGCAGTGCGTACAGTAGACTCCTTCCTTCTTCTTGCTTTCGCGGGCTCTAATCGTGTCCGCGTCTCACGATGCGCAGACATACCGTACACCGACTTGCGTCGAAACCCTAGCGAGACTCTTCGGCGCATCCGAACATTGCAAAATAGTGTTGCGCCCATCAGCAGCAGCGGCAACCCTTCGAACCGCAGCACCTCGAAGCAGAGCACTTGCGCATCGAAGGTATCGCCTAGCATCTACTTGCTCTGCAGACGCGGCAATGACTCTCAGATTGCCGCTGATCTGCTTCACGAGGCTCAAGATGAGCAAGCGTCTACGACAGGCAATGAAGAGGTGCACACTTTCGCTGCGCAGCGCGCAGATGGATTCACCTTTGTAGACGTGATCGGCGGGCTACAAGCGTGGAGCAAAGAGGTCGACCCGAGCTTCCCAGTCTATTGACAACAATATGTACATGTATGCATGCATCCATTTCATTGTGTCTCAAGCGTGTTGTGCAAATGTGTGGTGGCTACTTGCCAGGATTGATAATGAGTTGCCCAACGAAACATTGAAAGCAGTCCCGGGACGTGCGAGATGGAAGAGAGATGACAGCTAGGATACATGTGCTAGGGGCTATGTGGTGGTGGGAAGCGAAGTCGAGAGTCGGATCTTCACGACTGAGCGTGCATCGAAAACTTTAAGTGCGCTTGGGGGCAGGAATCAAGACCGGACGAACCAGCGCTCCGGATGCGGTGACAACAGCGGCAGGCTCGATGGGCCTAGGAGTCAGACGATGCTCTTCGATCTGTCTAGGTTGACTCGTCGAAGGCATGGAGTACATGCGTGGAGGTCTGTGGGTCTCGTGATCGGGAGCGTCCTCGTCCATGGAAGGAATGCGGGAGCGGATGCTGGATCGACGAGAGCCAGTCGTCTTGCATGGAGGAAGATAGCTCGAGCCGCTGTTGCTGCTGCTCGATCCCGTCGCCATCTTGATGGATGTAGGAAAGTTTGGGAGGTTTTCGGGATCAGGAACGAAGTGCTCCAGAGCAACAACGAGCGATTGAGATTCAAGGTCCTCGCGAAGTACATCCTCCTGGATGTTCGACGACGTTGGCATCACTGCGACTTCAGTGAGCTTGTTGATGAATGCCGCGCGTGCAGGTGAGATGGCCTTTGGTGCGACGAGTCTGGGGGCGGGTGTGGCAGGAGTGGATGGAGGAGCGGTACTGCCAGGCTCAGTGTCGCGGGCTCGGCCGAGTACCGTTGCAAAAACACCTCGCAGAGAGGGAGGAATTTGGCTCGACGTCGACTTGTCGCGAGCCATCGTCACGACCGACGGAATAGCGCCAGGAGTGGCTGCAATCAGGCGCAGCTTGGACTTTGCGGGACGTGCAGGGACTTTGCCATTGCTTGCAGGACCGAGAGCCGGGCAGGTATGCTCGTTCACCTTTGCGCTGTCGTCTGCTTTATCGGGACCCCAAGATGCTGGTCTGGACAGCGTTCGCGCTTGATGAGCACCAGAATCCATCCTGTCGCGCTCTGCAGCCTGAAGTATATCGCGTGAGGATAGCGGGCCTCTGGAGCTGAGACTGTGCATGAAACGATCGGAGGCAATCGAGGGACCAGAGTTGTAGACTCCACTGACTGTGTAGCGTCTGCGCGAAGCGTCGCCATCGTCGCTCGAAGACCTCTTCTGTTCCTCGAGATCTCTTTCCATTTGTAGTCTCACCGCAACATGAGCAGGCGGGAGAGGCGAGAGGGGAGCAGCGCACGCATGCGAGCTGTCGGTCCGCTGGGCGATCAAGGACGAGCCCAGCTCGAATGGTGATGCTCGCTCAGTCTTTGAAAGCTCCGAGGCATTGTGTTCTACCCAGCGTGCTTGGCCAAGCAGCTGCGGCTTGCTAGGCTGACTGGGAACGTGGTCTACAAGAATAGAGGGACTGCCTAGCGGTGGGGTGGGCGCAAGGCTTCTTCGGATAGCTAGCTCCATATGAGTTTGCGGCTGTACTGTAGCGCGCAAAGCTTTTGCGAAGCGAGAGTGTGCTGCCTTTACAGCTGCTGGGACCTCATCCTCGTCCTTGTGGACCTTCTCCTGGGCAGGACTGCTCGCCGCGTAGCGGTTCGGCGTCACCGTCCCATCGCTCTGGTCGTCTCGGCAGTCGTCCAGTGCGGAAAGCTTTGCAAAGTACGAAGAGCGCAAATGGTTTGACGGCTCTTGGCAATTTTGTCTCGCGTGCGAGTCGCAGACGGTGTCCATGTTCATTTTGGCCTCGTTGGGGCTGCCGTTGTCCGTGGAATTGCCAGTTTCCAACAGAGAAGATTCGGAGAAGCTGAGCGGAGCGTGATGCATGCTCGATGCAGAGGCTTCAGCTTCCTGCGGCGCTTCGGACCTCAGACTCAGGATGGGATGCCCTTTGCCCAAACGGCGCGCGCGAAGTCCCGATTCTTGAACTGGTAGCTGCGACACCTTGCTGTAGCCGAGGTCGGGCAAAGCAATGTCGGCAGTAGACACGGCAATATCGGATCGACCCAAAGGTGCTACGGTCACTACAGCAGTGTTGCGAGCCGCAATAGCTCGGGCTGGAAGGTGGCATACTTCGACCGAGGACTGACTGCGAGGGTGACGAGCAAGAGGAACAGAGGCAGGTTGCTGCTCATTGATGACGCAGGTGGTGACGTCGCTTCCGATTGCACTGACTGCAATGATGGCCGCGCTTGAGCTTGGTGACGAAGCGACTGGTTGCGACACAGCGACGAGGGGACTCTGAGCGAGGTATGCGGGAGGATTGACGGGCGAAGCTGAACCAGATCGAGGTGGCAGTGGGTCGAAGCGATCTGTTGGAGGCGTGGAGGGTACGTCGACATCAAAAGCAGGCCCTGAGCATTTGGCGGGCAACTGCTGCTGAGCGCTCGGGTTAGGAATGACTGGAACGCCCATCGAGAGTCCCAAAGCGCTGTTGCCGAAACCAGTGGCGACCGACCTTGCAGGGACGAGCTGGCTAACGTGACGAAGAGACGCGTGCGAAGTCAGAATGAAGGAGTCGTCGGCGTTGCCCAGCACGGAGCCATTGCAAGCGACGGTCGAAGTGGCTCGATATCGCGGTGATGTAGGCTTGGAAGTGCAAGGCGAGGTCATGACGGTGCTGGTTGGGCTCACACAAGCCGAGTTGAGGCCAAAGGTGTTAGTCTCGTAGGGGGTGGTGCCAGCAGTGCTATCAGAGCTGGAGCTCTCGCTGCTGTGTTCACGCTTGAGGCTAGGTGGGGAAGGGCGTTGGATGCAGCAGTATTCCGAAGCAGATGGACGTCTGTTGATAGGATCGTCGGCGTGGGCGAAAGCAGTGCCGTGCCTCTCTGTCTCTTGCAGCCAGTCGTAGCGACTCTTGTTCTGCTGGGTCAGCTGATACGAGCTAGACCTTTGTGGCACCTTTGGGTATGCTGGTCGAGGTTGAATGGCAGACTGCGGGACGGCCATCTGTAGGTCGGTGACCGAGGTGGTGAAGGCAGGCTTGCTCGCGCCAGATCCATGGTGCATGGCATAGTATGGAGTGGTAGCGGAAGCCGTAGATGTAGGCGCTCTCAGGGCGAAGCAAGGTCCCATGCGAAGCTTGGCTTGGTGGTCAGCCAGCACGCTTGAGCTGCGTGGACGAGGGGATGGGTGAGATTGCGTCACCTTGACTTCTGATTTGTGCGCTTCGCTCGGAAGGTTGCGTGGTGGAAGCGATTGAAGAGTCTGGTGAGCGCCAGAAAAGGGCAGGTAAGCCTGCTCGAAGGCAGTCATCGGTCCAGCGGCCTCGCCAGAGATCCCGTGAATTGCACCGTAGAATGGCATCGCGCGATCAGTGAAGGTGGGTGAACTTTGTTTTTGATCGTGAGTTTGTCGCCCGTCGACGATAGTGTGTGCGCGAAAAGCTGCCACTGGGAGGACCAAAGCAGTCGCAAGCTAAAGAGGTGTCAGGAGCCTATGCAATCCAACCGCGGATGGCAACCTCCCAGTCTCGTTCGAGTGACCACTCACCTTGGGTGCCGAAGGTATGTCGTGAAGATTAGTTCGTCTCGAGTGAGTCGTGGAAGCGTCGTTCTTGCTGCAGCTGGGTAGCTAGAGGGTGAACAGGAAGAGAGTGATGAGGAAGAAAGGACGATAGAATTTCAAGATGGTATACTTATACACCCTTCACATCGTCCACTCTTGCAACAACTTGAGCCATATACAGTGACGTGCACGTCCAAGAGTGCGCAGCACGCGCTTCAAACTGCGAGAGCGCGGAAGCATCTATGCATCCGAGGCGATTGCTTGTCTCAGCTGCTGGCTCCTTCCAACGGGATGATATGTGAGAGAGATTGAGCGCACTGCCGCAGCAACATTTGGTCAGTCAGAGCGAGCGAAGCTGGGACCTGAATCGGCCTGTACCCAAGTGAACGTCACGGAACCAAGCAGACAGAGTAAAGACGCCGAGTCGCGGCGAGCGGCCGACTCAAAGCTCTGCTGCTGAAGTGCGGAGTACCGCACCGGTGACTTTCTCGAATTCCCCGCATGCGATAGCATCTTCGATGGCAGATGAGGGGAAGCAAAGATTGGTTCCGTGTTGTGAGGTAGCAATCCAGGCGGCGCAGGGAGCTCGCCGTTGCTTGACACCGGCAAGAGACGCCAGTGCGTGCGTATCAGCAGGGGGGGGAGCCCGTCCTGTACGCGCATCCAAGTTGCCTGCTGGATGCTGGTCGTGATGGTTGGTTGCATGCATGTGGAAGGTGAGGGCATCAGCTGCCGAAGTGAGCGCGCAGATGACGGACGGGGCGCGCGGGTGCAAAACCTCGACGCGTGCGCGCGGCGCGCCTGCTTCAACGGCTTCCTACTCCGTGCATCAGATCTCTCGCCGCCTTTGCTCACGTTGCTCTTGCCCAACACGACGTGGGGCAGCAGTGCTGTGCAATCGTGAATGTACAGTCTTGATTGCGCCCGATTTGATGAGACACACAACCGCATCATACTTTTCTGCAAGCTGGCTCTCGGGAAAGAGAGAGAGGAAGAGAGAGAGAGAGAGAGATCCCATCGCAGGGAGGTATACCACGTCACGTGATGTTTGCCTTTTTGGTTTTTGGCTCCGCGCGCGCTCGGATGCCTCTCTCGGCCGGCAGCGCACCAGTCTGCAGAGACCTGTTGTAAGCTTTCTTCGGATCAAGATCGAGCTCATGGCGGCGGCGCGCACATACGAGCTGTAGATGATCTGCTTGGCTCACGTCAGGAGGGCGAGTCTCCCTCACCACCCAGCGTCGAATACCGCCTCTGAATAGCGCCAAAATCGCTCGAGCCTAGAGCAAGCCATGAACATGGCCTCCCTCCGCTTTGCTCAGGCGGCGAGGCAGCCTGTCTCCTCTCTGCCAAGCGCGAGCACTGCTAGAAGGTTTTCTGCCCTTGCCTCAGCAAGGTCCATCTATGTCGGTTTCGAAGCATCATCAGCTTCCTCATCGCTGCGAGCACATGGTCGCTGTCATGCAGCCGAAAGTGCGAGATCAAACCTGCTGCACACTCAGGGAAGGCGCTCAATCTTGAGAAATCAAGGAAAAGGCGCAGGGTTCTCTTCAGCCGTGCCCAGCGGCGCACGCGCTCTGTCGCTGTGGTCATTTGGAGGGTCCGGCAACAATTACGAGGCTGCCAAGGAAGCAGGCGCCAGCAGGGCTCACTCGGGGGAGTTTGCAGCAGCCGATGGAGCCTACGTCCCACCACAGGGCGCAGAGGCAGCGTCAAGAGGGTCGTCAGACGCATCTGCCGCATTGGGAGATGCTCTGCAAAGTTCGCGCGAGGCGGTTGGAGACCTGGCGCATCAGATTGGGGATGCTGCGCAAGCGTCGAGCAGTGGTGCCTTGAACAGTGATGCGTACGGCGCCGAATCAATGACGGCGCTCTCGGATGGGGCCGCTGGGCTGGCCCAACAAGCGGTGCAGCAAGCTGAGCTTATAGACTTGGCCGCCATTCAACAAAATCACTGGTTCCTGGTGTCTAGTGCACAGGGGCTGCTCGAGAATGTGCACATTTGGACGGGCCTACCCTGGTGGAGCACAATCATGCTCACCACCATCGCCATGCGTCTCATCATTTTGCCCGTCAGTGCGCGGGGTCAGACCGCTGCCGTCCGCTTGGGTAACATGCAGCCCAAGATGAAAATTATAATGGCAGATCTGGAAAACGCCAAGAAGAGCGGCGACATGATGCTACAAGCAAAGAGCCAGAAGGCGATGGTCAAGCTATTCAGGGACAACAATACCCACCCCTTCAAGCCCATGATAACTCCCCTCATTCAAAGCCCATTGTTCATTACTTCTTTCTTCGCGATACGAGGAATGAGCAAAGGAGGCTTGTCAACGATGCAGGATGGAGGATTCGGATGGGTCACAAATCTCACAGCGGCGGATCCGTACTATGCCCTTCCCTTCTTGGGTATGCTGGCGACTTTGATCACCTTGGAGAGCGGTGCAGAAATCGGTGGAACGCCGCAGACTAGCAACAACATCGCCTGGCGATATATGCTGCGAGGTGGGCTGGTGATGTCCTTCTTCTTCTTCTGCCATCTACCTGCTGTGAGTTTCATGGAGCTATCACCCATTCCTCAGCCCGTACGCAGGCCACATGGCTCATCAGACTTGACCGACTTTGACAGGCGGTATGGGTCTACTGGGTAACCAACAACACCTGGTCTATCGCGCAACTCTTCTTTCTGAATTCAAAGATGGGCCGAACACTGTTCAACATTCCAGACCGTGCTCAGAAAGACAATAGAGTGCCAGAAAAAAAAATTCCTCTGAAGCAGGCTTTCACAGAGGCCGCTGAGAACGGCCTTAACGTCTATCGCGGAGCGACAGGACAAAAACCTGTCTCGCTAACGCGGTCTCGACCCGCGCCCGGAAGGTCGCAACAGGGTCTGTCCCCGGACAGAGAGGCGGCGCTGCGGTCATTCAGCGGAGAATCATCTCCATCGCCATCACCTCACACAGCGTCCAAGCAGTCAAGTGATTCGCAAGCCGCGCAACAGCAACAAAGACCTTCGAGTGCCTTGTTCGATTCTGACCTCACCGCATCGGGAGGGGATCAAAAGAGGGGACGTGCAGAAGCGAGACCGCTGCGAACTGCCCAAAATCCGAGCGAGCGGGCCGAAAGAGAGGCGAGAGCGCGAGAGGAGAGGCGGCAAGCTGTCGCTGCCGCGAGCGCGAGGCATCAGCCAAAGCAAAAGAGGCGAATTTAGAGGCGATTGCCCTTCGTTGACGGATCGTCTCAGCCTTGTATCATTTTGCCCGCTCAAACTTCCTGGGAGTGGGCACGGGATAGTAGCCATCATCTTCCCATCACGGCGCAATATCACACGATTGTTTGAGATCGCATATAGAACAAGCACGTTGCAGTCGGATGTCTGTTGTTTACAGGATGTGACGTGAGGAGCCTCAAGGGGCCAAGCAGAGAAGCAGAGGTAGTCGCGCGGTGATGATTCATGTGAGGCAAATCACAAAAGGTCGAAGTCGTCCAGCTCTCCGCTGTACTTCTTGATGGTGCGCTTGACGGCAGACTGATCCACCCACGAGACGCTGCAAAAGAGGGTGCGATGAGAGGAATTCGCGAGGGGTGTGAGCATACATGCGCTTCGCGACAACGAGGGTGTCCACAAATGCTGCTGGACGGTCCCCCACTTACAAGTCCTCCAAGTTCCGCGTGACTGCAAAGGCTGCGGTAAGTGGAAGGGAAAGATCAGCCTCGAGAGTCAGTGCTGGATTCAGGCGCCAGACGCGCAAGAGGAGAATCGGATCGCGCCACACACCTGGGTCTGTGATCACATCTGTGCCAACCCTGACTTGGCCTTTCTCCACATGCTCTACGGCCTATAGCGATGTACAGAGAGCATTGATGCTGTAAGCAAGAGCGAAATCACACAAAGCGAGCCAGAACATGTAGCAGTCTGATAAGAATCCTACCCGATGTTAGACTCACCTGTTTCACCGTTTCGCTCATTTTGAGCCCGACCATGACCACCGGCAATCTCCTTCGAGCGAAGCTAGAAACGTTGAGCTTCTCGAGCACGTCGCTCATCTTGGCACCAGTAGTCAGCAAGCCCATATCGTACAGCTTCGCAAGCAGGCTCTCCTCTTTGGCGTGCCTAAAAGGGTCCTGGGCTGGCAGCGTGGATAAGCGCAGAGCCAAATGTCGTATCCTTCCCAAAAGCTTGTTGTATCGATGATAGTCGTCTCGGTCCTGGATATGATAGCGCCTCATCACCTTCACCTCGCGCTCATTCGCATCGCTCTTCCAATTCAGAAAGTCGTGCTTCTTGAGCAGACGCTGCTCGTGATGCTTCAATTGTCGCATCTTGCCTGCGACGTTCTTTGGCGCGGCTGAACAAGAAGAATCGACTGAGTGACCTCCGCTGGCCAGTAGCGGTCAAACCTTGAGCGATGGAGTAGGAAAATGGGCCCTTGGCGCGCCGTCGAGTCTGCAAAGTGCTGGTAGTAGTTGCTCTTAAAGGACGATCACTCGACTCACGATCGCAGCTTAGGGTCTCGACTTGGACTGGTCCATCCTGCATGGAGGATGCTGGACGGCATCCAAGGTTCGAACCACAAGCCAGGACCCGCCAAAATTTACCTGGTGCAGAAGGTCACGTGATACGCTCATCCATGCAGGCGGATCATGCTCGGCGCGGAGACCGTGCGCTGCTTGACCGCCGCGCGGTTGCATCGTCGCGCGGCTTGGGAATTGCCGTGCGTGCGCGTGAGCTTTTGCTGCATATCGGTGTGCAGCCCATGCAGGCCGTGTGCCGCCTCTGCGACAGCAAAAGCAGGCACGACCCACGATCGAGCGACCAACCTGTCGTGGACGCCGAAAGTCACACATGAATGCGTCACTCATTCTCTCATCATCATCATCATCAACAGTCATCAACAGTCATCAACAGTCACGAGTCGCAGTGAGATACCAAGGAAGGCTCTCACTCGGAGACAATCGCTCAACATGATTCGCACTGCAGCCGCGCCGCTGCTCAGGCAATCGGCCACACTATCGGCTTCGAGAATCGCCCTGTCACCCAGAGCTGCCGCTCCCTTTTCTACCAGTGCCCTGCGAGCCAGCTATGAGGACACGATCAAGAACCTGTTGATTCAAAAAGACTCCAAGGTGAGTCACTTGCGGGCCCTAAATACTCATCGCGAGCATTCATCGACGCCTGCGTCTCGCTTGCACAGGTCATCTGCCAAGGCTTCACCGGAAAGACTGGTACCTTTCACTGCAAGCAGGCGCTCGAATATGGCACCAAGCTAGTCGGAGGTGTCTCTCCCAAGAAGGCCGGTCAAGAGCATTTGGGCTTGCCAGTGTTTGGAAGCGTTAGAGAAGCTGCGGACAAGACCAACCCTCACGCTAGTGTGCTTTACGTTCCTCCCCCTTTTGCTGCCGATGCCATCATTGAGAGTATCGAGGCAGAGATCCCGCTCATCGTTGCTATCACCGAAGGTATTCCTCAAGCTGATGAGATCAGGGTGAGTAGTGCCTATGTGCTGAGGTTCGATGAGCGTGGACGAGTCATGCCACTCAGTGAGAAATGCCTTGATCCTTTGCACCCATCAGGTCGCGCACGCACTCAAAGCGCAGTCCAAGTCTCGATTGGTTGGACCGAACTGCCCAGGCATCATCAATCCCGAAGGCTGCAAGATTGGCATCATGCCAGGTCACATTCACTCTCCAGGCAAGATTGGTGAGTAGAATATGCTTGCAATTGCGACCATGTCGCACACCTCAATCGCTCTGACGGGCCCCATCCGGCACATATTCTCCTCCTGTGCAGGCATCGTATCGCGTTCGGGCACCTTGACATACGAGGCTGTCAACCAGACGACCAATGTTGGTTTGGGACAGTCGATCTGCGTGGGTATCGGAGGAGACCCTTACCCTGGCTCCACAACATTGGACCTCGTCAAGCTGCTCCTTGACGATCCCAAGTCTGAGGGTCTGGTTTTGATCGGAGAGATTGGCGGCTCGATGGAAGAGGATGCAGCAGAATATTTGGAAAAGTACAACAAGACCAGAAAGAACCCCAAGCCCGTAGTTGCTTTCATCGCTGGTAGAACCGCTCCCCCTGGCAGACGTATGGGTCACGCAGGTGCGATTATTGCCGGAGGCAAGGGTGGGGCGGACGACAAGGTCAGAGCGCTGGAAAAAGCCGGTGCTATCGTCGCTGACAGCCCAGCCAAGATCGGTGAACTGTGAGTGCGAGGGAGGGAGGATGGGGAATGCAAGCTATGCATACATCTGACAAGGCGCTCTGCCTCCCATTCAAACAGCATGAAGAAGGCGATGCAGGAAGCAGGTCTCGCGTGAGGCACTCGCTCGCACTGCCTTTCTCTTCTACCAACTTGACACACGGAATAGAAATGCGATCTTGACCAGCTGTAGCATGGACTCGGGTGCCATTGTTGGCCCCGAAAGCTGCTCAGAGCGACCAAGCTTCGGATGCTGCGCGCCATGCGTCAGTGCGAGCGTCACGAGCGTATCGCGTCTAGAGAAAGAGTATACATTTCGTTGATGAAAAGATGGGGGTCAAATTTGTATGACGTCTCGCACGAGCTTTTGCGGCACGAGCGATTCTTTGGCTCGCAGCATGGCAATCTTTTCATCAGCTAGCGCCTGAGCAGGCGATATCCTGGGTCTTTGCCTTTCCCACGCCGCTCTGCCCCACGCCCACATGAGATCGAGCAGCAGTGAGCCTTGTGCGAGACCCCAGACCAGTGTGATCGCATCTGTGGTTCCAGCGAGCAGGTGTACCAGGGGGAAAATAGAGCTCAGCACCACAAGACAACGATCAGCTCGTCGCGCGCGCTCGCGACTCTGCGATGCCTCCGAACGAAGAGAAGCTAAGCTGAACACACTCACAGTAGAAATTGGCGTTGCCTGAGCCTGCCTGAAGCCACAAGTGGTGAAAGGTGGGAAGGAGCAGGGTGGCGTAGAGGTACAGAAGCACAGACACTGTAGGATAGCGCAAATCTGGTGCATCACAAGGTGTGCGAAGAGGTGTGAGCTCGGTGGATCCTTTTCGCATGCGGCTTGCAGAGAATCTCTTCGAGCTTGAGCAGTGCGTACTCACATGGCAGCAAATCTACATGGAGAGCCACGAGCGCCAGAAAAAGAGAAGTGTCGCCCATTGTTGGGTAGCTCTTGAATGCGCTGATCACCCCACTCAAAGCGGTGACAGCGAACAAAGGGTCCGAACTGGGCAAAATTTCGTCATTGAAGTATCAGCTCTCTCCCTTGTGCGTAAAGAGCCGAGAGTCACTCACGAATACTTGATAGTCATGGGAGCGGTATAGGAAGCCAGATGGACGTTGAAGACCAGCAAGAAGAAATTTCTGAAATGATCGAAAATTTCGATGAAGAAGTACCACCATAGACCAATGTTGGGCGTCAAGTCGGGGAGCAGAATGATGGGACTGTACACGCGCTCCAGAAATCGCCAAGATGAACCGGAGAGGTGATAGGAGGCGTAGAGTCCTCCGCTCAGCGTTGCGAGAAGTGCCAAAGAAGTCAAGGAGGCATGCAGAATCGGCCGTGCCGAAGGGGATCGTTGAGCGCAGAGCATCAGAAGAGGAGGCGCGAGCAGGATGGGAGTCAATGATGACAGCGTTGCGCCGGCCAGAGCAGTCGTTGTCAGTAAACGAGAGCCTTAGCAAGGGGCGTAAGAGATTGAATCAGCGATTCAATTGGATCGCTGCTAGGGCAGAGCCAGCTCGCCAATTGCTGGACGGCTCACCTGTCAATGCACCGAGTGTGCTGAGCAAGACCAGAAGATTGGTCAATGGTGAGGCTGATTTGGCAAGGCACGACGCAATGGTGTAAGGAGAGAAGAGGTATCTGTGGAGAGATTTGGGTGTCAGACGCATTGGTCATGAGCATGAAGTCGGCGATGACTTCTTCTCAGACTGGTTGCAGTGCCGCTCTTGTCTTCTTGACGGGTCTGGACCCGACTCTCCTGGAGCACTCACAATGCAGCGGCGACATCGGGACCAAGCGCAGGTGAGCCTTGTAACATCCCCTTGACGCTGTTCCTGCTTCGCACAGCTGCGCAGCTAGCCAGCACCAGTCCCGCAACCAAGTCCACCGTGGCCCATAGCCAGATCTCCTTGTGCTCGTCTCCCAAGAATGACTCCAGCACATACACCAACAACGGTGATACGGGATTATCGCCAGCGTAAGGATGAGCATGCGATGAGGAGCCTGCGGCGATCCATCGCGAATGCAACCATGATGCTTCCCGTAGGGCGAAGAGGGAGCTGATGGGCACTGATAGCTCTGGTCTGCGTGCCAGCTCCAAAGACTTTGAAAGGGGGAAAAGGAGCACGCGCAGCGCTGTCGCTAATGTTAGCACGACTATGAGACGTGTTAGCGTCGCGGATGAGGACGACATGCTTGATTGTGGCTTGCAGGAGGTCCAGCTTGTTGGTGAGGCAGAACGGTCCGCGTGCCAAGCGCTCACGGCGTCTGTAGCTTGGACTGATGAAAGTTGAAGCGGCTTTGCAAAGCACCTGCACTCATCCAGAATGAGGCGCGCGAGTCCAAAAGACCCAGAAATGCGAATTGAATGCGAATGGTGGTGGTGAGGAGCGCCTCTGAACGTCGGCGACGAACGAGCACAACCCATCGCTCCATCATCTCGGTGCACCTTTCACTTCTTCGCGAGATGCTGGTGGTCCCCATGCACGCCGCACACACAAGTGAGGATGCGTGCATGCGTGCATGGCGTGGATGGACGTGCACGCAGCAGCAGGCGGCCCGGGCTTAATGAAATCTTGAACGAGCGCGCACGTGAGGCTGTGCTCGCGGTCCCATGCAGCTAGCAGCATACACCCATGGCATGTGCAAGTCTGGAGGTCAAGCCATCCAGGCGGCAGCCATAGGTCTTGGCATGCCTGCTGGCGGTGATCGCAAACACCTCTCTATTCACCATCACCTTCATTCGCACCTCTGTTCATCGACTCTTTGCGGCGCTGCCGTGCTGCAGTCCGGGGACGACTTGCTCGCCTCAACATGTTTGCCAATCTACCCGAAACAGAGAGGGAAGCATTCAAAGGGCTGCTGGATGAGTACTTTGCCTCCCGTCCGCACCTGCTAGCATCTGCCTCGACGTCCACAGCCACATCGAGTACCCAGAGTCCCGTGCAGACGTACAATCAGATATCAAGTCTGGCGAATAGAGCGAGTCAGTTGGGCATCGGTCAGAACGCGGGCAGCAATGGACCTCCTCCACCTCCAGCAAGCCGCAAACCTGGGTCAGCACCTTTGGCGGGACTCAGCACTGGCAAGGTGAGGAGAATTTTGCGGGTCAAGTCGCATGCTCGGGAAATGTGTGGTTACCTCGAAGCGGATGTAGCCGCGTGGCACTCGCTATCTGATGCTGGCACAGCATTTCACTCGGTACGCTTTGTGCCAAGGATCGCAACTCGAAGCTGACGCACAGACACATCCGCTCGCACAGGCCATCGGCGGCTTGAACACGACTTCGAAAGCTGCAGCTTTTGGATCGATGTTTGGTGGATCGAAGAAAGGTGATGCAGCAAGCCAGGATGCGTCTTCTCCTCCTCCTCCCACTCGCTCCGCAGCACCACTCCCGCCAACTCGGAGAGGCCTAGGTAGAGCAGTCGCCCTGTACGAGTGAGTTGGTTCATCTTTCCTACTCTGCAGCGAGTCGACCGTTGCGCTGTCACTTGTGCATCAGAGCTGACTTGTCACGAGTGCGACCGCTCGCAGCTACGATGGAACAGAAGCGGAAGATCTGCGGGTAGGGGAAGGGGAAGAGGTGGAGCTGATGGAAAAAGTGTCAGAGGATTGGTGGAGGGCCAAAAGCTCGGACGGCAGGCAAGGCATCGTACCCAGCACATATCTCCGACTCTTGTGACATGCGCGACTCTGCAATCGCATTGGGCACTGTTGACCTGACTGTTCTGATATGCGAGGAGGGTCTGCTATTTTGCGCTGCGTGCGATGCGGTGTGGTGCGGTGTTGTCAGGGCGCTGGGCGACCAGAGGTCATTGCAGGAGCCAGGAGCGGGCGAGCAGAATATCGTCAGCTCCCTGGTCACATCACTAGTGGTTAATGCAAGAACGAGAGCTGCGGCGAGATCAAGCTGTGCGCATGGCCATGTGTCCGGATGACCTTTCAGCAGCAAAGGCGCCATGAAAACTTGGTGCAGTGAGTCAGTGAGTTAGTCAGTCAGTCGGGGCCAGGACGGCTGGTCAGTCAAACGAGCCACGCGGTCACGCGCGTCGTGGGGGTAAAGGTAAGACGTGTCAAAGTAAGGGGCCGCAAATCGTGGTGCGACTGAGCGAGCTTGATGGTAGCGGTCGTGGTCCATGCCGATACCCATCTTCACGATTGCGGCGCGCATTCATTCTTGGAATGACTCACGACTCAAGATCCCCTGCTCGTCACGACGACTGCAACGTGAGACTCGACCGCCTTGAACATTTCTGTCGCGCTGAAACCCTCCACTCGTGATTTTTAGTGGGGTCTGCACGCATGCCCGCATGATCGGAGGCTGTCAGTCGCCGCGAGTCCTCGCTTCAGCTCATTCTGCTCGCCTTCGTCTTCTCTTTACCTCATTTCTTCACGATCCTCATCTCCCCCCAAAGAACGGAACACCGGCAATAAAACTTGGAGCAGGAATAAGCTGCCGTGAGTGGAGGGAACCATCGATGAGTGCGAGTTCACTCGCGCTTGCTATAAGACTGCGATGTGTGAGGAGGGCAATATCATCAGCGACATTCCAAGACTCGATCATGTCCCCTCTTATGAAGAGTTTTTGGTGCGTACGCTCAGTCACGCTTGTCGATGCAGCATAGAAATATGCCGTGCTGTTCGGGTCAGGGCGAGGCACGCGCTCATCAAATGCAGCCTTTTCCGCTTTCGATTTGATTGTGATTCAGAATGACTATCTGAAGGCCAATCGACCTTGCATCTTGCCTGCTGCCCTCGTAGCCCACTGGCCGGCTCGCCGATGGGCTGACGTGGGCGAACAGTCATCTACTGCTGGCTTCAGCGATGAACCCACTGGAGAATTAAGCAGAGCCTTCGACGTCCTCGCCTCGAAATTCGGAGATTACACTACGCCAGTGGTACTCAGTGGCACAGGTGCTGCTGACAAGGAGGAGGAGAAAGCATATGGTCATGAAGAACGCGAAGAGATGAAGCTTGAGGAGGCCGTGAAGCTTTTGAGATCGGGCGGAGCCAGCTACGTCAAGGACTTTCATCTGGTGCAGCAGCTCGAGCAGAGGGGCGCAAAGCGCGAAGAAGTGTACACTACGCCATGTATTTTTGCAGATGATTGTGAGAGCGGCTCTCCTCATGACCCGCACGCACGAAGTCTATTACTGGGCACTGATGCGCATCCGCTTGGGTATCGCTATCCCGTAGGGACCAACAATATTGAAATTGGCGAGGATGATTTCAGATTCTGCTATGCCGGCGTCAAAGGTAGCGGGACGTCACTGCACAGAGATGGTAAGCAGTGGGCCGTGCATTTAGCTGGTTCAATGCTCTGAACAGCATTCCCACCCGAACAAATTCGTCCTCGCTTGCCTTGCAGTGTGTGAGTAGGAGGCGACGAGTGCACTTGCGAAATCATTAGGCTGAAAAGACCTGCGGGTGCGAGTCGACTTTGCTAGACACGAGCTACTCTTGGTCCACCAACATCATCGGCCGAAAGAGATGGCGCTTCTTTCCTCCGCAGGTCATCTCAGGTCTACGTCGTGGGTGTTGCAGGTATCGCAATCAATAACCAACATCACTTGTCAAACCTTTTGTTTCCATCCCGCCAGGCTTCCCACAAGTCGTTACCTCACAGACTGCCTCTTCCGTATCGCAGCTAGACGGGGCCGCCGCACTCGGACAGCTGGGTCCAGTGCGGGATGGAAAGATGGGATACGAGGATTGGCAATGGGCCCGCAAGTACTGCATCGAGATCGAGCAAGAGGCGAGTTGACCCATTGCTGGTCTACGTCGCTTCAAACACCTTTGCTCGGATGTATGTGCAGGGCTGATGTCGTCGAATTGCCCTTTCCTCGCGGCGTGTCGTAGGACGGAGAAACGATATTTGTCCCTAGCAATTGGTATCACGAGGTTCTGAACTTGGAGCACTGCATTTCGGTGCGTATGTGTCATGCTGTTCTATCATCTGTATCCTGAGAACTTGTTGACCTTACCCACCTGCTCGTGTGCAGTTGAACCACAATTGGATCAACTCGAACAACCTTTTGTCCGTCTTTCACTCTCTGTGCGGTGCTATAGAGGCCACCAAAGAAGCTTTGGTGGACGTCAGAGATCTGTTGCAGTCTGCGGACCAGACGAATCGCACTGTATCGTGGAAGAAGGCGTGGTACGAACAGGTAATCGGTGTTGTGGAAATGGATCAAGGATGGGCTTGGCCAGGCTTTTGGCGAATGATTAGAAGGGCGCTCGAGCATCCGCCAGCTGAGGTACGCTTCCGAGGCTGCGCTGACAAAGTTCGACTGGTCCACAGCTCACTTTGCCACATTCGCCTGCTCCAGTCACATCTACGACCGCCAGATGCAGAAGTGCACGCGATCGTCGCAAATTGTTTGAACTTGTTTGCTTCGCGCGAAGAAACATCCTTCTTGGCCTCTCAGGTCATCGAGGATGCTGCGTATTGTGCGCGATTCGCTGGACAGACTTTCGCAATAAACAATTGACATATTCTGAAGCGCCTTTGAGCGAAGTTCTACGATGCAGCTTCAGGTCGCGTCCAAAGCATTGCGATGGAATCTTCGAGACCCTCGCTTGTTACCTTTGCCAGCTCCTTGTAGCCGTGCTTCTTGTAGAACGGCACGGCGGACGGCGTTGGAGCGGCGAGCAGAAAGATGTTGTGTACATCTTCTTTTGCGCTTGCTTCGGCGATGTGTCTGAGCACGAGACTCCCAGCGCCGGTCCGTGCATGGCGTGGGGACACGCCCAAGATTTCCACGTCTGTTGTGACAGACAATGGAGTGGCCAAGCAGCGCAGGTGCTTCAGTCACGAGTACACGCTAAAGCCTGCTGTAGGCAGGCACGTCGAGATGTCCTCGAGAGCAATGCGGAGCTTTACATTCATCAGTCACTCACACGCATGTCTGAACTTTCCGGCATACTGGTGATGTGCCTTGTCAAAATTGGAAATCATATTCTTGTACAGATCCATGCGAGCGTCCGAGGGATACATGGCCATGATCCTGTCCAGCGCATCGTCCTGCTCTTCGGCATCCTGCGCTTCCACACGCTGCTGCTTCTCCATCTCAACATCGACGATTCTCCACTCCACAAATCCAAGCAGCTGCTCTTCCTCTGCGACTTTTCCGGCCGCATCGACCGCATCTCGCACCACCACCTCCATTCTACCTTTTGGTCTTTTGCCGCTTCGAACTTCCTGTAGACTGTGCCCGATCCGTGCACTGCGGGCGCGAATCAGACCTTCCGTGATGCCCGATGGAAAGACATTCTGCATCATGGGCACAAAGCCGTGAGCGAATATCCAGCCAGCTTCATCCACGTCTCTAGCTTCCATCGGTCTGATCCTCGGCTGTCCGCTCGACATCTTTGAAGGAATGTAGTCTGGCTTGCAAATTATTTGTGAGTGGAGCGCTCAAGTTGTGAATCCAGAAGAAGAACAATTACTCAAAAATCAGGCCCAGCTGTCGTGGTGGAGGAAGAAGAGCGACAAGTGCTTCACTAAGCTTGTCAGCTGATCCGTACAGTCACAGACCCGTGCAGTACATTAATTAGGGTCCGGTCCTCCCATCGCTGCAGCATGACGGGACGCAAGGAACGCAGGCTGCATGAAAGTATAGCATGCACTGCATGCTGAGCAAGATCACAAGGCACCGGCGCCGCGGCCTAACTTGCGTGGCTGTCAATTGCTTCATGCAGCAATCACAATCGACAACCCGTGGATCAGGAAGTGGTGAGTTTGACAGGAGGTCTTGAGTGACAATCATACGACATTTCTCTTCGATAGAATTCGCAAGCCATGGCCAGAAACGCGATTTGTACAGGCAGCGTATAGCAGGAGACGTAGACAAGCACTGCCGTTTCCGAGGTGACATGACATGATGCCAAGGCCTTGACGGAGCGCAGGCCGGGGCGCTGACTTGACAACCACAAGAGCAATTGGAACTCCAGATTCAGACGTCGACTGAACCTCAAGATTCAGACGTTGTTGCCGCGCGAAAAGTAAGCTTTTGCTCCATGCGTAGCAAATTCGGACTTTGCTTGCGCGAAAGTGTGGCCCTCTGCGTCGGATTAAGGATGTTGTCAGCTGAGATCATTGCTGGACCAACAAAGGCGAGCGCCATACTCACGCTCTTTGTTGTGCTTCCAGATGAGGCGGTAGTACCACAAATTGCCCAAGCCCTGAGCGGCGAAGCCAATCGTGACAACTGCGTGTAGAGGCGCATCGAGGTCAGTCGCTTAGTCGGGCCAAGCGCTTTGGTTGGCTTTGCTCACTGATACCGAGGATGCCCGCCACAACTTGATTAGGACCAAAGGAAAGGCAAATATTAGCTGGAACTCCTATGCGGGGGTGAAATCTCGAGTAGACACGCACTGCTCCTGTGATTGTCGTCAGTGAAGGAGTAAATGGTGTTCATCAAGCCTGCAGAACCAGTGGCAGGAATGCCTAGGACAAGATACAAAGAGAAGACCACTGCGGCGTGAAGGAGAGGAGAGACATCAGCCGCCTTCCTGGAGCATCAGCCTTGCCGCCAAAGGCCTACTCACGATGAAAGCCGCAGCTGGCAGACCGCGAGCATCGAAAATGTCAATTGTTAGAAACAAATGCGTGGGAAAAGGATGTCAAACAGTACCCACAAGCTGTTGGCAGGTGCGAATGTTGGGTCAGCATTACTTTTCGCATCGTTCGCAGTCTCTGCGCGCTCTACTCACACAAAGTACAAGTCTGAATAGCAGAAATCAATGATGCAGCGGAAGTAAGCTCGATGTGCCGTGACAGCGCGCAATCAGTGGGACAGCACTCTACCCACAATAGAAAATGGAGTGTTCTTTCATGAAGCCATTGTAGATCGGCCTGTACCATGTCAAGAAGCTGAGCACTCCAATCACAGGAAGGTAGATCGCTGACGTGATGATATCCTTGATGCCATCCGCTCCGCGCCCGATCAAGAATACGCATGCGACCACCTAGATCTCGAGCAGAAAAGACGTGTATCAGTTGCGAGCCTACCCAGCAGGCCGTCGTGACTCACATTTACAATCAAAGTTGCTAGCAGCAACAGCCATAGCCAGTACAGGTGCGTCACGACCTGCTGGCTGGCCGGAGGGATCTCGGATGAGATGTCATGATAAATCAATGGAAAGACTGCAGGGTGCATGCGTACGGGGTCGGTATCAGTTCAGCCGCGAATAGAAAGCGGCAGCAACGCCGCGTGGTCGGAATTCATAGCAACCTCAAGAGCCGCCGAAGCGCCACTCGGTTTCACGACTTGCATCCCTGATCAGCGCCCGTGGATATACCCGCAACAAAGAAGCCAGCAAGGTGATCGAGCGCGTGCTCTGACTAAGAAGCGGTTGATGCTGTTGGACAGCCTCCTCACGGTTCACGGACACCGCTTGCCGGATGCGACTCCAGCTCATTCAACTTGAATCCCTTTGTGCCACCCTATATTACTCACAGAAGGGCCAGTTATTCCTGCCAACCTTTCTGATAGTCTCTGCACGCTGTTCTAATTCAGCCTCCCTTCGAGCGAGAGCCTCCTCCCTTCTCCGAATCTCCTCCATTTGGGCGGAGCTTTGTCCACCGCCTGTGCCTCTGGCAGCGCTAGAGGGGTACTCTGGCGCATCATCGTCGAATGCCGACTTTGGCGTAGATACTGAAGCTCCACCACCACCGTAATTGTACGGCTCATCCGGCTCGAACGTCCTCTGCCCACTGGAAAGGGCGCCCTGGACTGCGGGGTCCGCAAAAGGGTTAGCGTCTAGCGCGCTGCGATCACTGAATGGGTCTGAAAAGACCGAAGGTTCAGGTTAGCGTCGGAAATAGCATGTATGCTGAACTGAAGAGGTCCAAACTCACTAGCCATCTTTGCCAGAACCTATTCCCTAAGGACCACTTCTTAAGGCCACTTCGACCTGCCGGCTGTGTGCGCAATAGAGACGGTGGGACTCAATGATGACCACAATCACTGAATGTAGTAGGCGAGCGTGACTTCTGCTGCGGTAAGCTTGGCAGCGAGATCGATGCTAGAACGAGTGATGCGCTGAACCTTGGTGGTTGGCTTGGAGAGGCGATAGAGATCGTGGTTTGACCCAAGTCTGCTGCATCGATCGCACGATGAACGTCCGCTGCTGGCGTGACCTTACAGCCCGCCGCTGCTGCTGGGTGACATGCATGGCTGTGCGGTCAGGCGTCACCGGTCGGCGTCCCCCTTGACACGCTGCGCCGCGACGCGACCGAGGGCACGGGGGCACGCCAAGGACGGGAAACAAGCTCAACGCGCAGCGCAGCGATTCTTTGAGTCACGTGGCATTCAGCTCGGCCCTCGTAGCCTTCATCTGGACAGCCACAATCAGTCCGCCCACTGACGGCCGGCTGACCGCAAAGGGGCCGCCAGTCAGACGTACAATCACAATCAGAATCAAAAATCACGAATCGTAAATCGTGTAGCCATGCTTGATCACGGTCCCTCTCGGCGGCAGCTCGAGATGCGCCTCGATCGTTCGGCAATTCGCACGCGCACGAGAAGGCAACTTCGGCGCGTTTGCTGTGGTTGCAGCGCCGTGCAGCGCATACACTCGCGACTCACCACTCAGCAGTGACTGCTGTGCCGGTATATGTACCGTACCTACAGTCCGTGAGTCAAATGCGGCCCCTCACGCGTGCCCCCCAACGCTAGGTGGATCACCATCGTCCTTGTAGCTTGCATCATTCATCAACTTGCCTTGCACGGAGCGCATGGGTACACAGCGTACCGATGCACGCCGTTCGCGGGCAGAGCAAGTCGATGATGCTCTCTGATTGAGAGCGCATCGACATCGGCCCAAGTAGGCGAGCCTGCGCGTGCTGAGCCCAACGGCCGAGCCGTTGTACCAGTGGGCGTCGATGCTTGCCCTCTCAACCATGCTAGTAGTACTTGTTTTACAGGGCGTCTACAGTTGCGCTATGTCAGCGCTTTTGTTGCCCTAGCGCCTGCTCTCGACCCAGCGGCCAGGGGATGCGCAGCGAGGCTGCTCGCCGGCGTCTTCTCCTTCTACCCCTCCCGATGACACACAGCGCCACTCGCGAGGGCTAGAACGGTGCGACCGCTTGCCGCATACGGCTCATCATCCACAGGCCCGCCTTCATCATGACAGCTTCTATGACGGCCAAGCTGGCCCGACCGTATGGATAGTGGCTGAACGCTACAAAAGTCCCAAGGGTCCCCGGACCGCAATGAAACGTCCACTTCCCCGCCGAAACTCTGCACTTCCTGAAGGATTTGGTCGCGGCCTGCTCGACCCTGCTCACGCTCTCCATCATCGCAGAAGGTGTTGAGGCTCGAATCGTCATACATACTCGAGGCTATCACACGCCCAGAGGCAGCCTCGAGGGCCTCGAGAGGCAGGATCTCGGACACCTATCGTCACACACCGACTTCAGGATGCTTCACCTCATTGGCGTATTGCTCCGGTCTCTCGTCGTGCTGAGTCTCGTTGCGACACGTACTCGAGCGCTTTTTTATCCGCCGAATACAATTCAGCTCACTCCTTCATCTGCTGACTCTCCAGCGCATAACACTCCCACCGCTGCCCCTCGCCCGGCTGAAATCGAGACAAGTTTCGGTACTCTCGCACGCGGATACATCATCGAACTCGAGCCCTCGGCTTCGCTAGCAGACTGGAGGAGTTGGGCGCAGCAGACACGACCGCAAAGCACACGATCCTATTCCGCGTCCACTTCCTCACCGCAATCGACTTCTGCGCAGCCCGAGCCAACACCAATTTCTTGGAGCAGTGTCTTTCTATCGCGCCTGCTGCCACGATCAGCCTTTGCTGCTCAAAGGCCAGACTCCTCCACGGGTTCGACATCCAAGCGCGCTACGCCAAGTGATGTCAATGCTGAAGGAGCACCTGGCTTAAGCTTTGAAATTCGCCACGAATTCGATGATCCTACTCTACTCTACGGGCTGTCTATTAGGGTCGTTGGCTACTCTGCCACTTCAAAATCAGCCAACGTGACGGGAGGCGCCAGTAGCGACACCAATGCTTTTTGGTCGCCGCTCAAAGATACTGAATTGCTCAAAGCTATCAAGGGTGTGATCCGAGTTAGTCCGATCGCCCTAGTACCTGCTCCGGGGCCTTACGACGGCGTTGAGCAAATCGCCTCAATCAACGCTTCGACAGCTGCTTCAGACTCGCGCAAGGGCCCCTTGGACACCATTGGAGCAGCTGCATTGCACGCCGAAGGTATCACAGGATCTGGCGTACGGATTGCCATCATCGATACCGGTGTCGACTGGCGGCATCCATACCTAGGCGGAGGCTTCGGGCCGGGCTTCCACATCTCCTTTGGATATGACCTTGTTGGCGACGACTTCGACGGCCTCAACGACGGCGTCGCTGACAGAGACCCATTCTCTAGTTGCACACCTCACGGCACCCACATAGCCGGCATCTTGGCCGCGACGACTCCGACTGATCCTGCTCAAGCAGACAAGAGCTTCAAATTTAGTGGAGTCGCTCCAGACGCTCAGGTTGGCGTTTATCGTGTCTTTGGATGCCAAGGAGGCACTGCTAGTGACATTGTCATCAAGGCTTTGCAGCTTGCGCACGAGGATCAGGCCGACATTATCACGGTAAGGATCATCGAAGGTAAACGCCCCGACAGAGGCGCCGTGCTGAGTCTAAATTGACCCCTCGATACCAGATATCCATTGGTGCGCCCGCTGGCTGGACGGATACGCCCATTGCCAGGATGATTAACACGATCTCACGCAAAGGTCGCATGGTCACAGTGTCGGCGGGCAACGATGGCGATGTTGGACTCTTCTTTCAAAGCACCCCTTCAGTAGCTACAACAGCGCTCTCCGTCGGCAGCACCAACAATGCTTTCCTCACCACGTACAACGCGACGTTCTTGGATGGCTTGGAGCCTCCAATTGTAAGCACTGCGAGCTACTTCTTGATTGCGCAGGCTTGACTAATTCGCGCTCGTTCACTCTAGCCTTACTTCGCAGCTGTGCCGTTTAATGCTCACGATCTGGCCGTCTGGCCATTTACTGACAGCGCGTTCCCACACATGCTGGTTGATGGATGTGGGCCCCTTCCCGATGACGCGCCTCCCGACTTCACCAACGTTGTTGTGCTGGTGACGCGGGCCGGCTGCTCGCTCGTCGCAAAGTATCGAAACTTGGCCAAGAATGGCATCGACTACGTGCTGCTCGCGAATAGCGGCTTATCTCCGTTCTATGCCACCACTAGCGGCATACGAAGCGTCGCGCTGATTGAAGCCATTGACGCGCAGCGGGTGAGCGCTGGCACCATCGGACATCGCAATGTCAATTTCGGCTGACTCTATACGTCGGTGCTTGTACAGCTTGTAGACCACTATGTTCAAGACAAGCGGGTGACGCTCAGTTTCCCTGCCTATGGACCGTTGGCGACGCCGAACAAATACAACGGTAATACGATCTCAAGCTTCTCATCTTATGGACCAACCTACGACCTGCTATCCATGCCGAACATCTGTGCGCCTGGCGATCGAATCTTGAGCACTTGGCCTATAGACGCTGGAAGATGGGCTGTCTTGTCCGGGACCTCTATGGCCACGCCGCACATTGCTGGCTCCGCTGCGCTCCTGCTTCAAGCAGCCCGCAGTGGGATTTGGCAGACTTCGTCAAGCCAGAGCGACCGGGAATCGCCGTTGAGTATCGACTTGGGTCGACAAATCTTCAATCGCCTGCGAAGTAGCGCTACGCCAGCTTCCAATTCCACTCGCGGAGGACGTCTAGAGACGTCGGCAAAACAGGGCGCTGGATTGGTCGATGCGTACGCAGCTGTGCATAACCTCATGACGGTGGGTTTTCGAGGCCATGTGCGGCTGACTTTGCCATCGCTGAAGCGTATTGCGTTCACGCAGGTGGCCCCCGCCCTTCTACTCTTGGATCCTGTTGAGGCATACCCAGTACAGCGCACGTTCGTGTTCACTAATGATGCGTCGTTTAGTCGCAACTTCTCAATCACCCATGAGCCCGCGGGCGCAGCCCTTACTTACGCTTCTGTGAGTCAAGCCGCTGGTTCATAGCCTCCTTACGTGTATGCTGACTTCTGGCTGTGGGCAGGGAGCTGCATACCCAAACGATGGCCCGGTGCCTCTCGACGACGAGCATCTTGAAGTTCAGATGACACCAAGGGCTTTCTCGCTTGCGCAGGGCGCCAACATTACAGTCACTGTGGACTTCAGTCTACCAATGGATTCTTTCGATCACAAGACGTTTCCCATCTTTTCGGGATACCTGCGGATTGCCCCCGCTGTCACATCTGAAGCTGGCTTGACAACCAGCGCACAGTCCAGTCTCATTGCAAACACGTCCCACCCCCACGAGACGATTTCGGTATCTTATTTGGGGACTGGCACTCCACTTTCAGAGATGCAGGTGCTTGACCGAGGGCTTAGGCTGTCGACCTCTGACACGGCGCATTCGCTGCCTGCTATCCTGATTGGAGGCGACGAAAAGCAGCCTCAGACGCTACCCAGGTCATACACATTCAGCGATGACGACTATCCCGTCGTCAACTTTCGTTTGCTCGCAGGAACCGAGCAGCTTCGGATAGACCTTGTGCAGGATCTGCAAGACGTCAACCCCGCGGGGTCCCTTGCAACTCTGCACGATTCCAGCGCAGATCTCAAAGGCAGACCGGCGGATGCTTCTCTCAATACGGCTGGTGCATCTTTCATCGCAGACGGGGCCGATGCTTTCGCTTTACGGTCTTCCGAAGAAGAGACTCTAGAAGAGCAGACCCCTGCAATGGCGCAGCTCGTGTTTCAGGCCGCGCCTGACAGCGATCTGGACGGTCTCGTTTGGAGAAGATCGATGGAAGGTGCTTGGATTGCTTCGACTTTCGTTGGTGCCTCCGACATGGAGCAACAAACTACGAAGAATGAGTTCCTCGGTGGGCAGCCGACCGCCTCACGAGTGATCGGAGCGATCGCAGAGGCTTCGCGATTACCACGTAGCTCCGAATCTGGGGCGTATAGCTCTTATGAGCTGCTGTGGGACGGGACGATTGCCGGCACACCGGTTACCGCTGGAGAATATCGACTGCGGCTGAGCGCCCTCAAGATAGGCAGTACTGCTCCGAGCGCAGGAGAAGACGTTGCGCAGGCTAGTGACAGCTTCGAAATTTGGTACTCGCCGCTCGTCAGAGTCGAGAGAGGCATCACAGGTTCTGTTGGGTCGAAGATCAAGCCAGCCTAGCCGACGTGAGGTGCGCACACGTAGTAGAGAAGATTTTATGTATCATACGCTACCTGTCCTTGTTGCTGTCCCTCCTGGCTTGTCTACAATGTGGGATGAAGCGCTCGAAAAGCAGCCTGGGAAGTTTCATTGGCAATATCCTGTTGTTTGCAATTCTATTTATCGTCGAGACACACTGCCCGGTGCTGATATACACTGACCGAGCCTCATTGACGATGAGCTGAGAACGCGTTTCGTTTGTGGGGCTCTCGGCGCGATGAAAGCGACCCCTTGCATTCCCAAACTCGACATGAGCCCGCGCGTGGTCGTGGGAGATGCCATGTACCGCACGAAGCAAGCGAGCGTGGATGTGCAATGCTCGCCATAGTCGAACAACAACGAGTGCGGGATGCTATAGCTCCCGCATCGATGACGTGCAAGTCGTCGTCTTGGACCTTTCATTGCGAGTGCGAATGAGCCATCCGGAAGACATTCTGTCATAAGCCGTGGAATCATCGGTGATGAGTACAGCTTGTGGCATTGTGGACGTTGAAGGGTTTGGCGAAAGTGACGTGCGTGCTATGTAGCGCGTCACGTAGTGTACGAGCTTTGCCCCGCGTTTGTTGACACGACGCGCGCATACTGCATGCACCTGCTAGCGCAGGAACAGTCGTGGCCCGTGGCTGGACGCGCGCACCATGCATGGCATGCCTGCCTGCCTCTCTGCTGACAGCCGACCGTGAACTACATCCGATCGGCACTGAGCTCTGCTGCCACGGAGATTGACGACTCGTGGCTGGCATTCATCTTCCCTCCCGATTCTTCGTGAGTCTCGAGTCTTGTAAGCATATGAGGGGCGAACGGCTCCACATGGCTTTCCGTGGCTTTGAATGCACTCGTGCTCTAGACACCTACGCTTCGACGGGCTTCGCGAGAGACCTCTCGTGCCGAAGCAACCGGAAGGGCATACCTCACCCAACGATCACCCCAACGTCTTGGCCGCCAGGGTCTTGCTGGATGCATATCGGGCAGACCTCCATGCCAGGGGTCAAGATGGTGTCTCACTGTTTGCAAGCCGCAAGTGAATCTCTCCAATGATGACGAAGGCCCCTAAGGTCCAGCGATCCCGTGCTCCTTTGTGGAGCTCACTTTGGCAAAACATCTCCCATCCACCATCACCTTTGTGACCGCGGTCTGTCTGCCCTGGAGACGCTTTTACTCCTCGACGTCTATAGCAAGTGCCTGCGCCAGAGTGGCTTCAGCTGGACCGTAGACGAGCTAGCTATCAAGATGTGGGCACCTATCATCTTCGACCCGCCGCTGGGCAGCACCATCAGGCAAGCTAGCGGGCCTGGCAACACTTATCATGTTTTAGCACACAACGTGCCTCTTCAGCTACTAGCGCCAGAAGGGGCAGAGAGACTGGAAGTCTGGCACGATGCTGGAAAAGGGGAATGGTGCGCAACACCTTTTGCTCCAATTGAGACACACACGATAGAAGTGGCCGGTACGACCGGACCAGCATCCGTCGCAGCTGGCCAAGCGGCGCTCACTTTCCACTTTCAAGACGCCGAGTTCGCCAACTCACTGCAGTTTACCTATCGCATTTCCAGATCTGATGGTCGCATAGAATGGCTAGGAACCTCTTCTGATAACGTCAAAGTGGTGTTCTGCGGCCGCGAGAAGCAACTCAAGCCTACCTTTGAGCAGGCATTTCGCACGCATTTTAAGGTGCGCACCCAGAGTATCGCCGATGGCGAGTCAGGCGCGGCGCTGCACAGCCTGGTGAAAATGTCCATCCCGGTAGAATCTGCCGACGATCGAATGCACCTCGGACAGCTTCACGGGGTTAAACAAGTGCTGGTGATAGAGCAAACGCAGTGAGTTGGCATACAGGCCGACGAGGTGTTGAGACTCCAAGGCTTGGGGTTCTCTAATGGATCTCTCAAGCAGGCCTACGGACCTTGCTCACACCCTTTGTGATCCTCGCCCAGGCGCACCTGGCACACCTCACGCTTGTGCCGTGCCGACGAGGTGTCGCAATACCAGCCGGCACCCCTGGTCGTTGCCAACCTCACTGAACATCCTGATATGCTCGCTGTCTTCATTGCCGTTTCGACAGGCGGAGGCAATATCGGACTGCTGCAGTCCATCCAACGGGAGTCAGCGCAGACGCTCTCTCTAGACGTACTGGTCAGCTCGGACCCTTTCGACCGCTCGCAGTCCGCTGACGCGGAAGGTGCTAGCGTGTATGCTAGTCTTTGTGACCTCACGTCCCTCCACTTTGCCATTCGAGTGCTCATGGGTCACGCACGTGAGACATTTGAATCGAAGAACAGCATCGAGGTCCCAAGGCGAGGTCCTGTGACATTCAGCGGACAGCAAATACAAATCCAGCGACACTGCTCAGTCACGAGCGACACTCAAGACATTGATACAAGCGCTAGCGACAGCGGCTACCTCAGCGCCACTTCACCAAAGCTGGAATACGCGAAAGGGCTTGTCTCGCCATACACGAGCCACAACGACCCACATGCGAGCCATATTACGCCAGACAGCGTGCCACGAAGTAGCTCTCCTGTTGATTTGCCACAAGGACGTTCCCTCCATAGCTACAGCGCTGCCGCAAGCGTCAATGATTTGGACGATGACGCGGAGCTTGGCGCTCAGCGGTCTCCACCGTGCAGCGAAGGTGGCTTGATGTTGTGTACCTGGGAAGCCCTCAATCACGAGCGACCGTTCTTATCATCCGTTCTGGCAGCATTAGCGTCATTGGAGCGACGAGCTCCTGGCGCATGCACATCGTTGTTACTTGACGATGGCTGGGCAGACACCATCCGCGAAGACAAGCCCGCAGGAAGAGGGTTCATGTCTGCAATGACGCTGGACTCGGAGCTCTTGGACGAAGAGTCACCCGAAGACCCCTCCCCGCTAGCAAGCTACATCAGCGCAGTCCACGCAAGCTTTCCTAACGTTCGAGACGTTGGGGTGTGGCTGACCCTCGTAGGCTACTGGAACGGTCTTTCTGTGCCTCTTGCCGAGGTGTATGGCCCTCCTGTACGTGCGACGTTACCGGGCCCTGATGGCCTGGTGTCGGCTTTACTGCCTGCCCTTGAACGCCTGGGCGACTTTTGGGATGACATGCTGGTGGGACTGGTGGATGCGGGCGTCACTTTCATCAAGTTGGACGCCCAAGGAGAGCTAGCCGGCATGCGCATTGAAGACGAGTGGCTCGCTGGCCATGAAACTGCGTACAATCGCGCTGCACGAGCAGCGTTCGAGAGTGCAAAACAGCGTTGGCTGCCAGCACCACACACCACCACCAGCGTCATCCACAGCATGGCCATGGGGAGAGCTCAGCCCACTGGTCCGGCAGCTCTGGGCGAAATGTCAGCGGGCCAATGGCGGACGACTGACGACATTGTGCCTGGGCACGAGGCCGCTGCTCGTTGGCTGTTGGTCCACGCCTCGAGGAACATCATGCTGTTCGAGGGCTCGATGCACGTTCCTGATGCGGACATGCTCTGCACCAGCGCACACGCCTCCGTCTCTTCGTGTGAAGCAAAGGCGCAAGCCGCGTTCAGAGCTTTGTACAGCGGAGCCAGACTCACCACTTCTGACCCGCCTCTGCGAGCTTCTGGGGAACTCGAAGAGGACGCCCTGTCGCCTCTTCTAGCACCAATGAGAAGTCCTCAAGGAAGCGTCGGGCCACTGCGCACGCTTCAAGCAGCTAACCATGCACGGTTGCTACCTAGCAATGTTTTCGAAGATGTCACAGGCGATGCCTCTGGTGCAGCCTTGCTGATGGTTCAGCCCAACGCATTGACCAACAAGGGAGACGCAACTTCTTTCTCGACCATCGGTGGATGGAATGCGCGCGGTCCGAATGCACGCGCTGTCGGTCATCTCTCGGTGTCTGACGTGGCCTGCGCTCTGAAGAGCCACCCGTCACAATCAAGAAAGTTCACCGACGTTCTTGTTGTGTGCAACGATGACGCTGAGAGCTTCGCACACGTATCTGCGCAAGACCTCACACGGGCTTCCTGCGGTATGATCAAGCATCTATCACGACCCGTGCTTGCCTACAACCTGGCGCCTGGCTGCTGCACGAGCTGGAGAGTTGTTCCCCTAGCACTCTTGGACGAGCAAACCTTTGTGTGCACCACAGGCCTCGCGAACAAGTACCTTGGTTTGGGTGCTGTTTGCACAAGCTGCGCGGCGCCGCAGGAATCATCGCCGGAACCTCCCGAAACGTCGAAGTCTTTTCCCAATCTGCGAGGATCATCGACGAGCGATGTTGGCGATTTGACAGACCTACCATGGTCCGCTGTGTTCGCAGCCCTGGCTGTCATGATGCTGAATACTTTGGTCGGCCTCTTGAGCACTCATATCTTGCTGGCGCCAGTAGCACTTACTCTGGACCTCGCAACCATGGCAATGCGTCAACGAGCAACATACAGCGGCGTCCCAGCTCCTCTGTCGCGTGCGTATATCCACACGGCAAGCGGGCACTCCACTTCGTCCGCCCTGAGGCTGCCCTATGTTGGCATGTTGGGCGCCCTGAAAATCTCTCTCCCTCCAAGATCTAGAGCTGGCACAGATGCCTCGCCAAAACCGAGACTGCGTCCAGACAAAGATAAGGGGTTGAAGCTCGACGTTGAAGTCAGCAGAGCAGGTGAACTCGACTTTGTGGTTGTCTCAACATTGACAGGTCCACTTCTGGAAGCAGATGCACACAAACGGTACACGATGCAGATTGATGGGGTAGACGTAGATGCAAGTTTCCTCAAGATCCGGCCGCTCAGGGAAATCTCTCCTCAAGGATGCTCTATCTACTCGGAGATTGACTCGCATGCCAGGTCGGCAGTCAAAGTCAGTGTCGACATGCTAGCATTTCTCGGGAGTCGAAAGGATGATGGAGGCCACGAAGGCGACTCGCGCCGACACGCTTCTCCGTCACCAGCAACGTGGCGGGTGACGCTGAAGCTTGATTAGCTTCCCCCGAAGCGCAGGTGCCTTTGCAAAGTCGCACAGGATTGACGAACACGACGGCCAGCACGACAAATCCAACGAACACCATATGTACTTCTGAGAACGATTCTGAGCATTTGCACTGTCATAGCAAGTCGTACACCAAGGATGCAGGCGGAGCCTCTTTCAAACTATTTGAAGAGTACTCCCTGCAAGGGAAACCAGAGGCCAACAGCAAGGTATTACAGCGTCGTGTGAGAGTTATTTTCGTGTCTCTGCCATAGCGCGAGCGCTTGGCTGGTGTTCAGTAGCCCGGGGGCTCCGCATCAGAGTCTTGACCATGAGCTGGGTATTTAGCGCCGACCACAGGAAGCTGAGACATGATTTCAGCTGGTACTTGTTCTGCGGCTGCAGCAGAGAGTCGAGCCTCAGCACGTCTGGCCCGGTCTTCATTGAGCCTGCGGGCGATCTGCCGGATTGAGAGGCTCGAGCGTCTGAGCTCATCGACTACTGGCTCATGGGCGCCTTGCTCGGCGATTAGATTTGCACTCGCGATGTTGGCTGAAGGACCAGACGAGGTTGCGGGCAGAGAAACTCCTCCAGGATGGGTTCCTAGAATTGGGGTCGACGCGAATCGATGAGCGTGTCGTCGAGGGAATAGTCGGCGCAGTGGCTCAGGACTCTGTAACACACCACGAACCCTCCATCCTGGATTGGCAGCCCGGCCTCGAGGCATCTCGGGCGGATGACTAGAAGCCGAGCTGCCTGGGAGTCATTGAGTATGCGGTCGTCTCGATCCAAGGTGCGGTCGCAACTTTGCAGCCAGACGCCAGATGCGAGATGGTCCAGCTGCTCCTTGACCATCAGCTTCAACGCTTCCGCTGGCTCGTTGCGCAGGTTCTGCGGTGGCCCCATCGCTGGATGTGTGCGCGCCAGCTGCGGCCAGCGCATTTTCTCGAGGAGGTGCGTCGTCGGCAGCTTCTTCTGCCACACTTGCATGCACGTGGGGCCAAGGCAAATCTGATTTCCCTGCTTTATTGGCAGATTTGGGCGCTTGTAATTTCGCTCCTATACCGATCGGAGAGGCTGCCGCCTCGGAGCTGGGTGCAGGAGCAGACTGAGCGGTGCTGGTTCCTGCAGCGGGGGACGTCGAGCTGTCTGCATGCTCAAGCGCGCTATCGTTGGCTTGGTCGACGCGTTGCTGAATACCTTCCTCTGTTTGGCAGAAGGCCGACAGGTAATCAGCGTCCGACTCTGGATGCAATGATTTTCGGCTTTGGGCGAAGCTGCCTCTGCGGCTCACAAGCCTTCACCAAGCCGAGCGTAGACCCCAACTCACCTGATTGGCGGCTGGTACTTTGGGATCTGAGGCGTGGCAGCAAGGCGAAAGGGTGCCTCTTGGGGCCACGAACTCGAGGTTGGCGTATTTTGAGAATTTTCAATGCCCGCTTTCCGCTGGGTCGTGATGCTGTAACGTCGCGTCCATGTCCGTCTGGCTTCAAGACACGCCGCGGCAGGAGACGACTGGCCACCTTGTTGCCACTTGTTTTGCTACGATCGCGACGCGCTGAGACCCTTTTGATGAGAGTGCGGGATGCATGTTTGCCGTTGGTCTTCGTCTGTTCTTGAGCTTGGGATTCTGCTTCTTGAGTCGGCAATTCGGCTTCTTGAATTCGCGTCTCTGCCACCTCAGTTTGAGGCCCCGGTTCTGCGTTCGATCCGCTTTGTGCCTTGCTTCGGCCTCGCAGTGCCCATCGCCTTTGCATTCGCTTGGGAGAGTGGGCAATAGCTGCCGAGTCCTCATGTGGGGTTGGTCCGTCGCTTACGGAAGCGGGTAATGGCAACGGGGGTCGCTCGGCTATCGTCCCATCCGCAGCATCAGCTTCATTGTCGACAGCTGAGAGGTCGGCAGCAGCCGGTTCTTTTGTCGATTGGGATGTCTTGGTGCGAGGACGGATCAAGGTCCATCTTCCCTTGAAGAGGCGCCTCTCGTTCGTCGCAACAGGTGCGGGAGAGCTAGCTTCATGATTCAGAGTGCCGTCCTGCTCGACCTCACCAGCTTTTGGCTCGACCACGCCACCGATCTGGGCCACACGCCCGGAGTTGACAATGTCGGACTCGAGACCGCGCACAGAAGTATCTTGAGCAGCCTGATCGGTGCCGACAGAGCATCGAGCTGCCTCCGCGGTGACTGTGGCCAGAGAGGACTGCAGCGCAGATAGATCCCCGATCAAGTCTCTGGCATGCGTCAGACCTGTGAGACAAGTCTGCAGTTGCGCCTCGAGCTGTGCGATCGATCCTGCGGAAAGGCTCAAGCGCGACACATCTTCTGCGACCTGGACAAGATGGACGAGACCGGGTCAACACGTTCAGTATCTGAAAACTTCTGCTACTATGAGGGGCGACGTGGTCTTACCTCTGCTGATTGCGACAAGGCCGATGTCATGGTTGGTGTTGTGGATATGCTGGCTCTTTTGGCGAGACAGAGGCGTGCGTTGCTGTTTGTGACTTTGAACACGAAAGAACGCACATGTTTAGAGGCCTTAGGGAAGTAGTGGAGAACTCTTATACGGCAGCGCACGAATCTGACTTCCCCATAGAAAGCTGCCCAAGGAACAGCACTCGTCCATTGCGACGCACACGGACTGTGGAGAATTTGCAAACTGCCTTCGAACTCTCACTCACTACATTTCTAGAATGCGTCAAGATAAAGTCCTGGCGGGGACCTGCATAGCAACACGGGCCGACTAAGTAGCGTCGCGGCGGCGCCACAAGATGAGGACATTTCATTTCGCAAGCATGAGACACCGCCGATCGAAACGACCTGTTGTCGACGCACAAAGCTGTGTAAAGTTCTGTGGCGGCGGTATAATGGATATTGGAATCAATGCTAGGCACGAAAGGGTAAGGTGCCGCGAGGGCGTTTTGCGAGCTCCCAAGGTACCATGCGACGGCTGTGATTTTGTCGACGGTGCTGCGCTTGCTCTTGATGGCTTAAGGTGGCGCGATCAAGCTACAAAGCAGCTGAGCCAAGAAGGGCGCTGGGATGTCTGAGCTTATCTGCGAAGAAGCTCAAACGAGAGACAGCGCAAGGAAGGAGACGCAAGAGTCGTGAAGATGACCAGTTCAACCGTCAGGCTCCGAGTAAAGCAAGCCGCGGCGTTTCAGTCGGGCCAAGGCGTGTCGCCACTTGACGGCTTCTCCTCGCTGCCACAATCTCTTGGTGACCAAAGGGGACAGTCCGTTTAAGTCCTGCATGGCTTGTCGAGAGCTATGCTGCTCAAGGGCCGAAGCAAGGGCTGTTGTGGTGTCTGCTCGCCGGGCCGTGCGCTGTTCTGAAGAAAGGCCTAGGCCTGGCCGCGCGAGTAGATCCAAACCCCACTTGATGAAGAGGCGCGTAGTTCTCGTGCCAAGTACGAGTCGAGGCTTTTGCCCTGTATCATTCCATCTGTTCCAGACTTCCCTGACCAGCTTGATGCCTTTGTGTATTCGATCGCTCCTCGCTTCCATCAACGACAGCAACAGCAAAACTGTCGTCTCGTCTGGGATAACATGGACAGCGTTGCCATCTTGCATCCCTTCCTGACCGTCTATGTCTCTGTGCGGAATTACGCCGTCTCCTCGCGAGCTGATGGAGGGCAGATCGTTTGAGCTTCCAGTGATACCCGGAACGAGCCCTCTTTGGCCAGTCAACCAGACAAAGGCTGCTTCTGCTTCGTGTATCTGGTTTCCGGCCAGGAGATGTGCTCTGAGCACGTGGTTGAGTAGGCTCGCGCCCGCAGGAGGCTCGCCGGGCTTCGAGACGGCATGGATCATGCGATCATTGCTGAAGTCCTCGCTAGAGTGTCCTAGCTGCTTCATTTCAGCCACATATGCCCGCACAAGCCTGAATGACGTTTGTGGGTCTGCACGTTGAGATAGCGTTTGTAAAGTGCTCAACAGAAGCCAAGTAGGTAGAGGGCCTTCCTTTGCCGGATGACTTGAGGAGCCAGTGTTGCGAGCGATGGATGCCGCCGCTGATCGATGAGAGAGATTCGCCTCTCCCGATGGTCTCAGCTTTTGAAATGCCTCTCCGTTTCGGCCTTCGAGGATCCGTTTTCTGCGAGATGAGAACACGGAGCGTTCGGTTTCCGGAAACAGCTGATCCTGGCGGACGTTGATAGTGATGTCACGAATTTGTGCGTCGGACCGCCAAGGACCTGCGGCCTTCATTGGCTCGAATGCAGTCGTTGCTTGCAACCGAAGGGGTTCGTCGTGGCTTCCGTGTGTCTTTTCCAAGTCGCCATAGTCGTCTTCTCTGCTTGCATCGTCCTCAAATGCTGCATTCTCTGCGATCCATTTAATAGAAGCCCGACGCTCGCCGCCGATCGCCCCAGCTTGCAACAGAGCCGGCGTTCGCCGGGTACCTGGCGATTGCGTCTCTGAGTGTTCAGCAAACGCATGTAGCCCGGATGCATTCGTCTCTTTGTCAGGTCTTTCAGACTTCTCGAGGTACTGCATGAGCGCTTCAGACTTAAAGCGGGCATCTTTGATCAGCGAACGCCGCCACTCGCGCTCAACGGCAGATTTTGTGCCGATGCTAGCTTGTCGCTGCCCCAAAACATCATGTGTCGAGGCGTATCGCAGATCGCTGGCGGATGGTTCAGATCCTATCTGCGAAGAACCATTCCGAGAACGCGCAAGACGTTGTTGAACCGCATCCAATGTCGCAGCTAGCAGACGAGCTGTCTCAGGTGCGCCACGCAAGCGTCTTCTGCGATGAGCGGCACGCCGCAAATTCGAGATGAGGTATGGTTGGGAAGGTGCTGGCGCATACACGCGTGTCAGAAGCGGAGCCAAGGAAGCGTGGGGTCCAGTGGAATGTTGGGCACCAGAACGGCGAGTCAAAACTGCCGTGCGCGGCATTTGGACTCTTGTTCTCAGACGAACAGCTGCCAGGAAAGCTTCATCCTGCGAACCGTCCTCGCATGGCAAGGGCTGTCCGTCGCCACTGCTCAGCGAGAAGATCGGCACTTGGCCCCGCTTAGCTGTGACTTGATGTGCCAGGACGCGGTGCAACTGAGAAAGGCTTTGAGACTTAGCGCTCGGCACGCGGCTATTGTGCCGTTTGCCTTGTTCCCATCGTCTCGCTGCCTGTCCGATCCTCGCTAGCAAGGTTCCGTTCATCTGCTTGGCAGCTAGCCTCAATAGATACGCGTAGGTCCCTCGACTCTGAGCGTAGAGTCTCGTGGCCTTTCCTCTTGTGTCTTTCTCGGCATCGTGCGGTGTGGCTAGCAGCACTTGATGCAAATTCCAGACAACACCAGCCGGCAAGTGCGGCGATTCTTTGTTGGCATGGCTGATAGCGTTATACAGGTTCGTGGAGCCGTTCGACGCTCTGGGCCAATTGTCCAGGTAAATTCGGCGCGGTGGTTGGGACCGAGTCGTGCGCTTCTTTTCGCTGCTAATTAGGGTATCGAGGGCCTCTTGAAATGACTGTCTCTGCTCGGGTCGCGGATTCCAAAGTGCTTCCACTCGTGATGATGCCGCTTGCTCCGGCTCGTGACTCATGCGCATTGATTTGCCAAGGATAAAGTCGAGGACGAGGGCAACGTCTGCTTTATCCAGGGGTTGTGCTGTGGTGGTAGGTGCCGTCTTAGCGGCAGGTCCCGCGCCTGTCGAAAGTGGGCCATCCTCAATCGCGATCGACTCCGTGTCCGCGTGTATCTGTCCTCGTTCATCTGAAACGTGCTTGGTCGTTTGCTGCTGATTCGCATTCGAGGCTGGCGCAGAAGTGGGAACAAGAGGCCTAGAGGCACGTCGAAGCCTCACACGCGAGGCCGGACGCGAGCCAAGTAGACCCGAGTCTCTCTGCGCCTCTGAGGTCACAGGTGGTGGGGACGACCGCAGAGAGAGGTGAGCTCTGCTTGCTGCGGTGCTGCTTGACCGTTTTGAGGCCATTTGCTCGTCGTGCGTGTTCGCATCCGCCTGTCGTGAAGCTCGAAGGTCGGTGTGTGTCGAGTGTTGGCGCGTACTAGAGGTGGACGGCAGAGGCACATGTCGGCCTATAAGAGGTCTCTGTAGACGCAAGCTGCCAGATGTGGGAAACGTACTCGCTTGGGTTCCGGAAGTGTCTACCATCCCATGGCAAACACGGCACGCCATGCAGCTAGACCTGGTGAAGGCATGGTTGCGCAAGCCACAAAACGCCTGGATCATTGATCTGAGTGGTACATCTGGCCGCGAAATGGTTACCAAGCTCAAGTCGTGGACTGCTAGAGCTTCGCTCGCGTATTTGTGATGGAATAGGAATACAATCTCGATCAATGTTCACGATTGATCGGCAGAAGAGATCAATGATCCGGGAGGTCTTTCCGACACCTCTCGCGTAGCATGCGTGCATCGTGCAGTTTTGATGAGTTCTTCGTGCAGCATGCAGTGAGGCCAACGAATTCAGGTCACGTGGTCGAGAAAGGGGGAGCAGTGATCTTCGACCACGATCTGGATCTCGACCATGGACTCTTGAACCTAAACGCGAAGATGAAGAGCAACCAAGACTGGTCAACACCCACTCGCCTTGAGAATCGCACTCATCCGAAAACCACAATCAATGATGTCATTCACAATATGCTTCCCAAAGCAATGTTAGAACGCAGTTCGCGGGCAGGCTTGATCAGATCAATGCCCGCATGCGCCAGACAATTCGGCGAAGGGAAGGGCTCGAAGGGCGGTACACGAGTCATGCATTGCGTGTAAGCGGAACATGCGCTCGCCATGTAGGGACCCCCAATGAACCGAGAGGTAACGACACAAATCGGCTCGGCAGAGGCGAGGAAGATGTACACTCATCGGAATGGCCCACTTCCAGTGTAGAGAGGTGCACGGCGATGGGCAATGTGAAGTGCAAGTGCAAACACTCTCATGCGCGAGGCATAGAGAGAGTCTCGATCTTGGCCTGGCATGAACTCCAATCGGCCCTCGGTGAGGCACAATCGGAGGATTAATAGGCCCTGGTGGAAGTCCGTGGAGAAAACTCATGGCGATCAACGTCTTGCCCTGTACCTGTCAGTCGGACCTCTTGCTCTTGCAAGGCTCGCTTCAACACGCGGGTCTGTGAAATTTCATCGCATTACCTGAGCGACCGTTCGAAGCGCTACTTGGAACTCTTCGAGCCCCGGCCTTCTTGACATTCTTTTTCCCAGGACATGCCATCTGGACGGCGTAAAGCTTCTACAGCTGACTTGAAGGCCTCTAGTGTGCACAGCTCGGGCTGTCCTTCAAGGTGAGCTCCTTTTGCGGCACACGCAGGCAGCTTCAACGTCTTGTCGCCGTACCGTAATCGAACATCTACAAGGTTAGTCTGGTCAGCAAAGCTGTTATGCGGCGTACTTTGAGCCATGTACCGCAACGCTGAACACGTACAGTGCTGAGGCGCTGATCGTCCAATTCCGAGAACGGAGAGGATGGACGTTTGTGCTGCAGGACTTCGATCTCTGAACAGCTCTAAACCTAGCGAGGCGGTGAAAGCTGGCCACCTATTGTCGAAAGCGTCTAATGTTGAGAGCAGCCCGGCCAAGGAAGTGTCATCTGCAATGTAGAGACGATGAACTTCAGCAGAGCCCAGCGTGGCTGACGAAGGCAGGGCAAATACCTACGTGCGCAGTACACTGCGAGCTTGAGGGGGTCTCGGTCACCGTTTGTGGCTTTGTTGTACAGACGACCTGCCAAGTCGTTCAGTAGACGACCCATGGCGAGTCGCCTGTACTGATTTCGCAGCGCCGCGTCTGCACGGAAAGCAGCCACAGCTTAGCTTTGGTCGATTTCTCGTATCAAGAAGCCGCGGACTCACCCTCTGCGTGATAGCCAGAGACTGCGTTTTGGACGAGCGGCAGGTCTTTGAGCATTGAGCCACCTCAGGAAATACATGCAACAACTCTCAAAAACTCACACCACTCGTCCACCACCGCGCGTTCCACAACACGCATCGTGTCAGGCTCTTCGAAAACAGACGGGAAGGGCACGCCATGCGCCACTGCGGCGCGCACTGTGTCGAGAATGCTGCGAGGTCGCGGTGGCGAGAAGTTAGGTCAGAGAGGATGTTTAGAGGCCAGCATGGAGGGCACAACACTCACCCATTGAGTCTCGGATGCCCGTCTATCCTGGGGGGCGCACCATCGCAGTGCGGTGCGATGCCCTCGTCAAAAGCGGATAGCCTGGCATTGTGCACTTGCGCTGCCATGCTCGCGAACTGCGCGTCAAGAGCCCGCAACCGTGCGCAACCAAAAGTGTTGGGCAACAAATTTTCTGTGGTGCCGTTTCTGATCAAAAGTGTGGGAGTGTACTCGTCCTGCGAGTCTCTTGTTTGCGGTAGCAGACCCCTGATGAGTGATTGAGCCTATGAGCGGACAGCAAGGTGGCTCGTCAGACGCCGGACCGCAGCTCAGCTGGCTACATTGCGGGAAAAGCCACTCACCGACTCCACAGTTCTCGACATGTTTGTTGAACGGAAATACACCGCATTCGCATCATCAGGGGTAAGACGCTGTGGCAGCAATCCAAGCTTGTCTATGTACGTCTCCCGCAGCAGTTGACCCAAGGCGTGTGTTGATTGCCTCCCGAGATCTGTGAGCTCTCCAAGAAGGCTGAGGAGAGAAAGCGCGTACATGAGCGCGGCAAAGGTCAGCACAGGCCTTGCTCTCACGAGCACCGATCCGGCGCAAGCTCACCATTCCCCGGGAGCGCCAGGAACTGGCCGATCGTGACGATCAGTGTTCTCGGTCCCTTTGCGTATGTCCATCTTGCCGCGCCACGAATCAGGTCCCCGCCAAGGTCCATCAGGTACTTTAGCTGGTGACTTGCCTTTGGCATCGGGAGGTCCTGGCGCGAAGTCTGCCACGGCAGCGGCAAACTCAGAACCGACGTGACAATAGGGCCAAGAAGTTGGGATTGCTGGTTTGGCGTTTTGAAGCCGCGTTCGTACAGGGGTACGTTCGCCATGCCGTACAAGGTAGTGAACTTGCACCAGCTCTAGGTGAGACGGCGGTGCGGTCCATTTGAGACCTTGACGGGTAGCGCCAGGCCCAAGCAAGAGGTCGTGATCTTCGACGACCTTTGCGCTAGTGCTCGCTGACGCTGAAGCTGAAGCCATCTTGGCATGCGGCGGGGACCGACGTCTATCTCGAAGCCTCGTCAGCAACACACGCAAAGAATAGCGATGTGGTGGTTAGAAGACACGAAGTCCAGCGCAGCGACGACATCCATTAGTTCTTTGAGGGTTGCACGCCCTATACTCTGACTGCTCTAGGCCCACACGAAGAGATGGCTGCTGGCTGGTCTCTCGCGCACGTATCGGTCAGCAGAAGGCTGCATTGCATGCTGCTGCTGGCTGGCCGAATGACCGGAAAAAAGTGGTTGCAGGTTGTTGTGCGGTCGGGGTTCATGTGGACCGAGGGAATTTATCCACTCGTGATGGTCATGCAGCAGCCACAGCATGCACACATCAGCGAGCCCTTCCCGAGAAGAGTTCACGTAGCGGCACGGCGCGCGGCGCGGACGCCACGTGTATTCACTACGGTCACCTGCCCAGCTGGTGTGTGTTAGGCAACCGCACACTCGTGACTGCGCAAGAGACGTTCTCGACTCCGCTGCGGTGGAGGGTCCTTTTGACTTTGTGGGCAACTCGCTCATCATCAGACTCAAGACTCAGCTCTGACTGTGAATCGAGGAGACATCCAATGGAAGGGTCGGTATAGAGAATCAAGTACCTCGCACGCCATGCATGCGGCCTGATCGATCCGTGATCTGCATGGAACTCATCAGTCAATGAGTCCATGCGGTAGAGACAAACCATCAAAGTGCGCAATCACCGCAGTGCCGGGGCGCAACAATCGCGCCGGAATGAAGACAAAGTGCTGCAGGACGCTGAACGCTACATATATGGAACCTACCAGCTCACGGCTCAAGCAGGGACGTCCACCACCCAAGCTCCATCGAGCTATCAAAGTCAGAGTGGACGGACAGCTTCCGCGCGGGACGACTATTGTGACCCATATAGCTGCTCTCCCGCTATATATATCAGCAGCATCAGCAGCTAGCACATTCACATTCGTGATTCTTGGCTCGGTCATGCGCAAGTGCTGATACCGGCTGATGCACATCTGCTGCAGCTGCTCTATTCACGCCGCATCGCGTGAGAGGCGCAATCGGTCAGGCGCACCGATATGATATTCTCACGACTCCGAATGGCGAAAGTGAAACGTCTCGGTGTTTCAACTTGCACACGGTGCCGGCATCAGCCGCGGTGAGTGGCATATATATGAACTTGTATAGCCATCTTAATTGCATATGCTGAAGCCTAGGGTGATGCTGCGTGCAGGACTTCTCTATAGCTATCACGAGTGGTGACCCTGTACGTCCGAACACTCGTTGTGCCTAGCTTCACCATACAAACGAAGGCTGCCGCCCCCACTGCGGGTGCTGCAGTCAGAGAAGTCACAGTCACGAGTCTCATCAGTGCGTGCACAGCAGCTTGCTTCGAGCGCGCTCAGCGCAGGCGCCCTTCGCTCGACACTCATTCACTCAAGACTGATACGTACGTGAGTTTGATGCTCTAAAAGGACATGTCAGTCTTGAGTCGTGAGTCAACCAATAAATTAGAATCAGAAATAGAATCAGAAGAGCAATCAAGACACGCATGCACAACATCCTAGCTGGTCACGCAAGTAAGGGGTCTCAGTCAACGCTCGCCCTCCTTTGCTGAAGCGCGCAGCTAGCGAATCCTATCGCGCCGATGACCGCTCAGACAGCTAACGAACGATGCTTAAGGAAGAGCGCAAGCTATTTGACATTTGATCCACGCATAAAGACTTTCCTCAGCATGCTGTGCTCCACAAGAATAGTCAGGACGTTGGGTCGAGTCGAGGATCACAATCTTGAATTCAAGATTGAGTCGCTCGTGCCCCTCATGCAATCGTGGCTTGCTCTGCCTCACGCAGGAACCTCATTCATTCACGGGGCGAGGATCGAAGCGTCGAATTGCGGGCAGAATCTGTGCAGGCGCCAGCAGCACGGTCGAGTCGAACCATTTATAGAAAGTCACCAGTCATGAGTGCAGAAGGCGCCGGCAATCCATCAGTAGACACGTATATAGGTGCATCTCGTCTGCAGAATGGACTTTGAACAAAGCTCCGCCGGTGTCAGAGATTCTGTTGCTTGCTGGCAGCATGGACGGACGACGTCGCCTTGTCCCTTGCATGGATGAGCTTCACGTGCTCACGACACGGGCGATAGGACTCAAGGCTTGAACGGTCTCAATGCGCACCTACTCGTGACACTCTGATCAAGATGGCAGCTATAGGCCACCAGCACGAGTCGGCAAAGCCTTCTAGTTCGCACGCTATATGGCGTCAGAGAGCAGCCACGGATGCTCAACGGTCGTTGATGTATATATAGCATGCGTCATGCACCGGCAACAGCAGCAGCAACTCGTGAACGCGCATGCGCAGCGTGCCATGCCATCCCTTGCTCTCCGTACACAGCAGCAGCAGCTAGCTGATGCCGTACTTGCTGGCGCAAGCATCAGGCGCAAACCACGATGACGACCCTCAAATTGCGCTACAGGATTGAGGAGAAGAGCAACTTGTGACGCTCGAGCCAGCAAAGGGACTCTCGAGATCCGATTTGATTGGCTGGAATCGGGCTTAAAGAGCAAGAACCGCTCGTCCAGATGCTTCACGCTGAGTGCTGAGCATACATGGCGTGAGGGTGGGGCAAGGGAACAGGAAAGATAAGGCTCAAGCTAGGCACTCGCTGATGATCGGGACTCACGCTGGTCTGGGGACAAATCGAAAGCGGGAGGTGCAGTATAACGAGTATGCTGGCAGCTCAGCAATCGCACCCGCTTCCGCTCCGGCGACAAGCCATGAGTCAGAGGCGCGAAGGGCTGAATGGTGTACGCGGTGGGAAACCCGACTGTTGTGACTTGTATAGCGGTGCCATTCGCATTTACGATGCGCATTCTCATTCACGATTCAGATTCGCATCTGTGATGACCTCCAATAAGAACTAAATGAGCGCGCGCACAAGTATACCACCGCTTGCGAACCTGGCGCGTTGAGATGCGCGTCTGCCAGCAATCATCTTGCCCTCCTATCTCCTACGTTCGTCCTCACCAGCAATTCTCAGTTCTAATCCTCTTTACCTCCTTCGCTCCGCTCTATATCATCCTTGCCGCTCACAAATGCACACAAGATGCTGATAGAGGCTCAGCTCTCATCCACTGCGACCAGCACGGGCGCAATGACCGGCTCGACCAACCTTCGACGCCAACGTCCATTCCAGTCAGCAAAGGCAGCGGCTCACGTCAGCAGCAAGCAAGACTCATCGGCAGTGGTGCTAGATCCTTTGCGGAGCCCAGGAGATGTACCCCAGACACCGCCCCGATCAACGCATTGGTATGTAAGCAGCCGACCATGGGTCCAAGCTGTCCACATCGCCTCCTTGAAAAAGTCGAGTAAGTTTGCTCGTGGTAGAGTTTTGATACTCCATCAACTGACATGCACAATCTTGCACAGCTCCTCCCGCAGTGAAAGCGGAAGCGCCGGCGAGCGACCTCTCGTACGTCTCGCCATCCCTCAGTGACATTCTTGGAGGCCAGGCCAATGGCTCATGTAGCGCCATCAGCGATTGGGAATCGGGCTGCCCGCCTGCAACACGAAGTCGCGCTCTTCATCTGGCCAGAAGGGTAAGTGGTACTATTCGCTCGCGGCAGTCATCTCGTCCCATTCTCACGTCGATGGTGCTCATCTTTCGTATCGCAGATGTCTAGCTCAGACGATGGCTTTTCGGCTCGAGGCGGTATCAGTCCATCGGAGTGCACGCATGAGGCTGTGGAAGCTTTCGCGCGCAGGCGCAGGCTACCCACTCCGACCTTCTCGTTCTCACCGCGCACGGGCTCGCCGGACACGCCCTTAGTCACACCGACGTCTGGACCGATCCCTGTCAGCGCGGAATATCTTCAAGTACGACCGCCTGGCCGGAAGGGGAAAGGTGGCGGCGAAGATTGTCCACCTCGACGTGCGAAGGAGGATGACGAGCAGTCTTTCATGGATCTACGCTACTCGATGCTGCAGCCACCCGTCATGCTTCAGCGCTGCCCCGCATTCCTTGTTGGCACACCAGACACATTCGGCCTCATCATTGACGATCGCAGCAAGGATCAGGCTTCGCGTCCCTCCAGCTGCTTTTCATCGCGGGATGTTACGATCCCCAGCACCTCAAAATCGACGGACGACGATGTCCCGCAGAGCGATACGTCATCTGCGGACACCGCTGAGCAGTCCTTAGACAGCCCTCGATTGATGTCGCCAATTACTCTACAGCAATTACGCTCCTTTCGCTCTTCTACAACACTTCGTCACGGCAAACGCCCCATCCACGACTCTCGAGACGCATCTCGACATCCTTATGCCACGCTCAGCGACATGCAAGCGGCCCGCGAAGCGTCCAGGGCCCTGTCGGTCTGCTTGCACCAGCCACCAAAGACGACACCTGAGACTAGCGTGGCATCCATTCTCAAATCTCAAGAAAGCGCATTCGCAGCGGTGCAGCAGTCTTGGCTCCCACGTTTCTCCAAAGGGGATGTTGACGACCCAGCTTCGAAGCCTGGCAGTCAAGAATTCAACCGTCATACCCGCACCAGGCGTGGCGGCGTTGCGCAGCGACCCCGCATGATGCCGCCAGTGCCCCAAGTCCCACCCCATCTACAGTACGACAAGCACTTTACCAGGACCGGCGCACTTCCAGTTGAACGTGCTAGCGGCACGGTTCCACATGATTGCGCGCTATCCACCAGCCACGCACAAGAGAGCTCTTGGTACTGTATTAATGCATTACAACTCGATCTTGACGACAGTGTCGAAGCCGTCGACGATGGCAGCACTCCGCTGCCAGACCCACAGCTCCGCCACTTCTCCTCGTCTTGCGCTACCCCGAGACGCGAAGCCACCTCGGACTCGGAAGAGGTGGAGATGCTCGATTCTCCTGAAACCGTACTGCAGAAACTTGAGCTGGATGACGCAAGCGCGATGAGCAGCGCGGTGGGACTTGGCCTCTCGAGTCCTGTTAGCGAGCACCGTATCAACATTCTCAATGCCCTTTGCCATGGTCGTGCAAACCCGCCACTGGGTAGGCGAAGCTCGTTTGGATCAGAAAATCCAAGACACATCAGAACTGACTCTGCTTCGTCGAACAAGCAAGCTTCTTGGACTGGATGTCCCATGTCAGCGCGGATCCAAGCCTATCTAGATTTATGGAAGGGTACGGAACACAGCGACGAAAGTCTCCATCAAAAGAAGGCCAAGAGCCTGCTGGCTTCTAGGCCAAAGACGCCATACCACAAGTTCGCGCACGTTCCACGCGATAGTCTTTCGCTCGCGGCGGAGCGCTTGAGTTGCAGAGCTCGTCGGGCGAGCAGCTCGAGCCTTGAAGCCTCGTCTTCGAACACGTCCGCCTCGGACATCTCGCGCTTCTCTCCGATCACCCTCTTACGAAGTGGTGGTAAAAGCTGCTCTTCAGCTGTCTCGTCCGGCTCAGACTCTGGACGCACGTCGGCGATTCGTCGGTCCGCCGGCGTAAAGCCCCGCAAGCGGGTATCCAGCTTGAATTGCTTGGAGGGTCATTCCGTTCGCGAAGCTCTCAAGGCTGAGCGTCAGAGCGCCAAGTAGCTTCTCAAGTGCCCCGCTTTGCTCCTCGAGCGAGCCGCGGATCACAGTAAACGTAAAGTCCCTGGCGACACATCAATCGAGGTCGACGCCGGGCTTCCATCTAAGTTTCCGTCTCGTCCTTGTTTTCATACCCACGAATTCTGCGCAAGCCACACGCAAGCTCTGACAGAACACAAGCAGGCAATCTGCTGAGAACGCGTCTCCACGACATTATCAATTTTGCAGATCGTCCACTAACACCTACAGAAATATACAGTCCCAATCGTTTTTACATCGCAGCGAATCGAATTGGCGCAGAATCGCGACTTATCTACGAGAATGACCTTTGCCTCCACTCTTTGTGTACTTGGAGTTGCCATTCCCACCGCCGGGCTTCTTGCTGTGTTCAGTCTTGTGTCTGCATTCGTCGCACAGCCATGAGCCGTGCGGTGGCTTGGTCATACCGACGCACGCAAGATGGAACTGTGGTAAAGCAAGGGAGAGTCGCTCATGAGCTGATCACGTTTCGTCGACTTGATCTACCGTGTCGCGTGTCTCTCCTCAGCAGGCGAGGCAAAAAAAGTCGTGCCCTACTCACCCATTCCCTTTCACAGTCATCTCCATCGCAACCGATCATATCGCCATAAGAGATATTGTCGCAGTAGCAGTACCTCCTCTCATCTTCTTCAGCCACAGCTGTCGCGTTGCTCGGGTTTTCATCCGCACCGCCTCTGACTGCTCTAGTGACGCGAGCTGAACGAGCAGGAGGAGCGACAGAGGAAGCATTGCTCGATTGTCCAGTTCCGATCTGACCCGGCATCGCTGCGCCATTGTTGCCTGACCCATGTCCGGCTGTGGAAGGGGCCGGGGAAGCGGAGGAGGTGTTGTGCTTGGATGCAGCTGCAGATGATGCTGCAGCGTGAGCCGTCCCTGAAGGAGCTGGGCGCCTCGAACGACTGGTTGATTGCCCTTTCGCATCATCTCCATCGATCTCGCCTTCCCCATTTCCCTCGCGCGAGGTGCGCTCTCCTCGTTCGTTTGAAGTGGTCAGTTGACGGTCAGCAGCTGTCTTGCCATTTGGCGCGTTGGCACCGGCGGCACCACCTCTCGGTCTGCTTGTCGACCCTCCTTGAGCGCTAGCAGCCCCGCTGCCTACGGAGCCGTGAAGGCTAGCCGCTAGCACGCCTCCTGCACCAGCCGATGCGGCACCTGCTGTAGCTGCAGCAGCGGCTGCTGCGTTGGCTTTCTTCTTGGCAGCGGACGACGAAGTAGCTGCACTCTTGGTATGTCCAGCGCTCGGTGCTTCGTCAACGCTATTGGGATTGGCTTTCCTTTTTTTTGGCGTAGGATTGGTTCCTTTGCCGGTGGTTGGAGAGGCTGACGGAGGGGCAACGGTGCCAGCAAGGCTTGCTCCCATTATGCCAGCCGCCGCTGCAGCAGAGCTCACTGCGGCTAGCGGACCACTGGGTCCAGCCGACCCACCCAACCGAGCCAGACGAGGAGGCCCGCCTTTCTTCCCCTTGGATCCGTCTTTGGCGATGCCTCCTGCTCCAGACTGTATCACTGGGCGGTCGCCTCCAACGATCGGTGTGCCATCCGACAAGTGCCCGGCCAGGTGGGAAGGAGGGGAGTCTAGGTATGGCGCCAGACCAGGGTGAGAGCTGAGAGCCGTTAGCAACGTGCTGATGTGAGATGTGTGCGAAATGATCTGAAAAGCCACATGAGGAGTGAGCATCACTATGCAAGTCGTCTCGGCCACCACCGTCGACGATCTTTTACTCACAGTCTCTGCGGTGTTTACAGCGACTCTGATCTTATCTTCTCCTCCCATCTTATATGCGCGCGCTTCCTCAGCACACTCTTTCAGAGCCAGCAATCTCTCTCCCTGTGACATGTCTTCTTGGCTGATGGCGTCGGACAAGTGGGACAGTCGAGCAGTCAAGCCTGCCAAATGGCTTCCTAGCACGGCATCCAGTTCCCTGAGATCAGAGAAGCTCCTGGTGAGGTCGAGGGGCAGGGCATCCAGAGCATCGGCATATGCTGCCAAAGTGGCGAACAGAGTGCTATCTTGCGCATCTGCTGGAGCTGAAGCTGTCGCCGAAGTCGATGACGAAGGTCCAGCTAGACCTGCTCGGGCAGCTTGGGACGGGAATGGCCCAGCGCTCATGACGGGAATGGGCACAAGTGAGGAGGAGGATTGGGACATGCAGCTACCACCAGAGATGTGTGGACTTTGTGTAGATTGCAGTGACTCGATGCTGGGGAGACCAAGAGCCTAGCTGCAGCGAGATGGGACATTGCATGTGTCTGCGATGTCGGTGGACGGGAGGTACCTCGTATGCGCCGCAAAGGCCACAGCTATAGGTAGGTAGAAAGGCGGTGTTTGGATGCGCGGGCAATCACGCCTCGCGCACTTTCCCCCGCCGAGTTCATGGGGTGGTCTGCCGTACGAGAACGCGCGCCCGCGGGTCTTCCACCCGCATATGGGGTCACGATCGAGTAGCGCAATCATTCACGATCCGGACTCACCTTCTTCGAGCGACCACCTGCCTTGTGATGGCTGCACATTTGTCGTTCTGCACAGGACAAGCAACGGATCCTTCAGTGTTTCGCACTTCCTGTGCGGCGTCCTTGTGCGTTCGATTGAGCGTGACAGCTACCATGGCCAGTGTACGACTCTTCGCAGACGCCTTGCGGCCACGAACGTCCAGCTTCTTCTCGTCATGCCCCACCGTAGCAGCTCACAGAGGCGTCAAGAGAGGACTGGTCAAGAAGCAGGAGACACAGCGCACGCACACGCGAGAGACTCTGGAGAGGCGGTTGAGCATGCAGGCTGGTATCAGAATGCCCAACGAGAAAGGAGGCGCAATCAAGCTTGACTTTACAAAGTACAGCAAGCCCGCCGATGGGAAGTTGTACAAAGTAGGGGATACGGAGAGCATCGTCGTTGCTCATGGTCTCTTGTGAGTGTGCGAACCCTTGATACGTCGCGTGTGACACGCAGCGCAAATGCTCAAGACCCGTCAAGCTTGCAACTGCGATCCAATAGCGGAAGCAAGACCAACTGGCGTAGCATAGCGAGAAGGATGGCAGAGCAGTTTGGTGTGGATGTGTATACTGTGGTGCGCAGAAGCCTGCATGTTGTTCCTGGCTATCAAAAGGTCGAAAGCCTGACCTCTTTTGGCGTTCTTCTGCGCTCTGACAGGATCTCAGAAATCACGGCGATTCAGGACATGCGGACAGCATGACATATATGGACCACGCCCGTGACCTGGAAAATTTCCTGAATGACCAGGACTTGACGCAGAATGTGGCTTTGATCGGTCACTCGATGTACGTTGTATGCATGCACGGCTTCCACTGCACTTGCTGAGTAGCTGACGGGCCGCAAGCGATCGATGACAGGGGCGGCAAGGCCGTTCAAACCTTGGCATTGGACCTCGCAGACTTGCCATCATCCAACAACCCCATAACATCCCTCATCTCGGTCGACATGACACCGGCAAGAGGTGCTCTGAGCCCTGAATTTGCGGTTCGTAGCCCAGCCAAATTTAAGAGCAAGAGCCTCTGATACGACACGAGCTCACTTGACCTCTATCCCATCTGTGTAGAATTATCTGCAGGCAATGATCGACATCGACGCCGCGCGGTGTACCAGCAACAAAGAAGCAGACGAAATGCTGCAGAAATGGGAGTCCGTGAGTTGGTCTGTACCGGCCCGCACGGCAAATCCTTTGCTGACACCTTTGCCTCGATTGCCGGCAGGATCCAGGCATTCGCGCTTTCCTCCTAACGAACCTGACACAAAATCCGGTCGAGCGGAACATCAAGTCTTTCAGAATCCCAGTACGCAAGATGCAGGACCTGTTGCCTAGCCTAGGGGACTTCCCTTTTGACCCTCCAGGAACGGACAAATCAGGCAAAGGTCAAGTCGATGGCCAGCAACGGTCTAGCCGATCGTGGGACGGACATACTCTATTCATCAAAGGTGAAAGGAGCAAGTGAGTCGAGATGCCCATGACCGCTTGTGCCTGAACACAAAATTTGCTACAACGCGAAATGCCGCTTTGCGATTGAACCTGACGTGTCGACTGCATGGCCCATTAGGTATATCAATCGCCACAATATACCCATCTGCGATGCTTTCTTTCCCAATGCACAGCATGCTTCTCTCGACACGGGCCACTGGGTGCAGGCTGAGAAGCCATTGGAATTTGCGGAGTTGGTGAAGAATTTCTTGCTCAGAAAGCCGTTGCAAGGAATAGAATAGAACGTCATTCTTCTCCTACGCTACCCAAGCTTAGAGTCTGCAGTGGCCACGTGCCACTATCACATCTTTGGCCAAACAAATCGGACTGAAGGCGCGCTGACCGATGAACATCCCGACGCCCATCATCGATGGTGCACGCCAATACTTCAACGACCACCGACGCGTGAAGGGAAAGGTGCGTACTCCGAAAGCAAAAGTAGGTCCAAAGGCTTCTCTACTTGCGCATGGTCGCCTGTACAGTCGTGCGGCATCAGACGAAGCGCATCGCTGGAGCCGTGCACTTCGAGGTAGTCTCCGATGGTCGTACGCCGCTTCATGCTCATAGCGTCCGCTGCTGCTCGAGCAGCTCAATGAACAGAGCCACATTCTTCGCTTTGGTCTTTTCGAGCTTGTTATTTGAAAGACGAAAGAGAAATTTGAACTTCTGCGTCTTGTTCAGCGTGGCCCAAAAAGCCTTGGCTTTGGGGTGATCATCCAAAGCTGCTTGGAATTTGGCATCCGGTTCCATCCCCTTTTGTCGGTATGCTGCATCCCACCTGCCATCTTGTTTTGCTCTCTCGACCTCTCGCAGACCTGCTTCGCGCATTCGACCGGCCTCTGTCAATCTGGCCACATGGGCTATGTTCACTTGAGACCAATTGCTGTTTCTTCTCCTGGGGGTGAAGCAGCGCTCGGCGTAATGCTCGTCGTGCGGCTTGCCTCTGGAGTCTATCCAACCAAAACACAATGCCACGTCCAGCGCTGCTGCGTAGTTGACGTGCTTCGATTTCCTCGCTTGTTGATCCTCTTTGCGGACTATGAGAAGTCTAACGCCATTCGCATCGTCTGGATGCTTGCTGAGCCAGTTCTCCCATTGCTTCTTGGTCAAAGGTCCCAACAAGGGTTTGTTCGCGTATGCGCTCATTGCACGCCTCGCGTCTGGTGAAGAGTGAAGACGCTCCCACGGTTTGCAAGCGATAATCGAGATGTCAAGGATGGCGTTACGGCGGTGATGGCGGAGGGTGGGAATCAGAATGGGCATGGGCAGGAGAGGTTCGTCTCCGCAATTTCAAAGCAAGCGCTTGGGTCATCCGCTTGCTCGTCTGCAGATTGCGGAACAGAACGCTCGTAGACAAGTCATGAGCACAGTCACGAGTACAGCATACAGCCTTTCACCGAGTCTGTGTATAGTGATGTGGGCAGTAGGAGTAGTCGTGAGTCAAGTATAGCTGCAGCGAGCGAATTACAAGCGCTTTGAAACGAGGCTGTGCGGTGGGTAGCGTCGCGCGCGCTCACAACGCGTGTTTGCGACAAAGTTCGAGCCCAATTGATCTAATTCTTCATTTGACTTGGAGGCGATAAGGTTTGTGATCGTGACTATATATGGACTTGTACGACCGCTTGCCTCGGCCCGAGCGTCGCGCAGATCTGTATACACCGGCGGTACTCTGCCGCAAAAGAGTATGCTATGCCATACAGCCAGAGGTATAATAGAGGGGGATCGACCCGATATAGCGGCCCCTCGCACGCGATGCTGGGCCAGCCGTGGACAGTAAGTATACACCGGTATGCAGTTTCCGCCTGCCGCAAGGACCCCCCCGTACCTCGCCCTGCTGCACCCGCACGTCCCTCTGCTGCTGCTGCTGCTGCTGCTGATAGCCGTGATAAATCGCGAACATCTGTGCATGCATGGAGTAGCAGGAGTACCACCATCGACCAAGTCTCCACCTGTATCGCAGTAGCACCCGCACAGAATCCATCCGTGCGATGCTGTTCATCTAACCACCATCACCACTGTCCAACAGCATTTGTTCGTCCTCGAAGAAGTCATTCGCCACTCTTCAGCCTTACACAGAGCTTGCTATCACCCTTCTCAAGCAAACTCCGATCAACACGCTGTGAGCGGAACCAGTCCGCGTGGTCCTGCTGCAGGCAGAGCTGGAGGCGGATACGTTCCCCGCATCCCCACGTCCCGTGAGCCTGCCCACGGTCACTCTTTTGCCGGATTCACCAGCTCTTCGACTTCAAAGCTTCTTCGCTGGACAGGCCATAGGCTTACTTCCGCCCACCTTGCGGCCACGCCACGCCACGCCACGCCACGAGCATGCCGACCGACTCCCTGACCCCTCCACAAAGGCCGGCAGGCTCTTCACGTATTCGGACCATCTCCTCCGCTTCTATTCGCGGTCTGCGATCACTAGGCTCTCGAAATTCATCGAGCACGAATCTGAGTTCGAAAGCCCAGACGCAGACGAATGGGGCAGATGCTCCGCCTGTCCCTTCACTTCCTACAGGTCGCACGACACCAGGCGGCCTGACTGGCGGGTCTACCACTGCGGATAGCCCAAGTCGACCTTCCACGACCAATTCTTCTGCCAGGACGTCTGTCGAATCTTTTGAAGTGGCCGCGCCGAAGTCGAAGAGCGCAAAAGCAACGACGTCTAACAATGCAGCCGCTCCCTTCCCAAGTCTCACAAAGACAGCCTCGGTCAGTCCTACTCAAGTAAGTGCGCGTACTTGTGTGCAAATTCGTAGCATTCACAATGGTGCTCGGACAAGAAAGTGTTCCAAAATTCTGAATTCGTAATCCGACCTGGATTTGCAGCCTCGACCTGGTCACCCTGGCAGCTTGAGCGTCTCGCAGTCTGCAGCGCTCAAGACGTTTGAACAGGAGCTGGGCCGATTGGATGCGCTGCCTATAGGATATGAAGCGGATGCCACAGAAGAGGAGAAGTTGTGGGCTCAGGTCACCCTAACGTGAGTGAAGCGCGAGAGCTGGACGTTATTGACTGTGATGTATTGCTATGGTTTCATTGATGTGACGACGGCGACTCATGCAAATGTTGCTCCACGTTGGGCCCCAACAGCCGTTACCTGCGGGCAAGATCATGGAACGTCAACAATGCTCTGACGATGTACAATGCCACACAGAAATGGAGAACCTCGCAGAGATTGGGCGACTTGGTGGACCCCTCCTCTTCGAGCTACTTCACCTTTGATGAGAGAGATGCCGTGGCGGAGGCTGGTTGGTCGATGTACTTTCACAATACCGACAAGCTCGGCAGGCCTATCTTTGTCCAAGGGCTCGCGGGTCTGGATACCGTCAAGCTGCTCAAAGCAACGACGCCGGAGCGTATCCAGACAAACTTCTGCTGCACCCTGGAGAAGGCATGCCAAACAAGATATCGCGCTGCGACGCAAGCCAGGCGCTCTCTTGGCGACACCACAGCTCTTATAGATGGTCGGTCTTCGCAAGTATATGGCGCTCGCAAAGACCAAGCATGCTGACTTGTTCACGACTTCGTCCTGCAGACAACTTCATGATTGTGGACATTGGCGGCTTGGGCATGTCAACCTTCTGGGCTTTCAAAGGCCAGCTTCAAGGGCTTCTGGCGACGCTAGACGCCAACTTTCCCGAGCTCTCGGGGCGCGTGCAGATCATCAATGCGCCGTGGCTCTTTAGCAGTATCTGGGCTTATATCAAGGGCTGGCTGCCCGTCGGCACGGTAGATAAGATTGACATCCAAGGAGCGGACTACAAATCTACCCTGCTCCAGTACATAGATGCGGACCAGCTGCCTGCTTTCTACGGCGGAGCGTGCCGATGCAGCGAAGGGTGCCAAAAGAGCGACGTTGGTCCTTGGCATGAGTCGTCGAGCACCAATCAATCTGGTAAAGACCCGGCGGAACCGGACGCTTCTGGAGTCGTTCCAGCTCAAGAGGCTCCCAGGGCAGCTTCCGTCGGTAGCGCGGCTCAGCAAGATGGAGAAGCCGTACCATCATCGTTGCCGAACATCACGACCACCGGAATCGCAACGTCATCGGATGCGCTGGCACCTAATGGTGGCCTGAAGAGTGCTGCACCTCCCGTTGCAGCTCCCGTTGACGTGGAAGTCGGAGCGGCAGCATCTCCCATTGACCGCGTGGGTTCGAACTCTTGAAGAAGCCCTGTCATCGATTTCAGGCGCGATTGGCCACTCCTCAAGTCGACGTCATTTTCGCCTCTATGACCCTATCGTGCTCCTTGCTTCGTCCTCGTGATCATCTGTCAATAGCACACATCAGCAACAAGTCTCTGCGTTCAATCCATCTTGCTACCCTCTCTTCCACAGCTTTGCACTAATCCTAGACCATACGGAACCCGAGAAATGCATGTGATGCCAGAATGACACCGTTGTTGAAGCTAGCTGAAAGAGAAGAGCTTGCACGGCAGCCACGCGAATTCGCCTTGCTTTTGAAGCTCGGCCATCGCACTGTCACTGCAAATGGTGTCAATAGTGACTAGCAGCAGAGATGATTTGTGAATGTATGGCGACTGGTGCTGATGTCCAGAAGCGGGGAGACTCGTGAGGACATGGCCGGCCACTCGTGCCCCTCCCCCCGCCAAGTATGAGTCGCGTTGCACGCTTCGTGTGGCGAATTCGCTGATGGTGCCAAAGCTCGCGCGTGATTGATTGCACACACACAGCCCAGCCCTGCTTATTATAGCCCTGCTGCGATGCACCGCGCGTTGGCTGCCGACCATGCAGCAGCGCGTGGTGGCCGCACGATAGAGGTGCGGTAGGTATAGCATGCGGCAATCGTCAGGAACGCAGCAAAGCTTGTCGAACGCGCGCTGCACCGATGTATGCAGCAGCAGCCCGCACCTACGCGCGGCGACGGCGGCGGCGGCGGCAGCAACGGGCAGCACTCAAACCCGTGACTCACGACGAGCTCGTCTGAGCAAACTCCAAGTCACGAGTCCTCGTGTGACTGCTGTCGGTCGCTCTATGAGGCTCTAATTGCGCTGCTTTCCATCTTTCTTCCTGATTCTTCATACCCAAGCTTCAAGTCGCGCACGACCGACTTGCGATCCTTTTCTCGAATCTCAGTCTCTCTCTCACACATTCTCTGTCTCGCCTCTTCGAGCTTCGACACGATACGAATCCTTCTGCCCCAGCCTTTGCACCACGACGATCTCGCTACATTACTCGCTTTGCCCTTGCCATCGCCGACTGTTCGACTCAAACTGACTAGACTCGACGCTTGACAACGGCTTCTCGCCTAGACCGGCTCTCAGCCAGCACACCTCTTCCTCTCCGACTCTCTAGTGCGATCAACACTTGCAATTCCTTCTGCGACGTAGACGCTTGCACGGCTTTCGCGCTACCACTCTACGCCACAGCCCTGGCCTCGGCCTCTATCTGTCCAAGTCCCAGACCGCGCCGCGTCACTCGATCGCTCAGGCCTCACTAGTTGGTGATTCGGCTTCAAGGGCGAGGTCAAGTCAATCTCTTGCTGAGCAATTTCTCACAGCGCACGCTTCTGACGACTGATTCGAGCTCGAACAACCGAGCCGACAGATAAGCGACCCTCCGCTCTTGTGCCGCTTCCGCTCCGCAGTACAAGTACGTTGCCTGGTATCCTTCAATTCCAGCGGAGTGCCAAGGTTTTCTGTTCCATAGACACGCACCCGCATTTCAGCTTGGTCAACCTCCTTTACATTCACATCTCGCTGCTTTCGCACGCCTAGCACGACCTCGTCTCGACGTCCAGCCCGGTCCCAAGTCCCACCTCTCGAGGCTTGAGAGTACAGCGCATTGCCTTTCACGAACCACCTACTCTCAATGGCTTCTCCTGCGCCTGCAGCTACCAAGTCGGTTCCGCTAACGTGCTCGGGTCACACACGACCAGTTGTCCATCTCGAATTCTCGGATCTGCAAGATGACGGGACGTACACTCTGCTCAGCAGCTGCAAGGACGGCAATCCGATGTTGCGAGACTGGCTCGGAGATTGGATAGGCACGTTTTTGGGTCACAAGGGAGCCGTTTGGAGCAGCAAGCTGTCAGGCGGAGAGGCGAACCGAGCTGTTACTGGAAGCGCAGACTTCTCCGCCAAGGTGTGGGACACGTTCTCTGGTCAGTGCTTGCAGACATTTCCGCACAACCACATTGTTCGCAGCGTAGCTATTAATGCGGCCGGCACCAAAATCTTGACTGCTGGTCACGAAAAGAAGATTCGGCTGTTTGACCTGGCAAAGCCCGAGGCTGAGCCTAGCTACCTGGTCAATGCTGCCAGCGATGCAGAAGCTAGCAAAGGTCTGGCGCATCCCAATAACATCAAGAGCATTGTCTGGCAGCGGGGCCAGGGAGAGAATACGACTATCAGTGCGGGAGAGGACAAGACGGTACGGTGGTGGGATCTAAGGACAATGACCAAGTCGAGCGAGATCTCTTTTACGGATCCCATCACTTCGATGGAGAGATCGCAGGGCTGCTTGGGAGAGCTGCTTACGATCACGTCGGGCAAGAATGTCTACTTTATCGATGCGACCACGCGCGAGGTGCGCAAGCAGCACCAACTCTCACTCGCCCCTTCCTCGGCCAGCGTGCACCCCGTCAATGCGGACAAGTTTATTGCTGGCTTTACGGGGGACGGATGGATCAGGATCTACGACTTTGAGACGGCCAAGGAGCTGGAATTGCACAAGGGCCACCACGGACCCGCGCACGCTGTTAGCTACTCGCCCGACGGAGAGCTCGCTGCGAGCGGCAGCGAAGACGGTGAGCTCGCCTGCGGAGGAAGACTGGCTCAGGTGCTTGATGCGATGCTATGCTGACGCTCCCACAAACTCCTTTCTGGCTCGATCAGGCACCATCCGGCTTTGGCAGAGCTATCCAGGCAAGAAGTATGGTTTATGGCAATGAGGTGGCGCCGAGCTTGTATTGCACGAAAAGCAAAAGCAGAGGAGGTCGAAATAAATGCACACAGGTCCACCCTGTGACATCAATGGGGTTACAGCGCTAGAAATGCGGCTCTACGAGTATCAAAAGTTAGGCATAGCATCATTTTTATTGACTCCTTGACTCGTCGATGACGGCCTGATTGCCCGCAAACCGACGAGAATCGTGGCGAAGGAGAGAGCCGCTCGCTCAGCTCCCTAGTCTCTATCACGTGACCACATTGCGCGTGACTCTTTCCGCGCAAGCGCGCTTGTGATGGTGGTAGGTTGCGTGTTGTTATTGTCTGATGATCGATCTCTGTGCGCGGGCGCAGAGTCAGTAGAGAGTTCATCTATCATCATGCAGCACAGAGCGCAGTCGTCGCGGACATTTCAACATGGACTGACGAATCCGCGCAGAGATTAGCAGCCGGAGAATGAAGCGCTTGACGTGTCTCATCTGAAAGACGCATTTCGCTATATCCTCTCTTCGATCTGCAACTAGATCGCTCAAGTCTCCTCTCACTGACCCATTCAGAAGAGGCTTCGAAAGGCGGACATTGCGCCAAGACGCGAGAGGAAGCTTGCACCAGCGCGAACGAGAGAGCTGCACATATCTGGATCAAGCCCTCATCGTCCGACGCACCGACGGGCAAGATCAACATCGACACGAGGAGGTGCTACATTTGGGTCGGTCCGCTGGCTTGAAGGTGCAGCGCATAGCGCACAAAGCGTGTCACCGCCTCTTGTGAAGCGCAGCGCGGACTGTTGGAAAATGGCTTCGCAGGATGCAATGCCGTAAGTGTCTCGATGATGCGTCTTGGCGCACCTCATTCCATTCAATCACTGCAGCGCTGCTAGCATACACGATGGTGCAGTTGACACTGACCGCTCCCTCCCCGTCGCCTTCCAAAAGGTCCTTTTCCACCTCGGAGGAAGAGATCCGATGGCTCAAGAACAAGGTGGCAGAGCTGAACGATGCTCTGGGAGACTTGCAAACGGAGCTGGCTGACTTTGCGGAGAGCAGCAAGGAAGTGGAGAAGGAGATGGACAGGGAATTGCAGGATGCTTACAAGAGAGAAAAGGATGCGCGTATACAGGCGGAAAAGTCCCAGAGTGTGGTCGAGGATTGGAAGGTGAGCAAGATCTCGGCGTGTTGAGCTCGCTGGATTGGACTGCATTTGTGCTCGAGACGAATGCTGACTCTGCATCCTCACATCGCAGGCAAAATATCAAAGTGCGCTGGCAGAGCACAATCGTTATCACGCGGAGACTGAAAAGGAAACGGCAATGGTCAAGGAGCAGTTGAAGAGGTACAAAGCAACAATTCGCGACATGGAGGTCAGCAATGAGGAACTGGAGAATGCAGAGCGGTGAGTACTGCACAAGAATGTTGACGCCGCGTCTAGTCGACTCTGAGCCCGAATCTGTGCCTTGCTAGTATGATCGCGTCCTCGTTGCACGAGCGGGAAGCCAACTACAACAGAGCCCTAGAGCGCACAGTTCTGTTGGAGGAGGAGCTCATCGCCAAGGGCCGTCTCGAAGATGATAATCAAAGACTCAAAGACGAGATTCAAGGTGCGTGAAGCGACCACGGAGATCGAGCAGCACCCTGAGGCTGAAACGCACCTGTCGGCGCCTGCAGATCTGAGTGAAGAGCTCGGAATAGCGCGAGAGAAGCTTAAGGAAGTACAAGCACAAAATGCCGCGTCAAGCAGGGCAGTGTCACGCGCAGGCAGAGAGACTCCTGTCGAAGGCTCTAGCAAGCCTAACGGTGACATGAGCATCGCCGAGCTGATGTCCAAGCCGCGACCGAGCACTTCGACGTCAGTGGCCAGCTCTACTTCTAGACCCTCCTCGCGCGTCAACGAGCGCTTGTCTCCGATCCAAGGATCCGTCAACACTCGCCTCCCTTCCGGTGCTCCGCTTGGACCGCCAGCAAGCAGCGCAAAGCTGAGAGGTACCGTCACTGGACACGCGCGACGGTCGAGTCGGGACATTGGCGCCACCGGCGGCGAAGATAGCCCTAGCTTGCGGGCATCGCGGTTGAGACGAGATCTGCCCGCCACATCGCGGGTCGGCTTCACACCTGCCAGAACACGCGTTGGAAGCACGAGAGTTTCAAGCACAGCCGAGAACCCGACGGGCAGCAGTAGCAAGGGAATGATGCAGGCCATGCAAGCCAGGATGAAAGCGCTCGACAGCCGCATCAGTTCAGCGAGGAGCATGAGCAAGGTAGCGCCGGCTAGTGAGCTTGATAGAAGTGCCATTCCCCGACCTTCGAGCAGATTGGGTGAGAGTAGAGGTCCAGGTGGTCTTAGCTCGCCGGGTCCCTACACTACACCTGCGCCCGTCCGAACCAGTCGCGCTAGCTTCGATGGACGAGGATCGCAGAGCGGCATTCCAGTACCGCCAACAGGCTTGTCCAAATCCACAGCGCGCCGACCCGGTTCGCGGCTCTCGCAAGCGCCAGGCGGTCCTGCAGCGGACTCGCCTCCGCTGCACACCATCCCATTGCCTCACTCTATCACCCCACTTCAAAGACCATCGAGCCAGAGCGGACATAATCACAACAACGACTTGGACTTGCTCGACAGTGCTCCAGAGGCCAAGACGCCACCAGGTACCGCAGCTCGAGTGCGTCGGGTCAGCACGACAACCAGACCGGGTGGGGCAAGTGCCTCTGTACGGCCCAGGGGGAGCACTCTTGCCTCCGCATCTGGTGCAATCCCAAGACCTTCTTCAACAACAGCGACAGAAGAGGGTGCCAACATTTTGCCAGAGTCTTCCGCCCGCGTCAGGCAGCACGGATCTAGGCCTGCGAGCGGGGCGATGGGCTCGGGTCCTCCCGTCAGCTGGAACAACACTGCTGGACGTACGCGCAGCGGTTCTTTTGGTCAGCGATGAGAGTAACGCGACCACGAGCTTCATATCTTCTCTTCCTTGGCCCCTCAACTTTGTCACCGAGACCGGGATCTTGTGCTTACAGCTTGAATCGCGCGCTGAGCAGCAATGTTCCACGCAACGATGTGCAACTATGTACTTTTAGCCGCGGATTTACAGACTTGGCACCAGCCAGCAATCCCTTCGCGAAATTGTGTGGTTTTGAGTGAGGAGCGTAGAGTGATCGTGGCTGAAGGATGCTCAGCCGTGATGTCTGGATTGACCCGCTCTTGATCACTGTGTCAAGCTTGTATTTATGAGAGCCGACACTGACGACCTGAGGGAGGCTGAGAGGATCGACGTTCGAGAGAATTCCAGCGGAGAACTCTTGCGCGGCGGCGTCTTGAAGGCCGATCGAGCGATGAGCGCCAGCCGCGGCGACGCGCTAAACTTACCTGATGGTAAATCTCCGAGCGAGCTGCTATGGATTTACGCTTATAAATGGGCGGGCGCCTTTGCTCGTCAAGAGGAGGCCGACGTGTGGCGGTATATGTGCTCTAGAGATACCAGCAAGCTATATAGCAAAAGCGTCGGAGCAATGACCAAGCAAGTCGATGATGTATCGGTGAAGGAAACCTGAGCCGCTGGTCAGCCTGCGCTGCTCGCTGACCCAGAGACGGAGCACACGCTGACTACAGGATCTCCCCGCTCTCTTGCCTGCTCCGCCGCTTCCCGGGCGTGTCTGCCTGCAGCAGCGGCGGACATACCGGTAGCGGTACGGCAGCGCGGCGCTAGATACGCTCGCTTCGCAGAGCCTCTTATTTCTTGCCTTGCCTCGGTAGGGCATCGTGCAGCTAGCTAGCTTAGCAGAGCGCACCTTTGTTCGTGTGTCGCTGCTGCAGAGCTCCTCAATCAGCTGTAGAACCGTGCAGTGAGTGACCTTGCAGCTCTGAGCACGACCGGGCCAGCTTGAAGTTGCTGGGAAAAGAGCAGAAGGTCGGAATTTGGATGGCGTGAAATGTCAAAGTGTTGATCGATTCGTGAGTGTGAGTCTGAGTCAAGAGTGTCGCTTGTGGACCCGCTCGGTCAATCGAGGTTACAGTCACCGAGTCGTGAGCAGCAGGGGCAATCAATGAATTGCTCTGCGAGTGTAGGTTGTCGTGATGTGCTGCTGCTGCAGCAGCAGCTTGGTATGTGACTTTTGCAGGCACTCGTGACTGACGATCGCTACAGGCATTTTGCCCTTGCTGTTCTCCGTGACATACCGGTACCTGTCTAGGTGTTCAAAATTGTGCGCACGCCCTCGGGCAAACCCAGCAGCCTGCTCAGACAGCCTCACGCAACTCCGACGGGAGGCGGAATTCTTGATCTTCCCTTGTGGAGACACGAGTCGTGATCGAGTCTATCGATCTCGACCTGTACAAGTTAGTCGTGAATGAGCATTTCTCGTAACTGCTGTACTCGTGACATCCATCGACCCACGTTGCCAAATTCGGATTCGTTTTGGGCTGTATGCTACCCTGACACTGCCTCGAGGGAGCCTTTCGCCTGGGCTGCTTCTTCGATCAGAGGATCCTCGGACCATCGCATCCATCACCGAGCCATGTCGAGGTAGAGCCAACATACGCCCAGCCATTCCAGCCATTCCTTATCTTGACCAACGAGCGGATCATCCGACAGTCGGAGACTTCTGGTGCGACCGGCACACAACTTACATCATGCGTGTCCCGGCATCCGGCTACAATGCCACACTGGTCGATGCAGGGCCGTATACTGGCATGAATGCCAACGAGTGGGCCGCGGATGTCTTCGTACCGGATGCAATGCCGCAAATGGTGGCTAATGCTGTCGCCGTAATAGTTGGGCTGTGGGAATTTATCGTGGGCGTGCCCGGAGAGTATGTCATGTGAGTCGCAGCTAGCCGCTTCTTAGGGGATGCTCGTGCTCAGTAGGCGCGCCGCAGAGCTGCGTTGCTGACCATCCTCCCACGAACCTCTGACGTGACCACTGTCCTCGGCGGCGCTTTCGAGTAGTTGGCGACGAATATTCCAAGGGCCGTCTGGTCGGAGCAGTTTTGCGCCATGGACAACGCTGGCGCTCAGGTACTTGATGCTGACCCTATCAGTCTCGCAAGCATTCGGCACCTGGTCGACCACGATGAAGACGGTCGCCGCTTGCAAAGTAGCCAGTGGAACGCTTGGCGCTGCTGGCCTTTTGCTGAATTCGGGTACCAGCTTTGCCGTCGCTTGGAGGGCACAGGCTGTAGCCCGTGGGGTCATACAAACCGCGGCAGGATTGGTGCTTGTTCGCCTCACCATTGCAGGCCTCCTTGTGAGTGTCAGAGCCACAGCTGCGTTTGCCTCAACCATCGTCCATTTGCTGATACTCGCCAGCGTATTGCTCAAGGTCGTCGAGCTGTTCCTAGTTTGGTTCACTGTGCTTTTCCCCAGCACTCGTAATGCCATCCAGACGGACCGCCTGCGGGCAGGTCGCTGCGTCTTGCGCACGGCGGCAAGCGGGACAGACCAGATCGTTGGAAGGCCGCCCGAATATCGCATTCTATTGATCTGCTATTATGGTACGTCTTGACGATTTCTTGCTGCACGTTTCAACATGACTGACGGAGGCCTATGGTGCCCGCTGCACTTTCCCAAGGTGTGACGATTCTCTTCAATTTTGCGTGCTTGGTCATCGTGTGTGTCGCGCTCAGAAGGCTTGCACGGAGATCACACGGATTCGCAAGATTCATTTCAGAGTGAGTCTCGAGGGCAATTCTGAGGTCGGCCACGCAAGTGTCCAGCCCTAGCTGACGTTCGTCTGCCCTATTCAGGATGGTCCTGCACTCAGTCTTCTTCTTCGTGGTCTCTGTCCTGGTGCTCACTCTAGGCTTGATCTGGATCGCCATCGACGAGTACGCTGGCTGGATCTTTTGGCCAGCCTCTGTCATTCAAGCAGCAACGATGGTGCGCGTCCTCATCTCAGAGCAGAATGCTGCGCGGCGACCACTCGACACTACGTTCATGGAGCAGAGCGCTTACCCAAACACTGGCGGTACGACAGGCCGTGGGCCTACATATGGAGCTTATTTCTCCAGAGGCGCGCCAGTAGCTGACCACATGCGCGGTCCCGAAGCGCCCGTGGAATACGCTACAGGAGACCACGGTCAGAGAGGGGAGACTACGGTGCAGTTTGCGGACAGGTATGGTGGGCCGCTTTCCGCCACAGGGATGCTGTCACGAAGAGGTGGTGGACGGGCACCTCCGATCCTTAATCCGCTGGATAATCTGGGTCAAGCATTCTCTCAAATAGATTCGCGCATGGACATCGATGAGCAAAGCTTCGATGATGGCAGGTCTTCGCTGCGTCACTCTGAGGGTGCCCGAGCGGACGGGACGAGCGGGTCTCGGCGTACCGACAGCATTGCGCTTTCCAGACTCGATGCTGGCTCTTCGGCACCCAAGCTTGGCAGTGGAGGCTCAACGGCGCCATCACCAATTTCAGCTGGCGCGTACCCGTATCCGCGGCCATGGGTACCGCCCTCTGATGACCATCTGAATATGGATGCCGAACCCAAAGTGGCGAACGCAATCCCTGCGCCTCCCTCAGAGCCTCGGTCCCGGCCTCAAGTTCGACGCTCGAGCTCGTTCTCGGTGAGGAGCTCCGAAGAATCTTCCGATAGACCACAAATCCGGACATACCCAGGCTAGTTGGTGTCCGCCTGTTCGCTAGTACACACTTGGAGCCCTACCTCTACTTTGCTCGCTTTGTACAACACACTGGATGACCCTTGGTCGTCTGAACGACTTGTAGCTCCTACTCACTGGTCCGCACTTTCTGCTGTACTATACGGTTACGCACTACACATTGGCTTTCATCGTTCGACGTCTCAACGTCTTCGGAATCGGCATGCTGCCAAGTGTCGTCTACTCGCTTTCGAACCACAAGTGCCAGCCAAGGAGCGCCAAAGGCTGGAAGAGCGGCGCATCCCCTGCGAAGGCGTCGGCTGCCTCCCAGGCTCCTTGATTGCTCGCATCGCGATAGTCACTGCCTCTCATCTTGTCTGCTTCGACCTTTGCGCCAAGCACGGAATTGTTGGGACTCGGTTCTTCCAGCAAGGCGCGCGCTATGATCCACCCTGCAGGGAAAAAGAAGTTCTGCGTGATGAGCAGCTGGCTGGAGCAAAAAGAAGACCGCATCAACACCCGATGTAGGCGCCTCTCACGTAGAGGTACCCAGCACCAGCCATCGCATTTCTGAGGTTCGAGCACCTGAACAAGGCATGGAAAGGTCGTATCGACCCCACAAATGGTCAGCCATTGCGTCGTGGGGGCGAGCTTTGTGTAGGCGCTCACTTGAGGGACGGGTCGATTGCCAGATTGGTCGTAGAGATCAGGCAGCTTGGCGTACATAAAGACGGTGAGGTAATGCATGAAATCCTCGTCCCTTTGTGTACCACGCATACGCGGGGACTCGGCAAGAAATAGTGCTTTGCCGCGAGCGTGTGATTGGCCACCAATGGCTGCACTTCCTTGGCCCAAGATCAAAGCGGGATTAGTAGTCTGATCGATGACGAGGCCAGTCTCCTCCCGAACTTCGCGTATCGCGCACTGCTCGAACGTCTCGTGAAGCTCCAAGTGTCCACCTGGCAGCTGGATCGTACCTGCGCCGTGTGACCCTTTGCGTTTACCGACCAAGACTAGTCCGTGAGACTCCACCAAACATCCGACACCCACCCGAGGCATTGCGTATGCAGAAGACGCATCTGGTCCGGTTTGGTCCATGTCCACCGTCCCTTGAAGCTCGCATTCAGCTCGCCTTCGTTTCGTCTCGGCTGGGCCCATCTTGCACCGCTGTCGACATCTATAATCAACACCTTCGACGCTGGTCCTGTCTTTCATCGACAGCGGGCGAGCGTAGTTGAGAGATGCTGACGAAGCGAACAAGCATGAAAACGCAGCAATGATAACAATGAATGATTCCAGGATATTCACAGTCACGGTCGCGTTCAGTCTCGAGTTCAAGTTGAGAGTAGCTGGGGCAGCGATGGAATATTCTAGACTCTCACGCGCCGTCGGGTACCGCCGATGCATGCATGCAACTCGTCGTTGCTGGCGCCCAAGCGCGCGCGAGGGAAAGCGAAGGCTTGGAAGGTCTGCATTTCATCGCTAGAGGAGGAGCGCGTGGGTGCGTGCAGACGTGATCCCTGTGTATAGTTAGCGCTCTCTGGAGCCTCTCGCGCGGGCGCGGGCGCGGGCGCGCGCTGGGTGTGCTTGGATGGCAGCCATACGTAGATGTATGGAATCGCAACAACAGTCCGAGTGCTTGGTGGACGATGCATTCATTCCTTGTCCTCCATCAACTCTAGAGCACCCATCTATAGCTTTCGGCTCGTTTCAGACGTCATCCATTCTTCTTGCCGAAGTTTCTGCGCCCCAGACATCCCTTCATCAACACTTCCTAGTCGCATATCATCATGGCAGCTGCCGTCGCGACCGCGCACACCCCTCTCGAGGGCTATGTTGTGAGTAAATTCCCGATTTCGAGCCTCCAGTAGGGCACATCATTCTCTCGCGCACTCACGATTCGAGGCGACGCATCTGACGCTCTACTCTTTTTCATCGCAGGGTTTCGATTCCATCACCTCTCAGATCGAGGCCAAGCTGTTGAAGCGGGGGTTCGCGTTGAACATTATGGTTGTCGGACAGACTGGTCTTGGAAAGAGCACGCTCATCAACACGCTGTTTGCTAGTCATTTGATCGACTCTAAAGGTCGTCTGGAGGCATACGAGAGTCCTAGAAAGACCACCGAGATCCACCCCGTCTCCCATTGTGAGTCACGACTTGGAAGTCTTGCAGGATGGTGGCCTTCGTGGATAAGGGGAAGAAAACCGCATGTTGATGAATGAGCTGCGTGCCACGCACTGTGGGTGCCGTATTTGAGATAGACGGGCACCATGCGGATAGCGCGCACCGTGGTCGGCAACTTCCGGCGTATGCGATGTTTCGGGCAGGTCGAGTCAGAGAAGAGAGGCTAGGATGAGAGGATTCTTATGTGCGCTGCGCTGGAAAGCTTGTGCGCCAGCAGGGTTGGAACGATGGAGGGCGGATCGCCTACCATATGAGAGCAAGCGAGCCATTCCGAATTCGTGGCAGAACCATTTCCTGACGGGTCTTCCATCTGTTTGCATCTACAGTGGTGATCGAGAATGGGGTCAAGCTACGCCTGAACATCGTAGACACCCCTGGTTACGGAGACCAAGTCAACAACGATGCTTGCTGGGACCCCATCATCAAGCACATCAAAGATCAGCACAGCGCCTATCTGCGTAAGGAGTTGACTGCCATGCGCGAGCGCTACATTACCGACACGCGTATTCACGTCTGCCTGTTCTTCATCAACCCGTGAGTAGCTCGACTGCGCTGAGGCATGACCTGCTCATGAACAAGCCATTCACGATCTCTCAACGATCTCCCACCTTGCTGACATTGCGGGCTGCCTCATCTAGTACTGGTCACGGACTGCGCCCCATCGACGTAACTGTGATGAAGAAGCTGTCTGACGTCGTGAATGTTGTACCTGTCATTGCCAAGTCCGACAGCTTGACTTTGGACGAGCGCGACCTCTTCAAGGAACGAATCCGCGCCGAGATGCAGTACAACAACATCCGCGTCTACCCCTTCGACGATGCGGATTTGGAGGATGAGGAGAGGGAGCTTAACGAGCGCATTCGCGTGAGTACTTGTGCGAGGTAGTCAGACTCGAAAGCAGGTCGGGCGGAAAGACTAGTTTGGGAATAAAATCACTGCAGCGTTCCCGCCCAAAGCAAATTCTCACACCACCTTTCTTCTACTGCAGGCTTTGATTCCTTTTGCCGTCGTAGGCTCCGAGAAGCAGGTGGTCATCGATGGCAAGGCTGTGCGCGGGCGCAAGAACAGATATGGAGTCATCAATGTTGAGAACGAGAATCACTGCGAATTTGTCTACCTGCGCAACTTCCTGACCAGGACGCACTTGCAAGACCTCATTGAGACCACCGCACACATTCACTACGAGCAGTTCCGCTCCAAGCGTGAGTACCAAAGCTTTCTGATCGCACCTCTGCCTGGACACCTGCCTGACTGTCTCTTGACTTCAACTTTTCCAGAACTGCTTGCTCTCAAAGAGTCCAGCACTCGTCAGCAACAAGCTCAACAGCAGCAACAGCCTAACGGCGTATAAAGTTGCGATTTCGATTCACCTCGATTCACCATGATACACTTCAGCTTCAGCTAGGCTTTCGACCCGTGTACTGTTTCTCTTGCGTCATGCTCCCGGGAATTTGATGCTCTTCTCTTTGTGAACTGATCACCTTTCACCACGACTCTCTGGCCCTTCAGCATAGACCCACGACGCGCGTGCGAGTACGTCCCTCAATGTGAGGACGCAAGATGTGTGATTACAGTGCCTAGTGTACATGCGCAGCGGCCTTTCGAGATCACAGGTTTGGGAGAAGAATTGCGACGGCGCGAGAAGATAGATTTCACGCGCCCAGAACCACGCGCTCGTCCTGCGAAAAGATGGAACAGCCGGTCAACTTCAGTATCAGATGAGGGAGCAGCGATCTTCAACATGCTCACCAGATTCTTGACCTCGGTGTGAAGGTTGCCATACTCTTCGGTGTAGTCTTCCTTGACTTCTTTTTTGCCCTTGAGACCAGTAGGGCAGATCATGACGACGCTAGTGGGTCTCTTTGTGCTGCTAGCCGCGCCCAGCTCGTCCTTGCTCTGAACAAAGACGTACGGGTTGTCCGTCTCCTCGCACAAGACTGGGATGTGGGACAAGATGTCCAAAGGCGAGATGTCGCCTGCCATGATCACCAAGCCCTTTTCTCCCTTGCGAAGCCCCTTCACCACCTCCTTCACCCCGCGTTTCACGTGCCCTCGCGACTTGGACGCTTTTTTGATCGTTTTGAGCACCCGTTTAGAGAGCTTCTTGTGCGCCAATGGATCTGCGAATGGCACGTGTGATGCCAGAAAATCAGCGCGTGCGTCATAGCTAGGATGTGGAAGTCGATCTTCCTATGAGGACACTTACGAGCAATGGGACTGATCGCGTCCAAGTTGACCGCCGTCTCATCATCCTCGTCATCCTCTCCGGCCATGGCGGCAGCAGCAGCCTTGGCAGCCTTCTTCTCCGCCTTCCTCTTGGCCTTGTCGTCTGCTGCTCCATCTGTCGCTGCAGAGACCATGCTGACGTCGCCGAGCGCTGCAGCGGCAGCCTCGGATTGGCGCTTCGCCCTCTTGGCTTCCTTTTTTGATTCGTCCTTGCCCATCTTGGGCCAGCTTGTGTGGAAGTGTTCCGGAGTGTCGATCCGATGAGCTGGCTTGTAAGAAGTCCGTCTTCTCTGCAAGCAGGTGCTGTTATGGATCAGAGATGTCGGAACGGAAGTCGATCAGGCAGCTGTAGTTGCAATCGCGCCGACGGGATGCAGCTTTCTTCGAAATTTCGATGAGATGGACATTCAAGATTCAAGATTCACGATTTGAGCCGGGTGGTGTGTATGCACTCACGACTCGTGACCGTGACTTTTGTTGATGCTGAGAAGAAAGCCTGCGTTCCCTCCAGACCCGTCCACGTGGGTCGATGTGCTGCTGCCTTGTGCGTCCCGCTAAAGCACACGCCTGCACGCACAAAGCACGCTACACATGCCAGCAATTTTTTCGCGTGCGCCGCATATGCTAAGATGGATGGATGGTCCATCCACTCCGCCGGATACTGGCCTTCGACTTCGAACCTTCACCGCAAAAGAACTCGCCCTTTACCACTGGACTCGACCCTCGACCTATGCACCTCAGCGTCGCTGCATCATGATGCTGGGTATCTCTTTTGGTGACAGCTCCAACAATGGCTGAGCTGAAGATCGTTGAGGGGCTTACCCAAGAAGCTCTCCAAACGCCTTACGCTTCAAAGTGAGTTCGATTCCCCAATATCCTCAGCGCGGGCAGCAGCAGCAGCATGTCTTCGCTGGATGGGCGCATCCACACGCCAAAGTTCTCAACGCGCACGCGGCACCAGATGGAAGGGCGTTGATGATCACAGATTACCACTGCCGATCTAGACGCATGAGCAGAGCCCCAAATGCGACGGGGCTTCAAATTATATTACCTGAATCACCTGAGCCTTTCTATCTGGTTGCGCGTTGCCATTGCGCATGGTCCTTCGCACGCGGTCAGAATAAGCGCTGACCGTTGCACAGTCTTATTCACACTCGCAGTATAATGGCCAGTCGCGATGGACTTCAGGATGCGGGTGACCTATGGACGTGCTCTTCAGGATGAGCGTCACCTATGGACGTGCTCCTGACTCGCCTTGTCAATCCGTCGGCGTGCCATCGCAGGGTGAGTGCGGAAACTTCGCAGTCGTATCAGTTAGGTCAAATTGCGGGCGCAGGAGACGAGTAGTGAGGAGAAGGATGGAGGATGACGAACAAGCTTAAACAATCAACAAACTAGAGTCGCAGGCCATTTGGTTCCTGAGAACAGCGCTTTCTGAATCCTTCTCCTCTCTGTCCCTTTGGGCGTGGTCACTGCTAAGCGTATCCAGTTGCTGTTGAAGCGACGAATGTATGCTGACCCTACCCGTCTTGCCTCCATCAAAGGGCTTTGCATTACAGGCGCTCGCTAGCAAGCGCCCCGTCGACCATCGCAGGCAACTTTGCTGTACGCGTGAGTAATCGCTAGGGCACAGCGCCAGCAGGCCGGAATGCAGTGATGGTGCACAATTTTCCCTTGCGAGGGTTGATTGCTGTGAATTACCGACGTGAAACGCGGCTTCCTTCGCCGGAGGTCGCGCTGCCGACAATCTTAGGCTGATTACTGAGCATCGCCGGCCAGTCGAGTCGTCCTCGTGTATAACCAAGTGGTAGCTAGTGTTGGGCTGACCGAGTCTTTCTCGACGTCATCTAGTGCATAGGCTCAGTGCTTGCCAAGAAGAAGGCCAGGTCTGATGACAAGCCAAGCGTGCCGCCAAAGAAAGGGTGAGCACGAAGCGTTGTTGCTACCCTTCTCGAATGATGAGACCAATCAAATCACGACGGTCTGCGTACACAACATGTGGCGAAATTGCCCGACTCTAAACCCATTTTCCGGGCATCACTCTGAAACTCTTGAGGGCCTTTGATGAGCATCGTTGCGGATGATACGCGAGCTGACTCACGCTGCGTCGTCTTCTCAGGTGACAATGCGATAGATCGACTGAGGAGTAGAGCCAGCCGTAATTCGGGCTTGTCAAGGTGAGACCGCACCAACGCACGCATCACTTCCGGCGACGAGGCAACCGATTCGGCCAAGGACCACCAGCCTCGATGTCATTACTGCCGACCGTCAAATGCATGGTTCCGTGCTGGCGAATGTGGCGTCGAATGCAAGGATGGTGTTCACGGCTGCTGGTCACTTGTTGGTGTTATCTCGGACAGCTGCGGAATGCATGAAGAGCTCGAATGGACTAGTCTTCCGACGTTCCCCCTTTCCCATCCACTCACGGCGCCGGTGTCCTCTCCGTCGTCTTCGGATGACGTGTAAGATGCAACATCGTCAGATCAGGGGCGTCAAATCTAAGATCACCCTTCGGGGTAGGATTAGGAAATGTGCGCAGCAACTACGGTATCCCTTGTCGGCGGCGACCTAGATCAATATTTGCTTTCTCAAACGGATACGCTGCGTGTGGCATTGTTGATCGCAAGGCGCTTGAACCTTCGGGCGATGGCGACTTGCAGATCCAGTGTTGCGGCTATCTCGAGGAGCGGAACGTGGCCTGATTTCATGTCGTAGGAGGAAGTCACTATGTGGCCATGCCTCGGCTCGTCACAACCCAGGCACTCGACATTCTTTCGACGTGCCTCGCTTCTATCTCTTGCTTGCTATTTCATGTTCGCGATGGAGACCTGCGCTTACGCAATGTTACCATGTGTCGCTTCTGCACCTGTACTAGCATCGCTTGCCACCAATGAGGATAAGGCTTGTCAACAACATCATCAACCTATCGCGCCTCGTCGGTCGTCGTCTGCGCTCGATGGGCTGCGCTGCTTTCGGTCAGATCTCAACGTTGCACTATTCACTCTTTGAATTTGCAGCACAGATTCGCGCAGCTAGGGCGATAAGGCAACTGATACCGGCTCCGAGGGGATTGACGCGGACCACGCATTTGTGTGTGGCGCGACGGCGATGCAGAAGCAGAGCTCGACTGCTCGTCCTCTTACGTCTGCGCGAAGTAGACCGTTATAGGCGCCAAGCGAAACCGATTGGCGAGCTTGCCCCGCAGTCGCACGAGACTCCTCTCGCCGTGTCTTGCTTTCGTTCTATCACGGCTCGTCGGACGCGGCGGATGTCAGCAATGCCACTGAAGGCAAAGGGCACACTCGCCACAGAGCTTCTGCGCGAAAGCGCTTGACAAAGCTCCACGGTGCCCAGCCTGCGGTCGACGCTCATCACTCTGCGCACTCAAGGGCCTGCCCAGTGCCGCCACCGGGAGATGACCATATTTGCGCCTTCATGGGCAAGAGTGCGCCGAAGAACTGTTCCGGTGGCAGTGGCGAAACAAAAAGTGCTGGGGAAGCGGATGCGAGCGAAAGATGGCCTTGGGTATTTAGTCCAGCTCTTGGACTGCCATATGTCGTCACCGCATGTCCCTTCTAAACCCCCCGGCATAGATTGTTCTGGCTCAGCCGGTCTGAGTCGACAGCGCAAGCATCTCGCTACGCATTCCGTTACTTCTTCAACATTGAGCGCAGGCCGCAGATCTTTCAAGCACTTCTTTGTCGACAATCCGGCGCTCGCATGCGACAGAGCCCGTCTTCTTCGTCGTCGTTGGAGATCACGTCTTTTTACGGGTGCCGGCCGTTCCTGCTGCGTCAAAGATCCAATCACGCTTGCGGTCAGCTCCACTACGTAATCACAAGAAGTGGTGGACGAGAGACAGAAGCTGGACTTTAGTCGATTCGCTCATACAGCACTGCCTCAGAAGCAAATTTTGCCAGTCTTTTTTTCGCGATGGGCGCGTCCGCGGAGCGTTCCGCTCAAGCTTCACCTGGGGTAAGGCCAGTAAAGCGAGTCTGGTGGACCCTGCCGTGCATTCTACTTCTTTGGATTGCGTACACATCCCAGTCAATATGGGTGAGATGTCGCCGAACCAGTCGATGCTGACAGAGCAAAGCTCCGCTGACATTCGATCAATTCCTTGGGCTATCACGGTTCGATCTAGTCGGATCGCTGGCTCGACATCGTCCGCTCCGCAAAAGCGGCGGCAGTCGCGCCACCCCAGTCTATGATTACTGGCGTTAGCCATGCAGACAGAGTCGGGCGAGCCGATAGCGCGCTCCTCGACGCCCTTGGAGTTAAGTTGGAATCCAGTGAAAAGTGTCTAGCTCCTCTTAGCACGGACCAATCCTCTGAAGCACCCAAGCTTCGAGGGCAGGCTCCGCCTCTTCGGCCACGAGTCGTGATCTCGATGTTGCAACGTCGTGCGGGCGCAGAGGACAGTCCGACTCTCTTCAAGGCGACACACAACACTCAAGGGAACTCTAAGGTTCCCATATTCTCCGGAGGGGAGCGCGTAGCTGGCCCGTTGCCTTTTGATAAGGAGTCGCAACACATTGTTGGTCCTGACGGGACTGTCTTCAGGAGTCGCAAACCCTACAACGAGCTGGCACCCTCCTCGCAATACAAGTTCAAAAAGCGATTGGCACTGCTGCAGATGCAGAAGGACGGCGTTCCTGAGCCGCCTCGCATCAATGGCAAAAGGCCGCATGGTTGGCTTCGAGAGTTTCCAGACCCGTCACCCGACATGGTGGGGGCATCGGGCGGGGCCCGACCAAGGCCTGTGAGGAAGCTCCCTTCTGGCGAAGAACCGAGTGCCAGGAGACGTCGCCCCGGGAGGGACCGGTCGGAAGCGCTTAGCGTGTCCTCGCGATGGCGTCAGTTGAACCCTGAGAGAACGAAGCTGGCACGAGAAAATCGCAAGAGAGCTCGACAGGCAGGAATTCCTCTCAAGAAAGGGGCACCTCGCAAGCCCCTGGACCAATTGACTCGTGCCAGCATATTGAGGAGGGTCCGAGAAGCCCAAGCGGGCAAAGCGCCCTGGCCCCAGTTGCCAGGCACTGGAAGCGAAAGCTTGTCTGGCGCCTCAACGCCTAGCCATGACGCCGGAGGACTACTTGGAGACTCTGGCAAGACGCATGCCTCCAGCAATCCATCCCCTGCTGAGTCGCACTCAGCCAGCGTCAATATGGAGAGCGCTGCCCACAGTGGTAGGTCTGGATACAGTCCCAGCAAGTCGGGTTCGCTACACGTATCCACCGAGCAGACTCCAAGCCACACTTTGGAACCCGCTCACGCCACCGCGGAACACATTGCCACTCCAAGGACGCTACACCGCCACCTTTCGATGCTTGAGGCAGAGTTGCACCAACCTGCTACATCACCGCATCACGTCCAAGAGCACGCCGGGCATGCACGCCTTCACGATCTGATGACGGACCTAGCCCACACTCTTCGAAACACTCCTTCAGCTCATGATGACTGGACTCACGCGCTCCTTGCCGATCTTCATCCTCGAGGGCTCAGTGGAGAGGTGGGGGAGGCGGTAGTAGGGGCTGCCACCGAACACGTAAGGCCCGCCTTGCCTTCAAAGGGTGCCGGGTCGCGAGCCGGTCAATCAACGACGGCAAAGTACTTTCAGGCCAATCCAGAGAAATACCAAGCAGCGCTAAAGCGAGAACGTGACCGCAGACGACTTATGAGCGACGTGACCGGCGCCAAGCGAGGCCGACCGTTCAGGCCCTGGGACCAGCTCTCACCGCAGCAAAAGAAGCGGAGAGTCCAAAAAATGATGATGTATGACGCCGATACCAATTTCGCGAATCGTTTCAGCCAGGAGAAGGTCCATTCCGTCCTTTCGGACTTTCAGACTGCCCTGCAGGGCCCTGCTCATTCAGCTTCAGATGCACATACCTCTTCTGACCAACTCATCCATGCGCAGGCCGCGGAAGCGATCCCCGACCCACCGACGCAGGGACATACCCTTTCCGGCCCTAGGCCCGCTGACGCCCGCTCTGGGGAAAATCGTCGGCAAAAACGCAAGTATGGACCACGGAACAAACCGGGACCTCGCAGCGCAGCCACGCCACTGCATCACCTGAGTCGGAGTGGACTGCAGCATCGTCTCGAAAACTTGCAATCCGGTGAAGCACAATCGCGAGTAGATCCGGATACACCTTCGTTTCAGCAGCCCGTTGTCTCGCTCCCTGTCGGTCAAGGTCAAGGTCATAAGTACGCCAAGACATTTCAAGAACTTAGCAGCGGAGGGCAGACCTACCGCAAACAGCGCTTTGAATTCCTGCAGAAGGTCAAGAAGCTGGAAGGTCTCAATCCCTCACTCGGCGAGACAAGTGGCAAGGCCAGCAGCGGGTCGAGTGGAGCGAGCCAACAGTCGCAATCGTGGACTTCCACGACAAGCGCACGGCCCGATTCCACCAGTCACGCCCCGAGCGATCACGCGCTTGAGAGGCGCGCTGCTTCGCAAGACGTTTGGAGTCTAGCCGGTGACTTGGTCAGCCGTGGCGAGGCTGAAGATCTCGTCAGGCAGCTGGCGTCAAATCCCAATGTGAGGCGCCTCGACGTGCTCAGCGCCAGCGGGCCGCAAGTAGGCGCACGTCTGCGAACGGCATCTGCGGAACTTGCCCGTGAGGGATCTGCTGAAGGGACGTCTCGTCCGTCGGCGTTTGTGCCGTATGAACGCCCGGTCGGCACCGTGGTCGAGAACACTTCTCGACCACAAGGCTCGGGTCTTTCTACGAGTCGCAATCTTGGACCCGTGCCTACGTCGCCTAGTATTGGATCCAATAGTCATCTTGGACCTCTTCCCTCGGCGCCCATGACACCGCCAGAAGACTCTGCCAGCCAAAAGAGACCTCGCATTATTATGTATGGCGACAGCCCAAACTATAAGGCTCCTCTCAGAAAGCATCTCCGCAAACCTGATTCGGAGCTGACCGGCCCGTACCAAAAGTTGAGGGCGGACGAGCCTGCGTATCAAGCCCATCTCGCGAGGGTGCGGGATCGAAGACGCGAAAAGGAGATCGAAGCGATGGGCGGACCGCCCGCTAGAAAACTCCCGAGGGGTCGGCTACCCAAAGCCGATGGCGAGCCACTCAGCCGTGCAGCTTTATACTACCGCGAACATCCTGAGCTCAGAGCGAGAGTCGCCGAGCGACGCCGAATTGCATATCGCAAGAAAAAGCTGGAGGAAGCAGCGGCTAGGAACACGCCTTCGGATAAAGGAAGCTCTACCACACGCCTCGACGGAGCTGACCACGCGAGCTCTGCCCGTCCGAAAGAAAGTGGTCAATTTCGAAGAGACTCCGTGTTGCCTCCTCATCCGACGGCCAAAGCTGGTTCTGTTCGCCACACATCATCCACAGTTGCCACTGCTGAGCCGAGGAGAGCGTCAAGTCTCCGGCGCAGAAGCCCTTTACCTGGGCCACCACTGCCGCACTTTAATGGAGGTGCAGATGCTGCAACCTCGGATCTTGCAGGTGCACTGAGGGCAGCACATGCTTCTGCTGCAAGCGACCTGGGAGTTTCGTCAAGAGGACCCGGGAGAGAGTCAGGCACAGGAAAGACTCTGACTGAGGTGCGTATGAGTCTTGCTCACAGTACCTACGCTCGTATGCGACTGACTCATTGTTCTGTGCCGATCGCAGGGCAAAGGGACAGAGCAAAGGGCTGAACGGCCTTTCATGATTGGCACCCCTCGCTTCAGCATGCCGAAAAAGCCCTACGAGGAGCTCGGTCCTTCAGGACGATATCTGCGCGATAATCCCGACAAGGCTAGGATTAAGAATGCTCAGCGACGAGGAGCAGCGGATGAGTACGGCAACCCCATCAATCCTGGCGATGAAGTTTCAGAGCTTACACGAAAGCGGCGAGCGAGACAGCTGGGCAAGTATGGAGGCCAGCTTCGCGAAGTCAAACCTATCGAAGAGGTAAGCACGGCGCAAAGGTATTGGCGGCTGCGTCCAGAAAAGCACGCAGAGTGGAATGCACGTCGAAGAGCAGCAAGAGCAGCGAAAGCACTCGAGAAAGCCGAACAGAAGCATGATGCCGCCGCCCTTGCTGCTGTTGAAAATCCCGAGACGGCCGCTCCATTCATCCCAATGTCGGAGCTCCGACCACACTTGAAAAGGCTGAAGCGCTCCATGCTCGCATCCTACACCACCAAAAAGAATCTCAAGTTCAATCACCCCGGATGGGACTCTAAGCGGCTAGACGACTATGTAGCTGACTTGCAGAAGGAGCTGCACTCGCCAGGCCACGAGGCGGAAACTAGCAGTCATCAATCCTGGTCCGGCAGCGTCCATTCCCCCTCGCCTAGTGCTGCGATCCACGAATCAACGACCCAGCAATCCTCCTCCAACGGCTCCACTGCAAAGATGCACAAAATTCTGCCTTAGCTTTTTTTTTTTCGCTCCATCTGCTGCGCGAGCGCGAGCGCGAGCGGCCAGCAGCTTTCGTGCTGCAAATTCGATCCTGGCGCTCGTTCCGAATTCAACATCTGCAGCGCATGCGCAGTGGACCGCAAAACTGCAGGCGAAAGAGGAAATACATGACGCATCTGATTATTGGAGCTCTAATTGCAACATTTTGGACGTCTGACATTGTTCGTGCCTCACTTCACCCGATATTCAGACGCCAGCAGCACCGCTTGAAAGCTGACGGGGCTCGTGAGCTCCCTTGACAAGTCCGCTCTCTTTGCGCTGAACTCCCTGGGCAGTGCTAGAGCCTGGGGCAGCGTAGCTGATGTTGTGACCCAACCCAGCAAGGAAAGCAGCCGTGCTGTTGCTGTACCCCACCCAACCTGGAATCTTTGGGTCCGAGTCTGCCCATTCCAGCACCGTCGTAGCTGGAAGGAGCTGGTCATGCCACCGAGGTTGAGCCTGCGTGCGTTGAGATGCGAGGTGATGATCACATGAGCAGCGCTTCGTGGCAATGCGCAATGCGAGGGGGCCTCATCACTCACCAAGGAGTCTTGCAAATCAACGCCATTGAGAGCGTTGAAGCTGTTGATGATGTTTGCAGTGATGATACGGCTTCCACCGGCCGATCCAAGCGCAAAGGAGATCTGGCCATCCTTTTCGGCAATGACGGGCGAGATGGAGCTCAATGGACGCTTGCCGGGCTTGATGAAGTTGGCGCTAGCAGCGACATAACCGAAGGCGTTGCTGCCGCCGGGTCTGGAGAAATCGTCCATCTCATCGTTGAGAATGATCCCGTCTGGGGTAACGAGCTGCGAGCGCCAGATGAGATTGATCGTGGTAGTGAGGGTGACGGCGGAGCCATCGGCTGCCACGACCGACAATTGCGAGGTGCCAGAGTCCGTCAAGATGTCTGTTCGAGAGCATCGTTGCACAGCATGTCACGTCAGACACTTTTAGCTGACGCCGGGACAACCACCGTCTGCCTGTGCACTCACCAATACGCTCGGGATTGTAGTGCGCAGGAGGAAAGGTCTTGTCGTCACGAATCTCGGCTTTGATTTTGCGTGCAGATTCGTCCGTGATACTTTTCCACTCGATCTGGCTGACATTCTTGATGAAGTCCTGTAAGAGAAGGAAGCGATATGAGTGATGCTCTTGAAAGCGTCATCCGAAGCGGGGCTCGTGTCAGCGACATTCTCACAGGATCGGCGAGGTGTGCGCGTGTAGCATATGCCCACTGTACGAGGTGGATGCGGTCTGGTCAGCTAGATCATAGCATGACGGAGCTGTTGTTGTATACGCACCTTGGTAGCTTCAATGAGGCGGTGAGTCGTGAGGTTGGTCCCAACTTCTTGAAGATCCTCGTATTGGCCAATGACATTGAGGGTATTCAGAACGACAGTTCCACTGGATGGAGCAACAGTGGATACGACCTTGTGCTTTCCATACTGAATGTGCGCAGGCCTACGATGAACCACCTTGTAAGCGGCCAGATCAGCCTTTGTGAGGATTCCTCCGGAAGCTTGTACAGTCGCTACTGTCCTGTTCGCGATGGGACCATGGTAGAATGCATCGACACCCTGCTCGGCAATGATCTCGAGCGTGTCCGCATAGCGGACCCGTTTGATCGTGTCGCCGAGCTGAGCAGCTTTGCCTCCTGGACAGTACACTTCTGCCCACAGAGGTTCCTTGCAAAGCAGCTTGTCAGCGTATTGGGTGATGGAGACGGAGAGTTGAGAGGGAACCTTCATGCGCATCCATAGATATGTGTAAGTTCTTGTCGGACTCGTCTGATCGCTCGCATACATTACGAACTACTCACCTTGAAGCCGTACCTGGCGATCTGAATGGCAGGCTGAAAGATAGCCTTCCATGGCAACTGGCCATGCTTGGCATGCAGAGCTTCCCAGCCTCGAAGCTCTCCTGGCGTGCCTACCGACAAGCCACCGATGGTCGAAGACTTGTTTGTATCCTCATACATCGTCTGGTTGGACAATGCTGGGGCAGTCTCGCGGAAGTCGACCTCCGAGTAGTGTCCATGGGCGGTGCGAATCAAGGCGAAGCCTCCACCCCCGATGCCACTGTGGAAAGCTGCGACTACACCGACACAGAGCGATGCCCCAATGGCCTAATGGGACCCAAAATATTCCGTGATCAGTAATCGCTGGCATCACATTGTTGCTATGACTAGGCTCACCGCATCGGCAGCGCTTCCGCCACGCTTGAGAAGATCTGCGCCCACGTTGGAGCATACATCGATCTCGGTAGCTACTGCGCCGCGTCTACCCGCTGGGCCGTGCTCTGGCTTGAGACCTTGAGACGGGGCGTTGAGGGCAGGAAGCCGGCCACCTTGCTCGGCGGCTACATCGACCCATTTCTCTTCGGGCGATGTGGGGATGGGATTGGCGAGTGTTTGAGCTGCCAAGCCGAGCACGAAGGAGAGAGCCACGAATCGCATCGTGCGCATCAGAGGGTGAGTGATGAAGTAATGGGGGGAGCTATGTGGCGTGGACAGGACAGTGGAGCTGGACGAGATGACCTTGCCGGAAGTGAAAGGAAAAGGATGCTACCTTTATAGAGCAGGAGGGGATGCAAGGGAGAGAGGCAAGGAACGAGCGCTTGTAGGAAGGCAGACGCAGAGGACGAGGAGGAGGATGGGCAGGGAAGGGGGAGGGTTGATGGATGGATGGAAGGAAGGAAGCCAAGAACACTTTGGGCTGGATGCCAAGGTGCACTTGACGAACACATTGATGTGCCACCGCGACCATCAAGGCGGGGAGCCGTCACTCCTCGACGATTTGATTGATTGGCGATTGCAGCTTGATTGGGCTTATGCTGGTGGTGTGCTAGCGCGGGCATCGCCTATACAATTGAGTCACGAGTGTAAACATTTGAGCAGACAATCTGAGTGCTGCTGCACGCATGCATGTGGTCCTGCGGACGATGCGCCGTGATGCGTCGGCGACTTGAAGCTGAGGTGCTCGAAGACACCTCGCTGCTGCTGCTGCTGCTATACAGTCACGAGTCATGGGTAGGGCTCATATATAGGCTCTACCATGATAACATCAGAGCTTCACGGGGCGAAGATCAATCCACAAGCAGCATCAGCATGCAGCCGGCGGCGGGGCGGGGCGGGTGGATGGTTCGACGGTTAATTCGGACGCGCCTGCAGGTGCTGGGATTAGCGCGGGACCTGCATGCATGCAGCCCCCAAATTACGCGCCTGTCGCGATGATGATGTCGTGCTCGGACGACGCCATCTCGTCAAGTCAAGGCTGCGAGCTTTGTGCGACTCGATCGTGCTGAGTGGAGACGCGCGCGCGCGTTGTTACGATCGAGCACTCGTGACTCGTCAAGAATCACGAATGCCCTTCGGAGTCACGACCAACGACTGGTCGACGTGCCCCCATGCCCTGTACACATTTACGATGGTGATTACATTTCCCAGCGTAAGTGCCCAGCCGCTCGGCGCCTTGGCTTCTAGCGACCGCACGCAGTAGCAGCGTCCAACAACAAGCCATAGCGCGTGCCAAGGCAACTCAACTATCAAGCAGCGCAGACAGCACGACTCGAGTACAATAATCTTCGCGCTCGCGGATCACGGAAGCCACGGGTCACAGCATATATATGGTACGTCCAGCTCACCGCATCGCGAGGGTATTGGCTTGACTGCGCTGTGCGAGTCGAGATATCGTGATCGAGTCTGAGGTGGTGTGGGATGTGAAAGATATATACGCGCACACAGCGCATACGTCGTATGATCAAGATTTGCTGTCTGCATCCGCGGAAAAGTGCGAAGCAATTGACAGATCCTTTCGGACTTCCGCGGAAACGCCCTTTCCACCAGGACAACACATACACGTGACATGCAGTTTTCGGTCCTCGCCGCGGACATAAGCTCGCTGGTGAAGAACTACGCGGTTTATAAGCGTGGACCCCACTCACCACTGTCATTCCGATTAACTTCGCCTTTCATCAGTCAGCGACGAGCCCCATGCAAGTCGGTTACACGTCGTTCATCCATCGAACGTACCGCTCCACCCGAGCCACTCGCAATTATCACGCACCATCGGCTCCCCCGCTCACCATGCCGGTCTTCTCGCGCAAACCGATCGGCGATGCGTTCGGCTCATCCGGCGGCGGCTCACGGAATCAGCCCCTCAACTCGCGACTCAGTCTAGCGCTCAAACGACGACCTTTCCTCTTCTTTGGCTTGCCATTCATATCTGTCATGGCCGGTGCCTCTGTAGCCCTGTCTTACATCGCCCAGACCAAATTCGACTACGACGCATCCAAAGTGCAGAGCATCTCCAAATCGGAAGAATTGAAAATGAGAAAGGATAGGAAAAAGATCGATATCAGGGAAGAGTATTTCGTGAGTGCAATGCTACAAATACGAAGCTGTTTGTGGAGTTTAGCGCTGATGATCTGGGCACGCGCGCTCTCAGAAATTGGAATCGGATCCAAATCGATCTGCGGCGCTTGACGACTGGGAGCCCAAGCGCGTGGAGAGGCCGCCGGGTGTGCCCGAATGGGGTATCCCTGCAGACGCATCTCCCTCTTTGCCTCCCAAGCGAAAAGGCTGGTTCTCCTCCTGGGCCAGCAACAAGGAGGTGCACGCTGATGGTGGCGCTCTTCCGCGCCTCGACGAAGCGGGTGAAGAAGCTTCGAGTGCGAATGCAAGCGCCCGGAAACCTGGTGTTATATTGGGGCCGGATGGTAAACCGTGCAGAGCTTGCAATTCCAAATTGGCTTTCTCTGCCGCTATGAGAGGCACTGAGAAGGGTGGCGTTGCTAGGTCGAGCACATCGCAATCCAGCTCGACCCCTTCCAAGGCGGCTGCCGCGAGTGCAGGTGCGGGTACGAGCGCTGCCGCAGTCGCTGCCACTCAGTCAAGCAGCGAGCAGCACACACAGCACTGTCCCCCGGATGGCGAAGAGATTGGCAGATCGACGTGGCTGTTCCTGCACAGCGCTGCAGCATACTACCCGGAAGAACCCACGTCCATTCAAAAGTCTGCAATGCTATCCCTACTTCGGTCTTTGCCACATCTTTATCCCTGTCACTCATGCGCTGCAGCGCTCGGAGAAGAGTACGAGCGCGAGAAGAGGGAAGGAACATGCTGGAATGCAAGAGGCGGAGGGCAAGCGGACATCTTGGAGCAGGCTGTTGGGAAGGGGCAGACGCTTCGACGTTGGTTGTGTGGAATACACAACGAAGTCAATGAGAGGCTGGGCAAGCCTGTGTGGGAGTGCAGGGAGGAGGTGTTGCAAGAGAGGTGGAGGGATGGACCGCGAGACGATAGCTGCGATTGAGACTGCCTTTGCGGATCCTGATGCGAAAAATCCTCACCACTGCCGCCGTTTGTATCATTACCTGATCGATATCAAGCATCATTTGAAGCACACGTTTAGCACACAGGCGGGCATTGAGGGCGACAGTCACGCGCCTCGCGTGCTGAATGGGCGAATGAATGACGTGCGAGGCGTGGGCAATTATGATATGAATGAGGGATAAGAGCGATGATCTAAACCACAGCTGGTCTCTGAAGGCTCTCTGGACCTGATGAATGCGAAGGAAGAAGCGAAGGCGGAGGGGTAGTAGGACAATATGGTCAGCTCTAGTATAGGTATGATTATGCGCATCGAGAAGCGACTTCAAGATGTGCAAGCAACGGCAAGATTCCGCCAGACATGGTGTTTTCCCAGGACTTACCAAAGCTGAGGGGCAAGAGCTGTTCCAGGGTCATCACCTTGACCGTATCCTCCCCATGGCCCAGTGCAGGCGTCCACTCTCTTCCAGGTTCCTGGTGGGCCTCTTCACCCGACCTCTTCTCCGCCTCCGCAACTCCCTCTACCGTCTTTTCGATCTGCTTTTTGGGAGGCGCAAAGGGCATGTAGATGGGCACTTGTTCCGAGCAGTGTTCCCGAATGAATTGCCGACAGATCCCGCACGGTGGGCAGGGAGTGTGCAAGTCGGATGATACGGCTATGGCCACTACTGGACTGGGCTCGCGAGAGGCCACTCGCCAAGTGCTGAGCGCCGTCCTCTCGGCACAAATTCCAGCACCTGCAGCGCGCAAAGAGCGAGGCGAAGGTGTGTTAGTGGTGTAGGTGTCCGGAGAACGGGTGTGGAGCAGGTAAACAAGCGTCAATGGCGCTCTTCGCTAGCTGCTCTCACCGTAGCTGGCATTCTCCACGTTGGCTCCCTCTACAATGCTGCCGTCCTGCAGAAGCAACGCTGCGCCAACGCGGAACTGCGATACCGCGTACCGGTATACAAAAAGGCAAGCAAGCAAGCAAGCAGCTTATCAGTCACGCGTGTCTGCGCTGCGATCCAACGCACGCAATCAATCAAGTCGAGGCTGCGACGCTCGATCAACAGGTCCGAGCAATCTCAGGAGTGTTTTGAACACCTCACACCCATGCATGCGCCTTGTATTTGCCTGCATCTCCCCTTGTTTACTCTCATCTCACCTTCGAGTAAGGACTGTAGGCCTTTTTGCGTGCAGCGACTGCTGCTACCAGCAACTGGTCCAGTGCTGCTGAAGAGATGGGGATAGCGACGGGTGCAGAGTTGGTGGATGAAGCGGACATGATGCTCGAAGCAGTGAGTTCGATGAGCGGGATTAGGGTGCGTTTCGCAGAGGTACGTGGGTGTGGTGGTGGTGAGGACGAGAATGAAGAGGTGCTGCAAGAATTGCATGTTGCATCACACTCTTGCAACGGCCGGGTCGACGTCCTGGCTGGCATGGTCAGCAACCTTACACACTGGTGCATCAAGCGAGAGTGTGTGTCAAGACCCCGCACGCATGCAGGACCTTCGACGAGGTCCGTGCCCCGATACGATTTAGCGATTCTAGCGTTTGTTTCTATTATTGAACGTCTTTATCGGTTTGACCTACACCTTCAAAGGAAGTATCCACCCACCAGGACAGGCACACGACATTCGGAAAGTTCCCCCCAGCTGCATGCTACCTGCAAATTACCGCGTGGTGCGCGATCCGCCAATCTCGTACGAGACGAAGAAGGCATGTTCGCGTGCCAAGCGAGCAGCTAGCATCGTCCCTGCAGCCCCTGCTGCAGTCGTGAGCAGCCATACACAGGGCTCGGATTGAGGCTTGCATACTGACACCCATGACGACGACGACTCCTCATTCTGACTTGGAGCATGCGTACCAAGCGATTGTGCTTCTCTCCACCTGCACGCAACACATGACCGCACATCGACGCTACTTCGTCGCGTCCATCACCTTGCCCGAGGAGCATCTTTGCTCTTCTCTTTGCTCTTCATTCAGGCCAAGGTCCCCAGATTTCCTCCTCCGGAGCGGTGCTTTTCCCGACAGGCACGGGTTAGGAGATCAGCCACGCGCCACGAAATGCGGATCAGCTGCTGCTGCTGCTGAATCAGCACTTTCATCTCACTAGGCGGCAGCAGCCTCTCCTTGACTGTTTCGCGCGACATGTCGGGCCTGGGAGATGAAGCGTCGCGCTATGCGGCTGCTTCCTCACACATGCTGCCCTTCTTCAGCTCAGTGGTTCAGGCCGCTCACGACGATCCCAGAGCGCTCTGGTCCGCATTCAGCATGATCATCGTGAGTTGAGTCAGTGTGGACGGGGGACTTGATAGCTGAGCTGCTTCAAGGAGCAGACTGCGCGCTTAACTCCCCCTACGTAGCTAATTCCAGCTCTTCGCTGCAGGTCTCGGAAATTGGAGACAAGACGTTCTTGATAGCTGCCATCCTGTCTATGCGCCATGCGCGCATCGAAGTGTTCAGCGGGGCCTTTAGTGCCTTGGCACTCATGTCCATCCTCTCTGCGCTGCTAGGAGCCGCGTTCCCAACTCTCCTTCCAAAGAGCCTCACCACACTGCTCGCCGCGGGACTGTTCTTGTTCTTTGGACTTGGGATGTTGAAGGATGCGAGCGGAATGACGGGAGATGAGGCGAATGAAGAGTGGAGAGAAGCAGAGAGAGAGGTGAATGAGGAAGAAGCAGGGGACAAGATGGAATTGAGGGATCTCGAAGAAGGAACGAACAGCGAGTCAAGGACTGGCCACTTGGACGACGAAGCGCGGACGAGGGAGGAAGAAGCGTCTCAGGGCTACCCTCGCGTGCGGCCGTATGGACAAGTCCAACCACCAGATCGGACGCATCCGAGCAACAATCCGCCTGCTCGCTCAGCCGGCCTGGCAGATCCAAAAGAAGGGCTCAAGAACCTCTGCGGGATTTGCTTTAGTCACGTCTTCGCGCAGAGCTTCGTTCTCACCTTTTTGGGAGAGTGGGGTGACCGAAGTCAGATAGCCACCATTGCGCTCGGGGCGGCTCATGTGAGTGGGGCAAGTATTGGGCATTTCATCCGACTGCAGCGTACATTCGTTCATCGGGCACCCAGATTTACAATCAAGGCTTACAATGAGTCGATCCACTGCCTTCTCTCTCAGAGCGTCACATTAATCTCAATTGGCACAATAGCAGGTCATGCTATATGCACTGGAGTAGCGGTCATCTGTGGCAGCTGGCTAGCCCGGAGGATAAGTGCGAAGCATGGTGAGTTACGTATCTCTCCCGCCACTGCGTTGCCTCGCACAAGCCGCTGAATCGGACATACTTCGATTCCGCGTCGTAGTCACACTGGGCGGTGCAGTCCTCTTCCTCCTCTTCGGTGTCATTTATTTAATCGAGTCTCTTCATGAATTATTGTCGAGCGGTGTCGGGATCTCAGCGGAAGGCAACATCCATCTACCATCGCCTTTGAGTAGCACGAGCAGTGGGGCAGAAGATTCGATCGCAGCCGCTGCGGCTGCTCTGGGTGCAGCAGCGAATGCCAATGCAGCAGCACAAGCAGGTCAAGCTCCAGCGGCACCAAATGGGCTTCAAGGCCACCAAGCTCAGACGATCAGTTTCGTTCCTGCTGCGCCGAACGGTGCTGCCCTGGACCCAGTGGACCGTCTACCTGTAGATGCTGGACATGGACATCTGCCGCCTGGAAGAGCACGAGAGGTTGTCCAACGATAGGATCACGGCGAAGTGATGTAGCTTACCTTCCTACAGCAATCCATGATGACAAAAGGAAACCCCACACCGCCCTGTCGCCTTGCAGGCAAGCTTATGGGTCCTCGCAACGAGCTGTTGAGATCGACTTGCGAGCACTGCAAGGATCGAAGGACGCTTGCAACGCGCCAAGTGGCGAGCAGCTCTTCAGTCACCTATCCCTTCTTGCCGCGCAGAAGGGCTTTTCGGGAATGTACGACTTCCTTTGTCGCCTAGTAGCTCAGCAGCTCGTGCGAATTCAGCAGCGGTCTATCACAAAGCCCAGCAAGTGCGCATTCATCGTCTGTTAGGCATTGATCAGCGTCCGCCTCCTTCTCGTTACCCAATCAGGATCTTCCCTAGTCTCTCCCCTCTCATCTTTAGCCTCGCGCGAGTCCAACCCATTTTCCAGCCCCGCCAATGATTCTTGCACCTCGTCTTTGGCTACGGCAACCCAATCCCTGCCCTGGACCGTGCCAAAGGCTTCGGATGTTCCTTGCTTGTCCCCGCTCTCTCCATCTCCCCAGCGTTGCGATGCTCGGCCTTGCCGTCGTTTATGACGCTGCACTATTTCTTCGACCAGCGAGTCGAAAGTGCGCTGCTGAGGCGCGTGCACGTTGAACGATGGCGATGCGTACAGCAGACTGACGGCGTAGAGTAGGATATCGCAGGTCAAGCCCTTGAGGTGTTCTTGGCTGCAAAAGAGTCACTCTACTTGTCAGCACTCTTCCCAACAGCTCGTGCTGCGACGAGACCTTACTCACGCGCTCCTGAATCGATGCAGACGGTACTTGCCGCCGAACCAGTCCACATCGGAAAAAGATCTGTAACACTCCTGCGCAGGTCGATGCCTGTCCACTGTTGAAGGATTGCGCAACTTCAATCCGGGTGGCGCTTCGGATGATAATAAAGCCCGAAGAGGGTGGCTCCATATCCGCGACACTTCGTCTGGCGAGGGTCGGAGCTGTGACAGAATGCGCGAGGTGCTCAAGGGAGATAACAGGACAAAGTAAGGGTGGACCTGTGATGAGATGGTGATGGAGTCAGCGTCTGATCTCGACTCTTTGTTACGCCCAAATGCGTGCAAGCCTCACCAGCAGTGTCGACTTTGAAATGACTGTGTAGACAAGCGGGAGTGGTCAGCGCGCGACACTCTGACAAAGGCGAAAAGCCACATTGCGAATGTCAATACCACTTTCCCATGCTCACATGGCTTGCCTAGACCCAGCCTAACCAAGCCCTCATCATCGATGGGCAGATACACCTCCTCTTCAGACTCCCTCAATGCAGTTTCTGCGGGTGTTTCTGGCGCATCCATCTTCCCTCCGGGCAAAGACGCTTGTCCGGGGTGAGAGCTTAGATGCAGAGCTCGAGTAGTGAGCAGCACGTGGAGTTCTCTGCCCGAAGCGCCATCACCGTTCTGCCCATCGTCTCGACCCTGAAAGAGCGTCGAGTTGAACTGTCCATCACTTGGGGAGAATATTTCGGCAGTGAGAGAAGGGGCTTCGAAGATGATGGCACAGACTGCGGCTTGCGCCTTATGAGGCACCCTGCAGTGATGATTGCAGCGAGCAACGGTGAGCGGGCTTGCAAGATTGGCGCAAGGGTCTTCATCGGACGGACCGGCAATGCACTTACGCTTTGAGCCCTTCCGTGGTCCCGCCCTGTCTCAAGCCCGTGATGAGTCGCTGCACAGCTCGACTGTTGTGGGGAGCCAAGTCTTGAAGCGCCTGTGTCAGATTGGAGGGCAGGCCCTCGTCTTGTTGGGCTCCTCCTTGCGTCATCGGAGGTTCACTCATCGATCCCTCGACTTGCATCTCGACTTTCCTGCCAGCTTGGCCAAAGTGGGGAGCAACACTTTGATATGACACCATCAACTTGCTGGTACTGAAAACGTGGGGTTTGAGTGCCGAATGTACCAGTCGCATGTGTACAGGCCTGAATATGTGGAGAGCGTTGATGGGGAACTCGCGTGAGGACGCTTCTGTTGGAAGAAGAGCGCTTCTCATGTCGCAACAAAGCGCGGGGTGCGCAGACATGCTGCATGCTGCTGCGTTGGTCAGCATGCAAGCGTGCGTGCATGCCGCGCTACAATCGAGAATAGAACAGCCCTCCACAAGCTTTAGCTGACGATCTTCTCGCGGCCCAGCAGGCGACACGTGATGAAAACAAAACACCGCGACTTGGTGGTACTCACGAATCTGCCGATCAAAGAACAACACCTTATTTCACTCATTCACGATTGTGTGCAGCTACACAGCTAGTGCCGAGTTTGAGATCCTTGCGAAGCTCACCACCCTCAATAACACTCACACTCACTTTGCTGCCCTACGTACAAGCTTGCCCAAAAGACCGATCGAGCTTGGAGATTGGAAAGCTCCATCTTCGCCGACTCTTCATCCTATTGCTATCCGCTGTGAACTTACAATCCTCACATCGAGGTGAGGTGATCTTCAAGTCTTGATCTCCAGGCATCAGCCTCAACCAGGGTGCGGGTGGAGGCTTCAGCGATATCACGGCACCATCTGTACGCCTCGTGAAGGTTAATCTCCCCCACACCATGGACCGCGAGACTGCCACGCGACTTTCGCTACCATGGAGGCCCGTCTTTTGTCGAGCATGCTCGACCGATGCAGGGGCAGGTCTAATCGCCATAGGTGAGTACCAGCTTCGCACTCCCACTTGGTACGTACACTGTCGGGCTCTGACCTCTCGGCCGCATCACGTTTTCGATTTCAGTCGGCGAGAGCTCCATCAGCGTCGTGGCTGCGGTGCCCTCACATGTCGGCACAGGCTCGGATGACGTGGACCTCGTTACACTCGTCACTTTTAGCATAGGAGCGCTGACTACTGCTGTAGCTTGGAGTCCCGCATCAAAGCTGCACATCAAAGCAGATGCTACAGAGCAGCTCGAAGGTGGCGAAGCAAGCTCTGGGGCTAGCATGTTGGCTTGGGACGTAGAGTGAGTCCCGGCGTCAGCGCTCCTTGCAACAGCAAGGTAGTCTTGGACGCGTGTGAGATGCATATACCCACGCTTCCTTGCCAAACTTGCCTCGGCTGACGCTAGGAACCTTTGATCCCCGTACAGGCTTCTCATCACCACCAACAAGTCGCTGTCCCTGTTGCGCGCGTCGGCTTGGGAGACTGCGTCATCCTCGAGCCCTTCTGTGACGGAAGTCTTGGCACTTTCGAGCCCCGCTGTGGATGTCGACTGGTGTCATGTGGAAGGATACGCTGCTCATGCTGCTGTTGCTTCAGGTGAGTAGACGTGATGCGTGACCACGCCATACAGGTCGCAGCGCATTCCGCGGCCTGAGCTCATGTTAAAAACGACTTCTCAAACAGCGGACGGCACCTTGTCTCTCTTGAACTTGCACGCTACGCCCTCTTCAGTGGTGCCACAGTCTGCGAAGGGATCGGATCCAGGGTATCATGAGCTCACTCAGGAAAATGAGACTTTGCTGGAGGAAGCAAGCCATCTATTCTCAAAAGGGCTGCGCTCGGTGCGCTATCATCCTTCTCTGGCTCGTCTTCTGCTGGTCTCAGACATTGCCGGCACTCTCCACGTCTTAGACTGGACCGAATCAGCTTCGACATCGTACTCGGGAGGCCTGGGCAACATCGACTTGCGGAGCTCTTCATTGACACCAGGTCGCAAAGTGCTTCTCACTGTTTCATCTCCAAAGCTGCTTGCTTCGAATGTCATGTACAGGACCCGCCTGCACTCTGCGGGCAAAGCGGAATGGAGAGACGAAGACTCGTTCGGTGCGGCACTGGGAACACAGTGGGCGATTTGGGACTTGAAGAACGCATTCGGCGGGACGCCTGCTCTGACAGGAGGGTTGCCTAATACAGCTTCTGCAGGCGCGACTGTCATCGCGAGAAGCGGCACGGAATCAGGCGGTGGTTTGGTGTGAGTAGTTGAGAATTTTCCACATGTGCCGCGCTACCCTTTCTTCTCTGCTCATGCGGTGTTGTGTTGTTTCGTTTCGGCGCAGCTTCTCGCATCAAAATCGCTCCACATTTCTCACGTTTAGCCGCGCGGCGGTAAGCAGCGCCAAAGAGGTTCGATTGCAGCTTCATGAAGCTTCGATCCGTCGTGGGAGAGCCTCGGAAGTCTTCGAGAGCTCGACAGGGCTGGACATTCCTCATTCCATCTTGACTCGCACCGGCGCCAAAGGGTGGCGAGCTGGAATCGCCGGGCCTGCAATTCGTGATGCGGCTTGGGTTGCCTTGCCCGTACAAGACGAATTCGCGGGGACCGATCGAGAAAGAATCGTCGTGCTTTTGGGAGACGAAGTTGTAGTTGTTCCTAAACACCTTGGCTTGGACTTTTTGACGGCATGACCCGCAATGCGAGCATATATAGCCGTGCACACTCGTCGCGAACGCAGGCCTGATATCGGGTGCTTCGCGGAAGCGCCTTTGCCTTTCGTTGTCATCGTCCATTTACAGAAGAGTGATGCATGATCGCGAGTGCTTTCGTCTTCTCCAGCGACAGCACCCGACAGCATGGCACGTTAGCGCGCTGCGGAAAGCCTCGGAACGCTCACATCCGCGCCGGCTGTACCTACCGCGACGATTTGCGCATGCGGCACGCGCTGCTGCTCTTGCGCTTTTGAACATCTCGCTCCTGCTGCACACGCGCAGCGCTCCCTCCACACAAATTTGCGCTCAGCAGCAGCAGGGATCTCCCGTCGGCAACGCTGCTGAGCGGTCTGCTGGTTGCAGTGAGTGAGTGGCTGATGCTGCTGCTGTGTGAATGTGAATGCCGTCACTTGATCATGACACTCAGACTCCGCGAAGCTGTTCCTGAACTTTGAGTTGCAATGTAATTGCGCTTGTCAAGTGACGCTCGCTAACTCCCTTTGAGCTTCATCCTCCCTCGTCCGCCTAAAACGCTTCACATTCACGCCTCACCCCCATTTGCTCGCCTGCATCTTGTCTGCGCTGGTCCACCGTCATCGCGCGCGCTCGAGCAACCTACGGTACCATGAATCGTCGCAAGACGGGCAAGACGTCGTCCAAGGAGGGCGAGGAAAAGCACGCCTCGAGCTCTGCTCTCGATGGTGGCGACAATCACAATGGCGGCAGCAACGGCGGTGGTGTGTCGCTTGCAGTCGCATCGAGCAGGCTTGCGCAGCCCACCGCTGCAGACACTTCGGGCACGACGACGCCAGAAAGCGACGATCCTTCCTCCCCGCCTAGACGCATCACTCTGGAACGCAGCACGAAAAGACCGAGCAGAGTCCCGTTCGGCTCTGCGAATAGGAACCCATCGTATATTCTGCGAGCACCTGGCACTCCGTATCACGAGCACGACATTAGCGATATACCTTGGCTATCCTTGCCAGAGGCCCCGCCTGCGCCAAAGGGTCTGACGAGGTACAGACGACTATTCTTTGTGTGCGGTGCCCTACTGGGAGCTCTCCTGGCTTGGGCAGCAGCGCAACATTCCAGCATGACGGGGTTCAGATCCCTCTTGGAAGAGCAAGCTCGCAGCTTCCCATCCCTCGACTTTGACCTCTTCTCCATGCGCCTGCCTAGAGAATTTGCGGATCTCGGCGATAATCTCTTCTCGGCACCTCGCGAATGGCTCAAGTCCAAAGACTTTACGGTTGGCAGGAATGCATATGCCAGGGGTTTGAGAGCCGAACATCCAGTCGTGCTCTTGCCAGGTGTCATCAGCACTGGTTTGGAGAGCTGGACGACGGACGAAATTTCGGCGGGATTCTTTAGAAAGAGGTTGTGGGGAAGCGCTACGATGATGAGGACCATCGTTTTTGAAAAGGAGAGGTGGATCAGGCACATAAGCCTAGACCCCGACACTGGTCTTGACCCTCCTGGAATCAAGGTCAGGCCCAGCGAAGGCTTCGACGGCGCTAGTCATTTCATTGCAGGGTACTGGATTTGGGCAAAGGTGAGTGTGGCAGCTAGCGGGGCTCGAGCTAGCCAGATGTGGAGTCGAGTAGAGGATGCTGCATGCGCATGCGCAAGTCCTGGTGCTTGATCTTGGTGGACTGTCAAGCTGAAGCGAACAAGAAATTTGTGGCCGCTCCTGCCAGATCATTGAAAATCTGGCAGTGCTTGGATACGACATCAACAATCTCTGGTTGGCTGCATATGACTGGCGGTAAGTTCGGCCCCGAGTAGTGGGCATCTGAATTCAGGCATCTGATGCCATCACTCGCCCCCCTATACAGGCTATCGTACCATAATCTCGAGGTCAGAGATCGATTCTTCACGCGCAGTAAGTCAGGACTCGTTCTTGATGCTAGAAGAAGTCAATATTTATAACTTTGCCCTCCTACGCACGTGCAGTGAAGCTCCGCATAGAGCAGAACAAGCGAATCGAAGGCAAAAAGACGGTTCTCGTAGCGCACTCGATGGGCAGCTCTGTAGCTCTCCACTTTTTCAAATGGTGAGCCCTGGGCCCTCTTCATTTACTTCGAATTGTGCTGATAGACCCCATTCTTGGCTCACAGGGTCGAGGCCGAAGGCGAAGGCTACGGCAATGGAGGCCCGAGCTGGGTGGAAGATCACATCGAAGCCTTCACCTCCATCGCCGGCACTTTCCTAGGTGTGCCCAAAGCTATGGCCGCGCTCTTGAGCGGCGAGATGCGAGATACAGTGGAACTGCCTCCCGCTGCCGCCTATTTGTTGGAGAAGTTCTTTAGTCGCAGCGAGCGCGCCAAGCTTTTCCAAAGCTGGGCTGGAAGTGCCAGGTTGGTAGCGCAGCGCGACTTGAAAGCGCCACTTTTCTGCGCTAAGCTAACATTTTTGCCACACTCTCGATTCGCAGCATGATGATCAAGGGTGGTAGCGCGATATGGGGCAATGCAAGCTTTGCGGCCGATGATGAGTGGAATTCAACAGACACGCACGGCAACATTTACAGCTTCAAGCTGCCTGCGCTAGAGCACCAGATGGGCGCAGCTGACTCTGGTAAGGCGTCGCACGAACAAGCCGAGGCGAGCCACCATGATCCCTCCGCACTGAGCTCCGCGCCTCAGAACTTGACGGCAGGCGACGCCATCACTTGGCTCATGCAGCATACCCCCACTAGCTTTCAACGAATGCTGGCGGCCAACTACTCAAACGGGATGGAATACGATCCGAACGTAGTACGAGAGAATGCCAAGAAGGAACACGAGCAGACCTGGAGCAATCCTTTAGAAGCGCCTTTGCCAAATGCGCCCTCCATGAAGATCCATTGTCTTTACGGCGTCGGAAAGTCGACGGAGAGGAGCTACTGGTACGAGCAAGGGCCGTACCAACGTGACGAGACGGAGTCGGAGGGTGACAATGCGCAGTGTGCAGCCAACGACGACTGCACAGTGGCAACACCCTTGGACTTCCCCACCGGCCGAACAGGATGGATAGACGCGACCATCCACGACGAAAAGGCGAACCCAGTCGTTCGAGCGGGCTGCAAAATGGGCGACGGGGACGGAACGGTCTCGCTGCTTTCCCTTGGAGCGATGTGCGTGGAAGGATGGAAGCGCGAAAGGTACAATCCTGCTGGCATCAAGGTGATCACGCACGAAGTCAAGCACATGCCCGCTGCTATGGACCCAAGAGGAGGCTTGACCACAGCGGATCACGTCGACATATTGGGATCGTACGCTGCCAACGATGTGGTGCTCAGAGTCGCTGCTGGACGAGGCTCCGACGTGCCGGAGAATTTTGAGAGCAAGATTAGAGAGTTCGCAGCGAGAATAGACTGGGACAATCCGCCCGCCCATTCCTAGCTTGATTCGTCTTGAACAGCGAACAAGCGGCTCCATAAAATGCAGCTGAAATGCTCACCTTGCTGCTAGCGAGGCCGCACAATAGCATTTCTCTGGAGTTCTGTTTTCTTTCCCTCAGCTTTCCTCCTTTGCGGAGCGATGCACGGAATGCTCTTTTTGTCACTCGAATGTACCAGTATGCGCGCTCAGGGCAGTCGCAATTCAATCCTATTCGAATCGCTCTCCCTTGCGAGCTCGGCAGGCAGAAGTCGTCTCGCCAAACGCTGCCGTGCATGCCAATTCGCGTCGCAGCAGTGGTGTGCGTCGACCCATTGACTAAAATGGCTCACTCTTGATGCATTCTTGATTACCATCAAGCGAATGTGCTTCATTCTTTGTTGTGATGTGATCTCCCCACCATGGGCTGCAGGGCTAAGGAATGCCAAGTCGACTCACGCCGCTCGACTCTGGGCTCGCGCGGTCGCTTGCGATTGGCTTATTTATGCAAGTTGTTGCGATTATGGTGGCAATTCTGCCGACACTTATGATACAAATGCTTGTGCGTACGTGAAGAGGCGATGATATTGCCATGATCCTTGTATCCGCGCCCCGCACCCGGACAATAATCGCCGCAGCGTGTTCATCCTTCCTCCTCAGAGTCCGAGACTTGAAGATAAATCGGTCTTCTTTTGCCTCCCTGTATGCCCCTTCCCTCCTGATGCTGAGGCTTCTCGATCATGGCTGCGACTTGATGATTTTCCTTATTGCGTGGCATGTGTATTGAGCAAAGATTGACCTGGCCTTCCACCAGCGCTGGCGATTTCCCTTGACTTCCTACAGCCCGATCGGACGTTCGGATATTTGCCAAGTGGGAGTCTGTATTTCGAACGTTCTGGTCGACTGGCGCATCGCCCACGTCCATTTGCATCGCCTCTTCTTCCTCATATTGAGTTTCTGATGCCTGAGTGGGGCCAGGCCCCATCACTGCATCGCCTTCTGCATCTTCAGCTCCTTCTATCTTTTCAGGCTCACCAGACTCTGATCTATCCGCACAGAGCTCCCACGCGGCGTCGAGTTCGTCTGGTGTCAACACCAGCTCAAGTAGCTCGGTAGCCAAGTCTGATCAAGCCGTCCAATCTGCTGTGTAAATGTGGGCGCCAGAGCGATGTTACGTGTGGATTGACTCACCTCCCACTTCCTGCATCTCGTCCCTTTCTTCCCCTGCTATCCACTCTGGCTCCTCCGCAAACGCGATGCGGCTGAGCGACAAGATGTATGCATGCCTCGCGCCATTGTAGACGGCGTGGCAGGCGTCAGAAGAGATTCTTCTAGCCAAGCTGACAGGCCTCTCGGGAAACGCATATAGCGTGCCTAGCAAGCGGACTGTTGAGACTAATCTTGCCACCAACCTATTGACACAACGGAGGAAGTTAAATGTCAGTGACTTGATTCTGCTGCTAATGTGCTCGCGTTGCCCAACTAACTGTGCGCTGTCAACATGTAATTGAGGCGTCGAGACACCATCGAGGTGCCAGACCACAGTCGTGTCTTCATACATCCGCCGAACGAGGGCTGTGAGGAGAGGTGCACTCTCAGCCACGACTGGCAGCGATTGTGGCTGGGTCAACACCAGTTGGGTGAGGAAGACTGTGATGGTTTGGTGGATAGCGTGCATCTGCAGAGTCGTCGAGTGAGCCGCGAGCACGACTATCAGTGAAGAGGCCTGCGCGTGCTCACCTCTGATGAAGGTCGCCGTGCCGTTTCGGAGTCTTTCAACAACGCACAGAGCAGCTCGAACAGCGGGGCAGGAGAGTTCGAGACGCGCGGATGCAAAGCAGCAAGGTCTGTCTTTTCCATGGGACATGCTAAAATGACGTGCCAAGCACTCGGGACTAGAGCATCCAAGTGAGCGTGAGGGTTGCCTGAATGCATCCAAGTCCCAAGACTCACACCGAATTGCGGACGTCAACATCCTTAAAACGCGAAGCAAGGTAGATGTCGAGCGACTGCTCAGCAACAGGGTCCCAAGAAATCCGGTCGCCTTGAATAGTTGGCGCAAGCTTGTTGATGGGAACAAGCAGGCGTGTGTCAGACTCCCTCGATCAATGTCGAGAGGCAAGCACCACTCACGTTTCAACTTCGTGCGTCTGGAGCACTACACTCATCACCTGAAGCACGTGTGCTACTGACGCCAATAAATTCTCCGAGTCGAAAGTCGTGAGCTGCCACGACGCATGGAATTCATCAGTCTCTGTAGGCTGCGAAAGGCGGTCGTCGTCAGGCCTAGCCGCGTTAGGAACGTGCAGCTTGTTGTCCAAAGGTGTCGTCTGGAATGCCTGTGCGGCCTCGCTCTTAGCTTTGGCCTGGCTTGCTGGCGTGGTAGCCAATCGCACATATGCGATTAAAGTCTCCGCAAATGACACTCCTTTTCGTGGAGGACCCGGCTTTCGCCGCTTTGATGGAGTGTCTAGGCGCTGCTCATTGCGAGCAGCGGCCGAACTGTCAGTCTGCACAACTTCTTCCATAGCATCGTCTTCATTTCGCTGAAACTCCCGTTCTTGTTCACCCGAATCGCTGACGAACAACGCTGCGCGTATAGCAGACGCGTGGCGCAGGGAGAGGCTGGTGAAGAGACCCAGTACATCTATGATACCATCCAGCTAATGACGTTAGAGGCGACAGAAGCGTCAGCCTGTACCGAGCCACTCTAACATCACGCAGCTGCCATCTCAAGCGCATGATCGCACACTCACGCTGCGGAGATCCCAGAAGACGTCCAGGAATCTGAGAAGTATTTGGATCAATTCTTCGACCGTTCCGTCCAGGCCCTGCTCAAAGAGATCGTTCGCATCGTACCAGTCTTCGTCTTCAAGTTCTTTGTTGCCTCGATCTTTTCCAAGACGGTGCGCCAAAAAGGAAAAGCGGAGCGAGGCATCTGAGGGACTGCTAAGCAGAGCCAGTAGTTCGGAGCAAGCCGTTGCGTACGCAACTTGTAGACTTCGGTCGGTGTGTCGGGACAAACGCGCATTCAAGAGCCTCTGGAGAGTGCGATCCTGAGAAGCCACTTGTGTAGCTCTAGGCTGTGTCTCGTCTTGGGCAGAATCTGCGACAGGCAGTAACACGGATTCTTGCTGACCATTCGTGTGCGCTATGACTGACCCAAGCAGTTCTGCGCGCTTCTTCGCGTAGCTCGCTTGCATCCAGGGGTATCGGGCGAGAGGGTCGGACCACAAGCTTTCGGCTTTTTGCTTCGCCTCGAGGACGCGTACCGTCGGAGTGCCCTGCAATTGCGATGACGGAGACTCTTCCAGAAGTTGGGGCTCAGTGAGTGTCTGCTGCTCTGGATGAGAGGTGCGACGCGACTTGGGCAAGGCGAACGAGTTGTCGAGGTTCGGGAACGGCACTAGCGGTACAAGTGATGCGTGCCGTGTGTGAGACTATACTGCTGGTTACAAATCAGGAAATGGACTCACGAATATCGTTGGCCCTCCTTTGGCTTCTGGGGCTCTCTTCCGACTCTCGATCTTGAGAGCGTCCTCCTGAGCCGAGATTGCGAAGCATACGACCACCCCTTTTAGTCGGCGTCGTCAGCCCCGCCCTTTGTGCAGCACTGCTGTTTGGCCCTGATCCATCGCGCAAAAGCGTTGCAGGCGCCCTCCGCCGCACTGAGCCTCCAGCCACCCAGCGCGAAGAGGTCGCATTTTGAATGTGCTGAATCGGCGAAGGAACGCCATCCTGGCTGATCAGCGCTACGGGTGACAGAGCGACCGAGCTGGCTAGTGGTACTCACTCCAAAGGCCGCCTGCGTTTCATTCGCCATCCTCTCCTCCTCTCTTTCACGCCTTATCCTTTCCAACTCATCTGCATGCCGGACCGCAAGCTCAGCATTTTGCTTGCGTAGTTGGTCAGCTTCCTTCTCAAGTTTGGTGTGCCTAGAGCGTAGGATATTGATCTCCCCATCGGCAGCTTGGCGGGCCTTACGTCTTTCGTCCTCCAGCTGACGTATCTTTTCCTCAGCTGTCGCTGCAAGATCTGCAATTGGCGTCACCATTGGATTTCGGCCGCCCGCTCTGCTCTGCTGATCTACCTTTGGCAGTCCTCTCACTACCGCAACACCCGCGATCGACCCCACGTTTGTAGGCGTGCCCGCTCGACTGGGCACCCTGGATGCTGCATCATGGCGCCCGTTCGCAAGTTGCTGAAACGTCCCGAGAGTGGATGAATTTTGTACTGCATGTCGTTGCTCTTGCGCACGAGAATGTTTCTCGGCACTAGAGGGACTGATTGCGGGCGCGCTCTCCGTCCTAGCTAGCACACGGCTACTGCGCGCCTGATCGGATCCCAGACCAACATTCCGACGCCCGTGAGGCAAGGGAGCCGGTCGTCCAGTCGCAGAAATGAGTTCCGACTGCATCTGACTGGCTCTGACCGCTTGACTAGCCTGGAATACGGCAGCCTCTTCCGCCAATCTTAGTGACTCCTCGTCCGCCCATAAATCCGGATCGTCCATGTCCCAATCTTCATCAGCGCCCATGACACTCCTGCTACCCTTTGCGCCAGTGGTCGCAGGCGCACGAGGCAGAGCAGTTCCTTGCAAGCTACCTCGACCATCGTGTGATATGAATACTTCGTCTGGACCGGGTTGCAGGCGCTGTAATGCCGATGTGGAGAGAGTGCGAGGTGCTGGCGAAAGGGGTCGCTGCAATGCGCTTGTCGTCTGAGCTGACACGCGCTCCACCTGAGGCGCCATTGCGAGCGGAGGGCCCGCAGGCTGACCATGCGGTCTGCCCATGCCCAGACGGGGCCTCTTTGCAGGTGGAAGAGCCGCAAGTGGGGCAGGATGAGCTCGTTGCGGATCGCGCGATCGGTCTCGTCCATTTGAGTCCTCGACTCTCGAGTCGCCATCTGCTGGCAAAGGATCTTGTGGCTCGGGAGAGCTGCTCGGCTGACGGCGGAGAAAGTAAGACCTCTCTGCCGCTGTGCCTGGTGGATTGGACCAAGGGGCACCGGCTTCGAAAGCGTCGAGCGTGGATTGGAGTTGGGCAGGTGGGTCTGGAGAAGAAGGCACCAACCTCTGGCCGTCATCTTCGTCGTCCTCACGCTGCAGCGATGCTTCATGCGGGTCACCGACCGCGTGTTCATGCCAGGACGTTGATGAATCTCCCTCTTCCTCCTGTTCTTCGATGATCGCACTGGGTACGCTGCGCCTTGATGGTGCACGAGATTGTAGGCCGTCATGAGCGGCCCGAGGCTGAAGCTGACTCTGTGGTGGTGGCAGGTCACTGGGAAGGGGACCGTCGTACTTTCGGCTGGGCGGCGCTGGAGCATCTTTGACAGTCAATGGCCTGCCTGTGGAGGTATGACCAGCTGGAGGAGCTGGGCCGCTCGGACGAGCGTATCTACTCGCTGCACTGAAGCGATTTACGGGATCCATGCCTCCTTGGCCGGCTGCGGGCGCTGGAGCAGCAGCTCCCTTGACTCTCTGCGACGCCCATGCGTCTTCGATACGAGTGAGGGTCTCTTCCTCCTGCGATCCCCAAGGATTGTCTTGGTCCGAGGATGTCTCTTCGAACTGTGGACGTGGCGAGCGCCTTGCATTTGAATGCCCCTCCCTTGCTGGATGGTCGACGTGCGTAGACTTGCCCAAAGCTTGCTCTGCCGCGGTGCGTACACCATGCCTGACGTCGCGCTTCGTTTCGCCGTTCATTTGTCCCCTGCCGTGTCCACCATACGCTGAAGGACGCTGCATTGCGGCGATATGATTCGGTGCTCTCCATCAAGCTTCTCGCGGTGCTGTACTTTTGGTCTGCTCCATCGCGCTCGAGTCAGAGCGCCGGAGCCAGCGTAACAAGTCTTGCGTCTGGTAACAGACGAGAAGGACGATTCTCTGAAGAGCAAACTAGGACGACTGGGTCGATGGTGTAGGAAGCGCAGTATGTATGCATAGCTTCGAAGAAAGTCGTACCCGGTACACCACCGCTGCATGCTGAAGACCGTTGCACTCACAATCAAGAATCACACTGATGCGGACGTGTGACCGCGCGCTGACGCCTCCCGCCGTGCGAGCTGCATGCTGCACGCTCATTCATACTCTTAATTTTGATTATTGTTGTGTTTCACCTCCGCTTCGCCGCGCGACCTCCGCATTGATATGAAATCCAAGTGGGATCATGTTAATGGTCCCGATACAACTTCTCCTGCTTCGGCGCTTCATTCTTCGAGTTGGAAGCTTACGACGCGTCGAGTCGCGCGTCATAGCGGCTGCAGCAGCAGGTGTGTGATTAACACGGTCGCGCGCGCGCGCGCGTGTCAAGCCAACACCTCGCGTGCGTGCGTGCGTGCGTGCGTGGGAACAAAAGCCGACGAGGCTGAAGCAGAAGACGACGATGAGTCGACGCTTCCCTTCGGGCACGCTCCAGCTACGCTCGATAGTCAGTGAGTACGGGGCTTTCTGAGAGCCATCGAGTCGCAGTCGCAAGTGAAGAGTGACCTTCCCGACCTACACTTGATCGAAAGGAGCGACGCCTCCATTGAAGCCTTGTTCGCCAGAGGTCCGACCCTAACAGTTGCGGAAGAGCGCCTACCCGCGGCAGCGCGGTCTGCCACCATGACTTCGGCAAGGGCTGCGAGCAGGATGACGACCGACGAACTGCTAGCACGCTTCTCCGCAGCCTTTGCAAGCCTTGACGAGGATGACGGTGACATCTCGTGCGAGCAGCACGGAAAGGATGATGCTGCGGGCCCTTCGCGCGAGTCGCAAGCTGACTTCGTTGAGCGCTACGAGGCAGTGCATTCCATAGCGCAGAAGCATATACGTCCATCGACAAGCGCCCGCAAGCTTGCACCGGTAGCGCCGACGACGGACTACGAGGCAGCCACTGAGCACATTCACGGCGTCGCTCTGAGGAACCGGATCGAATTGCGCGAAGAAGTGAGCGATGCGCTCAAAGCTTGCCTTGGCGCTCTGGATAAATCCATGTCGCAAGCCCAGCATCTGGCTCGGCAAAGCAGAGCACTGCAAGAGTCGCGCAGGGCGGATAGGGAGAGGCGACTCGCCAACGGCCTGAGAGCGGAGGATCTCCCTGCCAGTCTCAAGGGCAAGCAGAAGTTGGTGGAAGATCCGGCCATCACTTCGAGGAATGCGGGGGAAATTTTGGCGCTATTGGTGAGCCAGCGAACGGAGCGGGCGATCTCAGTTGGAGTGAGCACAAGACTGACGCTTTCATGTTGGGAGCTCTCGCTTTCACGCGTACCCTCTGAGAACGCGTCTGAGTACGCCAAAGATCTTTTGCAAGGCAAGACTCGACGCTCTTACGCTTATCTCGACGAGGAGCATCAGCGCGAAGCGCAACGAGAGGAGTGGCTAAGGATCTTGATTGAAGATCCTTTGGAGCTAGAACACTCGGGCGCGACTGACTCGGACGATACCCTGAGCGAGTGGAGCGATCTCTCTGCGGAAGGAGGTGCTGATGGGTCAATGCTGCCACCGAAAGCCACTCCAGCGATGAAAGACGCGGTGAACTCCCGGAATAGAATTGCTGCTGCTGCTCGCGCCGACACGGAGAGCTCTGGTGCGCATGCGCAACGGCTACGAGCATGGCAAGGAGCAGCTATTCACCAGATTAAATCAGCCGGTCAGGACACCCCGCAGCGTCACCATCTCGGCTTCGTGCGACGCCCCTTCGACTTGGGCCAGCCAGACACGCTGCTAGCCCTGGAGGTGGGTGAAAATGCACGCATCGCTCAACTGCAAGAAACGCATGCCTTGCGCGAGATTTTGCTAGCGTTGCAAGGCGATTCAAACAAGCTATTTCGATGTCGCAACAATATTGGCGAATACGAGCTTGTTGCAGACCCTGCAAGGATTAGTCATTTATCTCTAGGTTCCTGGAATGCGGCCTTGACTCATTTTGCGGTCATCTGCACGTCCCTCGAGAATCTGCGGCAGCTCTCAAGTCAGCTCCAAGCTTTGTCCGGTGGCGGCATCGCAGGACCTTCTCTAGTGACTGCCCAGTCCTTTCGCAGCTTTGGCGGTGCACTCAGCGAAGTGCTCGGCCGAACAAATCATCAATTTGCCGCTTACGACGCGGCGATTGCTAAGGCCCTCGTCCGAGGCGCAGGCGAGGCACCTCCTATGACCACCTTGACCGAACTGATGACCAAAGTCGACTGCGCGGTCGCCACTCTTCTAGAGCTTGAAGAGATAGCCCGGGAAGTTGATTTATTTCAAGCTCGGAGCTCCCTCGAGCTGCGCGCGCCCACTCCGTTCCGAAGTGTGACACCACTGCTTGACGCCTTGCTCGCAGCAGTGCGCTTCGAAGTTGCCTTCTCGGAAGGACGAGATGTAAAACTTCGCGAGCATGCGCAGCCCGACCCTGAGGAGCTCGCCAGGTGTTTTCTTGCGACGGCAAGTCCCCTCTGGGATGAGGCGCGACGATGGATTGTACACGGCATGCCCATGGCCTCCCAACCCTCGGATGAGGACCTCAGCCCCACTGCTCGTGTTCAGCGCTCGCAAAGGCTGGCAGCAACTTGCAGTTTCTTCCAGCATGATCATCGGCTCTCACCGACCGACACCACCTTTTGGACCGAGGCTTGGACCCTCGGAGCGCTGGAGCAGGAGCGCGGCGTCGGATCCTCTGAAGATGCGCCTCGAAGTGTTCCTTTGCCCCCTGTCTTCCTCATTGGAAAAGGGCTTGCGCAGGAGATCCTGTCCGCTGGCAAGGCTGTCGGTCTCTTGAGACTTTTAGGCGCTGCACACGAGCTGCCTCTGCTTGCAAGCTTGCTTCAAGAGGACAGCGATCTGGAACGGCTGCTGGTACTGGAGGAAGTCGAAGCGCCGAATGAAGACGCCGACGCAGACGGCATTTCACATGATTCGGAGAATGAGACAGATGCGACGCGCTCTGTTGGCGAGACTTGGTCCAGCATGGCTCAGCTCAGTCTGGGAAAATCACGCTTGCGGGGCTCACATCGGTCGAACGTAACATTTCCTGAAAGGGCTCGAGTAAAGCCGGACGAGCAGATCAATTCGACTCGGCATCAGGTCGATGCTGCTGCAATCAGCCGAGCTTTGTTCGGCGACACAATCTCGCCTCTCCTACGTGCGGAGCCATCGCCAGTAGTCACTCAGATTGCCGACGATTGGCTATCCGACGCTCGTCTGCCTGACCGGCCGCTCAAACTCAGCGGAGGTGTGGCAGGCAAACAATTCCAGCTTGCCTTCATTCTTGGTAGCGAGGCAGGAGTAAGCACACTGCTGATTAAGCGCCTTGAGCCGGTGCTGACGCTTGTGCGGAGGAGGCTCAATTCTGTGCTGCTGCAGTCGCGCCTCGAAGGCGGAGTCATCGATCTGCCTGCGCACATCAGCGTCCTCCAGAAGCTGTTCTTGTGGAGAAGCCCTGATATGAGCTTTTGGGCACACCTTATCCACCTTAGCGTGAGTGAGGCCGATTTGCATGCTTGCCATCTTGTGACTCACGACTGATCGTGGGCCCTGCTTCCACGTCAGATGGCCCGAACGCTGCCAAATGCTCAAATTCTAGAAGTCTCGTTTCGCGAAGAGACCAGGGCGGAGGAGTGGGTCGACACTGGGCGAGTGCGCTTCAAGTCCGAGGCGTTGCGGAGCACAGGTAGCGTCAGAGCGTTAGCAAGCATCAGCATTGACTATGAGGTGGGTCATATATTGGGTGTGCAGTCCGCGAATCGGTAGCTGACGCACTGGAGGCGCCTGCAGATGCCCTGGCCCTTGACTTATATGCTCACCCCGGGCGTGATCGAGGCCTATCAGCAGATGTTTACTCTTCAGCTACAGCTCTTTCGAGCATCAAGCTGCCTCTCTGAGCTGCTCAACCTTCGCCCGAGCATGCTCAACGGACTAGGAGTTGAGCTCCGCGATGCGTCTGGAGATCGTCAGCCAGCTGCGATGCCAGCCCACATTCTGCACACGCGTGCTAACGACGTACGAGCGTCCATTTCTCTGCGCGTCAAGATGAATTGGATCGTCGCGCTGCTGAGACGGTGGATCATGACAGATGTGAGTCACTTCCATGATGCTCATTGGAGCCAGGTTGAGTGCTAACGCTTCTGCCGGCTATGCACAGATTTTAGAGCCCCGGTGTCAAGAGATCGCTGAACGACTGCCCACGTTGTCGTCGTTCGACGAGATGATCGAGATGCATGCCTCTTCCGTCCGCAGAATGGCCGACTTGTGCTTCCTCTCTTGGCCTGCGAAAGGCTCGGAGGCCTCTCATCAAGCATCACAAAGCGCACGACTTGGCAACTCGGTGCCCATCGACCAAAGCCGTTTTGATGCTTCGCATCTCACTTTTGATCGGACCATCGATGCCAGCCGCACGGTCTACGCGGCGCGATATAACGAGCACGTCCATGGAATCATTCTGGACTTGCTCGACATTGCCGTGGAAGCCAGCGCCGCGGTGCTCAAGCTAGCAGGAATGTCAAGGTCCAAGAGATACACGCCACGCGCGAGAACCGCAAAGGCTCAGAAGCCATCCCGCTCGCATGCCCGCACAAGGCCTGGAAGGCCAACGAGCTTGTCTGACGAAGAAGAGATCGAGAGAGAGATCCAGAGCGCAGGACAAGAAGCCGAGGAACGAGCAGGGAGAGACGAGCCAGAGTTCGGTCACGTCGGGCGTGATTTTGGCGCGCATATCTCACGCCTGGAGAAGTCCTTCGATCGACTGCTCCTGTCACTGCGGTCTGGAATCTCGCGCAAGATTTCCGAGCTTGCAAACGCGCCAGTCCCTCCTCGTGCGCAGGAGGGCCGGATCAAGGATCGCCAAAGAGACTTGCAGGACTTGCAAGCTCTCAAAGCTGCGCTGGACGCTTGGCTCGATTGAAGTTTACGCTTCACGCTCGAAACGGGACGGCTGCGCTGTGCGAATGATGGCGTCGCCACTGTCGTCACCGAAGTGTGTCGGCTGGCCTCTTGGAGTCGAGCTGTGCGTCGCTCATCGGACAATGCTGTAATTTTATAATTGCATCTCCCTCAGATGCCACCAGCGCCATCTGCTTCTACATCCGCGCCTTCGCCTGGACCGCCTGTCGCCGCCCCTTGCAATTGAGATTGTAGTCTGACGAGCTGGCCAGGTCGGGCCGTAGCACAGCTTCAGCCAGATGTCGAATCGCTCGACGTCTCCACGACGCCCTCACCTCTTCCTTTTTCTTTTCGCCCTTCTCTGAAAGCTCTTTGAGCAGCGTCTCTGCTCGCCTGCTGCAAGAGTCGTGATGCCAAGAGAGTAGAGAAGTTAGCACAACGGAGCGAACAGGCGCCGTGACATCATGACGCCATGAGGGCGCTCCACTCCACTCACATGTCGCCCTGAATAAAGTCTATCCTCTTTTGCACATTGCTCTTCGCCTCTGCTGGATCTTGCTGCAACAACACGGGACCCATTGCCTTGTACACTTTGGCACCTACACCTTTGTTTGGAAGGGCGTCGAATTCCTATCGAGGATGAGGGTGAGGTGTGAGCGTGCGTTCAAGCGCTGCAAAGCTTGGTCGTCTATCCGCCTGACTGTGAGCATCACAATCGCAATCACTTTGTACTTTCGCTTGCTCACTCGCCCGCCCCGCCAAGCTGAGCCGCATGTGTAAGATGACCCATTCAGGGCCTCATTAGAAGCGATGTGTGCCAGCCAACCCACTCGAACTCGCATCGTGACCAACGGTTGACGAAGTTTCGAGGCACCTCGCTCAGCACACGACACTCTGTCTCTCACCAATTTGACTGCACAAAGCGCTGCTGCTCACCTTTAAAACGCTTTCATTCTCGTTCAATTGCCCGGCAAGCGTCTGTCTCGTATCCACAGCCTTTTCAAGCTCTGCTTGCAGATTCTGAAACTCGACGCTGGATTTCTGCAGACTCCTTTCCAGCTGCTGCATCTGCGATGAGGAGGATACTGTGGAAGCTGATGATGATGCTGCTTTGGACATCGTGAAGAAGACGTGTTTGAGTTGATGAGGTGTGGCGTGGCGTGTTGAACTAGCCGAACAGCGCGCAGAGACGATGGATGAGCGCTGAAAACGGTCACCTTGACTGGATTTGGCTGCCTGGAAGAGGGGCGCGACTGCGAGCCAACAGCGGCTACCACACGATCGATGTCGGCGGAATCTATCCACTTGATACCGCCTCTTCTGACGTGTGATGGTCGATCGAGAAGAGAAGATCTTCTTCTATATTCGTGACTTTGACTGACTGCTAAATGTCCTCTTGCCTGCCAAGGGTGCGCTCGATGCTGCGTGCACCGTGCACACCCAAGTCACGTGTTTGCGAACTTCAAAAAAGTATTTCGCGCCGCTCGTGCGACGCAGCAGCAGGGCAGGACGGACAGGGCACGTCGTCAGGAAAGCGTACACGCGCAGCTTTCTGCCTCTTCACCTCCACGCACTCACCCCAACAGCTGTGGCTTTTACAACTCATCTCATTCAATTGCTTTGCGATCACTTCACTCGCTATGATTCGCTCAACCCTTGCAAGATCTTTGAAAGCGGCCTGCGTGGCTCAGCCTCGTCTGTCCGCCTCTCGCATCGCACCTTCGCGAGCTCTGCCCTGCATCGCACCAACTTCCACCGTGAGGTTCTTGCAAGCGAGCGCCGTAGCTCGCGGTTCCGGCTCTACAGATAGCGAGCTCTCTTCTCGACTTGCGCAAGAGATCACCTACGAGCGCGAGTCTGCAGCCGCAGGAAGCGAGGGTGAAGGCTCAGAGTCAGCTTCTGAAGAGCCGGAATTCGTCAAGGATTTCAAAGCTGCTGGCGTTTGGCGCATTCAGGACGTGGCTGGATCGGACGAGATCGCTCTTACTAGAGAGTACGGCAATGAACATATTCGTGTCCTCTTTAGCATCGGTGACATCGACACGAGCGAGAATGATTTTGAGGAGGAGGAAGGAAGCGAGGAGGAACAGGAAGCTGGTTTCCCCGTGCGATGCGCCATTACAATCTCCAAGGTGAGTGGCAAGACACTGATGCGGTGATGCACGTGGGAGCGCGGAAGTCTGGTACCTCGAGAGACCACTCCAGGCGTGACACCGTCATCTTTGATGCGAATCAGCGTCCAGCATCGCTGACATTTGCGCCCACGTCACCGGTAGGAGGGCAAGGGTGCTCTAACCCTCGACGCTCAGGCGGAGGATGGACAATTCACGGTGGAGAATATCAGCTACTACAAGGACGCCAAGCTGGCCACCGACCTCTCTGCCGACGCAGACTGGGCCAGGCGTGGATTGTACATTGGACCTCAGGTGAGTGGCTGGAATGCGGAGCTTCCTGTAGAGATGCAAACACGGGAACCTCACTCACTCTGACGACTCCCCCTTCCCTCGACCCTGAAACAAGTTCGAGACGTTGGATGAGAATGTCCAGGCTCAATTTGAGGCATTCTTAAACGAGCGCGGCATCGACTCTGATCTCGCCCGCTTCGTGCCCGACTTTGCTGAGCTGAAGGAGCAGAAAGGTGAGCGAGGTGTGAATTGTCGGTGTCAGATAGGAGGAACGATCCCTGACGCGTCTTTACCCCGTCAGAGTACTGCTCTTGGCTGGAGAACGTCAAGGCTTTTGTAGATGCTTGATGTGATGGCGCTTTGATGTGAAAGCCAAGGTGGATACGCGATTCGCAATGAAAGTGCAGATTCAAGCGGGTCTCGAGATACGGAGCCTACGCAAGATTCGGTTCGGATCGCTCTGGCATTCATCAACCACTTCTCATTACAATGGCTGAATGACCCTTTGTCGACGTTTTGTTTGAAACCAAGTCTGAACGTGTGTGTGACATGTGGCCCGCAGGGTCATCCACTCGATCGATGCTGGCGCCTCAAGCGTCATCATGAATGCAGGAGCTACTCAATCTCGCGTGTCTTAGGCCGTTGATGCGCGTATGACCCTTGTTGTCTGGTCCAGAGCTTTCCCCTCTGCGCGGGGAGCAGCTCACGACTGTTGCGCTCTTTGAGTGCTAACGTCTGGGCGAGATGGCAGAAAGCCTGAAATGATGAGCGGGAAGATTCGGTATGCGGCAAAGTTTTCTACGCTCTCTCTTCTCTCTCTCCGCATGATGGCGGGCTCTGTGGGCCGGAAAGGTGCGAGCGACGAGGGCGGGCGCTCCACAGATTGGCGGGAGGGGGTGGGTCAAGAGGAGAGCTGATGCAATCACATTCACAATCAAGAATGTTTATTTCGAGTTCGCAATCAAGCTCGAGTTACGAGTCTTACCCGGCAAAGGACAGCTTCAGGAAGCACTCCGAACTCCGGACTCGTGACTCGGGAGAGGAGCATGTGCCTCGCATACGGATCTTGCTGACAATCACAATTGAGTGAATTCGTGATTGTAGCTGTTGTGCAGCGGGGACAATCGTCGTTTGTCGACAACTTGGAGCTTGAAGATGAAGTCAACGAGTATAGCTTGCACCGATCGCAAGTCACGAGTGCGAATCGAGCTGAATCACAATAACCGCGAATCGTGAACTACTGAGTGAAGACTGCATGAGAGGGCCGTGGCAATAGCTGTACGCGTACGATATGTCCACGCCCTCATCGCGATGTATCGCTGACACTCACGACTCTTCTAACTCACGACCCACGACTCACGACTCACTGTTGGGACTCCAGCATGCAGCAGCTGCGCGGCCGGCTGTGGCGCGCCTGCAAGCCGAGTGGAGAAGATGGATAATATTCACGATTTCGCTCACTCGTGATTTGTGCTTTCAGCTTTCAGGAGACCATCACCCATCCTAAAGGCAGCCTGCATGCAAGCCAAAGCGACGGCGGGCTTGCAGCTTCAAATCTTGACAGTTCATCTGCCCTCATCTCGACATGTTCAAAGCGTCATCACCAACGCAGAGCCTGTGCAGAGCTTCAACTACCTGCCGCGCTGCAGCATCCAGAAGTGCAAGACCCACTCATGCCATCATCTGCGAATCCGGTCACAGCTCCGTATGCAATCGGAGGTTGGATCAGCGATGCCTTCATATGAGCTGCGCTTGGCGACTTGACGAGAAGGCGGACAAGAGTCGCTTTGAGCAGTCCAGATCTAGATCTGCCGGCAGAGGGACGAGTGCATCCGAGGCAACTTCTTCGAGAACAGCATTCGAACAGCGAACAATCCTGGATCAGCTGCGTAGCGCACAGAGCGCGAGTGGCAGCAGCAATGGCAATACTTCGCAGATCCAAGGCAAAAGCGTACCGATAGGACGCATAAGCCCATCCTCTCGATTCACTGATCCTCGTGCAGCATCCGATCACAGTGCTGCAGCATCTGCAACTTCTGCTTTGCCTGGTGGAGGGTTGGGATTGGGCGCGATGAGGAACCCTTTGGGTATGGGCACCTCCGCTGAGACGGGCACCTGGGATCGTCTGGCAGGCGGTGAAAAAGAATGGTCTGAATTGAAAGGTCGGGAGAAAGGTGAGCCTAGCTGCACTCGCTCTGTGTTCATCTGCGAAGGGCAACGCGGCGGGGTGAATGCGCGTTCCCAAGACAAGCCTTGCGCGCGCTCCCATCGAGCTTCAGCCCTCTCCTTTTGTGCGACCACCGGCGATGGTTGGCAACTTCCTGACTCTGCTTCATCTGTGCGCTCCTCTCGCCCCACAGTCTTTAGAGCTTCATTGAACACGTCGCGACTTACCATCGTTCTCATCGGTGGTACTCTAACGCTCGCCGTATTTTGGAGCGTGTCCACCGAGCTCTTTGCAAGTAATTCGCCCACAGTCATCTTCGAGGACGCTTGCAAGCGAATCAACAGGTCCGACGAGGTGTGTAGCGAGCGGGACGCTTTGCTTTGCTTGCTCTAGGAAGCTTTCTGATCCCTTTCGGGCCATCGCAGATCCGCCAACACTTGCTGCCACCTCTCAAATTCCACTCTCGCGGAACGGCAGCGGCAAGCTCGGCCGACGATGCCGCTACCACGCTGCACTTTCGCATCAGCTCCAAAGCTCGTGGAGAATCGCTGACTATGTTTGAGCGGGCGCGGCAAGCGACTTCGGACGCAGCGATGAAGACGGGTCAGGCAGCATTGCAAGCGCTGGAAGATCTTGCACAGTGGGCAAATCTAGATGCCCAGGATCAAGCGCAGGGTTCTAGAGCTCACTATCCCGTGACGAGCAACGGTACTGCGCCCGGAGAATCTTGGAGCGTGCCCAATTGGCTGGCTGCTCCTTTCCGTGCGCTGAGCTCTGGATTTGGAAGTGCGTCTTTGAGAGGGAATGGAGGACCCGGCACGTACACTTCCGCCGATGTCTGGGCCAAGCTGGAAAAGGTGAGCCAAGCCCATTCCGCTCTCTATGGATATCACGGCAGCTGACGGCAAGTTCTCTTCGCATTCTTATTTCGAAGGACGCTCATGGCACATTGCAATACGTGCAGCTGTATGCCGACATTCCATCATCTGGTGTAGGAGCTCGACATCGCGTGTGGATCATCAAACGCAAAGGCGACGTGGTGAGATAGAGGCATGCTCTATCTCAAATTGAGAATGCGAGGCTTTTTTTCGCTTCACATGACTTGTCTATTTCCCTCTTAGCACGTGCATCGACACGGATACGAAGCACAACGCCATCAGGCCAGCATCACAGCACGCCAGCTCCTGCACCACGGCAGGTGCACACGATCAGTGAACTTGTCCGGACCCTCGCTGAGCAGCCATTCTCGGGCCCGGTGCTCGCTTACACGTCCAGCGTCATTGCCGCCAGTGTCTGAGCATCGCCATTCGGGGACTGGCGCACACGGATATTGCGAATCAGTTGATGAGTCATGTCTTGAGAATGGCTTAGGCTTTTCGCAAGTGTACTTTCACACCACCGTGCCCCACCCTGCACGCAATTGTGAACGTGGAGTTGCAGACACTCTTGACTGGGCAATTCGCGGGGACGGCGGACTGCACAGCATCACTTGAGCGTCCTCTGCCCTCCTCTCGGGATTTCGCATCGTGTTCGAATGGTAGATGTGTGTTTGATCTTGTCTTTTGCGACTGCGTGGTAGGTAGCTCAAATCGTGGATGCGCTCTTTGAGTCCCGCACTGCTTTGTAGTGCAACAGCGTTCGGAATTACGGAGGCGTCCATGACCATAGCCCTGATCGACTCCTGTTACAAGAGCATCTCGTAGAGAATGACATTCGCGATCCTTGGATTTGCGATCAGGTCGAGCCAGTCTTGAGTCATGGTCGAATTGCACGATGATATTCAAATTTGCTGTGAAGTTGTGAACTCCTCAGGTTCAGACTGACCGAGGAGTGAGCCATGCAGTCATGAGTGAAACCAAAAACAATCGAGGATAGCACGCTACGCGTCAAGGATAAGCGTGCACCCGAAGGGAATATAATTTACCGCGGTATTGTGGCTGCGCTAAATGAAGCGCGCACGGACCTTTTGGGCGCATGTATATGACGCAGCCACAACAGCAGTCATCCAGCAGTCAGCCAGCCAGCCAGCCAGCCATCCAGCAGCATTCGCACCGCTATACAGTGACCTGTTTGGAACCCTGCATGCATGGATGGCGCCAGCAGCAGCGTCGTCCCTGTGGATCTGATCGCGTACGTGTGTGCTGTGCAAACCACACCTCATCGTCAACTGAGCAGGGTGAGCGGTCAAGGCGGCATCATCGCACTCGTCTGACGTCGCTTCTATGGCTGCCTTTTGATTTGACTTCCATTGTGATTGCTTGCCTTCGCATCCAGAGGAGCCTCAGCCTGCTATGTCTCGAGCCTTTTCTCGTGCCAAAGCAACCTTGTCAAGCTCTGCCACCACTCGATCTGCGAAGCCTTCTTCTCCCGCTACTACTGCGACCACCAGCCCTTGGCGTCCTTCGTCTCTGCTCCCTTCCAAGCGTGGTCTCGGTGCACTCAGCGCCGCGACTGCTTTGCTCGGAGTGTCCATCTCGCTCAATCTTTCGGGATCTCACTCTTCCCTCGTTCATTGGGCACCGCGTACGAACTTCTCGGCATTCAGCTCGCGCGGACATACGTTCTCCATTCCACTCTGGTCTTCTCGATCTTTGAGCACAACAACATCACGAGACAAGGAGAATATGTCGTCCACATCCAATGCACCAGGATGGGATCCTTCCACCAAACCATTTCCTGCAGCCAGAAGGGGGGATGCCAGCAAATCTTACAAGAGCAAAAAAGCTGGTGGCAAGGAAGTAGTCGTCCCTGAACCTTATGAGTGGCTACATACGCCTCCCAGCCAGTCGGAAGAAACCAAGGAGTTCGTGCTGAAGCAGGCGAAGCTGGCTGAGAGCTACATTGCAGGCTATCGTGAGTGAGGGTGCTGCCCTTGACGCGCTGAGTGGGACATGCTCGGAGCGGGAGCAGTCTGGTCAAAGAAGTAGTCACGAGTCATTGGGCCACGCTGACACACGGCAACTTCAAAATCGCGCACTTTGCTTTATCAGCTCATCGCGAGACTTTCAAGAAGCAGTGAGCGCCGCTCAGCGAGCATTGCGTGTTCACACTTGCTGACGCTGCGACCTCGCTTGCTTGTACCATAGGCTGGAGGCGAACTTTCAGTACCCTCGGTTTTCTTGTCCTTCTTTCAAAGGAGACGGCAGCGCAGCATACTACTCTTACAATGCGGGACTCGACCCACAAAGCACCATCTATAGGGTGTCTAAGAATGAAGTGGATCTTCCCGCTGGGGATAAGCCTGCTGGTCAGCGATGGTTCGACCAAAATGTGAATACGACACGCCTCTACTCGGCCGTGTTCACCTGCGCTAGCAATCCCAAACATAACTGATGCATGCGCTACCCTTGCTTGCTTTGCCCTCTTGCAGCTCCTAAGCAAGGACGGCACAGTGGCCTTGTCGTCGATGTGTGAGTGCTGCAAATATGCGCACAGCGTCGATGCTCTGCTGAAGCTGTCAGCCACTGTCTGCCGCATCAGCGTTCTCCAAGTCTGGCAAATACTTTGCCTACGGCATCAGCAAAGCTGGATCGGACTGGAACACCATCTACGTACGCGAAGCATCTGCACCATTTGTTGAGCCGCCTACGGACGAGTCCACAGCTCCTTCTGGAGGACCAGATCGACTATCGGATGTCATTTCTCACGTCAAGTTTAGCGGTCCTGTCTGGACTCACGATGATAAAGGCTTCTTCTACCAGCGCTACCCCGAGCCCCCTGCGCACGTAAAGGACTCTGGCACGGAGACCGACGCCAACAAAGATGCCGAGCTCTTCTATCACGTTCTAGGCACTAGTGCCAAGGACGACGTCAAGATTGTTTCGAAGGATGTCGATATCCCCACAAGCATGTGGTCTCCGCAGATCAGCGAGTGAGTTGGGCTTATCGCAGCATCGCGCGCTCATTGTCATCTTGCTGACGTCCACCTCGGGCGCTGGTCTTGATGAATCGGTACAGTGACGGCGAGTGGCTCCTGCTGGGCAACAGCAAGGACACCGACACCAAGAGCAGGACTTTTGCGTTGAGCCTGAAGGGACAGCCCATTGGTGGCTCGATGAAGTGGAAGCCGATCTCGACAGCTTTTGATTCTACATTGGGCTACATCGCAAACGAAGGTCCTGTATTCTACTTCATGACGAACAAAGATGCCCCAAATTACAAGCTCGTCAAGATCGATCTGAGCAAAATCGAAGATCAAGAGGGACATCCTGCAAAGCTCAAGGGCGTCGCACCCACCGAAGACGTCCTGCCGGAGGATCCACAGGCAACACTCAGCTCCGCAAGCGTCATCGCTGGAGATAAGCTGCTCGTCATTTACCTGAGAGACGTCAAGGATGAACTCTGGCAGCTGGAGCTCAAGACTGGCAAGAAGATCAAGCGTCTTCTGCCCGAGCTCGTCGGTTCCATCACCCAGCTGTCTGGACGAGTGGAGGACAATACTGCTTTTGTCAGCTACATGAGCTTTACCGCACCCGGCACGACCGTCCGGTTGGACTGGCCCGAGAAGTCCAGTCCCACTGACACGCCCACAGAGTCAGTGTACCGATCGACAGTCGTGGCAAACATCCGAGAAGAGGACTACATTTCGGAGCAGATCTTCTTCCCGTCCAAGGACGGGACAAAGGTGCCGATGTTCGTCACTCGGCGCAAGGACACCAAGCTCGACGGAAGCGCACCGGTCTGGCTCTATGCCTATGGAGGATTTGCGATCCCTATGCAACCCGCTTTCTCCCCGAGTCTAATGACCTGGGTGACGCTCTACAAGGGGATTTTGGTCTTTGTGAACGCTCGTGGGGGCTCCGAGTATGGAGACAGCTGGCACAATGAAGGCAGGCTGCTCAAGAAGCAGAATACCTTTGATGATTGGCTCGCGGCCGCCAAGTACTTGGTGGAGAACAAGTATGCTGCAAAGGGTAAAATCATCGTCAATGGTGGAAGCAATGGAGGAATGGGAGCGATGGCTGTCGGCAATCAGGCTCAGCCCGAGCATGGTATCGGAGCTGTTGTCGCGGAGGTGAGTGCGGGAAACGCGTCGAAGGGATTGGTCGTGTGCGCCCGTGGGACTGAACGCGGTCCTCTTCATCTGGGTTATCCAAACCCCTTGCGCTCTGTCTAGGTCGGCGTACACGATATGTTGCGCTTTGCTGAATTTACCATCGGAAAAGCCTGGGAGGCAGATTACGGCAAGCCCACGGAAGACCCAGAAGCTTTCGACTACAACTATGCCTACAGTCCTCTGCACAACGTAGATGCCAAAAAGATATACCCCACCGTACTCCTCTTGAGCGGAGACCATGATGATCGAGTCGTTCCTGCTCACACTTTCAAAATGACAGCAGAGCTGCAGCACAAGTTGCCCGTGAGTGGCTACACCGATGCACACCTGCGGACAGTACACTGACATCTCGCGCCCCTTCACAGAACAATCCAAATCCAATTCTGGCACGCCTTGAGCTCGACGCCGGCCATGGTGCAGGCAAGAGCACCCAAAAGAGGTGAGCGAAGGGTCTATCGAGGGTTCGGCGCGTCCAACAGACATCTCTCAGCGAGCTGACATTGTGCATGTTCGGGAGTGCAGGATCAACGAAGCGTGCGACCGTTACGCTGTCGTGGCTCGCGCGCTCAGCCTCGAGCTTGTCGAGGCGCCTTCGAAGGGGAACGCCTCTCTGTGAGATTTGCTCGGACGGTCTTACAACGGACCGTTTGAAGATTGACAACGCCCACAATCAATCGTCACCATCAAACTTCTTCGAAACCGTAAACGGTGATTGCTTTCAAGTAGCACTGGCCTTTGTGATCGCTTCGGCGATGTTGATCTTGGCCACATGAGTTGACGCGCGTGCCAGAAATGCAAGGCCCGCATCGGCTGCAAAGACCGCAAACTCCAGTCAGAGCGGTAGCTGAGAGAAGAAGAGCGCTCGCTTTCTGGTTGTGGTATATTGACGATACATTAGGAAAAAAGAAGTGGGTGACGGAACGATGCAGCCAGGTGCAGATTGCAAGCAGAAGGGGAGTTCGCGACCATTCGAGACTGGATTGAATTGATAGCGAGGTGCAGGCGCGACGTGGAGTCGCCTTACTCCGAGCAGGTGGGACGAAATCGCTGCGCCCGCGCCTTGACGCGCGGGCACGTGTGTGGTGTAGCATCATAGCTTTGGCGACCACGTGCTCTTTCCTTGACCAAAGTGACGTTTCTTCTTCTTCACGACCACTCCTGCATCCTCTGCGCTCTCTCGCTCCTGGCCCGCATCCGCATCCGCATCAGTGCGGCTAAGCAGTGCCGTGACGATGTTTTGAACTCCGCCACCCAGGTCGCCGAGAGTCTTGAGGATGTCCTTGCCAAGGTCTCCGAGCTGAGAAGGGATGTTGCTGAAAGCTGGAAGAGGCGGAGCTTTCTTCGTCCTAGTAGGCTCCGCGCTGACACCAGTCGCAGCAGCCTTTTGCAGACCGAGAGGAGCTGGCAAGCTGGCAGCGGAGGCGTAGAGCGAACTGTAATCCGCATTTGGCTTCTCTTGTTCGAATGGGTGGCCTTCGGTGTTGAAGACGTACTTGTCCAGCGAAGCTATGCTCGGGTCTGAAAATGTCAAGTACAGGTACTTGAAGAGTTCCGCATACAAGAAACTCTCCGAATCGTCCAGCTTCCTTGTCAAGGTGTTGTTCACCTCGGCGATACTGGCAAAGGACCCGTAAGAGACTTTGCAGTATCGCTGAATCGATTGGAAAGCGTTCCATGCCAGATCTTGCCATTTCTTGTCACCAGTGGTTCGATACTGCGAGCAAATCAAGCATTCGAGCAATTTGTCAGCTATCAACTCAACGCCTCTGAGAACACAATGTCACGGAATTACTCACAGCGTAGAAGACGCTCTCAAGGACTTCAGGACGCAGAATGTAGGGCGTCGACTCGAAGTCGTATCCATTCAGTGCGTAGAAGGCTTCGTTGCTGACTCTGACTCCGTTCGTAGAGCCATTTGCAGCCTTGTAGACGAAGCTTTCCGGTCCGATACCCGTTGGGCTGGAGGTGTATGTGTTGATGCAGCTCTCCGTCAACTTCATGCCGTAGTCGACGATAGCTTGGCTGTGCAGCAGCTTGCCTCCCAGGATCCAGTTGCCCCCCACGAAGCATCCGAGATGAGAGCCGCGCGGGATCTGACCTCCGTAGGATGGACTGTAGTCGGTGAGGTAGGTAAGCTTCTTTGCTGTTCCTCCGGCCTCCGTGATGAGGTATCGGACGCTGGCCTTGACAGTGGAGATCCACGCTGGGATCCAGGTGGTGGTGGTGCCTTTCAATTGGCCATACTTGATCTCATACTCTAGCGCCGAGTCGGACCCTCCTCCCCAAGTCATGTAATCATCCGTCGCTTTGCCTGTAGCAGGATCGATGCCTTGGCCGTGCAATCCTGCCGGAAGACCAATCTGCGGCGCGTTGATCGTAGCTTTCATCGCGCGCACGGCATGTTGACCGTACGTGGCGTTGCCGCTGTACTTTGACAGCCTCGTCAGCTCCAAGATCAGAGTCCCAGTCTCGGCGATGATGGCCCCATTGCCAGTCTTGGGTTTTCCGCCAGAACTCCAATTTTGCAGGGTGTTGTAGGGCAAGTCATTATTACCCACCCAACCTGCCAGCACGCGATCCCCAATCTTGGTGGCTTGGTTGATGAAAGTCTTGTACTGCTTGCCCGAAAGCTCATAAGCAGAAAGCAGGGCACCAATGTAACGGATGTTGGTTTCGAAGATGCTGATTTCGCTTTGGGACGTCTTGGTGAAGTCTACGGTTCGGACGAACCTTCGGCTCTCGTCGAATAAATCTTTGAAACCCATGAGGTAAGAAGTGGTCAGAGAGTCGATCATCGTGGCGCCCCAATTGCCAAAGCCGCCAGTGCCTCGTTTGGAGAGGGGCAACAGAGAATCTTGACCGCGAGCATATGTCAAGTAGCCTTCGTAGCTCGTCCTGTACGCTTGCTTGATCGCATCTGCACGGGCAGCGTCGCCTTTGGCTGCTTTGCTTTGAATGCCGACCGCCTGGGAGGAAGAGACGCTCAGCAAGAGCGCAAGGCTCAAGGCGAGCAGGCTGGACAGCGTTAAGCGCATGATGGCTGCGACTCGCTAGTGCTCAGTAGCCAGCAAAAAGGTGCGAGGCAGAGAGAATAGGCGAAAGCTAAAAGAGATGGGAGTAAAGACGCTTCATAGCGAGTACGATCACCAACGCATCGCTTGCCCTTTTAGGGACTTTCGCGTCAGGGGTCAGGGCGCTTCTGGACGATCTCGCCAAAGGACGGAGAGCGTGGTTTCAGCAAGGAAGCCCTCCCGATCAAGCGTCCCGCCCTCCCCGCTTGGTGGCGAAGACCCTCATCCGCAAGCTATAGCTTAGCTTCGCGGCATTTCGCACTCCGCTTCGGAAAGTCAGGGACAGTCGATCATGAAAAGGGAGGAGCGGATCGGGGCACGAATCAAGCGCTCGCGCTCGTTTGCCTGCCTGCTTGCTTGCTTGCTTGCTTGCAGCGCTTCTGACAAGTCCGTGCTAGCGAGAGAATGGATCGATTGTCGAGCACACCAAGTCAACTTGATTGTGGGGACGTGAGTCTAATCTCGCATTGATTTCGTCTGCTGCTTGACTTTGACTGTCAAATGGGCTACGGTACTCGCAGTGTGGGTGTACGTGCAGTCACGAGTCCTGGTGGAGTGGCCAAAGGCTTTTGCGAGGGCTGTGCAGCAAGCAAAAGATGGAAGAGATCCTTATTTGAAAGCGCAGGCAGCAGCATGCAGCGTGCATGCAGTAGGAAGAGCAAACGCGACATTCTAGCGTCGTCGTCGTCGGCGGCGGCGGCGGCGGCGGCGGATCAGCGCGCTTATCGTGGGCGATCGCCAGCAACGAAAGCGAAGACGACCGACCCAGCAGCAGCAGCTCTCTCGCTGCTTTGGCCCCTCAATCTGTGTGCAGCAAGCTGCTGCTGCTGCTGCAGCAAGCTCCCCGTGTCTCATCTTCGGACTTTCCTACTTTGGCTGCATGGAAGGTGGGCTCATGCACGCAGGTTCCGCGACAATCAACGTGAATCACAATGAGTGAATATGTGAATCACGAAGGCATTCAACTTTGACTTTGACTTTGGCACTGCATGCTGCCCTTGTCTCGGATCATCAAACAAACGAATGTTTCAACGTCGCGCCGCGAGAATGCTCTAGACCTTTTTGCTTTTTGCTCTCGAGCCGCCTCGAGGCCATCCATCCAGGAACGGTCAGCATGCAGCTGCAGAGCAGCCAAGACGCCGCTAAATGCTGGGTTTGGGTGTGGGGTACTCGTGACTGTAGCATCGGCGAGATCTCGGCCAGAGATGCCATCCAGAGCTGCTGCTGCTGCTGCTGCACGGCATGCACTCACGACTGCATAGGGCGGATCGAGGAGCACATTGACTCAAGACTGTGACTGTGCGAAGTGACTCCTGCTGACTGTCGATCGCGCCTACGTCAGTTTTTGAGGCAGACGTGCGTCAGTCGCGAGTCCAGTCACGCATCGGCCAATTCACCGCGGGCAAGAAGCAGCTTGCCGCGCGTCACTGCGCGGATCCGCATTCGAAGATCTGCGTTTGCCAAACCTCCACAGGCCGATGTGCGGCTCGATGCCGTAGGTAGGTAGGCGGATTGTTCCGAATTCGCCGAGCCTGCCTGACTGCCTAACCGCGCTGTGCTGTCGTGGATGAGGAAAGTCGCAAAATACGAAGGGGGCCGTGAATGGAGGCAGGCACAAGGAAGCGAGCGCTCTCCTTCTTTCCCACACCATCACCGCGAGCAGCCTTGGACAAGAGCGGCCCGCACATCGAAGAGCACGAGCGACAATGAAGGCGAATCTCCTCTTGCAGAGTCTGGCCATCTGCGCATGTGCTGCTTCGCCTTTTCACCAACAATCGCTGCATGCAAGTCGAGGTGAAGGTCAGGCCGCACCGGTCGATTCCTCGCAAGCCGACAACGCAGCTTTCAATTGGACACAGACCCTCACATCCTACGAACCGAACAGCTGGCAATCGGTGAGCTTCTTTGCGCTGTCCCATTCTGCTGCTGTGAGAAGCTAGCTGAAATTGCAAGCGCAACTTTGCTCCTGCCCAGCAACCGTACGTGTCCAATGGCTACATCGGGGCTCGACTTCCCGCGTCCGGCTTTGGTTTTCATTCCATCGAGCCATCCGCTTCGGACGTGCAGAATGGCGGACAAGGCTGGCCTCTTTTTGGCCCTCGTGTGACGGCAAACATGGTCGCCGGCTTTTACGACGTGCAGGCAAGCACCATCGGAACGAATTTTCCGCAAACAGGAGGCGAGTCGGTCATCTCCCTTTTGCCCACATGGACAGGTCTCTACCTCACTGTCGGCGTCGGCAGCGCGAACGAGTCTACCTTTTCCATCGCCACCCCAAGAGAAGAAATTAGCGAATTTGAGCAATCTTTGAGCCTTCGAAACGGTACCGTGATCACCCGTCTCTTGTGGAAGGGATTGAGGCTCTCTTACACTGCCATAACCCATCGAAGCATACCTGAACTCGGGCTCATCCGCCTCGACGTCGAGGCCAACGAGGACGCAGATGCCTCTCTTCTGCAGTCCATCGTCATTTCCGACGTTCTAGACGGTCGCGGGGCAGCGCGCGTCGAGGGTGAGGGTGCAGGCACTCTCAACTCTAGCGATGCCAAGACTACCATTCACAGCACCGTCTCCCCGGCAGGCGTACCGAACGTCACCGCTTGGGAGTTCAGCACCTTCTCTACGCTCATCTCGAACGCGTCCCAAAGCGCGGCAAATGAGCAGACATTTTCGGCAGTCGAGCTGCCCGAAAGCGTGGCAGCCATCATCAACGCGAGTGTGCCATCCACCTCTCACTCGTCTTTTCGTTTCGAGGCTGCTCACCGTGGGATCAGCGTGTGGAAGGCAGTCGGCATTGCCTCGACGGATGCGTTTTCGGATCCTAGAGCAAAAGCGCTGAACGCTTCCACCTCGGCCGTCAGGCAAGGGTGGACATCGCTCGTAGAGTCTCACAGGCAAGCGTGGGAGGACATTTGGAGCGAGGGAGGCGACATCGTCGTACACTCGGATAGCGTCGACGCGCAAGACTGGCAGCGCACCACCCGTGCCAGTCTCTTCCACCTGCTCGCTAACGTCAGGAGCAGCGAGGAAGGCCGTGGCCTTGGCGACAACTCCATCGCTCCCTCTGGCTTGACTTCCGACAGCTACGCTGGCTCTGTGTTCTGGGATGCCGAGGTGAGTTGAATCGTAATGCATTTGCTCCTGATCCAAGTGCTGACAGGTCTGCGTCTTTCCAGACCTGGATGTTCCCTTCACTGCTGAGCTTGTACCCGAAATACGCCGAAAGCATTCTCCTGTACCGTCACAAACAGCTGGAGCAGATAGAGGCCAACGCGAAGCAGTACAACTTGTCCGGACTGCTGTACCCCTGGGTGTCTGCGAGATATCAAGTGAGTCGACGCTGTCTAGGAATGCGGTACAAGCTTGGCTGAGATCAAAAGTGGAATCCTGCCAGAACTGCACAGGAGTCGGTCCCTGTTACAATTACGAGTACCATCTGAACACCGACATTGCTCTGGCGCATTGGCAACATTACCAGCAGACGGGCAACAGGACTTTCTTGGAGCGCTACACGTGGCCCATACTTCGTGGGGTCTCTGAGATGTTTGCCTCGCTGGTGAATCGCACTGAAGATGGCGGTTATCGCGTGCTCAACGCAACAGCTCCGGACGAGTACGCTAATAGAGTCGACGCCGAGGCTTTCACGGATGCGGGGGTCGAGGTCACTCTCAACGACGCCATTGAGGCAGCGGGCATTTTGGGCTTGCAGGATCAAGTGCCAGCCAATTGGTCTTCTATCGCCAACAACATGACTGTGCTGACCACCGACACGCCATCCAACAACACCGTTGTACTGGAATTCGAGGGCTTCAACGGGAGCATTGTCATCAAGCAAGCAGATGTTACTCTTTTGACATACCCGCTTGAAGTCTCGAAGAACAGGCAGCCCGATCCGCTGGCAGACTTGGAATACTACAGCGGTGCCACGTCTCCGAATGGACCGGGCATGACGTGGAGCATCTACAGCATCGTTGCCAGCGCCTTGTCCGAGTCTGGCTGCGAAGCCTACTCGCGTCTTCAAGAGTCTTGGAAGCCGTACGAGCGTCCGTTTGGCCAGTTCAGCGAGCAGACCACAGACGACTACAACGTCAATGGGGGCACGAATCCCGCATACACTTTCTTGACTGGTCATGGAGGCTACTTGCAAGTTTGGACGCACGGTATGACTGGATACAGAAGCCGCTCAGACGTCTTCTACTTGGATCCGAGCTTGCCTCCTCAGCTCGCGCCGGGAGGCTACACGGTCAAGGGTATGCGTCATCGCTCCAGCCGATTGGACGTCACGGTGGCAGGCGACAATACAACCATTGCTCACACGACTGGAGACGCCCCGGTCCGCGTCGAAATTGGTGCACGAAATGAGCGGGCAGGCAATTACACTCTCAATGTCGGAGAAGACTTGACCGTACCCACCACGCGCATCGACCTTTTTGCGCCATCCTACGCTGGCAACCTGGCACAGTGCGGCAATGCGACGTCGCAAGCCGAGGTCATGCCAGGAGGCTACGCGTTTGCTGCCAATGACGGGTCGAACGCGACGGCGTGGTCGCCAGTGGCGCGCAATGGCTCGCAAGGCGAAGCTGCATCTAATGTGCTGCTGCTCGACCTTGGTCAAAGTCCACGAGACATCAAGTCGATTCACATCAACTGGGCGAAGTATCCAGCATCGCAAGTCTCCGTCTCGACGAGCGCGAACGCGAATGCTGCTTCGGATAGCACGCTGCTCAACTCCACCGCTGTCACCAATCGCTCCGTGACAATTTCTGCTCCTTACAACGAGACGGGTTTCTCAATCGTCGATCTGAGAGTAGGCAATACCACCGACTTGCAGCTCGTAGACACTGGTGGCCCGCCCATCAATGCGAGATTCGTCGCAATCTCCATCAGCAACACCTCTGCCACGCCGGGCGTGCCTCCGACCATCGCGGAAGCCGTCGTGTTGGCTTGACAAGTGTACAAATTTACAACATGGATCGCAGCACGGAACACATGGTCGGGATGACAGGCGCAAACATCGCAGTGGCCTGAGGTGCCCTACTTTAAAGACGTCAGTGATCTGCCCCGAACGCCTTTCGAAGAAGTACTGCGCTCCTTCTTGCTCTTCTTCTTGTCCTTCTTCATGGATTCCTGTTTCTGAATGGTGCCTTTGCCTTTGCTTTCTCCCTCGCTCATGATGCTTGTCGTCTGTCTCTCGACTTTCGCGGCCCAATATCGAGCGTGTCTCGCAGGGATTGGAGATACACTGCTTGCACTGTATAGCTTATGGTCAGCATCAGCATACGAATGGTCCCACCGCTCGTCTGGCAGCTCACAACATGCCCTGTCCTTCGCCAGGCTTGCAGACCACTTTCATCTCTGTACCCTCCCACTTGAGCTCGCAAGTCCACTGCCAACGGTAGTAGGTGAGACCGGTGGCGGTGCACCGCCTGCAGGGAAAGGCAGCCTCGCTCAAGTCCAGCTTTATCGGTAGCAATTCCTCGCTGCATGGTCGCCTTTGGTGAGCCTGTGATGCGGCCTCGCAGTAAGTCAAAGCATCGCTCGACTCACAACGGTGCATCGTGCAGCCACCAAGGACAGGTTTCGGCCTTGCAGACCAAGATCTTGAGGGTAACTGTGCTTTCAAGCGGCGAGGCGGAGCAAAAAGCATTCAGAGTGGTCGGCGCGCATTCTACGTCGCCTTCCGTGTCCTGTCAAGAAGAAAAAAAAAAAGCGGGGAGCCAAATGGCGCTCAGCAGATGTTTGATTCTCTGGGCCGGCGCCGCTTTGCTCACCTTGGTTGCGAGCAGCTGAAATCTGCCAGGTAGGATGAAAGCTTGGGTTCGCGGATGCCTTATTTTGGAATCTCTGCGTGCCAAGTGTTCTGGCTTGTCCGGATCGTAACTCTCGCAAAATGCCATCCCAAAGAAAGACTTTCTGGTGTCTCTTTTCGAGCGCCGACGAAGTGTTCGGCCAGTCAGTCCCAAGCACCTCGGGAGATCAGACTCGACCACTCACTTGATGACGATATTGCGCATTGCCATTTGCACCGCACCTTCCGCAAGACTCTTTTGAGACATGGAGTCGGGTTCGACGACACGCACTCGTTGACGACCCTGTGCACACGCTTGCAGTCGCTCGCCCACGTGCGGTGAGTAACGTGTCAGCAGTGCTCTTCAGTCTCCTCTCACATCGCTCGTACTCGCAGTGCTGTGGAAAGGAGAGAGGGTGCCAATCTCCTTTGTTGTGAAGATGGCTACCGACTTGCCTTGCTGACATAGCGCATCGACGTGCTCGGCCACGTTTTCGGCTATGGCAGTCGAAGCTGCAGCGTAGAAAAACTCGATGACGGAATACCTGAAGCGAGTGGGTCAAAGGTGGCAGTTTATGAGCATGCAGCAGGAGGGTATCGGCGCTTCAAAGCTCACGTCGTCATTTGAGGAGCGGACCACGCTCGACGGGGGGCAGTGACATCCTCTTCCACGTTGGTTCGTCCACGTCGCTGACGTTTCTGGACACTCGCAGGGGTGCGCTTACGCAGCGGCATGCTGACTGTGCCACTCCCGCTTGGATCTGCCTGTACGGTCGTGCTGTCACTACTACGGGCCGTCGAGGTCCCTTGCCGGCGTCGATGGTTCGTGCTCGTTCGATCTGCGATCTGCTGGTACTTCTCTCCAGTCGATCGCCACGCGCTGTCAGACGGTAGAAAGCACGATCAGTGATGGGGCACCATAATGGTTGGGCGGACAACTACTCACGCCACATCACACCCATCCTCGGCGCCAACGACGATCACCTGCTCTCCTGCGCGCATCTGTGGGGCAACAAAATGCAAAGCAGCGTCGCTCCTGGACACCAACGTCAGCCTAAGACGACCCCCGGGCTCCACTATACCTGCTTCGCCGCACGCATGCTCCAACAAGCCGCGTTGCGCTTTCTGCTCGGACGCATGCGAAGATTCAGCGATGCGTCGAGTCGCTTCTATCTCAGCCTGCCGCTATACTTACTCCCCAATGACCTGGATGCGTCAAGACCAGCTCGACTTTGGTGGTGCCGTCGATCAGAGCTCGGTGTTCCTCGCTGAAGCGGCTCCAAAGGAAAGCGCCGACATCTTGCCATACCAAGCTCAAAAAGTCGGCAAGCTGCGTCAGTACACTGTCCAGATCCACAATCTCCGAATCGGTCGACGTGGCTGACGTCGCTCCGATGGCGCTGCAGGCAACTCGGACCTCTTCAGATAGGGCAAGCACTCCTTCGATGATGGTGCATATGCCTACTCACCGCATCAAAGCCCAGCAGTCGACGCTGCGACGTGGCGCTTGCGTGTGCGAATGCGCTTCTTCATCGCATTCGCAGCAAGGCGATGTGCGAAGCTTGGCGCGTCCGCAGTCATCGTACTCGACTATGCTCGCTACGAACTGCTGGCGCGTTCCTGCGCGGGCAGCCAAGTGCGAGCGTATGTCGTGAGGCGGCGGTAGCATATTGGTGCTGTCTGCGCAAGACACTCACCTGGCCAAGGATCAACACCTTCCACCTTGGGCTTCGCACCTCTCTTGACCAAACAGAAAGAGGCGCTCGCTGCATCATGAAGCAATCTCAAAACGGGCTGCTGCAGCGCGGACCTCCAGTCTTGCGCGTGCACTTACTAGCGTAGAATCCTACATCGATCCCAATGATCAGCCGCTTGAACGGATCAGCTCGAGCCAGTGTTGCTTGTGTGGCGACGGAGCGGCTCATGGAAACATCGACAATCTGACGGCAAACAGAACCGAGATGGGATGCTTCAACGAAAGCTTGGAGAGCGTCAGTGCAGCAAGGAGAAGAGGATCGAGCGTCTAGCGAAGAGCGGTCAAGATTGTGGATCAAGCATGCAGACAGGCGACGTCTGTGGGGAGGGAGCGTAGAATCTGCGATGGTACCTTCGTGATCCGTGCTGGTTCGCGAGTGGTTCCGTATGCAACCTCTTGCTTATACACGACTGTGAAATTCTCGTGACTGCGGCTCATTGCTGGTGGTTCTTTATATATATTCACTCGCGGAGGTCTTTCGTGTGCACGTCGTATGCAGGTGCGCCGTGATGCTGTAGACATTCGATGAACATGCATGCTGCTGCGCCGCCGCGCTTGCTGCTGTAGCTAGCTATATCGATAATCAAAATATCTATATATGCATGTACGCGTGTGTGTTTAATATATTCGGGAGTTCGATTACCACGCGAATTCAAATTCTTCGCGGGCCGCGGTGAGTCGTATCACGACTCAGGATTTGAAAGATTCAAGATTAGGTATCACTTTTACCATTGACTATTATTGATTCAAATTTGAGATTTCATTGAGGTAGGTGTGAGATGCATCGCCAGCGCATGCAGCTTTGCGTTCGCGATTCATCCATGGATTCTTGATTCAAATCGAGGTATACCTGACCCCTTGCCTCACTCTGAAGACTCTCGATCACTTGTTTGCTACTCCTGTGCAACATCCCCGCCCGATGTACCCGCCGCTCCTCAATCGCATCGAGAATTGTCAGTTTCGGATCAGGTCTCCTGAGTCGACTTCGAGTCCTGACACGTTGCGCTGGAACGTGGACCTGACTCGTCAGCACACGTCACACGTGCAAAGTGATCGCGTACCTCGAAAGTCGTGGAGCGTGTGAGCGTCGACCAACCACACGCGTTCGGTTGGACCTTTGACAACTTCATTCATTGCAACATCGAGTGAACTGACCGCACGATCTGCACTCGTGCAGACATCGGGATTTGGTTGCTGACGTTCGGTGGGCCATGTGCGCGCCGCACTTGACTCAAGACTGATGGACTTGGTCTGGGCCAAAGATCCCTCTTGTAAATTCAGATTGCTGTCTGCGCGTATTACCGGCATGTGACACCAGAAGCCATGCAAGGCTCACTTACACTCGTGACCCTGATGGCGTTCACATTCACATTCATGATTCATATTGAGCAATTGAGAGGGTGCAGAGCATGCACCTACTGGGCGCAGACGCTTCAAGAGTCACATGTTTCGCAGTCTGACTGTTGACGTGTGACTCGAATATGCACACATGATGCCAAATGCCCCGTATGTCTGAGTTGGCCGCGTCTATATATAGCTGCATGCATCAGCAGCAACTCATCTTCAATTGCGGCAATATGCTGTGACATTCAGCATTCGTAATTCGACGTTTCCACAAGGACGAATCACAATCACGAAGGCGTCACTCACGCCCGATCGATCATGACTGCTCTGAAGCCGACTCGCTCTACAAGGAGACAGCCTTCGCTCCTGCTGCTCAGATATCGTCGGCGCTTGGGGAGCCGACGTAGCTAGGTATACTTTAAGGTTCTGCTCTCACATCTCAAGCTGATTTGTCTCACTCGGCACCGGCAGTCACTCATTGAAAAGCTTTTCATCGCATTCGATGTACTGAGCTCTTCGCTCAAGCGCATCGGGCTTGTCTGACCTTGTGTCGAGTAGTGTGGGTCTCGCCTCTGCGTTCTTCTTGCATCGGTCTCGTGTGTCTGGGTTTCTTGTCCCCCATTTGGGTCTGGTGGGCCTTGGTGAGTCTCTCGGCAGTGACGCCTCTACAGGAAATCTCTAGCGTGTTGGGAAATGTATCTACAAGTAGTCAACGTTTAGTTCAGAGTCGCACGATTTTGAGTTGGAGTCGAGCTTTGCATGAGCGCAGGGCGCCGCCGCCGCCCTTTTCGGACTGCGGCTTTGATCAGGACGATGGCACGTACTCGTGATGATCGACTGGGCGAGGGCCTTCAGAGGGCCCACATATGTCCCCATGCAAGCCTTGGCGGACGGGACTAAGCTCAGTCGGATTCAGAGTCTGAGTCTAAATCGATAGTTGCGACGTCTGGCGAGGCACCTTTGCCTTTGACTGGCTTCGTCGACTGCTTAGTCGCGGCTGCAATGCCAGGATGACTGGCCCGAATGGTGACGCTGCAGGTGAAGAGCATCAGTGAATCAGTCGCTCTCTCGCCAAGCGACGCGCTGTGCACTGACCTCTTGCTGCCTTGCGAGCACACAGCTGCGATTTCCGCCCCGAACAGACGGAATTGGAGCCAGTACGTCCAATTGAAGTAGCGTTCGTGTTGGGTGTTCTTCTTTGGTGTGCACTCGAATTCGTGCTCTGCAAGATCCACGCTAAACTTTGCCACCTTCTCACTGCAGGGAGAAAAGCGAAGAGAGGCCGCGGAATAAGCAGCGGCTCAGGTTGACGGTGGCCTTGACTCCTCACAAGTCTCCTTCATCAAGCCACTCGGGGCAGTCGTGGCCGCGATAAGCGTACACTTCATCGGCAGTGCAAGCCAGGTCGGAGGTCCAAGTAGTAATTGAGAAGTCTTCGCTTGGACCAGTGTTTGAAGCGCCTCTTTCACCCTGCATAGTGGCCAAATATGAGCAGCGGTGACAGGACGACGTCCTGCTCGTTACGCACTTTGGAGACCAGACGCGCAAAATACCCAGGGATGAAAAACTTGCCAGTGACATTGTCCAAATACTTGTGATGAGCACGAGCTCGATGCTCTGGGTCTGCTGCGTCGAATTCGCGTTTGACTTCGATGCCGAAGTGCATCGGGGCCAGATGTCTGCAGGACCCAGGGAGTGTCGCGCAAGTGAGCGACACCCCATGTCCGCCGCGCTTGTCAACGTTTGAACCTCACAACTCAACGAGATTTTCTGCCATAGCTTGCGCGGCGCCAGAAGCTACAGCCTTTTCGTTGGCTTGGTCAGGTTTACAGAAGACAATTTCGTGGCTGACAAGCCCTCTCGCAGTGCGAAGTCTTTTCTCGACCTGTGGCAAGAAATTTAGATTGGTCAGCAGGACACTGTGCGAATCTCCGTCGATCGCTAAGCCGCTCTCACACACCTCAGAACGGTAGAGTTGCGACTCTCCAAGGCCACCGAGGAACGCCACGCGGTTGACTCGAAGTCTTTCTTTCTCTGAGCAATATCGAATTTTTTCGAGGACGCTCAAGACCGTTCCGTCGATAGAATCGCGGAAAATTTGTCGGATCGCGGCTCTGGGGAGTAAAAGTATGAGCGAGCCGCTTGCTTGAATTGCTTGTCTAATTGCTAGGGCACTCACTTGGTGAGAACCAGGCTTCCATTCTTGACGTACGCCAAGGTTTTGTCGTGATCTGCGGCTGGTGGCGGTGTCGTGTCCTCGTCTACATAGATGCTCAATGGATGGTCTTTGGCATTATTCTTGAGATGAAGTTTCACTTGCGACCACTTCTCATAGGCGTGTTCGCGAGTTCTTCGATCTTCAACTAGTTCATCTATGATGGCTTTAGCTGCAGTGTCTAGTGTGGTAGATCCAGCGTAGATGCAAGCAGGCAAAGCAACTTGTCTGAACAGGCCCCTAGAACGGTGGTACGTTCTGACCAGGGAGAAGAAGTGCGATCTTGTGAGACTGAGCTTTGAAAGGGCTCAGACAACTCTCTGCGGGCTTACGAAATATCAATGGTTCCACCTCCCGCATCCACGATGACCGTGACATCTCCTTCTTCGATTTGCGATGCCATATAATGGAGCGATGCCTCTCCTTCGGAAATGAAGGTGATGTTGACAGAATGTTGTGGCACTTTCGTCAGTCCAGCAAGCTCACACGCTTTCCTCATTTCCGTCTGCTGGACGCCCTGTGTATTGTTTGTTGTCGATTGGGAACATCAGCAGTTGGGCTAAGCATATACACAAAAAGGGTGCGCACCTCCCATCCATTTGGGTGACTGAGTACAAGCTCGACGTCTATGCCTTGCTCTACTGCAAGCCCTTCCATGGTCTTGCGCGACTTGATATATTCCATGAGATCCCTGTAAGCCAGACCTAGAAAGTCTGCCGTGGCTTCTGTTGCACTCTTGTAGGTTGGAAGCTTGACTAAGTCTGCCGGATCGTTGATCCCTTGAAGCTCTATGTGGTCAGGTTTGCTATGAGAGCGAACAGTTTTGTCATCGTCAGCAGCTACGACCAACTCAGTCGGAGCCGAGTCTATTGCGCGCACAACTTGAGCTTCCACAGGCTCGCCGTCTCCACTTCTCCATCATGCAAAGCGTCTGCGAGATCTTGACCCTCTACATTGAGAGCATTGCCGTATCCGCGAACTGCTCTTTTAGAGCGAGAGTAGTAGACGACGGAAGGAAATTTTGCTTCGCCTCGCGCTTTTATGTAATAATGTCAGTTATCAGACTTGTCCTGGCAGGGTGAACTGTCAGATGCACTCACCGTCGTTAGACCACGCGAGCATTGGCCTGATATCTGGTTTGGACCCCGGCTGAAGAAGGCAGACGCTGGCTCCAGCTGAAGAGAAGATTCCAAATGGGATCAAGTTAGCACAAGCTAGCGAAGCGCGCACCCCATGATCGGCGAAGGAAAAGGACTGACAGTATGTAGTGCCGAAATCGAAGCTAATGACCAGCTTTCTGGGACCCTTGTACGCCTTCTGCAACGTTGCCATTTTGCAGAAATATTCAGGCAGCAGAAACCCACTGTGGACGTAAATGAGACGTCTAGACGGATATCACTGTCCTGGATAAGCGTGATTTGTGTGATTGAGCAAGCTATAGAGAGCGGAAAGCAGGCAGCGTTTTCGCGACGATGGATGGTAGACAAAGGATCGTGAATATTTGTACTCACTGAGGGATTTCGAGGTAGGGTCGGACGCGCGAGCTCAACTGGCGTTGTCGGGGATCGTGAGGGCGCTCGTTTCGCTCGTTCGGCTGTACCCGCGGTCGCAGGAACAGCGAGTAAAGCTCATCGACTCTTGCACCACCATCGCGTACGTCGAATCCTTACAGCTCTGACCAATCTCGTTCTGCCTCTTCTTCCTCGTGACTTGCGACAAGGGGGCATGTTCCCCTTTCCCTGAATCGTCAGACCGCAAGTGAAGGCTTGCAAGCTTGCAGCGTGAGACATGATTGGCCACTAAGCTTGGCCGATCCATAATAGTGAATTTGAGCATTCGCCTAATGAGCGCAGAGGAATTGCGAGGCTCGATACTGTCACCTAGTCTGCGCAATCAAGTGATACGAATTAGTGCAGACAGAATGATAACCTAGGTCCCTGTCAGCGACGTAAGGATATTGCGGGCACAGCGCTTCATCATCCATAGCGAGCCCGACTTTGCAGCAAATGTACTTTGAGGTCGGAGTTGCCGCTGCTAGGCTCACTTGGCCCCTTGAGGCCAGCGTCTTGTTCGAGACCGCGGAAAAAAGTTGGAAGGAGTGCGCACCGGAGGCTTTGGATAAGAAGCTCTTCTTAAGTAAAAATGGCGCTGTAGGGGCCGGGCTCGAGACCTGACCAGCTCAACATCACCCGGCAACAAGGCAAGGGTGATGCTTTGTAGAAGGTTCACGTTCTGCATAAGCATTGCCGAGCTCGATCGCTAAGCTTTTGCATTCGTGTACCCCTCCGCACTGATCCAACGATGAGAACACGAAACGCAGCAAGGGTAGCTGTAAGCAGCTCATGCTCAGAAAGCTCTCAGGTCAGCGGGACCGAGAATACTCGCTTGTCTCGCGACCTTTCCCTGACTCCGATGGCTCAGGCGCCTTTTGACCGCTCAGCTGGGAAGGACCCACAGATCATGGATATCAGAGCACATTTGGACCTCTTCTGCCAATCTCGAGACAACGAGGTGCACCAAGCTCGATTTGCGTCTGATCGACTTCGTCAAGAGCTGAAAGCCTGCCAAAATGAGCTTCGCCGTTGCCGAGAAGATCTGCGTAGTGCCGAGTCGACGGTAGAAGAGCAAGGGAAGCTGCTCGCAGCTTGTGGCGCACAGTACGCGCAGGTGACCCCTCAGGAGCTCAGACGCAAAGTCGACGCCATCAATACCAGACTGCAACTCTTCATACATCAAGTCGTTATCCGGATTAACGGCTTGAAAGGTGCCAAGCGCGTGAGTCAATCCGCGGCACGTGAGCCAATAGAGTGCCAAGCTGATCCGTCTTTGTGCTTGCAAACAACCTACCGCAGGGAACCTTGATATCCAGCATATACCATAGCCTGCATTTGAAAGTCTGTGTGCCATTCGTCAGCATGGCCCCGGATCAGCTGGCATTAGAGGGCATGTCTCCCTCACCATTGGGGTGGCAAGACGTCTTTGCGTGTATTGGGCGAGAAGGTCAGTTCAATCAGTCTGGGCCAAAGCGGATCTAATTGCACGTGTGATCTCACTCACGCATGTCTTTTTTGCACCCTGCTCGCTGGTCGTCAGAGGGAAAATCGGTGGCAAAAAAGTTCCAGGGGATGATGCGACGTGCGATCTCTAACTTGTGCTCCGACTCGTTGATCCAGGAGGACCAGATCGTGGCTCTCAAGGCTTCCATCATCAGCGGCTGTAGCAAAGAGGGCAAGAGTTTTCCATACGCGGCTTTGTCGAGAGTCTTGGATAGGAAGTACATCCAAGACGACCTGATGGAGGTCGTTGGTGGACTTTCTGAGATCATGAGGGATGTAAGAGAGAGACTGCAAAGCAAGGACTACGATATCGTCATCCAAGGCACGGAAGCGGATTGCACCTTCCAAATCGAGGAGTGCAGCGCAAGCCTGAGCTGCGCATCGACGCTGCGGCCAATTAGAACTCAGAGTCCGGCGCCACAGGAGCCAGTACACCAAGATGACTCTCGTGAACCGCGTACGAGCACGCGGATCAAGCGTGTTTCGCCAGCAGGTGGCTTGGTCGAGAAAAAGAACGTCTCGGAGAAGAAGCGCAAATTTGACGACTTGAGCGCCCAAGTGAAGACGGGAGAGCTTGCAAGTAATCCAGCTGACGCCGACCTCGATGCCCATAGCGACGCGGCAAGCGCACCCGAGTCGGAGAATGGCGGTCGGAAGCGCAGCAAGTTGAGCGACGACGAGACGATAGCTTTGATTGACGCTTCTGCTCTCAACGCGCTGCTCCGAAGCAAGAACAAGCCAGTAGATACATCAAGCCTGTCCTCGTCCGAATCTGAGGCAGAAGCCAGCACGGACGGCGAGACAGATGAAGCATGCGGCCCGGGGTCTATCGAGCAATCAGAACCATCCAACGAAGACTCACGAGCACAAGTCGAGAGGATGACGAGAGTTGAGGTGGAAGTACCTTCCAGAAAAGACGCCTCTGCGCCTTGATGATGACAAAATAGGTTCAAAGTGTTGGCCCGACGTACGCTTCGCTCGCAAAACCTTGCCATCCGCAGATGACGTGCCGCATTTTGATCAGATGGGTACCGATGCTCGAACATGCGTCCGTTAAATGTCCATGAATGTTCACGCTGTTGCCGTTTGATACTTCGAACGCCCAGTGCCGACACAATTCACCGAGACCACCTTGCCGACATCCGACGCTTCCGTGAGAGAACAAAGCAGAACGGTTGGTCGGGTTCACCGTGACGTACGAGACTGAGGTCAGAGTGAGGTTGACTGAGAAAGTAGCCCCTCGCATGCAGACCATTTCGCCTTGTTGCGGCAAGCCGGCCGTGATCGCGCGCACGGTTTCTACAACATCTACATCCATGCAGCCAGCATGGACTCTGCGCGAAGGGTGTGAGACACATGAGGGATGTGCCTTAATCGTGAATGCACGGGACATTATCACGTGGGGCAGACGCATGGACCCCTATACGTGTACCGCCTACTCGCCGCATAGCTCGCCTATATAAAAGAGCATGTTGTTTCGTCACCAGAGTATGGCATGAAGCATTTTGACCCCCATGTCGCCCGCAGTCATGCGCGCCCATGCTTGCTTTGGCTGCCACGCAAGTGCGTGAAGGTTGCGCTCACGATTCTGCGCTTTCATTAGTGATTCTTGACTCAGTGTGTTGCGGTATACGGTGACTGGAGAAATTTGAAGCCCTTCATAGAAAGCTCATTGGGCTTGTCGTTGCACCCACGGTGGACCTGCACCGTCTGCATATGGCGAGCGCGATTGTCGTGCTGACAGTGTGAAGGTCTGAGAGGGACGCAATGGACGACCAGTCTGCATTCACGGGGACCGGGACATGGTACACGTGCTTCCAACTTTCGGACAACCATCATTGATGACCAAGCCTTCTTCGATTTGGTTTGCTGCACTTTGAGGCTCGTGGTGCATCTTTACAAAAGCATCCGAATTGTTTGAGTCGTCGTGTGGTTCGAGTAGGGAGGAATTCAGTCGCGTCGAGGGCGCTTGTTGGACTTTGCCTTTTGTACCGGCTTCGTCGACCGCTTGGCTGCGCCAACAATTCCTGGATGACTGGCTCTGAATTTGCAGCTGGAAACGAGCGCTATATCAGGGACACACCTCCAGGGACTGAGTGACACACCTTCGACTGACCTTTTGCTTCCTTGAGAGCAGACAGCCTCGAGCTCGGTACCAAAGAGGCGGAACTGCAGCTCATAGTTCCACTCGTAGACCTCAAGACCCTCCGCATTGACTTTTGCCTTGCATTCAAAATCTTCTCGTGCAATGTCCAGTTGGACTCGCAGGAGCTTGTCGCTTTGAAGGTCACATGACGACAACGTGAGCACGATTTCTGCATTTTTGAACATTCCGACACTGGCCTAAGTGGATGCTCACAAATTCCCCTCGTCCAGCCATTCTGGACACTCATGACCTCGAAACTCAAATACCTCGTCATCTGTGCACGCAAGGTTGTCCGTCCACGTGGTGATGGAGAAAGGCTCACTCGGACCTGCGTTGCTTGAGCCCCGTTCTCCCTGTCAAGATCAACGCGGAGGTCAGTACCGTCCACGCGTTTCCAGCATACTTTGTGACTCACCTTGCTGATCAGGCGTGAGAAAATGCCTCCAAGATACCACTTGCCGGTCACGGGGTCTTGGTGCTTCTTGTGAGCCCGTAGACGATGTTCCGGATTCGAAGCGTCAAATTCCATCTGTACCTCGATGCCAAAATGCATAGGCGCAAGATGTCTGCATGGTGCACGCGTGGAAATTTCAGTGAAATTAACAGTGATGTGCGATTATACTAGGCACTGGCCGGACTCACAGTTCCACTATATTCGAAGCTGCTGCGCGAGCCGCACCCAAGGCTACAGCTTTCGAGTGTGCTTCATCAGCTTTGCAGAATGTTACTCGGGAGGAACCAGAGGCAATGACGCGTTTTTCAACCTGATTGCAAAGTGGAGTCAACGTCGGAATCGACCATCACCTAGCGCCCGTCTGTCTCACCTCAGAGCGATAGTATTGGGAATCCCCTAATCCTCCGAGGAATACTACGCGATTGACTTGAAGTGCCTCGCGCAAATTTGCACAGTAGTCCATCTTGTCCAGTATGCTCGAGACAGTGCTATCTACGCTCGATTTGAAGATCTCTTTGATACCTGCTCTAAAAACCAGGGATACGGGCGGGTCAGGAAGACATCGATGTTTCCTGCATTGTCGCACGCTCACTTTGTAATGATTAGGTCGCTGCCTTTGACGTACGCGGGCGCGTTGCGCCGAGTCGTGTTTGGAGGAGGGGTGGTATCTTCGTTCATGTACAAGCTCAACGTAACATCCTTGGTGGTCTCCTTAAGGAGTAGCTTTACTCGTTTCCACTCCTTGTAGGCGCGGTTTCGAGCGCTTGTGTCTTCAAGGACGCTATCTACCAGCACTTCGGCCGCGCGATCTAGCGTGATCGAGCCGGCGTATAGACAGTCCGGTAACGCAACCTCGTTGTAGACACCATTCGAACATTCATAGGTACTGCCGATGTGATGTGCTTGAGCTGCTGTGCTTCCCACGTCGCGAAGTCGAAAGCCATTACACGTGACTCACGAAATGTCGATAGTGCCGCCTCCCGCGTCAACAACGACCACCACGTCTCCGTCTTCAAGCTGCGAGGAGACAAAGTGTAGACAAGCCTCTCCTTCTGCAATGAAGTTGAGCTCCACGTCATGATCTGGACAAGAGGTTATCTTCGCCATCTCGCACGCTCTTCGCAATGCGGATTGTTGGGAGCCCTGCGTGCGATGGATGCTCGTCCGCCTAAGTTGACGAGCCTTCGACCGCACCTCCAACGACGCACCTCCCAGCCATTGGGGTGGCTCATCATGAGCTTAATGTCAACGCCCTGTTTCCAGGCGTTGTCCAGAATACCGCCTCTTTTCGCTATGAACGTGCGAAGGTCGCGCCATGCTAGCTGCAATAGGTCAGCGGTCACACGCACGGCCTGCTTATTGCATGGCAGGTTGACGAGGGTTTTGACATCGTCGAGACCTTGGACCTCGATATGATCAGGTTTCTAGGCAAATGACGTTGTGTCAAACGCGCCTCAATGCCGCAGTAACTCGGCACTCACAAGCAGAGCTTGAAGTTCCGAGCTGCCTCTAGCTCTCCCGCAGCAAGCGCGTCTTCGATCTCGGTGCTCTCTAGCTCGTCTGCAGACCCGTACGCGTGCAAGCCACCATTCGCTTTTGTGTAATACACGATTGACGCAAACTTTGCCCACCCCACGCCTGCACGTCGTATTGAAGTCAACGGGGCCAAGTTCTGAGCAGCATGTCACTAGAAGCCTCAATATCACTCACCAGGCCAGGGCATTACCGGTCGGGGGTCGGGCACTTCTCCAGGATTAAGGAGACATATGGCGGCGCCAGCTGCTCCAAGAATGTAAGGTCTTCTTAAGAGGGATCCAGGCGGAAGAGCCGAGCAGACTCACAGTAGGTGGTGCCGAAGTCGAAGGCGATGACCAGCTCCTTGGGTCCCTTGTGAGGCACTTGAGGGACCAGCATATTGACGAATTGCAGTGCAGAGAAGGGATAGAGCAAGCTCTCGTGGGAATGATCGTTGAACGTGAGACGAAGCGGGGCTGTTGTGTAACGTGGTCCACGGTGCATCTGTCATGCCGAGTGGCACGAAGGGACTCATCCCCGATTTGTAGTTCAAGGGCTTTTCCATTCTGAGTGAAGCAAGCTCTGTGATTCTGGAGCCCAAGAACCGCTGATGAAGCGAGTTGCGAAGTGAGGTCGAGGAGCCCCAATCTCAGCTCTCTTGGATTCGACCTCCAGATTAAGGGCATCGAAAGGTGATCGATCACATTTGGCAGCGCGCCTCGATCTCGGTTCGCCAGCAGGGCGCTGCAAGTCCCCAAACGCTGAGTGAAACGAGCCCCTGGTTCGGCTCGAGCTGCTGCACAGCCTGCACCTAATCATCTTGACAGTGTAAACGAGAGAATATGTACTTCGACGTTGACCAGGAGGAACCGAGCGGGCCTGCCGGCCTGCGCACCTTGGCAGGCAATCATTGCCCGGATCACTTGTCTGCCCAAATTGATTGGGTGACTGACAGAACTTCAGTCAATGTATTTGCCATCTGTCTGCGCACAGTGCACTCACCTCCTCGCCTCTTTCGCTGGACCGGTAGAGCTGCAAAGAGCTCTGAGGGGGAGCACCGCACCAGACCTTTGAAACTTGAGTGTGCTCTTTGTCTTGCGTGACCCCCGTGAGCCGCTCACGCTTGCAGGCAAGTGAGTCGCGCACAGCATCTCGCTACCTTCGCCTCTTCTTCCCTCTTCTTGAAGATCCATGTCGCCGGTTCTTAAAGCTCGGATCTCGGATGGGATGGACGTATTCCAGGCTTTGTACAGCGAATGGCAAATCCTGTGCTCGCGATTTTGCAAAGGTGACGAGCAGGGAGAGCGCCATGTCGGAAAGCTCGCTGTCGGAACGCTCGCCCAAAGCGCTCATCGCGAGCACGAGACGGGAACCTGAGGTGAGCTAGAAACATTCCTGTCCATGAGTGAGGTTTGCTGACTCCCTGCGGGTGTCGACTGTATACTGCCCGCGATTGCCAGGAGGCCCTCGAACACCATGTTCAAGCAGCAAACAAGTATGTGGGGCTGTGCAAGGCGAAGTGGGAGAAAAGCTTAGAAGAAGCTAGATTGAAGGCAGAGCGCTATCGCAACAAGTCAGAACAGGATGCTCGAGCGCTCAAGCGCTGCCAGCAGGATCTTCAGGACGCTCAAGCTTCGGTGCGAGAGTACAAGAGTCTAGTCCAAGCTACGGGCGAGGTCTTCGATGCAGCCGCACCCAAGGAGGTCTTCGAGAAGGTCGATTCGTACAACGCTCAGGTGGAATTGTTGGTCGATAGCATGTTCGGTGACTTGAAGATGACCGGATCAAGGGCGATGCGCCGAGTACGTCGAAAGAAGAAGTCCGCTACGATTCTCGGGCCGCGCAAACATGACGCCTTCGCTGCATCTCCCACAGTCGGCATTGCACGAGAATCTGCATTTCGCCATGCACCAGCACGTCGTTGTGCCATTTGTCAGCCTCATGGACGATACTTCACCATGGGACGAGGTCTTCATTTGGATCCAGGAGCAGGGTAGGCGTCACTGTCGTGCCAAAGACGTCGTCCATGATTCTTGACTGCCACTGATGCCGCATATCTTTCACCATCTTATTCTCCAGATGGTGTCTCCGTTCGCAGGCGGGTGCAAGCCAAGCTGAGGAACGCGCTGAGGGCAGTGTGCTCGCGAAGGCCGATAAAGAGCGAGGTGAAGGACATCATTTCCACCATCAAGCGCAGAAACAGCAGCTTGGGAATCTCCTTCACGCAGGGCAAAATTGCGGACATGCTCTGCGAGGTTTCCAGGGATCTGGAGGATCTACTTGAATGCCTTTGCTCGATCAGCACGGACGTGCGCGAGAACTTGCTGGAGGACGACTACTATCTTGTCGTGAATGGACTTGGCATCAGGTGTGCTTTGCAGCTCAAGAAGCGGTCCAGCAAAGCGAGTGTGAGCTGCCCGAGAGCCGTATCAACAGAGACGGATGCGACCGAAGGCTGTGCAAAGAAGAAGAGGAGCTCCGCGCGCTCCGAGACGCAGGACAAGCGACAGCAAAAGAGGAAGAATGAGGAATGAGACAGACGATTCCTACCCTCGAGGCACGTTTGGCCTCGAAGACGAGCCGGCTAGATCAATGGAGAATGTCTGAAGCAGCCCGCGGAGGCAAAGTCCGAAGAGCAAGGATTCATTTGGTGCCCAGCAGATCCATTGCCGCCAGAGCGCCCGCAGCCTGTGGCACCGGACATCGACATGCCATTGTGATAGACGTGTTCTGCTTGATGATCAACGCGCAAGTCCTTCAATGTGGCCATCATGGACATCTGCTTTGGTGGCGCGGAGTATGCGACGTGTATCGGGAGCTGCGCCATGAGGGGTCCTTATGAAAGCTCCGAGATTAGATCGAATGACCAAAGCGATGCGCTTTGTGTCAATGATTGGTATTGGAGGGTTGAGGACACCCTAGGCTGATTCGGTAGTGAGCATACCTGTGCCACCCTCCGCGCACATTCGCCTCCGACTCCTCTTTGATGTAGAGGACAACCAGGAGCACCACGACAAGCTATCGGTCTTCCATAGGCACTTCGAGTGCTGACCAGAAACGCAGCCATTATTGATGTCGTTCATGAGGTTACAGTTCCATGATCTCGCTCTTCCGTTCCTCGAAGGCCCACCAATCTGCTCCTCAGCCAGTCAGCAGGCCTGAATATGCCTCTCCTAGCATCCTCTCCATCCGGTCTCTCCCTCTTGAGCGTCTCGTCGTTCGTGCCGCCTCGTCTCAAATCCTTCCACCATCCTCTTGCCTGCTCGTACTTCCTCCTAGCCCTCACGATCAAGCTGGGTGGATAGCCGTCCAAAAATGGCGGTCTCAGAGCTTGAGCAAGCTTGCCTCTCTTCGTCATGGTGGTCGAGTGAGACGAAGGTGGCTCGCCTGATGCGGCTCGGAGAAGAGCCGCATGCACCAGGAGCAAGCCGTCATGACTCTGATCGGGTGGAAGATGAGCACGAGAGCGTCAGCAATGGGCAGGTTCGTTGTCGATGCGCAGCATGTATGATTCTACTCGCCGTCTCTGCGTGCGCGACGAAACGCTTCAGGCCAAATTTTTCTATTCGCCTCGCTAGGAATGCGGCCGATACGCTGGAAGTGATGTGCCCGCGCGAGAGGCAAGCGACTGTGCTCTCTGACACGGAGCTGAAGAAGGGCGGTAGCAGAAATGGTCAGCACACAACCTGCTTCTGGTGCATCCCCCTTGCGTTGGCTCATCCTTCGACTCCCCTCTCGCGTACTACGAGCTAGTGTTCGGGCGACTCACTCAATTCCTGTGGATGCTTGATCGCCTCTAAGAGGCTGTTTCCCCTTCACATCCGCATCTCCGCCGGATTTGATGCTCGAGGAGATTCGCTCAGTCAGCGTCAGACCTTCAGTAACCGCCAGCACGGTGGTGTGATCCAAGTTCCTGGTCCAAGTGTGCATCCTTCTTCCCTCATTCTGATCAGCCGCATCGAGCTCCACAAGACTCTCCTCTAACACCCAGCTCTCGCTGTTTCGTAGAATGCCTTTGGGTGCCCAGGCAGGAAGCGTGCCCTTCTTGAGGATGAGCCGCGTAGTGCGCAAGCCATAGCGAGTGTACGAAGCGGATGAGGAGGAGGAGGAGGAGCTAGAGGATGCATCTAGAGGGACGAGTCGACGATCGATGACATCCGCGCAGATGACATGATTTGCCAGCGGGTTCGGGTAGCGCTCGAAGTATGCCGGTACGAGCGTGGAGAAGGAAGCTCTGCGAGGCGGTGTCCGAGCATGGCACTGTTAGAGCTGGTGGCGTACACTGCCGAGCTCATGCGTTTCACTCACCGGAAGCTGGACGTGGTGGAGTGCTCTTGAGGCATTGCAATCTTGTCACACGCGTGATGGACCTCTTGCGAAGCTCGCGCACGGAAGATGCTGGACTCTGCAATCCTCTGCGCGCAGTGCCAAGACGCGGAACCGTGTATGCGTGAGCGATTTGCTACGGCGATATCCTCTAGGAGCTGAGTGAAGGTGCACCAATAGCGAGAGCAGCTGCGAAGTGAGGTGGACAGCGGCAGATCGCATTTGGCGGAGATGATCGTATATACATGCACAGCATGTGATGTGCAAAAAAAGCGCAGCGACTTGGAAAGGCGCAAGCCTGCAGCCGCCTGCAGTCTGCTTGAGAGCGAGCCGGGCGCGTATGTCCGGCCCAACCGCTAGCATTTGATTTCAAAGCGCGTGCTTCATCACCATTTTGAATTGTTCGAGGCAGTTTTGAGTGTAGTCCTTTCAAAGTGTGTCCGCGGAATCCACGGGAATACGTTCTGAGCACGTTGCGGCGGCAGTCACAAGTGATGTGAGTCCACATTCACGATTCCTTCTTCCCCGCCTCCACTCGCGACTTGCGAATTGTAGCACAAGGTGGAGCTGGTTTCAACGGACACCTGCTTCGTACATGGTCACCACCGTCACCGCATCGCAGCGTCGTCTGCTATCCACTCCTCCGCAATTATAAACTTGCACACACCCCTCGGTTCCCTCGCAAGTCTATCGAGCCAACTCCGCTTTCCGCTACTCTTCTCACCCAGACATGCTCTTCCCATCGACAATAAGTGCTCGCCCAGCTGTGCGCTCTGCAGCTCGCGCTCTTTCAGCTGCACGCGCGAAAGACCGTCTCCCTCATCACGCTCTCCCCTTCACCAGTAGCAGACCAATGAGCTCATCGATGCTGACAGGAACATTACCAGACGACGAGCGCTATCCCGAATGGGCATCGGAGGAAGCGCGCGCAGCCGCTTCTTCCCTCGTGCATCGTTTTCCCGTCGATTCTTCCGAACCCGTTCTGATCACTTCTCAGCGCATACACTCTACGCCTCTGCTTCAGCTCAGGGTGTTGCTAGAAGAGATGGTGCCTCTGTCTCGCACAAGGGCTGATCGCAATCCCTTGGCGCTGAATCTGGCAGAATCCCTGAGCAACGGTTCTCCCTTGATACCCAGCGAGCACTTGTCCCTCTTTACTCCCTTGGTACCTTCCAGCGCTCTAGGTCGAGACGGCTCAGATCAAACATTCAACCCACCTGCTCCCTTTACACGTAGGATGTGGGCCGGTGGAGAGATGCACTTTTCCCACGGCAGACCGCTCAAGGTGGAGCAAGTGGCAGAAGAGAGGACGTGGATCGAAAAGGTGGATATCAAGAGGACAAAGGCGGGAGATGAGATGCTGGTCGTTTGGGTGAGAAAGGAGATTGGGGATGGAGAAGGAGAGAGCATCGTCGACTTGAGATCGTGGGTGTTTCAAAGGACGCTCGATCCATCAGCCGACCGTCGGAAGCTGCCCGAACCATCTCGAATTCCAGCAGAGGAGGCGCATCGTCCCTTGCAGGTTGCTCAGCCTTCTACGCTAGGTCTGGCGCCGGGAGCAACGCCAGTCATTCAAACGCCCGCCACTCTCTTTCGCTACTCCGCGTTGACGTACAATGCGCACGCTATCCACCTGGACGCTCAATGGGCCCGAGAGAGGGAAGGACACCCAACTACGGTTGTGCACGGGCCCATGACACTGAGTCTGCTCTTGCGCAAATGGCTGGCAATCAACACCTCTGATCCTTCGGTCAAGGGAGCAGCACAGGTACCCCAGCTTGGCAGCGTCAATTATCGAGCCAAACGACCTCTATGGACCGGCGAGAGGTACTGGGTGGGTTGTCAAGAGGGCTTAGAAGATACGATGCTAGCCGTCAAGGATGATGGTACCGTAGTTATGGAGGCGAGCATCTCCAGGCTGCAGGGCGACGCAACATCTCACAAGGACGAGCACATACGCGTCAAAAGGAAGGGCTCGAAATGACAGGCTTTACTTCCCTCCAAAAATGAATGTCGGATCATCACTAACGACGAGAGCTCTTGTGGGCGGCGAACCATGTATCACGGTATGAATCTTACTAAAGTTGCTTTGCTCGACAACGAGGATGTCTGCTGGCACTGCCGCGCAGGCATTGGCTCCAGCTTGCTTTGCGCTGTTTGAGAAGATTCGAGGTGGCAGATCCAAAACAGAATCTAGAGGGAGAAGGATAGCACGCCTCAACAGGAGGGGCGAGCTGCGGAGGCGAAGTGATGCTGGCGCTAGTGGTGGAGCCGCTTGCAGCTGGGTTGCAATCCAGCAAGGGCTCACCGACGCAGGTATACAAGGGGCTATAATGCTGCTCTCACAAGGGTGGAGGGCTAGATTGCGAGCGTGGTGCTGGTCATGGGAAATTGGGTCATGCTCATGCTGCGGCGGCAATAGCAGGTGCAGTTCCGGGCGCAGGTGCAGCACGCGGAGTGAACTTGATGCGCGCACCATCTTGGGGCTAAAAATTGCGAACGAGAAGAGCGTAGGGAAGAGCGTCAGCTGGCTGCAAAGAGATGGAGGCCTGGCCGGATCCGGAACTCACGAAAATTGTGGCAATCACTCTGACCTTCTCGCTCTTGGGTGTAATCTCGTGCTCCCAGTTCATCAGGACGCTAGCAGATCCAAGGACAGCTGTGAGGTGCAGCAGAGCGTATTGCTGGCCGATGCAGTTGTGAGGTCCAGAGCCGAAGACGAGCCAGTTCCTGGGGTGCTTCTCCGCGGGGCTCTGCGGTCCTTGCTGCCACCTCTCCGGGATGAATGCATCAGGGTCAGGGTAAGCTTGAGGGTCGTGGAGGGCATTCCAGAAACTAGGGATGACCATGCTTCCTTTGGGCACAGTGTATCCTTCGTCGATCTTGAAATCTTGGTGCGCAGAGTAAGGTACCATAATGACGGGAGGCTTCAGCCTCAAAGACTCTTTGACGACGACTCTGGTGTACTCCATCTTCTCCAAGGTGTCGAGGTCCAGAGGCGCAGTGACATCGTGCCCTCTGAGATTGTACTGCTCCTCTCGCACCTTGCGAAGCACCTCTGGATGATCGGCGACGTGCTGGAATAGGTACGTCAAGCCGCTGCTCATGGCATCTTGAGATGCAAAGAGGAAGCTCAGCAGGACCATTCCAATCTCCCTGTCACTGTAGTCCCTGACAAGCACTCTTCGAGACTCGCTGTCAGCCTCTCCCTCTCTGGCCTCGACCATGGCTTTGATCCAAGCGTCGGCCAAGCAAGTGACTTCTCCGCCGGCGGCCATCCTCTTCTTGCTCTCGGCGGCAGTGTGTTCGAACCATTTCATGGCGACTTTGCGCGCCTTGATAGCGTTGTAGACCTTGGTGCCGGGGAAGGCGAAAGGGAAGTTGACCAGCTCAAGGGCCACAGTGATGAGCCAGTACTTGTCGGAAATTTCCTTGGCTCCCTCATCAGAGATGTAATCCCCGCAGAAGACGCGCAAGGAGGTTTCCATATTCAAGTCTCTGAATTGCATCATGTATGGCTGAGGCTTAGGGTCGGGGTCATCGAGCCATGCCTTGAAATGCCTTCTGTAGATGGATTCCTGAATGCCAAGGTAAATCCTGTGGGAGTGGAAGATTTGGACGCAGGTCAGCATTCCAGCAGATAAAGGCTTGAAGACTGCCTTCCACAAAGCTATCAGCAAACGTTTTCACGCACCCAAGAGCTTTACGTGTGAACAACGTGTTCAATCCTTTTCGGTAGTCGACATGAACCTTGCCGTTTAAGAAGACCCTGCATAGCAGGAATGGCTATACAAGTGAGCTCGCAGCACTCGTATGTAAAGTCAAGGTGGAACACGCACCAATTGTCATGACACAAGACCTTCTTTGCGCTGGCAACCAAGCAAGGCTCCGTAAATGCCGGAGAGTTCAAAATCTTTCTGGTGTGTTCGGTGGATGAGGCAATCACAATGAAGCTGTATGCATGACAGGAGTGGCATCGTGTGAGTCGGTGACATGCTTCGAAGGCAGTCTCTGAGCAGGCGCTTGTGTATGGGCCTCAACGCGCCCAATGCCATCCCGAGCTCAAATGACTTTCTTCGATCCGCGCAGACGCTCACATGTGAAAGACGCTCGCAACGCTAAGGGGTCCTGAGTTCCAACCCTTGATGTAGTTTTCCATGGTAGGATTGAGGGAATCCGCAAACTTTCCAATGATTGGAATGGTCCACTTCGGACCGGGCAAACCAGCCTTCTTGGTTTGGTACCTGTACTGCTCGTAGAGCAGGCCAGTAGCGATGATACACGCGATGGAGAGGGCCACCGTGGTCGGCGAAGCGGTCATGAAGGCTTCGTATAGCGAAGAGATGACACCTGGAGGTGCCCTTGGAGGCGCTGCCACCGGAATGGACGCATTTTTGTGCAGCGCGGAAGCGGCATTGCCGCGCAGCACTGCGACGGGAGAGAAGCGGGACATGACGAACGCCTGGAATGTGAACGACTTGAAGCGTCGCCCTCAGCAACAGCACGGATCGGTATGAGGTGTGCTGAAACGCAGAAGGATCCGCAACGGCGAATCGAACGCGACAGACCTTCAGAAAGTCTGTGCCGTTCGATCTAAGACGCTGCCGATGGAGTCCGGTGCGGAATTAGACGCGGTCGACGCGACGAAGCAGTACAAGCGTCCTGGGTGTGATAGAACCGCTTCGATACGGGATGGTGGAGAAGAGGTGTTGTACGAGGGATGGATGATGTGGCACGTGAAGATGAGTCAGATGGGTCTTGAGCAGGACGTCAATCGAATCAAGCAACTAAAATCAAATGTTCCCCCACCTCGATTGTGATTTGCTTCGTTCTTTTCGTCAGACAGCGGCAGGGCCGGCCGGGGGATCAATCGAGCAGGAAAATCATGCCAGAGCTATACAAGCAAGGTGCGTGCGCGTGTAGGAATTTGTTTCGGAAGACACCACTTTGGCGGGCGGCGCGGAAGAAAGTCTTGGGTGCAGCTCGCTTGCTTGCCATGCAGCATTCGACTTTCTTAGCTTGATGCATGAATGCGTTGGTGACTCATCCCGCTGCTGCCACTTCGCCTGTGTGACCTGCCTCGCCTGATTTCTTGACCGCATCCTCCGCTGGACCTTGCCTGATGCGCTGATGCATGCACAACGCGCTGATGATGCAGGTTTCTGACGTGACCTGATTTCCGGCGCATTACTCACGACTTGACTCACGACTGTACACTCGCCGTGGGCGAGGGCTGCTGATGCTGATGGATGGTACGCCGTACGCACGTAAGCAAAAAGCGATGCGCTATCGGCTACCTCCGTACACTCACACTCATGACTCTCGACTCACGACTGCTGACTGAAAGTGCAACAGCAGAAAGGAAGTCGCCGTCGCCCATCACCCGATCTGTACAAGAAAGTGTCGTGCCTTGTTGATCTGCTGGTCTCTAGTGCACACCAAGGCACTCTGATGCACTTCGTATACAGTACTCATCAAGCAGAATCCTCTTGCTGTCGACCAGAGGGGCCGCTGCCATGCAGCTGCGATCAGCATGTTGCTGGTCCGATCCAAAAAGGGCGTTGACCACACCTGATCGAGAGACGCGTGCTGCACATATCCTTTTAGGATCGCGGCAGCAATCTTGTGCAATCCCCGCCAATGACATTCGTGATTCTGAGCAAGAGCAAAGTCAGGGGGGCAGGACCAAGCGTCGAATTATTCACACCTTTTGCTGCATGACGAGTCGTGCTTGGGCCGTACTCGGACTTTCGGCCGCGCGACAGGGGAAAGGTATATATATATATATAGGTAGGTTATTATTGCCGCGGGCAGTGGACGGTTGACTTCTGCCAGAAGGACCGCCCGCGCGACGCAGTCTTGAGTGGCCACTCGTGAATGAGCAGCACCAGCTCATATGCAGTGTAGTCAAGGGTCAGATTCAGGATTGGTTCGCTACCTGACACACGAGGCTGCGGAAGAACCTAGCTGCGGTTGATTGGTCGATCCGACCGGAAAGCTGTTTCCGCGCGATTGGACGAGATGGGGAACCAGCAGGGGAAGGCGAGCTGCAGCATCTACTGTATGCAGCTTTGTAGGCCGCCCTATAGTGCTGGCACCGATCTTAGGCCGCGCGCTCATGAGGCCTTGACGCCGGGGCGGGGCGATGCATATACAGTCAAGTCAATATATATTTCTACATAGTCACTCACGAGTTTGAGTCACATTTGACTGCCAGCGCGCTGGTTGCGCGACGTTTGACTTGACCGCCTCCGTGAGACGATCATGATCCTCACGACCCGTGACTCGTGACTTTCGAGTCGCTGCTGATACATACACGCTGGTCTCAAGATGACGATCTTTGCGGTGGTGGCATGTCCAGCGCTGATCGAATAGGCAAGAGGAGTCAATGAGCCTCCTGCAGCTGTTCGCAGAGATCTCACGCAGACTGCGCCAAGATAAGCCACGCAGGATCAAGCGGCACATGTGATCGGAGGATCACTTTGGTGAAAAGTGCGGACATTCTCGAAAGTGAGTACCGGCCGGCTCCCGCAAATGCTGGCTGACTCTTTCGACTTCTCGATCACTGATGTGGGATGACTGACCGCTCGCTCTCGCAGGTAGGACCACGAGTGCGGATGCCATAATACACAATTATCCGCTCATAATCTCGAATCAAGAATCTTGAATATGATCGTGAGTCCGGCTGGTTAAAGCGTGCGGGAGCCAGCTACAGTCGCCCGCGGGCCGACTCTGACCTCACGTGCTGATTGACTGTCACGATCGCGGCCCGCGGGTGCCGGGAAAGGACCTGTTCTTGTACATCGATCTATAAAAATGTGCAAAAGACGAGTCGTGATCTTCCGCTTTAATGAGGTGCACAATCGATAATCGTGAATGTGTACGAGGTGTCTCGCTAAGTCCGCTTGAGCTCAACTTAACGTTCTGCAGAGGCTTAGATCAATTGAATTGAACCATTCATAGCATTACTTGACCGTAATGAGCAGCAGTTTGAGTCTTTGAGCGTTTGATGAGTCGAGTGAAGGGTGCGCCCACCATGCCCACCGCACGGGAACGGGTCGTACCATCGTGCTGCGCCGCCAAAACAAAAGCAGACACTTGCCGTTCACAATCTGCTCACATCAGCTTTCAAGTTCCCATCCGATCATCGCCTAGGGCGCCCTAGGCTTTGATCCGGATGCTCGGAGTGGGACTCGAAAGCGGGACATTGCAGATTGTTGTTGAACGCAAATGCGTGGTCTCCAGCGGTACTCGGCTGGCCAAGATTAAAGTTATTGTACAACTCCATCTACTTGCGGCCTACGCTACGCGCCTTTGGCGAGGGCTGTCATCTGTCGAAGCTTCATAAGCTTAAAGTGATTTACTTGATTTTGCCATTAAAGGACTTGTTGTCATTCAGATACAAAATTGTGATGGTCGTGATCATTTGAATTGCACGCACGCCCGCAGATGAAGGCGCGTCTGCATGCGCGCGGCTGCCTGCTGCAAGCCAGCATCATCAGCACCTTTATAGACTGCCTAGCTGCTGCTGCTGCTGCTGCGTATCGCCCCAGCATTCTCCTCCGCCTGTTCACCCTGCAATTTTTGACTCGAAGGGCCCATGGTGCAGCTAAAGTCAAAAGTCGATGCTGGCTGTTTGCATAGTCACAGTGCCGTACCGCCTATGAGCTCAACGAGCGCCTAATTTTGTCTTTCGCCAGGAAGGCCGAGATGAAGGAAAAGCCACATGCGCAAGCAAACCCTGCCTGCTGCTGCCGCTTGTGTGCTGAGATCTACTCACTGCGCCCACTTGACTTTTGCTTCTTCCTCATCAGCCCTGGCTCACAACTCGATCGACCCCTGACTCGAACTCTCAACCAAGGCAGCCATACCTGCAGTTCAGATTGGCAAGTCCCCGTCGCGCCACACGAGCCGACCACTCCCATTGCTTGCGACCGGTCTCTCCCACCGCGACCGCATTCCGCTACGGCCAAAGACTCAAACAAGCGAAAGGCCCTTGAGGCACATCTCCCGCCGTCATGGCCTCTCCTGGTCGAGCTGTCTCTCCACCGCCGGACGGGTCTCACGCTTTGGCGGACGCTAGTGGCATTGACGTGGCGCCCCGCACTTCCCACGAGTCTGCCATAGCAGGTCAGGGCCTGCGCGCAGGTGGACACCGAACCTCCTCGGCAGCCGCTCAGCAGATGGAGCAAGATCTCGATGCCGCAAGGCAAATGTCCAGAGCTCGAGCAGGCAGCAATGCAGGTGCTCATCACTCGCCGCTATCACCAAGAGTTCAGATACCTTACGGCACCCGCCGACCTTCTCACACGGAGTTACCCGAGCCCGCTCTGGAGGTGGACACCCAGTTGGACCCATCGCGTCTTCATCACAGCACCTCGCCGCATCGAGCTTACACGTTTGCCACCGGAACCTCTCCTGCTGCTTACAGACAACATCAAGAGCAACGAGAAGCTGCTGCAGCTGCTGCTCATTTTTACCAGCAACGTAGGCATGGCTCAAACACTTCGCTCGACTCGGCGAATCACTTCATCGACCATCGCTCGAATCAAGCTTTTGGTCCTCATGCTGGCTCGTACGTAGCCAGTCCCTCGCGTCTACAAGCAACTGGAAGCCTTGCCTTTGGAGGCAGCGGCTCCAGGACATTTGCTAGATCCGGACTTCGCAGCCCATCTGGCCTTCGAGCGCAAGACGAGTCCGCTCTCGTCGATACCGAGGGACCGCCTGTAGCCGGACTTTCGCCAACAGATGTGCGAGGTGATCATGGAGTCAGCACGCCTCATACCATGTCGCGCAGACCCAGCGCACTTGAGGATGACGTCTGCTTCCCGCTCAACGCTCACACCGCCGAAGGGCAGGATCTCTTGCGCGACGGGAGCGCTGCGACCCCGCGTCATGCTCTTGGCCCTCACTCGCACGCACCTGGAATGGCTGAGAATGAAGAAGACCTGCACTGCGAGCCTCACGACGACCAGCGCCTACCTCCAGGGTATCCCTTCAACTTTGACTTGTCTGCCCTAGAAGACTTTGCTAGGGAGGAGCGCGAGCGCTTGACGACTGGCGCAGCCCCTCCAGTAACCTTTGGCACAGGCCTGCGCAATCGGCACGCTGCTATGCGCTCCCAAAGCGGAGCAGACAACTATGGTAGCACAGCATACGGCGCGAGCCCGGACTCTGACGATGCAACGTTCTACAGCCGCCGACCTCGGCGCTTCGTACCAGCGGACGCCGCCGCAGCACAAGGCAAAGGTGGTCCCGAGACTGCAGCTGGCGGAAGCAAGTATCAGCGCAAGCTCGCACTGTTCGAGGGGTCGGCAACGTCTCCACCTCCCCCTGCTGTAGGTGGCCGAGCAACGACAGTGAGCGGTGCTGCGAACATCATGGGGTCGGGCGCTCTGATGACGGAAGATGCCATTCGGGCACGGCAGGCGAATCAGACACAGGATGCAAAGACGCCTTTGCTCGGCGATCCGCCCGTTCCTTCATACACATCCGCTTACGACATTTCACCGAACGGAGACGGCCCTGATGGGGATGGGCCTCCAAAGTTGCCACGCTCACAAAGCATGGGCGCCAACTTCGATCATGGACATGGTCGAGGTGCATTGAGCGCTGCTCAGCGTCGGCGTAGCGGCGCAGGGTTCGGATCCCGCTCGACCGCAGAGAAGCCGTACCGCTTTACCTTCTACTCCAACGCTCTCCCATCCACCATTCATGCCCGCCATTTGGCTGAGCTCCCTGCTCCTGGACAAACCTTCGAAGAGCTCTTTAGCGGCATCAGCCCTGCTTCAGACAGCGAAGGTGTCACAAGGAACCAGACTCCGGCTGAAGGAGATGATGTCGGCATGAACGGTGGCGCGAACGCTTCCGCCACGGGCACCGGCAGCAGCAAGCTGGACATTAACGGCAAAGATGCCAGGCCTTTGCGGCAGACATCCGTGCTTGCCGCTCAGCTTGGCAGAATGGAAGGTGGCACACAGCCGCCCACGGGCCGCAACACTCCAGAGCTGAGCGCCGGTCCCTTGCCCGCAGCTCCATTGAGTGCGGGCAATCAAAGCACTTTTCAACGAGTCCCGACCATGACTAGCGCCGCTCGCAATTCCCAGGCAATGTTGCCTGCGAGGGTCGCGCCGGGTGGTGGGATTAGGATGGACCAGGACCCGGAAGCGAACACCTGGTGGTTAGACGTGCTATGCCCAACGGACCAAGAAATGAAACTGCTCAGTCGGGTGAGTCTTTGAGCATTTTCTGGTCGGCTCGGTCCGCGCAGGAGAACTGACACACGCGTGCCTGCACAGGTGTTTGGTATTCATCCATTGACAACAGAAGATATTCTCATGGAAGAAACGCGCGAAAAGATTGAGCTCTTCAGGTGAGACTTGTCCACTGCCACGTCACCGCATGCTTCGCTGACCGCGCACGTCTCTACAACAGGAACTACTACCTCGTCTGCTTCCGCTCCTTCGATCAGGATCCATACAGTCCGACGTACCTGGAGCCACTGAACATGTACATCATTGTGTTCAGAGAGGGCACGTTATCATTCCACTTCAGGGCCACGCCTCACCCGCAAAATGTTCGCAGACGCATCAAGCAACTCAAGGACTACATCAACGTCACGTCGGATTGGATCAGCTATGCCCTCATCGACGACATCACGGACGCGTTCGGCCCCCTCATCCAGTCCATCGAGTACGAAGTGGACAGCATCGACGAGCTTGTGCTCATTCTCAAGGAAGCCGAGCAGTCTGATATGCTCCGGAGAATCGGCACCTGCCGCAAGAAAGTCATGGGTCTCTTACGCCTCATGGGCAACAAGGCGGACGTCGTGAAAGGGCTTGCCAAACGTTGCAACGAAAACTGGTCCGTCGCGCCCAAGAGCGACATTGGATTGTACCTCTCCGACATTCAAGACCATTTGATCACCATGACCCAGAATTTGAACCACTACGAAAAGATTCTTTCGAGAAGTCACTCCAATTACTTGGCACAGATCTCCATCGAGATGACCGACGCCAACAATCAGATCAACGACGTCCTGAGCAAGTTGACGGCGCTCGGTACCGTAATTGTGCCAATGAACATCATCACGGGTTTGTGGGGTATGAACGTGAACGTGCCTGGTCAGGATCAAGGAACGCTGGCTTGGTTCTTTGGTATCATTGGAGTCATGGTCTTCCTCGCCGTCGTTGGTTACATGGCCACCATCCGCTTCATCTCCAAATAGAGCTCCGACTTGCACATCGACGGACCTGCGCCACACACATCTCTACACATGTTTCGTTTTCGCTCTTATTATACACGCAAGACGCGTTTCATTATTCGATTATCTTATGGTCTCTTTTTCATTTCGCTTGCCTGGTCTCCTCCTCTCATGCTTGTTCGACTTTTGAATCGACACCTCCTCTCATCCATGCATGCTATTGTCAATAGGCAATGATAGCGTGAGTCTGATCGTGAGTATGAGGACTGCACAACCCAGGCAGATTGCGCCTCAGTCAATCTGCGAGTGCCCCGAGCAATCGCCGAGTCGGCGCGGCGTCAGGACAGGACAGAGTCAATCACGAATGTCGCTGCTACACATTCGCAGCAGAGCGACGCCGTCGGAGGAAGAGGAGCTTTGCAGAAGAAAGATTTGAGATGCTTTCAGGGTTCATGATATAGCTGCAGATCTGCGAGATTGCCGGGCGAGCTAGGCTTGACTTGAGCGCGGTATCCATCTCGCACACTCAATCCCTTGTGCGGTCTAGCCGACGCGTCATATCACCTCGCCGCTGCTGCCCTTGCGCAAGGAATGAGCGCCTTCGAAATTTCAATCTGCTCGTGCCCGTGCGTGACGAGGACGCTATTGGCGGAAAAGGCAAGGCAAAGGTCAGTGCGCCGGAGTCCGTCGAGTCTTACCATCGAGCCGCTTTTTTTTTCTCGCAATAGATGGACGCAATTCCAATTACGATTTCGACCGCGACTCGACATTTGCATGGCGGCCAATCGAACCTCGATGGAGTCACGAGTGGCTTGTCAAAGAGACTTGCCATTCTTGGATGGCCTCTCCTTCCTGCACACGCGTTACGCCCACGCCCACGCCCACGCCCGCACCGCGCCGCATCGCATCGCGCCGCAAAGCGCGGCAATAAGGCAAGGCGGCTTTGCGGAATGTGAAAAGAGTGACGAGTGACGACGACGGCTGATCTCGTAGATCCTTCCGCAACGGCATGAGAAGCTCTGAACGGTAGCATTATCGTCACTCTGCTGTCCTGGCGCCTCCCACGAGCGATATGATCGTGCAATTGTCTGGCTGAGCCATCGTCGTCTTGGGGGTACTGTATGTCTTGCGCGTTGCCCAATGCCACCACGCCGACTCTAAGCACACAGCTCTCGAGCGACTGACTCCCAGCAGGGCCTTCGTCATCGCCGAAATCTGACCCTGACCCTGTCCCTGTCGCAATTTATGAAAGCGTCGGCCTTGCCGTTTGAGAGGCGGATCGCCCATGATGGCGAGACGTTCTGAGAGAGACATGTTGCTTGCTGGGAGGAGATGGTTAGTCATCATCAATCAGCACGATCGACCGGATCGTATAGCGGCGGCCGGTCAAGGACGTGGTGAAATCTACCAATCAACCAACTCCGACCCGACCGACGTTCGGCAAGGATGCTTCCTAAGAAAAGATCGCGCAGTCAATTTAGCACCTGCGCGGGCCTCGAACCGACGCGAAGCGATCGCAACAGGAAGCGCTTCAAGAGCAGTCCGTAGCTGAGTCAGACTCAACAATCAAGAATGCTGCATTCAACATGGTTGTGCGGACCATTGCTTCCGCTTACAATACGGCGCGCAATCAAGTCAAAGGCCATCAGCATCCATTGGTTCTCTCCCCTCTGAGCACTTGTTGGCGCCGAGCAGAGGCCGCTGGTTCGCTATACCCTTCAATTGACTTTCGTGATAGCGCGGGGCGGAAAGCGGAGAAACCCCACAAGAAAGGGACCTGTTCCTGTTTTCTCAGACCATGATTCAGATCGAGCACTCCGCCGAGAATGGGGTCCCTTTATTATTCGCGTCTGCCTGCCGCCCACTCAGAATGGTGAGAGCTTCTCGAAGCGAAACATTGCATGGCGATTGCGATCCGGCTGCGAGCCAAGCTTTGTGCGCGTCCCTGCCAAGCGACTCCTTGCCTGACGCGCACCGCGAATGACAACAGCGGGGCGCAAGTTTCAAACGTACACCGTACACAGCGCTTCTTGGCGACGGCATCTACGTGCAGCATTTAGCTGATGTGTTGTGAGCGCGCCTACCAGCCTGCCTGCCTTTCTCCGCGCCCCCATCTCACCAAGCGAGCGGGTCCGCGTCAAGATCGCGAGTCGTGAGTGCTGATCTTTTTAATTTCATCGTCGATCTCCCCGCTCCGGCCAGCGTCATGCTCAGCCTTACAACGTGCGTGTCTTTGGGGCCCCTGACTGCGCTCGAGCCGGTTGGGCATGCAGCAAGGCGCGGTCTCTGTTTGTAAGAGTGTGCATGGGCGATCTTGTCTCGAGAGCAGCGCGGTCGCACCTCTCTATAGCGCGATGCGCGAAAGGTGCGCTAAAAGCGGAGTTTGACGCAGGTCGCCCGTCCCGCCGCAAACAAGTCAACTCCAGAAAGATCTGCGCTCTAATGCGGAAGAAGGGAAGAATGGGCGGAAGAGAGGATATGCGATGCGCATGCACAGCAGCGCCGATTATGCTGGCGCATAGATTCGAATGAGTGACAAATTGTGATGCAGCCCCTAGCTTGTATGCCTTTACTCGGGTAATGAGGAGCAGCAGCAGCAGCAGCAGCATAACATTTTGTGTTGTTCTGATGCTTTGCTGTTCCTGCCCGCTCTCGTTGAGTTCGATGTTCATGCAACACCGCTCGCGAGTCGCCGCGAATTTTGCTCGATACTGTACTACAGCAGTACTCGTGACTCTTGATTCCTTTTGTGCATCGCACTTATCATCAGCTTCAGCACACGTCACGGCTGCGGCTAAGGCGCGAGCCTGACGCGACGCTTAAGATTCCTGATTCTTGGCCCTACGACTAAGCGCCGAGAAGCTTTTGGCGCGCATGACAGAATCACAAATCAGCAGCAGCAGCACCAGGACTTGGCTTGGCACGAACGCACCATTTGCGCTGGCCGGGTGCAGTTGTGCATCTGCGAGCGACTCAACACTCCAAGTCACAGGGAGTGTGAGATTCGGTGACTGCATGCTGTCAGAGCGAACCGGCCTAAAGGTTCTCCAATCAAAATCACAATCGAGAAAGCTCTGTCTATAGATGCCTATGCATAGATACACTACGCCGCGGTATCGCTATTGTTCAATCTGAATGTAACAATGAAGCGGAGGACAGCTATATAGCTGCTGCATACGCTGGGCGGCGCTGATGCGGATGGGTCCGAGGTGCCCTGCGGAACACACACGCGTCCTCCTTCCGCCGAGGCGCGCAGCGCAAACGCAGATCCGCAATTTGGACGACAATCATGCAAGAATTGAATTGATCCTGTCATGATCTGGCCTTAAAGTGTCCGAGAAATTCATATGAGCTTTGATTGAATGCATGAGGTGGTCCACAACAGTCTTGAATGGGCGGACAAGCTGTATTCATGTGTTGTATACAAGCGGCAAGTAGACCATGGCTCACCAATCTTGAATGCGCCATGCAGAAAGCAGCCGCTCCGCGCCACTTGGCACTGCTGATGTGCGCCTGCATGACCTTTGCTGTGGACAAAGACGAATATGAGGACTCACGGCGTCAGCGCGTGATGCTGAAGAACAAGACCTCTGGACTATTACGGAAGCTATACCAGAGTCGCCGCTGTGACCAGCTTACCACGGCTCAGCTATGTTGTCTGCCTTTTCAATCTTCTTCTGAGCAGCAACGCCTATACAAATGTGGCTTGCTCTGGAACAGATGTGGCACACATAGCACGCACGCGCGCCCTCGCCGCGTCGCCTCGATCGAGGAATGGCTCGATTTGGGCACACGCGTTCACAAGTTCACTATACTTTTGACTTGATTGTCGAGCCTTGCGCTGCTGCTGGCTTCACTCTCCGCGCCGGCAGGCGCTCTCACGCATCAGCTCGCTCTTGTCTGACACAGCTCCCGCGTGCCCCACTGCTGCATCTAATTGCTCTAGCGCCACTGCAAGAGAAAGCTGCAGCGAGCATTGCATGTGATTGCATGAGCGCGCAAGACCAGCCAGCTATAGGGGAAAGGGGATATGTACGCGGCGAGCACGTTCTTCGATTCTGCCCAGCTGCTGCCCGGCCCCAGTGCATCAGCCCCTGCGCCCCTCTTTTGTCTTGGCTAAGTTGCTGGCCCTTGCCAAATGGCGCGCGGTCGATCGAGTGTGAGTGCGTGCGTGCGTGCGTGCGTGCGTGCGTGCGTGCGTGCGCCTCCTATAGCTCTTGCGCGAACACATGTGCATCGTCAGCAGAATCCGAGCGTGGCGCGTCGTGCATGGCAAGCACTTTTGACTGCTGAGGGTCCCGTGCGCTTGCATTGCAGCGCAAATCCAGCGCAAAAGGACCAAACATGTCATTCTTGACTCGACGGCAAAGGCGCACACAGCAGCATGCACAAGTCTTGCGTTGCGTTGCAGCGGTCGGTCACAAAGTGCTCCCGTAGTAGCTGAGGTGCGAGTTGATGAGTGTAGCGCAGTGCCCCTCTGGAACGTTGGCCTCCCTCATGCGCCCCGCCCGCTGGCCCACTCGTGCGCCCATCAGTTCATCCTTGCCGCATCACCGCCTGCTGGCTCTTCTCACAAACTCGATCCCCATCCCTCCATCTCCTTGCTCCCTCATTCTCGACATCTCTCCTGTCTTGCTCCCCTTCCCCTTTCAGGTTTCACGAGCTCACTCGTTGGTTGGTTTGCTGTGCAAGTCAGCTAGGACTCATCTCCCAGACGACTTTCTACATTTCAACCCAGTCCAATCAGCATACACTCGCATTCTTCACGCACAATTCAAACCTGTCCAACAATAACCATTCGAGGAGCAAAGCTGTCTCTATACACACATTCGCTCAGAACAACGCACATCCTCTATCCACAGAGGAAATCTATAGCTCGACTCGCTTCGGTCGAATCCTACAAAAACAACCCTACAGCTCGCTTCTTGATCTGACCCAGGATGCGTTTCACTCTGGCCATCTCGGCCCTCGCAGCTCTGCTGCCAGCCGTCCTCGTGCTACTGTCGCAGCCCACCGAGGCTAGAAACAGACGTTGCGTTCCCCATGGCTTCGACAGCAGATGGTCCCGCACCATCGCCAAGGGAAAGCTGGAATGCTACCACCACTGGCAAGACGGCATCGTTCACGAATACCCAGGCGACATCGAGTACGTGCCTACCATGTGGGATGAGAAGAAGTACGGTGCAAAGTGGGCAGCACGCAAGAAGGAGATGCGAAAGAAGCTTCCCAGGCGTCTGTTGACTTTCAACGAGCCCGATGTCAAGGGCCAAGCCAACATGGACCCCTACTACGCCGCCGACCTTTGGATGAGAGAGATTGTGCCCTGGCAAAAGAAGGGCGTCAAGGTCTCCACCCCTCAGATTGTCTACGATCTCGACTGGATGGACACCTTCATGAAGCAGCTCAAGAAGAAGGGCACCAAGGGTCCCGACTTCATGGCCATCCACTCTTACACACCCAAGGGACAGCGTGGTCTCAACCAACTCAAGTCTTACGTCAAGAAATGCCGTAAGCGTTACGGTCTCAAGTGCGTATTGCGACGCGTCGCAGAATCCTGTTGATGGTAAGCACTGACGGTTGCTTTTGTCTTTCTGGCTCGCTCCAACAGGATCTGGGTTACCGAATACGGTGTCACCGCATCCTCCAAGCCTTCCGCAGCCGAGATCAAGTCGTACCTCGTCCAAGCCCAGAACTTCCTCGACTCTCAATCTTACGTCAAGCGCTCCTTCTGGCTCGGTGGGTTCGCCATCAACAAGCCGCCCGATGGTTTCGTCACCAACAAGAACGCGTTCTTCTCTTCCTCTGGCGGTCTGCGCGACATTGCCCACTGGTGGCTGTACGCCGGCAATGGAGGCAAGTCTCGTCGTGATGCTGCCGGTCTGCCTTCGTCTCCCCTGGAGCACCGCTCCGAGCACTCGCCGGCCATGAGACGTAACCACGCCAAGCTTGCTGCTCGCATGCAAGCTCGTGCGGAGAATGTGACTGCCGAAGCCGACATCGATGCTTACCACGCCGATGTCGACGCCGAGGACAAAGACCTGGCTGACGCTTACGATGGCGACGAGGTCGAATGCGACGAGCACTGCCAGCGCCTCGAGGCTATGCTCGCCAAGACCACCGACGATGACGACGTCATGAAGGACGCCGAAGACAAGATCGAAGGCGAGGATGAGGATGAGGACACCGACTAAGCGCAATCGCCTCGTCTATCCTTTCTGCTCGCCTAATCCAGCGTTGTCATGTCATCTACTGTGCTTGATACACGGTCACCCTCTTGATCAAGTATTCGAGGGCAAGGCCTCTCGGCCCCCGTCACTCTCCCCCCATCTCCCCATCCGCAGAGCTTTTGGCATTGCGCACACGCAAGACCTTCTCTGCAACTCCTCATCCGGCTCTGATTGTTCGGCTTCCAGACCTCTTCCCAACAGTCGTTTCTTGTTACTTGCCGTCTTTTTAGTGCCTCGTCTTCCCTTTGCTGCTTCTTCACTCACCTGGAATGCCATTTCCCACACACGGCCGAAGCCTGGCGCATCGTGCTGTTCGTTCAACCTCAATACCGTCTGTCCTACTCTTGCGTGAGGTGTGTGAAGTGAAGATGGTCAGATCAAGTCGCAAGTCGCGGTGGGTGTAGTGGCGGCGCGAGTATGTGCTACCTCGTGTGCGGTACATGCTTTGGTCAGGGGTTTGGTGCCCACCCTCAATCCGGCTTTGTTTTGCGTCATTCAGCTTGCGGGCGTGGCGGGCCAGCGCTTCGCAATGTGAATGGCGAACGCCGTGGACAGCCCCGCCCTCGCCATATCTTCATCGAGCACTACCGCAGGCGAATGACGTTGATCAGGCGTCAGCGTTACGCGTGCGCGTCTTTTTGAGCCGGCATATGAAGCATGGATCTGGCGTTTTTGACGGTGCGCAGGCTATCAGATGCGCTCGACCGGCCGGTGCGGCCGCCGCCGAGCTCTGTATATAGCTTCCCCCCCTGCGCCTTTTTGGCGTGTGCAGCTAGCTAGCTGGGCGCCGACGCCGTGAGTGGGTGAGATTGGATTCGTGATTGCATATGCCCCTACACCTGTCAATCGTCGCCTCATGACTTTTTCCTCCACTCGTGACTTCTTGGACACTATCGCTCTTCGTTCCCACGCGAGGATCTTTGCAAGTCATTGAAGCTGTTCACGACTCGAAGACGGCCGCTTTTGCACTGCTATCAGCTCCCCTGCGACAGCGCTTGCGCTTACAGAATAGGCAAAATGTCAGGAAAGACCAGCAGCAGCAGCAGCTCTTCTCTCGCAAAGGGCATCAACGCTCAGGACACGCAAGCCGAACTTCACCGCAAGGGCGAGTCGAACAGACGAGAAGTGATGGGCTCCACATTCGTCGATCGCGCCCTATCATCCGCCTCGCCCTTCTCTTTGGCCATTCAAGACTTTGCCACAACGCACGCTTGGGGCGCCGTCTGGGGTAGAGAGGGTTTATCGCCTAGGGATAGGTCCTTGCTCAACATTGGTATGCTCACTGCTTTGGACAAGCAAAACGAGCTGGCTGGTCATGTCAGAGGCGCTCTAAACAATGGATTGGGGGAGAAGGAGATTCAGGAAGCTCTGATTCAGGCGACCATGTGAGTGGGTACGTGGAAGAGCGCGTGGGGCTCTGCTTTGAGTGCTGCTTGCTAGTAGCGCGCCTCGTCGTGTCGGTGCTCACACGGGCGCTGAATCGTCGCACTTAGCTATTCTGGAATGCCAGCTGGTATGGCTGCCTTTCGCACAGCTGTGAGTCCTTCGAGCTCCCTCCAGAGCCTGCGTAAACGTCTGCCCGACTTTCTGATTCGACGCGATGTTGGAACAGGACACCGTCCTCAAATCTTGGCGGGAGGACCATGGTCTCAAGCCAGACGAGGTCATTCCCGCCGCACCTCGAGGCAGACAAGGGGCATGAAATATTCGTCAAGAGCATGTCTGCCGCACAACGGGCGTGAGAGAGAGAGCCTGATCATTGGAATCAATCATCAAGCTTGAACAGACAAACGCAATTGGATGAGATTTCTCGCGATGATTGACGCGGAGTGTCGACAAATCTGATGTGAAAGAGGACAGCAGCAATGTTGCACAACCAAGAATGATCCAATGAAAGTCAGAAGGGGTAAGAGATGTAGTACAATGCCACGTCAATGCGAGTCGTCCAGCAGCCGGCTTTGCGCAGCGGTGAGACGCATAGGGTCATAATCCAAATTGTCCGGTGTCGACGAGCGTGCTGTCCAGCTTGTGTCACCACCGCTTGTGCCCGTAAACCTGCTGTTGGCCGAAACGGCGGAGACTTTGCGCGTGGTGGGGGAGCGCGTGGAGGGTTGCTGCATCGACTGCCGAGGACTGACGGTCGAGACAGGTCCTTTATACCCAAAGCGCTCTGCTAGGCCTGAACGTCGACTGTTGCTCTGGGGCAATGCCGAGACGGTCGCTGAGCTTGAAAGACCTGCGCCTTGCACCGTAGTGCCGCTTGAAGATGCCGGGATCGAGGGGCCTGATAAAGAGGCAGGCAGAGTCGTCCGCTTGCTAGGCTGATAGCTCGTGCGAGGTGACGACGGTGAGCCGTGGGTAAGCGCTTTCACCAGCGCGTCGCCTTGGCCAGGGCGCCGAGCGACCGGAGCGGCGAGCTTGCCATTGGAGCTTATTGAGCCCAAAGAAGCCTGGCGGTCCTGGCCAGGGGCACGCCTGCGGAAGCTGGATGGTCGTCCACTACCATTCCCATCCCCTGTCAACCGTTCTTCGTCGGCGTCGCTGAAGGCTCCTTCCAAAGGCTCCTCGTCCTCGAGCGACCATGTCATCTCATGCTCTCGAACGGCCAGACCTAGCGCGCTGGGCATGGACTCCAGACTGGGGGACTTGTTCGACCTGCTGATGTGGGGCACTTCTGCTTCACTAGAAGGCACCGTAGACGAAGGACGTCCATTAGAGCCGCGGCTGTCAAATTGGGCGCTGGAAGTGAAGCCTTGCCGGCGAAGCAAGCTATCCTCGTGGTCGATCGGTGGTCCTGGTGCAAGGACGCTAGGGTTGTCAAAGACGCGGTGAGAAATTGGCTGAAGATCCTCTTGCACGATGCTCATTGAGCTCGCGGTCGGGCTGAAGGCGCTGCTCGCCTCTCGAGCGTTGGCGGCGGAGTCCAGAGCCTGTTGAACGTTTTCTAGCAGCTCGCTGATTCTGACACGATCTTGTCGCTCCTTTGCGAGCTCGTCCTCGAGACTTTGAATCCTGATTTCCTGGTCGCCTTCTCTTTGCGCGGCACGCTCCAAATTGCGCTCCAACTCCAAGACTCGCGTGACTTCCTGGTGCAAATCTCCCCTAAGCTGCTCATTTTGGATCCGAAGCTCGGCGCCTTCCTGCCGAGAACGATCGAGCATGTCCATCAAGCTGTCGCGCTCCAGCGCATGACGTCGCTGCATGGCGCTCAGCGTCGACGGAGCAGGCGAAGCAAGGCCTCGGAGCTGATCGCCTGTGAAGCTATCATTGCCTTCTTGTGAGCCTTGACGCGCAGACGAAGTGCCACGACCATCTCCCATGCGAGCAAGACTTCGTGCTAGAAGCGTGGAGCTGAGTCCCAAGCTAGCGTTGCTCGCGCGACTCGCCGAGCGCGCGGCGCCTACATCAGTCGTCCAGTCGCGCACTGAGCCAGAATCTGGTCTGCGGTATCCAGCGAAAGCTAAGGTTGGAGATGTGACGCCGCTGATGCGATTAGAAGCGGAAGCAAGCTGAGCACGAGCCTTTCGCATCGTGTCGTCAGCAGCTCTGCGTGAATCTTGGAAGGAAGACCCCAACGCCAAGGGACGTGCCTCAAATGTCGGAAACGGCTCCCCGGCTTGCTGCGAGGAGGCGGTGGAGTTGTGACGCGAATGGCCTTGCAAACGTGCGCGAACATCAGCGCCCTGCTCATACGGTCGGCTTGATCCTCGGCCGCGCGTGTTGCGAGGAGACTGCTTCGTAGATCCATATTCTGAGCTGTGTCGGCCGCTCTCGACCTCTTGAGAACGTGGCGTACCTTGCGTTTTGATGGTCGCAGAGGGAGAGGTACTGAACGCACCAGTGCCTCCCGATCCGCTTCCTTGTGAGTTTGCCGGCTCGTTGCTGAAGCGCTTCAACGTTGCAGTGCTCGACTCGGGCGCATCGATGCTGACGCGAGTGGGGTGGGCACTGGCAGAACCACCATGCGACTGCCTTCTCGTACCATTCACGATACGCTGGTCTCGGGTGGCAACGCGGCGTTGAGGGGATTCTGAATTTGCACGACGAGACGAGGTCGAGAGATTGCTCGAGCGTCCTCGTAGTTCAGCATGCTCTGAAGCCTCCAAATCCTCAGGCACTGTCCGTATGCGCGACAGCGCATCTGCGTCACGCAGCAGTTGCTGGCGCGTTGCTCGAGCATTGTGCATTGCCTGCTGCTGTGCAAGACTTTGACCGTGGGCCGACAGTGCGGTCAAACTCTGCACCCTTGTCCGATAATCGGCCTTTGCAGGCTCGCGAACAGGAGGTTGTGGTTGAGAGCGACGTCTCCACGACACGTCCCCCAGATGGGGTGACGGAGCGACGATGCCAGCCGCTGATGCCACGAGCTCGCACATTCGTGTGTATGCAGCTTCCACATCTTGCATCGATTCCTGACGTACTCGAGCATTTCTCGTGGGCGTGGACTCGTGCTGCGAGCGTTGTGTGACTGGGGACAAGGGGCCGCTCCGGCTTGAAGGCAAGTCGGTGGCCCCCGCCGGTCCAACATCCGACTCGCTGGGTATTCTTGGTAGATGTGATGAGCTGATGGCTCGTCTCACGTCGCGCACGGCGTTTGCGATTGCGAGTTCCGAGCCCGGAGGTAGGGTTACGCGACCCGCGAACGACCCCTCGCTCGCATCTTCAGGCGCACCTTCTCTTGTTAGCGACCGCAAGGACATCGATGTCTCCGGGTGATTTGGCGGGCCAATCCTGCGCCGCAGAGAGGAAGGGTCGAAACTTCCTGCGATGCTGTGGTCCTGCAAAGCTCTCTCCACTGCTGCGAGGTCGCTTTCAATTTCTTGGACTGACAAGTCGCGGCGAGACAGGGAAGCCTCCAAATTAGGTGAGATCGCGCGAGCCTCGCCGATCGATTCCCTATTGTTTTCGAGGTCACGCACACGATCTCTTTGAGAAGAGTCGCGCGTCGAGCGTTCTGTTCGCCATCCTGTGGCAGCCGCCTCGGGTCCGCCACCGAAAGTGTTCCTTCGCCGATGCGCCGAGTCTACTGAAGGACTGTCAAAAGATGTTTCATCTGAAATGCGGCGCATGGTTTCCTCCCGCTCTGAGCTCGCAGGGGTGAGCTGTGGGGTCGGCGAGGGTCCTGCGGCAATTGCTGGCGCCGCGTGACCGCGTTCAGCGCTGGATGAGAACGAAGCGATGTTCGGCGAGCGCTCTCCTCGCTGCAAGTTCGTGATGAGATCAGATAGAGCAGCCGAATCTTGTGTGCTGGGTGCGGTGTTTGAAGCAACGCCACGGCTGCCCGTAGAGTCCCCGCGTGAGGTGTCTGCGATCGTAGACAGATCTCCTCTTCGAGAATCTGCGTATCCTGACGTCGCAGTGCGGTATGAAGCGATGGACGTCATGGTTGTGAAGCGGGAATGCGCATCTATGCGCGACCCTTCTCCGTGCGAGTCGGGGAAGGCCAAAGCAGCAGTGCGAGCCTCTTCTGGCTGTTCCTCAGAGTCCTCCATGTCTCCCATGTTCCGCGACGATCGAGAAAGCTGCCACATCTTCGGCACAGCTGGCCTTGGATCTCGAGACGCTTGAGTGCCGTACGAATTAGTGAGGAGATCTGTTGAGGAGCCTGCAGTAAGTGCGATGCCCATTCCTTCATCGGTAGAGGTGCTGTATGCGCTCGCATCGCGCTGCATGACCCCAACAGGCGTGCTCTGTCTCGAAAGCAGCGCATCGGAGAAGGAGGTCTGAGCTCGGCTGGGGTATTTAACCTGTTCAGAGGCCAGCGAACCATACGGTGAGGTCGAAGCGCTCGACAGCGCTTGCAATGTCAGGGATCTGCTGGGTCCAGCAGCGTGTACGCCGGTGTTTGCGAAAGTCGGTGTCGTCGACCGCGCAAAGCCTTCCCTATCCGCCTGGCCAACGTGACTACTGGTCACCGAGTCTAAACTTCTACGCCCACCGTTTCGGAGCGGCGCTTCCATGGCCGGGCTCAGGGTGGCACGAGCGGCGTAAGCGGCAGCTGGAGCAGCTTCGGACCCCACTCGTGTCGATCTCTGGCCATTATTCTCGGCGGCACTCAGCTCCATCTTATTGCGGCGGGGCGAGTCGCGAGAGCGAAAGGAGGAAAAGAGGCCTCTGCTGTTTAGGCTTCTGGACGAGTCACGCGACGTTCGTGTCGAGCCACTGTTCCCCTTGGATTTGTGATCATCGCTCAGACCACCGAACTCGCTTGACTCCTCTGGCAATCCCTCGGGACGCGACTGTGCAGTGGCAGAGCCCCGCGAAGGGTCCGTCCGAGTTCCATTGCTGACAGAGGTGGACTTACTTCGTCCAAACATACGCTTCATGGACAAGAATCCAGACGTGCTACGAGGTGATGCAGCTGCTTCTGCGCGTGGCGATTTGCGAGAGGAGCTTTTGCGCGACGGAAAGAGTGGAAATGTCTCAGCACACCAGCTGTTTTGTGGTGCAGTTGCACATTCACAAACTTACATGCTTCTTAGCTCCTCCCTTACTGCAGCCTTGTCTCTTTTGCCTAAGCTGGCACCTTCGCTTTCTGCCCGCTTGCCTTCCCCACGCACCACTGATCTCTGCTGCATTGATCGCCCGTTGATTCGCGAAGCTGCAGGGGGAGAATTTTCCTCCTCTATCACGGGTGGTGGCGCAGCCGTGATATCGCGCTCGGGCATGTGCAGGGTCAGGCTGGCATTCGTAGCGTGCGTATGATCTACGATTGAGGAGCGACTCGGTGCCCGCAGCAATGGATGTTGTGAGCTGGGATGCCCGGAGCCTGTGGCTGACGTGGAGCCGGACGGAGAGCTCAAGAGCCGAGGCAAGCCACTTCTGGAAGCGTTGGAGCCACCTCGTGGGCGAGTCGAGAGACCGGCGCCCTTGCTTGGTCCGCTAAGAGAGACGCTGCGTGATGGGCGCGAGGCGTCATTGCCAGAAGAAGCTGGCATTTGGCTTGGAGCCATAGCAGCGACCGCCATGCCGATGCTGTCCCGCTGTGACGGGGAGGTCGGGGGCGTGCCTGCTCGCGTGCTCCTGCTTTCCGAGCGCGATGGCAAAAAGAGGCTGAAGAGGCGGCCTTGCAGCAGCGAACTTGAGCCCGAATCCCGCTTGCGATGGCGGTTCCTGTTCAGGTGAGCTGGTGGATGGGACTGAGGCCGCGCTTGCTTTGTAACTGGGGCCGGTACGTTCTCAGGACCAGACAGCCTCTGATGGGTTGCTGACGCGTGACCAACGGGTACCAAGTCGCTTCGAGAGCCTTGTCGAGGCGGAGATGGTGATGGAGAGGGATCTGAGAATGTGCGACGATGACGAAGTCGGCTAGGATGCGGCGGCGTGGAGGGCGAAAGCACGTTGCGACCCAGATGGGAAACGGAGGCCGGTCGCCTGTTCGAGTACAAATGCAGACGCGAAGTGCTTGGTGACGACCGAGGGGCTGGTACGGAAGCGCCTTGCAGGTGGTCGTCTTGATGATCTCTGCGGTCTGGCAGATACGAATCTACTGCAGCCCGGCTCGTACCCAGAAGATGACGCGGAGACCCGTCTGGGCGGCCAAATAGCGCAACGACCCGCTTGGGGCCGCTTGATGGGCTGTCGTCGAGTGCAGTGGCCCAACTAGGCGGCACAAATTCGGGATCGAGGTGCGAATCAGTTCCTTTGCCGGTACTTGCAAGTTGCGCGAGAGCTTTGGGCGCTCGGTCGTCGCGTCCAATCTCTCGAAGCCGAACACCGCTGCGAGGCTCTTGCCAGAAAACGTCAGCTTCAAGGGCCGAAAAGGGTCGCACTTTCACTGGCGACGAGTGGGATCGCTGCTGACGCGTGGTATAGTGCCCTGGGTGCGAACGCTGAGAAGTTGGTACGATGGCTCGCTGCGCGTTGGTATCTCGCGGAGCAAGGGCCCTAAGCTGCGCGAGCGGACCGCCCGAGGCGCTCGCTACTGAGGGTGTGGCGGGCGAGGGCGAGTGACTTACGGTGGCCCTGCGAGGGGCTCTGTTGGACTGCCCCGGCTTTGCTTCCGTAACCTCAGCGCCGCTGCCTCCGCCTACGCCAAGACCCTGAAGTACAGCAGCGAGAGAGTTGCTGCTTTCCGACTTTGGCAGCACGCTCGGGCGCGATCGAAAGGATGAAGGATGAAGGACTGAGACGAGACGAGACGATGATGGAGCGATACATCAGCACAAGACACGTCGAGAGGTTCGCGTGAACGTCGCCAGGTATCTTTCCTCACCTGAAGTTCCCGCTGATGTACGAGCTGGCGGATGATCAGATGCAGTGGCAAGTACTCCAATGAGACTGGTACCGCTCAACGGCCTGGTGAGGTCCAGTTCGCTGATTTGACTGGCTCTCCTCAGCTCCTCTCCACGGCGTCGGCCTGCGGACCCAGAGGGGCTTCGAGGCGGGGGAGGAAGCGACGTCGGATGCCTAGCATTCGCTGACCAGATCCCATGCACCAGGTTCGGCTCGTACACGTCCGATGAATTTCCCGGAATTGATCCGCGTCGTGAAGTCGAGGCGGCGCGGGAGAGCACTGGCGTGGCGAAAGTGTCGATGTCCGGCGAGATAGGCGAGCAATTGGTGCGGAAGCCTTCAGCTGTCTGTGCCCCGCGCTGATCGATGTTGGGGCCTACAATATAGGAGAAGGCCGAGTTCGGAAGGCCCGAAGCGACGTGTGAGGGAGGCCGGTGGTGGGTGCTTGGATCGGGGAGTCCCGTGACGCGCGCGAGCGGAGAATACAGAGCGGAATTACTTGAAGCGCCTGCGGACTGCGTGGAGGTCAAGATGGGAGACTTCTGACCTTGTTGACGGGAGGTGGACGATTGCGCCCCGCGGCACGGTTGGGGTGATGAGAGTGAAGAAGTGGAAGTGCGAGCACCAAGAGCGAAAGTTGTGCTTAATCTCCGCGTCAGCATCGCAGCGGGATGCCGCAAAGCTTCGCTGCCCACGGCAGAACGCTCGTCCTGCGCCTGCCGCTGCTGATACTGTGGCTGATGCTGCTGCTGCTGCTGCTGCTGCTGCGCCTGAAGCTGCTGCTGCTGGTGGAGTTGGGCAGTTGATGGGTGAGACGCGCTAGCGTCTGCACGACGTGCATGAGCAGCTGATGCAGCAGCAGGCGCCTCGTTTGCCATGGGCGCGTGCCTTGAGACGCCATCTTGAGACAAGGCAGATGATGAAAGAGTTGCGCGTCTGGATGCGGCTGATGGCTGAGACAGCCCTTGCGGCCGATGCGATGAACCTTCGTGATGATGCTCATCACTACGACCGGATGGATGTTGATCTCGTCGCGATGAGGTCATAAACGTTCTCGGCAGAGTCATGGGTCTCAGAAACAAGGATCGACGCGTTCTCGACTCCTTGTGCTTCTTCACGTCGTCTGCCTTCGAAGAAGAAGCCTGCTGCTCCTCCTCATCGACGCATGTGTCGGCCGTACCTTGACCAAGGGCTGCGCGGCCCTTCCTTGCTCGCAAGGTGGCAGAGACAGCAGCAGCAGCAGCACGACCCACGCTACCATTGCTGCTGGTCAGGCTTCCGCTGCTGTTCGCGTTCTTCAATAGAAGTGCGCGCCTAAGACGGCGGCTTCGCGTGTTCGTCCTCCGACGATTTCGCACTCGTGGAGGCGAAGCGTCACCTGCTGCCGCATTGCGGAGCGAGGAGTATGAGGCCCCGGCAGCCATCACGTCAATGTCACCTACACAGCCGATCCACCGTCACAGATGGGATCGAACGACGTGACCGCGAGGCGCGGCTGGATGTCAGCGGTCGCCAGATCTCAGGCGCCGTGCTTTGCCGAGGCCAGGCCCTGATGTTTGCGGCTCAGCTATGCAAGGAGCTCGGATAGCGCGCGCGAGTGTGTGAACTTGTTGTGTGTGCAGCTTCGGCGCTCTGAAGACGAAGGTGGCTTGCGAAGAGCTTGCATGGGAGCGAGCAGGAACGAGCAGCAAGAAGTCATGTCAGCTTCCGAGACAAATCAAGGTGTAGCCTCTGGTCGCTTGATATGGACTAGCGTCTAGCACTGCTGCCAAGGGACTCTTGCCGTCATTCGATCGCGCCCGTGAAGGATATGGTTTCACGAGACGGCCGAACTGTTTGTTATCACCCCGCTCAATTTCCGGCGATCCCCGCATTAATTGGCCTTTTGCCGCTAAAGAGGGTGATTTGCGGAGAAGTGCCACTCAACTGCAAGCCCTCCTTTTGAAGATCGCGCAAGTCACAGACAAATTCTTGGCTTCTACAGGCCACACTGACGACGGCTGGCGATCTCTATAGGGGCTTGAGAGAGCGGATCTGTGCGAGCTTCGACGTTGCAACTTTGCGCAGCTTGGCTCGCCGCGAGCAGCAAGCGCGCGCTACGGCATGCGAGAGACGCGACGCGCTGCAACGCGACTTGTCCTCCCACGCGTGTATGCCTGCAACTCCCCAAAAAGTCGAGCAGCGAGCACGACCACTGTGACTGTGACTTGAGCGGACCCACATCGTTTGCTGCGGTAGCCCCTGACTGCGAGCTGGTCTTCGTAGCGGCCGACGCACGCTTCGAATCGGAAGGCCATTCACATTATACTCCTCGAAGAAGTGTAGCGCACAACTCACCTTGTTGTCTGTTGCCGTTATATCGGGTTGGATGGAAGGCCATCTGCGGAGAAAAATGAGCGGAGATGACTAAAGGTAAATGATTGACCTGCTTCCAATTGTGAATGGACGTCCTGTCGGTCCACTTGCGACAGGCTCACCTGAAGAAATCGGCGGCTAGCCTGCGTGTGACGCAAGAATGTCCCCGCTGCGAACGCTCCTCAACGGAGACGAACTTGTAAGCCCTCAGGCTGATTAGTCAGAGTTTCGCGCGGAAATCTTTACGTAAATGATCGTGATGTCTCTTGCGGTCTTCGTCAACTTGATTTGACTTATGGCGTCTGTTCTTTGAAGGAACTGGATGTCGTAGGAATAGTCATCTGCGTATCGGATACGAGCAAGAACGTGACGGCGCCGGGAATGAGACTTGGCGTGAGTCGGACCGAGTCGTGGCAAGTGGGGCAGTCCCAGAGGGGCATAAGAGTTGGTGTGCTGAGTGGCTCTTTCGTGACTTGAGAAGTGAAGACGTAGCTCGTGATTGATGCGACGTAAGCTGCTCTTTTATCGCCAGGAGAAGAAATGCGGATGGAGGACGTGTGGTAGATGACGGCGGCGAGTGTGCGCCCAGGAGCGAGAGAGGAAAGACTATAAACAAGGACGATCACTGCCTTTCGATGGCCCTGACATCTATGAGCTGTGATGGGCTTCGACAGCGGAACACGTGCCTGGCAGCGGTCGAAAGGCAGTGAGTGGTATCTCGGACAGTCAGGCAGGGTCGGCCAGGTAGGGGGTTCGTCCCTTTCAAAGCCTTCAGAGCTTGACCATTATGTCGGGCGAGCGTTCGGATGGCGGAGGAGCGTCGCTCAACTGTTCTTACACCGGACCTAGTGGGCCACGATTGGCGGATCCGTCATCGCCCAGACCGGGCGGCAAAACAGCGGCAGTGCTGGGTCGGGGTGGTGCATATCGCGTGCGCGGCGACATGCGTGTATGCACGGCTTCCACAGCAACAATCTCATTGCAAATCGGAGCGGGATGGCTAGGTACAGCAGCTGGACTGGGATGCTATGCCCGCACATCCACCCAATTCCAACTTTTGAAGAGTTCAGCGTACGTATGCCGAGGTCTATCAGCGCGCAGCTGCACCAGGGGCAGACGAATTCTTGGAAGCACTGATGAGGCGTTTCTGCAGTCCTGACTTGCAGGTACATAGGCCAAATTGGGCTTTCTCTCCTACGCTTCTTGGACGCACCGCACCGCCCTTCTCCTGCCGGCCTCGGGCAGTAGACGCCTGCTCGATATACTCGCGACTGTAATTCCGCATGACCATGCCGAGGCCCAAATTCCAACATGATCGACAATGCACCACACTAGCCTCCGAGCTGCAGCATACAATCAGCCACCGCGCGTCGATCGAGCGTCATGTCTGCCTGCTTAATTGCGCTCTTCCGCTCGTCCCCCATTTGATTCCCTCTTTACGCTACCGCACAACATTTGAAAGCCGAGCACAGCAAGGCGTGAATGTTCGATTCCCGATGATGGTTCTGTATAGGTAATTGGCACAGACCACGCACGCACTGCCCATGACGTTGCTCAAAGACCGCGTTGCCAACATTTCGGCTGTCAACCGGTGGTCCTCTGGCTGCCTTTGGAGTGCATGCCTGACTAGGGATTCGCTTACGGTGGTGACAAACGGTGTGTGAGAGAGGACTGCGCATGGAAGGTGTCGGAAGCTTGATACTGCGCTGCAAGCCCGACCTTTCACCAGTCACTCGGGTCCAAGCTAATGCAGCTCCATGTTTGCTCGAAGTGTGAATCATGGCAGTATGGAGGATAACAAACAAACAAACTTGAACGCCGCCCTTCGCTCGTCTCGGCTCATTTGAAGACGGAAGAGAGGGTCTACATTGCCGACACGCTACATACTCTGGGCCACACCACAGCTTCATCAGCCTTCAGACCTATAGTTTCGTTATGTACAGACATGCGGCGACTATATCGTCGGTCGCCTGCGGTTAGGCTGTACTGATCAAGTTCGATGTGACCTTCGAAGTGCGGGTTGGTTCATCTTGAATCTACAAAAGAGCCGAGCGAAGCCCGCATGAAAGTGCAAAACCTTCTGCAAGATGTGAAACACACGTCTTGAAGAGCCCGCCCGCCCGCCTCGAGGACGCAACGCGATGTTCGGTACGAACGCGTCCATGCGGCGCAGCTAGGAATCGTCGATCGCTTGTTGCTGTACCACGCGCGTCGTGGCGCGAATGATCACGAACACGGATATGGGTCAGACGTCAGATTCAGCTAGCATCCGCGACGCGCGATTGAGCCGTCGCCGATCAAGGGATTCGAGAACCTTTTGCTGATGAACATCCAAATCATCCTGAACGCTATTCACGTGATTCACGATTTCGGGTCTGACTTTTGACTCACTCAAAACTCACCCGGCACGTCTAACTCAAACTCACTTCGCGTGCTGTTTGTGGGCAGTCGCAAGTGCTCTGCAAGCGTTGAAATGCAGCTTCAAGGTGAACGCTTTCCACCAGATCAATCATTCTTCAAATCACCAACAGCGCTGGGACGTCTGCTCGTCATGAAGTCTCGACATCCCCGACGCTCGACCTGGATGGAGGTCTGGAGCAGCTAGGGACCGATACTCACTGCTTCACACAATAAAAGACGTGCTCAGTCATCAACACAGTGCTCAGGCAAAGTATTCGAATGGCGTATCGAATGACGTATAGGTCTATGAGTGGAGTGAGTGAGAAGCAAGGTGACGGAAAGCGAAGGCTGCGGCACGAGGGCCGCGCATAGGATGGTGTGTTCCAGATGGCGCAAACGCGAGAGATGGAAGTGGATTTTTCGAGGTCGAGCTATGATTAAACTTGCGTACCTACGGAGGCGGGAGTAGACCAAGCCAACAACCCAGGCTCGTTGGGAGCGGGGATGGAAGGCTCACGGATGGCCGGAAGCAAGGGCACGAAGTTGCACAATGCGACCAGAAGCCAGATGTGACGGTAGAGACAGAACGCGAGAATGGAGGAGACCAAATGATACAATGAGTGGTACGCCAGTACTCGACTCGGTGGTGCGACTCGTGTATCGAGCGCGTGTCCCTTCTTCGGAAACAGCCGTGTCGGAGAGCAGAAAGCTCGAATCAAGGAGCTAACACTGCTTAGTTGTCAGCCTTGGTAGAGTTGGCTGCCCATCCAAACGTGACGTTGGCAATGGAGGGAGGAACCTCGTTGGCGGTGACGTTGGCCAAGGCCTTGTAGCCGTCCGCGAGGATGATGGTGTTGGGCTCGGAGGCGGGCATGAAGGTGGTCACGACGGCGGAGACGTTCATCTTGTTGGCATTGTTAACGATCACGAGTTCCTTGCCGCAAGCGGAAGCGAGATCGTCGTTGCTAACGAGCTCAGAGGGGCCCACAGCGACAGCAACTTGGTTCTTGCCAACCTTGGCATCTGGGCAGCCAGCGTTGCCGACTGCTGCCCACCATTGAGGAACACTGGTAACGTTCTTGCCGCTGATGGCGCCGCCAGCAAGGTCAGAGTCGTTGGCAGTGGCCGAAGGAGAAGGTGCAGACGAAGTGGTGGAGCTAGGGCTGGGAGTCTCGGAGTGAGTAGAGGAGGTTCGCTGAGCAGAAGATGACTGCGATTGCTGAGCTTGGCGGTTGTTGCCAGAGTTGTTGTTGTTGCTGCTGCTAGAGTCGGAGGAGCCTTGACCAACAAAGTTCCACGACATTTGGAATTGACCGAGGCCGAGGTTGCCGTTGGTCAAAGAGGAGAAAAGGTTGCGACTCATGTCGAGGTCCCCGCTGTTAGGGCAACTTGGGCAGGCATCGACGATGGTAGCGCGCTGAGTGTTGCCATTGTAGTGGATCTCGATTTGACGACCACAGTACTGGCTCTTGGCACCGGTGAAGCCATACATGTTGGTGTTGAGTGCAACGACATTCTCGTTGCCGCTGTTCGTCCAGCCGCAAGCGCCCAGGCCGACGGCGTAGTAGGTTGCGCGGCCGCTCGATCGACGAGCGATGGGCGCAGCGGAGACATTGATCGCAGCTGCGGCGGCCACAATGGCGAACAGGATAGTCTTCGTGGAGAACATCTTGAGTGGTGAGTGCGCGAAGCTGTGGATACTTGTGTGAGTGTGTGAAGGGGGTGTGTTGGATGATGAGTCAGAAGAGGGAGTGTTGCTTGACGAGCTAGGCCAGTCGAGAATGAGTGTGTGTAGGGGAGAGGGGTTGGTGATGTTGCAGATCGGGTTGATGGTGAAGGGAGACTTCTGCTTCGGAGGAAGTTAGGAGGTCGTGCGCTTCTTATACAAAAGAGCTGGACTCTCGGCATCCAAAGTGCTCCGTCGACATGATGCCCAGTGGATCCTCATCCTCGTGCCGGATGTAGTCAGCTCTTGCCGTGAAGGCTGATGAGGCTGCTTGACTTCTCGATGGAACCACGGAGCAAGGGCCGCCTTCATATTACACCTTCAAAATTTTCAGATCGACAAGGCGCAGAAGCTCCTTTGCTGCAGTCGATCAACGTGGAGGGCCTGAGCAGCTTGCACACGGTCCGACCTCGGATCGGCAAGCAGATTGTCAAGGGTAGATGACCCGGAGCAGGAAAGAGAGGGAGGGTCAGACGCGAGGCAGACCTTTGCTCCCGCAAGCCGAGTTGGAACGATCAAAATCGAGGGTGTCTCATGCGCCCCTGGATCAAGCACACAGGATCACGGACGGATTTGCGTGCTTTCGTGGCGCCTGCGGCCGTCTAATTTGAATCAAAGTGAATCATGACTTGACCTCGCTACGCGCGCCGAGTGGAGTTACGATTGAGGTCATAGCGTGAAAGACGGCAATGAGCTCTACCTGGGCATGAGATGCTGCGTTTCGCGGCAAAAAATTTGGATCGGACATCTGCAAATCGAATCAGGGTTCGGCGCGCGGCGTCTCAGGGAAGTGGCCGCTTTCCAAATGATCTGCGCGGATGCATGCATGATGCACACAGCTCAGCCACATCACCACCGGCCGGGGGGCTCACACTGCACCTGCCTGCTGCTCCCTGAATCTGAATCAGGGCACTTGACTCATGCAATGCGTTGTAATTCACGATTGCATTACAGGGACGAATGAAGCAGGCGAGGGGAAGCACGCGCATACATATGAAGAGGCCCGCCTAGCTGGCGTTTATTCCCCTGCGCGTTCGGTGTTGCTCCTCAGTCGCACCTGCAGCGCCGCGCATGGGGCTTCAAGTAGGGCCCCTCAAATCCAAGAATCAAGAATCGATCGACCTTTCCGAACTTTGTTCCGTCATTCCTCGCGTGGCAGACTCGGATGCTGTGAACTAAGAGCCAGACGCCGTGCGCTTAAATCACAAGTCCTCACGATGCTTAGCACACGTCCCGCAAAAGACGTCGTCACGCAGTCTGGTCTGCTCGATGAGTACAGCGGCATTCAATCATGCTCTCCTTGCTAGGAGGCAATTAGGACAATCCCCTTGCTGTTGCATGAGTTCAAAAGCAAGACGAGAGGGCCCGAGGAGATCGACTCAGATAGGCAGAGTTAGCCGGCAAAGAGGGTCGAATCGGCCAGAGCTTGAGCAGATGGACAGGCGGCAGCGAGCAACTTGATCGATCGAGACGCTCAATTCGTGATTCTCGATTGCGGTTAGTTGGGGTTAGGACCTGCGCTTCAATCCCACTACAGTGACTCAAGACGGGCATGACCAGGCAGGCAGGCACCAGCGCGCGTGGATCGCTCTTGCATGCAGCAGAAGCAGCCGGCGGCCTGAGACACAAAGAAAGAGCTTGACGGCACTCTGACCTGAATCGGTCCGGTCCGCTCATGCTGTGCCCATACTCAGCATGCACGCGACTGTGAGGTTGCAGTCTGAAAGTCGTGAGTACGCGCGCATCGCGAGCTGCAGAACACGAATTCGAGGGTGCTCGCAGCTCCACGCCCGACGTTCTTCATTCTGCCGTGAGTGTGATGTCTATAGCTGCATAATTTTGAATCGAGACATCTCTGCCAAGAGTCGGCACCATGGTGTCACGTGCTGGTGACAGTCATGACGTCCTCGAACAATCGTGAAAGATCACCCGCGAATCTTCATCGGATCACAAAGTGCGGCGAATTCAAGATTGAAATCACGATTCTTGAACGAAAATCACGTGAAGATTTTTCGACCACGAACCGACGCTACGGGAGGCCCGTGTGGATGCACGGCGACTTCGGATTCACGTGATTGTTGATTTTTGATCCTTGATTTGATTTTTGATTGTGATTCAAGATTCAAGATTATTTTAATCTTGAATGATTCCGTCTCCTCTCGTGCACACGACGTTGATGTCAGGCTCCGAACTGAAGAAGACATATAGATGGCGAGTGTTGGGAGCTGCTTGTCATCACGAGCACTTTGATAAAGACGTCCCATATCTTATGTGAGTCTTTAAGTCATGAGGTGCGTGTCCTCAACAAAGAAGTTCTGGTTTCCGCTGTCTTTGCGAAAGTCACGTGACTGTCACAGGCAACTTCCTGCATCTGCACGAGAGCACAGGCAACCCCCCTGATCATCCAAGCTAATCACGATCGGGCCCCCTTTCTGATGAATGTGGAGGCTCTCTTGCTTAAAGCGCCTGAGCTAAGCCCTTTTCTGTCGCCTTCACCATTGCGATTGCCCCAAGTCATCACAATCACGACCCTACCTGATTTTGGCTGCCCATCCCAAGCAAGCAGGCAAGCAAACATGACTTTCCCTACCACTACTCGTGCCTGGACCTACAGCGGACCCTTTCCTCGCGGTTTCAAACTTTCCACCATCTCTGTTCCTCAGCCAGCCGAAGATGCATCCGCTCAGGACTCGCTGATCGTTCGCGTCACAGCCGCTGCTCTCAATCCAGTAGACATTCAGCTCATGAACTTGCCCCGTGGCTTGTTCGAGCGCGGCAAGAGTGAAGAGCGCGGCATCGGATTTGACTTTGCCGGCGTCGTTCTGACTGCACCCAAGGACAGCGGACACCAAGTCGGGGATGAGATCATGGGCACCACCTTCTCCCCTCTCGCCATCCACCGGGGCACCTTGGCCGAGGTCGCCGTGCTGGACGCCAAAGCAACTGTGGCAGTCGCCAAGCCACAGGGCTGGACTCACGCTCAAGCGGCCGCCATTCCGCTCGTGTGGCTCACGGCCAAGACTAGCATCGAAAGCGTATCGAGTTACTTGACCATGTCCAAGCCAAAAGTAGTCGTTCTCGGAGGCAGCTCGGCGACAGGTATCTATTCCATCATGCTAGCCAAGCGTCAAGGCTGGACGATCCTCTCGACCAGCTCGGCCAAGAACAAAGATTTTTTGATATCCCTGGGCGTGGACGAGCACGTCGATTACACCAAAGACGACGTCCGACAGCAAGTGACGAAATTCCGGCCAGATGCCATCATCGACTGCGTGGGCGGCACGGAGTGCATCGGCATTGCTGGCAATAAACGCTATATCACCATTGTTGGAGACAAGACAAGCCGTGATACGATGGGCGGTCCATATGTCTATTACGACCTGAGGCATCCCGTCAACGCTGTCTCGCAATGGATTCGCTGGGTCAAAGGTCACGTAGGTCTGGGAGAAAGCTACGACATCGTTCATCTGGAATACCAGAAGGATTGGTTGCAGGATGCTCCCGAGGTACTGGCCACAAAGGACATTTTTATTGACAGCGTACATCCTTTTGAGCGGGCGGACGAGGCTTATAAAAGACTTGATACCGGCCGCGCTAAGGGCAAGGTCGTTGTTGAGATTGGCGCTTAATGAGAATGGCATTCTTGATTCTTCGAATGGTGTTGCGTGACATGAAGCTTCTGATACCGGGGCTGCACTCGTATGTGCAAGTCGCTTCGGCGACCTGCTCGCATCAAAGGCTGTCGAAAGTGGGATGGCTGAGACGCGTAACCGAGTGCAATCGGCCTCCGGTCTGAAGTCCGCTCGTGGAGTCATGAATCTGCTCGGCCTCTTTCCCAAGCATGCTGGTGATATCGAGAGCCGGACACCGGTCAGGGTTCGTTTGGGCACATGCGTTGCCCTTTGGTGTGTTCAGTCGATACATTGCTCGAGATGACTCCGACTGACCCTCCGGTGGGGCTGTGCGTGGGAAAATCTTCTTGAAAGACGTGGACTCGCAGGATTACGTCCGATCAGTCATTCGCTGCATGGTAAAGCTTCCCGTCGAGGGACAGTCAAAAAGTCACCACCAGCTGAGTACGAATTCAAAGAGGGGTCTGACGTTGCAGCAGCTGTCACGTGTCACAAATTTGGGGTTCACCTCTAACACAGCCTCTCTGCAAGCCTCTCTCAATCAATTCGAGTTGTGTATGCACGCACAGCACCTTCTTTTTCGGGCCATCTGTACGAGCCGCAACGCGCGAATCAGATTCGCGCACCATTCTTGATCCACCGAGCCTGGCCCGTCGCTAGGGCGAACTGCAAAACTTTCATCCAAGAGCGGTCGTTCCCATGCAAGGTCGGCTCTGAGTTGTCTAACGCGTCAAGAGCCGGGCCATGAGCAAGCCAGACTTGCCGGATTGGCATTACCAGAACAGCTGTACCGTCCAGTACACAGCACGCTGATGGGCAACTCATGGTCTAGAGAGCGATAATTTCAAGCGTCACTGTCCATTGGATCGGCGTTCTCGCCGTGCAGGGTTGCGGTCCTTGTGCGTGAGAGAATTACAGATGGGGCTCGTGAGCTGCGATGCAAGCGAAGGGTCGCAAGGTGAGAAGCAGATCGCAGGGGGGAGCAGACTATGTACACAGAGCGACAAGGCGGGCGCCTATAGAAGCAGAGTCCTTGCATACTCGAGGTTGTCAAAGATCCAGAAGGGCACGGCGCGTCGGCGACGTGCTGGTGGAGGTCGACGTTGTAAGGCCGGTTCCTCGGCATTGAGAGCTGCAAAGGGTCGGCCACGCCGCGTCAGCCGTCAGTTCAAGCGCCCAATACTCGGCAATGAGATACGCACAAAGCAGGGATGCAGGTCAGGTAACGACACCAAGAGCAGGCTTTGCTGGGGTCCTCCGAATTGGCAGTGACGCCAATGCCAATGACTGAGTGGATGCTCGGTGCAAATCAGCATGGCTGTCTACAGGAGAGAGAGAGAGAGCAGCGCAGGACTCACAAAATCCGATGAGCAGGCCAAGTCCGATGACTCGACACACCCAAATGGTGATGCGATGTTTCTTTGTGAGATGAATACTCGGGCAGACAGCCATGCCTCCCAAGGTACCGACAACAAATCCGCCAATATGCGCCCAATTGTCCAGACCAGGCAGTAGGCCGATACCAAATCCAATTGCCGCGAAGACCAGAGACATTACCAGACGAGTCTTCGCTCTGTACTCGTGCGCCCAATTGTAGACGAGGTCCACCAACTCGACACTGATGCAGGTGTAGATGGCACCAGAAGCGCCTACACTTGGAATGCCGGGCAGCGAAAAGCTGGCGCCTAGCAGATTGCCGCCAATGCCGCCTGCGATATACAGGATGCCGTAGAGCGGCGTCGAGAGCAGCTTCTCGATCTGACAGCAAAGCGTCAGCTGGACCAACAGATTGAAGATGATGTCTGAGGCGAGAGCAAAAGACAATGGCGCTGTTAGGTCACACCTCCCCGAGTGAACATCGGACCGTTCGCAACTTACGAATGAAGCCAGCATGGAGAAACTACGACGCAAGAGCAAGCATGTTAGCTATGTGGTGCGCGCAATCATCGTCGCGTCACGGGCTCACGATAGGCGTCACGTAGCGATAGCTTTGTCCAACAGTGTCGGCATCAGGCAAGCCGCACAGCTGCCAAATAGGACAGAGCTGATCTTGCGTGTATGAATTGGCGTCTTGCGTGAGTTGATTCAAACAAGGAAGCTGCGTAGAGGTCGGGACGCTGGCGACTCTCCGCATGCACGGAACGAAGCGAGCGCCAAACGAGATCAGAAATTCAAAGGGAGGTCCCAGCATTGGGTTCCATTGCGGCTGGGTGGGTGGACATCGGTGATTGAGCTTCCGGTCTCTGCTATGAGCTCGCCAGCCAGCGCACTCACCTTGGTCTGGATGGCTTGACCCGTGGCGCTCTTCGCCTTGATGAGCTCGACAATGAACACCGCGACATAGACGATGCTACCAGCACAAGCACACGGCGACTCGCATCAACGCTGTACTGAAACGAAAGTAGGCTCGACGCGACCAGTGGAGTACTCACGCAAGGATCCAGCTAAGTATGGGCCACCGCTGACGGCCCACGCCTTTTCTCCGGCGCTCGATCTGCTCTTCAACAGATCCGCCCCAGCCTGCGCCTACTTTGCCTATGCGTCCGAGTAGTCCCCTCTCCTCGATATCGCCATCTTTGCCGCGCGGCGGCGGTGGCATAGCGTTACTGAACAAGGCTGGCCCATGGGCAGCAACACTTTTGTCTTCGTAGCCGTAACCTCCGCCATCCCTCATCTGCCTGTATTCGTCGTCTTCGTCCTCTGCATATCCCATTGCACCTGCGTGATGCCTCAGCGGTAAAGCTTGAGTGCTGGATCCGTAAGCCCCATGCGCAGCTGCAAAATCATCGACGGAAGCTTGCGAAGCGTGGTAGCCATGGCCTCCGTAGCCCCGACTGGCATGATAGCTGTCGTCGTAATCATAGCCCTGATTGCCGTACGGTGCGGGGACGGCGGGAACAGGCGGTGCATCAGAATGCGCCTGACTTCCGCCAAACGGGACGTTGTATGAGCTGACGCTGTCGTGCGGTGCAAGGGTGGTGATGGTGCCATTCCTCGTGAGGTTGGCGTGCTGAGCCCCAGCGCTCGTGGAGACGACGCTTGGCCCTATATGCGTGCCAGCTCCAGCAGTGGAGGCGTACTCGAAAGGATCAGTGTACTGGCTAGGCGTCTCGGGCTCTTGCAGGTAAGCATTTGCGCCTGCTCCGACGCCTGCTCCGCCAGCTGCGGCGGCTGCAGTGTGAGGCGCAGGCCCAAGGTCTCCGCCATTCGCAATTGCACGACTGGAATCGAAGCCCGAGTCGTTCCTGTATGCATTGTTGCCGCTCTGCTTCTCGTCCCCAAATCCCTGCTCTGCCCCGCCGTAGGACAGGTAGGTAGGTGGTGCGGTGGTGGATCCTGATTGACCCCTACTGTGATATTGTGAAGTGTATCGAGACATGCTGATCGCAACTTGAAGGCAGAAAAAAGTTGGATTGCGATGAAGACAGAGATTGGGGGAGTTCAGTATGCCGGTGCTGAAGGTCGAGACGCAAAAAGAATGCTCGTGAGTCAAGGTGAGGCTGGTGCTGGCTGGCTAGTCTTTTGCGTGTTCGATACGAACGAATGGAGGCGGATCCTTTCAGAACGTGGGATCGTGTCCAGCAATCGTGAATCGCGAGTCGCGGGTGCGTGCGAGTGACGTATGTGAGTGGAGTTAGCGAAGACGAAATTGGCAACTTTGTGCAGAGACTTTGGTCGTTGGCAAACGTTTCATGCAATGAGCGACCATCCGACGTGCTGCATACAGAACGGGAGAAGTTGAAGCCTTTGGCGTTCAAGCGGGGCGCCGGCAAGTCCGCGTCACACTCCATTCAGACTGGCACTAAATAGCAGGCTGGAGCCGCACACGCACAACCTCTTTATTCGTATTTCTACCAGGCCGTAAACAACCAAGGGCTTGTGACTCCCAGCTGCAGATACACAGCCACGCGTCGATGATTCAACAATCTTGAATCAAGAATCGTAATTCATTCACGTGTGATCCACAAACAAGTCATCTTTGGTGAATACAAGAAAAGGCGGATGCTGTGCCGATCGAGGAGCGCCGGGATGAGCGGGCTGAGGCGCGGCTGGCCGAGAGGCGTCGGCACAGCGACGCCCAAAGTGAAAGGTGCATGCGCCGGCGCGGGATCGATAAAATGGTGCTCATCTTTATATACATCCATGGCATCTACTGTACCGTATATGGGCTGATCGGCGTGGGCAACACGCGTGCCGTCATGCGTGCTGCGCCTCATCCTGCTGCATGGGTTCATGAATACGCGGGGATCGCCAAGCCACTCGTGACTCCTCGCGCACAATCACGACTCACACGACTCATCAGACTAAAACTCTTGACTGTATGTGCGTATAGCTTGCGCTGCTGCACGTGAAGTCTGCTGGCCGCGATAGTATGTTCTCGAGCAAATCTGGCCTCGCCGCTTAACTACCGACGTGCAGCAGTCACTCCTCTCTCGCTGAAAGGGCAAACGATCACGACTCATCAGGCAAGACAGCTTTTCGAACCATCATCTTTGTACATTCAGACTTGCCATGCGTACACTCCGAATTCTCGATCGACATGGGAGAGCAGAGATTTGAGCTGCACTCGTGACTCTCTCGTGCCAGACGGCGCTTCCCCTTCGAGCACGCGTACCGAACGCTGGCAACGGCCTCCAACGGCCCCAACGGCTGCCATGCGTCGTGCCTCTCCTGCTCTGAATGAGCGCTACTACTACTGCTTTGCACTCAACTTCTATCCGCCGTTGAGAGACTAAACGGCGAGGCTATACTTGACTTGGGTGCGCGTGAACAAGCCCGAACCGATCGTCGGGCTTGCACCCTCTCCCCTCGCAGCTCCGATTTACAAAGTCTGCCTTTCATCCCAACATCTCCTCGCGCTCAGTTGCTCGCCTTTCCCTGACTTTCCCTCACCTTCTTCAGCTTTTTCTTATGAGCAGGCCTGGCGTGCTCTTCACCTTCCTTTGAACCCCCCTTTCCTTCTCTCTCCCTTGCTCACCTTTCATCTTCGCACTGTGGCCGGCCGGCCCGTCGCCACAACCCAGTCTGTCCACGTCCACGTCCACTGACACTCACTCCTCACATTTTCTCGTTGGTGTCCGCAGAGCGGTAGCACCTCCATTTTCTATTCCGTGCTTCCACACTGGAGATGAAGCCTAGGAGCGGTTGGTGTGATGCGCCACGTCTGGCGCTCATTCTGCTCCTCTGCATGGTATGCTTCGTGTTTCACACCGCAGCGAGATCCATCGCACACAGTCGCCTCCGCGGAGCAGCGGCAGAGGATGAGCAAGCTCGTCCATCGCAGGTCTCGATGCGAGCCAGGAGCGTCGCTTTTGCAGCGCAGGCATCGCTCCTAGACGAGGAGCAATATCCGTTGGGCAGATCGACGCAAGACGGCGACACCTCAAAGCATCCAACATCACTAGCCGCCACAAGGATTGCTGACACTCAGTCAGAGGCGTGCTTCCACATCAATGGACCATCTGGGGGTGTACTGGACCACCTGATACACCAGCTGGGTCTCACTGGATTGGTCAGGCGCCGATACGACGAAGAGGACGAGGAAGGCGAGGACGCGTACGAAGAGGACAAGCCGGATGACAGCACCTACTCTGGAAAGAGCAGCAAGAGTGACAAGAGCTCAAAGTCCACCAGCAACGGGACCAAGCAAGAGGCTGACAGCAGCAGCACTCAACGCTCAAGGTCGAGCGGCAAGACCAGCAGTGAGACTGCGAGCGAGAGCGAGGACAGCACATCGAGCAGCAAGTCTTCCTCGAGCAAGACGCAGGACGCTTCCTCATCCGCAAAGGAAAAGAGCAGCACTTCAAAGGCTAAACAGACCAGCACCGGCGCTGCTCCGCCCGCCGCCAGCCAAGGGAGTGCCGCAGCGCTGCCGGTCGTCACCCCAATGGCCACGCTCCCTTCTCCTACGCCATCACCATTGATCTCGGGCCAAGCGCTTGGTGTCAATGCTAACGCAGATCCACCTGCTGCCGTCTCGGGTAGCTCCGCATCCCCGTCCTCCAGGAAAGCACAGCTTCTTGCGGCGCAGCTCAGTACGGCGAGGCAACGCGCACTGGACGCTTCGCGCCTAGCTAATGGCCCCACTAATGTCGCGACGTATGCTGCTGGTGGCGGCTTGGGGGGCACCAGTCCATCAGCTTCCTTCGGAGGGGGCTACAGCAGTCCAGCTATCAGCGACAGCTGGATCAGCCCTGCGCCAGGAGACGCTTTCACCCCCGGAATGGAAGTGGTCCTCACTTGGTGAGTTGCGCTGGACAAAAGCTCGGCAAAACCAGCGATGCAGTGGCTTACCGGATGTTCTTCTCCACCCTGACAGGCGACAACAAGCTGCCTCCACACCGGGCGTAGCTTTGAGTCTTTGCGTTCTGTCACAGCCCAGTGACCTTCGAGCGGCCCGAGCAGGTCGCTTCGTGGATGGCGGATGCGGTCAAAGCACCTCGCCAACCGTTTCTCCAAGTGTGAGCGGTCAGCCTAATACTTGGGAAATTCGTTTGTGAGTCGAGCGAGCTCGCCTGACGGACGATGCGGGGTCCATGGACCGGCATGGCTGATCTACTCGTCTTTGCTCTCCCTCCCAAAAAGCCCGGCGCCGTCCGTGTCTTCGGCGGACAGCTTTTATGTACTGCTTGCACCGGCGAGTTCCGATTTCGCCGCTTCTTCGAACGACGTTGCAGCTCCGGTTCGTGCCTCTACTTCTGCAATCAAGTCGAAGGAGAGCAGCAGTGCTAGCAGAACACTTAGCGCGGAGGAATCCTCGCAGACAAAGGGCTGGTCAAGCATGGACCCTTCTTCGAACGACGTTGCAGCTCCGGTTCGTGCCTCTACTTCTGCAATCAAGTCGAAGGAGAGCAGCAGTGCTAGCAGAACACTTAGCGCGGAGGAATCCTCGCAGACAAAGGGCTGGTCAAGCATGGACCGAGAGAAGAAAGATAGCAAAGAGAGCGATGAAGAGGATGGAGAAATCGAACGCCGAGGCGTCAGATACGTGGTCAGGCAGGCACCTGATGGAAGCGAACAGATGCTCTCACCCGCCTTCGTCCTGGCGCCGACTGGCACGGACCTCTCGGCCGTTCAAGCGCCGCCACCAGCGAACCCCAACGATCAAATGCTCGAGTCGCAAAAGTCTGGCAGATCTTTTCCCATTGCGGCGGTGGCAGTGCCTTTGGCGGTCGTCAGCGCAGCTCTTCTCATTGGTGTGGCTATGTACCTTTACCGAAGAGGTCAACGAGGAAGTTCTCAACAACAAGCAGCTCGAATGCAACAAGAAAGCAATGAGCGGCACTCGGTGCGACGCGAAATGGAAGACATGAAGCGAGCAGCTTCGATGAGCGTCGCAAGTCTTGCACTCGCGCGCTCCTGCAGTGGACATTCGATAATCAAGGACGGACATCTGGATAGCGCATCGATGAGCTCTGGCCCAAGCTACGGAGCTACTGACATGCGCTTTGGCCATTTGCGAGCAGCACCACGTCAAGCCCTCGCCGATGCCTACACTCCGGTGCTGCGCTCTACTCCCCGTCGATACCCACGCGAACGTTTTGGAGGGTACTCGAATCTCGTCAGACATGGGGGAAGGAGCGAATATGCTGCGCTAGGCTCAACAGTGGGTGCAGGTCACCGCAGAGCCGCCACGACGTACTCGACCAGATCAGAGGAGAGCGACGAGGAGAAGCTGATCGATTATCGTAGAGCGCATGAGATCGAGCCTTCGGAATTGGGCGAGTCTGTTCAACCGCTACTTTCGCGCAGTGGAACAGCGTCAAGTGTGCATCCATCACACACCGCTTCTTCCAGCAGCACGTTTACGAGCTGTCGAGCGGAACACCAGATGCCTCCGCCAGTTCCTGCGAAGCCCCCTATGCCCTGCGTGCTGCGACCAGGCGCAAACGCAATGCCGTGGGAGGTTCCCTCGGCTTCATCACGCTCGGGACATGTTTACGAAAGACGAAGTCCAATACCCGAAGCCGACTCTCCAATGACCAACCCTTTCAGCTCTTCGACACCTCGTGCTCACGCGAACCGGCAAACGCCGGTAGCCTCTCGTCTCCAAAGCCCTTCTCCTTTGCGAAATGAGCGGGTGTGCTCTAGTGGAGCGGCGGAAGTCAGCGCGGCGTCCGGCAAGAGAGGCTCGCCTGCTGGAACTGCCAGCTTCGAAAGCGTCGCCAAGGCAGGCGAGGCCGCTGATCTATACGAAAAGCTTCGAAGAGCGCTAGGAGGTGCATGAGGTGGACCGAGGCTCAGCGAGAATTAGCCCCTTTGCCATTTCACTCCCGTCCCAAGACCTGACCGCTGCCTGTCCGCATTTTGTCACCCTATTCCCTGAGCGACCGGATCGTTATTTTGTGGAAATATATCGCATTTATACACCTAAAGGTCAAGTCAGGATCCAGCTGGCATTTTGGTACCATCCCAACAGCGGATTGGAACCATCCCGAAGTCTAGTCTGATCGACTTGTGCGTATTGTTCTAGAAATTGAGCATGTGTGAGAATCTTGACCCTCTGCGCCCTGCCTCTGCTCGCTCTTGCCGAGCTGTAGAAAAAGTCTGGTCGAAAGGTGGGAGCAGAATGGGATATTGCATCTTGATCTTGCGGCGGCTGAGAAGGGAAATGATCGCTCATGACACGCGTGTAGATGTCTCTGAGCATCTGAAAATTGGTTGGAAAGAAAATGTCGAAGAAGCCTTGCAGCACTTTGAACGTTGTCACCGGTACCATTGTGCCGTTGAGCCTGGTCTGCACCACCGGCGCATCCACCCCTTCTATGGCGTCCGGCAGAGAGTGAAAGTCGCTAGCGATTAGACGATGCTGAGGAAATTTGGACCTGAGCACGTCCAAGAGGCGCAATTGACCAGTGGGTATGTACTGTGGAGGCGTGAGGTTGGGATAAAGGGGAAAGTGCTCGCTCAACACCTTGCGAATACTGGATGGCAGCGATGTGAGATGGCGCGGGGCAGAGATGGGCACCGCTGTGCCTCGCACGGCTCGCGAGAGCTGCAAGTATCGCGAGATGAGCGGATCTCGTACTGGCTCGTACAAGTCTTCCATATCGCCTGTGGCGTCGATGGAGACTAGACCCTGATAAGGCTGCAGGGTCGATGTGCTGTAACGCACGACATCGTGGGTGAGGTTGTCCTAGTCGGAAGCAGACCTGAGTATCAGCAATCAGGCAGGGCTGCCCATACACACCGCTGTAGACTCACAAGGACCTCGAGGGCGATGACAAAGCAAGGGGCGAGTACAGGGTCCTTCCACTCTAGGAAATTTTGGTTCGCCACTCTGACTTTGCCGGCAAAAGGTTTCAACTTCGCCTTTTGCTGTTGCGACAGCCTCTCGCTGATCTCTGAGATTACGTAGCGCGTTCTTTGAAACACGTCTGGTTCTTCGTCTCTCAAGTAGGCCAGAATGTCGTGAGCCAAAGCTCCCGATCCGGCTCCTAGCTCGTAGATGACTAGATCTTCGTAGGGGTACAGCGTCAACTTGTACTCAGCGCAGAGGTACCGCGCAACCGCTTGAGCGTAGTGTGGCTGCGAATAGGAAGACCAGCGGGGGCGCAGGCCTCAAGAAGATGAGCCACGAAACAGCTCATCATGATGCTTGCTAGACTGCCCCAAGTCAGGCTGCGCAACCCGGTGCGGCTCACCTTGAAGAGCTCGGTGGGAGTGTGCCATACTTGCCTGGCAGCCATCGCCCTCACGTCAGCCTCGTGGCTTTCTTCATGATCCTTCTTGATTCCCAATTGTCTATCTCTCTCAGCTTGAGCTTGCCTCGCTACTTGCTCTCTTCCCCTCCTCTGCCTCTCTTCCAAGTCCTCAGCGCTACCAACTCTGAATTTGGGGCTTGACTTGTCTTGTGTTTGGTCGCGCGGTCTGGCGCGTGCCAGCTGGGCCGCTGCAGCGGACGAGCCGAGAGCAGAAAGGGAAGACGGATGGAATTTGGCGTGACGAGACGATGGGCTAGAAGGGCCCAAAGGCAGCGTAACTTCGAAGGCCAAGTAGCGAGCTTCCACGGCAGCAGAGAATTCTCGATCGTTGGAAAATTCGGCGAAATGGAAGCCTGAGCGCGAAGACGAGCTGCCGGTACCCTTTTGCTCCGAGACGGCGCCCACTTCTCCACTCGAAGGGGCAGACGACGGGTCAGGGAGGAGAACAGCATGCCGCGAAAAGTAGCCGTAGACGGGATTGTAGAGGCTGTCGTCGATGAAATCTCGCGCCAGCATCCTCACTCGTCGAGGTCTGGGATTATCCGCTGGCGAGTCTTTGTTCGCAGCTCGATCGGCCAGCTGCTGCGCGTCGACCAGCGGGAAAGAGTAGTGATCGGCAGAAGGACGCTCTGCGAAGGGGTCCACGTTGAATTGAGATCGATGACGCGCCCACTTGGGATCCTCCTCTTTGCCCATCGTCGACGCCCAGCTGCCTTTGCTTTTTGCATTGCTGTTACTGCCGCTGCTGGTGGTGATGCCCCGGTGCTGCTCCTCCTTGTGCTGCTGTCCTGGCCCACTATTCTGACCATCGGACGACGTAGACGCGGCTCGGACTGGCGCTGAGCTTGTTAGGCAAGGCGCCGGCCGCCGTCCGTGTTGCGAGCACAGAACATCCCTGCTAGCAATCCGCAGCCTGGGACGCTGAGCGCGCAGCATCTGCGCCAAGCCGCTAGAGCTCATGGGCACCGCGCTTGACATGTTAGGTGGTGTGCGGTGCAAGGGATGCTCTGGCTCGAGGGTGGTGTGGCAGAATGGTAGACCAACCAGGCTGCGCGTCGTGTCGCTTTCGGACGTTTCAGAATCGCGTGCGGTTAGTCAGGTACTAGATCATGAACTTTGGATTTGTGTATCTGTATATATACTTGTAACACACCTGCCCAGATATCGCCCCGTAGGGTCTAGTCAGTATTGCGGTGGGGGACCACTCGTGAATCCCAGATGCCGTAGGTTTTTTTTTTCTCACGCCCGTTTCGAACGCCTGCCTCGTAGATACACAGTACATCACGTACTTCTTTTCGTCTTTGACAGACACGAGTCTGGACAAGAGACTGTGCCAGCTCTTACCTCATATACGACTGCCTCCATCACACGTCACGAGTGCACTCAGTGAGGAAAATTGTAGCGAGATGAGCACAAGGAGCACAATTCAAACCGTTCTGATCGTGAAGGCACCAAAAATCGGTCCAATAGGGAGTGTCACTCGCGCACCTGTCTGATGTGTCCCCGTTCTCCTGAGGACCGGCTCATCGTGTGGTGCACATCTGGCGCAGCATCAGCACCACCGACTGTCGCCTTTTGCTCTCGCCTTGAACAAGGATCGCCCTTCGCTTACGCCTCGGACTGGATTACGAAAGACGGTGCACGGCCAGCAACAGACAAGCACGAGGGCAAACAAACTCGATTCGAACAGATATCGTACAGGTAGACACGCATTCCTAGGGGACCGAACGTGACGGCAGGGAGAAGCGAACATACGACTTGAGCGATGTATCCTCAAAGGAACAAGGCGTGGACCGCGCAATGCTTCTTGGACAAATGTCGAGAGAACGTTCAATGCTTCGCCACTGTCGGCGCTTCACCTTCTTTGTTCCCGCTTTTTTTGATCTTTTCCAGAAATCCAGCCAGACGGGCCAAGTCTACGCCCATCCGGTCGCTCTCGATAGCAGTGACCAGGTCATCCAGCATCTAGAGATGAAGCATAGCCGTCCAAATCAGCTTGCGAAACTCGCACGATCGAAATCGTGAGCGTGCTACTCACCCCTTCCACCTTCTCCTCGGGCACGTTGCAGCACATTGCCACTACCTTGCGACATTGTCTCTGCTTCGCAGCTCCAGCTCCGTCCAGCGCTACGATTCTTTGCTGCAGACGATCCGTCTCTTCCTTGAAAATTCGCTCGAGCCACCTGAGCCTGATCAATTCGTCCGCTTCTCCCAACGGCGCTCCAGGAAAAGGTGTCTGCGCGGCAAGACCTCCCTCAATAACCATGTCGGAGCTTTGCAGGCTCTCTACAGCCACAAGCTCTCGTTTCTCGGCAGCTCTGGGGTCCGCATCGTCGACGCTGCCAGGCTGGAAAGCCAAATCTTCGGCGCGGCTAGTCCCTTCCGGTACATCCCAGGCCAAGACTTCGTAAAGCATTCGCCACAAATTCGTCGTTCTCATTCGATTTTCTTCGCGCGTCGCCGCATTCCGCGCTGCCTCAGTGACCTTGCGTCTTCTGGACGCCAGCTCGCGAGTTGCAGCTTGCAGATGGGCTTGAGCGACTGCAAGCGCTGAATTCTTTTCGCCCAATTCTCGAGCGTGAAGCTCGTCAAGATCCTTGACCACTTCAGCAATCCCTGTCGAAGGCACGTATTCTAGATTAGCACTTCATCAAATCTGCGCCAAAGACAATGCCTGTCGACTTACTTTGCTGCACGTCTGCGCTCTTCTGTATTGGTCCTGCAGGAGGTTGTTTGAGAGCTTGCACGGCATCGCTAATCCGATCCTTGCCACTGCTCTCCCAATGTCCGCTGTCTTCCACGCGTCCAGGCGTAGAACTCGCGGTGGACGCCGGCTCATCAAGGCCCCAATCTTTGGGTCTGAGGCCAAGATTGTTGGCGATATCTTTGCGCGCGCCAACATCGAGCAGCATCTTGCACATCCCAGCATTTCCTATCCTCGCAACGATGCCCAAAGCGGTCTCCCCCTCCTCGTCTTGCGCGTCGACCAGGGCAGCATGCTTACCGCCTTCGTGTTTGGCGATGTGCTCCAGCACGCAAGCAAGATAATACCGCGCCGGAGCAGCTCTGCCTTTCAAGGCCGACACCAAAGCAATGTGATGGATCAGAGTACGCCGCTTGAAGTCGCGCGTGTGCAGACTCGCGCTCAGCGCTGCCAGCAGGGCGGGGAAAGCGGACCCGTCGTAGGCGTTTGTGACGAGCACCGCGCGGTGCAAGGCAGTCTCCCCTGCGTGGTTACCAATGTGGGGGTCGGCGCCTCGCGGAGGAGGCAGAGACAGCAGCATATTGACCAATGGGAGGCGTGCAAGCGCCGCAGCCCAATGCAAAGCGGTGTGACCGTGATCGTCGATGACAGTGTCAGCCGACCCATCCGGCAGCGCACCCAGAACAGACTCGAGAGCATCTGGCCCAGAAGGAGGAGCCGTGCTATCAATGAATTGAGCCGTCAGAATTTCGCGCGCTTTTCGCTCCGGCTCGGACTCGACGACGGGTGCCGGTCGAGTAGCGAATCTGGCTCCCGGACCTAGACCTTGAGCATCCGGAGGACCGGCGCGCATGCGTGAAGCATTGACCGGCCTCGCACCACGTAGCGAAGCAGAGGGCGACAATCGCCCCAGCAGATTCAGGTCCTTGACTGGCGAAAGTCCTTGAGCCGCCGGAGAGTCCTCGAAGCCATTCTGATCGCCCTTGGATCGCTTGGCGCTTTGCGTCCTGGAAGGAGACGTCTCTGGGGAAGGTGGACCACGCTTGTTGGACGCATAGCTTGGCTCGCCGATCGACTGAGTAGTCGCCTCCTTCGCTGGAACAGGCACAGCAATGCCAGCCGGGGTGTAGCCGTGGGCAGCGTACCCTTCCAAAGCCGTGCGACCTCGGGCGTCGGTGCCTGCCGGAATACCCGATGACGCGGCAGCAGCGGTGGGGCTGACATCACCGATGGAAGCATCCCCAGGCGCAGGTGGACGCAAGCTGAGAAAACGTGGAGCCTGACTTGGTGCGGAACCTAGACTTGAGCCAGCTGCAGCGGGCGATCCAGCGGAGCCAGGCGTACCTCCACTCGACTCCTCCTTGGCGGTGTTCTTGCCAGCTGCACCAGGTCCCAATCGATGGTACATGCTAGCGGCAGGCGCGTTGGGGTTCGGCCTCTTCCTGCGACCTGCCACAGGCACATTGGCCGAAGGGTCAAGCTCCAAGATGGGTTGCAATAGGTGAGTAACATTGTATGCCGCGCTTAGCGTGTGGGCACGAGCGAGCGGAATCCTGAGCGAGCACGACTCGATATCAGCAACGAGCAACTCGATGGAAGCACTGCGCCCTCGCGAAGGGACTCACCATGTGCCCTGATACTTGCCATATCCACCCTGAATCTTCTCGTGCTCTCCAGTCAAGATCTCGCGCTCGAGCACCTTTGTTCTCTTTGCCTTTTCCACACCTGCGACCTTCAAGATCTGCGTCGCATTGAGGAAACCATCTGCCCTTCTACGCATACAAGCAATGCCGCGCACGGTAAGTTCGTAGACGGGCACGCCGCTGTACGTCGCCAAGTACACTGTAGGCGGAGCCCTATCTGGCGACAGCGCTCCGCTTGCTGTTGGAGCGCTAGAAGTAGCTGAAGGAGGGGCCGCTTGGCTCCCGCTCGGCGGGAGCTGTTGGTTGGAGCGAGCAGAGGGCGAAGGAGTATGCGCGGGCGGAGGCGCAGCGAGCGAAGCGGATGCAGATGACGGTCCGGAAGTGTAGGCAGTATTCGTAGAGAGGTAAGGACCGGAAGGAGCATAGACTGCGCCTGGAGCGGCAAAACTTGTAGCTGTGGACGCGGGGTTGCCGGGAAAAGTCGATGTATGGTTCTGTCGTGGTTGAGGGTAGCCGGACGTTGCCGAGGCCGTGCCGCTCGCACGCCCAGCGGGTGCTGGATACATTGCTCGCATCTTGACCTTGACGGCTTTGCAAGCGGCTCGGTCACTGGACGTGGGCGTCTGTCGCTGCTTGGCCAATCCGAGCCGTCCCTACTCTGTCTGTGCCGCAATTCCTTGGGTGCCAGTGTCCAAAAGAAGGCAATTAAAGGAGAACTTTGCGTGATCGTGGGGCAGAGAAAAGCCCGTGCCGCCCATCCAAAGCTCCGGGTTGTCCAAATGTCGGAGATACGAGCGTTGAGTGATTGCAATCGTGAAGGCGGTACCTCAAAGCGACCGGCTCGGTGTTAGGTCTATCCCTAATTGTCTGGTGTTCAAGGCGCGCTCATCACGATCCTCGCGCGCGCGCACGAGCATGTGAGTTAGCAAAAGTCGTAAGTAAGTCTGATGAGTGCACTCCTCCCGCCCACACTGCCCCCATCATTGCTGCTCCTGATGCATGCTGGAGCGACGCGTGTCCTCGACGCGTGCCCGCGCGCCCTTAAAGATGCGCATAGATCGATCAGCGCGCACATGCGCGCTGTTGGACTCGCCACGCGTCATGCGCGTTTCGACGCGCTACCCTGGTTACGATATGACTGCTTCGCTGCTCATGTGCTTGGCTGTGCTGCTGAAGTCGCGACTGGAAGAGGCCACGTGGCTTTATTCATTGGGCAACCTCTCAAAGTCTTCCAAATTTGGCGCCCCTTGTCATCAGCTTAGCTTTTTCCCTTTATTCTTGCCATTATATACTGGAGGGCACAGAAAGCACTCTTGTGCCTCAAATCAGTCGCACCGTGAATTACAAAACGCGATGCAATTCGTTTGACGAGACTCAGGCGTCATTACAAGTCAAAGCCGTGTATGAATGCCACACCACTCGTGCGCAAGTGCACAGATCCGGGGCGAGTCGTTGGGACGAGCAGATGTGGTCAGAGGACGAGGAAGCAGAGTGCGCGGTCAAGACGATCTTCGCACGGCGGTTGCGCTAGATCTCCTTGCCCTTCGGCTTGCCTACCGCCCACTCGCCGCTTCTGAACTTTTTGAGATCTTCTGGCGTCTGCTTGGGAATACCTCCCCAGCCAATCGTCTCTCTGATGCCTGTGAACCAAGTCCTGGGCGCCTTGATGCCCTTGTAATCAAAGTCGCTATAGATCGGGTTGGAAGCTCTGATCCAGAATTGCGTCTGGGTTTGCGGGTACACCGCCGCTACGCGTCCAGACTCCTTGTCGACGTACCAGCTGCCACAGTCAAAGGTGTACACCATGCTTCTCGATTGCTTTTGAATCCAGCACTGCTCTTGCTCCTCCTTCTCGGGTCGAACGCAGACGGAAGGCTGTTTCTTTGCGCCTGGCGCCTTGGCGTTGAACACGGTAGGCCTCGGCGCTTGAATAATCGGCTTGAAGATTTCGATAGCAAAGCGCGTGGAGCATTCAGACGTGAAGATGTAGCTAAAATGACCTGTGCCTGTGTTGGGACCCATGGCCAGTGCAAAATTGGGGAATTCGGACATCATTGATCCTCTGTAGCAACCTGGACCGCCTGCCTCGGCCCAATAGTCTTGGACAGTCTTGCCGGTCTTGCCATAGATTTTCATTGGGAAACCCATGTTGGTGACCTGGACAGCAGCGACAACAACTGTCAAGTCAGCCGACAGGACGTGTGAGACCTCACTGCGATCAGCACCACTCACCGCAAAGCCGTTCGCGAGCACAATCACGTCAGCCGGCAGCTCACGACCGTCCTTTGTCAGCACGCTCTTTTCCTTGATTTCCACCAAAGGAGAGCTCTCCAGCTCGACATTGTCCCGATGGAGTGTTGGGAGGTAATCAGTGTCGAACACTCTACGCTTGCAGCCTGGGTGCAATCCGTCTTTCTCGGGTTGAGGCACGAGGATGTCGTGGTACTGGGAGAGACAAGGTCTAGTCAACATGCTGACAACCTTTATGTATAAAATGGCAGCAGGCCATGCTGCTCACCTTGGTTGGAGCAGCCTGTTTGATGTAGCTGATGCAGTTGCGAGCAAAGCGCTCGCGGGCTTGAGTGCCAGCCCAGTGGCGATACATCATGATCTAGAGGGCGTGATCGCGAGATAGACGATCAGGTGAGGCGAGATTCAACGCCGGACCCAGCCTATTAAGCGCCCACTCACACTGGACAATTCGAGCACGATGTGCACGATCGCTCGGACCAGCAGGTAGAAACCAGGCACATTTCGCAGCAGCCACTTCATCACCGCCGAGTCTGTGGGGTCGTTTGGTCGCTTAGCGTACCAATGCTTGGATCGGACGGCTTGCGTGATGCTCTTGGCGCCGTCATTCGCCAACATGGGAATGAATTGCGTGGCGCTGCAGCCATTGCCGACGACGACGACGTGCTTGTCCTTGGTTTGCACGCTGTGATCCCATCGCGCGCTGTGGAAGAGCGGGCCCTGGAACTTTTCATGGCCAGGAATGTTGCAAGGGTTGGCTGACGATCCAACAGAATATCGGGAGATCAGCACCAAGCGTCTGAGCAGCCACTGCGCTGCGGGCACTCAACACGACTCACGCTGAGAGAGACCTCCGACGCCCGAGATCAAAACTCTGCAGATCCAGTGCTTATCCTCTCCTCCTTGCGTGTCTTGGCCTTTAGCAGGTCTGGTGTACACGTGCCACATGCCCAGCTCGTCGTCCCAATGAGCGCTGGATACCTCAGTGTTCACCACCGTCCTTCTCGTGAGATCAAATCGATCCGAGACCTTTTCCAAATAATCTCTGATGACGTGTTGAGGTGGCCAAAATTCGGGCCAGTCCTTCTTTTGAGCAAAGCTGAAGCTGTACAGCACGATGGGAATGTCGCATCCTGCACCTGGATAAGTGTTTTGTTCCTGCGGTGATCAGGCAACAGCCAGAGGATCGAGTCAGTCAGTGATTCGTCGCTCTTCTCGAGCCAGCCACGATTGGCCGAGGTGCCGGGACCTAGCTAGCCATCGACGCTCGCACCGAGATAGACAATGCCACTCACCCAAGTGCCTCCGATGCCTTTGGACCTCTCAATGATCCTGACGTCCGTCTCGCCCAGCATCATTCTGAGCTGCGCGCCCATCGCCAAGCCGGTCACACCAGCTCCAATGATGAGCACATTGTGGTACTCGGGCGGCTGAGCATTTGCATCTGGAATGTGGACCATCTTGCTTATTCCTCGTCGTGAGTGGATATCGCTTGTGCACGTCTGTTCTTCTTCCTCGAGGCACTAAAAGTCTTTCAGAAGAATGTCGTGGGCTCCTTGCTCGATGATGCTGCAACGAGGGCGTCGTTCAGACAAATTTTTGCAGGGGTGATGGGGTAACGATATGGCAAACGCTCAACTGATGGATGCTGTAGGTGAACAGAGGTGAGTAGGCCAAGCCGTTATGCATGGGAAGGATGCACGTTTGACGGGAGGAGAGGCAAGGTCTACAGCATGCGTGCGTGCGCGTGCATGCAGCCAGATTCGTGATTGCGGGGAAGTTGTTAGTCCAACGAGTCTCCCGGCTTCGCGACTGGCTCGGTGTGATTCGCCAGCGACTACCGATTAGGAAGGCAACTTTTGCGGGGTGCTGCAAAGCCCGAGCAAGAATTGCGGCGAGCGATTGACTCACGAAATGAATCAGAATGAATGCTGTAGGTGGTACACATCACAGCACTTGTGCGGCGAGGGGAAGCATCAAGGACTCATCAGCATCTGAAGAGAAGGGCCAGCAGCTGTATGGGTAAGCAGTCGTGAGTCAGTCAGCCACAGTCATGACGTATGGCTGCGTGTTTCGCATTTGCAAAGATCGGCGGCGAGTCACGTTGCGCCGAATCTAGTCTGGCCCGGGTTCCGCGCATCGACCCACATCAGCGGACGAATTATCATCATCAGCCAAACGAGTCTCTGCTATCGGGAAGGGTCAGGAATAAATCACAATGTGAATCACAATTTGCTGCCGGCGTGGGCCCATGCAACGCCTTATCGCTCCATAAGCTCCCCAGAATTGGTCAAGCAGGTCCGATCGAGGAAAGAACAGCGAGCGGCGCCCGCTCCAAATGTAAGGCGCACGGGAATCGGGCGTCGGAGCATTGAAGCGGACAATCCAGCTCGGCCATCGGTCATCGAAGCCGCGCGTGGTGGGTTCACGACCCCGAAACAGCGCTACAATGCCGAACTTTGTGCCTTGCCATTCACTCAGATTGTCGGTCGCGAGACCTCACGCAGGGACGGGTCTGGCTCCACTCGTGACTTCGCAATGCGTTTTGATATGGCAGCATTCACCGCCTACGTGCCTAACGAAGGATCACGACCACGATCACGACTGCGCGCACGAGTCGCAACCTTCAGATTCTAAGCAAACCCGGCTTTGATTGCGCGACATTTACGCGCAGCGTTAGCTTTCGATCAGTATTCGCGCATCGAGAAATCCATTCGTATGCGATCCGCGTGCTCCTCTGCCTGTCGTTTCCGCACGCCGCGCTAACCCCCTCATATCACGAATCCAAGACGAGCGCACCAGTCCGACGATTTGAGCTTTGGAGACGCTGGAACACATTGAGTTGGAAGGTCACACTCACTGTAGCGTTGGCCTAGACGCAGACACAAATGCGCAAGTGTCAGGCATTTCCACTGATGAAGCGAAGCGGTGGTCACGCAGTCACAAAGCACTACAGCACACAGCAGAGATTGAGTCTATATATGTTATTGACCTGATCAAAGCAACGCCGGGGCATAGGGCAGGAGAAGCAGCAGAAGAGAAGCGTTGCGCGCCATGATGCGAGAGCAGGTTAGTGTACACGCCTTCCCTTGTTGTCAAAGGGAAGGAAAATGAGAGCAATCGTCGCTGCGAACGCCACCCCTCCTCCTAGATACAGCTGCGCGGGGTGGAAAAAGGGGCCTATCAGTGAAGACTCCTGGACAGCCCTCGTCGCGCTCATACCACACTCACCACATGCGCAGCATTTTGAGCTTTGTCAGGTCCAGCAGAGTAGAGGGGTCCAGCTATCAAGGGGGCGACAATGCCGGAAATGCGTCCCAGAGTGGAGGCCACTCCGCTCGCAGTGCCCCTGACGCTCGATGGGTACACCTCTGGCAAGTAGGCGTACAGGATGGCGTTGAAAGCGCTCTGGGCAATGTACTCGAGCGCATTCAATCCGACAGAGGCCGCTTCGGTCTCTACTCGCGTGTAGATGAACATCGATACACCCATCAATGCTGAAAAGAACACCATCGACCACTGCCTGCCTAAGCGAGGCAGCTCGATCAAGGCAGCAGCTAGAATGCACGCCCCGATGCCCGGGGCATAAATCGCCACGTACGAACGGTACGTCTCTGCCAGCGTTTTGCCTTGAGCAATGTTCCTATCAGACAAGATCAGAGGCAGGTATGCGCCAGCGATGTTAAACGCAAAGAAATCGCTGTGTTGACGAAGGCGACAAGAGGCACATTGGTCAGATGGAAGGTAATTCGTGTGACAGCGAGAGCAGGAAATCTCACCATATGAAAGTGATCCAAAGCAAAATTGTCAGACGCGCCATCTTGCGGTTCTGGAACAGGACTTTGACATTGGTGAGTTGCCTCAGAGCGTGTTTTGACGACTCCGCAAAGACCTCGCCACGCCTTCCCGCTCCGACCTTGACTTGATCCTCGCCGATTGTATTTCCACACCTTCTGTCGATTTCATTAAAGTCCTCCATCGTGAATGCGGGCGCGTCCGCCTTGTTCACCTTGGCGATAGCCTTGACAACCTCGATCGCTTCGCGATCTTTGCCCAAATTAACCAAATAGGCTGGCGACTCGCGGAAAGTGAAGAGAAGAAAGCGCAGAAGAAAGACGCCGAGGGTGATGCCCCCTACAGTGAACAGCGTATACCTCCATCCCCGATTGTCAGCTGACCTGCAGACTGTCTCTGACACCGCAGTCGCGCCATCGCCGCAAGAGTAGTTGGGCACAAAGCCGTAGGCAATGCCAGACGCTACCAAGACACCGATGGGTTGAAACAAAGAAAGCAACGCCAGCAGCCATCGATTCTTGGTCGGCAAGAATTCGAGGGTGATCGTAGCATCAATCGGAATGTTGCCGCCAACACCAAGGCCTGAGAAAGCGACCAGGACCCTCAGCGCTGTGAAGTTGGGCGAGCCTCCAGCAGCAAGTCCAAAGATGGAAGCGAGAAGGCATGTGCAGTAGAAGCTCCACTTTCTGCCCACCACATCGACAAGGATCCCCCACGAAAAGGCTCCGACTGTGAGCCCGACGTTGAAAGCGGTGAACAGCGTGCCAATGTTGCCGTCGTTGACTGTGCCAAAATCTGGCTCGCTCTCGAGAGGGACAGTAATGAGACCAAAGGCCTGTGCGAAAAGGAGATCCGTGAAAAATCCCAGGCCGCACAGCAGAAAGACGAAGAGTTGATAGCGGCCGAATCCCATGCGTTCGAGCTGATAAGTTCACAGAGGGGCTGATTAGACGCTGGCTTGATCGCGAAGCAGGCACGACCGCCACTCCATACTCACCTCATAAGACATGAGCAAACTCTTGTTCTCTTTGGCCGTCTTCGTCTCGTCGAAGAGGTCCGAAGCTTTGAGCCCCTCTATGCTGTCGCCCACATGACCGGTCGATCGAACTCTTCTGACCTCATGAAAGGCTTCGTCGGTGGATGCGATCGACATGGGCTTTCTGAGGTCTCCTTCCTCTGCAGCCGCAGCACGATTGGCATTCACCACATCTCTCAATGCATCGCGGTCCGGCGCTAGTTCGCTCCTTGGCGCAAAGCCCCCAGTACCGAACTGTGACATTGGTATAGAATCGCCCGTGTATGAAGCGGAATCTGCGTGGAGGAGAGCGTCCTGTGAATCGCGAGACGATGACCAGCTCTCTTCGCTGTCCCTGCGAGATGCGCTTGATGGATGTGCTGCTTGGCTATGCTCGAGATGCGAACTGCTGCTCGACCTAATCACTGGATCGCTGGGGCGCCGTTCAAGGGCGGAGGGCATCGAAATGGGACGAGGCCGGCGATAGCGAATTAGGCGTGCGTGATGCGGTTGCTCGTCAAGATGCCCAGCCGGTCGGTCGTAGTCAGGAACAAATTCTAGTCTGAGTGCATGCTGCAGCTTGCACTCGTTGACTCGCCAATCAGGACTCGAAATCCATCGGCTGGCTGGAAGAGAAGAAGCCTGCTGGAAACGAAATGAGTGGCGCACGTCCGTGCCTGTGTCAAGCGCGCTTACTTGAATTGCCGCCTAGCGATTACGGGAGGCTATATGCTGGCTGCATATCGCTGCTGTGCCGAGTCTACGATGTGTGTAGCGGGCTGGTGCGACGAGGTTCAGCGACGATTTACCGTGCCTTGTTTGGAGTAGGACTCAACTGTAATCTTGAAATGCTCAAGGCCAGCTGCTGCTGCTGCTGCTGCTGCTGCTGGTGAGCACTAACATTCACGATTATGGAAGCTCTCGAGCTGTCTTTCCTGCAGTTGTAATTCTCACAACACTTGCGGTGACTTGCTACTGTGTACAGTCGGCAGTACCTGTCTCGCACGCTCTCTCCTTGATGCTGACCGTCCGCCTGTTCAGTGTTCATAGCCGCGTGCTGCCCCTTGCATGGCACGATGAGACCCTGCTGCCGCGAGGGAGGACATCAGCACAAGCAATCAAGAATTGACAAGCTCAGCAAGTCAAAGTGCACTTACACACTCATTCTTGATTCAAATTTGCGGCATCGTCGGCGGCCTAGCTACAGTGTACACACGGTACGCGCGGAGGGGTATCTTACAAGGCTTGGGCGGTGGAAGAGTGCCACGCGCATCAGCAACAGCATGCTCCGTCTTTGCGCGGGAGGGATTTGCTGAGCAAAGCTTGCATCGCGTGCGGGGCAAAGCTCTATAATCTTAAATGAAGTGACTGCTGCTCGCACGCCGAAATGCGGATCGTTCCCGTTGGTTGCGCCCATGCATCGCACGCTGTGATATCCGTGTTCAGGGTCCACGCGCACTCGCGAATTCACGATCGCATATATGAGTGCTCGCACGCACATAATATCCACCAGCTTGTGATGGGTGCGCCGGACTCGAGAACGTTCTGACTTAATGGGCTGGAGGCTCATGACCCTCCCATCTTCGGGCGGACACCGAGCTTGGCTTCCATCATCAGGGTCGGGGCGATCGGAGCTATGCAGAGCGTGGCCAATACAGTACAGTACAGTACGCAGCTGCAGCTAATACATCGCTCCAGGAACATCGTCCCGTACGTACGTTGCTGGCTGCGGGGACTCTGAGCTAAAGCGCGGGCGCTTCGCCGCGACTACGGACCGCATGCTAGGCGCTATAGAGGTAGAGTTGAGCAGCTAGCGGAGGGCATGCGGTCATGCAGCACCCATCCGGCCACGCATCAGCAGCAGCAGCCACCTGAGCAGCAGCAGCAGCTAGCCAACCGCGCAGGACAATTTTCCGCAAGCGTGTGCTTTGAAATCAGGCAGGTGGCACATCGTGCGCGCACGTACGCGTCGAGACGAATTGAAAATCGTGAATTGCGCACAAGCAGTCGTGAGTAGGTGTGACTGGTGAGTGCGAATCAAGAAGGTGTGGCTGTACGAATCAGAATCGTCAAGCTGCTGATGCGAAGTGCTGTCTTGCGGGAATCAAACCCTGCTTCGGCGCAGCTACAATCGTCAATGTGCTGTAGACACATGTCAGCAGCAGCAGCAGGAGGGACACGAGGACGGAAGCAGACAGAAAAGCCTCTCTCTACCTTGGCAACAGCGAGTTAAATTGCCGTGCCGCTGCTGCTGCTGCCGCCTTCCTTGGCAGACCCGATGCTGTGGAGGCAAGAGCTCGGGCACTGCTGCTGCATGCACGCTGCTCGGTGCAGCAATTACATTGACCCACGACCGCATTCTGAGCATCGTGGATCGTAGACACGCTCGACGCATCTGTCTGCTCAATTTCACCGATCGCATCAGGCCAAGACGCTTCACGTATATGTATCTTTGATAAAGCCATGATCAAAAGCCCCAGATCCCGTCACCTCTGCTCCTCGTGACACTACTGCTCATCCCATCCTCGTACAACCCTACCTCTTTCTCTTTCAGTCTAATCCACGATTGTGGATTGGCCTCATAAAGTCTGTTCGCCTAATCCGCTGCACCGCTCAGCACCTCCAGACGCTTTTACCCACCTCACATCGACAAACCCCGTGTGGCGAGGATGCCGACCCTCAATGTGAAATGTGGGCCTATGCTCAAGTACGACACTGTCGCTAATGGCATTTACCATGCTTTCGCGCTTGTGGTGACCAAGGACGAGGAGAGCAATGTATCACCTGAAGCGCCACCCACGTTACAGCTCCGCACTGCTCCCTCTAAGGGACCTGCAATCCAGGATGCTCCTTCTGCCATCCTTGCCGACAATGCACACGCCACGTCCAAAGGCCAGAGAATCTATCAATACAAAGGAGTGGGACCTGGCAATCAGGAAGGCTCATACAGCTTTTGGAGATTCAAGATTGAGATCCCTTTGGCCGAGGTGGAGCAAGCTGTGACTTACTCTGTGGACGGATCGCCTCACGCAGAGTCTGACGTGCCTGCTGTGACAGAGACCAACTCTCACACATTCTAGTAAGTGTCGCCGAGGAACGGCGAGCGGCCTTTCGGACGCTTCAAGTCGTGCCTCACATGCGCTGATCCCGCCTACAAATCGTATTTCAGCGTCCCTGGCAAGTTCCAAAATTTCCGATGGGCTGCGCACTCGTGCAACGGCTTCTCTTCAGGCTGCGATCCAAGCGACTGGGCGCCTCCTGATGCCAAGGATGAGGCGCCCTTCAATGGTGCTAACCCTCTATGGGATGATGTTTTGGCACATCATCAAAAGAACGTCTTCCACACTGTGGTTGGAGGGGGTGACCAGCTGTATGCTGACAAGCTCATGAACGAGCCAGAGCTCAAAACATGGCACGAGGAAAGCGATCCCAAGAAGCGCATGAACATTCCTCTGACGGATGAGATCCGCACCTGTCTGGAACGATTCTACTTCACAGCGTACTGCAACTGGTTCGGGGGCGGAACGTTCAGCAAAGTCATTGCTCAGATTCCCATGCTCAACATGCTGGACGATCATGACCTGATCGATGGATTCGGGACATACCCAGACGACCTGATGCAGGCAGAAGTGTTCAACACGATCGGACGCATCGGCTTCAAGTATTACTACTTGTTCCAGCAGTTCCTCAACCCACTTGATCTGGACGGTCTTGACGACAAGAACCACATCAACAAATCAGTAATTATCGGCGCACCGGCAGCATACGTTCAGATCCCCCACCACTCCATTCTGAGCTACTTGGGTCCCAAGCAGTATATTCTTCTGGTGGATTGCCGCGCTGAGCGCAAGGTCGCTCAGGTATGCTCGGAGCAGAGCTACAAGAAGCTGTTCGATGCCGTGCGTGCTCTTCCACCAGGCGTGGAGCATCTGACGATTTTGCTCGGGGTTCCCTTGGCATATCCCCGGATGGTGTTCTTGGAGCGTACCCTCTCAAGCTCTCTGAATCCCCTGGTTCTGCTCGCTAAGGGTATCAGTCCCGGTTTCACGAACAAATTCAATGGTCAGGTAGAGCTGTTGGATGACTTGGGAGATCACTGGACAGCAGCGCCGCACAAGCGCGAGCGTAACTGGCTTGTCGAGCGGGTACAGGAGCTGGCGCTGGAGAAGCACCTGCGCACCTCCTATCTCAGTGGCGATGTGCATGCGTGCGGCGTGGGAGTTTTCCATGGCTACCACGCGCACGACCCTGCCCTCGACCCGAAATACGCTCTCGCTGTGATCACCAGCGCGATCGTCAATGCCCCACCTCCTCCACCCGTCATTTCGATGCTCAACAAGCTCAGTCGGAAGACGCATCGCAGCTTGTTTTACTGTGGCACAAAGGAGACGATGGTGCCTCTATTCGAGGAGGACCTTGCAGGCAAGAAGCAAGTGAGTACATTGATTGTGAAAGTGTACGGCGTGCTCAATCAGCTTCTAGCTGACCCTTTCGTATGTATCGCTACCACATTAGAACGACAAGTACATTTTGGGAGCGCGTAATTGGTGCGCAGTCGACTACTTTGAAGACAGCGGAGATTTGCAATTCGACCTGCGCGTTGAGAAGGAGAAGGGAAGAGGGGCAGAGGGTACCAAGTCTTACCCTGTGCGAACTCCCAAGCCCAAGTGGAACATCGCCAAGGAGCACCACCACCTGCTGCACACGAAGAAGTGGGGCGAGATTATGGGCGGCAAGAAGGGCGCGCACCAGAAGGATCATTCTGATGATGGGTCGCAATCGTCTCATGCTTCTTGAAGAAATATGGATGAGTTGCTAGCTCTGATTTCCGTTTCTTCGCCATGTATGCGCATACTATGCCCTTCCCTTTCCATGGCCACGCTCGCTGATGACCAAAAGATACCGTCTACTGCTCTGACACGTCGCCGCGTGATGAAGATTGTGACTGCTCTACTGTGTACTGGTAAGGATAGGTCGCATCGCGAGCAGTCGTTGGGGTGAGTGTCCATGAAAATCTAGCGTTTGGGTTCTAGAGCCAGCGATGTTTGCGCGTGCGCTCTCAGCGCTTGGAATGGATTTGCGCGGAATGCAGCATCCGATGTGATTGCCTTTTGACGTGCTTGCTCTTCGATGCTGTCAAGCGTCAACATTGCGAGGGAAGAGAGGGGGGGCATGGCAGATTTCAGCTGAGTGACGCAATCGCACGATGAAGGGAGAGCAGTGCTGCAACCTTTTGTCTCTATGCCACCTACTCACAGGACTCTCTTGCGCATCTTTTCGCTGACACGTTGAGGTCTGGCTTGGGGCGCTCCGACGCCATTGACCTGCTGCTTCTGCTGCTCCTCTTCCGCCGCCTCATCCTCCATTTCTATCTCATCCTCCACATCCTTTAGCGCATCCTGCACATCCTGCACGCCTCCTCTCCTCCCAGCGGCTTCATCAGCAGCCAAAGCTTCCCTCGCTCTCCTCTTTCTCCTTCGAAGCGCACTGCGCGAAACCGTATCTCCTTGACCAGGTCCCACGTTCTTGGGAATTGGAAATTCTTCTGCTTTGCCTGCCATCAATGAGGCGCGAAACGAGGCTCGCTTGGCAGCTTTGCTCACTGCTCCTCGAGCATTTGAGCCTGCAGATGATGCATTGGCTTGACCGGTGCTGCTCGCTTTGCCCTTGGAAAGCGTGGAAGTCGTCTTTTTGCGCTGAGGGGGCGCTTTGCCTCGCAGTGTTGCACGAGCCATCTTGAAGCAGGAGCTGTCGACCTCGAAGCTCGATGCAGCAGCTACTGAATTTCGGAAGAGGCCGTACCAAGGGTATGAGCTATATCGAGAAGGTTCGGATGGTGAATGGTACAAGTCGATGGATCAAGAGGAACAAAGAGGCTGGGAATCGAGAAAAGGACTGATGAATTGTGAGGCGAGATCACCCTCTCATCTTGATTCTCTTTAGCAACTCAAAATCATCAGAATCTTGATTTGATGATTCGCTAGCGAAATCCGCGTCTGCGGTGCGCATCACGTGAGCCGAAGTGGACAAAATTTAGCACCGCCTTTTGCCGCGCGATGCGAACCGGCCGGTCTGATAGATCTTCTCGAATGCAGCAGTCGCGCACGACCTCGACGTCGGCGATGAACGAGAACACCACCACCCATTGGTCACAAGCGATTCTTCCTCCTAGACATAGAGTTGCTCTCGGAGGGCTGCACTCTGAGTAGAGCCAGTAATCACCCGGCGCATTCGCTACACAGGCAACATGGCTCCCAAGAAGGAGCGTTACAATGCAGCAGCCCGCTCCTCCACCGCTGGCGGTCGCACGCACAAAGGCAAAAAGGCCTCCAAGAAGAGCGCACACGGCAGCAGATCAGGCGAAGGTGCGCAGCATGAAGCTTCGACCTCAACGATCGGCGGCACGCTCGATCCCAACGCCCGGCTGATCAACCCGGCAGCCTACGAAGCTCAGCGAGCAGTAGAGGAAGCGAGGAGGATCGCTCGAAAGGCTCCGGCTGGCATGTCATCGAAGAAGCGCAAACGATTGGAAGCTTACATCGCAAAAGGTATGGCCAAAGATCGCAAGAATGATCTCTTGAAGAAGCTCAGCCAGAGCTCAGCCGAAGTGGGAGATCGTTCGCTCTTCTTGTCTGCTTCCACCTTGGGTACGGGTCGAGCGAGAAGCGGGGCAGAAAGGTTGGAAGGGATCAATGAAAAGCAACAGAGGAAGAGGAGAAAGAGGGACATCAAGGTTGGAAGAATAGCAGAGGGCGATCGAAGCGATGAGGAGCCAGAAGACGAGGATGAAGATGCTATGCTGGACGGCAGCATACATCGACCTACAGGGGAGCAGCTGGACGATCCAGAACGACGTGCCCGTATCATGCAGGCAGCGAATCGTTTCAAAACGAAGGAGGAGGAGGCTTCCGCCTCACCAATTGCCCCGGAAGCCGAAGCGATCTCATCGAGGCCAAGTCAGCCCGAGAGGCCCACCTCACTGGGCTCAGCGCTTGCTCGAGGTCCAGATGGTCGACCGATCGCTCACGCTCCAATGCGTAAGCGACAAAAGAAGCGCAAAGCCAAGACGCCGACCCCTCCTCTCGAAAGCAGCGACTTTGACAGCTCAGAGAGCTCGGCTTCGGAAGCGGAGATTGGAGGCGAAGCTTCCGCGAACCTCGACGACGCCGGATCCAAAACGGTCATTCGAAATGGACGCACTGCAGAACAAAGAGATAGCAATCAGAGCTTGCGCAATGTGGATGACCGCACACTGATCGCGGCCATGCGCGCTCGCGGTATGGATCCTGCCACTGTATTCGGCAGCGACTTCGACGAAACACCTTCCGAGGTCGACGAGCACGACTCGAAGGAAGAATTGGACGAAGATGCCGATGAAGATTCAGAGGAGGACTCATCTGATCTTGCAGATGGGGATGTGGGCGAAGGCGAGCACGAGGACTCTTCGGCATCAGTTTGGGAGGGATTTTCGGATGATCCGACGCCTGGAGTTGAGTCCGCCTCTTCAGAAGTCCCCATTCCAAAGGCAGAAGAAGCTCTCAACCACACTGTACTCAAGCCGCCAGAGACACCTGCAGAGCCAAGTAGACGAAGAGGATTTAAAGAGTGGGCTCGCGCAGCTCTCGGGCTAGGCGCAGATCCTCGAGCGAAAGGCGAAGACGACGCGTCTGTGTCCAACTCTGCGCACGATGAAGGCCCATACAAGGGCCCAGAACCTGTCATGGGGCTTACGCAAAAGGTAAAGGACCTGATGGACCAGGATGAGCGGCCCCAAGGTCCTTTAGGTGCTGCATCGTCTGAGCCGTTGACTCCATTCGCGGCAAGGTATGTAGAGGAGTCTAGCTCAAGCACAGTGGCGATTCGAAGCGTCGACGTCAAACGTGCCGAATCGATCGACGAAAGCAGACGGCACCTCCCTATACTGCAGGAGGAGGACCTGATCACGCGAACAATCATGGAGAACATGGTCACCGTGCTGTGCGGAGAGACGGGTAGCGGCAAGACGACGCAGGTGCCCCAATTCCTGTACGAGCTCGGCTTCGGCACGCGGAATAGTCTGCATCCCGGAATGGTTGGCGTCACGCAGCCTAGAAGAGTCGCTGCGCTATCCATGGCGACGCGCGTTGCCAACGAGTTGTCGTTGCCGCCCACCAAAATCTCGCATCAAATCCGTTACGATGCTACCGTCTCGCCCACCACTGCCATCAAGTTTATGACAGACGGTGTGCTGCTTCGGGAATTGGCTGGTGACTTTTTGCTCAGCAAATATAGCGCGATCCTGATCGATGAAGCGCACGAACGATCTGTGAATACCGACGTTCTGATCGGAGTGCTCTCGCGAGTGGTCCGGTTAAGAGCGCAGCGCTGGATCGACAAGAAGCCTGATGCCAGGCCTCTCAGACTGGTCATCATGAGCGCGACCCTGCGCGTGGCGGACTTTGCAGAAAATACGGTTCTTTTCCCAACCCCGCCTCCAATCATCAACGTCGAAGCGCGCCAGCATCCTGTAAGTGTGCATTTTGCCAGACGAACGCGACACGACTACTTGGAAGAAGCTACCAAAAAGGTCATCAAGATCCATGCGAGGTTGCCGCCAGGAGGTATTCTGGTCTTTTTGACTGGGCAGCAAGAAATTGTGACCGTCTGTCAAAGACTTGAAAGGCGCTTCGGCAAAAGGGCGATCGAGGAGCGGAGGAACAAGCGTGCAAGGGACCGTGAACGGTTCAAGCCTTCGGCTCGCGGCGCTGACGACGAGGACACTCTTTTTGAGGAAAGCAACGTCAAATTCGACGCCAAGGAAGGCGATGTCGAAGCTGAAGAAATGCAGCTAGGACTTTCTAGCCCCTCCCAGGCAGCGGATGGTGTAGGTGACCTTGCACCAGACGTCGATGACGGTTTATTCGAAGACGACGATGCTCTCGAGACTGATGACGGAGCATCTGGTGTGCACCCCACTTCAGAAGCCGACCTGCCTCTGCATCTTCAGGACGATACTGACGTCCCGTTGCACATACTGCCGTTGTACTCGCTCCTACCATCCGACAAGCAAATGCGGGTATTCGAGCCACCTCCCGAGGGCACCAGGCTCTGCGTAGTCGCCACCAATGTCGCTGAGACTTCTTTGACGATTCCAGGCGTCTCATACGTGGTAGACTGCGGACGTTCGAAAGAACGGTCATACGACGCTACGACTGGAGTGCAAAGCTTCGATGTCAGGTGGATCAGCAAAGCAAGCGCTGCTCAGAGAGCCGGTCGAGCAGGACGTACAGGTCCCGGTCATTGCTATCGCCTCTACTCGAGCGCGGTCTTTGAAGACACCTTTTCGCCCTTTTCTCTGCCAGAAATCCTGCGAACGCCCGTCGAAGGCTTGGTGCTTCAGATGCACGCCATGCACATCGAGACCATCGCCAATTTTCCCTTCCCAACGCCTCCGAACCGCCGAGCTTTAAGTCGAGCTGAAAGGATCTTGCTCCGTCTAGGCGCCTTAGAGATGGTAAAGGCAGCTGGACCGGGACCATTACAGAAGCCTCGGATCAACGACTTGGGCCGAGCTATGAGCTTGTTTCCTCTCACACCTCGCTTTGCAAAACTTTTAGTACAGGGTCAACAGCACGGCTGTCTCCCTTACATCGTGGCTCTGGTAGCTGCGTTGAGTGTTGGAGACCCATTCTTGCGTGAGCAAGCCCTCAACGATCCTGCAGATAAAGATGGCAGCACCGATAAGGATAATCTAGATGGTTTGCCTGAGGAAGCGCGGCATCTCACAAGCGAGCAAGCGAAGGAAGATGAACGACGCAAGGAGCGCAGGAAACTATTCTTTGCTGCGATGAACAAGTTCAGTGCGCTTGGTGGCGGTGCGAGTGATACTTTCAGGCTTCTTGCTGCGGTCGGAGCCTATGAGTACGAGCGCGGAGGTGTAGCCTTCTGCGAGCGGAACTTCCTAAGGTCAAAGGTGAGCGACTTCAAATGCATCTAGCTCTGCCGAATCGGTGCTCAATAAGTCGACTTTCGTCCATAGGCGATGGAAGAAATCCACAAGCTTCGCGCACAACTGTGTGCGATCGTGCAGTCACGCGTAGCTCCAAGTGCGGAGGTCAGGTCGCTGTCGAATCCCCAGCTTCCGCCGCCCACAGAGACGCAGCTCAAAGTTTTGCGACAGCTGCTGGTATCTGCATACGTCGATCAAGTAGCTGTGAGGGCAGACTTGATGCCAGAAGCTGCAGCTCGCGTGCTGTCACTGACAAACGAAGGCACCGAAGCTGGCCGACAGTACTCTCATCAGCGACGAAAAGGAGCCAAGCTGACGTCTACACGAGGCGTTGCGTATCTGGTGCGAGCAGCACCTGGTCAAGCGTGCTTCATTCATCCCACATCGACGCTTTTTCATGGCGCACCACCGCCGTGGATCATCTTCGACGAGATGCACGTCTCCTCGTCAAATAAGGAGAAGGTCTGGCTAAAGATGTGCACAAGGATCAACCCGGCGTGGCTCTCCACATTGGCTCGCCCCTTGTGCTCCTTTTCCAAACCTGCAGAGCCGTCTGGGGGCACGGCAGCGACGATCGCTGCTGCTGCCAGGCTGAACGCGGCAAACGGCTCAAGCGTTGGCGCTCAAAGGGACGTCGTGGTGGTGCCCACTTACGGCACTGGACCGGCATGCGAGCCCGATGAAAGAAACTCTGCCCCGGGTTGGGAGCTGCCGCCCATGAAGGCGGTGCAGAAACTTGTCAATGGCCGTTGGGTGACAAACTTGCCCTAGACGAAGCTTGGACGGCTGTAGCTTGCTACGCCGACACGAAGACCACGCTCGTCACGAAAGGTTGCAATATAAATCACAATGGAGTCACACAAGTGAAGAGCGTTTCACGAAGCACAACATTGTGTTGAGACAGGTCAAATAGCGTCGATCATCTTGATTGCGACGACGGAAGAGCGTCTTCGAAAAATGTACCATGTGGCGGACGGGTATCCGCTGTGCGCTGCAGCAGCGTAAATTCGCGTTGTTCAAAATGTCGGTGGAGAATAGTTCGACAGGGGATTTACTGTAGTGAATTGTCAAGAGGTTTGAATTAAATGAGCATGATCTGGAGCGAGAGGAGGAGGAGCAGGTTGCTTGACTGTCTACGTGGAGACGGGACTTGTAGATCATTGTGCTACGCACAAGGCTGATCAAGGAGGACTTTGAACGCCACGTCGCAGGCGACAAGAGGCCTCGCAGAAAATTTTAGCTGGGAATAGTCTTCATCAGCGGTTGAGGGCGGGCCAAGTTGACATGTTCTCGGCTTCTCGTCTGGCCGACGTTGCGCTCAGGATCGCACCCAGGGTGGCAAGTCTTGACGTGTCTCTTGACCCCTTCTTTGCGGCTATAAGCATGAGCGCGACCATTGGTGGAAGTGATGCAGATCAAGCAGACAAAGGGTCTGACCTTTTCGTGTCGCTCGCGAGAGTGGGCTTTGAGGTTCCGCTGAGAAGAGATGCGCTCACCGCACGTCGGGCAGGTGATGGGTCGACGAGAAGGCTGAATCGCTGGCTTGCTCAACGATTTGGCTCGACGACGCGTCTGGACGATCGTGTTGCTGCGCCTACGCGTCTGAACGTTGCTGTCCACTTGAGGCCCGCAGACTTCCATGGCGCGAGCAGAATCGTCGCGATTCGCAAGATTCGACATATATACTGAGCGCATGTAGTTCCACGGCATAGAGGGTGTGTTGGGGCCCGCTCCCTGGAATAGAGGCGCATTGGAAGGAAAGTAGCCGTTGGCCGCGTGGTGATGCATGGCAGGGTGCATGTGTGCCCCTTCTTGACTGTACATGTGCTCTCGCTTAATTTGAGCTTCGTGAGGATGATGAGGCATGCCCTGCCAGTGAGGATGGAGGTGCTGAGGCTGGCGCACATTGTACGAGTCTTGCCAGAGAGCCATGTTTGGCTGAGGACCGTCGCCAAAGTACATTTCGGATTTGGGATGGTGGATGCCAGCAGTGTTGGGTCCATCGAGAGGTGGGGTGGAGACGTCCGAGACGGAGACGGTGTCATCCGACTGATTTGCGCTGTGATCGATGAGGCCATCGAAAAGAGATCCATCCCACTCAGCAGGAGGCGCGATGGCGTTGTGGCCACGGTGTTGCTCTTGCCAGGGCTTCGCACTGTCGCCGAGGGGTTTGGGACGGGAATTTTCGTGGGGCAGCCAGCCATTCGAAGCCTGTGTCGAAGGGCGAGCAGGTGAGTTGCGAGCAGGTGGGACCGAGATGACATTCGCGAGCCACTGATTCACCTCGTTTGCACCTGCGCTTGCAACGTGCATGACGCTCATCCTGTCAGTCCAACCGCCAAGCGAAGTGTCCGTGCGACCGCCCGGAGAGGGCTTAGACTACAATGACTAGGATTTTCGTAGCCCTCGAAAGCTTTGAGAGTGGAAAGGGCGATGCAGCCGCCGCAACGAATGTGGAAAGCAGTGCCTTGGTATGGTGAAGCTGGTACGAATGGACTTTGGACGTGTCTGGTGGCAGAAAGGAATGATGGGGAGTGGAGTTGTTCACAAAGAATGACTAACACTATGGCGTGTTCGAATGCTTGGAGAGAGGGGCAGGGGTTGCTTGTGGAGGGGGGAGTGGGAGGAAAAGAGAGCCGGGTGGCGAGCTGACGACTTTAGAGTTGGCCACGGGGTCATTCCACCACTCAAGTCAAGAGAGTGTGTGTACAACGGCACGCACGCCACGCATTGTGCGACTATCATGATCGACGGAAGTCTTCCGGCTGTGGACCTTCCAATTTGGACTCGCACGACTCGGTACCGTTACAGTGCGGGCTAAGTGATGAGCACACTTAGACTTGCTGGAAGGGGATCGAGGGAGCTAGGTACGTAAGCCGCGTTGGATCAGGACGCGGGACACAAACGCGGCGACGCCCAATTGTAAATCACAATGCAATTCCTCACCCGTAGCCCGTGCGACTTGCCACCATAGATTTGCGGCACTGGAGCAGCGTGCTGAGAAAGGAGCGATCCCACTGAAGGAGCAGCAGGAGCCCGGCAAGTGCGACTCGTGTTTCACTGAGCCATATCTCAGCGCTGCTGCTGATTTCATCCAGGTGAGTCACAATTGGCAATCACCAGCCAACCCGTCAGCCAGCCAGCCAGCAGCTCGTCAGTTGGGTCCAAGGTTCGCCCTTGCGAGGGCGTCAGATCGGGCACGCTGTCACCATCATCAGCCAGCTGACTCCCGTAGGAGCAGTGTGTGCTGCATCTGAAGGCAGGGCGAAGACGGGAAGGTTGTCTGCGGGTGTTGCTCATGTCTGCAGCTCGAGGTTGAGGCAGTATCGACCCTGAGTTCAGGATCGTAGGCATACGCATGCAGCGCTCATCACTCTCCCAACTCCCATGATGCCAAGGATGTGAGAAGATGATGAGCGGATCATTGCGCTCTGATTCTGACTCGTCACTGGCTGCGTCTTGATTGAGAAGGCTGTCTTGCGCTCCAGACCCTGCAGCCATATGGAGCAACCGTATATACACATGTTTGCACGCCTGGCCGCCGCAGACAGCAGAAACGTTGATCAATCGATAATGTCGCGGAAGTGAGACCTGTTAATTATTGCTGCTTCACGCGCGGTTGCAGCAATGAGTGAATCAAAGATGGAGCGAGAATTATAGCTGAATTGATCCTGCCTTTCGGCTGTCACGGGCGGAGATGCCCAAATTGGTGCAATCAAGCTCATCACCGCTGCTGCTCCGTCCGTCACCAATTGCTGCGCCCGTTCCTCATCGATTTGCTTGAATTTGATTCGGTAAAGCTGCGCGCAATTGCGGTCGTGCTCGTGGGCCTCCGTGACAGCTAGAAGACGTACCCGCCGTTGGCGCTTCACGTCACCACCTTCTCAAAGAGTCAACTTTTAGCTGCCATGAACGGCCATGGGCGACAGTGCTGCGACGTACGTGTATGGAACTGCTGTGTGGAATGCCGCGTCTGCGAGCGGCCGCGGGTGTTGCAATTACCCAGCTGCTACAGCAGTTGCATAAGTGAAGTCAGAGTGCCGCGCTTCCGAGCCGACATACTAGCGGTCCGAATTTGTGAGGGTAGGTGCTGCATGGATGAGTGGATGGTCATCAGAGATTGAGCCGATCCGGTCGTGTCCATGCATGGAATCGCCTAGCTGGTTCGGTGTTCAGGCTGAGAACACGACCGTCGAGCGAGGGCAGTCGTGGGTCACGAGATGTGCAAGTGTGCACACATAGCAATTAGCACCTCGAGAATGATCACGAGTATTGGGTCCTGATGAGTAGTCTGTGTCAGTCGATGCAGGATTCTTGATTCAGGATTCGTGGTTGATCAGTACACGCGATCTGCTTTTCGCGCCAACTCACATGAGAGCACGATCGAGGCAAGCCGCAAGAGCCCGCAGCTGATCCGGCTCTGGACGTACTCAAGACTCAACTCGAACTGTCGATATCAATTCTGAACTACCACTCATGTATACAATTTGAATCATAAAGACACCTCGCTCTGACGCCCTTGACATGACTCATCCGAGTCGAAATAGCGATGGTGTAGCGTCTCGGGCGATACATCCGCGGACTTGACTCACCATTTCGTGACTTGCGATTGAAATTGTGATTTTGATTGAATTGTCGACTCTTTGATCAAGCCAGCCAGACATTGTCTATATATATATAGCCGATTCAATCGTGCCTTGCTGGTCGACACAGCAGAGGTGCATGCATGCACATCCCACCACCCAAACAACTTGCGAAAAGCAAGACTATAGACCAAGTACTACGAATTGGACCAAAACTTTTCCTCTCCCCAAGATGCGTACTCTACCTCCCAATCAAGAATCTTGAATGACCAGTCGAGTTTCAAACAAACCTTGCGCCCCTACACATGCTTGTGGAGAAGTGTGGCACGCAGTGGACGATGCCCGTCGTTCTGCGGCGCGCAAAACGTCCCATCTTCTCTCCGAGTGCATGGCCATCATGCACAGCAGCTTCATTTGCAGCGTTCAGTCGAGACTTCTAGCTCCTACGCAAGGTCATGCTTGTTTGGGATTCGCAAGCCTGTTTGCAAGTCCACTCGAACATGTATACTCGAGGCCAGCAAGCAATTTTCCTCGTAGATCGCATGCTGTATATACGGTATCCGAGGTATATCGAAGCCTGCAACGGCGCAGAGGTGGGTCGAGAAGCGGAGGGCGCACAAATTGTAGACAAATTGCATCGTCCCTCAATTTGATGATCCTTGGCAACCATGCTGCATCCTGCTCTTGACGGTGCACTCCGACCTTTGCGCCGCCAGATTCAGCTGACCCTCTGCTGGCGCCTGTCCGTCGAATCCATGTACCGACCGTGCAATCGTAAAGGAGGTTTCAAGAATCAAGAATGACTGTCCTGCTTGCCTAGAGATCATAAATATCGCAGTCTGCCGAGCGTACCACACTTGTTCGAGAGAGTTCGCGGGACGAGTATAGCCGCGCAACAAGGGGTAAAAGGCATTCGAGTCACGCGCGCGGCAAAAGTACGGTCATTAGGAGTCCTCCGCGGGAGTTTCGTACTCTACCGCGCAACCAGCCAAATGTACACAGCACCTGCGCTCAAAGGAGATATTCTAGAAAGGTGGCCAACCCCACTAGACCATCCGGCCCAAGCACGAATATCGATCAAAACATTTCCGTATTTAAATTCTTGAATCGCGTCCCTATAGTTGCCGCACCTTCACTTTAGAACTGGACGATTGAGTCGCTGATGATGCGACTTGTACGATGCCAGGGCTCGCTCCTATAGTGGTGAGTGCAACCTGACATCACAGCGAGGCTTGTGCACATGCAGTGAATGACGACGTGGCGTTTCCAACGCGGCCCGAAAAGAAGCTCTCGGTCCGTCTTTGTTCATGAAGCACAAGTTTCGGCCCACTCAAAGACTGCAACGACGCAATCTCGCTCACACGTGCTGTTTGAGCTTTGCGTTCCACTGCGAGTGGTGAGTCATGACTGGCTGCTCTTGCTCTCTATAGTCGCTTTGTTCATTCTGACTGCGACCAGCTCGACGCAAAGTGCAGTTTTGACTCAAATGACGACCACTTCGGGCATTGTGATCTCTATCGCCGAGCTGTTTTCGGCCAGCTCTGCGCATGCTGTCGTGTCTCCTCGATCTCACATACGATGCGCAGAGACTTCCTCTCAGACTCGATTCTGATGAGTTTATTCACTTTACGAGTCTCCGGACAGGCTTCCCGAAACGCAGTCGCATTCGGCGCGTCATTGCCGAGTTTCACACCTCACAAATAGTGCCCCGGGCAAAAAGCATCGAGCGGCCACCGGAGCTTACAGAGCGATGCGGTGGATCAATCGTCTCAGCAGTGCCTGAAGGCACAGCATCTTATCCAAGCCTAGCAGCCTGTATCTTTTTGAAGTCACCAAAGTCATCGCAAAGAGGTGTACTGCGAGGGCAGGCACATTCTTTTCTTTGGAGACGACAGCGCCATCAAATTCTAGATAGAATTGAGCATCATACTGTACTGAGTAGCTATGGAAGCTTTTTCGAAAACAAATACGAGGTCGTCGATGGCAAGTGTGTCGATCGAAATTATCCTTGGACGTCGTCGTCTTCTTCTTCGATGGCAGCTCCCACTTCAAGCTCGCCAACAACATCCCAGCGGCTACCTCCAGCCGAGGCGCAAAGATACTTGATGAACTTCATCACTCCCTGTGCAGGGCGGCGGAGACGAGCTTGTGATTTAAGTCTTGTATTGGCTCAACGATTGGCGAGACACAAATTGCTCACCTCATCCCTCAGGGCAATGCTAAGGGTGTTCCATGTGGGTGTGATGTTAAGCAACACCCCATCGTCGTCTTCGTCTTCGTCTTCGTCTTCGTCATCCTCCTCCTCTACTTCTGCGTCACGCATATCGACATCACCCTGGATCGGCGCGCCCTCCTCATTCTTAGGCTTCTTGACATTTCCACCGTACACTGCTGGATCCTCCTCATCATTAGCAGGTGCCATGTAGGCCTCCCAGCCTCCAACATCCCCGGTTTCCCAAGCTTGAGCCAACTCTTTCGCCTCAGCCTTGGTGATGCCTCCATTCGATTTCGTCGCGTTCGTCTTTGCGCGTTTTGCAGCAGCCTTCTTTGCAGCTAGTCCCTTGGGCGCAGTCGCGCCGCCTGAAGCGTCGATTGCACTTCGTCCCACATCCGGAGTGAGACCAAGGCAAATGTCCAGTACCGCCTCGCTATCTGCTCGTGCAAGCGTGTAGTCCAAACCTGGTCGGAAACGTCGGGTCTCGAAGGGACGTGCTCCAATCGGAACAAGTTGAGTCACGTTTGCCAAAAAGTGCCGGAAAGCCGGCGAGGGGAACAAGTGCGATCGCAGCAGGTCCAGCACACTTTCAGGGTCCGTAGGGATCGGTTGCGGAATGGGCGCGTTGGACAGAGCAGGCTTCGCGAGCTCGTCTTTGCCCACTAATGACAAGTACCGCTGGCGATGGGGTGGTCCCACAATCTTCCATCGCTCCGTGACACCGGTTTGGTGATCGGGAATCCTTGCCTGACCCCGCCCACCTTTCTCCCACCACCTAAGGCCAGCTTCTCCATCAGCGCTCTTCAAGGCCTTCTCGAGGCTAGAAGCTAGCTCTGGCCGCAGGACGTCCGCCAGCAAGATGTGCGATTCGTCGCCGAAACGTTCAAATAGCTGAGCTTGAGTCTTTGGCTGCAAGTAAGCCGGATTCAGAAATTGGGCCAGGTACGTCCGATCAACAGTACTGAGGGCTGAGCCGGGGAGGGGAGGGTTCAGCTCCTCGGGATATGCTTTAAAAGAGGCTGTTGCCTTCTTCGATGCCTGGTAAAAATGCAAGCGCCAAAATTTGCAGGTCAGCGCGCATCGCCAATAGACTTCAGACTTTGCTCAGCTTACAAGGCCTTCTGCACTGGCGTGCTCCTTTCGTTCTTCCTCTTCTCTTTCTTTATCCTGCTGGTCAAAGCCCTTCTCGTCAGGCTGTGGGCGGTGGAACCATCCACTGATGCTGAGTCTACTGCGGCTGGGATCCACAACCTCTTCGACGCTGTGGAAGGAATGGCCTGGCTGCACCGTGAAGAACGTGTACTGGTTCCACTCTGTCACGACAAGGGTAGGCCTGAGCAGCCAGTCCGACGGGAGCCGAGTGGAACGGCGGCACTCACTTGGCGGAATGACGACACTTGGGACATTGACAGGCACACCTCGAGAGACGGTTGGATACAATTCCAACGCCCCGCCGTACTCCGGCTTCCAATCCTCGCTCGGGTCGGGCAAGTAGAGTATGTAGGACAGCCGGCGAGTTCCGATGACGTCACTGAACGTGTCGAGAACGGCACATTAAGCTCGAATACGCATGAGGTGAAAGCGCCACGGCCAAGAAGACTCACTCGTGATTGAGTAGGTGGCATCCCGCACGATAGTCGTTAATGCTCATGTCCTTGTTCTTCGCGCTGAGCGGTCCGCATCCAGTCACGCTCATCAGCCAAGCCCTGAAAGGCTCGCTGTAGATGGCGTTGCGAACTCGCAGGAGATTTTGGAGCCTGCCGACTTCAGAGTCTGGCAAGCCGTCCAAGTTGGCGAGATCACCAGTCTGATTGACTTTGTAGATGTCCGTTTCCTTCTCGGTGAAACGCAGCTCTGCGACGATCTCCTCCCGGGCGGCTGTGAGCAGGGCATCGTTCAGCAAGCCATCAACCACACCGTGCTTATAAGGCTGAGAGGCGGCGTATTTGACAGCATGCTCCGAGTCTGAGTCGAGAAGACCTTGGGCAAAGGCTGTGCTTGCAGCAGCGGCATCGGCTCCAATAGTCGCAGCGACGTTCTGTTGTCGGGAGACGTTTGAGCCCGAGCGCGGTGCAGCCTTGATGAGCAAAGGGATGAGCGCGCCAGGAACAGGCTTGAAGTCTGGATGTCTGGTCGCCCGGAACAGAGCTTGCATGGTCCCGCTGTGCGAGGTGATGCTGATTACATCTTCGCCTTTTGAGCGTGCCCAAATGTCTGCCAGTGCGTCCGCAACCCGAGCTGACATTGCATCTGGGCTTTCTCGAATGTTAGACTATGCATCATAGAGAATCGAGAAGTCAGCCCATGCGCTAGTCCTACGTCCCCACAAATGGTGGCCTCTCTCTGGGATGGCACTTCAGGGAGATGCAGAACGAACCGCTGTCGCAACTCACGCTGAATACATCGTCTTGATCACCAATGGCGTCTTCAATGTCCCAACCTCGAGCTCTGAGCTTAGCGAGTGAAGCAGCTCCCCTCTGGTCACAAGTATGTCTGTCCGTAAAGTTTTCTCGCAGCCCTTCCATGACTCTCGGCGGCTTCTGCAGAGCTCCTCCAGCTTTCCACGAGCCATCAGCCTGGAGAATGGATTCGAGTCCCGCCCAAGTATTCAGCGCTGTGTTTGCTGATCGACCCAGAGGAGAAGTGAAGAGCGAGGTAGGCAGAGGCGCAGGGTCGGAGGTCGCAAGGGTGTCATGAAAAGCTTTCTTGATCGCCAACGCTTGCTCGACGCCCACATCGGTGAGTGGCGGGTCCGGTCCCCACACATCGTCGCCGTCTCCATTCAGCAAGGACCACTTTGCGTCCCACGCCTCTGTGCCGAACTTTGCCTCTGCGACATCTGCGGATTCAAAGGTTGACGTCAACAAGTTGAGGTCAAGAAGCGAGTCTATTCAGTCGGCGTTTATCTTTCCTGGATCGCACGTCTCCATGAACTCACTGTGGTGCCCTTCCCCATGCCTTGCTGCATAGACAATCTTATACTCCTCCCCGCTCTCATCATCTCGTGCTTTAGCATTGAGTCCTGTCGGTGGCATAATCCCTTCAGCTGGCTGATCAAAGAGGTCGAGCTCAAAGCTGACCCGTTCCACTCACTCCTGACCTCTTGAAGCACCTCTTTCCAAGTATGCCCGGCCTTTACACCCAGGTTTGGAACGAGCTGAGGCAGCTTACTGGGCTCAGGCTCATCAGTGTAAATGAAGTGTCCGTCTAGCGCCTGTTCGGGCACAAAACAGGAAGTACATCGGGCAAGAAGTCAGTCGTTTGCCGTGGCGCTCTGTCCAGCGTCTGCCATAGCTCTGGCGCTCACCTGAAAATCAAACGGTGATTCCGGGGCCGTAAACATCTTGAGTAGGATCAGGCCAGCAGTGCTTTAGCTGCAGAGCATCAGCAAGTGTGCAGCACAGGTGCACGATGTCAGAACGAGTCTACAGGTCGTGGTTGTAGATGTAGGAGATGGTTCACGTGCTTAATTCTTAATTGCAACAAGCAAGGATCAAGATGCGATTCGTGATTTGAGGACGGGCCTCCGCTTGTCTGCGGAAGTGCAGTCAAAAATTTCCTCGAAACGGCCGAGCGCGTTTGCCTTACGCATGGGCCCTCCGACTGCATGGACGCGGCAGTTGCCCGTGCGCACTGCTTCTCGTGAAGCCATGCATCACTCGTGACTGTGAGTGGCACCAAGCAGGTAAGGCTGGGAGATGTTTGGATCCTCAAAAAGTCACCAGAGTTCCTCTTAAAGTCATGCAATCAACGATGCTTGCGATCGCTGCAGCAGACCGATTTTCGTGGCTCGCTGCGGCTTCGCTTGGTGATTGAGGAAAGAATTGAGGCCTCTATGCGCACATTAACTTTTTGCGACAACTTTTGCCTCAGAGTGAAAGAGCTAACGAGTTTCGGATTCAGCAGCACGAGCAGCGATAATACTAGCACAGAAGGGGCGACCCAGCAGCAAAATAGGGATTTTCGAAGAGCGAAAAGAAGCATCTCGGTGCGACACTGGGAGCGCTGAACGCGATACAAAAACAACAGAAAAGTTCGGGCGGATGACGTGGCAGTCAAAGAGCTCCAATGGATGTGATGAGTCGTCTCTGCTCGTTGGCAGGCACTGCAGAAAGACCAGCGATTGGAGACGCAATAAGCTCCGATCAGAACGCTGGAACAGGGTGACAGCACTTACTAGATAAAGTCACTCTGCGAGCTTCTAAAGCTCGAGCACGATGTTCTTCGTAGAGCGCACGTGAACTTTCTTTTAGAGTCTTGAGGTGTGTGAAGAGCAAAGCATAGCGCATGGCAGAAAAATCGGAATGGACCCTGCAATTGCAACCGAGCGTCAGTCGAAACTTTCAGAGTCGAGGACAGGAGGGAGCTAGATCTACACTCACGGATCTAAGACACTAGCATCGCCCCAAAAGTAAGACCTCTCAAAACGAGGGGCTGTGTCCCTCTGAATGGCTCCAATCTCAGCGTCTCGTTTGAGGCGTGCGAGTTTCGTCATCTCGGTCTGCGTCAAAGGGCGCATTGAAGATCTTCCAACGGTAGCAGATCTGGCGCTAGCGTCCGAGAGATTGAGTAGTCCCAATTCAGACACTCCGGTTCCGTTTGTCGTCCCCATTCGTTCGGCGATGCCAGGGGTCGAGGAGATCGCCAAGTCTGACGAACTTTCTCGGGCGCGCACAAATGGCGACCCAGTGGAGTTACTTCCCGGTGATGCGCCACCTGTCAGATTGGCAGGCAGGGGCGGCACAGGAGGCACATCCTGCGTGCGTGGTATAGCGCTGTCCAAAGGCGTGATGAGGCTGAATTCCTCATCTAGGGCAGCAGGCAAAGGAGCTTTGCGCAAAGTACCCGCAGAAGGTCGGCGCATCAAGCTTGCGGAGCTTCCAGGATTGGGCTCCCTGCGCAGAGCTGCTGGTAGTTGAAGTGGAACTGACTCGGGACCGAAGATGGCGAATGGTATGATCGATGCTAGCTGCTGCGCGCTCAAAGTCCCTAGAGCAGCATTTGTGGGCAAGTCGTCGAAGATCGGGGGAGTCTGTTTGAGCTCGATCGGGGAACCAGGCTCGCTTCGTTCATCGCCCGGCGATTGCGAGTCCATAGATGTCCGTTGACCAGCGATGCTGTACGTGCGCCTGGAGCGAATCCGAATGCGCTTTACAGGGGCATCTCTGCTTGACGGAGCAGCCTCGCCAGATTGAGCAATTGTACCATCGCGCTCTTCGTCCTCGTCGGAGTCATGAGAGTGTCCATTCGTTCGGGCTTGCCCCGGACCGAGGGCCCCGCCGTCTTGCTCTTCAGACTCTTCTCTGATATCGAATGGGCCTAAGCCAATGCCTGCCCGCATCAAAGACGACCTGACTGCTTCGCGCACCTCGACGAGGGCCGTGGCTGTGAGTAGGTCCGCTTTGCCGATGACGGGAATAATCGTCGCATGCTTTGCCAGCCTAGATATAGCTCTCAATTCTGCTGGCGACAGTGCAAGCTCGCGCTCCGCCGTTGCCTCTTCGTCAATGCCGTCTGAGTCCTCGCCGACATTCTGAAAAGTCTCCTTGTGTTCTGCGAAAGGCGAGCCCAGTCCTCCGGAACTGCGTGCCTGACGCGCGCTTAAGGCATACGCAGGATCAGGAGAGCCATTGGCCATTGACGCGAGGCTTTGTCCCTGCCCCGCAGCGCGACCGACGGTCGCACTCTTTCTCAAACCTGACAAGATGGCATCGCGTGCAGCAATGCCTTCTGATATGCTCTTCGTACGCTTGTAACCCGCACTCTCGTAGCTGCCACCAGCCGCGTTGGCCACATCGCGCTTGGAATCTGCGCTTACACTGCCAGCTACCGAGCCATTTCTTGCTAGCGCCGAGTCAAGCTTTGGACCATATGATCGGCTCAATGAAAGAGGATCAATGACGTAGATGACGCAGTCGATGTGGCTATCGGCCAGAGACTGAGCGGCTCTGCTGATCTTGGTCTCCTCTGCCAGTGTGCGACTTAGGCGGCTCTCAATCTCTCGCAGCAGACTTCGTACTTTTCTCTCAGTTTCCCACTCCTTCGTGGGAGCAAAGTCGAGCCCTGGTGTGTCTGTGATGCTGACCAAAATGCGGCTTGTCGGTAAGCCTGCAGCGGTGCTTGCTATGCTGGTCGGTCTGCGCCCACGAGAGCCCCGTGACATGCCAGATCCAGGTGTTGCAGGCAAAGGCAGGATGGCATCGGAAGCAAGATCAAAAGCGGGCAGATTAATGACGGTGCGCGTTGGCAGGGGAATCGGCGGGTTGTGTAGTCGTGTGCGGTGCGTTGGGTTTGTGGAGAGTCCATGACCTATCAATTGAGCTGAACGCGCAGACAAGGTAGGAAAGACGCTCAGCATATGACTGATCAGCACGTGTCATCACATCAGGGGAACGCTCACGATCCAAAGACTGCACGCTGCCTTCCTTTTCGCAGCTCGCGATCAGTGTCCGAATCCAGCTAGTCTTTCCTGTGCCCGCTGCGCCTGCAACGAGTATGTTGAGAGGTGTTGGCGCCTTGCTACGGCGAAGCGATCGGCGCCTTCCAGCCTCAATGGCTGCACGTCTCGCTTGCGGGCTTTGCTGCGAAACAGCGTTTGGCGAGTTGCGGAAGTCCTGTTCACTTGCCGGCGAAGCGCGGGTAGGCTTGTATGCGCTCGGTGGAGGTCTGTGCTGCGCTGTAGGTGGGATTGTAGATTTGGCAAGCGGGGTGCTAGCGATCGGCGCTGCAAGAGGTGACGAGGATGCATAATCGACAACACCCTCTCGGGTCCAGGGACGATGGTACTGAGGTACACTCGCGGAATTGCCGAGCCTCGAAGCCGCTGACGTCTTTGAGGGAGAATGATCGCTCGGGAGCTTCGGCTTTTGCGGCTCAGCTTGCCGGGTCTGTCGAGCTGCAGGCGTCTGTGCAAGGGAGCTCGGTAGCGAGGCCGGAAGTGCCTGCTGCGTCTTGGCATTGCGATCAATTTGAGCAAGATCAGAGTCCGTCGAGGCTGGCGCGGCCATACCATAAGCAGCGTTGAGATCGGCTACTGACTCCAGCCCGGGCAAGGCGAGGTCAGGCAAGGCCGGTGCCGCCTTGGACACCTTGGGAATAGATCGCCGACGAAATAGCGGCATCTTCTCTACGCGAGCAGATAAGTACGTCTTTTTCGTGCGTTTGCAGGTCTCGAGGGGCGGCAACTTGGAAGGGCGAGCGGCTGCTGGACAAGACTGAGGCGTGATTTGCTTCTGTGCTGACCGATTATCTGGTATGTAGCGCCATACAGCACGTGCGCCGCGTCGGGGTCCAGGGAAGATGGAGGTATTGGCAGGAAATGAGAGCGGAAGGTGTCGACCTTTATAGCGAGCATGGGCGCACACCGGACGTGTGCTACTCGCGTTCTCTCCCTCTCTCTCTCTTTCTCTTAGCTTCACGTCCGTCGTGGGTGCGGGAGCGCCTCACTGTGGGTACGTATATCGTTGTTGTCGCGTACTACTCGAGATGAGGAGCGCTTATGCGGACCGCGGCGGGACATCGTACGCGCACATTATTGTGATTGTGATTTCGATGTGCTGTATGCGGTAGGTATATAGGGTACATAAAAACACATGTATTTGACCCGCGGCGCAATGACACTTCTGCTGCTTGCACACATGCACAGATGATGCGGCTCGCGCGGCAGCAATCGAGCTGTCGGGATATGCACGCTCAAGCTCTGCTCTTTGTGATTCTACATCAGGCCCGTATGCATGCAGCTAGGGGCGTACGCCGCGTACCGGTGTGCATATTAGCGGCGGGCAAAGTCGTAAGTCTTGAGTCGTAAGTGCACGCTCGCTCCAGCGGAATTCATCGAGACTGACTCGGGACCCTCGACTCACGACGGCTGGTGACTCTTGACTCTGTGCCTCGCCTCAGTGCCAGGGCGCATAGCTCTTGCGCTGCATGCTCATTTCGGCACTCGCGGACCGTGGCTTTATGTATGCAGCCAGACGGAGCAAGAATTTGAATGTGAATAGACTGCATGGCTGGCGCCCAGGCCAATTTCTATCCGCATTCCGCAAAGCCACCCCGAATCGTGAATCACTGCATGCGGGCCTGGTGTGCGAGCCGGTCGAGGGAGCAGCAGTCACGTGACTTGTTTCGCGGACATGGACGAGATCGGTCACGTGTCTGTGCTCATACCTCTCGGCCGGGATAACGACCCATGTGGCCGTGCAGGGTTGAAAGGCTAGGAGACACCATAAAATTGCTGAAGGTGGGCTCTGTGATGGGTGCGTTCTTCTGACAACTAGAGGGAAGGGACTAATTCCAAGAAACACATCTATCAATCCCCTCACAATGGCAGAAGTTTGTGGGATGCTTTTGCAACTCCAATCCCGATGACTCATCTATAGACGCTTGACGCAAGGCGTAGGTCCAGAGGTGCGCTCATGCGCTCACGATTGGCCTGTGGCACTCTACGCCCCTCGATGCTCAATGCTCCATCCGGTGCGAGTCAAGTGTTCAGGGTCTCGTCGGGTGCTGCAGACAAGCCCAGCGCGGAGCCTATCAGCTCCGGCAGCACATTCTCGGCCTTTGGCACGGCTGGTGCTAGGCACCGCTCGGCAGCCTGGGCAGCGAAAGGGCCTCACATTGCGACATCTGATGACACGCCAGGAGCGCGGCCTTCTTCTAGCTCTTCAAGGCTACCAGCTGCCTACTTCCGCCGCCAATCAGCTCTCGGAGACTCGCACTCTAACGACGTAGCGCAACGATCCCAGTGCCCAAGTGAAATTCAAGAAATGCTCGGCCCTTCAGTCGGTCGTTCTGCATCTCCCTTCTCGAGCGACTACTTCGGCTCTGGCCGCATACGTACCGAGGAGGCGAAGCTGTCAACTTCCCTCCCTTTGGGCTTGGGCTCTCAAAGCCTCGAACAGCACATGACCGTCGACATTTCCCACGCTGCAAGCGCGCATTGTAGCGCAGACCCGGAGTTGGAGAGGATTTGGGAAGCTCTTGCCCGAGCTGAGCCGCTGCTGGCTGCTGAACGGCTGATCAGCTTTGTCGAGGATAGATGGGACGTACGACGAGGCAGTCCCGAAATCCTCGGGGCTGCAAAAGGTGGAAAGGGAGCCATGCTCGAGTTCCACGCAGAGGAAAAGGGCAAACAGCGTGCATCAGCAGACATGCTGGGTGCCCTTCCCCAGGCTGCGGCAATGACGCTGCTCGCCCTCAGCGGCCGTTTGCCATCTGATGTATTGGGTCGCCGCAACATAGACTCTCAGCGCAAGGTAGCTTACAGACCTAGCTTCGCATCCCGCGAGCATACAGAGGCAGCTACTCTTATGTTCGACCTCTGCATCGTCCTCCCCTATCAACCCAACACCCCCAAGAATCGCGGTGCTCGGCCCTCGATCAGCGCAGCTCATTTTGAGCTGGATCATCTCGATGGCAAGTTTCATGCTGGCGCCGACTACATTAGAGCAGTGCTCAGGAATGGACAGTGCGCCAAAGCGGCCCGATCGTTTCGCTCACTTGTGGTGAGCGCTCGGAGCGAGCGTCGCGCTCTAGATCAGCAAGCATCGCCCGGCACGCGGCTGCCTCCGCGACTGCTGATCGACATGCGCGATGCAATCTCGCCAACACCTTCCCCGGGAGCGAACGGAAGTTGGCCTGGGGTGGAATTAGATCGAGCGGAGGCTCTGCTGCTGTTGGGTCAAATGCTTCGTGATGGTCTCTTGCCACTCAGTGCGGGCCCGTCTACTCATCGTTTCGGAAGTGCAGAACGCTTGCCACCCGCAGTTCTGTTGCGACGTCTATCGAAGCTAGCAGACGCTTCAGGCGAGCCTGCAATACGAGCGAGTGCGATTCTCGCATCTCTTGCTGCTAAGCACTCCGCCCCAATACTACCAGTAGGGGCCAGTAGCACGAGCGACCACCTCAATGTTTCCCCTACATCGTCCGATCTTCGCGCTCTAGACGTCAGCAGTCTCAACACTCTGCTTCACCATCTTTTACGTCCAGGACACGACGGAAAGGCGGCAGAACTGCTTCTGAGACAGAGCCTGGCGCGCGGGATCAATCCGGATGGCGTCACCACGAATTTGATTTTACGTCGTGCGACATTGCGCGGCAATAAACGGCTCGGCAATGCAATGTTGCGCATGCTGAAGGGCTACGTGACGGAGCGCTCATGCCGCTCCACCAACCTGAAGGAAAGGCCGTTGACATCCACACCGGGCTTCGGCAAGGTAATTGAAACGGGAGGAGCGGCTTTCAATGCCCACAAAGGAGGCGTAAGCTCAGCATACGATCTTAGCAACCAGCTCGTCGAAGCTATGCGCACCAACGATTCCTATCGCATGGTTGCCATTCTGGCGCATGCGACAGCCACTGGCAGGACGCGAAGACCCAGTGCAGAGTCGCTCGCTGCGCGAAGGAGCTCCCTTGTGCCTACGCGGACCACTGATCGACGCAGCTCTGCTGGATCTTCACGTCAGCATCTGCCTGGTGCACAGCCAGCATCGATCTTTCGCGCCATCTATCCCTTTCTGCATCTGCGACCTCCGAGACGTCTGCCCAGGACCGTGAGAGCACCAAAGGGCGTGATACTCACGCCCTCCCAACGACAAGATCCGCCGCCGGTCGGAGCTCCGGAGCTTCATCCTCGTGTCTTGAGCACCTTTCTCAACTTGTGTGTCAAGACTGGACGCGTTGGACTCGCCGAACGGGTGTGGCGCTTGATGAAGCAGACATCCGCCCGTTCTCGATCAGAGCTAGCTCTTGCACAGCGCACAGGTGCTCACACGTTTTTAACGCCCAATGCTGCGAGAGGGCTGACTGCTTGGCACGTGCCCATCGAAGCTGCCACTTCTATATTTCGGACATATGCTCGGGAAGCTCGGATTGGACTGAGACTTGTGCGACGACCCCTCCGCTCAAGTCGCCTGAAAGCGTACACGAGGCTCGAGGCGCGACTGGGCATGCGTGCGGCCACGCCGAGACCGATGCAGCAGCGCGGATCGAGTGACAGAAAATTGGGATCCGTAGCTTGGCCTGGGAGAAAGGGCAAGGCCTACGGGCTGCTACCTCTCGCTTCCCGCACGACGAGCAAGTCGCGTGCGGTACCAGACTTATCCCGCAGTCTTCAGATGAGGCGAAGACGAAGGAAATGTTTCCCAGTCGGCTGGGGAATATATGCTCTGCGCAGGCAAATTCCGAGAGCGTTCATGGCTCGGCGAGTTGCTAAGAGCGAGTATCTGGCGCTTCGGCAAGAGTGGCAACTCGGACAATGGACAGACAGTGCACCCCGAGTCGCCTCGTCGCCCCGCGAAATTACGACGCGTCCGGATGGACTCTTTTTCGATGCGCTGCTAGACATTTTTGGCAGGCGACGCGATATGCGGGTCCGCCGCGCCAAATTCCACGCCAGCACTGGACTCTTTCTCAGCAGGCGTGGGACAAGAGGAAGGACGTCTGATACCCGGAGTGCAGCTGTCGGACCTCCCCTCGGCGAAGGGCTAGAGGATGTTTCTAGCATACCCACGCCAGCAGAAGTCGCCGAGAAGCTAAAGGATCGCGTCGCGGAAAGTTTCGACTCAGCGTCAGACCACCCTATGCTGCTTCTAGTTCTATGCGACATGGCCGAGTGTGGTGTACCCATCCCTCTGGCTTTCCAGCATTTGTTACCTCTGGGAGTGCCATCGCCAAAGACGGATCATCATGTTGGCAGCGCGTTTCGGGTTGACAAGCGGTACAGAACGCTACCTGCGCACGATGCCGTCGCTCGAAGAATGCATCAGCAGCGGCTCGAGAAGAAGGCTCGTGACGGCAAGGCGGCGACCATTGCGCGCGCGCTACGCAAAGCAAACCAGGTCACAGTTAAGAAGGACGAAGTGTAATAGCACCTGATCGGCATCAAGTCATTCGGTATAGCACGCGCAACGCATTACATTTGCACATTTTTTGTATCACCTGGTGGCATGCTCGAAAGGTTGATTGGTCACAGCGTGCGAAGTTGCATCATTTTCAAGTTGCGCAAGTTGCAAGGTGAATGTTGTTGTGGAGCTAAGAAGGCGTATTTGTACAGAGCAAGGAAAGGCTTGCTCAAGAAGCAGCGGTCCTCGCCTTCTTTCTCGTAGAACCACTAGCATTTGCTGCAGATGAAGTAGACTTGTCCTTGGCTGCCGCCCGCTGATTGCCTCTTGCAGTCGAGACTTGGTTGGAAGCGTGTTCGTTGAGTGTTGATGAGTGCTTCTCTCCGGTTCCAGAAGCGTCGTTCGCGGTTGCCTCATCGGCCGTGGTCGTTTCTTCTTCCTTGTCCAAAGCCCAACGACGCAATGCTTGCCAGACTCGGGTTCGCTCGCGCTTGACAGCAGCAAGTCGAGCTCTCACCTCGTCCAGCCTCTCGACGTACTCTCTGCTATCGGTAGCCAGCTCGTGCAAGCAGTCGAGAGCGGCACGTACCACATCCCTTTGCTGAATTGGGCTCAGAACAGCTTGAGCAGGTGGCGGAAGGCCGGACTGATCATTTTCTTCGTGCGGCACCCCATTCGGCTGAATAGTGTTGGGGTCTGATCCTAGAGGAATTGGAAGTCCATTTGACGTGACGAAGAGAGGGTCGAGCCTTTCGAAGCTGGGATTGAGCTCATCCGCAGTCAGATTGGTGCCGTCCGCTCCAATAGCGTCCGCATCGATGGCGCGATGAGTGAATGGGCCGCCTCTAGTGTCCACGTAGAGGAAGGGCGGGTTGTAGGGAAGCATCTGTAAGCTGTCAGGTGGCATGTCTGACGGCCTCATACTGTCTGGGAGAACGGAGCGTTCCATGTCGGCAAAGCATCTCCCGAGCGCCCGACCGAGAGTCCCTTCGCTTTCCCTGAGATCAAGCGCCGTCTTGCTAAGCGCTGCGATGTGTGGGTTTCTGAAAGTGTGCCGCAAAGTGTGACTTGAAAGCAAAGCGCGAGGCGTGCTGATGGGCCGCAGCAGTGTAGGTGCAAGAGCAGTAGACGTGAGCAGCTCGGGCTTCAAAGCTCCTCCATGGTCAAGATGGCCCCGTCGTAGTGCAGCATCGAGGCGCTCCTCAGCTGAAGGAACAGGCAATGACAGGTGAGGATAAGGTGCCGCCTTCAATAGAGATTGGATGCCAGCTCGCTGCAGAGCAGCCATCCTCAGTCGCACCCTATCGTTGACCTGCAGGATCCCAAGGCCGGAGAGGCCGAGTTAGCAAGCGCTCTCGCCACCAATGCCGCCGCTGTCGTCCACCGGGGTATGAATTGTACTCACCTCTTTCTCCCCCCGCGCTTCGGTCCAGCCTCCAAGCTTTCCACGCCGAATCCACCTCACGCCATCTCTTCGCTTGAGCTTATTGCCTCGATTGCCTGTGCTATTTAGACGACCCTGGAACGCTTCCGGGTCGTGCGAAGCTGGATGGTACTCTTCCGGACCGTCATCGTCCAGCACGCCCGACTCGCTCGCCTCCTCATCATGAACATTGTTAGTCCGAAGAGCGTGGCGCGGTCTTTTGGCCATTCGCGAGGCGTCAATAGCAGACGAGTACGGCACCTGCGGGCCTAGCCACGGAGCTAGACCTTTCGCGGAGTAGGGCAGAGGATGCTGGCTGAGCTCTGGCGAAGACAATCGAGAGGACGACGCCTCCGAGGTATCGGAATAGTATGTCGGATGATCGTTCGATGGCAAGGACCTAACGATTAAAGTGGAGCGAATGAGCATCGCAGCGAGTCAAGGGCCGCTCGAGTTGCTTGGGGACCGTACTCACAGCCAGGTCAGTCTATCCTCGTTTTCCTGTGCCGCAACTTCATCTCTCTCTCTTCTTTGTCTATCCTGCGCCTCTTGTTCTCTCCTCTCGCGCTCCGCACGTTCGATTCGCTCTCTTTCCAGCCCTGCAGCGCGCACTTGGTCCACGGTGGGAGCCTGATTCTGGGGCGGACCATTTCCTGACCCCATCGGTGGATTTGGCAGTGCTCCAACAGAGCTTTGTTTCGTTGGCGGGCGCGAAGCGGCTCGTGCATGGGCCTGACTGGCAGCGGTAGGCTGCTGCAAATGCTGCGCTTGTTGAGGAGGTGGAGGAGACAGTGGTCGATCTGGTCTCGTGGACCGTGATTCGACAGCTTCTGTGGAGGTCGACGGGGTACTAGAACTGTGCCCTGCCTTTGATTGGGTCGGTGACCCAGATCGTAAGGGCTTCGAGGGTCCGGCAGCGGCGAGTCTATCATCTGGTCCATACGTGCCATTGGGACTTGGCTCTTGGCCTGTCGCTGTTCTTGCCCTCTCAAAGGGCATTCCATGGCGATCGCCGTCTAAATGGCTTTCTGCGACTGGGCTCGCACCTTTCCCTGTTGCATTCGTGGATGCCTGAATGGCACCATCCTGGATGCCGTCTTCTCCATTCTGTGCCGATTCAACGCGAGCGTCTTGCACCTCAGGCAGAGCAGTGAGCGGCGTTCGCGGCGATTGTGAGCGAGTGATGCGGCCTGGAGATGCCTTTGGCACCACTAGCGTCGAGCCTGTCGCAGTGCCTGCAGGCACGGAAGCTGTAGCAGACGTGCTGTTGGCTCTGGAACCGGACGGTCTTTGTCCTTGCGACGACTCGGTCGGAGACAAGGCCTTCGCAGGCTGAGCAGTAGCTGCGCCTCCTCCTGCGCCTGCCCGTGGAACTTGTGACGCTGCCTCCGACTCACGCGAAGTAGCTTGCGTCTGTGCATCGTGGCTCAATCCTTCAGCCTTCTGTCCGCTGTCAGAGCTAGCCGTGAGAGGCGGCGTTGGCAACTTCGGTGCCTCCGCAGCGACGCGCGCAGCAGTGATGTCTGACTCAGTCTGTCCGGCGGCTGCCTCAGTAGGCTTCTCTGGCTCCTGAACTTCCGCTTGCGGTTGCGCCTGCAAGGTCTGCTCTGTTGCGGCAGGAACGGCGTGCGAAGTGGGCGATAGTGCTTGGCCGAAGCTGTCCGACTCGCCAGGCGACACGGTCTTATCGGGACCGAAAGCGCCATCCATCAGAGGAAGTCGCTCGGCGATGGGCAAGGATGGAACGTTTTCTGATGCAGGTTCGTCTTCGGCAGGTGCAGCTGAAAGACTCTTGTCAGGCGTTGGGGCGTCCCCCTTCGGCTCGACAGTGGGAGCAGTCACGTCCACCCCTGACTGCGAAGATGCAACAGCAGCTTCGCTGGTGGTCGTTCTGGTCGCCAGTGCAGCTTTTGTGTTATCGTCTACCTCCTGCGAGGGTGCGCCGCCAGGTGCGGTGCTGGGCAGGCCCGACGAGGTGCCACTCGAAAGCGCAGCAGTAGCAGCAGCCACAGCACTCGCACTGGATCCGATCAAAGAGGTCTGCAGCGAGCCCATTTCTGACACAGGCACGCTCTCCGGGATCTCGGTCATTGCTGCCGGGATATCGGCAGTCGTTTGGTCTGATGATTCGGCGGATGGCACTGGCGCGGCTTCCTGCGTGGAGGATTGCTCTGCACCAATCGCGACAGGCGCTTGCAGCAATGTATCGATCTCGGTAGAGCTCAAGGGCGCCGATGAAGAGTCGACGGGCTCCAACTGTGATTCTGCTTCATCCGGTGGAGGAAGTCCCAAAGCAAGGTCCACAGCTGAGTCTGCTGAGGGAGCGGCTGAAGAGGGAAGAAGATCGAGGCTGGCAGCGACGCCTGAAGGATTCAAATCCGTGTTGTCGACATCCATAGGAGCGCCTACGGTATTGGCAAGGATGTCGTCGATGCTTGGCCGAGCATGCTCGGAAGTATCAAGATCTCTTGTGACGGCAAAGGTTTGTTTGAGTGAAGTATCGACGGCTCCTTCCGCTGACGGAGCGGATGGGTCCACAGCGGAAGACTCCTCAATGGCCGGCTGAGCATCTCCCGAGCCTGCGGCAGGTTGATCGATGTCCATTATTGCATGTATCGCAAGACGGAGCAGCGAGAGGTAGTATCATGCAACCATTGGGTTTCAGATGTCGATGCGACAGGGTTAAGCTTTACGCGTTTGAGCGGTCGGTGCTGGGAATACAAAGCTGATGTGTGTTCGCAAGACGTTCTGATTTGTTGTGATCGGTGAGCGCTTTCTCCTCTGAGCCGACAAATCTCGAATGCGAGAGCGGAGGATGGTGTAGGCGATGAGACGAGGTGATGACCCGCGACCCACTCACGCTCTTCTCAACAGCGACCTCCTCCTCAGCAGACTCCTGCTGATGATGCCCAGCACATCAGCAGCTTTGTCCGATTCCCCTCGATCTCCGCGTGCCTTCGCCGCGCATGGCGCGTCGCTGATGCTCTTGAATCTTAATGAGTATATTATAGACTCGCAGTGCGCGGGGCTGATCCTGCTGCTGCTCGGTGAATTTGCGTGCATTCTTGGTTCACGTGATCCACGATCGTGTGAGGTCCTCAAGCGTCGCGAATTGCCCGCCAGCAGCATGTTTCCTCGCACGAAAGATCATGCGCTAGCGCAACAGTCACGTGACGCAGCATGCACGTGTGGAACGTACCTTGCTCTTCCGGCCCTACTGCGCGACCGAGCAACTCGTTACTTCATTCACGTTCACGATCCGTGATCGTCCATGATTCACATTCACGATTGCGGCTTCCTGTAAAGGTGTGCAAGACGGGTGCCTGGACGCAGCAAAGATACCACAGAACTCAAGCGACATCGCTAATCGGCATTCCAGGTATTCTAGCTTCTCGCCTTAAACGCCTGCAGCCATGTCCCGCGCGCGGAAGGAGAGCACACCGGGGTTTGCTGGGCGGCCCAAGCTTCGTACAAAGTTTTACGCCAGCATTGCATCTCTAGCAGCCGGTGAGCAGCCTTGGGAGATTCGCAGCGAAGGTACAGGATCGCTAGGCTCGTCACGCCGAGCATCATCAGCCAGCGACTTGGCTTCATCATCTGGCAAAGCCTCTGGCAAGGCACCCTCTGGCCCTCGACAGAGATACTTTTTGGATCTCCTTTGTTTGCCCGTCGAACAAGCTACGCTTAGCGAGCTGTTGAATCCGATCAGTGCGAGAGCCCTTCTGTCTTCAACCGGGACTGATGCCGTTGTGCGAGACAATATTGGCAGCTTGTGGAGAGAGGCTAGTAGGGTGTGGAGAGAGGGAGATGCGACGAGGAGCAGCAACGCAGTCGAGGTGAGCGTCGAGCAGTCTCCACTGTATGCGACGGCGCTGGACTCAAGCGCGAAGCCGCCTCCACGCAGATGCTGCACGGTATCTCTGGTGCGATCCTCTCCAAACGCTTTTCAAATTATGCGTTCGACGTCATCCACGTCCTCGCTGGAGGAATGGACGAAGCCGACAACGAATTTGGTCTGTTAGTCAACGCCATCGACGATGCTCTCCAAGAGCCAGGCAAGCGCAAACGTCAAGTGCGTCCGGATGCCTTATCCAGCGCGCAGGTCGATGCGCAGCAACAGCGAAGAGTTCTGCAGCTTGCCATCCTCTGGCTGTCACACGTCGGCTCCACATCGTTAGCAGCGTATTTCGCGGGGAAGCGTGACCTGTACGCTTCTTGTTCCTCCTATCTCAGCCGAAACACTTCTCTTGGTGATGTCTACGACGCTGCCATCCTCTTGGGTCTTTTAGCCTCACTCGGACTCTCCTCAGGAGGCAGTGGTTTGAGCGGAGGAAGCGGCTCAGGAGCACATGCATATGCACGTAGGATGAGAGATTGGGTGGACGAGGAGTGTATGATCGCCATCAGAAATGCTGCTGCTGCTTGTGCTGGCGATGCAGTTGCAGCTTACGTGGAGCAACTGGACGACTCGGCACCATCCTTTGCGAGCAGTATGGTCGGCGTTGCAAGCTTGAAGTGGCTTGTGCCCGTCACATCCGGTCCCACTGGCGAGAAGGGTAGAACAAAGGAGGGCGACTTTGGCCATTTGTGAGTCGGTAGTGAAGCCTGAAGTTGATCAGATGGAGAGCCAATTGACATCTTGAGGTGCCCTTTGTAGACCGCCGGCGCCTATCGCGATACTACTGCCCGTGCTACTTTTGGCGCGCTCGAATCCGCTCTTTGTTGACGTCTTGTTGCGCGACAATGCGCAACCAAACACAACAGAAGCTGATAGCAGCGACGGCGCCGCAAAGCTTGGTAATCCTCAATTGTCGTTTTCTTTACTCTCGCTCTCCACCTATCTAGCTTCTCACAGCGCTTCCTCCAAGAGGGGACGAGCGTATGCGCACGTGGGCCTTTTGCTTCTGATCGCTTTCGCGGCTGATCAAGCTTCGGGCACGGTCGCATTGCTGCAAGAGCGAGATGCGAGCCTCATAGCCAATAGGATTCGAGTTTGTCGGCAGAAGCCGCCTCCTTTGCCAATGCCAGTGGTCCCAAGAGACAGGTTGATCCAGCCGACTTTAGACGCTGCTGTGCTCTTTCTGAGACACAACCTGAGCAGGAAATTAGATACTACAGGACACTTGTAGGTAGTCTGCCAAAGTTGATTGACTTTCGGCGGTCAGCTCATCCAACCCCAACTTTGTCTGTGCCTGACCCCTCTAGACTTGCGCTGAGACTGCTACGCGCGAGCATTGCTTTGCTGGCTGGTCGCCGCGCTCGCATACATTACCATTGGACAGAAGCTTGGCGGGCAATGCTGGGATTGGCAAGCTTTACTCAGGGCAGATACGCAGAATTGAGAAGCGGAGATTGTAAAGAGATTGGAAAGAGTGTGAGTCATCAGCGAGTGATCTGAGGCGCGAATCACTGTTGCTGATCCTCGCCATTCCATGGCACACAGGTCATTGCGACTTTGGCATTGGCGTTGCTGCGCTCTGACGAGTACTTGCCCTCTCCAAAAGAAGTGCAGCAGCTTCTGTACGAAGTCGTGCGGTCTAGTCTCGCCATTAGGAAACTTGTGGCTCTGATAGATGGTGGGGCTTCAGTTGCCGCTTTGAGCCCTCAGAGTTCGCCAATCACGTCGCCTTCGTCTCATAGCAACGGTGTGGATAATGCGGGCTACTTTGACACGTCCGCGTTGGGCTCGAACGTGGTCGTGCCGCACGATCCTAGGCTCCATGCTCGCGTTCCAGGGTGGAAGATTGTAGAGCGCGTGCTTCTGGCCGTCGAAGCGCGCGTGGAAGAATGGGGACAATCTAAGATGCGAGGAGGGGCAACATCGACGGGACTCGCAAGCTTGAGAGGTCTGGGAGCAGCGATCGGTCTCGCTTCTCCCTCGAAGAACTTAGGCGGAGAGACCGGCACTAGCAGCGCAAATAGCACGCCTATCGCAACAACACCCAAAACGAGCCCTTCCGGAGGTACCGCTCCAGCGCCGGACATCAAGACGATCTTTAGCCTTCTGGGCAGTATAGATTTGGAGGCTCTGCTCGTGGGATCCAGCGCAAATCAATCTGCTCAGCACCGCAGAGATGAGGATCTAGCAGGATCGGACGAGTGGCTCGACAGTGTGGAGACTCAGGTACACGTCGAGGTCCTAAGAGAAGCAGTCAATGAGGATGTCAGATTTCTCATCACGCCCAAGTAGACAGAGGGGCCATTGAGCGCTGAGAAGTGAAGAGTATATACCTCCAGCAAAAGCCAATGTCAACTGTTAGCCCCGATTGTCACGCATACACCAAAGAGGCTTCGCGCGTCTTGCTTGGCCTTGGTCAGTCACCATTCGTGATTGTTCCATGCGAGAAGGACTTGTGACTGGTGCCCAAGCAGATCACTCAGGCACCAGCAGATCCACGTCCTGTTTGGCTCTCGAGCGCGCGGACCGAGCAAGCCCGGACACTCGGCACTTTCAGAGCGCGAATCTTGGGGATGGCTTGACGCGTGACTTTCGAGCCTATCCCCGCGGTTGCTGCAGGTGAGAGAAGGTGATGTGTGCGACCTGATGAATTGCATCGCACTGAGCAATCAAACTTTGTCAATCACGAATGCTTTCCGCCCGCTCCAGTTCGTGCAGCGCCGAGCATCTTGGGCAAAAGCCATCGCCGTGTAAGAAAGTTGAGCGTCGCCGAATCTCGGCAAGTGTTCACGTCGGCAAAGAAGCTTGGAGCGACGATTGGCGCAGCCTTCGCGATGCGGCCCTTCGGCTAGCCGTGCTTGTCCAAGCATCCAACCAGCATGGCTCCTTCCGCGACAAGCTCGCCGGCGAATGGAAACACAAAAACTTTGTCCTCTTTCCAGTGCACGTGAGTGGCGAGATGGCGGCGGCGCAGCATTGCATTCGATCACCGGCACGATTGCAAAGGTATTGCTGACCACTCGTCTCCCCTCTTCTAGGTCGATCAAAGGCGATGGTACAAGCAACCTTATCGGAGGGAATGCATCGGCTGTGCAATCACGGCCTTTGCGATCGTTCTGGACTTATGCGAGCTCTCCGATCATACGCCGGAAGAGGTGCTTCCAATCTTTGCCCAAAGACTGACCAAAGAGTACGCGTCCAGCTTGCGAAACCTCTACGATTGGTCATTATCCCGATGCCGTGGTGCGCGCGGCAGGCATGGCAGGTGACCAGCTTCCTCCTACCGCAAGCCCTCACGCTTTCCAAATTTCGAACGTCGGAGTGATCGAAGATCTCATCCAGACCTCTCATCCTATCTTGGATGGCAAAGAGCACGTTGTCATCGACTCTTTTGCTCCTCACCTCCGCCTCGTTGCGCCCTTCTTCTACGTGCATTACTGGTCGTTGGGCGGCCATTTGCACGCTTCGGGTGAGCGTATGCCGCGCGATTGAAGATTGGCCACATTGCTCACATGGTCCACCTCTTGCTCACATCGGTCGCCGCAGCGTGCTATCCAGACGTGTACGACCATGCCCAGCTGGACAAGCTGCTCGATGACGCCATGTGTCTCATCAAGGCGCTCTGATCTGGCGCAGCTTGCGCTATTGATACATATTGCTGCTACTAGTACTTGACCGCGATTAGGTGTACATGAGCGCAGATGAACTCGAGCGAGGGAGATGCCGCTCCCCTTCAATCACGCGAATCCTCCTTTTTCCTGCGCTTCTTTTTTCCATTCGAATCTGCTGCATCTTCATCTCCCCTCAAAGTCTTGAGCGCGCCACTACTAGTTGATGATGGTCCGGCAACGTCCGCAGCTGGCACGTCCGGTGCGCTGGCGCAAATGTCCTTGCAGAAATCTAATCGCTCGTTCGCTTGCACTGCCGCTTTCCTAAAGTGCGTCGAGTCGACGGTTCAGACAATTGTCAATTCCTCCGGAAAAGCCACGTTGGGTACGTATTGGCGCGCTGGAGGGACTCACAAATGACCAGGCAAGACCCTTTTCGAACCTCTGCTCCTCGCTTCCGTCACTGCTGTTCCCAGCAATTCTGCCATGAAGAGTTCCAAAGCCTTGGCTGAGCACAGGCGGGAGCAGCAAGGCAGCGATTTCCAGCCCATGTGAAGACACGGTGAGGGGATCGGAATAAGCGTGCGGGTCTGATCAGCATTCGATCGCCCTACGCGCCCAGGAAATCCTGTCACCCGACGCTTCTCCAATAAACACCCCTTTGCTCGCTTGTTCCATGCTCGCCCAGACCGAGCAGCTACGGGTAGCTGCTGTACACTCACATACAGCAACAGGTGTAGCAGCAGCCACTTTACCAACCTCTTCATCAGACTGCATAATCTTCTTTATCCTAGCCACCGGAAACTTCGTCGTGTTGCTTTTGCGACCCATTTTGTTGGCGCGGGTCAGTGGGAATGGCGCTCGAGCCAACCCGAGGTGAGAAAGTGGAGCGTCGCAAAGTGGAGACGAGCGTGACTGCGAGAAGGGCAAAGAGAATGAAGGTGCTGGAGCGGAAAGACGATGTGCCGTCGCTGAAGAGCGGGGCAGTGTTGGGGTCGTGAAGGATGGGGAGAGCGAGCAGAGACAGGAAATGTTGGCTCTGCCCAGCACGGCAAGCGGTGCTGATGCTCCGTGGAGACCAGCTGAAGAGGTTGTGTTGTCGTTGTTGACGAGATGGACCAAGGTCTGGAAGCAGTAACCTTGTAACTTTTGGATCGTCGACGTTCTGCCCCGATGCACATGGAGAAGCAGCCATATATGATCCATCCACGCCACGCGGAGCGCGAACGCGCCACGGAGCCAGCTTTATATAACTGTGAATACGATAACTACATACATCATCTTCAACTCGCCTTTTCGTTCTTGATTTTGATTCAAATTGCAGGTGCTCAATATTGTTGAAGATTGAACAATTTTGAATTCGAGACGTGCACTTGCGGGCTCTCACCGAACACGTGGGAGCGCCGCGCCGCGCGCTCTCCCCGCCACGCATGCACGGCACAGTATCGCGCCTGGATGTGATCGGGATTCAATCTTGAATCTTGAATTCTTGATTCGAGCGTCACGCCAACCAAGAATACAACCAAGAATCTTGAATACAATCGCTACGTAATACAAACGAAATGCGGAGGCCGCGGGGTTCCCCCGCACGCGTAGTCGCCGACGCACATCCATGCATGCACCAGCAGACTCACTTCTCGATCCCAGCGGCAGGAAGAAGAGGAAGAGCCTATAGGAAGCTGTGCATCACAATCAAATCAAGGTGGATGATCTAGCTGGTCTGCATTCATCATCGGTTCTGCTGAGCCCTTCTCACCCTGACACATGCACTCTTGACTCAAACTATCCCGGAGCTGATACACTACTACTACTGCTGTCGAGGCGCTCGAACATTACATAGTCTTCGCCTCGAGAGAAGCAATTACTCGTGGGGTCACCGACGTGTGAATCTTGGGCGGTGAATGTACGTTTGTGTATAAGTCGAAAGTAGCTAGCGACGCGAACAGACCGGGGCCGCTACGTAGAGGCACGACGGAAAGTGGGCCGTTCGTCGTTGCATACATTGCGGGCAAGCTGGGCTGAGCCGAGCTTGAATTTGAAAATCAGCCACTCTGAGCTTGTCGCCACGTCCGTCCGTCCGCGTATGCTCTTGCTGACCGTGATATGTGCGCGGCCCGGCGGTTGTTAGAATCAGCTAGCTCATGGCTCATTAGATGGCGCATGGCGGAGCGGCCCCTGCCGCACGAGGATCCGCGACGTGCACATCCTGCAGGTCTATAATAGGTGCTCGACGTTGGCAAAGGGTGAAAGTGTCATGGCTCGTTCGAATGAATGATGATGCTGTCTCATCTCGATCATCATTCCAGACTCGAAGCCTCAAGTGTGGTCTCTCGATCTGCTGCCATCGAGCACATTCACGATTCCCATAGACAATCATGTCAAGCAAACAACCGAATGTCGCCATGCTGGAGCGAGACATTCGCCTATCGAAGCTGACGACGAGTTTGGGCTGAAGATGCGTGCGCCGTGGGCCGACTCACGCAAGCCATTCAAGAGATGCAGTTCGACAACAGCAGCAACAGCGTTCAGCAAGTCAATCCATCGAACATCAGCATCACACACGCAGTCGCAGGCGGAAAGCGAGCCGTAAAGCCGCTTTGCTGCTGCACTCGTGACTCAGGGCAAGAGACCCGACAGCAGCAGCAGGGACAAAGTGCTTTCTCTAGCGCCACATCATCACATGATGATGATTCATACCAAAGTTCCAGAGACTTAATGGTGACTTGTTGCTCATCATCTATGTAGCTGCTGCTGTACGCCATATATGCTTGTCATCGCGCTGACCCTGCCTGCTTCTCACTCAGACTGCAGCAGCAGCAGCAGCAGCTAGCAGGCGCAATCGCAGCTGCATCCCCGCAGCATGCATGCCGCCGGTCTGCGCAATCTCACAGCGCTCTGCAAGAAGGAACGCAGCGAGGAAGCAACCACAAAGGTGGTGGAGGTTGGTTGCGACTCGAGATTCCCTATGCGGCGCTTCGCGTCGTGCAGCCATTCGGCGACGCGTATCCAACAGCAGCAGCAGCAGCAGCAGCAGAAGCGCATGCAGCACGCAGCGCGCAGCACTGCGCAAGTCACCTAGCAGCACCTCAAGCCGCGCTTTAATTGAAAGGGACGTTTGCCGTCGGATCGGCATTTGGTCCGACCCCTGATGCGCTTGCTGCATATGTGTGGTTAAGCTGCGATAATCCGTCTCCTCTTCTGTGCTGCCTACCCCATGGCTCCACAGCATTAAACAACCTTTGCCGGTGGTCTGTTCAAGGATCGTGGCGCGCGATCCTTCCAGCAGCACGTACGCGCAAAGGACGTGGGACTCGTCATGATGAAATCCTCTCTCTGCTACGCCTATAGGAGAGACTGTGCTGCTGCTGCTGCTGAAGCTGCATGTATGTGGTCAACTCACCTCTCGTCAACTGCCTTCAATGCTGTGTGATGTGAGTGCACATGCAATCACGAATCGTGAATGGACGCACGACTGATTTGACGTCGCAGCTCGTGTGAACGATGTCTTATCTCACAGGCTTAGCTTCGGGTCGTACAGGTGCTCATGGTGCTTCGCATGTGTGTGTATATATACCAAGACAATCACGGCTTGACATGCCATCATCTGACGTCTCACCATACGCCTTCCCCTTCTCTCCCAAGGAGCCCTTTCAAGTCAAATCCCCCTCCAGCATCCCCCCTTCGACATCCTCTCTTTCTTCCTTGCAGCGTCCATCCCGCCTCTCGCATACGTCGAGCGCTCAGAGCACTGCCTCGAATCGGCCTCCCAGCACTCTGCATATACCCCTTCCCCCAAACTCAACTTGCTAGGATGAGGTTTGCCCAGCTGTGCCTGCTTGGGCTGACCAGCGCCCTGGCCGTCTCTCAAGTCATCGCCGCTCCTTCTTCCGCCTCAGATCTAGTCGGAAGGGCCACCGGCAAGAAACCGTCTGGTGAGTTTGCGACAAGCTCCTCCACGAATGTGATTGCGCGAGAAGAAGCGCGGCAAAGGAGTGTGTGTGCACGCTGCCGTGCAAGCTCTCGTCGTACGAGTGAAGGTTGCTACGCACAAACGGCAGGCACGTTGCACGGCAGGTGCGGCCTGTGCGATTGCTGGCGCCTCTGCGTCGCTCTCTCACATCACGTTGGCACATGCCCTTGCTTTTCGATTCTTTTGCCCGGGCAAAGGCGGGCCGATGTGCGATCAGAGCAGCTATAGGTGCAACATCAACATCAAATCATGTCTGCGCCCGTTCGTCACGGCCTAAAGCTAGCGTGGCATACCTTGCAGCATTATTGTCATTTGGCGCGATGTGCGACCATCACGTCTGCCTTAAGCTCACACCTCTCACATTGCCCTCTCTCTGCTGGCGCAATGCTTTCCGCACACAGACTTTGCCGTTGCTGATCGCGTTCCCGGTATTCCCTTTTCCTTGGGCAAGTCCTGGGCTGGCAATCTACCCATCACCAACAAGAAGGACGATCCCAACCAGCTCTTCTTCTGGCTTTTTCCTCCTTCCGAAGGAGTGGGTCACGATGACGTGGTGGTCTGGCTGAATGGTGGACCTGGTTGCTCATCTCTCGAAGGATTGTTCCAAGAGAATGGACCATTCAAATTCCCCTTCAACTCTACCAAGGTCGAAAAGAATCCCTGGAGCTGGACCAGGCTCAGCTGGGTGCTCTGGGTGGAACAGCCTGTCACCGTAGGATTGACCAAGGGCAAAAGCGACATTACGAATGAAGTCGATGTCGCGAGAGAGTTCACTGGCTTCCTCAAGAACTTCTTCAAGACATTCGATAACCTGCACGGCAAGAAGTTCTGGCTGACTGGAGAGAGCTATGCGTAAGTCGGCTGCTTCGTGCCCACCCGTGCATCGAATGTCACAGCTAATGCCTGGCGTCTGCATCTGCAGCGGAAAGTACATTCCTTACATGAGCGACTACATCTACGCCGACAAGACTGCCAAGAAGGCTGGCATCAACCTTCAAGGTTTCGGCATCAACGACCCATCCTTTGCAGAAGACCCGATCACCGAGGACTTGCCCGCCATTGAGTTTGCCAAGGCTCACCAGAAGCTCTTCCACTTCAACGACTCGTACATCGCTGAGCTCGAATCGAAGGCGGAAGCAAATGGGATCAAGGACTACGTGAAGAAGCACCTCGTGTACCCTCCTCCCGGTCCTCTGCCGATTCCCAAGAAGTGGAACAGGACTGAATTCTCTCCCTGGACCGAAATCTTGACGACTGCGACCGATCTCAACGCTTGTTTCAACGTGTACGATGTCAGCCCGCCGTACGCTCAGTGCCCCGGCGTCAGCGATGCTCTTGGCTTCCCTCCCGACAAGCTTGAGCCCAGCCCAATGAACGTCATCAACGACATCAAGGGGCTCAAGAAGGCCATCCACGCTGATCCCTCAATCACTTGGTACGAGTGCACGCCGCAAGGTCCCTTCCTGGGAGACGGCGACACGTCGCCCGGACCATCCGAGAGCGGTGTGCTTAAGCGCGCGATTGAAAAGTCGCCAGCTAAGCGCAACGTGATCCAGCACGGACTCAGGGATTACGTCCTCATTGCTCAAGGAAGCGCTCTCGCCATTCAGAATACCACGTGGAACGGCAAGCAGGGCTTCCAAAGAAAGCCCAACCAGTCCCTGCTCACCGTCAATGGCACCAAGGCGGGCACTTTCCACACAGAGAGAGGCCTCACCTTTGTCGAGGTCATCAACAGCGGCCACATGATGTGAGTTTGACTCGACACATCGCGAGCTCGGCGAAGCGCCAGGACGCATGCTGACCCAGCTCCACCCACAATTCTGCAGCCCGCAAGACGACCCACCCACCGCTTTCAAGCTGCAAAAGTACTTGCTGGGTCAAATTCCCGAAGCGGCATTGGCTTTGCCAGGTGTATAAAGGTGCCATAGCCCAACTTGCCAAGATGCGAAGCGCACCAAGGAGACACTCCTTGATTGCGTGCTCATGCAGTGCTTTGCTCGTTCTCACGTCGAACCCAAATGCCCCCGCACGTCTGTTCGTGGAATCAAGGACGATTCAATGCCCTTCCTTCTCCCTGCACATCTCCACTCCCTGCGTTCTCCCGAGTCCAGCATGTTGCGCTCGGTCGAGGACAAGCACTTTACCTACATCACCACCATTGCAGATTCAATCTTTTTGTCGACGATGGAAATTCGATGCTTGTCTCGCAGCTGCTCCGCCAGGTGCAAGTTTCCTGCAGTCGTCATGTCTTGGTGTATAGCGTGATATTCGTTGCGAGCATCTTTACAGCGATTCGGGCGTAGACGATAAGTGACGATTAGACGGAAGGAGGATGAAGGAGGCAAACGTGCGAGGACTGGCGGGTAGCCAAAAAGAAAATCAGCTCCAGATAGGATCAACGATTTCGGGGCCCTTCCCGACAGAGTGAACCTTGAAACCGATGGCTCTCAAAGCCTTGGCATCGACGATGCCGCGCCCATCAAACACGAAGGCGGGCTTGGACATGATCTGGTATGCCTTTCTCCAGTCCAAGTGTTTGAATTCGTCCCATTCCGTCGCGATAACGACGGCCTCTGCTCCGGCACAAGCCTCGAGGGCAGAACATGCAATCGTCACCTGTTGGCGCACTGCAGAACAAAGAAGAGCACGTCAATTTCGTCATGTTGAAGTTTATTCGCTCGAGCGTTGCATCGCTCACCAGCTTCGCGGTCATCCACCACGCCAGGCTCGGTAAGATCGAGATAGATTTGAGATTGTGGAACTTTGGGATCGTAAATGACCACCTTTGCTCTCTCCTGTCTAAAGTTCCTGCACAAAGTGATAGCAGCAGATTCGCGCGTATCTCCAGTGTTCTTCTTGAAGGCGAAGCCGAGCACGGCTATGCGCTTCTCGGTGATGGTGTTGAAGAGGGTGCTCACCACCTTGTTTGAGAACCGAGTTTTGGACCATTCGTTCATCGTAATGACCTGTTGCATTGCGCGAGCGACGAACGCAGAATGTGAGCCAAATTGACATGCTCTCGGCTGTGCGTGGGTGCATCGCTGCTCACCTGCTTCCAATACTCGGCAACTTGAGGCAGGTTGAGAGACTCGCTGAGGTAGACGAGGTTAAGAATATCCTTTTGGAAGCAAGAACCGCCGAATCCTACGCTGGCTCGCAGAAATTTGGGTCCGATACGAGCATCCAGACCGCACGCATGGGCAACTTCGTTGACGTCCGCCCCAGTCGCCTCGCAAATGGCAGCCATGGCATTGACGGAGGAGATGCGCTGCGCAAGGAGAGCATTGGCCGCCTGTGAGTTCAAGATAGAGGCTTGATCAGCTCGTGGAGGCAACGACATGGGGAAATGCGGTCGCGTAGCAGAGACTTACCAGCTTGCTGAGCTCAGAGCTCCACAGACCCGTTGTGTAGATTCGGTATTGAGGCACCCAATGCTCATAGACGGAGGCCAGGCGAGCGGCAGCAATTCGACCTGCACTCGTGTCCAAGCTGCCAATCAGCACTCTATCAGGATTCTGCAGATCGGAGATCGCAGTTCCTTCTGCCAAGAATTCTGGATTGGAGAGAATATCAAAACGAAGTCCAGGTCGACTGTTGGACTCCAAGATGGTACGCATAGACGCGGCCGTTCGACATGGCACAGTCGACTTCTCTACAATGATTTTGGAGGAAGTAGACACTGCAGCAATGCGGCGTGTAGACGCCTCAACATAGCTAGGCAAGATGAATGGACAAGCGACGGCATTTGATCTCTCGTCAGCCTTGCAATTGCGAGGGACAGACGTCAGCAAGCTCTCCAACTCACTGCAGATCGGCTGCAAAGCCGGCACCCATTCCGCTCTTTTTGGTAGGTGTATTGACGCTGACGAAGACCAAGTCAGCTTGTTCTATGGCTGCATCGATATCAGTGCTGAAGAACAAGTTTCTGCCTCTGCACTGCTTGACCACTTCTGCCAACCCAGGCTCGTAGACTGGCAAATTTGACAGGTTGCCCTCCTCGTCCGGAGGACTGTTCCAAGCTGCAATACGGTCAGGATTGACATCGACGATGGTAACGATGATGGATGGGCAGTTGAGGGCTATGACCGTACACGTCGGTCCTCCTACGTAACCTGCTCCCACACAGCATATACGCCGGATGGGAGCTAGCGCCTGATCAGGCGCGCTGAATGGTAACATTGGGGAGTGCGACGTCGCGGTAGGAGCCATGACTCGGACGGGTGGATGAGTTTGTGGTTTGGTATGAGGCGATTATCAGCGGCGACTTGCGGTTGTGGCTGACTGAATTTGAAGTTTGCAATCACAGCGAGGAGGTCAGGCCAGCTCGGTAGGGTTGGCTAAGCGTCGAGGTGAAGCAGCGAGAGGGTCGTGTCGAGCAAGAGGTGGCAAGTGACAGTCCGACTTTATGTGCTCAGAGCCTCGACGAAACACAAGATGATGGGAGAAGGTATGAATGAGGCAGTTGCGGAAGAGAGAAGCAAGGTCTGGTGGTACAGTCGTTGAGCAAACGTCTACGCAGGTGTTACGCAGATCTCAGAATCCGATTTGCGAGGACGTTGGAGGGATGATGAAGGGGTGGAGAGGAGATCGACGATCAGCGGAGAGCGGTGGTCCAGCTGGTGGAATCATAGATGTCTGTAGCGGTCGCGAGCTGCTTTATAGAGCTTGCATGAGCCGATGGTGACTCTTGAGGAAAGTCTTGACTTGCGACTGCCCAAGAGGTACACACAGAGATCACATCTTGGCACTGCGAGGATCTCTTCTCTGATGCTCCCCTCCCAGACTTTCCGTGGGCAAGTGCTGGATGCGTTGTTCGTGTGACCCGTCCCAAATTAAGCCTGTGAAGCCTGGTGCGACCTCAGGACGCTGGGGAGATGAGCGACCGTGTGCAACAGTTTGACTCGACGACCACATCAGTCGACCGTTGATTGTGGAATGCATGCAGGCCCGCGCCAGCAGCAAAGCGCTGCGCGCGTAAAGATGTTGTTCTAACGGTTCCTCGAAAAGGGCGCGCTAATGGGATTTGAACTTGGGGTGCTCGAGTTCAAGCGCGTTGGTCATGCATGAATTCAAATATCCGCCTCCGTTCGCGGGCGGAGAGGAGTTCACTTGTGCGAGGGCACGGACCTCTAGGTTTGCGCCCGCGGCAGAGCACGCGACGCGGCGTGCCCGAACGGGTTTTGTATACCAATAATAAGCAAAATTCGACCCCCTGCTCACGTTCGCCCGCGACCGGACAGATGGTCTGCGAACGTGCCCTGTCAGCTGCTTGAAGCGAATTGAACGTGGTCACACGATGCCACCTTTCCACCGCGTGGAAGCACGCCCAAGCATCAGCACCGTGACCCCTCACACGACCATGCGCTGAGCATGTTGCAGACCCCGAACACTCCGAGCCACCTTCTTCGGAGTCAGAGTTGACGACCGACAAAATTGGAAGCTTGATTTCACGTGAAAATGTAGATACCGCCGAGGCGAGCAGTCACGTGCAGCACCTTGCGGGCCGCGCGTGTCCTCAAGACTCATGTGATTTCATCATCGATTCACGATTGTTGATTCAAGATTCTTGATTCTTGATGCATCCACGATTTTGGATTCACCATCTCACGGCGCGCACTGTCTCGTGATCATCCAACAACGCAAAAGGCTCAGATGGGAAATCACTGCACTGCTTTGCATGCAGCGAAGTTGCGTGTGCTTTGCACAAGCGTTGTCAGCCATCACCTCAATTCCAAGCAACCAGCACAAGACATTGATAGACATTTGACGAGGAGTAAAAGTCACAATGATGCACAGTGTACCAATTTGCACTTTAGAACCAGTCACCATGATCCTTCATGGCGTTGGCCACGCGGCGGAAACCAGCGATGTTGGCACCTACAAGCAGCGAAGGGATCTCCTCCTTGCTTCCAGATAGGGGGAATTCTGCGCCAGCGTCGTAGCATTGTTGGAAAGCAGACTTCATGCTGCGAGGTAGAGGGTCCCGAGAGCGCGACGCAATGCGTAAGCTGAGATCTCCCGTGTTTCGCGTGGTGGCTCAAGGGGCGCAACTCACATGTCCTTCAGCTTCGCGTCCACTACCTCTGGGGTCCACTGAGTGAGACCCTTGTTCTGCTGCATCTCAAGACCAGATACGGCCACACCACCAGAGTTGGCGGCTTTTCCTGGACCGTACCAAGTGCCCTTCTTACCCTTCTCCGCGCGAGACTTCTCGAAAGCGTCGATCGCGCCTGGGTCGCAACCCATGTTGCTTCCCTCTGCGACTGCGACGCATCCAGCCTTGATGGCAAAGTCGGCCTCTTGCGCATTCATCTCGTTTTGAGTTGCACAGGGAAGCGCCACATCGTATCTGACAGAGGAAGGATGTGTCAGGTACTCTGCACACACGCAAGGAGGGATTGAGCAGGGCTACTAGATCAGACTCACTTGTCAATAAGTGTCCAGGGGCGAGCGCTATCGCCATGGAATTTGTATTTGCCGCCCTTGTCACCGAGGGTGGAGAGCTCCTTTCTGGCGAACTTGATCTTGTAAATTTCTTCGATCTCCTCCTTCGTAAAGCCAGCTTCGCCAGTGGCGATCAGACTACCCTTTGAGTCGGAGAAAGTCAAGACGGTTCCGCCGAGTTCGATTACCTTCAGTGCTGCAAATTGCGCAACTTGGCCTGAACCGCTGATGATCACGCGCTTGCCCTTGAAGCCGTCGGCGTGGCCTGCGTGAGCAAGCATATGCTCCACGTAGTACACAGTTCCGTAGCCGGTTGCTTCGGGCCTGACGTGGGAACCACCCCAGTCAAGGGCCTTACCCGTCAGGATGCCCACCCATTCGTTCTTGAGGGCTTTGTACTGACCCTATTGAAGGCAAACCCAAAGTCAATGACGCAAATCAGAATGTGAAATCACATCGCGCATGCCAGCACGGCATTTTCGTCCACTCACGAAGAGGAAGCCACCTTCTCTAGTCGAGAAACCAATGTCTCCAGCTGGAACATCAGTATCAGCTCCGATGTGTCTCGAAAGCTCAGTCGCAAAAGACTAGGGAGTTGAACACAACGTTGTCAGCCCTCATGGCTCCGCAGGTATGCTCTCACACGCCAGCTCCAGCTCACCTTGACGAAGCGGCGCACCTCTGCGTCGCTCTTGCCCTTTGGGTCAAAGTCAGAGCCACCCTTACCACCTCCGATAGGGATGCCAGTCAATGCATTCTTGAAGACTTGCTCGAAGCCCAAGAACTTGAGCACGCTGAGATTGACAGTGGGATGCAATCTGAGACCTCCTTTGTAAGGTCCCAGTGCGCTGTTGAACTGAGCACACGTCAAGTTCGAGGTCGCGAGGTTCAATATCGCTGCAGCATACAGACGTTTAGTCTCACACCCTCCTTCATTCGAGCCTCACCTGCACGCGGAAACCGCGGTTGACTTGAGCTTGGTGATTATCATCCTCCCAGACAACACGGAATTGGATGATGCGCTCTGGGATCTGGACAACCTCGAGCGCCTTCTTGTACTCGGGGTACTTCTTGAGGAAAGGCGCAAGAGTGGTCTCCACCTCGTGCAGCGCCTATTGCGAGCGGAAAAGGGACACAATGCTGAGGTATCGTCAGCTGCGTGCATACAAACCTCTGCGCTGCTCTGCTGTTACTCGCCTGCTCGAACTCGGGCTCCTTGGGAAGGTTCGACATCTTTGTAGGTCAAGGTGGTTGGGGAAAGGAAAGGGACCTTTGCTGGAGTGGTTCAGCAAAGAGGTGGTGGTGGTCGTAGTGGTGGAGAGGGAGATGCCATCTGGGTGCAACCTTAAGGTACCACTTCCTGTGATCGCGATCGGATGCGAAGCGATAATCGTGAGCCTCTAGCACTGGCCCGGCCAGGCAACAACCTCCACGTCTGCTAGAATTTGCGGTCTGACATCGTCGAGGGCGCTACGAGGATGCACGCTTGATAATATCCACCTGCTCCGACAAGTCTCCGATCAAACTGCGATAAGCAGATGAGAAGCAGCAGCATCCGATCGAAGCAGCGGCAGCGAAGCGAACGAGAAGGACGAAATCTTGAATCCATGCAGGGATCATCACACCGCATCACATATTCTCTCTCCCTCCTGGATGCTTGGACAACAAGCGAGCGATCCAGGTCCGTGCGTCATCGTTTGTGGTCCAAACAGAGAAGAGATTTCGGTGAAAGGTGCAGATCCACGCTGCAGCTGCTGGCTGCGTCGCGATCTTCCAGAATCGGAGTGAAGATAAGCTTGCATGAGGGCCCTTGTGTGTGTAGGTACGCGTGCATGCAATCACGAGTCACGAGCACGCAGCAGACAGCAGCAGAGCGGCTGCATGGCCGGCCGGTCGGTGGTGACTGACGCACGTCGTGCATACGTGAGAGCGCTACAGGCTCCTCCTGCCTCTTTTTTCCCATCTTGATCCGTTTCCTTCCTAAGTGTGCCGCTTCAGGCCAGCACAGAGGTTCACGAGTGTGAGTACTTTTGACGGGCAGGTCGTTGCTAGAGGCCGATCGGCATGCAGCGCTGCAAAGAATCAGCTTCGCAGCTGCTCCCCATGCAGTCGTGAGTTACAGTCGTGAGCTCCTTGTGAATGTAAGAAGCGATCGTCGAAGCCACGCGTTCCGCGGAAGCAGATAGGGCGAAGTCGGCCGAACGTTGCCGGCGACCTACTCAAGCGGATCCGAGTCACGTGCGTCACTCGCGTTCAGATTCACGAGTCCGCTGGAAGTCTGATAAGTGAGTGAGTGACATGCGTCTTCGAGCCTCGTCAGAAATGCTTCTTTGAATGCGGCTGAGGGCCACAGGGGGCATTTTTGGTGCACGCTTACGATCCAGCTTTACATAACAACAACCATGGATATTCCTCGTGCACAGCGAGACCGATGTAAGCAACTATGGCAGAAATTGTGCGTGGGCGGATCCTTGATCTCAACGTTTGAGGTGTCTGTACAGTTGAGTCTGACTGAAGCTCCAACCACCTTCGACGTGAGGGAAGACGTGGGTCAACAGCTTTGCTGCAGTTGGCCGATTTGCAGGCTCCGTCTGGAAACAGTTGCGCAAGAAGTGAGCAGCTGCTTTGGAGAGGCGAACGTCTGCAGGGATGGGTGGGGCTTTCCTCTCTGCCCCAATCTTGAACATAGCTTCGACAGCTTCTTGATCGCTCCAAGGGCGGCGCCCCGCCATCATCTCGAGCACCACACATCCCAGGGACCAGATGTCTACCTTCGCACTGTATCCCCGCGTTGAAGTGAGGACCTCCGGCGCCATCCAAAAGATGGACCCTTGCAAACTCATAGATGCGACATCGCCGTATACGTCGTCGGCACCTTTGCGCACGGTTCCGAAGTCACTGATTTTGACCACACCGTCTTGGTCAACAAGCAGGTTGTCGGCCTTGAGATCTCGGTGCAGAATGCCTTTCGAATGCAAGTACTCTAGACCTGTGAGCACTTGATGGACGAAGGACTTGGTGGTGTTTTCCTCGAGCTGTCCAGGATACAAACTCTCGTAAGTCTCAAGCATGATGTCAAGGGAACGTCCAATGCAAAGACTGACCTTGCCATGCTTTCGCAAGCAGCTGCCCACGCTACCGCCAGGTACGTATCTGTAAGACGATGGAAACGTGAGCACATAATGATGAGATCTGGCGTCAACACAGCGACGTCTCAGACTCACTCCAAGAAGATGCTCAAAAATTGTCTTGTCTCCTCAAAGCCAAGATACGCCACGATGTGGGGATGGTCCAAGTCTTTCAAAGTCTCTATCTCTGACTTTAAAGCATCCACCATACCTTTTTGCCGCACGTCCAATCTGTCGCTCTCTGTGTTGGGCAGCTCGACCTGCTTGACTGCGATCATCTCACCAGTCGTCGCATTCAGTGCGAGGTACACCCGCCCATAAGTACCCTTTCCAATCAGATCGCCCTTGACCCATTTGAACACCGCTGTGCAAGATCGGACGCGATGCAGATTAGTCACCGAAAAGACCTTGCCAGGCTTTTGTAGCGGTACTCACGTCTCGAATTTGCGTCAGCAGTCGGAGATGCGACGGAAGTGGCCGAGACCGGCTGATTCAGGTCCGTGCCAGGGGTCATCTCGATCACCTTGCCGCCCCAGAGCTTGGTACTACGCCTTCTTTCCAGATTGCTGAGACCTTCAAGTCGACGCCTGGTAGTGGTCTCCCCGCGCTCGAGCAGACGCTTGCGGTCTTGAGCTACGAGTCTGATAGACTTTTTGTGACCACTGCGTCCGATGCCACGACCCGTCATTGCGGTTGGTGAGGATGGCGGAGCGAGAGCGACGTTGGCGTCGGTTTTTGGACTGCCTACAAGGGGACTGCCCGGTATCAAAGCCTCGAGCACAGGCTTGTCAAGGTCGTGCTTCGGGAAGAATTCGTCCAAATTCTCGTAGAGCTGTTCGGGAGGCGGACGCGGCGCCCAATCGGTTTCACGCTGCGCGAACGACAATCGACGATTGACGCCGGACAACGTCGGAGTCATCGGTTTGGAAGACGCGGCAGAGGAAGGCTCCGTAGGTTGTAGAAGAGACGACGCCGCATTCGCGATCGAAAGCTGACGAGTGCGAGGAGAGGTGGGGTGCGCACTGCTTTGGCCTCCCTTGTTCGAGTCTATACTGATCGTCAATTGAGGTCTTCGAGGGCTACGAGAACCGGCTTCCTGTGATACACCAGGGTCGTGCAGCGTCGTGCCGGTACCATGGTGCGAGACAGACAACGTAATCTCAGGCGCGTTGGTGCCAGTCTGAGATCGAATCTGACTGAGCGCAGAGGCCGTGGGATCCAATGGACGCGCCCAGGTTCCAGCGGCATCGTCATCGTCATCGTCGTCCACGAAGGAAGCGAATGTGCCACCGCCGTCTTCAGCATCGTCCAGCTCATCTTCAGCTTTCATTGTAGTTGAAGAGGACTCTGAGGTGAAGGAGCGGGCGTTCGTCGTCGTCGACGAGTCCGATCTGTCTGGCCGCAACGTCGCGCCATCGCCTGGCCTCGCAGTACCATCGCCATCAATTGCGCTGAGCACCGTCGCCCATCTCGACGCGTCGAAAGTGCCTTCGTCGTCAGTCGAGCTCACATGGACCGGTGACAACATGCGATCAGTACGCGAGGCGTCACTTCGCTGCTGTTGGCTTTGAGGCGGCTTGGGAAGTGGTCTGATGTTCAAAAGATCTTGATCCTCCACCGAAGGCCGTCTGGCAGCGTCATATGGGACCTTTGGCGAGCTCTGACCTGTAAGCGCCTGGTTCGTGCTTACAGGAGTACCAGCTTTGGTTTCCAGTAGTCTCTTTTGAGTACTCGGGCTCAGCGGCTCGCTCCTTGAGCTTCTTGCAGACGTTGGAGCGCTGCCAATGGATTCTCCCACCGAGTTGCGAGCTGTCTGATCTTCCACAGAGACATTCCTTCCGCCAGATGCGAATGACGCATACGAGGATCCCGACGATCTTTCTGATGGCCGATGCTGTTCTTGACTCGGCTGGAAAGACGACGCAGGCGCCGAAGGCCCGGCGAACGAAAGTGACGCCACAGAAGGCGATGATTGCTGAATTCCACTCATGAACGACATTGGACTTCCAGGACCGTTATTCGGGAGCTGAGTCGATTGAGGGAATCGTTGCTGTGTTTCTAGGGAGCGACTCGGGGGACCAGATTGGTGCTCCACATACGGCCCGGTGCGTCCATAGTGCTGGCTCTGCTGGGGCATCTGCGCGGAAGTGTGCATCGGTCGCGCTGGACTTTCGGCTCGAGGCGCCGTGCGATAAGGCTGAGCGGGGTGCTCTTGCTCATATGGCTGACGCGGTCCATTCCATGCCAAACGAGGATCGCGCGGTTCGCGAGGACCAAAGCTGTGCCCATGTGGCTGAAACTGTGGCTGGGGATGGTGCTGCGAGCGCAGCGTTTCCTGCACAGTCTTGCCAGGTTGCAATCCTCCTGGCCCATATGCAGTGCGCTGAAATTCCGACACCTGCCGAGAGCTGCTCGCGGGGAAATGCGCTGCTGCAAAGGGGTCTTCTCGAGGAACAAAGCCAGGCGATTGATGGGCTATATGAGGACTCGGTCCTTGCGGCGGAGGCCTGAAGTAAGCAGAATGCTGCGCTTGCATGTCATGGTAGGTGTGCGGTCGAGAAGAAAAAGGAGCTGGCGAAATGCGTCCGGGCATGGTTGCTGGAGGCTGCAGCCTCGGATCGCTCACGGAACCTGCCATAGCGTACTGCGTCATACGCGCGCCGAATTCGTTGGCATATTGCTGGTTAGGGGGTCTAGCTTGATGCACGTACCTGCCATCGTAATTCATGGCGTGGCCTTGGGAGCTTTGCGGAGCGAGAGGCCCAGGACCGGCCTGATACTGGTGAGGGCTAGGTCGCGGTTGGGTGTTGAAACCCGGCGAGGGCATCGGTCGCATCGCGAGAAGTCTTGGATCCGATACTGGCCGCGCGAGCATTCTTCCGTCGCTGCTGTAAGCAGAGCCAAATGAAGGTGCTCGAGCTTTCTGATGGTCCGGATACGTCGACTCTGCTAGTGACGGAGCGCGGGCACGATACTGATCCTGTGGTCCTGCGTACGCGTGAACGAAGGGAGATCCCCGGACATCGCCGCTGTGATGACGGGCCGGAGCACTAGATCCACTGCTGGCGGAAGGTGGGGTCGGAGTAGCCCTCGCCACACTTGGGCTTGGATAACGACCATCAAGAGTGTCCAGTGGATGGACACCGCCGAAAGCGAGCAGATCGGGATTACGGGCCGGCGGCATGGTGCCCGGAGGCGGAGCAGGAGGAGCGGCGTTGCGCAATCGAAGATCATCCATGCTCTTCGCAGCGTGCATCGGGCTGCTCGCGCCATCTGAGTAGGAAGGCCTGCGGTCGGAAGCGGTGTCATTCCGCTGGCGGTGATCGAAGCTGGTGCCGTGTTCCGAAGGTGGTGAAGCACCAGCATACATTTGCGCGGCCGAGTCGTGGTGACGCAGATCTCTTCCGCCACTGGTGAGAAGACTCCGAGGCAGCGCACCACCGTCCTGCAATGAAGTTTGCGAACCCATTCTGCCCATCATTTGCTGGTCCGAGCGCCGAGGACCTCGGCCGACATCGCTCGAGGAACTTCCCAACTGCGGGCTCAGAACGAGTGAGGGCGAAGGAGGCCGATTCCGCAGTGCGTGCGTCCCTTCGTTTGGACCACCTTCACGAGAAGGTGGTAACACCTCTTCCCATGGCGCTACCCATGGCTGGGATTTGCCGGAAGAAGGACGTCGGGTGTGTACTTGCCCAGCGGCTGGCCGACTGGTACGTGTACTCTCATCCTCATCATCCAGCTCCTCTACCACAGTGTCGTCTCTTGGGACGCTTGGCCTACGGTAATGGGTGATCGAAGAAATTGGCGTCCCTTGCTGCTCTGCAACAGAGCCGAGTGCAAAGCCGCGCAAAGAAGCGGAGTTCGGCGGCGACTTCCCATACTCGCCAGCAGTCGCAGGCCGTCGAGGCTTAGCTCGTCCCCTTTGGATCATGCTTCCCGAAGTCGACGCGCTGCGTAGGGACTGACTTTCCGAGATCCCATCGGCAAGCGCATCGCTGTACGCAAGGACGTCACTGACGGTCGACTTTGACGACAAGCTGCTCGATTTCGAATGTCCAGTAACGTTGGGCGCAGCTCCGCTCTGAGACGTGCTGCTGGACACGTTGTAGGAAGCTTTGGATCCAGGAAGATCTCTGAGAGTCTTTTGTGGCGAAAGACTGCCAGAGACAGGAGGAGGTAGCATATCACCATCTCGCGCTGGAATGGTCTGTTGCATGAGAAATTTCAAGGTGCCCTTGCTATCTCCGAGCTGCAAGCATTGTGCAAGCAGGGCATCATCGTTGATGCGCGGACCCGTTGCATCTGATTGACCGATTTCGGTGCGATACAACGCAAAGCTGGAGTGCTCGCTATCGAAAATATCTGCAGAGAGGCGGGCCCATTGGCGCAAGATGTGCGTCAGAACGATGCGCGCAATCCCCCTAGATCAAGCCTCTGCAAACTCACGCAACTTGCTCAGCATACGTTCCTTGATAGCTGCAGCAGAGCTAAGACCAGAGATGTCAACCACCGAAAAGCGTTCATTGTCCTCGGTCACCTGGATCAGCACGCGCTCTAGCGGGGTGCTGGCAGGTCTGGTTGGTGGCCGCAGAGGAGTTGTAGATGCCTCGGCACGAGCAAGTCCATCTGCACCTTGGCTGGTATCAAGCTCGTTCGCATCTAGAGGTGGTGAATCCAGTACCTCCATCGGGTCGGCGCCTGTGGCATGTGCTTCGCCAACGTCTGCGATCTGAAGGTTCGAGCTGCTGCTGCTGCCAGCTGCATATTGCGCCTGTACTAGGTTAGAGTTGAAGCGATCGCTAGTGTATGCGAGGTAGGAACCATTCGGCGACTGGGGCGTAGGGATGGAGAGAGCGTTGCAGGCGGGGGTGGACACCTGGTCAGCGACTCTGATCAGAGAATCGACGCGCCCTGCGTATGGCTGGCGCGAGGCTGCGTCTGCGCCTGGCAACGCCCTAATTTCGAGCCCATGCAGCAGGGACGGGGTACCCTGGCCCGAAATCCTCCTGAGCATACAGACCCGCTGATTCTGCGGCGCCTGCGCTGGGACAAGACCACTCACCTGCTCTTCTGCCTCTTCATTAGTGTCCAAGGCACTACCCGAGGGCATCGCACCTCCACTCGTCAAGGACGCTGCGCTCACTCCACGTCGGTGACCCTGCGAGGAAGAGTCGCGACTTTCTCCGCGCGAATGCACACGTTTGCCAAATCGCTCCCACATTCCTCCGACGTGCTCAAAGACGCTGCTGGGCCTCCTCGCTCGAGCCTCATCTGTGCTCTTTGTGCTGGCTTTCTCTCGCTCCTTTGCCTCTCTCCTCCTGTCTCGGAATGCCGAAATTCCGCCGGTCGTGACACTTGATGGACCAGCCCCTGTATCGGCCAAGCTCGCACTGGTCGCTGAGACTACCGATGACCCATCATCCGTGTTTGCTCGCCTCATCGGCGAGGAGGGCCGCAACGACGAAAAGAAGCCGACAGCGCTTCCATGATTTGAGCCACCGCCTGCGCTCAGGCTGCCAGTGCTTGGACTTCGCGAGCTCGGCGAGAGGAAGGGCGGTGTTCCATGGCTCGAGCCAGGACCAACTGCGGTCACTTGCAACGATGATGAAGTAGAGGGCAGCTCTCTGGCTGCTGGCGATGTTGGAGATGAGGTGGACGTGCTCGACTTTCGCACAGCGTTAGGTACTGTGACAGGAGCGGAACCGCTCTGTGCCACCGATTCCAGCGGTCTCGCCTGCGGAGACGTTCCCACCCCACTGGAAGATGGCGCATTCGTTGAGTAGTCAGAGTATGCAATGATGCCTGACTCAGGTGGTGGACTTGTGGTGAAGGCGAAGAGCGGCATTGACTGTGCTGAGTTCGGGAAACCTTCCAAGTTGGGCGGAGCGCTGCTCGGAGAGGGTGCTACTGCGGGAGACGCAGGCCTCGCGCCCAGCCCAGCCTTGCCGCTATCCTGAGAGGCTGGTGCCTCGTCTGCGCCGGGCTGTTGAATATCGCCGTGAACGTCTGCAGTGACAGAGCTTGGCGACACGGCAGTGGAGGACGAAGCTGTGGACGAGTTGCCATTGGCAAAGTCGGCTAAATGCGGCGAGAGACCCAAAGTGCCAGCCAGCCTCGATGGGGGCGACGAGGGAGCAGCGCGTGGCCCAATCGGTGAAGCAGGTGGACGCCCATCGAGTGCAGATGAGAGCGTTGGTGAGGCGACCAAGCCAGCTGAGCTGGGTTTTGTCGGTGATGCGACGCCGCCTCTCGGAGCTTCTGCCGAATCCACTGATTGAAGAGCGAGGTCGCGACGACGAGGCGAGTGCATGCCAAGTGTTTGCAGTGCCAGTGCAGTCGCACGGCGGAGACTGTCGCCGTCACCCGATGTACTGGCAGCTGGTGGACTACTCCTGGACTGCATTGTCACCACACTTTGCCCGCCCTCGGCCATTTCTGACAACTTGGAGATCTCCTTCGCGGATGAGGGGGCCATGCTCGAGCTCTTGGCAGTCTATGATAGCAAGCTGCGAAGGGGAGCGCAGCAATCTCACTGTGCGAGACTTAATCGTATGACAATCCGATGGTCCGCGTGGGAAAGCGTGGCTTGCTGTCACCGAACATCTGGCTGGTTCAAGCGAATGGGCTGCGGTATCGCTAGGCTCAGATTGGCGCGTGTTGCGAGATAGGAGGTCGAGATGGCAGGGATGATCGGCGCCCTCCGTTGGATATCAGCCGAGAGTCCACGTGCGTTGTGCTGTGGAGGACAATCAAAGAGTTCAAAGAATTAACAGTGACCCAGCACAAAGCCGATCGCTGGTGTGCGTGCGTGTAGATCCGAGCCGTCCAGTCACGAGTGTCGTGAGTCGTGAGTAGCCATGAACTCAATCAGGCTGACTGGCCAAAGGGTTTGCATGGAGGTGATGCGCCGCAACCTCTCCCCGCGCGTGTCAATCCTCCAGCTGCGACCTTTCTCGTGGCTGTTGGGCCGCACGAGGTCGGCCGGTCAATTTGTGCTGTGCGGCGTGCGCTCCCCTGCGCGTTCTCTCTGTCCGATTTGCCCTGCATGACAGCACCTAAGCGTCCAAAGACAACCAACCCTTCGACCGAGCACGCGCGTGACCTCTTGCCGCTTCCTTCGCGTTCACGATCTGCTCGGTATTCATCATCCGCGATCTCTTCAGTCAAGCGTGCAAACAACGACATTATTGTGATTACACAGGACACCTGTTCGGGCAAGTATAGCAGCAGCAGGCATGTGGGCAACGTGCGGCTTGTAGATGTCAGTCGCTGCCAGGCAAGTATACTCACACTTGACTCTTGCCTTTGACTCTTGACTTGAATTACTTCGGCACGCGACGGACACGTCGGAGACAGCGCCTTGCGCGCTACACCGGTGCTGCTATGCTTGATGGCTGCCCATAGAAACTCAGCTCGCGACTACTGCTGTACCGGTACTGTACAGTACCTATACCTGCCTCGTCTTTGTATATACTGCATACTTAGCCACCCGGGCATGACGCCGAAGGCCGGTGCTGCAGCCTGCAGCCTGCAGCCTGCGCAGGATTTCAATCTGAATCTGGAATCGTGATTTTTTGGGCAAGGGCGGCACGACGAGCACGAAGGCTTGTAATCAAGGATACAAGATCGCTAGGCAAGAGGATATCCTAAAGCTCGTTTGTGAGTCGAGTTCAAGGCTATCCTCATTAATACGACTACAATCATAATGTTTGACACTTGAACTTTGACTCAAGACCTCGCTCGTACCAGCTAGGGTATATATTCGTAAATTTTCGAGCAACAAAGATTCAATTTCATGATTTGGACGGCTTAGCCTGCCAGCTTAGACGCAGCACCGTCTCTACATAACACATGCGAGCTCTTGGTATCGATCTCTTCCTTCTTTGATTGGCGTCGATGCTTTTGACTGAACCAAAGCCAAACCTTGAATTTGTCAATTCAAGTCAGACTCTACGAACCGAAACTTGGTATCTTCACCGGTATCTGCGATCAACGGGCGGCTTTTGGGGTGCGTCTGCCAGCTGCAACGCGTTCAGCTGTGACCGCAACCCGGCACATTCAAAGTCTTGTTGTGTAGCGGCATTCAAGATTGTGATTCCTCCATGGTTCCTCCGAGCTTGATTTTGAGACGGATGGCTGGTTGGTGCAGAGAAGGAGGGCAGGCCAGAATCAAAGCATTCGCATACACATTCAATTGGTGATTGCAAGCCAGGAAAGCTTCTCTGACAGTCATGCGCCATAACGTAAGATCAGGCGCTCTACTTTATGCCACACCCGTCCAATTCTCCGATCCAGGGACGACCTCTGGTTCCTTCGCAGGTGCTGAACACTCAAGAGCAATTCCGTGGTGAACTACGCATATATACTCTGCCTAGTCAGACGGACTGCTTCCGCACCGGAGGCTTGGCTGACTCGGCGCGAATGACACGCGCGCTTCCCGCTTCTTGAGCAGCCCTCTTCGTCGATTCGCCGCTTCGTGTCTAGCCGAGCTTTCATGCTACTAGGTCCCTGCACAGTGGAGACAGCGCGTTTCTATATTTCGAGAGGGAGACAGCGCGTTTCTATAATTCGAGAGGGACAGCTGCTAAGGACATAGAAGTGACGGAGCGTGAAGACAGCGAGAAACTCGAGAAAGGTCGCGCACAATGCGAAAGCGGTGACCGTCCGTGAACGTCCCCCGTGATTCGGCGGACGTCCGAGGCTCTCTGCGATCGGCGCCGAAAGACGTGAGCAACGTTACGACGATGCGGCTGCAGGATCTTACGAAACCTGGTCCGGACTCTTGGATGGCATCCGACCTCTCGCAGCAGTGATGGGATCCGGGCTCCCTCAGGATGACTTTGCATAGGCTGACCTTGGGAATCGCAAACAGACGCATGCGATTCGTCATGGAGTCTTGCCGGTATGGTGGCCGGGAAGGGAGGGCCGGTTCATATAGTCAAGAGTGGCCCAGCTATAATAGATGCGTTCACGGTGTGTGTGTAGGCTTCGGTCCACCCAAAGTCGTAAGCAGGCACGTGATCTGAATCGTGAGCATCGTTTGAACGCGCACGCGCCTTTTGAGCTTCGTCATCGCGATGGGAGACTTGCAGATGTGCAGCAACGGTCACGAGTCGTGGAGTCAGTACGTAAGAAAGAGGCCGTGCGCGCGCATCCAGCAGGAGTCAGGCAGGATGCAGCAGCAGCTTCCCAAGAACCTCACAACTGACGACTCTGGATCCGAGCCTGTCCACCTCTGATCAGCCATCATCCCACCTGTCACCCAGCTAAGGCTTCACACGCTTCTCGCACACACGACTCAAAGGAGGAGTGTCCAACTTCATCATATGGTGACACATTACTTTCTGGTAGCGATCCTAAGCAACGAGCCTGACATTCCATCCTTGGCCCGCTGAACTTGAAGCGACCAGAGACTTCCAACCCAGTCAAGGAACAGATACTCACTGGTGCAGCATGAACGTCACCGACAAGAAACAGGAGGCAGACTTGTCCCCAGAGGTGGACGAGCTGGAGCCTCAAGTCAGATCATTGGCATCGGTGAGTCTTCAACACGGCCGCAAAGCTTTTGGGGTGCAAGGCAAGCACAACGCCGCTTCATCTCCTGGGCGAGCAACGCTCTGAGTCGGGCTCACTCATGCTCTTGCTGATGCGATCACCTATCCTCGCCCTGTATGCGTAGTCTGGCAAACTCACAGATGCACTGGAGAAGATTGCCACCTTGGAGAAGCGCTCTCGTAATGTAAGCTGACTGCGCCCATTCAAGCAACTCTCGTCAGCTCTTGAGGCTCACTCCTCATCAATCCGCAGGCAGCCGATTTGGGCTCCACTACCCGCCTGCTGCTGCTTTCCGTGCTGCTCATTCGAAGCAAGCCCGACCTCAAATCCACCAACTGGCAACTGCTTTCCGAGACCCTTTCTTCGTTGTCCCGCAAGCATGGACAGCTGAAGCAAGCGGTCACCAAGATGGTTCAATTGTCCATGTACTTTCTACACCCACCCGGCTCCAGCTTGGTGCCTTCTGAGGAGGGACCAGAGGACGAAGAGGGTGACGTGGAAATGAAGGACGTGGCGGCAGATAGCATCCACGGAGAAAAGCCTGGGTCGTCGAGTCAGGCAAAGGAAGCGAGCGGTCAAGCCAAAAAGGGGGACAGGAAGCCGGGCCAGGAAAAAGCTCTGGAGGACAAAGGCGAAGGTGCAGAGGACCCAAAGATCACCAAGCTGATAGATGAAGCAAAGACGATCGGTGACCAGGGTGTGACGGAGGATCAAAGGCACAAACTGATCGAGACTTTGAGAACGGTTACCGAAGGCAAGGTGAGTATTTGGCTGCCCAGTGAGGCCTCACACACATGTGTACGCGACCTCACTTCTGCTGCATGCACTTGGACAGATCTTTGTAGAGGTGGAGCGTGCTCGGGTCACGCGTCTTTTGGCTTCTATCCTTGCTGCAAAAGGCGACGTCTCGGGTGCTGCGGATGTTCTGCAGGAGCTCGCAGTGGAGACATTTGGCAGTATGGGTCGTCGAGAAAAGACGGACTTCATTCTCGAGCAAATGCGCTTGAACTTGGAGAGGGGCGACTATGCAAGAACTAACATCGTCTCGCGCAAAGTCAACACAAAGTTCTTTGACGAGAGAAGACAACAAGACCTCAAGTTGAAGTTCTACGAATTGATGATCAAGTATGCCCTACACGAGCGCAAACATCTTGATGTTGCTCGCTACGAAAACGCGATCTTTGACACCCCAAGGATCAAGGTGGACGAGCAAAAAGTTCGACAAGCCCTGCAGAATGTCGTTGTCTTCTTGATCTTGTCCCCGTATGACAACGAGCAAAGCGACATGATGGCTCGGATCGAGCAGCTCGAGGCGCTGGACAAGGTGCCGGAACACAAGTGAGTCTGCAAAGGTCTCTCAGAAAGCTGGACTTGGGCAGCTGAAACTGAAGCGTCGCTACCCTCTTGCACGACAACAGGAACCTCCTCAAGTGCTTCACCACACCCGAATTGATGAGATGGCCAGGCATCCAGGAGCTCTACGGACCTCTTCTGCGCTCAACGCCTACCTTTGCTGTTGGAGCTGATGGCGACTACAGATGGGAGGAGCTGCACAAGAGAGTCGTTGAGCATGTGAGTGCCACGCAGCGGTGATCACGGCAGTCGACTTGTGCCGGATGCATCGTTTTTGACTCCGGTCCCAAATTTTGACATCGCAGAATATTCGCGTCGTGAGCAAATACTACACCAAGATCACCCTGGAAAGGCTCGCAACCTTGCTTGACCTGTCGGTGGAGGAGGCGGAAAAGTCACTCGCTGCACTTGTCACTTCGGCCACGGTCTGGGCCAAGATTGACAGGCCTGCTGGTGTGGTCAACTTTGAGAGGAGAAAGGAGACTTCGGAGCACCTCAATGCGTGGAGCAACGACATGGGTCAATTGCTGGGCCTGGTCGAAAAGACTTGCCATTTGATCAGTAGAGAGCACGCAATCTCCAAGGCGGGCTTGGTTGCTGCCCAACAGTAGACGCAACATTTGATGCAAATGAGATGGCTTTGAAACCTTGAGTCGTGTGCGTTGAAGGACGGAACCGAAGTACTTGAGTTGAGAAGCTCTATGTGTGCGTAATGCAAGTGCGGCAATTCGTTGACAAGGCGACAAGATCGACAAGACGATGGGGAGGAGTCAAGTGTTGTGGTGTGAGGTGCGCCATATCGGGGGAATGCGTGTGATCGTAATAATTGTGGAAAGGCTTAGGGGACTTGCGCGAAAGAAGGGTCATTGTTCTATCAGAGAAAGCGGAGTCAAGGAGTCGCGTAAAGTTGCGATGAGCTTTGATCAGCCACATTGAAAGTGTCGTCACGGAGGGCGTGCGTGCGAGTGCGCTTGCTGGACCGGAAACGAGAAGCTGCTTTTCGAGCGGAAAAAGCACCGCTGGCGGTCGACGATCCTTTGTCATGGTGCAGCATTCGAGCTACGTGCGTACCATGGCCGGCGCGAAGCATGCTGTCCCTCTTTCCGGAGCGCTCGCCGATGGCACCTTTGGCATTCGACAGCTTCCAAACGCCGAATCCCCGTCCACTCGACTCGAGCCCTACAACAACCCTTTCTTGATGAACAGCCTCCTCAAATTGACCCAAGAAGCCTGCGAGTCATAAAGAGAGGGGGGGAAATGTTAGCTTTAGCCCGCATGGACGCGTGGTGTTGGCTGCTCACTGGTCTTGGTGGTACGGATAGCTTGCTGGCGTGTGATCGGCTGTCCTGAGCAGCCGGAACGACCACAGTGGCTGCAGGAGCTCGCAGCATCGATGCCCGTGCTCAGACTCCATGCACTGCCTGGACCTATCAAGCGGCTGGGTTGGCCGACAGCGGTTGCATTGCCCATCAAGGCGGCGACGGCACCCCCGGACACATTCTTGGCATACGGCTGGCCATTGCCCAAGTGGGTCGCGACGAGGTGCGTTGGATCGATCAATCGGCGCTGAGCTAGGACGGCAGCGGGCACGTCCTTGACTTCTCCTGTCGTCGGGTCGCTGTACGCGACCAATTGTGAAGATGTGCCCCATGCCCAACTGCGCAGAGTGGTGGGGCCATCTCAACAGGTGTGTCTGTTCGAGCGGCAGCTACGACACTCACAAGAAGAGGATGATCGCTACTATGGCGTGTGTATAGAGGAGGCCGATGAAGAGGAATAGAGGCGCTTTCTCGTACTGCTGAGCGAGTACAGGCTGCCAGCCCCTGACCTCGACGTCCTGCTTTTGCATGAGACCGGCCGGAAGCGCCAAAGAGCTGTAGGCTAGTGCGCTAGCGAATTCGAAAGCAAATTCGTCTCGCGATAACTTGTCGGTGAGACGAGTCAAGGATAGGACAGTCGCTTCCGTGACACCGCCGGAGACGAAAGGACCTCCGAGAGCATGCACTAGCGCCGGATCAGCGGGTCTGCGGCTTTCGAGAGTGAAAGAGCCATTAAAGTAGCTGAAAGTCAGCTCTTCCCAGAGCATTCGGCACTTGAAGGCAGCAAATGAGGCGCCTCCGGCCGGTGTTCCGATAGCCTTCAGGCTAGACTGATTAACGGAGAGTGCTGGACTAGCGGAGAAGATTGCAAGCGCAGAGAGCTCCATGGGATTGCTCTTTGGTCCCTGTACACTTTCTGACTCTCTCGGTGCCTTGCCCGCTTGGTCGAGAAGATAGAAGCGGCTTTGAGACGCCCACGAGCTGGTGTCGGTCGGGACGATGCTGCCGCTCAGTTCTGCGTGACCAGCCTTGCTGCAGTTCACGTTTGTTCCCATGCTCTCGCATTCATCAGTGAGCACCTCGCACTGGGAACTGATACCCAAGGTCGATGAGGAGAAGATATCTTGACGTCGAATTTGAGATGCACTCAGATATGCGAGCGGTGCGATGGGATGTTCAGGATCGGGATACATCGAGATCTGACGCGTTCTGCTAGCATTGTTGACGACCAGCCAGCCCTCTGCTGCGGTGACCGAGTGTTCATCGCCAAAGAAGGGGAGCCCTTCATCCGCGCCTCTTCGCAGCGGGGTTGAAACCGGAAGCAAGCGGTCTTCGTGACGTCCATTGAGATCTTTCGAAGCTCTTCGCGCACGATCATCGACGACCTCTGAGCGTGGCACCTGTGCTGCAGCTGGGAGAGTGACCAAGCACGGGAGCTGCTGCATGTCTGCGGTCTGATTGCAAATATGGCTGTTCAGAGACCATGACATGCCTTTTCGGCTGGTGAAGGTGTCGACGTCGACCACGGAGACTGAACGCCAGATACCAAGTGTCAGCGCCTATGCCCCTTGAAAGTGGCACGCATGGACTGCTCACCAGTCCTAGTGCTCTCGTGCAGCCAAAAGTCCACCCAAGCACACGCAGATGTCAGGCCAATCAGGACAATCAGCCAGGCAACAGCTTTGCGTAGCATGTTAGGGACTGAAGCGTGGGAGCCCTTGCTCTTGAACATATGCTTCACGCTGTGGGAAACTTTGAGATCCAATAGCGTTGCATTCGTGAGCGCACAAGTAAATTGACCCCTGTGCGCGCGTGAAGACTCACTCGATTCCAAGCTGTTGGCGCCGCACACTTGCAAGAGGAGAGCGTACTGCAACGGAGTTGGCAGCTGCTCGACCTTGTCGGCACTGCCGCTATTGGCAACCTTTTCTTGCAGCGTGAGCCAGTCTGCGGCGAGCGAGTACGCGACCAGAGACATGGATGGTGCGACGCTGAATCCGACCAGAACGGCGACTATGCTGGTGAACGTGAGTGTGACTGGGTGCGACACCTGTTCGTCGAACTTCAAGACTGCTTCTGGACCGAGCGTCTTGTCGTGGTAAGAGCGACCCAGCTCATTCTCGTCGCCCTCTCGGAGGTAGAGCACCCCTTCTGATTCAAGTGGCATCTTGTGACCTACAATCCATGCAATGATCACCGTCGCTGCGCCTGCAGTGAGCAGTAGGACTAGAATTACAGGCACCGCGAGAAGAAGTGGTGGCACGAAGCGCTGTGCTGCCGTGCTTGCATACAGCACCGCTCCCGAGTGAGAGTTGCTGGATGAATCAGATCCCTCATGACGTTTCTCGCCCACCCCGGCTCCCTGCTCATCTGCATGCGCCAATCCGACAACATTGGTGCTCTGCGCATCGTCGTCGGCCAGAAATGCCTTGGATGGGCCGGGCGAGTTGCTAGCTAACGTAGTGGAGCTGTGCTGTGCTTCTGACCCGGGTAGAATGTATGGATAGCCGCTCCAGGTGTGATCAGCTGCAACTGGGGTAGATGGCGGTGCCTCAAACGCGCCACGTCGGCCCTGAACATGCTCCAGAGCCTCGTGTGGGTTATCTTCGTGCCAGCCCTCGTGTATTGGCGGAGCATCGGCTGAGCAGTGCTCTACCACAACCTCGATCTCGTTCGGACGAGAAGACACGTGACGGCGTGAAGGAGAGTCTGAGGGATTGCTGCTCATAGATGTGCGACGTCGGCTATTGAGCGCCGTTCGCAACGAAGGAATCAGCATCAGGAGGATCAGAGACAGACGGTCGATCGACGCAGTACTCTTTGCTCACATCGAGGAGCCCGAGACGTGTCTTGAGGAAACATCTGGTCTTGATCCTGGCCCTCCATGGATGTCGTGCGTAGACCCGAATTCGTCCACTGATCGCTGGCAACTTGCTCTACTCTCCTGCGCGTACCTCCCTCCGGTTCTGCGCGTCCTTGTCTCTTGTGAGTAGGATCTAGGCATGACGGGAGATCACGTTCGCACTTTGCACAGGACCGAATTTCTTCGGTTCAAAGAGCGTCGAGATGGTCGGCCATCGAGTCCAGGTGCTGGGAACAAGGTGAAACTACAGAGCTGAGCGTAGCAAGTGAGAGTTTCGGTGCATTCAGTCCATCTGCTACCGGCGTGTCTGGGTGAACCGATATGGACGGCTTGGAGCGGGCGCGGACTTTTGACTGCTCATTGATAAAGACGCATTTGGCTTTGGTGTGCGCTATGGGTTGGATGTAAGCGCTGAAGCTCGCAGGAGCCCTTTCCGTATCGCGCATACAGATAACACCGGCCAATGCTCGACGAGATCTGGGAACGCTGGTGATCTTGCCGAGCGGTGAGGGCGCATGCTGCACATGCCACCCGAGCCTGACACTCGATTGCAACATACCGACCACAAGGGGGTCCATGAGTGTTGGCACTTTGAGAGGGACGGTTGTTGTGTGGTCTGTGCACAGTCCGACGGCGCTGACAGGGTCATGTAGAGATCAAGCCGGATGTGCTAGGTACAGTGTGAGTACAGTCGTGAGTAGTCGGTGTGCACGCAGCTCCTTACTTGCGAAGTCTCAACGAATCCGTCGCTTTCGTTGCTGGAGTGCCGAAGCTTGTGGCCGAGCGGCCTGCGTGCAGCGCGGCGTCGCGCCGCGCTCAACGCCAGACAATCGCAATCATCACGAATCTAGCTCCTGCCGGCGAACGTCCCACGAGCGATCAAAGCCCGTGAGGGCACTCGGATGGAGAGGACGAGACTCCCGTCTGTATCAACAGCAATTCCAGATCGGAGTGAGTACCGCGCGCAGGGGCGGTGGAAACGAAGGCCGGCAGCAGCCTGCGCGCGAGTGCATCTATATATCTGCATGCTCGAGAGGCATGTGATTCGTGATGATTCACGCAAGCAAGGAGGCACGCACGCACGCATACCCATACCGCGTATACGCAGATGGATGCCGCCGGCGTCGATCCGCTAAGTCTCGCTTAATTGCCGACCATCCCATCAGCATCGGCCATGCGCAGCTGCTGCTGCTGCACGCGCTCAACGGTCTCGCGGCCGAGTCTTGCATCCCACCTGCGCTCCAGCACACACGCGTCATGCACGATCTTTTCTATTTGCGGCACAGAGCGCTCGACCTTCAACAGCACTCGTGACTCGAGAGTTGTGGAGGTCGATGGGCCTACCGCGAGAAGTTGAGGATACAAGATTGAGCTCGAGGCAGCCTCATCAGGCTCAGCTAGGAGCGCGAGCGAGCAGTGTCCGAGATATAAAGTGGCACAGCTTTAGAACACGGAAGGCAAGCTGGGCTGCTCGTCGCTCCAGTATTGGGTATGGAATCTGTACGTGGATGAGCGCGCGCCTCGATCACGTCCTGCTGTACTCACGACTCACGACTCGCGACTCGCGAATGCAGAGGCCAGACGTGGGACGAGCATCCTATGTCGAGAGCCACGTTCGCAGCGGTAGCTACACGCTGCCGATTGATCTGCGATTGACACTGCCCAAAAGCGACTTTGAGCCGGTCCGGCTTCGAGTAAAGCGTATCGGTGCATCTCGTCTTACGCTGCTGTGCTGTTGCGCCACGCATGCGTGGTGGCGCGGAGGAGATGATAGGCTCATGAGACCGCCTAGGTCTCGTAGGTGCTTCGATTGATACTCCTGAATACTGAGCACTGCCAAGCTCTATCCCTCCTCGTCATTGCTGGACCGCGAATTGTCTAGAATGGATTAGGCGCGATGTGGTAGTCTACAATTTGAGTGCAGCAAGCCCGAAGAGTCTCTATGATGTAGATTTGGCGCGCAGAGGGTGACGCGGCGAAGCCAAGTGTACGAGGAGTGAAGACTGTCTATGATCTCTTGTTGTCTTGCTCTGCGCTGCCAGACACATCCGGAATGCCCGGATTTCGTTGTGAGGGTAGCCCTTGCTGTTCCCTCGCGACGTCCACCATCAATCGGAGCTTCTCGAGGATCACAAAGATCAGGATTGTCTGCATGCCACATACGGAACAGCATCGTCAGCATTACAAGAAGCACCCAGCCACGACGGCGCCTTCAGATAGATCCACAGTACTCACATTCGGTGACAATCTGACCCACGCCGGTGTCCAGCCACGGAACAAGAAGCCGATGCCCTCCTTTTGTATCGCCCGCTGCAGCTTCGCTATCGTACCACCGCTAGCGCCGTTCGCAGACATGACTCGAGCTTTGATAACGCTGCAGCGAAGGCAGATTGTCAGGAGTCAGCGAAGCTATTTGGAAGTGATCGCGACGCGTTTCGCAACTCACTCAGCTGGGCTGCAAACGGTGGTTGCAACCGTGCCTGCCAGGAAGCTTGCACTGAAGTGAAGCCATGTGCCTTCCTTGTAGAGCCCAGTGTTGAGCAAGGAATGCTTAAAGAAGTCGTACGTTGCGAGCTGAGATGCGTTCATGAGCACCGCTCTTGTGACGTTTGGGACGATACCGCGGAACAACGACACGGGACCCTCCGTGACAGTCATACGGTAGACCCCATGTAGAGCATGTTTATAATTATACCGCTCTGCTGGTGGTCTGTTGAGGTCTGACGTCATCCGCACGAGAATGATGTCTAGGACAAGCACAGAGCAGGCGCGGTTTAAGCTGAGAAAAGACAAGAGGCCACCGCGCGGTATCTGCAAGTGCACTCACCAGCCGGGTTCCCTGCTACACCTCCTGCAGCGCCTGCTATTGAAGCACAAGCTGCTAATTTCCATGCGGGCAGGGGTTTGCTAGGTGGTCCATCAGACGGCGTTCTGAGCTCTACTTTCAACCAGTCGTAAGCCCCAAACCTGTGAAGAACGGGCGACGAAAGATGAGCAGAGCTCGAGCGCGCCCAGAGCAGGATCGACAGTCGGTGACAGGTGTTGGGACGTCGCAGCATTTGACATGCAGCGCAGCTCAAGCGTTCGGTCGAGTCACTGCTCCTGTCGCCAGACTCACCTAGTGACGCTGTATGTCATTTGCCGCAGCAAGCTCGCAGTCAGGCCAGCATACAATCCAGATATCCCATCGTGCTTTGCGGTGCCCTTGAGTGCGTCCCACATCCCCTGCTTTGCCTTTGCAGTTTGCATCCGATTCTTGACGCAATCCAGTGGATGTGTCACGAACGATGCGAGACATGCTGCTACACCTCCGAGGTAGAACGGGTATGCCGGCGGCTTGGGCCTCCTCTGAGCCGAAGCAACACTTGACGATGCTGGAGAAGCCATACTATTGTCGCTACGCGGTCGGGCACGACGCTCGAAGTCCTCAGTGTGCTGTTGTCGCACCGATCGTAGCACGCAATGCCCAACGCAAGGATGCGAGAGTGAAGCTGCTGATTCGGAGACGTTCCAGAGCAGGAAGGAGATCTTAGCCCTTCTGTGACTGTCGTCAAAGATCCGCCTTTAAGCCCTCCAGCACGTGCAAAGCGAAGCGGCAGGGTTGGTGTCTGCATCGACAAGCTGTTGGAGATCTCGAGACGGGGGCGCCCTGAACTCGCGACAAGAAGGGAGCAGCTCGTTGACTCTGCACGTCGCTGCTTCTTCTGTCTGAGTCAAACTTTTCATGCCGGTACCTGCTGCTGCTGCGCCTTTGCAGCTTTTTGTCGGCATGCAGTTCCGACTGCTTGTGCACCAGGACTTGCGACTCGTGACGGACTGCACTCTTGGTCTCTCCGCTCATGCATCGGCAAAACGCCTTCGACGTCATCAGGCCGCAACGGAAAATGCTTCATCTCTGGGGTTTGGACTATATTGTGAAAATTGGCAGCGAAGCTGCTACGGCAGCTTGGCGCAGTTGGTTAGCGCGCTTGCTTCACAATTGTCGAAAGGCATTGTGTGGTCGCAAGAGGTCCTGGGTTCGACCCCCAGAGTCGTCAAAATTTTGCAAGATTTTCATTTTCCGGATTTTGATTTTGTGAATCGGGTTATCTGCTTCAGCGAAGACGCGACTGTGGCAGGTGCAACGCACCAGCGGGGCGCGTCGATGCCCAAACAATTTGCATTTTTACGAGCGATGTCCAAGAAGATCTGTCGCTGCGATACTGCTGCTGTCGCTCGGCTGTGTGACTGCGCAGTCGCACATGCTGTATATACAGGGTCAAGAAAGGCCATTTGGGCTGCAATCAAAGTGTCAGCTCTTCCGAATTGCGGCTGCGAACACGCGGGCCATGCATGCCGCTACGCGAGTAAACATAGCGCTGGCGCGTCGGGCACTTTGCCACCTCCGAAGCGGCAACTAAGCGGTTTATCCGTCCACTCCTCCACATGCAAGTAGCAGTACGTGATTGCCAACGGCGGCAGGCACTAAGGCCGTATCCGAACAATTGGTTGGCACTGTGGTCCTTCCTCTCTAACCTTCTTGGCTTCGTTGCGTATCCTCAACGATTTGTTAGCACAACAGTCGACTTAGGCTGGCGCTCCGCTCTTCACACTCGCACCCACCACCAGCAGTGACATCCACTCTTCACCAAAATGTCCTCTTCCATCACACTCCACCATCTAGAAGCTTCTCGCTCCATTGCAGCTCTGTGGCTGCTGGAATGGCTGGGCGCACCTTACAAGCTGATACAATATCCTCGTCATCCCGAGACCAGACTGAGCGTGGATGCAGCCTTTAGCCAGAAGGGATTGGCTTCAGTGCATCCCTTGGGCCGCTCGCCTGCCTTGACCGACCTAGGCGACGACGGCCAAGAATTCGCAGTGCTCGAAACGCCCAACATTTTGGAACACCTCCTCCGACATCTCAGTCCTGAGCACACCAAGAAGCGTCTAGGCTTCGAGTTCGATGAGAGGAGCAAAAGGGCCCAGGATGTCAAGTTCTGGCTTGCTTTTAGCGAGGGTGGTGAGTTCGCCCAATATATCGTGTCATGAAAGGTGCTGCTGTGCGCAGGTGCTTACTTCGAGCGACGCGTACCCCACTCATTTCAGGTCTGATGCTGCACACGCTTCCGCTCTTTTACGCCAACAAGGGCAAGGCCCTGACAGAGGAAGGTACCTCGCTGCAAGAACAGGCCATCGCGCGAGGACTCAAAGTGGACCTGGAATGGGTTGAACGATCTCTGCGTGAGACCAAGGCAAAGGGGGGCAAGGGAATCATTCAAACGCTTGACGGCGGTTTCGGCCCTGCAGACGTGAGTGGCGCAAGCAAAGTCTCGACACGCTCGCTGCAAGCCTCATTGGACTGACGAGCCGGTGCTCGCCACATGTCCACAGTTCGGAGCCATATTCCCATTAGAATTTTTGAGCACGATCGCTGATAATCGCTCGGAAGCATGGCGTCAGAACACTGGTCTCAACATCTCGCCGGCCATCAAAGAGTGGCTTAACGAGGTTCGCAAAGACTCGCTCTATCGTCAAGCAGTCACGAAGGAGAGCGGTGAAGTGGTCGATTTCAACAAGGGCCAAACTTACATTGGGAAGCTTATGAGGCTCAACCGGTGAGAGCGCTCAGAGAGGTTGCCTCTTGCGCGTGGAAGACAGGTGTGACCTCGTCACTCGCAAGCACTCTTTCCAAAGTCGTGTTGTACGTCCGTTGCTGGACACCATCTGGAATGGCCTACAGAAAGGTGTTCGTATCTCCTTGATAGTGCCACCAATTGCCGCCAATTGCTGCTCAAAAGACAGCCTTGCGAGTGCTAGCGCCCTTGGCTTTCTTGGCCGGGGGCGCTGCTGTTGGTGCAGATCTGCCATTGTTGTCCGCAGAACGCTTTGCGCTGCCGTCGGTCGCGGCGACTTCTTTCGGCCGCACGGTGACTTTCGCTCGAGGCTTGGCGGGTTATAAGCATGGGCCCATTCAGTTTATCGCATGCGTCGGAGATTCAACCGGACAAGAACATACCTCATTCTCGTCTTCGCTTTCCGTCACACTGTCTTCATCTGCGTCTATTGAGGTAGCCAGAACCGGCGATTTCGCAGGAGAAGCTGCGTGGCTTGGAAGCGTTCGTGCTTCAATCCGGGCAGTCGTTTCCTTGCTTGATGAGGACAAAGCGACTGGTTTGCGAGCATGGTCATTGTCTGCGTCCTCAAATCCATCATCTTCGAAACCAGCCTCGTTGACTTGGTCGTATTTGCTACGGACCTTGACACCGCCGTCGCGCGTTTTGTTGTATGCAGCCTGCCAATCGTCAATCTGAGATTGCATCAAAAGCTCCTTGGGCCTGCGAAGTGACACGATCAGCCTTGCAGGTCGCACAGAGACATAGAGCCACACTCACTGGTATTCGGTACTCCTTAGACCTGTCGGGTGCTTCGAGGTGATGCCAAGCTCGGTGTACAAGTCAGACTGCAATTATACAAAGACAAGAAAAGAGGTGAGCGTGTGTGCTCCACTGTGTGTATTTGCAGCACTCTCACCTTTGCGGCGGCGGGCAGTACGCCTGCAAAGAGAGAGGCGTGTCAGACCGACCGTCAGGATCCCGATGAATGTGTGCCTACTGACCATGTTCTTTGATGACACAGGTGAGAACCTGTCTCAAAGAGCGGATGCATTCAGCGACTCTGGTGACGTAGGTTCCTTTGGAGCTGGCGTCACGCCAACGAGCTCACCTCTCGCGCCGTGTCTTGATCGAAGAAATCGTCAAAGTACAAGCAAACGACCTGCTCCTCACTCTCCTGCTGCGGTAGCACGGCGGCCTTCACGGTCGTAACAGCGGCCTTCAATCTCGAAAGGGGTCCATCGCTGATCGACTTGGCGAGCGTTGCGAACAAGAGATCGATGCTCGTGCCGCGCCGGAAGAAAAGCCTGAAAAAACAGCAAGAATGCCATTGATTCTACGCGCGTCTGACGCATGATGAAGTGACGAACACTCGACTTACCACTTGCCGACGCTGAATCCAGAACTCACAGCCAACTCGGCTAGCTTGTACTTTAGATCAGCATCGGCTTGCGCCTTGTCCCTTCTTTGCTTCTTACTCAGAACACCCTTGCGCCCTCTTAGAGGGATATTCGGATCATCCTGCAAAGATCGAGAAACATTTGAGCGCACGTACATGCATGCTCCTCTCAAGCGGCTGATCTCTTCAAGATCGCACTGACGTCTATGCTCCGAATCTCATCTTCGAGACTTTTGACCATACTCCTTGCTTTGAGCAGCACCTCTTCACTGATGGGCGCCGCTTCTTGAGTCAGTAATCTGCGCGGACCCACCACCCATATCCAACCGTCGTACGATCTCTTGACGGAAGAAGGCTTGTTCTCTTTCAAAAAGTCATCCAACGATTGTTCCCTTGCACGCGGGGGTGCCCAAAACCTTCGAGGTGCTTGCGGTTCCGCCATGTATGCGAGGCTTTGCGTTGGAAGCAAGATCGTTTGCAGGACGACAGCAGCGTAGTCTTGAGAGGTATGGGTGTGCTGATGGAACACAGTCGAGAAGAGAGAGCTGGTCCATAAAGATGAGAGACTCGCGATCTCAAAAGTGCGCAGCAACGTGCCATCCAGCAATCAGCCGAATCTCGCTCGCGAGCTTAATTAATTGTTCAATCAAAATTAACGCATCAGCGACTCAGACTTCACTGCTACATTCGCGTGTCTAGGCACAGCAACTGCTAGCAAATTAAAGTTTGGCGCAGCTGATCAGCGCGCAGCGGCGCGCGGAGGTGTTGGACTCTCAGCACGCGCGGGTCATGACTCTGCATGGAGACGCGTTGCGTTATAACGGATGTTGCGCTGTTCGATCGTGATTTGTTGCATCGCCCGCCTCGATCGATCGAGGTCTGCATGGATATCATGCTGCGCGTGCAAAAGTGCCAACACAGCCACACATCACACGCTGCTGCTCATCATCCATCCGCGTGTATTCGTGCTTCGTAGCTGCGTGGTGACTCGTGTACGATCCGCTCACCAAAGACTCGTGTATGATCCACCCTCTGGTCAGTGTCGTCTCCGTTTGCGTGCTTGCGTGCGTGCTCGCTTGCTTGCTGCTCAGCCCGCCCTCTTGCAGCAATGAAAGCGTGAATGCATGCATGATGTTGGTCGCCTTTCTTCGGATCGCACACCAGATCCGAAAGCCTGATGAGCTGGGAGCGCCGATTGTCACACATCGCTGTTCAACCCGGACCTGCTCAATCGACAATTTCGACTCTTCGATCGTTTCGGCGAGCATGAGCGCAGGAGCCGTCGTGTCTATCATACAAGCTCGGAGCGAATGGTCACTGCTGCTTATGCCTTATCCCAATCTCATGTTCCGCGTCTTGTTCATCGCCTGCTGCGCTGACCACAGAGCTTGTCGTAGCGCCTTTGTGATAAGCGCTTGAAACAGCTATTTCAAGCTCTAGCGCAGACGCCTGGGAGGCTTTTTGTGCGCGCTCTTCCGCTGCCAAATCTTCGCCGTCGTATGGTAATATGGCATTGGCCACAAATCCAGTGCTGCACGTCGTGATGAAGGCGGTCAGCAAACACCTTTGCAAATATTACGTCAAGAGGATGCACAGACGACTCACAATGCAGCAATCACGAAGGGGGTCTGAATCAGAATCTGCGGCAAGTGAGGGGAAGCAAGAGCGGTTGTCAGGAAGAAGCTGATTGAGCGGCAGCTAAGCAAGCGCGCACCTTGATCGACGTAAAGAATCCTGCTAGAGCGTGATTCGCAGTGCTTGGAAGCAGATAAGTCGCCCAATCCTTGACCAAAAGGTTACCGCATCCCATCATCAGGGACGATGCCAGGACGAAGCGATTCCTGCGACTTTGCATGTCGACTCGCGCGATCAGCGAGAGGCCAGCGACAGCCACGCTAGCGAACAAGAAGCTCGTCACACCGCCCAAGATAGGTGCTGGGATGGCCAAAATGGCGCCAGCAATCTTGCCCAAGATTCCAAACAGCACCAAGAAGCCGCAACACCAGTAGCCCGCTCGACGATTGGCCACTCGAGTCATGCCGATGGTGCTAGTATTTTGGGCAAAGACCGACAGCGGTGTGATGGTCCCCAGCGCTGATAATAGTCCTCCCAGGCCGTCGCTGAGGATACCACCTTGAATCCGCCTGTCAAAGTCTGCTCCCTGCACGCTCAGCCGACTCATCTCCGACGCTGCCGTGATATCTCCAGTGGCTTCTGCCGTCATGGACAGGTACACTGCCAGCAACGGTAAGACGGCAGGTCCATATACTCGAAGCGGAAAAGTCTCCGTCCAGAGGAAGGTGATTGCGGGAGCAGCGTCGATGGACGAGCGCGAAGTGTAGCCTCCTCCTATGCCTGCCGTGACGGTCGGAATGATGAGTCCGATGACGATGCTGGCCGATCTCATCGCTGGCGAGCCAAACAGCTCGACAAAGACGATGGTCATGAAAGAGAAGAAGCCAAGGCCAAGGTACTCGGGTGATCCCCAAGGCAGAGCGTGAGGTGCGCCCACTTGAGGGCACACCGAGTATTGTCCGCTTGCGGGCCGGGATGAGCATTCCCCGCTGCCACCCGCCCAATCCAGGAATCCGCTGCTCCCGATCAGGTTGGCGCCGATGAGAAAGACGACGGGACCCGTAATGAGTGGCGGAAATGCGCGACGGATGAGCTTGACGGGGACGAAGCTGATGCCAATCTGGAGCAATGCGCAGAGCGCAGATGTGCCAAGCAGATACCCATAGCCTTGCGGACATGATAATCGAGCGCCTTGTGGACTGGTAGGACACACGCCATCTGCGTAGAGCGCAGTGGAGATGCTCGAAGCTGCGGATAGAGTGTTGAAGCTCGTTCCAACGACGCTAATTATGCCCGTGCCGATTTGCTTGTCCTTGAAGAACCTCAACGGGATGAACGAGAGCGGTATGGCCGACATTTGCAGCAAAGACAAAAGGCCGCTAGCGATGAGGGACGCCGAGATGAGATAAGAGCTGGTCGAGGCGTCCAGGGAGAATGTGGAAGCCACGATAATTGGAGGAGTGATGAGACCCGCAAGCATAGCCAAACAGTGCTGCAAGCCGCATATGGCAGCCAACACGATCGGTAAAGGGTCATTGAGGCCATAGAACGGCAGTTCGCCAGCGTGCTCTGGAGGTGCTCCTCTGCGATACCTTCTAGCCCAAGGCAGCCATCGAGGCTGGAATAGGCGTCGATAATTGTAGGATCCTAACCACGCCTCTCTTGTGCTCAACCAGTCCATCTGCGTGCGCACAACCTTGGCTGCTCTACCGACAAGGCCAGTAGTGTTCATGCGTCTCGGGCTGGATGTGCTGGGCGAAGGAAGGCTATCTGAATTCTTCTCGCGCACTGGCGCCGCTGCCTCTGTGTCTGGTTTGGAATCGAGCGTGTCCATGCTTGCGAAGTCGATTACCAAGCGCGTTCCCGGCAGAGTGCAAATCTCCAATGAAGAAACGGATGAAGCACCTCTACACACTTGGACAACCTGTATGCTAATTCTGATAAGGGTGCGTTTAGACCGACAACTCTGGCTTCCTTGGCGTGGACCTCGCGCAGTGGGGCTTTCTCTCCACGCTCGACTCGAAAGATTCCTGTCGGCGGCTTGTGGAACAGATGGGTGGCTGGATGCTTGAGACTAAATGCTGTTCAAGTGACAAACAATTGCGTCTATTCATCAAACCTGTCCCCTCCTTGACGAAGCAAAAAACCTGAATTTTGGTCGTTGTGGCATTCATTCTTGATTCTGATTGACTTTCTCACGATTCCTCTTGCCTTCAATTCTTCTGCCTTTTCATGCGCGATAAGCCCAGAAGGCTGCAGCAGCCGCGTGCTTTCATGAGCATTCACATTCAAATCTCAAAATTCTCAATGGCCGCGCGTGTGCAGGGCAAGCGTAACTGCATGTGTGATTTATACTCTGCTGCACTTTACGCGGCGCGTCTCGTGAGCAGGAACAATCAGCGCTGCGTGTGCGCTGTCTGAAACACAAACGTCCTGCGGCTAGGCATACTAAAAGATCCCTCAATCGGCACTCTGGGAGAGTCGCTGTTGAACACGCATCAAGATTGGGATGTGGCAAGAGTCTACTGAAGAGTCTATATGCAAGAAAGAGGAGTAGGAATTGAGGTATCGGTGACACTTTATTGCTACAAGCGAACAAAACCTTGATGGCTTTTGTGAACAGGCGGGTGCAAAGATACGTCGAAAAGGTGAGGATCTGCCGTGACAAAGCACAAGATCGCTTCCCACCGTGCGTGGCTTCCAGGCGCGTATGCGCAACCCCCGAGAGGAGTGCGAAATTCAAGTCTAGCGCAGTCTTTCAGTCATCGCCCATGGCAGAAGTGACGATGACGAAGCCATCGCAGATGAGGATCAAGCCGTAAAGCAACCAACCAAAGATGATGACCGACCAATGATTGGCGAATCGACCGATGCGTGGTCCTTCGTCTGCAACCGCAGATCCGGTTGCAGCCAACGCTTCAGCAGCGGCGTTCACTGGCGGCTCAGTCGACGATGAAGGCATCACAGCTTCAGGCGCGGATGCAGGTCCTCCCGCGATGCGCGAATCATTGGCGGCGTGCGAGTCATCCGCGACCTTTGCGTCGTCTGGCTTCTTGGCGTGTGCTGAAACATCATGAACGGTGTCCTGTTGCACATTCGCTTCGTGCTCCGAAAGCGGCAACTCCTGCACCGTCATCCAAGAGCGACTGCCAGTGACGACAAGGAGGGGCACGAGGACGAAAGGGAGCGCCATGGACAAGGCTACTTGACTCGCCACGAGCATCCGATCCAGTCCGCTTCGGCCGACAGCTGCAGCGACTGTGAAAGAAGGGATGAGAGCAATGCCTCTCGTCAATGCTCTCCTGACGAAAGGATTGGTGGTCCACCGGATGAAACCCTCGGAGATGAGTTGGCCTGCCAGTGTCACCGTCAGACTTGCAGATTGTCCAGCTGCCAGCAAGGCGACAGCGAATAGGATGGCAGATGTGTGACCGACTGTCGATTTGATCAGCGCAAACGCCTGAAACAAATCGCCGACTTCCTCGCGATTGCCGCCATAGTAGAAAGCGGCGGCGGCGACGATCAGAATGGCAGCGTTGACGACTAGAGCGAAGATGAGCAAGGACAAGACAATGTCGACAGTCGCATGTGCCAGGTGTATCTTGATATTCGCGACCGAAGGAGGAGCTCGATGCGAGTGGCTCTCGGGCGAAGGGATGGCTGGTCCGCCCAAGCTGAAGGTGGGAAAGCGCTCCGCCATGGCATGAGCTCGAGATCTTAAGCGAACCAAGGACTTTGGCAAGTACTTGGACACATCTTTCGGATCCTGAGTAGCCGTACCCCTGCTGTCATGGTCGCCCATGCGTTCCTGGACAGATTGGCCGTCTGCGCTGTCTCGGGGCTCGTTTGTACTGTCTCGTGGAGCGGGCAGACCTTCAGCCTCAGCGTTGACCTTGCGCGTCAACAGACGGTCTACGGTGGCCCATTGGCTTGCATTGAAGAGCGCGTGCGGCATGACGGTAGCACCGACGATACCAACGCCAATATAAAGAGCATCCTTCTCCACCAAGGTGCTGGACGGCACGAACCCGTAGAAGACATCTCCCCAGTCGGCATTTACACGAACGAGCAGAACGATGAAGCAGCCCATGACGATGAAGACGAGGATAGCAATGAGCAGCTCGAATGCGCGCATAGATGCGCCTTCTCGGTAGATGAGGAGAATCAGAAAGACGTCGACGCTGGTGATGAGCGTGCCCGCCCAGATTGGCAGGGCAGGAAACAGCCTGGGATGCATCGACGAGCGGGTGAGAACAGCTGCATCTCGAGTCAAGACGGGGGGTCAGAGTTGACTCACAAGTTCAGTGCGATGGCGCTTCCTACGAGTTCGGCAAGCTCGGTAGCGATGATGGCACCCTCCGCAACAATGTAAAGCAACCAGAGGAGTCCCAATCTGCATTTTCGCCAAGGCTTTCTCTGATCAATGCTTAGAGCAGCCCGCTCCGCCGCGGCCGTGTCGTCCAGCCCGTCCCTGTATAAGCTCAATTCCTTGTCTCTTTCCTCTGGCAGAAGCCACAGCCTAGTGGCTCTGGCGAGATCGACACCAACGACTGCGCCCATGCGCACTGCCAGCACTTGCAGCAAAATGCCCATGACGGAAGAGAGAAGGATGACGAAGAGCAACTTGTAGCCGTACTGAGCACCTGCCGACAAATCTGTCGACCAATTCCCAGGATCTGCAGAGGCAAGACGAAAGCATGGGAGAAGGACGAAGGTCAGCGACAGAGGCTTTACGCCGCGGGGGGGGGGGGGGGGCATTGCCAGACTCACCCATGAAGGCTACCGAGCTCATGATTCCAGGCCCGACAAAGTACATGTGTCTCCTCAAGATCACGCCCATACTTCTACCCACTCTTTTCATCCTGCCGACCTCATCGCTCCCGACCAAATCCACATCATTCGCAGCGGCGTCTCTGTCACTCAAACGCTGCTTGCCGTGCCAGCGGGCCTTTGTCCGTGGTGAAGAGGTAGGGACAGGCCTGACTGAGGCAGAAGCTCGAGACTGTCGGGCGTGCTCGCCTGCATCAGCCACGTCCCAGTCCGGAAGAGGTCCCATCGTAGCGGAGAGGCTGTGGTCGAGCAAAGATGCGTGAGAGGTGGGTGCGAGGAAGCAAAGAGGACAGTCGAATGAAATGGTCGAGGTGATGCTAGGTGTGGGGTGTAAAGCGTTGAAGTTGGAGAGACTGAAGTCTAGTGCTCGTGAGATGAACAGCAGATCTTCATTCAGCGAGGAGAGAGATGGGAACAGACGGATGACGTCGGATGCTCTTGTAGATGGAGAGGAGCTGACAAGGTACTCAACTTCATTTCATTCAAGATTGGTGATTTGTGATTCTGATTGATTGGAGTCGCTTTCAGCAATTCCTACATACAGTCTGAGTAGTACCTGCGCGCACCACACGGGAGTACGAATATCAGTCGATCCAGGCCGAAGTCCTTATTCTTCCTCCTCATCTGCAATCAACATGCTGCTGCTCTGTGCCGGCGGGGCTACTGCAGAAGTCCGCGGATATTAAATTGCCACTGTGACTTGTACCGTACAGAATTCATGAGTCATGACTGTGCAGGTGGCAGAGTGGCGGTATATAGCTGCCCATGCACCCACCTACATGTTGCTGCGTACGCCTATACATGGCCGCGAAATCGAGATCGCTCATCCTCTGGCAGCTGCTGCTGCGAAAGCTGCAAACTCCTGCTCAGCTGCATGCGGGCTCTCATGGCTGCTGGCCGTAGACAACCGGATCCGCACATAAATGCAATCACGACCTTTTATTAAATTTGGATATGAGCATTCTCGATTCTATATCGATTTCGATCAAATGACAATCAAGACACTTCTCTGCCTGCGCATCACGCCATGTTGCTCAAGGCGTCAAATCAAAAAGTGTAGAGAAGGTCAAATTCTTCACGGCTTATTGCTCGAGAGCGGCGAGAATCTTGAATCACGTATCCACAATTTGTCAAGCATCACACATCACGGCAGACGCGGCCGGCGGGCCAACTGCGTTCCGATTCGATCCGATCACGCCAGCAGCAGGTTCGACAGTCGTGCTTCGTCTTTGTTTGCATGTCATGACTGCTGCATGGCAAGCCGATAGGCTGACGCTCACAAATGTCCGAGAGCGTCCTTCGTCAAAGGTCTGATATCATTCGTTGCCTGGTCGTGCAGGACTCACGAGTCGCCAGACGTGAGTCACAGTACTTGCGCGGCTATGAGGAGGAATCAAGAATGGCGTGGTTTTTGACCCCATATCTATTCCCTGCCGTACCGTACATGGAACGCTCGGCTAGCCCTGCTGCGCGGCAGGACCTTGCAGAAATGAGGGCGGCGCTTGAGCTCACGTGACCCGCCCTAAACCTCGATCCGGGGACGAGCCTCTCGGCAGACATACGACTACTGCTCGCACTCACGCCTCTCTCTGAGGTCCGACTTGGCCTCTGTAATCATAGTAAGTAGTGCGGTGCAAAGTCATGAATGATATTGAAAGCACTGCACATGCGTGGGTATAAGTTCACTCTCTCGCGCCCAGGCTGCTCAAAAGGATGCGTGACGCGTGCTCCACTCCTTCCAATCGATGCATCTAGCCGGCTCTTCCTGATCTTCCTCGTCGTCGTCCTCATCCTCGCTCTCTTCTTCTTCATACTCGTCCTTATCTACACCATCAGGCACTTCGCGCTCTTCATTCGCCTTCCAGATGGGTCGATGCGAATGAGCGTGTTCCTTGTACATGTTCTGAGGGTGGCCGCGCTCCGAAGTAGCCATCTTGAGAGCCCATCGCGGAACCAGGTGCCTCCAAAAGAGAACGCCATTTCGCGCGCCTGGGTGATGAGGGAGCCTTTTTTCAGCACCGGGTCTACCGCTATGTTGCTGCGCTGTGTGTTTGTGGTGCATTTCCGGTGACTCCACGCCATCGCGATGCTGGACACATCCACCAACGCTGCCGCCATCGCTCGGGGAATTCGGACCCCCGGGGCCGGGATCGTCGGGCGGTGGGCCAGGTGGTGGGCCAGCCGACATGAACATCGAAAGTGGCCATGATGGAATGTAGCAGAAGGACTGCACCGCAACAGGGAGAATTTTGGGAGCTCGTGAGCGATATGGCGCATGCGTCAAAGTTCAGAGCGAGACTCACATCTGCTCCGCAGGTTTCAGGGCAAGTATCCCACGAACTCCACTCGAGCTCAGAGCGTAGCGTGTCCAGACGACCTCGCCAGCGACGCAGCCATCCAGCGTCGTGCGTGTTCTGGGCATCCAGCGCTTCTGGACGTGCAGCCTCAAATCGACGTGACAGAGTCTCGTCGAACAGCTCGATCGTCATGTAGCAGAGAGCCTTTTGTGTAGATAGGATGGCAGCGTTCCACAAGCTTGACGTGGGTCCCTCACCACCAGTCCTGCTAGTATTGGCGGTCAAACTTTCCCCGGCACAACGCTCCAAAAGCCCCGTCTTCCATTCTACACGGGTGGGATCTGTATCTGAGCTTGCAGTGGAGAGCGGCCAAGGGACAGTCGGACCAATCAGAGCATGCGCCAGGAGAGAGTAGGTCAGTACGTTGATCTCCTCGACAACCCGAGTGACCTCAGCAAAGATTGCAGCAGCCGCCGGCGCTTTAGCAATGGGCGTGGCCGCGCGAGTCGAGGCGTTGTGCTGCTGGTAGAGCGACATTGTGGCGTCTTGCAGTAGACGTGCGAGCGACTCCAGTCTCATTCCCCAATGCTCCTGGACACCTCTGGCCTTTTCAGACCAGTCAGCTTCCAGACGCACTTTGGGCCTCCGATACCAAGCTAAAATGCGTGGCTCGTGCGTCCTGTGCCAGATTTCTACATTTTCCGCCACAGCTGTCTGCCATAATTCCGCATCGTGCTGGGAAATCTGCCCCCAGATTCGGTGATTTCTCATCCTACGAGGGCGGCCATCCTTGTTGAATCGTGCAGAATCGAGGGACGAGTAATCTGGAGCATACAAAGTTGTTGCGAAGCCGGCGTCCAGCACAAGACTGGGTTGTGGAGAAGTGTTCCGCGCTGTGGCGCTTCGAAGCCACTCGAAAGAGCCCCGTGCCAGCAAAGGACTGTGGTGCGGACAAAGCTGCCGAGGTTAACGAAAATATTTCTGGGCACCACTGCGACGCACCGCGGTACTACATACTCACGACTTCGGTCCGCGAGGCGGAGGGCCTCGGGGTCTCTCGTGACGAGGACCATCTGAGGGATGCCCACCCGGCCGGTAGTCAGAGACATGCCCTCTCATTCCTTGAGGCAAATCTGGTAAAGAAGATGGTGGTCCATACACCGCGTCGGTGCAATGTGTAGCCCGTTCGTCATCGACAAGTCGACGGTCGCTGTGCTTGTGAGACTTTGAACGGCTCCGATCTTGGTGATCAGAGTGGCGCATATGTTCATGATATGCCGAGTGCCCTTTGTGTTTGTGACGCCGGTGAGCTGCATGGGGTCTTCGACCATGTCCTCCTCCTCTTTCTTTCTTTGCGTGGGCTTTCCGGGGATGGGTCCGCTCGGCATGACCTGGAGGCGGCCCCTTGGGTCTGTGCTTGCCCTTTCTCATGTGCGCTGGAAAGGGCGGGGTCCCCGGAACGGTGATGTTGAGGTGATTGAGTGGCTTGAGCGCAGATGATGTGAGATCACACATCAGGACTTCGCTGTGGCGGATGGAGAGAGAGCAGCTTAGCATAGACCCAACTGAGCTCCATAGCGAGCGCAGACTTACAAGCCCTAGTTGTGCCGTCAGGCAGGCCAGGACGATATGCAGGCTTCGAGTCAACGTCTGAGCGATCTTGGCTCGTACGGCGCTCAGTCTCTCACCGTGTTCATCCTGACAATCGCTTCGATGATGGACCCATGCCGTTTCGCCCACCGACAGAGCCTTATGGCCCTGCCATAGTCATCCCACCAATTTGGCTCGTCATGGCGACGGGTGCCTGGTCCGTGATCCTCGCTATGCCCTTTCATCTTCGCCTTGCCCTGAAGAAGCAGCTCCGCACTTTGGGTCCCGCCGAGCTCGACGCTGAGTGCGGCTGATTGCCCATCAAGATACAAGACGCGGAGGGGTCTCTGGAGCGCATATGTGTGGAGGACTGGCATGGCGCAGAGTGGGCGAGAGCGCCCGTCAATTTGCTGCATACCTGCGCTCTGTGGATACAAGGACGAGGGGCCACTTACATGTGCCGTTCTCTGACGGCCTGCTTGCCATGATCGCAACTTGAAGATGGGTGAGAGGTGTCGCACAGAGCATTGTCAGATCGGAGATGCGGTCGATTCAGCGCAACCAAGTAGGCCACTTGCAGCTCACAGCTCATCTCGACGTCCCAAGCGAGCCACTCCGGACTGGGCGGCAGGCCGGCATCCGTTCTGGCGTGATACAAGACTGTGCCGCTTCTGATGAAGCCAGGCACAGCAGCATGTCCTGCGCTATGCCGAGCATTGGGTAGCTGCAGGCCTAAGCCGGCGAGCTGAGCAAACAGGAAAAGTCCGTTTCGTCCTACCTCGGCTCCCGCTTGTGTGACATTGGGCTCTTCCTTTCCACGCTGTGCTGTCAGACGGGACGATAAAAAGGCACAGGCGATTGCCAAGAAGGACAAGAATGCGATGCTTGTCCAGCTCAGATTGTGTTTGGTCAAGTGCGGCTTTGCCTGCGCCTTAGACACATGGCCACGAGCCGAGCGGGATGTGAATCGAGGTCCATCCAGCTTCGCCGCACCAGCAACTGGGCCCTCGACAACGTCCTTTCTTGGCATCGCAAGGTCTAATATGACTTTGTCGTCACCCAGAGCAGCCTGCTGTGAGCGCTGTGTTCGCCCCCACGGCTCTTTTTCTTCAAGGCATGTTGATGCTGACCATCCCTTGCTGGTCCATGCACGAGTGCGGATACGAAGCGCCTCGCGCCGCGCTTGGATTTGGAAAAGGGTGAGCTAGGTGATGGAGAAGCGGCTGTCAGTTGAGCCTTCTGAAGCTGCGAGGTAAACATTTTTGTTCGTGAAGCGTACGCTGCGTAGAGAGCGTCTAGTCTTGCAGAAGGAGGATCCAATCGAGCGAAGGGGCGCGCGCTAAATGGCGAATCGTGCATCGGCAACGGCACGCTTAATTTTCCCGCACAGCCACGCGCGCCCCTGCCATTCGCCATCACGTGCGGTCCAAAAAGGCCGATGGAATTCGCCGCCCCCCCCCCCCCCTCCTCATTTGCTCCTCATTCAAGATTCTTGGTTCGTGATGCAGGTGGTGAGTGATTACGCTACCATCGACGTTCCCGTCCGCTATTCTGTGAGGCTGACTGACCGCTTTTGTTCTTGGATCAGCGATCCAAACCGGCACAGGTCACGTCCTTCGCACACAGACGCGTGCATTTGGGTTCTGAGCACGCATGCAAAAGCAGGCACGAGGAAGTCATAAGTCAAATTGCATCTCAGACGTTTCCCAGGTACATGCGAGTGCAAGGGGTTGCAATAGGCTTGTGACCACAATAGCACTAGAGTGAAGCTCACGACTGTCCAAAGAAGCTGCTAATCTCGTCGAGCAGCTCTTCAGGTACTTCCTCCGGCATATAATGACCTGCATCCAAAGCTTTGCCGGTCACCGTGATCTGCGGATTTGTGACCGCTTGCCACAGCTTCAATGGGTCGAACAACGCCTCGATGACGCCCTTCTTGCCCCAAAGCACGCGCAAAGGTACTTGAAGGCGTCTATCGGCCGATCGATCCTGCGCATCAAGTTCCAGATCCACTCCGCCAGGCCCTGATGCCCTGTAATCCTCCGCCGTAGCGTGCGCCTTGTCAAAGTCTTGCAGAGCTTCGATGTAGGCCGCCAAGACTTCTGGAGGATGCACTACTCCTTGAGATGCGGTGGTTTGGCGTGATACCATCTTGTTGACGTAGGTCTCGGGAGAACGACTGAGCATCTCCTCCGGCACTGGCCAGGGCTGGATCAAGAAGAACCAGTGCCAGTAGTATGTGGCAAATTTGAGGTTGGTCTGGGTGTACATGTCAAGCTGGAAAGGCGGGTAATCATTTCAGGGTCAATCGGATTGCTGCTTGTCGTTGAACGTAGTGGATGCGTCAGACTCACCGTCGGTGCAATGTCAAGCACAATGAGCTTGAGGACTTTGTTCGGATTGTCGAGCGCCAATCGATGAGCAACACGCTTTGAGTGACACGGCGCAGTGCAGTGCGAGTCTCAGTGTAGGGCTCGCTGCAACATGCCACTCCATCATTCAAGGTTACTTACGCCTCCTCGATCGTGCCCTACAACATGAAAACTGTCGTATCCATAATGTTGCCTTGACAAAGTGCGCACGAAGGTCCATGAGGGAAATTTCCACTCCAACGCTATTGGAGCACACTCACATCACATGGACAGCGTCTCTTGCCATCATCCTCTTGCTATACCTCCATCTGCTCTCATGCGGAGGGCCCAGCTCATCGTGACCCGCCTCTGCGTGCCTGTCGCGCACCAGCGGCGTATCGCTACCTCCATGACCTCTCAGATCCACAGCGATCACGTCCCACCCATCGTTCGCCAGCGGTCGGGCCATACGTCTCCAAATGATCGAAGATTGCGGATGTCCATGCAACAAGAGCAGCGGTCGAGCCTTCCTACTTCCTAAGGCTGCATCTCGATGAGCCAGGACTCGAACGTTGCCTACGCTCGGGTCTTCGTCAGAAGGAGGCACAGAAATGAGCTCGCTGCTAAAACCAGCTTCCTTGAGAGCGTCCTGAGCGGGGATAGCTGTTGCTCGCGACATATTGCTTCCATGCACCAGAATGTGAGGCCGATTTTGCGCGAAGAGATTCAAGGCGATTGTCATGGTGGGGAAGGGCGCTTGAGACGGCCGCTCACCACTGTTTGCAACTGCTGTGCGCAAACAATTTCCATCGAAACCTGCGGTGAGTGCGGGGTAAGCGCCTCCACATTCGTGATTGCGCGAGTGTGCGCGGGCCCTGTGCGCTTGGCGCGGCTTTATAGCAGCAGACGCTGGGCCTTTTCTCCGGCGGGTTTCGTGGTCTTCCAGCGTGTGACTTGCCTCATGAAGGTGGCAAGCATGCACTCCACTCTCATTGAACGATGCCGCGCCCTGAACTCTTCATGCGCAAAGGCAGCAGCGCCATGCGGGAGACGCTGGAGATTTCAAGCAGCAATGCTGCAATGTGTAATAGTACAATTGTATGCGGTCATCTGATTGCGGTGGGCCAGAACGTGCTGCTCAAATGAGAAACTGCTCCTTGGGGTGATGGATCTTTGCGAGCCGCGCAACGAGACCGCCGAGCTGAATGAGAGTAGACACTCCTTCCAAGACGCGCATGTGTGTCCAACCGATTTCGCGTATAAAGTCTAGCTTGAGCGCTTCAGGCATCTGGTCGATCGTCTTTACCACCCTGAATAGTCCAGTGACGATGTCCACTGCAGCATACCCTTGAGTCCAGAGCTCATCCAGCTTCTCCATAGCAGAGTCTACATCCCCCTTGTTGCAGGATAAGAGAATCTGACGAATCACAACGGGGTGGGGTTGATCGCAGACCTTGAAGACATTATCGGGAGAGACGAAGCCCAAACCCGTCCAGGTCGATTGCAAGTTGTTGATCGCTTGTCTCATATCTCCTTCCGAGGTGAAGACGAGCGCTCCTAACCCCTCCGCAGAGTACTTGACATCCTCCAATTTGCAAATCTCCTTCAACCTGCCCATCACTTCTTCGTCTCTCAGCTTTCCGTACCGCAAGATTGCGCATCTGGATTGGATAGGATCGATGATCTTGTTGCTCTGGTTGCAAGCGAAGCAGAACCTCGTAGTATTGGCATAGATCTCCATGGTCCTTCGCAAAGCTTGCTGTGCGCCAGGCGTCATGGAATCCGCTTCGTCGAGAATGATGATCTTGTGTCTACCAGGAGGCAGCGTGACTTTCTTTTGGGCAAAGTTCTTGATCTTGTTGCGCACAACGTCGATGCCGCGCTCATCGCTGGCATTGAGTTCCAGAACCCCTTCCTTGTATGCGTCTCCAAGCAAAGCGTGAGCCAGGCAGTGCACGCTGGTTGTCTTTCCGATACCTGGCAGTCCCGATATAAGCAGATGTGGACAATTGCCATCTTCTTGAATTACCTTCAATCGATCCACTGTGGCGCTATTACCAACCACATCGTCCAGCCTGGTGGGTCGATACTTCTCCACCCATGGAAGTTCGTAGGTCACTGCTGAGCTCGTGGCCTGTGCCGATGATCCATCCTTCGCAGCTCTTGGTACCTCCGACATGGTGTGGAGGCAAAGCTTGTCGGCTGTGACGCAGAACGGGACTGAGCTTGGAGTCGTGACTGCGCGCGTGCAGCTCGTGCGCTCTGTTGGGCAAGTGGCCGAGAGTTGCCAAGGAGATCAGAGATTCGAAGAGCCGTGTGACGTTGGTGCGCGAGGTCACGGAGCTCAAGTAGAATTCCGAGCAGCGCGCTCACGTCTGGAAAATTGGTAGAGGCTCGATAGATCAATCAGCTGACGGCAACGCATTCACGGACAAAAAGAGGTGGTTGAAGCAGGCAGTCTCGCTCAACCGAGAGGCTGCCTTCAGGCCGACCAAGCCTTGCGAAGAAAGCTGCTCGTGCTCTTGACTCATCATGCCATGCGTGTTGGCTGCTGCAAGAACACGCGTGATAGGTGCCTCTTTACGCGTCGCGCGCGGGGGCACGTAGCGGTGGAGTTGCCTGGCTGAGTATGCGTAGCATTTCCGCCACGTGTCCCCCACGGCATCCCATGCATGGCGCTGCTGGGCGCACGGATGTACCTTGTAGCTGTCGCTGACCTTCCAGCAGCAGGTGCACCAGTCGCGAGCCTAGTGGGGGGGACGTGCATGGAGTCATAGCAGCAGCAGCAGCTCGACCATCAACTCTATCATCCCTTGAGCGGCATTCACTTACACTACCACACAGCCCCAATAAGGTGTCCTCAAACACGCATTTGGAAAGAACGCTGCTGTAGCAAATCAACACTCCAAAGTTGGGTTTGCTACCCCACCAATAGGTTGATATCGCGCACAAACCCGAAGGCTCCAGCTTGGCGAGGCCCTTTGAGCAAGCCTAGGTCCATTCGATATCAAGATGGCTGCAGCTGTAGCGACCGCAGGTGCGGCTGGTGGGACTGGCAGCTCTGCTGCGTCGCAGCCCCCACGCACAATCGAGACGCTGCACGAAGACATGATCGTAAGTTTTGACAGTGAATGCAGCATGCAAAGGTTCAGCAGGTCGATTTGGCACGAGGCCATCGCGCAAAGCGAAAGCCTACGTTCCTTAGCAGCCTGCTGCACTGGTCCTCTACTGTTGCGCTAGCTGACATTCCTAGGTCTCGCCTGGCTCCCTCGTTTGCCTCAGCACGACGCTCAGCTAGACTATTATGGGAGGAAGCTGGCAACATGCTCAAGCGATCGCACTGTCAGAGTGTTTGATGTGGTGGAAGGAAGCGCCAGCGGCCAAGGAGAGACGCTCAGGGGGTGAGTCATGGGAGCTATTGAAACTCACTGGGCTTGACGGCGCGTTTGTAGGAAGTGAGCTGCTACGTCTTGCCGAGGGCGACGACAGCGGGCATTGCGAACAGGCATCTGAGGCTGTCCTGGAGAAGAGGACACAAGCTCAGAGCGCGTGGTTGCGAGTGTCGTTCTCGTCTAGCTACAATCTTGGCTAGTCGCCGCTGGCAGGCTTATGGAGCCTAGCTGACCACTCATCTCTTCCTTCGCCAGCCACGAAGGCCCAGTCTGGCAGGTCGCATGGGCTCACCCTAAATTCGGGCCTATTCTTGCATCGGCCTCGTACGATGGCAAAGTGATCATCTGGAAGAACGATGGGACTGCTTCAGCGGCAAATACGGGAGGGTATGGCGCGTATGGACAGGCTCCGCCATCGAGCAGCGGCGGTTGGCAAAAGATCAAAGAGCATGCTCTTCATGGCGCAAGCGGTGAGCACGAAGCACTCTTTCGGCTCGATGGAGGGTCCTATCGCTGACACGAGTAGCTCTGCTGCGTGCCTCTTCAGTCAATTCTATTGCTTGGGCTCCACATGAGCTGGGCGCGATTCTAGCCTGCGCTTCTTCTGATGGCAATGTCTCTGTTCTGACCTTCAATGGTTAGTGCAGAGTCGGGCGAAGGGGCTGTGACCTACATGCCTCCGGCTTACGACTCCCCCTTTCTCTGTTCAGATGACGGAACTTGGGCAGTCGACATGGTAGCCGCACATCCCATCGGTGCGAATGCCGTGTCCTGGGCGCCAGCAGCCGTTCCCGGCTCGCTCATCTCCAGTCAACAGCCCGCCGCTGCTGCTGGAGGCGCGACAGCGGACGTGCCCAAGGTCAGGCGTTTTGCTAGCGGTGGCTGCGACAACAGCGTCAAAATTTGGGAGTTATCGTGAGTGGATTGGAGGAGAAGGGAGGGCTTGGCCACGCCACGCCACGACACAGGCTCCACAATCGCTGATCTTTGCTCGGTGACTCCGTTTGACCAGTGCCGAGCAAGGTCGATGGACCGAGGCAGAGGTGCTGACTGGACACACGGATTGGGTACGAGATGTGGCCTTCTCGCCCAACATCGGCCTGCCTCGTTCATACCTGGCCACGGCCTCGCAAGACCGCACGGTGCTCATCTGGACCCAAGACAATCCTTCTTCGGCTTGGACCAAAACGCAGCTCACTGCCCAACCTTTTCCCGGTGCCGTCTGGAGAGTATCGTGGTCTGTCACTGGACAAGTGCTGGCTGTCAGTGCCGACGATGGCGTTGTCAGACTCTTCAAGGAGAGCTTGAAGGGCGCTTGGGAAGAGGTTAGCGTGCTCGATTCGTAAAAAATTTCAAGTCTTGTACACTCTAGCCCGAACGTCAATGCCAATCACGAATCGTCAGTATGCTTGTTTTTTGTGTCGTGTCCGTCTCCGCTTCTCCACACGATACCTCCGACTGCGGCGCCATCGCTCTCAAGAGACCAGCTACAAAGACTGGATGGCTAGAAAGATGAATCAAGAATGACATTGAGCAAGCGCTCGGATGACGAGGCCGCCGCGACGGAGAAAACCGATACAGTTGGGTGGTCCGCAAGAAGTAGAAAGAAGAGGACAAGATAAGCTAAGCTGTGAAAAGTGACGTCGTTCTGATGAAGTTTGCACAGGCGACAGCAAAGCAGCATGTCGCGAATCGGGGGCAGTGGAGGCGTTGAAGATGGTATGGCCGCTCGACAGGTCTGCAGCCAAGGTTCAGAAGTGCGTTGCGCCTCTTGTTTGGCTCATCCGTGTAGACCAACTTCACGTCGCCCCATGACGGTATAGGACAACGGCCAGGTGACAGGATAACACCGACAGATGCTCGAAAGATTGCCCATAGCGAGCGATTGCTCTAATGCTTTGCTGGCGTTGTTGGCTCTGGTGCTGGCACTGCAGGCGTTGCCATGGCCGCTGCATCTTGTAGCTGTGCCATGTAATCCTTATACTCTTGGGCTTCATTTTGAAGGGAGACATTCTGATTTGCGAGAGCTGCAGTCTGCGATTTCTGCTTGACGAGCTCGTTTGCCAATATAACACTACCGCCGCCCACTAATCCAACGGTGCCGGCCATCCTTTGATCATGTAAAGTGTGGTTTCACGTCAGTGTGGCACATGACTTGGACTGAGAAGATCGAACATTTCGCCAGACTGCCTTCAACGTGCCGCGCAGGCTCGTTTGGAAAGGCACTTAGATCAACTCACTTTGCTGCCTTGCCCCCTGAAAGATGTGGGGACATGCGCGGCGCCGCGATAGTCTGACTCGTCAACTATCATTCTAATCCTTGGAATCATCGACCCTCATCCGCAAACTCACACTTGCCAGCCTTCCCGACCTTCCCGGCCTTGCCAGCAGTGCTAGCCAGGCCTTCTACACCTTTGACGTCAGAAGCAATGGTCTTGCCTGATTTGCCCAATTTGAAGAGCGAGCTGAAGCCTCGAGCCGCGCCCCCCAGCATCGGTTCACGACGTTCGAGCGTCTCTGCGTGCTGATCGTTGGGCTCAGCAACTTCTCCTGATTCCTCACGCGCATAGAGCTCCTCGACGGACTTGTCCATGTCTTTCTTTATCAGACCCGCTTGCTTCATCATCTTGTTGTATTCGTCGTTTTGTTTGGCCAGCGCGGCATTTTGCGTAGCGAGAGCTTTCTGTTCGGCGGCTTGCGACTTCAACATGTAATAGCCGCCGCCAACAACAAGACCGGTACCGCCACCCGCGTAAAGCAGTCTGGTGGGATGGCAGAAGAAAGCAAATCCCCATCGAATGCGTGAGCGCATGATCTTTCAAAGCACACAACAGGTCGCCGTCTACTCACTTCTTGCCGAAGCTCGTCTTCTTCTTGCCGAGCTTACCAGCATTGCCCGCCAGATCATCGCCAACCTTGCCCGCTGAACCGATTTCTCCGCCGCCCTTCCCAACAGTGGAACCGGCCTTCTCGAGCTGAGTCGCTTCCCTCCCTATCGTCGAGGCCGACTTGCCAAGCGTGGCAGCGCCTTTGGCAGCATTCTCCGCCTCGAGCAGACCAGCGGCGATGCCTCCCAGAGGTGAGCGTCGATGCAAGGCGCCCGCTACAGAGCTACCACCAGATTGATCGATGGGCAAGGGATGCGCAAGGGCGCTGTGAAACGCCAACGCAACAAATTGCACCAGAGTGGCTGTCGCGGCGAGCCTCATGGTGATCTGAAGACAGGGCCGGGGGTGAAGGAAAGAGAGGTGTAGGGCGAATGCGGGGCAGACCAGCTGACAGCAGTCGCAAATGTCTAGAGGATGACGACGACTACAACGACGAAGTGCGTGGGTGATGGAAGTATTGACTTCAAAGAAGACCAGCTTCTTGAAAATAGGTGTGAGTCGAGTCTCGCAGTTGAATCGTTAAAGGGGATTTTGGGAGGAAGACCAGCTTCCGGCGCAGGTTTTGAAGAGCGTCGAGAGGTGCGAGGTTGGGAGACGGGAGACGGGAGCCGTGCGATGCAAAACCTCGGACCATGCCAACTTATATGTAGCCCTGTCCAGGTGACTGTGCGAAGAGCGCGCGGCGCCAAAGAACACAAGATGCACCAGCATGAAGGTCTCGCTCGAGCATCATTCAGCTCCTGCCATTCATAGGCGACATCATTCGTGATTCTGGCGCAGTGACGACGCAATTCCGCGTAGACCCGTGGTATCAGCACCCAAGTAGTGCGCCAAACGCCCAATCGTCGCGAGTACACCCACAGCTCGTGACTGCAGAATCAAGTCTGGACGGTGTGTGCGCCTCGGATGAATTTCCTGCATAGCATAGTAGTATAGGTGACGCCTGCGCATGGCTTGGCGAGTGATCCGGAGCTGATATGAGACCATACACCGTCCAAAGGTCACGAGCGATGATGTCAGGCGGGTGCCTGGGCCCCGTGTCGAGGTGCCTGAATGAGAGAGATCGCGACTCACGAGTCGGCACTCGTGATCGACCTGTTCTTGCCCGGACAAACTCAGACCAGCAGCTGACGCGTCCCTCGCGATTTCGCTTGCTTCGATGACGAGTCATCGGTAGATCTCTGAATGCTGACTGCGCGGAACGCCAGCGAGGCGCATTATTGATGGCGTCGATCCTTGCTGGCAGCAAGGACGGAGGATGCGCAGCATATTTGTCCTTCCAGCTACGCCATGTGGTGAGGGTCGAGCGACAAGCCCATATCATCGTGCTCCGTTCATGGAGGCGCCGGAAGGCTGCGCCCGCGTGTTTGCGCCCTGCTGCCGCCCTCGCGGAGCATCGTGGTCGTGGCGCTTAATTGTGCACCTGATGCACTCACCACTAGCTGCTGCATGTGACTCACGACTCTACACATGGGTCTGCGCGTCATCCTTTATCCACCACCAGGCGTCAACACCGCGGCGGGCCGAGGCACTCTGGTCGGCGCAGCAGAACCGAATATCGCGCCGCAGAGGTCGGCAGGGAGGGAAAGAAAGAAGGAACGGTAGGTGATGACGACGAGGTGCACGCTGATGCGATTGGGCGCCTGATCCTGATTGCGCCCGCCTTGGATCCTAGCTGCAGAGTATTGCATTCACAATCTGAATGCAACACTCGGATTGCTGTGGATCAGAATGGTGAATGATCAGTCACGAGTCATGCGCGTTGATCGTGACTATTGCCATGGTTGCTTTGACCTGGCTGCTGCTGATTGCTCAAGTAAATGCTTTGGCCACGTAGCTGTTGGTAATTTGGCGCACTTTGCTGCTGGTAGCAGGAATCGAGCCTATTTGAGAAAGCCGTCGCTCCGTCAAGAATCGGTGCTTGAGCATTTATAGATCATGAACACCTCCATATCAAATCAGAAGATCCCAATTAATCTTTGAGTTGATCACGAATTACGGGTCGTGAATCGTCAAGAGTTCTGAAGGTCGATGCAGGGCGTGAGATGGGCCGAAGTCAGAGGCTTATCATGTCCTGCGTGCGCTATGAGACCAAGCAGCTTGCTTTTTTTATTTTGATTGGCATCAGGAAGTGATCGATCGGCGTATCGTTGAATGCTGTGTATGCGCGGCTACCGATTGGGTCTGACGAATTCAAGAGCGTGATTTGTCAGCCCAGTGTTACCTTTGAGTGACTCGTGAGTGTCTTCGTCATTCTTGATGAGTCGCCCGCCATACCACTGCACTGCTACCCTTGACTGCTGACTGTATACGCGATTCGTGACCGGGACCGTGACTTGAGCACTCGATCGACAGCGCCCGTACACCTTCGTATAGTGTGGCCCAGCATGAAGTCGGAGCAAGTCAATCGTGTCATGTTTTATTGTTGAGGATCGAGATTCCATGTTCGGCTAGTCTAACGTTGGCGCAGGCATGGACCGAGCAAAGGTTCGTAAGACAAGGCGAGGTCATGCTGAACAAGCGCGGGGAGCGTGCTCGCGCTGTTGCGAGAGAAGGACGCGCGTGATCAGCCATGCATCATCAGCGCATGCAGTGATCTCAGCTAGATCAGCTTTGCCGCGGTCAGTCACAATTTGAATCAACGTTTAAGCACATTCGTAATTGTGACTGAATGTGAAGATATAAGCTTGAAATATTCGAGCGTGTGCTGATGCGTGCGGCTGATGACCGGCTTTGACCGCCCCTTCCGGTACATCCGCGTCGAGTCCTTTTAGTCAAGGAGATGGCAATCAGGAGTTCTTCGGCCGGTATAGCACGCAACCTGAATGCACATGTGAAGGTGTATTTGTCACGCGTATTCATTTTCTTTCATTCTTGACTCACAACGACAAACTTGGCTGAGGGGTCATCTTGCATCAAGAATCAAAATAATCTTGATGAATCTTGAAGGGCCCGGTCGCACGCTCACCTCACGTGACCGCAACTGTGCTCGCTCAGCGCGCCTCCTCCAACTCGGTCACCTCTCGCTTTCGTCTTTGAAGCAGACTTTCGCGCAAGCCTCTTACTTGGTGTACTCAATCAGATGGCCACGGGGGTCAAAAATAACGTGAGAAACACCAATTTGGCACCACAATGTTGAATTTGAATCAAGAATCCAAGTCATGCTCGATCCAGCCATGCATATGTGGCATACACAGCTGTCACCAGCCGACACGCGGTAGTCGAACGGGCGCATCTAATTATATATTGTAAGGAAGAACGTGAGTATATCAATCATGAATCACGAATATATGTATATAGAGGACGGCTGTAGTATGCAGCATGGATACATGCTTTCGCCGGACCGGTTGCACAGCAAAGACGTTAGCCGGAGCGGTGACCCTCCAAGGACGAGATGCACCTGAGGCGGTTCGCGAGCGTCGTGCCAAGCAGGACGCACGGACGCAGCCGAAGTGGAGGGCGCGCTCTCTCACCCCGCGCGAATCAGCCAGCGCAGAGGCCCGCGCGGCTACTCGGCGGATGTGCGGGTTCATTGAGAATCTCTATGCAGGCTCAGGGCACTAGAGCAGTCTAGAGGTCTGTCTGCTTTCCGGCGCCACACCTCGTGCTGCTGCTTTGTTCCCACAATCACATAAGCCAGCTGCTGGATGGGCGCGGGTCCAGTTCGGCGTCACTCTATATACTGCCTGCTGCTGATGTACCGCGACTCTGCATGGCTGCTGCTGTTGCTGGCCCTGGATGGAGCTAAACGTCGCGGTGCAAAGTAGCGAAAGTGGGGCCGCAAGGCTTGTGGGCCCTCGATCGCTATTCGTGATTGTACTTCGCAAGTTGTGAATCAATGCGTGTCGTGACTCTGCCATGTCTGCTGGCCGCTCTGCGTGCGGTCACACCGCGAGGAGTCGTATGTCTGTGCGGCACGATTTGCCCAGCTCAGGCTTTTGAGCTTGTCATTCCAAATCAGCGGATCTGCTGTGCTGGCATGCACGGCGCCAAGAGCGAGCGACCTTCTCGTCAGGGTAGACCAGCGGGTTGCATTTGCGGCTGCATGGCTGCAAGAGCACCGCGCGCAGAGGCAGCAGATTGAAGCAGCATCAGGTGGAGGCGAGGGCCCACGCGAAGTCGTGAGTGTTGGTACTCCCCGCCCCCGCCGCAACAAGGCTGGTTCCTTCTTTCTGCAGCGAGCTGGTGTGCGGTGTGCGAGAGGCCTTCATAAGCCAACGAAGAACGAGCTGCTGTCCACCCTTGTTCCTATCACCACTTGCTAAGCGTCACAAGCACAGACACGCGTCGCTTCGTATTGATACTGTACACAACCTCACACACCTGTCACATCAAATCTTGACAATATGGCTGGCAAAGCAACTCTGAGCTTCCCCACCGGCGAGAAGTCTGTGAGTGGTGGCGGGCTAGCTTTCGTCTGCGTCTGCCCACTCTCGAGCAGCTACTGATGAGCTTGCATTTGTCCATCGCAGACCATTTCGACCGGACTGTTCATCGACAACAAGTTTGTTCCTGCACTCGATGGCAAGACCTTTGGCGTGGTCAACCCAAGCACCGGCGAAGTGAGTGTGCAACGCGCACATCATCTATATACGCTCGAGTGCAAGCTTCACTCACACCTCGACTTCATCCTAGGAAATCGCTCAAGTCTCAGAGGCATCGGCGAAGGACATCGATGTTGCCGTCAAGTCTGCACGCAAAGCCTTCAAGGAGGTGTGGGGAGAAAAGACCCCAGCTTCTCAGCGTGGCAAGATTTTGATGAGGCTTGCTGATCTCGTCGAGCAGAACAACGATGAGCTGGCTCGCATCGAGTCGCTTGACAACGGAAAGCCCTTCTCCATCTCTAGCACTTTCGACGTCCCTTCCGTGGCAGCCAACATTCGCTACTTTGCAGGATGGGCGGACAAGAATCACGGAAAGACCATCGAGGTGGACACTCAGTCTGACTTCCACTACACTCGTCACGAGCCCATTGGCGTCTGCGGTCAGATCATCCCTTGGAACTTCCCTCGTGAGTCTTCCGCCTGCGATATTTCGGAATTGTACACTGACCCACTCTCACGCCCACTCGACTGCACAGTCCTCATGTTCGCATGGAAGATTGCACCCGCGCTTGCCACTGGTAATACCGTCGTCTTGAAGACTGCCGAGCAGACACCTCTGAGCGCCTTGAAGATGTGCGAACTGATCGCAGAGGCTGGCGTGCCACCCGGTGTCCTCAATGTCGTCTCTGGTTTCGGCCCGGTTGCTGGCGCAGCCATCGCATCTCACATGGACATCGACAAGGTCGCATTCACCGGCTCTACCCTTGTTGGTCGCAACATCATGAAGGCAGCTGCTTCTTCGAACCTCAAGAAAGTCACTCTGGAGCTCGGTGGCAAGTCGCCCACCATCGTTTGTGACGACGCTGACCTGGACAATGCCGTGTCCTGGGCTACATGCGGTATCCTGATGAACTCTGGACAGGTCTGCTGCGCTGGCTCTCGTCTCTTTGTGCAAGACACCATCTACGACAAGTTCATGGAGAAGCTGCAGGAGAAGTTCACCATGATCAAGGGCATGACCAAAGATGGATTTGCCAAGGACTCCTTCCAAGGCCCCCAGGTATCTCAGCTTCAATTCGACCGCATTATGGAGCACATTGAGACTGGTAAGAAGGAGGGCGCCACTCTGAGGCAAGGTGGCAACCGTCACGGCGACAAGGGCTACTTTATCGAGCCCACGATCTTCGAAAACGTGCCCGTGGATGCGAAGATCAACCGCGAGGAGATCTTTGGACCTGTTCTGGTCGTCAACAAGTGGAAGGACGAGGAGGAGTTGATTGCTCGTGCTAACGACACTCTGTACGGCTTGGCAGCTGCTGTGCACACCACGCACATCCGCAAGGGTATCGAGATTGCGCACAAGCTGCAGGCGGGAACTGTCTGGATCAACCAGCACAACATGCTCAACCCACAAGTTCCGTTCGGTGGCTTCAAGGCTTCGGGCATCGGTCGCGAGCTGGGAGAGTATGCTCTGGCCAATTACACCAACGTCAAGGCTGTCCACCTGGCCCTCGGCAGACAACCCCCCATCTAAGCTGTCACGCAGCTTGGTGCAATGCACTCGCCCCCTCCTCCCGCACTCGCACTCGGGCTCTTGTCACTTTGTAGCTAGCTTCTCACTCTTACGCCTGCAATGATGAAGTCATTCCACGACACTTGCAGCTTTGCGCTGGCTCGGTCAGCTCAGAATGATGGCATGGATACGGGGCAGGTCTTGGCACGCTATACGCTGCATGCCTGGTTGCGATCAGTTTGTCGCTGCGATCGACGTGTTTTGCGCGACTGGCTCCGCCTTGTCAGCTGACGGACGGTGTGTTGATTGGTGTTTGGGGGCAATCTGCGCTATCATGGTTGCTCTGTGCTGTGCGGTGTGTAACTGATTCGTTTGGGCAAGCATGCGAATCAGATGGGATGGTCATATGACCGGACCCGCACCGTAGCGACAAGCAAACTCTATTCCTGTGACTTCACAGTCGTGACTCTTGGGGTCCCTATATAGGGACCCCCCTCCACTACACCGCACCACAAACACGCAGACGCAGACGCAGGCAGGCCAGCGTCGATCGTGCGCGCGCGCGCGTGTGGAGGCGGAGAATTCGTCCGGCAACTTTCATGGTGGCATGGCGTGGCATGCATGCACGGCATCACGAGGCGCGGAGTGCATGGCAGCAGTCAAGAGGGAACAAGACGCAAAATTTTGGGAAGTCGCATTGCATGGGCAACGACGAAGCGTATATGTTCTCTTTTGGCGAGGAGGAGCAGTCACAGTGCGAGTCGTGAGTCGTGAAGTCGTGAGTGGAGAGTCTTCTGATGAGTTCACTCTGCCTCGCTGTGCTTCGGGGCTGACTGTGCAAGTACTCGTGACTCCATCAGACGGCCCGACACCAAAGCGGCCCGAGAGCAGAGCTAAGCTTACATTTCACTGCCGGTAGTGTCGCCCAATTTGGACTCTGACTGCGGTAGGTATGCGAGATCGGCTTGTGCATTCAGATTGATTGAGGGAGAATGGATCGAGGCTGGATTGCACGGAAGATCTGGCGGGGTCCCCCCTCCCCTTTGCGCTTTCTCCATTCTGCTCCGCTCTGAACCCGCGCGGCTCGAGTCGCCACTTGTTCCGAGTGTGGCTGAGGGCTATATAAAGTCGCATCATGTCGCAGTTGCAATGTTCTGTCGCTCTACATCAACCTCGAGATCACGAGCAGCACCATTGTAGCAAAGTCGAACGAATAGCAACCCTTCGCCCAACATGTCAACAGCCGTAGCTTCAGCAGCAGGAAAGAGTCCCACTCGCCCGTTCAGCAACACGGGCGAGAGAGTGTCCACCATCGGATACGGTGCGATGGGCCTCGCAGCCTTCTACGGCAAGCCAAAGAGCCAGTCAGAGTGCGATGCAGGTGAGCAGGCCAGCAGGTCCATGCATGCCATTACGGCCTTTGCTCTGCGCTCGGGAGCTGACATCTCGCTCTTGCTTGGTCACGACCGCGATCAAGTCTTTGAGCGCCTCTTGCAGCTGGGCGTGACCTTTTGGGACACTTCTGACATCTACACTTCTCGACCTTCTCTGGGTCAGGGCGAAGAGCAGTTGGGCTCATGGTTCAAGAGCGCAGGCAAACGTGATCAAGTCTTTCTCGCCACGAAATGGGGCTTCGCTCTGGATGGTCAGGGCAACAGGAGTCAACATGGTGAATACGATTACGCCATTTCGGCTTGCGAAGCATCTCTCAAGCGCTTGAATACGGACAAGATCGATTTGTACTACCACCATCGTCCTGCTCCTGGTCAGATCGAGGACAGCGCGAGAGCAATGAGGGATCTGAAGCAGCGCGGTTCCATCAGATATGTCGGAGTGTCCGAGTACAATCTGGATCAGCTCAAGCAATTCAACGACATTGTCCACATTGACGCTTTCCAAATCGAGCTCTCTCCCTGGACACCTCAACCTCTCTTCAACGGCTTGGTGGATTGGTGCACGGCGAACAAGACGCAAATCGTTCCTTATAGTCCTTTGGGCCGCGGCTTCTTGACTGGCAAGTATCAAAAACCATCCGACCTGTTCAGCGAGGGAGATTTCCGCAGCGCAAATGCGCGTTACACTGAAGAGGCCTTTGCGCACAACATGAAGCTGGTGGATCAGATTCGTGCGATTGCAGCGCAAAAGGGAGCCAACGTCACGCCCGGTCAAATTTCGCTCGCTTGGCTCTTGGCGCACGGCGACAACATCACTCCCATCCCTGGAAGCACGCAGATCGCAAACATCGAGGAGAATGCGAATGCTGCTGCCATCCAATTGACGCGCGACGAAGTGGCTAGCATCGACAAGTTGGTGCAGGAATTCAAGACGCTCGGTGAACGCTACCCTGCTTCGTACCAAGCTACGCTCGCCTTTTGATTTGCCCGGTCACATCACCCACAGAAAGTGGTTGCAATACCATCCGAATTCCTTCAGATGCGCGTTTGATTTGAGCCTGAGCGCGCAGAGATGGGGCATTTTCGTATCACATCGACTATGCCATGAGCACCACACGCGCCGCTTTGGAGAGAAGGTATGTAGCCTGTGAGATATTGCAGGCTGAGGGAGCATCATGCGGTGCAGTACTGAACCAATACCGCACACAGATGTGATGGATGTAAGCCTTCGTACCACCAGCGAAAGAATTGAGCACTGAGCACAGAAATTTGGTGTCCTTTCTGACAAAGACTTCCGCAGAATTGTGGCATATCAGCGCGTGGTGGTGCGTGTCGAATCTCTTTACTCGAAAAGCTCCACGCACGAGGTGCGAATCTTGGTAGCTTGGCGCTGAACAGTGGCTGACTGGACGATGCATGTGTTGCTCTTGAGTCGGGTGACTGCGAGAGCATCAAGAATGGCGGTATCACGACTTACCTTGATACCATCGTGAACATGCTTGACTTGCCAGAGTGAACGCTCACTGTGGTTCAGGCGGGAGTCGCGTCGCAAAGCGCCCTTGCAACACCATCCCGACGTTGCATACCGGCTGCATCGGCCTGACATTCAACAGCGAGCGCGCGATGTCTTTCAGCCGGCCCCATAAGGCGCCGTCAGTCGTATCGGCATCATGGGTCTTGCACAAAGATCTACTCGGTGTTCATCAGACTGAGCTACGAAGCACGGCGTCAATGCATCGATTCGGGATCTGGAGACACGAGTCGAAACAAAGACCAAAAGGGGACCAAAGCCAGCGAAGAAAGGGAGTACGACATGAAGTCGTGGAAGAAGTGAACCGGCTCGGACGGATAGAGAACCGAAACCGAAGGGGTACGTAGCTGGTGCGTAA